AATACCTTCCTGTGTTATTTTTGGCTGACTCCCTTATTCAATCAGAGTCCACGCGGTTTTTCATGTATCATACCGTTCAAAATGCAGAGAGCTTTGATGATATTTTCCTCTCTGCTTCCAATAACCCATACATCTGGAAAAGCTCGTTACATATCGCACTGCGAACCCAATGAAAACGAAGTAAAAAGTCCGAGCACCCACAATCTAGTGCATACTCTATGAAATCGAAAATAGTCCCTGTGTTCATCAATGTCTTCAGGTACGGTAACTACTACCAACGATCTTTCTTCACGCCGATAACACCACCGTAGCTCGTATCATCAGCATGAAGCGTAGGCAGGAAGTACGTCGACAGAGGCCTATCGAGCTCATCGGAACCCTTAAGGACATGAAGTGGAACCGGGAATTCAGGCAGCGGCGCTTCTCAATATCCATGTCCTCACGATGTTGAAAGACCTCCGGGGCAAAATTGGACGATGCCAGCACGGATTCGGCGTTCACTTAAACGGGACGTATTAGGAACTATTAGGCGTAAAATGCGGATGAACGTACAGTACTGCGCCAGCCCTTGATCAAAGTTCCGTAGACAAACGATGCCCAAGATTATGCAGGCGACGATGACGATCATGAAAGAGACCGTGAAGCAGGCAAGGTTAGGCCACATGACAAACGTCCTAAGCAAATATTAGCTATTCATATGAAATGATCACAAAACGAGGTGGTTGAGTACCATTGATAGACTTGAGAATAGAACATGATACTCTCACACAAGAGGAACACGAAGCCGATAAAGATAAATGTGAACATCCATTTCTTTCTCTCGTACCGAATCGCATACCATCCCTGTCGACGGTCAGAGAGTAGAAGAGCAGCACAATAGCATCGTTACCAGTATCATCCATGGGACAACCATCTAAAGAGGTTCAGCAAGGGAATACGAGCAGTCAATAGATAGAATACGTACGACAGTGTAGAATATGAAAACACTTTCATAAACCTGCGTATGTTCGGAGATATATTTAATATAAGTGTTGAACAATTGATCGATCCAAAGTCCCATTCCCGCCGGAAGGATGTAGACCTCGAGCTGCAAGCATGCTTGTATGGCCATGAAAAACTATGACCCCGGTAAGTGGCACATCATAAACAAGTACCAGATCTCTCCACCTTGTGGATTCTGAGGATATGAGCTGGTGCACCAACACATTTGTATGATTGCACAGCGTATACCTGCCTCAGTTGTTAGTGGAGAAACACATATGAAATTATAACAAACCCTAAGGACTGTCCATATCATGATGGTCAAGGCGGTGAGATTCAACACAAGGTCGGGGATCTCCAGCGACGAACGAGTACTGAAATACGTTGGGAAGAAATCAACAGAACACGGTGTGCCAGGATCACTGAGAAGAGCCTTGTACACGCTCGACAGATGATGCGTACGCCAGATCGCGTATGCAGACCATGCTGTAAGCAGTATCCGGGCACCGATCCCAGCGAGACTGAGATAGATCAGTACATGAACGAGATGGACAGCTTTATTTACGTACAGATGAGGCACGGAATCCTGTATCATGGCAAGGACGGAGATGCCAAAGAGCCAGAATTGCAAGAAGACAAACGCAAGGTTTTCCCGACGAAAATTTGACAAGCTAAAAGCAAGGTTCAGTGAATGCAAAAAATATAGAAATGACGAGACGTACTCTTGGATGGTAAAAGTAGAGTCTGGATGCAAATCTTGCTCAAGGTTATGTCACTGCTTTCGCCGAGCGGGCTGACAGACACTGTGTCATCCGAGGCCTTGATGGAGAAGCCTGAACCATCCAGACCAGCGCGCCAGATACCATTGTTCTCAGTAATCTGAAGAAAATGTGAGATTAAGTTCACTGATTCTTTGTGGTGACGCACGTTCTGGTCGTTATCAGTGGACATGGCTGACGGAGGCCGGTTAATCGTAAAGACATCCGAACAAGAACCGTCGTTGTGAGGAAGGAAATTACACACCCGTAGGGTCGAACCCGCGAAGAATGTATGGTTCGCTGGAGGAACATTGGCGGCGATGGTAATATGACTGAGCAATGTGCTGTATCGGGAGTCGACTGAGAAAAGTAAGGATTGGATGGTCCCCTGGGCAAAGCAGTGGAAAAAACCGAAGAGAAAGAATATAGTGGTAAGTCGGTTGAGGGTGATACGGGTATACTGCAGTGTCGTTGCTCGTCATTTCCGAATTTTGCATTCGAGAGAAATAGAACGTACTAATGCCTCCAACTTCCATTTCAATGACCTTCTCATCGTAGCAAATGCTGCCATAAAGATACAATCTTGACTCGCAAGATGAAATCTAACAAAAGACTAGTAAAAGAACGAAATCCCGAGAAAATGCCTTGAATGCAGGCCAGCCGCGTCAAGGAACGACGAAGGTGAGTGTAGAAGGAAGGAAAGAAAGAACGTGGAAGGGTGGCGTGACTCTACCCGACGTCCCTTCTTCTCCTACTCCCATCATCAATTTGTCGACATCTCAACGGCGGCAGCGCCGTTATGCAATGTTCCTTCCTATTTGTAAGATTTAACTCAAGGGGTTAGGGGGCAATCTAATAACGGAAATTAATACCGATGATGTATCATTAATTCAAGCTCTCCCTGGGAACATCACCGCAATCTCAGGCCCTCTTGTTCCCTTAGGATAAACAGCACGGCCACGGTGAGTAATTTCTATACGTTACTAATCCTGGGTCTGATTTCTGAGCTCCTAGTACTGACGATGATGATGCTGGACTCCCCACGTTCAAAATATCGAGTGTTATACATGACAACCATCACTACGTGCCTATATAATATGCGGACTCCTCGGGCAGATGTACGATCTGAACTCTGATTAAGATTCGTTCTCGTCGTTAAACATCTCTTGGACCTGTCTCTTTGGTTGCCCTCTCATTGGCTGCGGAGTCGGTAGAAGATCTTCAAGATCTGGTACCCGAACGAATCAACACACAAGGTGGGACACGTTGTTTACGCCTTTCTTCTGATAGCCAGAGGTTTATGCTACCGCAGCAACTACCATCTCTATCAGTCCGTTAGGCGCTGAAATCATCTCCCGGACAGAACAACTGTCAAAGTCGGGTCGGGGCTCTAATGCCGTCCTTTCAATATGGAAAGCCGAATAACAAAGGGCGTGGAAGCCATGTGTTCCAATCAGAACAAAAACAGGCCGTGGAACCTTCATGGTGAGCCATGCATGAAGTCGACGTCCATCACATTTTAATTTCCCTCAATGAAACCCGCCTTACAAGGCGATGGTCAAAAGCACCGACATGGCGACTGAGGATCGGGCTTGAAGGCTGAGGTGCTTTGTCTCGCAAGTACTGGAAACAGGCTGAAAGAACGCATAATAGCCTCATGTTTGGTTCCGTTTTCTTTACTCTGAAGGTATCTGGCGACTCATGTTGTCCTGCAGCTGGTTGCGAAGACAATTTGATTTCCGGCAACGATCCAACAGGTTCTTATACTTACGTTATGCGTGCGGAAGGAACGGAAGTAATCAAAAGGTGTCAAAAGGTGAGTACATACGTACGAGAATCCTAATGGTGACTAAGTTTCAAGTAGACTGAAGCTCTGAATCCAACGCACGTGTAGTTTTTATAAGTGTCATGCAGCTCGAACCCAGCCACAGATTTTGGTGCTTCCAGAGACTGTTACACTAGGAAGTCAGCCAGAAATTTGAATGGCTTCTGGGCCGGGACACTTTTTTGCCTTTTCCTACTCGTATAAGCTCTTTGTGCTGTATGGACCGTAGCTCACGGAGCACTCATTTCGACGAATGGTGGTCTAGACGACACTCGATTCGATAATGGGAGGTGTCGTGCATATGATCCTCGGGTGCTGCAATAAAGACAAAATCGCAAGAGGACGACCCTCGACAGCTTTGCCCCAACGCCATCTGTCTGCAAACCTGCCGCGCAACAACATAAAGGTTTCGAGCAGTAGACATTGCCACAAACTTGATATATACTTTAGGCGCTTATTTCCTAGTGAGTTTCGTGCCTATGACGAGGCGAAGTTTGTTGACTTCTGGAACTTTGTCCTGAAAGGCTGTGCGTTGATTCTGTACCGAGTCTCGAGATGAGCTACGCCCCATCCGATCTGATCCCGTCATGAGGCAAATTCTGCGGGCATCGTCTACTTATGTCCTCCTTGGCGTAACCACTGCGATATATTGCATGATTTGGCGTACTCCACAATGACGATCATTTCGAATATCATGACGTGTATGAAGGCGATTCTGGATCGCCGTAAGCAAGCGTCGGGTTTTCCACTGTTGACTATCCAGTGATTCATCCCGTAGAAGACGTCTCAATTCATGACACACATCCAAGACGTTTTATATCGGACCGCGAGCCCAAGACAATCGAAGATGGTACGAACTGGCTGGTTCCATCAGCTACAAAAGTAAACGTGATGCGGTACACTCTCGAAGCGACCATTCTAAATCGGACGAAATCACAGTGGACAGCAGATCTAATTGTGATCAAGGTTTTCGATCATAGCAAAATGAGTCGGGTGAAGTGAGGTCAGGTGAGGGATATTTATTCTGGTTATCCTGTCCCTGAGAAGTAAACCAACCAGAGTCCATACTACGCAGTGCAATGGGAGCGGACACTCTCTGACCAAACTGATTCAGCGTAGCCCCCACAGCGTGTAGCCTCTCAGAATTAGCTTCGGAGGTAATCTACTTTCTGACAAGTTTATACGTCTACAGCGGTGCATTATGCTAGGTCAATATAGAGAGGTTTCTCTGCTATTCCTAAGCACATCGTAAGCATATCTTCCCAGTGTTGGAAGGATATCATGGTACATCGATATCAGGTGCAGCAGTCCAAGAGGTGTCTCTGCGCTGTTCCTCAATGCCAGGTATAGCCTCTACACATCAGCGAGGAATGAGGCTCGTAGAATCCCCCTTTGATGGTAAAGCCGACGCATTTTGCTGTGGTCAAAAGCACGGGTCACAATGTTTTCTGTGTTCGCATAGTTTCCCTTCCATCAGCACTAATTAGTTGCCTGACAGGAATGTTACAGAAAGGTCTCCGGTGATGAGTGGGAAGGTAAGCAAATATACAAGGATCCTAGCGGTGACTGACGGTGATTGACACAGGTAGATCAGTATCATGTGAAGCTCGGAATCTAACAGATTTCTCTGGACACACGTGTGCATCAACGAGCATTCCGAGTCCTGTGTTTACAGGATTCTTTCAGTCTGAGCATCTCTGTGGTAGTGCTCCAACCCTTTACTTTTCCTTTGCCGGTTCCGGCAAAATAAATGGAAAGGTTCGAAAAGGTTTATAAAAACTATTTATAAACCCTTTATAAAGGGTAAGTATCACGTGATGTGGCACTCCGGCGCAGAGCAGGCCAGTAACGACCTTGAGAGTTACCTTGAATTGAGTTTCTGTAGTCTAGTACATGTATTTGTGACAAAATTTATACTTACTTATACTTCTCATGACCGAAAGTTTGTAAGTACATGAAATTGAAAAGCGCTGACAAATATGGGTCTGCCCGGACCGACACTACCGAGCTCAAGCCGAGGTGGTTATGCCCATATCTAGACATACATACGAACTGTTACCATATCATCGTGGTACGAGTTCAATACTCAGTTTCACCACATCATACAAGTGCTGTTATTCAGAATTAAATTATGTGCAGCATGCATACCCTTTACTGTTTGTTTACCCTTTACTTTACCCTTTACCACCTCACGTAAAACAAAAGGAAAAATAAATGGTTTAAAACCCTTTATAAACCCTTTTAAAGGGAAAGGGTTGGAGCACTACTCTGTGGTGGTGAGTTACAGTTCGACAATTTCCTGCTGCCGTTTGCTGTGCCGTACATGCCGACGTTGTCGTCACGTGGGACACCGTTACGCAAAGTTAACCGGGACCCGGACCGCATTGTTCTTTCTTGATACCCATTTTTCGGATTACCCTTGAACTTCACACCTTTCCGAGACGCTTCACCCTCACGCGGTTCCGGCAGCCACGCGACAACTTGCCTTGTTCCCTCCTGGATATGCATATTTACTTTCCTCACGTCGAGGCCGGGATCTCCGATCAAATGCTGCGCGCCTCCATCCAATGTGTATCTTCCTCTTACCAAGATACTTTTTGCTGTCTTCGAAGAACCCTTTCCTCACGCTAACAATGGGACAGAACATTTTATACACTTTAACGCCAGTTGGATTTTTCCATCATTATTGCCTGCCCTTTTCTCCTTGCTCAGCTCCCACTTGTTTTCCGTTCGGCCTATCTTCCTCAACAGCTTCAGCGCTCTCCAGTCAACTATCGATAACTTTGAAAATGTTGGGACTTCACCTTCGGAATAACTAACAAGCCGCAGGTTTAGCATGGTTTGATACAACTACAAGGCAAATTTTGTGAAAGCTGAATTTCTGCCCTTCATGTAACGGGCTTACCAGTGCGTTGTATTGAAGCGGTGACGTCCGGGTCTCGCCATACATCGTAGCCTACAGGGATCCAGACCGTTGGATGGCTGAATACAATGGCGGTAAGGGTTGTCAATAATTATAGAGCCTTGACTAACTATTGGTCGTTCACGAGTGAACCTAGGGTCGGGAAAAGTCACACGTATAGTATGGCACAGACTTGTCCCGAAGAATGCCCATCTCTACTGATGAAAATGGCACGAGATGGGAACGTTGGTAGCCTGTGATCACCATTTCGGATGGTCGCGAATTCGCGTGATCATGACCGAAGTTTAGCATCAGCCCAGTATTAGCTCAGGAAAAGTATTTTCAAGCCAAGTCAAGGCTGGATTACTGCGTGTCGGTAAATCGGAGCCCGCTGACTGTTCGTGGACGTATTCCGGGACGACAAGTACCCAAGACGAACATCGAAGACCGAGAAGCGAAAATCTGGGGTAATGGTGGTCGCCCGGCTCTCACAGTCGCAGACATATGACCCAGGGACTCAATAGATCAGGGTGGAAACGGAGTACAAAGTACGAAAGCAAGCTGTGGAGCCAATCACATCAGAGGGATATGACGGGAATGCGATCACGTGCGTAGATCTCGCAGTGATGCGTCATACTCAGTTCTTCCTCCACAGCTGACTAACCACGGGATCGACCAAGAATGGGCGATTTATATAGTGTAGACTGGCCCCACGACCACTTGTTTCCCACCCACCACCATCATGCCTTCTAAGCAAGTCTTCTCGACGCCCGACAACGCTCTCTACACCACCTCCAACGGCGCACCCGTCTCCGAGCCGTACGCTGCACAGCGAGCAGGTATCAATGGCCCTCTGCTGCTCCAGGACTTCCACCATATCGACCTTCTCGCCCACTTCGATAGAGAACGTATTCCTGAGCGTGTCGTCCACGCCAAGGGCGCAGGTGCTCACGGGTACTTTGAAGTCACCCACGACCTCTCGGACATCACGTCGAACAGTCTCTTGACGTCGCCAGGGAAGAAGGTGCGCGCGACGGTCCGCTTCAGTACCGTCGGCGGTGAGTCTGGTAGTGCCGACACTGCTCGTGATCCACGAGGCTTTGCTATGAAGCTTCGCACCGACGAAGGCAACATGGACTGGGTATTCAATAACACGCCCGTTTTCTTCATTCGCGATCCCGCCAAGTTCCCGCACTTCATCCATACGCAGAAGAGAGACCCGCAGACGCATCTCAAAGATCCAGATATGTTCTGGGATTATCTTGGTCAGAACCCAGAGAGTATCCATCAAATCATGATTTTGTTCAGTGACCGTGGGACGCCTGATGGTTTCCATAACATGCACGGATATTCGGGCCATACCTTCAAATGGTTGAAGGAAGACGGCTCGTTTGTATACACGCAAGTTCACGTTCGCGCCGATGGTGGTTTCAAGGCGAGTTTAGCTTTTTCTACGATTGCGCACATATTCTAACTCTGGTTCCAGACTCTTGACGATGCAACCGCTGGCAAGTTGGCTGGGTCCAACCCTGACTATGGTATTCAAAGTATGTTCGAGGCCATCGAATCTGGCAATTATCCGTCATGGACTCTATACGTCGTATGTCTAATCTGATTGTTCATCAAATTTCCCTTCTGACTGATGGTATCAGCAAACGATGACGCCTGAGCAGGCTGAGAAGTTCCGCTACAATATTCTGGATCTCACCAAAGTTTGGCCGCACAAGGAATTCCCGCTTCGCCCATTCGGCAAGCTGGTCCTGAACGAAAATCCACAGAACTACTTTGCTGAGATCGAACAGGTATGTTAGCATTTAGTATAGTTATTCGTCTGCTCAATTTTTGACCAGGCCGCGTTTTCTCCGTCGCATCTTACTCCTTACATCGAACCTTCGGCAGATCCAGTTCTTCAGTCGCGTTTGTTTTCCTACCCCGACACTCACCGTCACCGACTCGGCACGAACTATCAGCAGTTACCCGTTAACGCGCCTATCGTGCCCGTGGCGAACTTCCAAAGGGATGGGCCACAGACTTTCGTCAGTCAAGGAGCAAGACCCAATTACCAGAGTAGTATTAGTCCATTGAGTTACAAGGGTAGAAAGGCGACGCTTGATGGGCATGTGAGGGATCAAGATAGGATTGCCAAGCATGAGAACTTTATCGGGTCGGCCTACAGGGACTTACATGAGATTAACGAACGTGAGTGCGAGACGCTTTTTGAGGTACCTTTTCTCACCATCCGCAGTGGACTTTGAGCAGCCTCGTGCCCTGTGGGCCAAGGTTTGGAACGACCAGCAACGTGAGGCATATGTACAGAATGTCGCAGCTCATTTCGGTAACGTCAAGAGCCCTGAGGTTAAGGCTAGACAACGTGAGTTTACCAAAATTTGTAGTTCTGTCTCGTCTCACATTAAAACCTTCTAGTCTCTGTATGGGCGGCCGTTGACCAAGGCCTGTCTGACCGCATTGCTAAGGCAATCGGCCATCCATCTGTCAAGCCTCTTGCCTGCAAGCCCGCGAACGAGGCAGTTCAGTTTAAGGCAAACATTGGGTTCGCGGCTAAGCAGAGGTTGTAAACGAAAGCTAGGATGAAATTTGTACGATTAGAATACGGTGTCGAGATATGCATGTAAAATCACAAATCATTGTAGTGTGTACTTCGTGAATTCGCTTTGTATGTCAATGACCGATGGAATGTTGAAGTTTCAAATTGTCAGTATCGAAAACACACCTGACACGACTTATAGCTTGGTAAATCGAATCAAGATGCTTGCGGAACTTGATACTGTACAGTACCTTTCATTTCAATTTCTCCGTTATCCTTGAAGCTATTGACATGCACTGAAAAGTTGGAGTCTCTCGCAGCACTTAAAATTTACTCAGTACAACATCTAAAGTATTGTCGTGGAATGTCAGTCGCGCCAAACACAACCTGTTATTCGACCCTGGAAGGTTTCCATCGAGTGGAAGAGCAGTTGTCGTCCGATAATTAGCGTTTCAATAAGGTAATCGCACGGTCCATAATCCCGTTACTGTGCAAGGCAGATAAATTGTGTGGTTACATATTTATGCGATAATCTGATAGCAAGAAAGATAAAATCAAATCTGCGTGGTGACAACATTGCTTGTGTGTTTGCTTGTATCCATCCAGTCCCTGAAAAAAAAGACGAAAGAAAAATCTAAGAAGTATATGTCTATACAGATCATTGCCTTGTAGCCAACGCGGCCAGCAAAATGTCGTAGTCGATTTTCGCCGCTAGGAGCATGCATGAGTATCGTGACCCTAACAAAGAGATGAAAGGGCAGCTTACATTTTAAGATAGCCTCAACGAGCTGTTTCGCAAAGATGGGCTTCTCTTCTTGCATCCGTCCCAGCGCCTCCCGGCCCAACTTCCATAGCACCACATCCCTCTCCACAACCATAGTCGCATTTCGTGGCATATTCGACAGAGCCGAGAGCTCACCTGCAACAGTTCCCGATACCATCGACTCTTCAATATGTGGTGGGTGGGTGTAAGTCTCGTTGTTATGAGAAGAACTCTCCAGGCCCGTGTTCGAACTCCAAGACTCAAATGCATATGAAGCCCGCAGAACGCCTTTCTCGATAATATACAACCCATCTGGCGGGTCATTCTGTCGCCACAAAACATGTCCAGCGGGGTAGCATACGCGACTGAGGTACGCAGGGAGGGGGCTAAGGTCAAGACTTGTGTACGGCGACAACGCGCGGGACAGTGTAGGAAACGGTTCACGTAGAGGGTGATTGGGAAACTCATGCGGAGGCATCAGATGTCCGCGATCACGTCCGGACGCGGGCTCTCGAAGAAGTCTTGGCGGGGTGCCTCCAAGAGAAAGTGAAGGGATTGACGCTTGGTCATGACTGGGTGGCGTCGAGGGGTAGAGCTCTGCAAAAGAATGAGTGAATTTAGCTATTGGCACGACTGCGTAGGCGACATGAATCTTACCATTCGCGATGGTCCGGGAACCTGCGTCGTATAGATGGACGATCCTCGGAGACCCAAGCATACTGAGACCCAGCCCGCTTTCGCTATAGTCCGCAACATCGGCGTCTTGTCGACCAGGAAGTACTAAGTGATCTCGTGAGTCCGGCAAAATCGGGGACAAAGAAAACCCCATACGAAATGGAACACTCCTAGCGACCTTTTGAGCCTTGAACCAGGCTTTCAGATACGCGTTTTCTGTCCCTAGGAGGGGAGTTAGCATTGTATGCCAAGAGACTATGCATCGAATTCGACTTACATTCCATGGCATCCCCGAAAGTATCGAACACTTCCACCTTTGAACCTATCCCGGCTTCCACGGCTCCCGGCGGATCCTCTGATTCCGCTTCGTCGCCAAAGAAAACATCCAGCGCCTTTCCCACAGGCCCCTCTCCCCTTCTAACACCACACATCACTAGACACACGCCCTTCTTCTCCAACATTCTCCGTACCCTTACGAGTCCTTCAATAGCACTCATGTCAACACCGGCCACATGAGTAAGATCCAACACAAGGAAACGTATGCCCGGGGTTTCGACCCTGTCCCTCGTGCTTCCATACCCATCATCCTTCTCGAACGCCCCACCCAGTACTCTCCTCACGCCCTCTTCAACTTCCGTAACATTCCCGAAGAACATGAAACCACCTAACCGCATAACGCATGTCTGCTTTCCAGACACCTCCCTGATGTAGGCTCGCTGCACACTTGGCCTTCTCACTGTTGACGGCGCCGTCGACCCGGTGTGTAGCGCGCGAATCACACTCAGTCGGGATGTTTGGATGACGAAGAAAAGACCTGTAGGACAAGTTTAGCCGAGTTCGCCGCTAAACAAGAGAAGCGACGCACAGCAGACAATGATGCCGAAAAGAACCCCAATAACAAAGTCCCACACCGTCATACAAACCATAATACTGATAATAGTAATGTACTCGGACCTATAGAACGTTGATGTGATCAGGGATCGAAAGGGAAGCATACTGGACATTCAGTTACCGGCTCACGCGTCCTCTGGTGTCCCATATTGCCTCCTTGACCAGATCGATACCGAGCACGAATATCAATGCTCCGACGACCATAACCGCTATGAGTCAAAGTTAGCCGCCCGATCTGGGATAAAATCTTGAGGCACTCACGAATGTATCCGACAAATCCCGTACCAATAGCCAAAAGGACGGCCGTGGCAGCTGCCAGAAGAAATCCAGAAATACGTGTGGTACCTCCGACACGATAAAATCTGCCCAGAGTCCACAAGCAGTCACGAATTCTCACTGCAAGTACTCACAGTAGCGTGTTGACGTAAACGAGATAGTTGGGTCTAAGTTAAATCAGCGAGGATTCTCCGAAAGGGAAAATCAGACGAACACAGTTCCTATTAGCCCAGCAAAGAGGTTAGAATAACCATGTGCAACAAGTTCTTTGTTAGTATCGATGTCATCCTCGTTAAGGGATATGGCTGTTCATTAAGGTTCAGCAAGTGACCTAGCGGAATTCATCTGACTCACACAGTGCCGGAACATTCAGAGGAGGATGTAAGATGTTAAAGAACAGGCTACACAAAAGTAAACAAACAAGCGCAGTCGGTCGTGTGATACCACTTACAGCGCGAATTGCGTTGGTAAGGTGTCCCAGAGTGGTTTGAAACGGACTTGCGTGAAGTCTGGGGCAAAGCTGAACGAGTATCTCGAAGTTGAGCGCAAATTGCACCTACCAAAATATCCATAGAACTTATACCATCCTGCCTCATTACCGCTCTGTACGTCGAAGACCCATCCGTTTTTTCTCAAGACATCCATGGGTATTCCCGCAGCCAAGACCACTACGTAGAAGATGACGGGGATCGCAATAAAATCTGGTCACAAGAATGGCGTCAGTTTAATGTCCGGTCAGTCATCTGACGATGCGGTACTCACAACCAACAAAGATGCCAGAGTTAGCTTCTCCGTCGCCACCTTTGTGCATTTTCCCGTAAAGCCACATCCCCACTCGCAAGAAAATTGCGAGGAACAGAGGTACTCCCCATAAGATGATGTTGTGTAGAGATGTAAACATATGAGGAAGCGGAGTGGACGTTGAAGTGGATGTCAGGGAAAGAGAAACTTCGAGCCTAGACGAGATGATCGCACGCAGTTCTATATGTAGAAACGCGTAAAAACGCACCCTGTTTCGACTAGAAAGGCACCAACGCCTCCAATACACCTGAACATGGGATCAGTCTGGGAACGGCGTGATCTCAGGTGGTTACGAAACATACCCGACGAGAATATGTCTCGGGAAGAAACCAATAAGGGTGCCGAGCTTCAGATATCCTAGCAGAAAAAACGCGATGCCTGTCAACACAGAGCTTAAGGCATAGGACACTAGCGTTGTGGCTAATATTTCTGTGGGGGACTCGAGATCCGCCGAAATTGACAGCGCGATCATGTGAAAGAAGGGCTGAACGGGGGTCTCATCGTCAATGGAGCAAAAGAAACAGGGCGAAGGCGACTTACGACCACTTCAATCATCATGCTGCCGTTGGCACCTGGGAACTGACTTGCTCCAAGGGTATAGGTTAATTGAGCGGTTAATGTCGAAAGGAAAAACATGGATACGCCTATAGGCGCCATTTGGTACTCGTCAAAGACGCCTGAAGCTGGAAATATAATCATTCCGTCTAGATATTGCCATGAGCAGGAGGAGTAGTTAGTTATACATGAAACACACGAACACGAGACACCATCCAGGATGTTTAGAAGGCTCCCTAGAATGACGGCGGGGATGCTTTTGAGGGACGTCTGGACAGTTTCAAGCAAGAAAACAAGAACGCGGGGCTGTCCTTGGGATATACGGCTAGGCGCTTTTGGAATTGAATTACGCAGAGATTGTGCAGCGGGGGTTAAAAGAGAAGTTGTCTCATTGGGAGACGCAGGAGGGGATGGGGTGTAGGTCAAGTCAACCTCGTCTTCATTGCTCGAAAGCTGAACCGTTTTCGCGCGAATGGACATCTGGGTATGAGCAACTGAAGGGACGGATGAGGGACCTGGCAGTAACCTTTATATATCAAAAAAAAAAGATTAAAACGTTAACCATGGTCTTGTGAGCAGCTTCTATTACCCTCACCCTGCGCGTGAAAGAGGCGACTCGCCATTGAGCGACATTATGACCTGAAGACCTGCGCACGCGCACGTTGGCAAGCAGATGATGGCGAATGAACGTAAAACTCGGCAGTATTTAGCTAGAGAAGGTACGAAAGGAAGAGCTCTGCAAGGGGGCGTCGGCGTGCACGTTCGAAAGGTATGAAATTGACAGTACCTGTATACAGGATACCCGGAGGCGCACTGCACTCATTCCCGGAAGAGTACGGTAATAGATAACTTATCTCTGCGAGTGAGATGGCGGGAATAACCCAAAAAGGGGGTCCTCTTCAAGTTGTAGCCATTTCGATCATGATGTCATTCCGTATTTCACTCCATTTAGGGAGCAGCGACTAAAACATTCTTCCTCGTCAAAATTTGGGTGGAAATGAGCTGTAGGATATCCCGCAACTTAAATTTTAGCCAGGGAAGTGACTGGAAGAGAGATGATAAGAGTTGATAGCAAATGTCCTGTTTCGGACAAGTATGACATGACAAATTTCGCAAATTGCAAATATATTCGAAATAGTTACGCAACTAGTCACATTGTCACGCTTCTGCTCGATGTCGAACGCAGCAAGGGGGTTGCGGCCCGGCAAGCCGGCACATCGGGTTGGTCGGTCGGTCGGTCCAAAAGGTCCTTAAAAATTTTTTGCCCCCCTCTTGTAAAATAGCATCTAGAGACCCTAGACACTGCTGGAGGTGTTTATTTCAGCTGATATATGATATTCATGACCTAACATGGCCCAAAGAGCACTGGAAAAGCGGTCAAAACGATGTTGAAGGCTCAAAACGCCAATGGCATGCTGCCGGATATCAGCAGGATTAGTGAGAATTGAGTTACCGGCTGTAAAAATATTTGGTTGAGCTCAATGGATCCAAAATTGGAAGTATCTGTCATGTACAGTAGGACAGCGTTGTCGCTAGCAGACAAAAATCGTATACTATCAGCGTTTAGATCGAGGATGAGAGGACTAAGTAGGCGGAAAGCTCGCACTGGCGGATGACTCCGACACGGAGTGATTACATGATGTTTCCTTTGTGGGTATGTTTTTCCCATGGAGGTCGGTCTAGGGCTTCGCACCGTCACCGTATAATACGGTTGTACGGGTGCCATCGTACGGGTACCGTAACCATACCGTCGAGGGCTTGAGAAGCACCCATATTGATGGCTGTTGATGGCCGTGTGTACGGTATGTAGCCCTGAATCGCTGGGGAGTAAAATTTAGCTATCCCTCGGGGCTCAGAAGCTAAGTACGAGGTAATACCTTTCATTACCATTTATTTCCAGGCCATTGCAGACTAATTTAGAGGTGTTCTTGCATACTTGGGACTGATGACGCAACTGTACACCTGTTAGGGGTATTTCTTTATAGCGAGAACCGGTTCTCCAACGAGGGTGATGATGTTGAGGTGTATCAGAAAACAAGCTAGGTATGTTTTAATGACTACATGGTATAGTCTTATGCTAGTCTGACCTACCAAGCCCAGCTCCTTACATACGGCCGGACACACGGCCGTGACGGACGTACTCATACGGCCGGTACGCCGTCGACGGTTTGGAGCTGACGGCCGTATACCATATACGGTACGGTGGGAAGCCCTAGGTCGGTCGGTCGGTCGGTCCATCGAGGCCTTAAAATTTTTTTCGACCCAATATGATTTTTTTGGTTTTTGCGACCCCCTTGGAACGCAACGACAATCTGCCCAACATTAATTTCAGCATCAAGAAGAACTAGCCTGTGGCAACTCTTCTTGCATTTGGTGCACCATCAGTATCTAAAACCTGGACGACTTCGCGCTGCCGACTGATTCTCTGCAGTTCAACATGTCTTGCGACGAAGTCCGAATGCTTTGAAGAAGCCCTTGCATGCGACATAGTCAAGCATTCGTTAAGTGGATTTCCAAATGGCATTCTCATTATTAGAAGAAACTAAATCAACAAATGATTCTTGTAGACACAAACCAACTTCAGCGAGTCATGTCCGCACTCAGACTACCCCTCTCTGTGTCGACTACGGTACGGGTTCGAATGGCCCATCTTCGCTGTCATTCATAGATACTCCGATCATCAGTACGTTAAAAGTCCAGCCGTTGTGTTAAATATGTTAAATGAAGCTGTGGTGAAAACATGGTCACCCACCTGTGTACTGAGCACACAACCTAACACGTTGATGATCTGGTTGGTTGTATTTCTAGTGCAGCATCTGGCCGAACGACAGCTAATGTTCCTCTGATGCCACACTAACATTGCAGTGCATGCTACATAGACGAAATCAATCAAGTTACAGCATCTAGATACAAACGAGGTCAAACCTTTGGCTGTTAACCGCATATCGGAGTTTTCAGGCCGCAGCGTCATTCGGTATTCCGACTTCGAGGTTAAGTAACATCTGATCTACCATCACCATTAGTAGGCCCAAGGGCATAGCTGATGACACTCACACGGTTCGTCCGCTCCAATGAGATCATCGACGATCATGAAGCTCTCTGCTCTTGTTAGGACGAACGGTGGACACCGCAAAGCCGCAAACCCCGTGTTGACGCCTGCGACAATACCCTGATCTGCAGCTTCGCTAGTTCCGAGTCCTATTAGACTTGTAACCGATCCCTACATGAGCAAGTGTCGATGTAAGGGGCTTGTAAAACTGAATTTGAAATCATATACAATATGGTTAGGACTTTGCCGTTTAAGACTTGTAAGTTGTTGGCGCAATGCGTTTCTTCTCCTGCGCCCCTTTCCTTTACGACACTCTGCTTAACAGCGAGAAAAAACCTCCAGTACACTTGCAGAAACCCAACCGCTTCGTACATGGCGTCATCGAGACCGTGAAGTTTACTATGGGTATAGGAGTTTGGTTTGAGGTTATCTCACAGGATCATGGCAGAGATCATCTTCGTGCCCTTCAATCGTGCCATGTTACCTGTATCGAACACCATCGCTCAAGCCAGGGGACCATCTGCCATGAGCTGGTCATCGTTTATATACAGTCAGGCAATGACGAAGAAGTACGGGCAGGAAAAGCAGACTCGAGAGTTATGGTGATTGAACGGTTCAAACAGAGGTCGTCGTCTACAATGTCAGTATCCACAGTCAATTCTTGTCATTGCACTGTTGCTAACTAGGGTCAAGTGAGTGCATAAGGCATTCAGTGCAAGAGTGCAACTCGGGAAATGCTGACCTTATCACTATTGGAGCCGACCTCAAGGATGCCTGTCCTGACATCAACTCGAAGTACGGTCTCATCCAGAAATTTGATATACCACTTGGGAAAATGGACATAATCCATTGCGCTTCTCTTGGTCTCTCTATCATGCAGAGTGCAGAGAACTATAGTACCCTATACCATATGTGCCATTGGTCTGCGGCACTATTTTTTCATACTGCAAGGTCCCTGTGCATGGGAGACGACTCAGATGCATGTCTTATTGAGCATGGGCCCTTATATGCAGACCGTGGAAAGGTAGCATCAGTGCGTCTTGTTACGGACAATTGTGCTCTGCTTCCCGGTGGTGCACTCACTCTGGATCACATCCTCAAGCAAGTCCATGTTGGGATGATGAAGGAGGGGATGACCCAGGGATTTGTAACCGCGTTTGAAACAACTTTTCGAGCCGACATCGAAGCGATGGACAAAAACCCAGAGTTGAAGAAAGCACCGGTACAACAGATGCTCATCAGCAACACAATGTCTATGACTGTCCGGGGTAATCTGGAGAAGGCAGACTCCTGTGAAGTTCGGGAGCATAGGGTTGCAGATCGGGAGAGGGAGGTTGCAAAGAGGGAGCAACGGCTCACACGTGCACTTGAGAACCTGGAGTGAGCTTGAGGAGGCCACTCACCAAAAGACTAAAGTTGGGTCAAGTGGACTGAGTCTAACTTGGATTAAATTGTATTGGAAGGTATATGGATTCTTTACAAACTAGGTAGATACACCATTTCTTGCTTTCTATTTACCTACAGCTTTGATAGCTACTGTTAGAGATAGGCATAAATCTAAGGAAAGTGAATTCCTGAATGGTGTTCTCATTATCAAAAGAAACTAAGTCAACAAATGATACTTGTAGATACAAACTGACTTCGACAAGTCATGTCTTCGCCGCTGGCACACTCAGGCACCCTTCCGAGTCTGTGTTGACTACGGCGCGAGTTCGAATGGCCCACCTTCGCTGTCATTCATGGGCACTCCGATCATCAGTACATCAAAAGTCCAGCCGTTGGTGCCATACTTAGGTAGTGCTAGTATTCCTCATGCAATCAGCTCTGTGTCTGTAGTAATTTCAAACGTTGCACAACCCATTTCTGAACGTCAGAGCTGTAAATGAAAAATTGCAAGTCTTACCCTCTGAGATGGACATGACAGCCTGTTCAATAAAGCGACGTATGGAATCCTCGTCGCGTAGAAATTCGGTGTCCTTGGGAGAAAAATCGTATCGTTGTCTTCTCAGGTTGCGAGAAACACTAGACGTACTAATTCTACACCATCGGGACGTTCATGGCGTATAAACTTCATCCAGTCTTTATCATGGGTGATCGCAACGTCTGCAATTGGAATCTAAGACACCAGTGATATCAGTCAGACAAGACTGAAGGTAAATCAAACTGTTCACATTTTGGAGAATATACTCATTTATCTTGGCCGATGGATTGTAGACCTGAGGTTTATCTTCGATTACCTCAGCCTCTTGCGAGAATCTCTCTGGGTCTTCAACGTCATCAGAGGAGTCAGTATCATCCTCGCTATCGTCCTGTCAAAAAGAATAACCATCAAGCATCGCCAGAAAGCGAGGAAGATATAACATCACCTCTGCACCTTCTCCGTACATATCCATATCTTCTACTGGTGCGCTATAGCGACTCTCGACGCCATATGGAACCAACGGAACGATCAGAGGACCTTTCGTCTTGCTACCATCGATCGAAAAAATCTCCACAGCACCAGTTGTCTTGTCTTTGAGCAGTTGCTCCTGGATCATCGGTTTCTCTCGCACAGATATTGAGTATGCACGGAGAAAAATTGCTTGATTAGGATCCATCGTGTCCTTCCGATGATTACAGCGAGAAGGTCCCGTCTGAAACATCCATTCATGCGAGATCGTTCCTCCAACCTCGGCTGCTCCAACGATAGAGAAAGGCGAAGATACAGAGCCATGCGTAGGAGGATGAAAGCATACCGCTTCCCATGAATGAGATTTGTCACATCCTGTGACGAGGTATAGAGATCCATTACGCATCTCTCGGCCCTGCTCACCATTGAGATACTGGTACCAATATTGGGCATACTTCTTCGCGTACTTGTGAAGTTTAGCCTGAGCAGATTGATTGGCATCGTAGCGCACGGCACCGTCTGGGAGGACTAGGGCGGCGCCTTGAGTAGAAGAGCAAGAGAACGTGAGACCAACGCCTCCGTCGACGCCGGAGGTGAGACTATCAGTAGGGATATAATTAATACACTGGCAGGTATATGTAACGCAGAGAATACTCACGCCCCTCCAGTGGACGCAGTTTGTTGTATACCAGGCGTAGTCAATGTATGATGCTCTAGGTGTAGTTCTTGTTCTCGAGCGGAAGGACCAGAAATCTCCAGAGGCTCGAAGATAGGGGGCACGCGGCCCTTGTAGATAGGATCATCAGCGGATGCGTAGACATTGAAAAGGTAGGCGAACGCTCCGCGAACAGTGATGTATCCAAGATCGCCCACGCAAATTCCTTTGTCTCGACAACGGAGAGGAAGGTTGAGGTCAGGGTCAGGGAACCATAAAGGAAAGCGGTGATGGTGATCCAGCATTAGAGGGATGTAGGTGTGTGCCATGAGGGTAGTGAGTGAAGGGAAGAGACAGGGAAGATGCTCAAGGGAATCGGGCTACTGAAGAAGCGCCCAGAATGTTTCGGTTCGGAGAAACAACGGCCTCTGGACTGAACTGCGAACACAGCAAGCCATACCTTCACGCACTGTATGATTTAATAATCCCAGCTGATCTTCTTCCGACAGCGTAGGTTCTTCGTGGAACCAAGAAATACGAAAAGAGCATACTACCTTACCCTCCGTTGTGAGTTAACAGGTGTGGTTGAGCCCTAGGAGTCGCGGTCAGGAATCAGGATTAAAGGGGGGAAGTAGGTGGGTCGCGGCGGGAACGTACCTGAGGTGTCGCGACCATACACTCAAAAGAGATTTCCATACGCGTCAAGATGAGGAAGTGTATCAACTAAGTATTATTTATATAAATCACCACGAAGTCAAAAAAAGAGACTCTAGACAAACATACCGTACTTTGGCTACACCCTTTCCTCTCTTAAGCATCGCAGAATGCTATGGCAAGCTCATGGGAGCTGAAAATCAACGAGCTTTGGGAGAGAAGCACATTTTTATCCTCCGAATACGGTCAGTGCGATGTAGCTACCGTCCATCATTGGACGAGCGCGTTCTCGTCTATTCGAGGTCCGTTTGATATATGACAAGACTGGTAATGGCGCTTTGCGTGGCATCCTTCAGCTGCTCTTTCATTTTCGACTTTCGTCGGAGATTTGGTGACCAGAAAAAATGAGAGAACGGCCTCAAGAATTGTACAGTCAAAGAAAATATGATGGAGCCTAAAAACCCCGAGGGCCTGCCCGCGGAAACAGCCGAAATGCCTAAGCAATGTCACATTGTCACGTCTCTATTTGGTTGGCCAATCACTTTCCACTTTCTATTCCTAGGCTTGCCCTTGACGATGTCGACGACTATCAACCTCTATCCGCTGTCCAACTTTACTTTCAGCACAAAGGAGGCCCAACCAGAAGAGGACCCGTCGGTCTCTGCACGTCTGCAACGACTACAGAACAACTATGAGGACTTTGGTATGCGCAGGACCGTCGAAGGCATCCTCGTCGTCCACGACCACGGCCACCCGCATATACTCATGCTGCAGATCGCAAATGCATTCTTTAAACTGTAGGCGACTTTTCTTGTTTATTTGGTGTATCTTGACGCGCTACTAGACCAGGAGACTACCTCAAACCCGGCGAAGATGAAATTGACGGACTAAAGAGGCGCCTGGACGACCGCCTCGCGCCACCGACTGATTCTCTGCAGTTCAACGCGTCCCATGGAATTGACAATGAGTGGGAGATAGGTGACTGTCTCGCGCAGTGGTGGAGACCCAATTTCGAAACATTCATGGTGCGTCTACTCAAACCTGCCTCCCAAGTCTTGCTCATTTTGTGTCAGTATCCTTTTATTCCGGCGCATATAACGAAGCCAAAGGAGTGCAAAAAACTATTTCTTGTTCAGATGCCTGAGCGCAGTACGTCTGGTCCTCCAGGATCGACATTTCTGTACTGAAATTTCCCCTTGCAGAGGTGCTTGCCGTTCCAAAGAACATGAAACTCCTCGCTATTCCACTCTTTGAACTGTACGATAATGCTGCTAGGTGGGTGTTCTATTGGAATGCATATAGCGAGTCTCACTTTTTGGACAGATATGGTCCCCAGCTTAGCGCCATCCCACATCTGCTATCGCGCTACAATTTCATCTACCAATGAGCATCGGCGCTTCGTCTGCCGTTCCCTCCTTCGTTGCTTTGCCGCCGTAGCCCTATCTGTAAAAGTACCTCTCGTGTTGCTCTTCTGGTCTGTAGAATTTTTTGTAATTTGGAAATTATCAGAAGCCGTGTTGCACTGATGACACTATACTTAGCCCCCGCGTGAATTTAGAGTGCCCGGCTTCTGAGGGAAGAGTACTTTTGCAAAGCCACAGATGATCGCGGGTACAATCCTATCTGCCGAACTCATCGCCATCCTTTCAGGATGCTATAAGTCTTAGGCACTGAATTTTTCTAGTATTGTCTCCATTACTTATCCTCGTATCTGATCTTGCTAAGGAACAAATCTCCCACAGAATTTCCCAGCCCAGGCAGGAATGGTTTCCTCACGACGTACGTTATTTTTTTCCGATCACGAATGGTCTTTTGCTGACTTCAGCGGCGAATGATAGCTTCCTTTCGATATGAGTCGCGCGCCAAGATCGAACGATGGTTGAGCCACTGCCGAAGAGTTCAGAACGGGTTGTCTTTGGCCATGCTCAAACTTGGTTCCGGTCTTTGTCTTACGACATCTTGGACACAGACATGGTTACACAGGTCACATCAGTCGGTAATTCACGTAAAACATATTCTTGGGCTTTTGACTTCCTTTTTTTGACCAGTGGGTCCGAATCGGGTGGCTGGTCTAAGCACGATCCCGAAGCATTGCTCGCGTACCATGACCAAAAAACGCTACTGCCACCCAAACATTGTTATTTGCCACGTGAGATAGGACCATGGGCCATATAAAAGATGCGCCCTCCCGTCTCTATTATCTTTCACCCCCCCTCAGCCTGTGTTGAACGCAGACTTCTCTATACCCTCCCTTACTGACATGGATTCTTCAAGTCTCTCCCTCTTCCCCAGGGTCTGGAACATGTCCATTCCCCACAGCTCTGCCCGGCCCGTTGCAACTACCCGCCGGCGAAGCAATGCCATCGAGACGACGTTCCAATTCGACTCTACCAGCTCGGCAAGTAGTTCGCTCAAGTTTGACAGTCCAATCGCTGTGAGAGTGGCGGTCACCGCGTGAGTTTCCACCTTGCCTTGATTCTCATGAAGCTCACGGACTTCGTCAGTCCTCTCAGCAAACCCGTACCTGACGGACCGAACGACGCGCCAGTTCTGCCCAACGGCAGGGTTCAGCGACCTGTGGAGACGCCTCACACTTACTCGGATCTCGATAGCAGGCAACTGGACGATGCTGACTTCTGGAGCCCCCCTGATGCTACGACGACTATCACCATCATTGAGCACGGTTCGACGGATGAGGACCACTCTCCACCCTCTCGCTTACTCTCAGTGTCACCCATTCCCGAGGACGAAGTGCCACCGTCTCCAGAACGTGTCTTCAACTCCGCCGACGCTCTCGTGTCGAGCTTCAACCGCCACTCGCAAACGTTCGGATCACGAGTGTTCTACCCCATTGACCCAGCTCAACAGATGGCGGCTCTTCTGAATCCGGTAGAACTCACCGAGCGCCCCTCAACGCCTGTTCCCTTGGATGAAGATTGCGACGACGAAGATGATGCTCCTTCGTACCTTCCATCTTTGCTGCCGCCTCGTCCTACGAACCCTACGGCTCACGCTCAGTTCGACGATGATGAGTCCGACGATGACTATTTGGATGATTTTGCCAGTCCTGGGTCTCCTTCCGTGGCCGCTCCATCTTACGCGTATGTCGATAGTCCAGTATCCGACAACGGTGATGGCTCAAAGGAAGAGGGCTGGGACGCTGATGACGAAGACGACGAAAGTTTAGCAGGGGATCGTGATCTTGTTGTTGCTCGAGCCCTCAACTTCGACGCTCGCCCCGAATCTCCGTTGAAGTCGTTCTTGGATATGTCAGCTGAGGATTCGGACGAGGAAGACGAGGATGAATATCTCTTGTCTAACCGCAAAGCTCTCGTTTTCGATGATGAGTTTACGGGTGACCGGGCCTATCAGAATCGGCGCACTCCAGACCTCATGGAGTCCGTGCTCGACAAAGCTGACAGGGTATCGCGCGCCGCATCAATCAGCGAGCACTCATCGGATTCAGAAATCATCTCGCGCACAGACGAGCTGTTCGCCGTAATGCGGTTCCAGCAACAGCACCCTCGCGAATCCAGTCAACTTCTGCTCGACGATGTCTTCAACCCTGACGTCCGAGTGGATCTGTTCACTCACCCGGAACCGGAGCAACACCCGTACAGCACCCAGGACTCGTATATTCTCCCAACGAACTCGGCTACCCAGCAGTTCTACGCGTGCGAGAATCCGGATCACTTCCCCCACCTCCAGTACGAACACTGCTGCACGAAGTCTGTCCACCCATACCAAAACCATTCGTTCGCGCCGTTGCCACCGAAGAGCCAGCCCCAGGAATCAACTTCTTCACTGCCCTCGTCGAGGAGGAGCAATCGGAGCACAGCAGGTCGCATTGTTCGTGGTCTCACGAAGAGCCTGCGCGGTGCTCTGTCGAAGGGTCCCAGCAACACCGGAAGCGGGGATGGCAAGGGGAAGAAGAGGATGAGGTCGCCTGATTTCGAGACCTCCGCCGACTCCTCGTCCGCTTCTCTCCTCCCACCTTTCCGTCTCAAGAGATCGAAGAAGTTCTGAAATGTCATCATGTTCTTTATGCCCTCTGTACGTCGATAATGCTGGCTCTGGTAAGTATGTAAATAAGTCTGGTACCTATTTTTCCTAGTTTCTGAGCCCTTTCCTGTCTTGTAACATTCCCTTTACATCACTCATTCAACCATTACTGCATCGATTCTTAATGTATATATTACTATGTGGCATGAAATTATGACTTCTTTATCGCTAATTATTTGATCGTGATCCACGCGCGCGGCAACGCCACAGACGCGTCGCAGCATCACGTGGCCACGAGCGCTGTTGGCTTCCGCTTCCATTCAAGGTTACGTTGCGAAGCCGTTCTGGAAGATTCCTGAGAGCAATCGAACGGACACCCCAGTTACTGAGTTTTTTCATCGTCTTCTCCAAGTTCAACGAACATGCCTCTTCTGTGCGTTTTTTTTCCCCTTGCGATTCTATCAGTCACTCATTTATCTGCATAACAGCCCAGATACAGCGCACGACTTGCTATTCCGCGACCTCGCACCTCTCGACTTGTACAACTACTCCAAAGCCAACAGAGAAGCCTACCAATCCATCGCCTCCTTCCGCAAAAGAGCCTACACCCTCAACAAATACCTCCTCCCCTATTTCACCGAAGACCAAATCGCCTCCTTCCGAGCCCTGCAGAAAGAGCTCGGGATCTTGATATCGGGATCAACCGCGATTCAGTTTTTCGAACACGATGCTGGGGAGTACGAGGACTCGGATTTGGACTTGTACGTCAACCACAGTCGGTGCTACGAGGTCGAGGCGTTCCTGCGCAAGGCTGGATACCGCTTTCGGCCACGGAAGTCCCAGCAGGAGACTTTTGAGGCTAATGCTGGACTCGTTGATTGGCTGATGAACTTCATTTTCTTCGAGCCCACTTCGTCGTATGCGAACCCTGCTATTGCGGGTGTGTTCGATTTCTACAACGCTGCGGATAAGAAGGTCCAGTTGATCACCGCCAAGTATGCACCAGTTGATGTGATCCTGCACTTTCATTCTAGTAAGTTCAAATCCCGGATTCCGATCCTCCTCAGAACGTCCTTAACGAAATTTCGTAGCTTGTGTGATGAATTTCATCACTCACTCCCATGCCTGCTCACTTTATGCTCGGGCTACATTCGGTGAACGACGCTCTGTTCCAAGCCGGGCAAACAAGGCCCGCGACGTCGAGGCCCGAAAGAAATACCACGACCGTGGCTGGAAAACGGTCGGGGTGGCTCCGGATGATCCCGCCATCGAGTTCCACGACATCTTAAGACGAGTCGGGGATAAGCATTGTTGGGTCATCCCCTTGGACCATAACAACGAAGAGGATGATCTCGTGAGGATTCATACTTGGAAAATGGACTTTTTCAAGAAGAAAGGCCCTCTGATGAACTATCACATTTTCCGCTCGCCGCATTTGGCCAACAAGTATTGCGTCACGGAGGAGGTGGCTGACATGATTGCGAAAACGCCGCTGGGGTATGGGAACGATGAAGAGGATCAGCCGCATGATACTGGCGCTCCTAGTTGGTTGGTCATCGATACTTTGGTTCGCTACGTCCATCTTTCTGACGATTGTCCGACAGGGATCATGACCTTCTGCAGCTAGTAAAGAACCTGCTTGATGAGGATGTCGTTCTTCGCAGGCACACTGGGGAATCTGAAGATGTCCAACCTAAGCTGGGGCTACGGATGCGAGACGTCTTCATCTAGAGAAATCTGCTTCACTGGAAAGTAAGACAGCAGATGCAGTCAGTTGACTTATCTATTTACTATCTATGATTAATAAAGGGCGGATCATGCTTCGGTATGTTTTCCATTCGCTAGGCGAGCACCGTTTCTTGTTAGCGACTTTTCTTTTTTTGGTCCGAAAACAACTGTCAGACGCCAGATCAGTCATCTCGTGCTTCAGACATGAAAGTTGCTACACCACTGTCGGTGACGAATGTACCGGTGTTCTTGATGTTTCTATGGCGCCCTTCGTAGGGGATGGTGCCGTCATTCCATCCTCTCCTTTCCTTGGGCCACCATTTCGTCACGTTAAGCAACACAACGAACTGTCTCTCATAGACTTTTGTTTGGTGAATCGTTGATGTCTCTTCCTTCTATGGTTATTGGATCACTCTTCCGCACCTTCACCGCAAGACTTGACAAATTTATATGTAAGCTAAATACTTTTTCAGGCGCGCGAGATAAAGTCGTCAGCCGTAGACAGACGCTACATACACACTACACGGCTCGAAATCGGCACGCCAAACTTGCCGCCGGTAAACCCCAAAATATCTCGGTTGATACTACGGAAGAGATCATACGCGACCAGTGGAATTCAGCCCTGCTAGTCAATCAAACAACTCGATGGTCCAGCGGCCTCAGTGTTTCGACTCCTACTAGAAGGAACATGTAAGAACCCGAAGGGAGCTTATAGAATTCAAATATGACATACCGAGCAGTGTGAGCACCTGGCATGCTATCCTGGTGACCTACGTTATTGGACGAGGAGTGGACTGGGTCTGCCGCACTAACTCTGTCCACTATAAGGACACCTGACTCCAATGGCTCGTCTTCGGCAGCTTTGAGACCCCATCGTGGGCGAGCAGCCAAGTTGCGTTCCTTCATAATAAGATTACCGACAGAATTGGGAGGTATGACCTTATTAGTTGATCAGTAAGCACAGAGTACCGCCAAGAGTCGTGAAACATATGTAACTGACAGCGCGCTGGAACGACCGGAGAAAATAATGTTTCTCCGCAGCGTCCAAAGTGTGGTTTTTGTTAGCCGGACAATCCTTGATGATGACTCTCCGAAGCTCCAGCCATAGCCCGATGTGCGTGATAACTTCTTGGTAAAGTGAGTTTCGAACAGGGATAACTTTGTTCAATAACAAAGCAGCATCTGAGATGAGGTCATCAAACATGCAAAGACGGACGAAACAATGAATTCTCACTGCCAAGATACGATAGGGCAGAAATAACCGTAGCACTAACGACTGCTACCTTGAAAAGGTCGGAGAGTTCGGGTATTATCGCACTCATAAGGGAAATGGCGATTGTTCCGACCGCCACCATACTGGCCACGATTCCACAGAACGGTTTTCCAAGCCGGGCAAAAAGATTGGATACTCCACAGGGCTAACAATGCAATCAAACGCATTCCATATGAATCAGTAAAGTCACGTACCGAGTTTTGAAGCTGGACTGAAATAGCTTTAGTGTGATGATAAATCATACGGCCAAATGATATGTGCTTCTGGTGTAGGGCAAGAAGATCATCTTTATCATAATCCAAGACCTCTTGACAAACCGGTCTTAGCTCTCTGACAGCGGTCATAATAGGCTCGACAAGGTGGAGTATCTGTTCGAGATCCTTTTGAACACCAATAAATCTGCACGTATATCAGAAGTGGATATGCTAAACGACTCGGTAATACACACAAATAGTTGTCCGCGGTTTTGTTTAGATATACTTCTATTGCTTCTATTTTTTGGATGAGGGCGATACTTGGAACATAATCCAGGGGTATATCTGTGTGCAGAAGGGTGTGCACAAACTTCTCGTCCAACGCTGAGAGTCGGGGGGTGATGCCGTCAGCGGAACTGGGATACTGACCGTAATCATACTTCGTTTGCTCCTGGGATGGTCGTTGGCCTCTCTCTGCTGGTTTTGAGCGTCTGCTGGCCTCTGTGTGTGTTGCATTTGAGCGTAGAAGATGGGCACTAGCAAGCCTGATTTGCACTGAAAAATCGTACGCAAATAGGGCCAAAGTATACCGGGCTTCTTCCTTGACTTCGAAGATACTGGAAGATCGGGGAAGCCTAATAGGACAAGATAATCGCAAAATCTGTCAATTCCTCTTTATCTCGTGAAATGATAAATAATAGTTGATACTGGTACACCTGTGTGTTTATGCATTTCATTGTTCGCCACTATCTCACTAGCAACGCCTGCGGAGAAATGAACACTCAGAAACCGGCCAGATTAAACGGGACTAGGTTTACGTACCCAGATAGGTACACCTCCAGATCAGGATGGCAGCGCAGACCAGACAGCGAATCCGTCACAGAAGACAAAGTGGCTGACAAGCACCAAATCAAGTCTGGGCGACCTTGATGCTGAGAAACCCATTCCTTGTCTTGGAAGCGCATTTGAACGAGGCGCGAATACTGCTCGACACAATCGAGGCAGGTCATCATTGCCCTACATGAATTATAGAGCGAGGAAATGATATCTGGAATGTCATCGACAAGGTCGATCCGCACGGACCAAAACCCCGGGATATGCTTGATGAAGCGAAGGAAGGTCTCCAATCCGCATGGCCCACGGAGTGTGGACACGAGGGGCAGTTCGATCCTATCCAAGTTTCCTTTGATCGCAGGGACGAGCTCTTCCCTCGCGAGCCTGCAGGTATTCCCAATTTGCAGGAGGTCGTCTTCGAACATTTTATATTCGCGCGCGCCCATTCCATACCGTATAATCCAGTCTGCATAGAACAGCACGAAATCGAACTTGTCTATGATGAGATACGCAGTATTGTCAAACTTGGCAGCGAGGAGGCATATAGGGGTGATTATAGAGAGGGCTGTCGATGAACCGGCGTCATCAAGATGCTTGACAAGGTACTTTAGAGTCTCAGAAAATGTCCTTCCAGAATTTAAGAGGACTGAGATTACAAGGGGGATAGAGGGTAACTTGTTAGATCCTGACATATGCGCCGAAAGAGGTGATTGCTAGCCTACGTTGAACTTGATTACGAATTAAACCGGAACCATGTCCGGTTTTTGCCGATTCCGGAAACAAACTATTGTTGGTCCGTTTATCACATTTATTCGTTTACAGTCGCCTCTGAATAACCCATACTTGTATTAACCCACTCTGTTATAACCCATAGGTTTTTTTTGTTAATTGAACCTTGTTCACAGGAGATTTTAAGTTCACATAAAAGTAATGTTTTATCACCGACTTGTTAGTATGGCTTAGCAGTAGGAAAATCGGAAAATTGGGAAATTAAGATCTTTTATAATTTTATTGTGCTTTGCACGTTCGACCCCTTATGCAAACATCTTTTTGGCAGGAATGGCAGTGCAGTCAGACAGGCAACTGGGGACTCTGCCACGGGTAGCCGGCAAGCAGCAGCTCGACTTGTCTAGACGGTCTCGACACAGAACAACCCATTTCTTGGCTTGGAAGCGAGCTTGGATGAGGCGCGAATAATTCTCGACACAATATTGAATCTATCATTGCACCTCATGAAGTATAAGCGTAGAGATAATATCTAGAATTTCGTCGAGAAGGTCGATCCGCATGGACCAAAAACCGGCAATTTGCTTTACTAATACACGGCGAAGGGTCACGAGGGACATTTCAATTCTATTCACTGTCAGGTACTATTTCTCGATGGCAGGGATGATCTCTTTTCTTGCGATCGCAGTTTGGAGAAAAGCAGCATTAAGAAGGCCGGTGTCATTCTGTACGGTGTGTACAGAGCGCATGATTGAACTAGCAAGTAGCACTTTGCGGCGAGGCAGGGCGTCATCAAGATGTTTGAAGAGGTATTTCAGAATCTCAGAGAATAATTTGCTGGATTCTAAGACGACCCACTGACGCTGATTATAGCCTGGCGAGTTCAGCTTGATTATATGATCGCGGGACTCGCCCACTGACAAGCAGCAAACATGATGTATTGGAGCTCGCAAATCGTCCTCCGGGTATTTGAAAGTTGAAACCAGATGCAGGATTGGATGGTAAGCTGGTCGAATGATTTAATACACGTTTTCTCAGGCTTCGGAACTCTGGAAGACCGAGTTCTTGGAGAACAAAGGCATGAGTCGGTAGGAATCCTAGCTGATGAAAGGCAGCAGAAAGTTAATTCGTATCACATACATTACACTCGAGCCTGACATCTCTCTCAACATACTCATATACAAAAACAAAGCAAGGGTTTCATATTCTATATCAGTGCTTGCCTCAGTGGCTGCCTGCAATAGGCCCAGTGGTAGCTTCTCCCTCTGATGCTTTCCCTTGTGCTCGAGCCCGGAATCACCGAGTCGGGGATAAGCATTGCTGGGTCATCCCCTTGGACCATAACAACGAGCGAAACGAAGAGGATGACCTCGTGGGGATTCATACTTGGAAAATGGACTTTTTCAAGAAGAAAGGCCCTCTGATGAATTATCACATTTTCCGCTCGCCGCATTTGGCCAACAAGTATTGCGTCACGGAGGAGGTGGCTGGTATGATTGCCAAAACGCCGCTGGGATATGGGAACGATGAGGAAGATCAGCCGCATGATATCTCGTCCGGGGCTCCTAGTTGGTTGGTCATCGATTATTTTGGTTCGTAGAGAAAGCCTAACGGTCGCGCCTCAGACATATGTCATTCCGAATAGATTGGTACCTGAGTACCCCTGGGACACAATGGCTTACGGATTTAGAATAATTGGACATTATTGTAAGAATACGCGCTACGCTCAGCCTTTCTCTGTCGGTATAGAGCAACAAGCTTATGATATTACCTGTAAGAATACGCGCTACGCTACGAGATGTAAGTAAGGCGATAAATACAAGGAATACGGAATAACTCACCTCAGCCTTTCTCTGTCGGTATAGAGCAACAAGCTGAGGTGGCGGGTACAAAATACGAGGTATATATACTACTCTAAAGTCCGAGGAAGCGAGGAAAAGTAAGTACTGACTAAAGAACGGAAATGAACTGGGAGTCGCAATGTCCAAGAAGCAGATCGTCGCAACGACGAGCAAGAAGTCGGGGTGACAGCGTGCGAGGCGCTCCCGAGGGCTTGGAACTCAACACTCCCCCTCAAGCCATTGAGAGGCCGAGCTCTGACGCGAAGTGCTTGACTTTGGCGGACGGTAAAGCCTTGGTGAGGGTGTCAGCAACCATTTCGTCCGTAGGACAATAGACAAGGCGAATAGAGCCGTTTTCGACGATCCAGCGAATGAAGTGGAATCGAACGTCGATGTGCTTGGTCCTCGCATGGTACTGGTGGTCCTTGCTAAGTGCAATAGCCGATTGGTTGTCTGAGAACAGGGTCGTAGGCTTGGTGACAGGCGTAAAGAGCTGTGAGATGAGTGAACGAAGCCAAAGAGCTTCCTTTGACGCGTGAGTCGCTGCCACGTATTCACTCTCGGTGGTAGAAAGTGAAACGATTTCTTGTTTCTTTGATGACCACGAGATAGCGCCACCGCCAAGCAAAAAGGCATATCCCGAGATGGCGTGCCTGTCCTCGGCCATGCTACCATCAGCATCAGCGTAGCCCTGAACGCTGTTGTTCCCATCCCTCATCCTTCCAAACGTCAACCACAGATCGCGCGTACCACTTAGGTACCGATAAATGTGTTTCACAGCTGCCCAATGCTGCTGGCCCGGATTTTTCGTGAATCGGGAGACGCTCTGTGTAGCAAACGCGATGTCAGGGCGAGTACCTTGGGATACCCACATCAGGGAGCCAACTGCCTCGTGGTAGGGGATGTGGTGCATCTGGGCGATTTCTGCCGTTGTTGAGGGCGACTGGGAGGTGGAGAGGCGAACATTCGGGTCCATGGGGGTTGACAGAGGCCTTAACTCGTCGAAGTTGTATCTCTGGAGGATGGAGATGATGTACGATCGCTGGGAGAGGTGGATGGTGCGTTCCTCACGGTTCCTCTTGATTTCGACGCCTAACAGCCAGTGCAGCTCGCCAAGATCACTGATCTCAACGTAGGAGGACATTTTGCGCTTGAACTCGCGAACTAGGGCAAGCGACGAAGCTGCAATTGTACAGTCGTCAACGTGAACCAATATAATGATTAACTTTTCTCCATCACGTCGGAAAAAGACTGCCTGATCAACGTCACAGCATTTTAGCCCCATCTTTTGAACAAGGATCTCGACGAGCTTCTGGTACCAACGTCGACCCGACTGCTTCAAGCCATACAACGTCTTCAACAGATGGCACACAAGAGACTTCGATCCTGGTGCGTGGAAGCCCGGAGGTTGCTTCATGAAGATGTTTTCCTCTTCGGTGAGTTCACCATTGAGATATGCGCCCTTGACGTCAATCTGATGAAGCTCTAGATCATGGGTGGCTGACATTGCGAGGACGGCGCGGATTGAAGCGAGCTTGGCTACTGGAGCAAAGGTGTCGAAGTAGTCGACGCCTGGTACTTGCGAGAATCCCTGAGCGACTAGGCGAGCCTTGTAGCGTACGACATTTCCGGCAGCGTCTTTTTTTGCACGGAAGACCCACTTGGATCCGACGATGTTGGCATCCTTGGGAGGCTCGACAAGCTCCCACGTCCCCGCATCCTTCAATGTCTGAAGCTCTTCCTGGATCGCCCTTTCCCATAGAGGCCAATCCGGACGGTCCTTCGCCTCCGAGAGAGACTTCGGCTCCAAAGCTTCAGCCTCTGACATCTCAGCCGCCATCGCATACTCGTCAATGAAGTCAGCAGCCATCATCCATTCGGCTGTACCCTCCCCCTCAAGAGTGGTTTTATCGGGGACAGTGGGGAGCTGGACACCTGAGGCTACAATGGGATCGGCGGGCTTCGCTGAGTTCATGCCTTTGCCATCAAGGATATCCTGGACACGTTGACTAGGCTTTCGGACGCGTTTAGTGGGTGCTTCGGGTTCGGGAATGGGTTCAGAATTTGCTGATGAGCTTTCAGCAGGTACAGACGGTGTTTCCGAGGAGACTGCTGGAGGTGTGGGTGCCGAGAAAGTTCCTGGTGAGTCGGATTTCGTCTCGGTGCAGTCTAAACTCTCCCCCTCGAGACGAGAAGTCGGCGAAGCGGTGTTGTCATAATACACGTTTCGTTCAATACTGACGCGTCTTTTGTCAGGCCAGTAAATGCGGAACCCTTTGCTCTGCTCGTCGAAACCCATCCAGCGGCCTTCCTTTACGCGACCACCAAGCTTATCCCCACCTTCAACACGGACCCAGACTTTTTCACCCCACTCGCGTAACCCCTTAAGGGATGGCTTGCGACCATAGGCAGCTTCGTATGGAGTCTTCCCATCAAGAGCTTTTGTAGGCGTGCGATTGAGTAGCCATACAACGTGACGTGCTGCTTCTCCCCAAAGGTACTTCGGGAGACCACTCGCATGCAACAAGGCACGAATTCGTTCCACAATGGTACGATTTCGTCGCTCCGCAACACCATTTTGCTGCGGAGTGTCATGCACGGTGAGCTTCTGGTTTGTACCTGACTCTTTCAGGTGGAGAATGAACTCCTTTCCCAGGTACTCTCCGCCACGATCCGAGTGCAGAGTCTTTATGCGAGCGCCTAGCTGAGTCTCGAGCCAAGCCTCAAACTCTTTATAGGCCTGATAAGCTTCGTCCTTGCTCTTGAGAAGGTGCAGTCGGGTAAATCGGGTGCAGTCATCCGTAAACGTTATATAATAACGGCGCCCGCCAAGAGTAGCAACCGGAGCAGGTCCCCAAAGATCTGAGTGAACCTCCTCCCCAATTTTCGTTGCTCTCTCTCCTTCCCGCACCTTCGAGATGGGCTTTCTCGTCGCCTTGCCATATATGCAGGCTTCGCAGAAGGTTGGCTCGTCAAACGAGGTCTCATCAAGCCGTACACCTGTGACAAATCCTTTGTCAACAAGTTTTCGAGCGAGGTCTGGGGATATGTGACCCATACGACGGTGGAACTGCATTAGAGTGATTTTTTCTTCCACCGCGTTTGCGCTCTCAGGCTCATGATCGACACGATAGAGGCCCTTTCCAACTTTAGGGACTTCTCCAACCAACTCGCCGTCGGGACCACAGATTGTGCACTTTCCACCAGCGAACGTGACAGAAAATCCATGATCATCTAGCTTCCCGACCGACACGAGAGTATAGCCCACCTCTGGGGAGTACAGAACCTCTGTAAGTCTCAGCTGCGAGGCATCGGATACACCATTCGGTACATCAACGGTCATATCACCCATTCCGTTTGCACTGAAATTTCCCTTATTTGCAGCACGGAATGTTTTCGGGGGGATTTCAATGAAGTTGGACAATTCTTCGCGATACGGGGTGATATGTTTGGTGCATCCAGAGTCGTAAAGTTCGCTATGACCCTTTTCGGTGTCAGCTTTGCTGTTGCTGATACTGTTTGCCTCTTCAGACACTGCAGCCTCAAGAACCTCCAGGAAGTCATCACTCTCCATGGACCTTGCACTAACCGAGTCTGAGTCAACACCAGCCAACGAATCAACATCGCTGCCACTGGCCCCAGATAACTCCTCGGTATCCCAGCCACAGCCCCAGGGACTATCAGAGTCCTCAGTCGACATCTGAAAACCAATCACCCTCTCCTTCGACCCCATCATCGTCACGGTCCTCTGAGTCGCCGAATGCAGACTCATCTTCTGAGTCGCTGACCACCTCAAGGTCAGGCACACTATCCTCAGACTCGGATGTGTCCTCGGCCCAGAACGCAACATCGCTGTCAGATTCGGCAGCGTTCGCAGATTCGGTCTTCTTCTGCTTCGGGCACTTATTCCTGAAGTGACCTGTCTCTCCACAGCCCCAACAAGCACCGCGGGGCTTCTTCGTACGTTCCTTCCCCTTCCCCTTCGACTCAGATCCTGATGCAGCCATAGCAACATCCTGATCTTCTGACTTCGTACCCTTTGCCTTCGAGCGGCGGGCACGTTCACGTCGTTTCCTGTCGAACTCCTCAACGATGGCATCGATGAGGATGTCGGGGTCAAGGGTGTGTGTAGAGCTGTACAGCTTAGCTGTGGCGAGCTGGTTTGCAGCGAAATTCGAGAGGTAGCCAGGGAGGGAAGAGATAATGGTTGACCGGTAGTCATCTGCACTGATGAGCACGCCATACGTCACTAACTCTTCGCGTTTTGTCCTTAGGCTGTCCAAGAACACTCTCACATCACCACGTTCCTCGCACTTCATATCCATGAACTGGTTACGAAGGTCCGTCTGCGCATACGTTCCCTTGTTCGTGTACTCATCAACAATAGCTTCCCAGCGTTCCCGCACCGTGGTCTTGGAGTGGACACGCATCAACGTCGAGTCGGGAATCTTCTGCGTCAGAAGAGACCGCGCTGAGCGTTCGTCCTTATCCCAAGCCTCGATAGCAGTATGCTCAGCCTGAGTAGGGGGTGATGACGCAGTCGGCCGAGGTGTGGTGCCGTCGAAGTGTCCCCAGAAACCCTTGGGCTCAACAGCGTCGCGAAAGCGGATCGAGAACACAGCCCAGTTTAGTCCGGAAGCATCAAGCTTGGGCACGGACCCAGGGAGGGAGTCGGTGAGAGACGTGGTAACAGACGAAGCCATGACGGAAAAATGGGAGATGAGACGACACAAGTGGGGAAACTAGCAGCAAATTGACAGAGTGCGCGGGGCACAATAACCTGTAAGAATACGCGCTACGCTCAGCCTTTCTCTGTCGGTATAGAGCAACAAGCTTATGATATTACCTGTAAGAATACGCGCTACGCTACGAGATGTAAGTAAGGCGATAAATACAAGGAATACGGAATAACTCACCTCAGCCTTTCTCTGTCGGTATAGAGCAACAAGCTGAGGTGGCGGGTACAAAATACGAGGTATATATACTACTCTAAAGTCCGAGGAAGCGAGGAAAAGTAAGTACTGACTAAAGAACGGAAATGAACTGGGAGTCGCAATGTCCAAGAAGCAGATCGTCGCAACGACGAGCAAGAAGTCGGGGTGACAGCGTGCGAGGCGCTCCCGAGGGCTTGGAACTCAACACCCAAAGCCACGAAATGACTCACATGATGTACCGGCCTGTGTCATCAGGCCACCCTACGGCAAGATAGACGCCCAGGAATTCAATTCCGGCCCGCTTAAAGACGATGCATTATTTCTGAGAACATGTATACATATTGAGACGGGCGCGCAAAGAAGAGAACTGCGAAACAGTGTGTCATACCTGCCCCTTTGCCCTTTGTAGAATCCTTAATATTTGATGCAAAAACTACTGCAAGGATATGGTGTTTGCTACAGTACAATTGCGTAGTGATATCACTTCCTTCCGGTATACCTTCTATCCCCATGCATCGATCTTCCCCCTCCTTCCCATCGATCTCCTTCGCTTCCCCGTGTATCCGGGATCCCAATGTCCCAATATCCCACCCTGCGCCCACGCCCCGATATCGCCTTCTTCCTGCGTGCGTAGCATTCTGCTTGAGACGAGGCCCGACGCCTTCGTAATGTTATGCGAGGAATCGTTAGTGAACCGAGAGGTATAGAAAAGATGAACGTCACAACAACACCCGCAATCCCCCTCATAAAGTTAGCGCCGCTCATCCTCGTTGCAGACGACAGCGCCAAACTGGAAGTCGAGCCCGTTATTGTGCTTCACATAGACGGCAAAAGTTTCCTTGATCATCCTCTCTTTCGAATCTTTTGCATATCGTCCACGCTGAAGACACGGCGTTCTCCCTCTCTGTGTCTTTTCCTGACGGAGCAGACGGTATAGAGTGAGGACAGTGGTGTTCATGACTGAGACGGTGACCCGGGAATTTCTGCGGTAGTTCCGAGGTGATCTTCAGTGTCGATGGAGCTAAGTTACTGTCAGCTTCGCATATGGGAATTCCGATCCAGTCGACGTACATGGCGTTAATGAGAAGACGTGTGTTGAGCGAGGACCACATCGCTTGATATCATACATAGGGCTAAAGACGCAGCTTTAGCATCGCACAAATGAGTTGAATGGTCGATCCGTACCTCGACCTTGGAAAGGCACTTTAGACATCAAAGTCGGGCTCGATACCCGGTTAGCATAAGGCAAGTCGCAGAGGTGACGGACCGGGGTCCTCTTCCACGTCTACGAAGGACTAGCTACGTTAATGATGGAAGCGAAGTGAATTCAGGTTGATTCCCCTTGTCTTTCCCATACAAATTATGATCTTCGTATGGATACAAAGCTGCCTGAGTATGAATGAAGATACCCGCACGAATTGACATCATGCTTACCATCGTCCACGGCCCCATCGTCATTCGAAACTCGTCGTCCTTTTCGGAATTTGCCAGGCCTTGAAGTCGTGTTGTTTGTATACTGCAGCCGCACATTAGTTCTTATCGTCGTATCGGGACCTTAGCTAGGCCACGGGTGAAGTGAGTGGCTAAAATTGCGCCAAGATGAAACATGCCTTTTCTTCCCTGCTGCTTGCCAGAGTCGGATTCTCTCCTCTAAGCATCAAGCCTGCAGATAGCCCCTTTCATTCGTTGTACGACGGAGCGCCACGCTCAGCGTTGTCGACCACGAACAGCACCTCCTGAAAATCGGTAAATCCAAGGGCCTTGATAAGGTATCCAGTTACGTCGCTGAGACAGTTGAGCGTAGAATACTTGAGTCAGGCCTCGGGTGTCATAGCTTCTTTGCAGTGAACGCTAGCTTGAGCGAGGGAGAAAGTTGCGCCAGAGGAGTTGTACCACCATCTCATCTCGGCACGGTACGCCGGACGCAAGGATACAGGTAACTGCACTACGAAACAGGCCTCATCCTCACTACCATCTAGTCAAGAGCTCACGATCGACCAATCCAAGTTGAGCCACCCAGACCGTTGTAGAACTTGAGCTTGAAGCGGATGAGAAAATATGCTGGCATCACGAACTTGCAGGATGCCCACCAAAGGACAGAGAATCACACCAAATCGAATTTTCAAAGAAGGACGGTAATACAACATCACACCACAACATACGATCAAGAGAGATCAGGAACCTCCCAATCAATCCACTGCGAATCCACAAACCCAAGGCCATTCGCCCCATCCGTCTTGATGATATTCGTATCCGCATCCTCATCCTTCAAGAACCTATTCACGAACGCGTCCAAATCCGGCTGCTCCTGACTGGGGAACGCACAATGCGAATGGTTCCCCACCTGCGAAACACCCATGAAATCGCCCACGCCAAGTCCCTGCCAAACCAAGTTGGCCGTCTTCTGACAACCCCAAACCGACTCGGGACCCAACCAATCAATCCCAGTGTTATCAATGACGAGAAGCGCACGGGGAGCGATGAGTCCCGAAAGCATATGATGATCAAAAGGCAAAGGGTCCACGCCAGATTGAGCAAAAGTGTTGAATGCAGTAGAGAACCAAACGTTCTCCTGAACGATCTCGCTAGCCGTTTGCGTGACGGTCCCATTAGCCAGCATCGAATCGGAAATCCTCCAACATCCCGCACCACCACTCCCCGATTCCTGAGGGATCGTCAACGCAATCCTCGGTTCGAAAGCCCCAGCAACAAGAGCACCCTTCCCGTTCCTCGAACAACCCGTAACACCAACCCTCTCAAGGTTGATGTTCGTATCGACCTGTTCCAACGCATCCATAATCCTCGCAACACCCCAAGCCCAAGCCATCATAGCCCCAGCCGAATGATTCGATCCATAAAGCGTAAAGAACTTTCCCTGTCCACGCGACGATCCATCATTCTGTGCCGCGATATCGTCGTTGTTGAACGAAAGAATCGCCACACCCGAAGGTTGAGGAAGGCTAAGGAACCCTCCAAAAACGATGAGAGCGGGGAAAGGACCGGAGCCAGAAGGCGTCTGAATCCCGACGTTGAAAGAGATCGATTGTCCGCCGTGGGAAACGTCGATGGTGAGAGTATTATTTCCGGAGAGGGTGCCGACGACGGATTCGGGGCGAGGTGGGAGTTCACCGAGTTCGAAACGTCGGAAAAGAGCGCTGATCTCGGCTTGACGACAGGTGAACTCGTCGGCGGTGGTTACAGCGGTTCCGTTGAGGAAGGTGAAGGGATCGGGGAGCATGCTATCGGGTGTGAGAGAGATATTTGACGGGAGGTCACCGCCTGTAAAGTAAAACAAGAAAACGAATGAGTCTACAGAATAATGAGATAAACAAGTGAAAACTTACATTGCGCGAACGCAGACGCGGCGAAGAGAAGAGAGGCGACAAAAGAGGTTTTGATAGTCATTGAGTGATGCAGCCCAAGAATGAACAAGGGAAGCGTCGCTGCTTTTGACCATGACTACACGATGCTTTTTATACCTGCTAAAGCTTCCCGTGCGTCTCCGTCAATCACTCCAAAAATAAGGAAATTTCCAGACGTTTCCATTTGTCCGAAAACTTTGCGTTCGACGTCTTCATGAGAACAACTGGAAAGACGAGCTCGAGGAAGGAAAAGAAGCTTTAAACCCGAGAAGGATGCCCAAGACCAAAGTCGATGCGACAAAATTAAGTTCCATGGGGTCTCGAGTCGTCATCAAACGGCCTCTAGAAAGACGGGATGACAGAATAGGAAGATTTCGAAGATCGTTAATCAGGTCCTACGGGAAACATCCATACAAACGCGCAAAAATAGATGGGAAAAACAATCGGCACGATCCACGAGAATGATCACGCGAGTTGGGGCGGGCGGGCCACGACGTGCCGCAACATATCAGATGAGGTCTCTTGAGCTGTCTTCGCCTCTATTGAGTCCCAAGGTTAACGCGCAATTGATGGTTAACTCCAGTTTACGCTGAAGTACTCCTTCAGGACGTCGGAAGCGTGTATCTCGACATTTCTCAGCGTGTCTCCACCAACGATCCTTGTCCTTCTCTAGTTCCTCTTCGTACCATCGATCTGCGGCGCGCTGGCGATCCTGAAGAGGGGAAGGAAGGTGCGGACGTTCAGAGAAGGTTAAGGGTAGGGAGGATCGGTGAATTTGGCCAACCACCGGTAATGATCGTGGTAGGCATAGTAAAGGGCAGCGTAGGACTCGACGACGGATGGACGACCACCGAAGAAGGAACCTGATGCTCTTTCGTCAACGATGTAGGCATGTGAAGAAGAAGACGCACCTTGGCTGAAGTCGACTTTGGCGTCGGCTGGTACTTGGTCGAGACTATATGGGACATCGGGATGAACACCAACTCTGGATCCTCCTTTCTTGCAGTATCACCCGTCCTCTCCACAGCCACAGCGGAGCGCCTTTTCTAGATCCTCAATCCAATGCGCCATACTCGCCTCCTGTCCAGTTACAGTTGAGCATATCCTGCTCGAGTCTGCCGTAGCTTCTTTGTAGTGCTCCTCATTGAGGACCTTGTCTCACGCTAGCTCGAGCGATGGAGAAAGTCGCACCGCCGATGCGAGGTGATGATGGTAAGAGTCGAGGAAACGTGGGAGTAGGTCACGATCAACAAACAACCCTGAGCCGCTGATGCTCCCATCCGACTGTCTCCATTTTCGCGCTACAAAGTAAATTATTAATAAATTGGCGGCGTCTCCTCCCTCCGTCAAGTGAGGTCCCAAAGCAAGGAGATTATATTATTCAGAAAAAGTAAAAAGGCTAGAAAACATGAAGCAAAAGAATAAAATACTGATTTTACATAAAAGCTCTGAAGAAATTTCTCGCGTTTCCAGGGGAAAAGAATTGCGGCCCAATCGTAATCTGCCCGGTGCTCGAACGGGAGGGAGCCTTTTCTCGTCCGTAAGCGTAGCCTCCGATCCAACCCGTTGCGGGACCGACAGCCTCAAAGACTCGTGCAAAACCTAGGTACCTGCTGTGGGTAACCGCAGCCCTAGGAGACAATATGCTGGAGTAGAGACGTCAGCACGAGAGAAACCAGGGGAGAAAAGGATATACCATAATGCAAACCTCGACTCGACGTCGTACACCATGGCTATCTTACTCAGCTGCAACGGGGGATGGTGGACGACGCTGAATCGGGCCTTGCACATCTTGAAGATCAGAATTCATATACATAGATGAAGATTAGCCCAACACGTCAGCACAAGGGATCTGTGACGTACTTTGTAGCACTACCTAAAGAAAAAAAAAAGGCTGCAAAAGGACGCAAAGCAGTACCGAAGAATCGACATGAGATCAAAAAAGGATGGAGGACTTTACGCACCATATGCTCTCGACAATCCTGCCCGCAGTGTGATTAGCGAAACACGTTGATGACAGCATACCTCGAACCATACAGCACGCAAGCACCTCCTCAATCCCAGCCCACTTGGAATAATGGCCGTCGAGCGACCAGCTCGCCTGGCTGGATGGAGGGCAGAGTCCCAACGCGCTTGCATGGAGGTGGTGGAAGCTTCAAGCTTTGTGTGAAAAGGGCGTCGGGTCGCAGGTCGTACCAATGGGATTAGGCTACGGCCAGCTCGAAACGGTTGCCGAGCTTGGAGTTACGGGTCGTTTGGGAGGGTTTGACATCCTGCGGGGGCTATCAACATAGGCGCATACATTGCAATCGTGCCTACCGTCGTCCGCAGCCCTACCCACTGTCATCCACCCGCCTCCATTTTAGACCTTTGCCTCGTCTGAGTCTGTGTCGAACAGAAAGGCCTTGAAGTCGCGCCATTTTGTTCGTTGCGCGTTGCCATCCGCTAGTAGGGCGATGGGGAATCCTATCAGAAATGTATAATCGGCGGTGAACTAAAGTGGTTCTTCCTCATAATCGGTTTCTCTCCTCTGCAACATTATCCAGTTAAGCCCGTAGACGGTCCCTTTCGTCCACCGCACAACGCTCGTAAATCCAAGGACCATCCAATTCTGTTCGTGTACTGCGGTTCCTTCTCGTCGCGCTCTCGCATGTGAGTTCTGAAGAAAGGTCGCGTGGCCGTTGAGGGTGATGATGGTAAGAGTTGAAGGAACGTGGGAGCCGGTACACGTCACGATCGGCGAACAATCCTCACCCCACTACGAGCGATGGCCCCCAAGTCTTCTCCTTCCGTACCTCCTGCACCGTCTACTAAATTGGCGACGTTTCCTCCATCCGATACCCTATGCCGTCAGTCCCTCCACTATGCATCCCGCCCGCGATCGCACCACAAACACCCCAACGCATGCACGCCCAGTCTCCCCAACTTCAAAAGGGTCATACGGAACCGCAAAGCAGGGATTGTCATTGAAACTACTAGCATACAGAAAACAATCATCTAGGAGTTATGAAGCGAAAGAATAAAGAGCTCTCTAAAGAAATTCTCGCCAAGTTCCAGGGGGAAAGCACGTAAGACCACCAACAGTCAAAGCACAATCTCCCCGATACGAGCAAGAGGGAAGGGCTGCTTCCCGTTCGCCCTAAACCGAAATGTGAATTGAAAGGCAAAGCACCATACACCATGTTCAGGCCTAATCCTACCTTGAGCATGGTCAGCAAAAGACGCTGATGCAGAGAGTCGACAACATACCTCCTAGCTGTCGGCTCAACACCTTCCGCATACGCGTCCTTCCGTACATTGTGGTCATCCCCTGCGCACGTCGATCTCCGCATGCACACCTCCTGCAGGCACGGTCCTTCATTATCCGAGTACCTCTGTCAGCCCCGTAAATGGACGTCTTGCCAACCGTGAGCCCCATCAAACACAACCGGCCGCCACAACTTCAGTCAGCTCATCGTTCACGCGTCTTTGTCACTGAGCGCTTAGGTTAGATAACCTGTCGTATCGAGCTCCACGAAAAAGGACCATGGACGTACGTCGAGGCCCAACACATCCCTATGCGAGCAATGTCATTAGTTCCCGCCGCCGAAAATAACCGCAATAGACACATCGCTTGACGGAGCACCAAGAGGAATTGAGGGGCGCGTTGCCGTGTAACAGTAGCAGGAAGGGCGGAATGAGTTCGGCTCCTTCCCTCCGACCGTCCCTACTCTCTTCCGAAATCCAGAAACGCGGTAAAGGGAAGACGTAGGTCCATTAACGGATTGGGATGGGAAGCAACATTGGAACGTTGACAATTTCTGAGAGAGCTGTGGTGGTACGAGCAAAAGCGGAAGTTGCCGTCACCCGGACTCGCTTCCCTTCTTACCCCCTCCTTCAGAGTTTTCACTTCGTCTGTCTACTCGCCTGCTGTATCTTCTCTCCGTAATTTTATTTCTGCGGCATTTATTCAATTAAAATCGCGTGTTTCTCTGCCTGCTTGTTACATATACCTCCTCCATCAATCTCCACGACGCGTCGCCTGTGACTGAGAGCGCTGGGATCGACACACAGTATCGAGACTTCGCACGCCATCCCTACAAAACTGAGTCTTCTATCTGCCAATTAACCTCAATGGGATTCACATCGCGCTGCTGCTGCAATATACGAACGAAATGGCAATGGCGCGACTTCTAAGAGGCGGAGAAGGATAAAGACCACGCGATTGGCTGACAGTGGAGCCCGATTGGAGCGACCACGACATCACAATGTGTCTGCCCAGTTAGCAGCCTCCTTCAGCGTGCCAACGACGAGCTCAGAGTCGAGCGTCTCCCCCTCGACGCGCCTTTACTTACCACTGCGCCCAAGCCTTCTCCCATACCTCCTGCACTCTCCGTCCTCACGGACATCTACTCCATCCCACGCACTACGCCGCCAGTCCCTTCGCCACATACACACCCCCTCCCGCAATTCACACCACAAACACCTTAACACGCACTCCCTCCTTCCCGTGTGCGCCGTTCAACTTCAAGTGAGGGTCATAGAATCACAAATCAGGGATTACCATTGGCACTACTAAAAGTTACGAAGCGAAATCATAAAAAACCGTTACCAGTCTGAGGAAACTTTGCTCGTGCCTCCAAGCAAAAGGACGCAAGAACTACCAGCATAATCTCCCTGTACATGCTCGAAAGGCAGAGACCGTTTTCCCGTTCGTGCCACAGGCCTACTCTTAACGCGCTGGAAAAAAAGGAATACCACACACTCTCCTTCAAGTTCCCGCACACGTCGATCCCCACTGTGTACACACACACTCCCCTCCTCCATACAAGCACGTCCTTCCCCTCCGTCCATTCTGTCAGCCCGGAAAATCAGCAACAACCGTACGCCCGCGAAATTTAGGAAAAACCTGCTGCCAGCCACGTACCGTTACATGAGTATGGTTCCCCTATGCTACGCAGTCAATGCATCGTTATGTCCGTAGCTACTACGTAGTCACCACGCGTCATGGTCACAGGAACACGATACGTTGTGTCAGCGGAAGAGGGTTGGATGAGGAGGTGCGCGAAATCATGTATTCCCACAAGAGATTCACACAAACGAGCTGTTAGGTAGCGATGTCTATAATGCCAGTATCATGTAATTTATTCACGTCAAGCAAGATAGGTAATATGAGTCCTTGTAATGACGCCCCACGACTTCATGGCCTCCTTGTACACCGGCATTTCGAATACCGACAACTTCTTTATCCTCTGATCTGGCAGTCTCCACCCGACTACCCAGCACAGCACACCATCCAATATGCATGTGGTGCCTAGCAATGTGTACGAGCCATCCGGTATCGGGTACTTGCGCACCTCTTGATAGCGGGGATGGCCTATACAACTCACGACGCCAAAATCTAAATATTGATCACCAAAAAACAATCGATCATAAAAGATGGCAAGACTCACGTAGTGACCTTCCTCTGATTCTGGGCGGACTTCGCCTTGAACACGATGCATCTTGCCAATGAAGTCGCTTAAAATCGATGAGAGATTTGATAAGGTTTCACCGATGTTTTCGAATTGGTTGTCTGAGGAAAACGCCTGTGAACAGAGAGGTTCCTGCAAATGTCCGCGCCCAATCGACGGCAGCATAAGACGGCTGAGCATGTTCGAATCGAGGAGACATGTCCCCTCTTGACCATCAAAGAGACAAGAAAAAGCGGTTTCTCTCGCAACGGCGGGAGCGACAAATTTTTGGAAAGCAGGACGCTTATACTATTGATACTGCTAGGTTACCAAAAGTAAAGATTAAGCCAGTTAAAGAATAGAAGTCGCTTTTGAAAAGTTTCATAAGTTTCCAGCGGCTTGAACAACTTCAATGAGATTACGCCGGGTTGCTCAGACATGAACAAGGAAAGACCCACTTCCGTTCGAGCATCAGAGACAGGTCGAGGAGATTACGGCCCTGCAAGCTACCACCGTAGGCCCTAAAATGGTATGAGCCTTGCGACAGCAAAACTACCTGCTTTGAGTAACCCTAATCTTAAGAACCTAGTCAAATTGTAACCAAAAGGCCCGGGGATACCAACCTTAGAATACCGTTCCTTCTTCAATATTATTAAAAATTTTGACCTCTAGACAGATGCCGACGCTCTGGAACAAAAGGACATCAGTGAGAGGAACCAGGTAGAGAAACGGTATACCATATGCAAAAACCTTTCAAGTTCACTACAAGACACGACTCAACACCGTAAACTACACCCAGGACTTCCTCCAGGGTGGTCATCCATTCAGCTGTCATAGTCCTCAAGGGGGGATTGTCTGAATCTGAGCAAACGACTTATCCAAAACCAACTACCATAACCAGAGAGAGTACGCTGATTCTCCCTGCATGAAGGGAAACTATCCTTCGATGAGAACGGGAACCCCTCCAACCCACTGTTCGTCCTTTTGTCATCTCTGATTGTCCCTACATATCGCTCCGAGCCAGAACGCAGCACATCGATATCTTGAGCTTGATGCCTTGGAAATAAAAGTGAAATTGATTCCACTTAATCCTGAGATCTGAGATTTTGACGAATACGGCTTCCCCGTATTTGACGTGACATGGCGAGTTGGAACACCACAAATTGAGAGAATCCAACAGGACGGTGCGAACAAAAGAGGAAGTTGCCATCACTGCAAACCCCGGGCCCCGTTCTTCCCCAAAGAGGAATCGACTCGTTTTTCTCCGCTCCCTCATCAACATCTGTTATACCTCCTCCATCGACGTTCGATGCCTCTTGCTAATGTATATGACCTTGCACGACGCGCCGCCTGTTACTAGCCAGAGCTTTTAACCGATGCCCCGATGCGCAAGATCACTGCGTCGCGGCTAATATCGATTCAATAGGTGAGTTCTCACCTACGTCGCACTCAAGAACACTGATGATTGATCTAAATTCGATTATTAGGCAGTACACGTTTTCTTTTAGGTCGTCACGATGTCCCGTATGAGCAGAAAGCGACTACTTTGGTCTGAAATCGAGGAATTCACCCGACTTGGTAAGTTTTCGTGTCTCTATATTATTGTTAATCGGACTTTTATGGCCACGAGTATTACAGTACACATATGCTGCCTTGGACATATAGTTGTTGTGAGGGCGCCAAGACGTGGCGTGCATGGCCTAACCCGCTGGAAATTGAAGCACAGATATACCTAACGCGTTGATCACTGCATTCCAAGGTTCACGCAATCAGGGTCGACCCGTAGACAAGCTTTAATGCCATGCCTGTGCCAAAATTCACTCGAAAGTTGGAACCTCTGTAGTGTGTCCATCATCCTCTTCATTGATGTACTAATACTCAACAACTTATCAGGTGAGATCCTCGTCAAATGAAGTACAGGGACCGACTGAACTTTCTGAAAATCTCAAGGCTTCAAATCTTCTTCTATTACGGAATACTGGGAGCGTTACACTGGGTGATAGCTTCAGTAATTCAGGCTTAAATATTGAAACTGAAAGATATTTATTTTTAGTGATTTTCTAGTCTAAAATATGGAAGAATTAAATTCAATATCTTTTTGATATTTCTGATTTTATCAAGATTTGAGGCAAATTTCACAAATATCAAAAAGATATTAACAAATTCTATTGCCTATTTTAGCCTCAAATATGATTAAAATAAATATCTTTTAAATTCAATATTTGAGCCTGAATTACTGAAGCTATCATGCAGTGTTAGACTCGAAACGACACAGAAAATCTGTTGAGATTTGAAATATGTTTTTCAGATCTTTCAAATTCCAGACAACTCAGGTTGTAATGTTCGATATCGGTGTGATATCTCATCAACAGGGTTCGTTCATCCGAGCTCGCCCTGGACTCTAGACCTACGCAAAATCCTTAAATACGAGCTAAATTTGCGCTGTCTTCTCATCATCCTGCTCATTCCTACTTTTCTCCCTTCTCAGCCCTTTTCTGCTTTCCTCATCTGCTCTCGCATCTTCAAGCCGTCTCTTGCCGTCATCTGACGCGTCCCCGGCGCGTCTCTCATCGTTGTGCGTCTCGTCGTTGACTTTGTCGTAGTCAATGGCTTTGGTCTCGTAATCGCCATCAACTTCTTTCTTCAGTTTTTTTTATCTCGGTCTTTCATATACGACCGATGAGCTCATTTTATTTCTGAGTATTTTAGTTCGAACTCCCTCAAGCTCAGATATAATGGTCGGATGGCCACAAACATCGGTTACCACGAACATGGTACGTCGATAGATACCTGTTATTATCGCAAGTTTAGCATTGACTAATCTGCATCTTAGCAGACGTCGACTCCCGTCGTTGTGGTGCACAAGAGGTATCGGACATTTGTTTCGTATCGGCGGCTCACGGTAAACTATCACTTGCGTTCTTTGTATGACTTCATCTTACACATCCCTTGCCTAGCTCGTTAATAGTTGTCGCCTGCTCCTGGACAGAGCGAGTCAGCTAGGTATGTGCTCGATGTTGCATTATCTTTTCTGCATGCTGATTGTTTCCTCCTCTTAGGTAGGATTTCATAACAGCGGCCAAAGTACCGAGTTGGAACCTCTAAACTGCAAAATGAAAATCGCATACACGCTGGAGGTCAAAAGATATGTTAAATAAGCATAAGAATACAAAGGTGCGAAATATTGTAATTCAACGAGCGATGCATATATATATATAAACAAGCTAATGGTTATAATTCTAGAATCATGTTCAAAATGTATTGTGAACATTTATTCATATCAAGCAAGCAACGTCGTATCAGTCCATGTAGCGATGCCCCGTGACAGCAATAATACCATTTGGCACATCGCCCACGTCCATTTCGAATACTGACAACTTCTTCAGCCTCCGATCTGGCAGTCTCCACCCGACTACCCAGCACACCCTACTGCAAGATTTAACCTTGGCGCCTAGCAACGTGTATGAGCCATCCGGTATTGCGTACTGATGATAGGCGAAGATCTCAAATATATACTCTGTTCCTGTATTGTCTTCAACAAGCTCTCCTGATCGCACACGTCGTTGCGAGTCTCCCTCGGACAATCCTTTTACAATGGCCGATTCAACAATGTATCCATTGCGGTATGAGTCTACATCTTCTTGCCGTCCAGATTCCAACAACCAATCTGCAAATTGCGGCGTTGCGATGGAAGTTCCTCGATCATGACCTGCCTCCATGATGGCCGCCAAATTTTGTTACCGTTTCCAGGTTTAGGATACAGGAAGAGCAAATCCCCCTGAGTGTGTTGTGCTGTCATATTCACCAAGGCTGCCCACACCTCTTCGGATTGCTTTCCGTAGTAAGCTGGTATAGAGTTTGAATTCAGAAGGTACGCCATCCCCGCAACTTTATCCACAGGATTCGTCGACACCCGTTTCTGCATCTGCAACAACACTTCATACACACGGTGTTGACCGTGTATCCTCCGCAGTGATGATAACTGCTCCTGGAATCTCCATCGTAGCTCCTTGTCGTCAGTGACCCCACCGATGATCGGATGCCTGCTGATCTCTTGCAGGGTCCATGCACGCTTGAACCAACACCGGTCACTCTCAAAGTTGTCAGCGTCGGAACTCAACGGCCGTCCCAGCCCACTCAGATAACACACCACTTTCTCAGCCTGTTCATACACAGATCCAATGGTGGGCACATCCGCTTTCCACTCCTCCACTCGCAGATCTTCCCTGCGGCCCCCTTTCTGTCTCAAACAGAGTACATCCAGCCACACGTACTTTGCTCCTAGATTGAGCATCTCAATCCGGATGTGCTCCAGGCTGGTGTCTTTAGGGATTGGCACTGGCCATTCGTATCCGTTGATGGGTGTCAACACATCCTTGCGGTCTTCCTCGTCTATCCATGCATGCGATATCCCCCATGGCCATCGCCGGACAATCCACCATGGCACCACTCGGTTACTGTACAGGTCCCAGACACGCCGAGGGGGTAAAGATGGGTAGATGATTCTGTCTTCGACGAGTACATCCTGCACCATCTTTTGGTACTGCTCTTCCCATTTTGGTATATAATATGCAGGGTAGACCTATTTGAGGTGCGCATAGCACTATCAGATGGCGCCGTCCACGATCTCCATTCAAGGAATAGTCCTCAATGTCGGGTTGTGCCAAAATAAGCAGAGATGAGCAAACGCAGTCCCAAAGTCATAGTTTTTCGAGATGCAGTCCTCAAGTACGGAGTATATCCACGGAGGGAACAAAGTGTATGGCAGTACGAAGGTGGTGTTGAGCTTCGTCAAGAATCCCTCCATGCCGAGGTCGGTGCAGAGAGTGTCGGCAAGAGTGGATGGTATGGCGAGTGTATTAGCAGTGTAGGACCGTTGCTTCAGTACTGGAATGGAAGTCGTTTCACCAAACTCAGAGGGCGGGAGGATTTCACCTAACCCAGAGGGCGGGAGGAGATCAACGGTCAGAGCACTCCACAAGAAGGACCCTAAATATTTATTTTTAGCATTTAACACCCTTCTTTTGTGATTTTACATGCTTACGCAGATCGGGGAGCGGTTTGCTTTGGAGCATTTTGGAAAGATCATCGCGAAGCCACCTGTTCGGAACGTTCTCATCCATTTCGGGTATTCCTAGTCATAGCCAGAATAAAGACATGAAATACTGAAAGTGATACGAGCACACATACTACTGCGAGTTCGAGAGGTCGATGAGATACGGTGTTGTTGGTATCGGCACAAGGTCTCGATCAGAAATGGCCCCGAATTCCGCGGCCTCAATGTGTGCCATGGCCATGAAGGTTCGTACCGTTTTGATCGGACGGTTGCGTACGTCTCATCGAGTGGACCCTTCATGGCGTGCATGAAAGCATTGTAGAGTAGATATCAAAATGGTAGGCGACTGTCTTAGAGTCAAACAATCGACGTTCAGAATCACTGAGAAAAGGCAGTTCAACCCAAGTTTACCAGTGTTATCCGATACAAAGAAAACGCCGTGAACAGACGTTCCCACACCTTTATGGACCGCTGTTGATACTGTATAGCAATAGCCTTTTTCCTGATGAACTGCCGGTTCCAGAGTCATGGCGGCAGAATCGGTTTTAAAATAGAACTAGTCACCTAGATTGTCGGCGATAAAGACATTGAGCGTATACGAATGATAGGCCTTGACCCTGATCGCCAGCGCAGATAATCTTGATGATGACAAAAAATGAACGTTCTCAACGATGGCGGGGGTGACGAGAAATCGGAAAAGTAGGGGGATTATATTCGTACTGCTAGGGCACAAAAGGTAAGGATTCAGCAGCTGGAAAGTCAAAGAATAGGAATTCGGTTCGAGGGAATTTCTGCGCTCCCAGAAAGCACAAAAGTCTGCCAACAGGCAGAGCTCGTAGGGTGGAGAGAAAAAGACCATACCATACCCATATGATTCCCTCCCGGGAACAACCCGACATTCCCAGTACTTCTCCCTGACGGATATTTCCTCGGTCGCGATGGCTGTCAGGGGGTACAAAAGACGGCGTCAAGTTAGGCTTTCTACATCTTGAAGGCCGAGTGTTCGTCAGAAAGGATTGGCAACACGAGAACACCACCGTATCCATTCTAAAACCAATTTCAATAAGAGGCGAGCTGAAAGATGACAGACGTACTACGAACACGACTGGCATTTGCTCCGAGAGACGAGGTCCATAGGCTGAAGAGACTATTAGCCAAAGATACGTAGCCGGAGAGTCAACAACGTACCTGGGAAAGCTATCTCCCATTCCTCTCTGCAAGGTCCACCTTCTCCCTCAAATCTCTCCAACGCTGCACCCAACCTAGCGTCGTCCATATACCTTCTTGCTTCGAACACAATCTGCTGACTCGATCAAAAAATCCTAATGCCGGTTCGACGTCAGTGAGTCCTATCTGTAAGGTAGGTTGCCACGAGGAGAAGGATAGGGCCTGAGAAAGGACAAAGCGCTTTAGCACACGTATTGACTGAACACTCAATGACTTACCATGATGAAATCTAAAACTCCTCCCACAGTCGGAGAATACGCTGATCCTTCAGATTCCTGCACGTAGTGAAACCCATCCTTCTCCTCCAACCCACTGCCCAGACTCGCCACCGTTCCCGGGCACCCACTCGTCTCGGTCGCCGTAACACGATACGTTACCCTGGCGTAAGTTCAACACGAGGTTGAGGACGTTCTTCAATGGATCATGAAGGGAGAAGGCCGAGAGTGGGTATTCAAGTGAAAGGCCTCGAGCAGAGTTTCCCGCATCTTGAAGGGCACGTACAGGCTTAATACTGTTCCTGCGAGATGATTAATGACGAGAGAATGGACGTCGATAAAGTAAACATACCGTAAGCAACAGCGGATGTAGTATAACATCGTGGATTTCACCGTAGCCTGGGAATTAGAAGTTGTTGATATTACTGGTGTGAATTATTTAAAAAAGACGTTTACATCAAAAAAAAGCACATACACAGCAAAAGATATATACGCATGTCACAAAAGAAAGTCAGGATAATCTACACATCTATTTCTATTAGACTCGTAGCCGTAGTCCATACTTAAAAATTCAAGTTAATCAGTGGTATAATTCCTCATGAAATGCATACCAGATCAAGAGGTATTAAGCAATGACGCAGACGACACTTCACTCAACCAATTCATAAAATTCCTATCCACAACATCAAACGCCTGATCCTCATCCAACTGACTCCAGAGCCATCCTAGCCACGGCATCCATCGCGTATCGAGCGCAGAGAGAATCCTCGCCGCCTCGACGCCCCACTGCCTTTTCGCCCACCATGGCCCGTCCTCCGCCACCCGTTTCATCAAAACACAGTGATGCGCCAAGATGATCAGTGCACGCGGTTTCCCCTCTGCCAACAGACGAAAGAAAGTATTGGGTGCCATTACCCACCACCAAAGCGCCGCGTCCCAATTTTGAAGTGACGCTTTCCATGATATCTCGAGGATACGGATCGATTCCTTATACGCAGCATATACTGATATGTCCTGTAGTTCCTCAAGATCCGGCGGCGACGGGTGCGCTGTGCTCACAAGTGTCAACAGAGATGATGAAAACGGTTCTTCCGAGGATGTAGACACCATGAATAACATCGGACGCAGGACACGCTGTGGCCAGAGTTTCGCAACCTTACGGGCTATGACATTCCAGTCGCCCGCGGATAAGGAGACCATGGATGACGTAGCGAACTCATACATCGCAAGAAGACATAAGGCCATCAAGACAGCCCTAGCATCATTCTTTCCGCCATCCGTTTCTGCCATGTGTAGCCCCATTTTGGCTTGACAGTGGTAGGTGCTCGCAGCTACGGAATACCGACTGGCCGTGGGATCATCATGGTAAGCATGAAGCGCTGACATTGCGAGAATAGCGTAGAGGAGAAAATGATTTTTGGGATCGAACGCGAGTTTCGAAACGGAGGTGTCCCATACGCATGCTTTAGCGGGATCAGGTGAGAGTGTGTGCGAAGTGGCGGTGGTATAGTGATGAATTAGTTCGAGAGTCAGCAAGTCGAATGAACCTGCACCGGTCCATTTCGATATTGTGGAAGGGGAATTTTCAGGTGAGGTACTTGATGTAGCACGGGTAGATGTCCCTGGTGCCACCGAGTGAGATTGTGAAGTATCGATCCAGACGCACTCTATGCTTCTCCTCGTACAGTTCTTGCAAATAGGCAATTCTTCATCGCACTTCATGAAGTTCAGGATCTGAGTTAATTATACAAAGGCTGACAATAAGTACATACCTTGACTCTGCGTCGTTTGCATGTTTTGCATCCAGTTCGTGTCTTAATGTGCGTGCGGATTGGCATAACAGAGCTGGTTACCCTTGCTCATGGCCGCAGTTGCTGTGGCCGGAGTTTCAAAATTTAAATTTCCATCTTTGTGAACTTTCGTGATATCACGGTCCCATGCCCTGAAAATATTCTCCTCTGCCGACAAGACCAGGGACGGACGCTCGAGAGAAGAATTAGACAATCCACACGAGAGACGTTTATTAGCGCACCGTGCATATTCCCACTCCCCAAACGCCCTGTTCAAACTTCAAAACCTTCAAGTTCGACTCTCATCTTGCAGAAGAACAAGCGAAGGCTCCGGTACGCCTCGTAAACCTAAAGCAGGCACATGTCTGAAATTCAGACAGTACCCCAAAACCATTCCACGTCGATGTAACTTTTTATAGCACTTAGACATTCAAGTACTCATGCCCTGTCCAATCGCTACTGGTTAGAGCTTCCAGAAGGCCCACATAATGCTTCTTTGTTATTCAAGGTCTCCAAAGGAATTTTAACGAATTTAGGCTCATGTTTGGAATGCGGAAGAGGTCAGAGTGACTAACTGTCTACGAAACTGTGAGCTCATTTATTTACTATATAAATCTTAATTCAACATCTCTGTCTACAACTACATTAGGCGGCAATGGTATTCAATATAGCAGAGATGGAGGGCGAGAAGAAGTACTCTCCTCCCCGCGAGACAACGAAATCTGATTAAAGATCATATTAGTCCAAAGCTGCCAGCTCAAATTTCGAACGGACACGCACCATTCTGTAACGTGATAGCACGGCTAGGGTCTGTTGGATCTAAACCAGTAATTGGACGACTTCTTGATGAAGGGTCGGTTCCTGCAGAACCAATAATAGGATCCACACCGGTACTGGGGAGGAGGAAGCTACAGAGGGTTAAGTACTCAGACCAAGACATTAGGTATGGAAAAATCGAATTGCCTACTTACTTTGCGTTGTTGACCCACAACTGTTGCAAAAACCGGAAGCCGTTACCGATGTTAGATTGATATGCGACTATAGTAGCCTTAATCAGTCGACGCTCGTTCGAATCACTACGTTTTAACTAACCAAAGGCAAGACCACGTTCCAAAGAAGCACTGGTAGTATTTGACGTTGCTTCATCATCAGTTACTGTAAACATTTTATAAGCCGCCTGGTTTCGCCTACAAAAGGATCTAACCTTCGGGTCCGTAGGGAATACCAGCGCGAATGATGTGATGCGCTGTTTCCTCCGGAGTGAAATCTCCGCGAGGGCGTGTCTTCCTAGTATGAGCGGCAAACGGGCAGCGCGTCTGGTTGTTAAAGTCTGCATCATCATCGTGGTAGGTGAAGTTGTTGTTATGCATGGGATCCGACGCCAACGTAGGATCGTCGAACAAGGGTGCAAGATAGACGGGAGCGCCCTGCAAATCGTAAGTTAGCAGTAGATCTTTTTGCTCGGATGATAAACGTACACTCTTCCATCGTCCAATCATACGCGCGCCTAATAAGGCAGATCCCTCTTCGGGAGTGAGAACACCCGGCTCAGAAATCGGGTTGTCCAACAAGAACTTGTTGAACTCTGGAACCAGCTGCTCCATCTGACGGAAGACCAGGAACGAGCCATCTTTAGCCCAAGACGGACGAGTAGTACTATCACCGTCCTCGGCCAGTAAAATTTCCCCCGCATCGACAGCTAGCTGACCTGGTAGAGGTGATTGTGTGAACCCTATGACTGCGGGCTGGCTTATTCCATCCATGAATCCGAAATCTGCATATGCATCATCATCATCAAGATGGATCAAAAGATGGCGAAGACTTACGTTCGTGGCCTTCCTCTGATCCAGGGCGGGCTTCACCTTGAACGCGATGTAGCTCAGCGATGGAGTCGCCCAAAGTTGACAAGAGGTCTGACAGGGTATCGTTGACATTATCAAGAGTATCTGATGCAAGCAAGAAAACGCCATGAACAGAGGTTCCTGCAAACGATTGCACCCAATTCCCAGTTCCGGGATCGCCGATGGCAGCAGAATCAGCTTCCTGTCCCTGAGAATAGAACTGGTCGCCTAAATCGTCGGTGATACCTAGTGTAGAAAGTCCTGACTGGGAAAAAGCGAGATTGACTGCTGTTAGAGGCTGGGTTGTGACGTCCAATATTTGGGTAGTAGAAGTAATGAGAGGGTGGATATCCGTCGCCAGCTTGTTCTTAAAGTCAGTCGTGTTTTGAATACCGAAAAAGAAAAAGAGTTCTTTCTTCTTCTTCATTCCCACCCTGTATCGCTTCGCATCAGCTCAAGGAACAATGATGAGAACTCAAATTCACTGACAAGATATCTGCCTGGACGTCAGTTAAGTTTAAACCAACAGATGCTGCTGCTGATTGAGCTTCTTGGGTAGTTGGCAGATTTGGTTGGGGTGCGGGATCTATTCGAAGCTTTAGCTGAACCACAGACGAACATAGGCTCACCTACCATTCAGTATAGATGCCGTTCGCATGACTTGTCGGCGACGTAGCTGGCCTGGATTATTGGAATGTCCAGCAGCATTGAAGGCCAAGGAAAGCACTAGGAGAGAGGTGAAGATCGCGCCAGAAGCCTTCATCTTGGATAACCAGCAAAGAACGATGGCCAATGAACTACAATGAAGACGACCAGCGTCTTTTAAAGAAAAATATGAAACATGTGATGAGTCAAGTTATGCAGGACTATTGCTTTCCTTCACACAACCGCGAGAGATCGTGGCGCTGGCGTTTTAACAGTTATGTAAAGCCGATGATGAGGCTGTACTGGTGTAATATAATTTCGGCATTACCACTGTCAAGACAATCATGAACTCACCATCATGAAAGGCATAATCCAGCCGCGTGAGAGTGAGCTGGACCTCCCACTCGCACGAGCCTAAAGCCCGCGAGGGTCATTGTGAATTCACTCGCTCCCGTAGGATCCAGAACGAAGTAGATATCTGATGTAGAGCGAGCTGCAGCATACAAACATTGTGTGTTGGACCGGTTTCTGATTTCCATGTTGTCAAAGCGGCGTCGGTACGCCGTCCCGACACGCTGCTGCCGAAAGTTTCCTGTCTAAACTTGGACGGCGCTTGAGGTATATTCCTTGGGGTTCGGTTTGAGGCAAGAGTGCGCCATTCGTTAGAATGGATCGCACTTTTTGTCGCCTATGTATTCATTTCTCGGCATGACTGGGACTGCTGTTTCAAAGAATCACTCTTACAAAACGTCGCCATTACGCACTTGAGAAATAAGCTACGTTCCAGTTGTCACCCATCTGTACGCAACACCTCGCGTTTTGGATTGGCAGCTGGTTCCTCAGAGCATAACATAACCAAATCTCGGTCTCAATTGATGCACCGGTGGTCCTTATGCTGTGGAGACGCGAATTTTCGCGGCACCGCGAGTAATCGTATAAGAGTTCGTGTAGTCATCCACGCCAACTCTGCCGTTCCGGCGATGATCAATGGACCTAGTCGTGCCCATTTCTGATATCAAGTAAAGTCAATAAAAAGCTAACGTACAACGGTGAAGGATCCCCGACCAAGAGGTGTTCTTCGTTTAACCTTCCATGATTGATACCATGATGCACAAGGTTCGGAAAGCTGATAGCCGTGTCCTACGAAATGAGCGTCAAACCACCGACCGAGAAAACAATGTACACTTACTACTTAGGAATGCCGTCGGCATTGCAAAGTTACTACCTGTGGAATCTGGATGAGCAGCAAGTAAGCAGGTGCTAGGTGCCATGGCCCTGGAAAGCGAGCTAGATTAGTGTAAGGCCTGTTCGGTCGGCAAGAACACTGTTCGTCAGTCAGTAATAAACCAAGACCGCCGCCTGAATGAACGTACGTCGCAAGAGCCACCTAATAGACCAATCATCACCGATAGTCACAAAAATACCCAAGGAACAGATTATCAATACAAGGGGGGACCTCAGATGTGCCGAGTTCATGCTAAGGTCGCCGCTCCCGACACACTTACGGGGAACGAGACGAGTCACCGCTCCATATCAAATTTCTTAACTATTTCCGGGCTGAATGCTGCTGACTCTTGACTTTATCAGGCACCTCTACACTTATTGCATCATCAGTGATAAGCGCCATGGGAGTATTCCACGTCTTGACAATTCTACGGAACATAACACGATGCTTGAGCAAATGTCTTGCATAAAGTGTGTGAACTTGAAGCAAAATATTCAGTTCTACACCAGTCGCTTGGAGTAGTAAACGGAAACGATACCTGATGTTAGCACTTCTGATGATTCTTTGCACGAAAGTGAGTGAGTGATGCCTTGCGTCCTCTTGATGTACCATAGTCCCTGTACCTAGGCTCGGGTAGCTGTTTGTGGCGAATTGCTGATTGACGATGAACTAGAACTGCCTGCTGACAGAAGCAAAAATCGATCATGATTACTGATTATAATCTACAAACCCTTGCAGCTTGTTCGCAGTGCGCGGTGGGAACTTGAATGCATTCAATTTACCCCCAAACGTCCGTACAACACGCGCGATGCCATTCTTAAATCCTACATCCAATCCCCGTTAGTCCATACAACCAGCGTAAACTCAGTATACTCACCATCACCGAGGTATCCTAGGGCCTCACTAGCTTTAGCCAACTCTATCCGAAGAACCTCGCGTTGCATTCTTTCTTTATCCGATAGGCCTTCCTCTTCTTCTGGTGGCGGAGGTCGCAGAGCATTCAGTTCAATCTGGTAATCTTCTATCGCTGACAAGAAGGAGAGCATCGCCTCAAGGATTTTGGGAATATCGCGCTGGACGACCCCGTATCGATCTTCTGTCAGGGACGAACACGTTAAACGTGATAAAACTAATAAAATCAAAAGACAAATCAGCATCCGGAATACTCCGAGAAGGAATGCCATCGTACCTTCGACGACAAGAAGATCAAGTTCGCGCCTGGATAAGGATCCTTCTACGACCTTACTTATCCGCTCCCTCGTCCACCAATTCACCCATGCTCCAAATGCCTCCTGCACAGCAACAGGCGTGTACCGGTGAATGGCACTACCCAAAGATTTCCTGATATTCCCGAAATAATCCTTGGCTTCTTCTACGCTTTTCGTCATCTCTGTTGGAACGGGTAAAGCAGTACTCGCTGACTTGAACAAGTCCGGGATGTGTGCAGCTTCGGCACCCGCTTCGACTGCTTGCGCGAATGATCCGTCCGCACCAAGGGAATCAATGACGCTGCTGATGGGAGACGGTTTCGCTTGCTTGTAAATGGGCTGTTTGACTACAGATACTGGGGTGGATAGGAAGGGTGGTGGTTGTGGTTGCGCTGCAGTTGCTACTGCAAGAGGCGGTGGGACGGTTGGGGGCGCTCCTCTCCGCAAGAAATGCTGGTAATCTCTCCCGAGAACCAGAAGGCTCTCCCTGCATAGATGACTCCAGAGATTGGGGGAATACTTCTGATCTCCGAACAGAGCTGTCCGACGAGCGCCTGCTGAAGGAGACAGGTCGGAAGATAACTCGTTTAGTTCGGCAAATGCGAAATATTTGAAGATTATATCAGAGGAAGCCACTCCCGACACAAGGGTTACTGATGGGTCCGCTGTCATGTGTGATACGAGAATGGGCTGGCTGATAAAGGAATCAAATAGTAGTTCTGCGACCTCCCAGGTTGCCAAGGTTGAAAATGCCAGGAACCATGCTCTTATCAGAAGAGCGAAGTGTTGAATGGGCAAAAATATTGTCCAAGACCCCCGAAGGAAATGAGCTGTGAATGGCCGGAGGACAAGATGAAGCAGTGGTAGGCGGTAAAGCATGGGAAGCGTGAGCCGTGCAATAGCAAATATAGCGGCAGACGTGGGCACGGAAACGGATGCGAGGAGAGCTACTATGACCAGCGTCCGCAAGAAGTCGCCGAGCGTAACTGCGGATTTTTGGGTCTGATTCTGCAGAATACTTCAGCCATACAGTTCATGAATAGAAAAATAGGATGCTTACAAAAGAGGAGGGCCATCGAAAGACAAAACGATCCATCATGATGTTCCGGAGTATAGAACAGCATGCAACAATAACCTGAGATGTTAAAAGAAACACCAGCCGACCATTCAAATAATATGGGTGCTTCCTAGTCCAGTCAGACACGAAAATAGTGAACATACGCATCACCCGCTCACTTTGATTTGACAAATACTGACAGCCGGGGGTCATTCGATTTGGACATTCGAGCCATCGATACATGGAGAAGTGTCGCAATGATTGCAGAGGAAAGATAAACCAAGAATGCGCTTCTAGTGCTCTGTTTTGCCAGAGCATTCTGCAATGTTTTTAAAGGAGTCTTTGACGTTGAGTGATAACCTAAGGAAAACTGAATCAACAGATAAATTCGGTGAGAGCGCGTCGACGGACCTGTAAGATGCCTTTTTCTTAGCACCACGATAGGTAAGGCTACCGCTACCCAACACACGTATGCCATCATTGACGTCGACGGCGTCACCGGAACCATTGCCACCCCGCCAATCCCCAGTTCTTCAATACCACCAAGGCACCATATTGTCCATGCCACCGTCTGGACCCAACAAAATGCGATAGAGCCCAAAAAAATCCTCCAAAGAAGCCGTTGACGAAGGACGGCTTTGATGAGCGGCTCATACGCTGCAGATGCAGGAGGTACGGAAGGAGATGACTTGACTGCGAGGGTGGAGGGTATCGCTCGCAGTGGCAAGGGCGTTTTGGGCTGTTGCTGGGGAGCAGAAGGGGAGGAAACGCTCGATTTTATTAATGGCGACGTCGGTAGCCTTGAGTTCGTCACTGGTGTCAGTGGCCGCCGCATCGTGGTCATGGTGGCGGTACAAGGTTAGGATTGTTTGTTGATCGTGACGCGTGCCGGCTCCCACGTTTCTTCAACTCTTACTACCATCACCCTCGACGGCCTCGCATGGACAGCGCGACTTTCTCCAGCGCGCACAAGGTCCTCAATGAGAAGCACCGTAAAGAAATTGCGGCACACGAGGCCAAGTATGACCGACTCAAGCATTCAGCTGAGGACACGCTGAACCGTCTCAGCGACGTAACGAACAGGACAGGGCACCTCGTCAGGGCCCTTGGATTTAGCGACTTGCAGGAGGCATGGTTCGTAGTCGACAACGCTGAGCATGGCACGAAGTACAGTGATGCGTTAACTCGGATAGAGGATCTAGAAAAGGTGCTCCGTCGTACGACAGACGAAAGGGACCATTTACAGACTCAGCTGGATGATGTTGTAAGGCAGAGAAACCAACTCTTGGAGAAGACAAAGTATGTTTTATCCTAACTGTCCGGCAATTATAGCCAGAACATATATTTCTGATAGGGACCTTCCAGCATCCTCTTCGCCATCAAGACGTCTACTAGCGGCCCAGCTGAAGGCGCTTCAGTCGCGATACGATGACCTCTTGGACAAGAAACAACGCGCCGCTGCAATATACAAACGAGACTACACTAAATGGCGCGACTTCAAGGCATTCCTGTTTGATACAGAATGCAAGGCAAAATCCAAGATGGAGGCGGAAAAGGACAACGAGTTTCGACGGAATATTTTTATGCGATTGGCTGACAATGGGAAGATGTGGGAGCAGATAGGGCCATTGCTCTATGCGGACGACGGTGAGCATGATAATTTAATATGTGGGAATATTTTCACTTATCCTCAAGTAGCTTCGTACCCATACGAGGATAAGAACTTGTATCGACAAAACAAAGAGAATGAACCTGAATTCACACCAACGCCGATACCCACGTATGTGCCTATTGGTTGACATGTTGATACACTATAACAGTCACCGCAGGACGATTTTCCTACCAAACACTTCTGAACGACCTGGAACTCCAAATTCGGCATCGCTTCCAGTTGGTCCCTCGAAAACCACGGCTTCATTGCCGCAGTAGGTGACTGATGAATGTATCGCTTCAATAACACTTAATGGTCCCTTAGATTATTCAGCCCAAAGCCCAATGGTTCCAGCCTTGCGCCAGTGCCTATGACTACGTATGGGCCTACCGGTTGACATGTTGATACCCTATAACAGTTACCATAGGGCAATTTTCCCACCAACTCCTTCCAAGCGACCTGGAACTCCAAGTTCACCGTCACCGCTTCCATCAGCCTCTCTCATCAATGGAGTGACTTCAGCCGGTCCTTCGAAGACCACAATTCCATCACCGCTGTAAGTCATGCCGACCTACATATTGTTTCCATCACGCTTACTGGTTCATTAGATTATTCAGCCCCAAGGCTAACGGCTCCATTCTTGTTCCAAGTTCATCAGACACGGAAGAGGACTCTCTTGGTATTCTTGCTCCTTGCATCTCTCGCCTCGTCATCTCTGACGAGTCGTTCTGTTCTAGTCGGGGAATCAAGCCCGACTCCGCAGTCCAAAGTGCTCTTTCAAGGTCGAGGTACGATCAACCATACAATTCATTTTTAAAACGCTCAGGCTGCGTCTCTAGCCCCGTTGACATCACCGTCGGCGCGGCTTTCCAATGTCCCAAACTTGGATATCAAGCGACGCGGACCTCGCTCAACACTCGTCCTCTTATCAGAGCAATGTACGCCGACGGGATCGGAATTCCTACATACAAAGCTGACAGTATCTTAGCCCCATCGACACCGACGAAACCGAAGACCACCTCGGTGCCACCGCGGAAAGTTCGCCGCCTCAGTCACGAACATGACAGTCCTCACTCCACGCCATCTGCACCACAAGGAAAAGGCAAAGAGAAGGAGAAAGCCGCGTCATCTGTATCCGCGGCGCGTAACGCCAAACAGACGAACGATTATTCGGCGTTCAAGGGTCGTGGACGATACGCAAAAGATTCGAAAGAGAAGACGATCAACGAAACCTTTGCCATCGATCCAAACCGGAACAACGGCCTCGACTTCCAGTTTGATGCTGTTGTCCGCAACAAGGACGAGCGACGAAAACTTCATGCTGGAGATTGCGAGTGTTGTCGTGACGTTCGTCTTTTTCTTTTCTTTTGAAACGTGCTCCTCATCAGTGCTTCCTCACATAGTACTACGAAGGTGTCGGGCCTCTTCCGAAACGTTTGAAGCAGCCGCTGTGGCGGTCACCAAAGAAGAACGCTACGCCTTCTCCTGTGCGTAGGAAGAAGGGAATATCGCGACATCGGTATAATTGGGCGCAGGGTGGGACGCCGCCGGGGTATTGGGATATTGGGTTCCCGGATACCCAAGAAACGGAGAATATCAATGAGAGGGCGAAGGAGATGCATGAGAAGAAGAGGAGGGAGATTGAGGCCGAGGCTATGCGTGGAGATGGAAGGTATGTTAGAAGGAAGTGACAGATTTGGTTCTCAGTACATTACTTTTCCGGATGTCATACGCAATTGTATAATAAATAGCAAGGCACTGTTTCATTACCTTATGGTCCCCCTTTAATATTTTTACAACGCTAGGCTGCTAAGGGGTGCGAAATACGGATGTGCCTTGCATCGTTACGGATACGACGTAACAATACGGTCATAGAGCGTACAAAACATGTCCCTAGTTTCACGGTGACAACGAATAGTATGTGTCGGTTAAAGTGTGAGTACGGTCTACTCCATTAGTAAGGTCATGTACTGATATCAATGATATTATTTAAATGGTCCCTTAAAGTAGGATAAAGAAGTTGTTCACCTACACCATTCCCTGTCTTTTTCTGATACGTACGCATGAGCAAACAGGGTGCCAATTCCTCGGAATCACAAGCGCCCCAGTCGATAACTCCGGCACTCTCTCCGTATCTGCGAATTTGAACTACCATATACCATGTATTACGGGGCCCCACTCGAGGAGCATCTCTACCTAAGTGTCTCCACCGCCTCAATCCTTCCTGACTCTATTGACGGCAATATGGTGGAATATTTACAAACAAGATCGTTCGCAACGATCTCCGACATTCGTGCAAATTCCTCAGGAAACTTATCTATCAATAGAAAATCTAATTTCTGAAGCAATCGAGCTATGATCGATGCGTCATAACTCATGACCGTTCTTTATCCTTTCTTATTTTCGAACCACCATCATCCACTATGAAGCACAGGAGAACATTTTCTAATCCGTTCACGCCCGTTCGCAAACTATTCTTCAGGCTAGATTTGTTTAAACCCTCTTCTGTGGCTCTCGAAGGACACGGCTCTAGCGAAGTTAACCCTCTCGTCGACACACAGCCCAAATTCGAACATCCGTATTCTATGTCAACGCCAGGGAATATCGCCCTACAGAATGAAGACGCCTGTGAAGATGCCATCGTAATTACCACTCTTGACACCGTTCCCTTCTGCTGTCACGAAGATCTTCTCACCATGTCGCGTCCCCAACTGGTTCAGGTTGCTACCACGCTCAACGCTAGACTTCCCGCCTTGCTTCGTATTGATGTAAACCTCAACCGCTCCGATAGCTTCATCCGAAATTCCATCGAAGTCATCGTCGGTCTACGTAGAGATGCTCCTCCTGCTCCGAAAGCCGTAAGAATGCGGTCAGGTGAATTACGGATGGAGGACGACGAAGAGAGATCAGGAAACTGTACCCCGCCTACAAGTCCATTGGCTCGCCTTTCAGCACGAGGGACGCCAAGGCTAACGAGACTGGAAGAAGAGGATGAGGAAGAGAAAGATAAACCGTCGAAGAGGCGCAGGGTAACATATAGCGCTACAACACCGACTCCGCTTCCTCGTGCTCTGCGTAGCTATTCACAACGTGTTTCGCAAGCATCGCCGACTCCTACTCGTATCCTTCGTTCGCAGAGCCAGAAACTACAGGAAAGGATGGATAACATGCAAATCGACACTCGTTTCGTGACCACTACCAGACCAAGATATGGCAAGCGCCGTACGACCAGATTGTCGACTCCTACGAAATTTCAGCGGGAGGCCATTTTCGCCATGACCCCAATTCATCGCTTCACGGCTACAACCTCGGAAAATGAAAGCACTGAGAGCTTGGCAAGAGATGGAAAAGGGCATTTAGATACTCTTGGGGATAGCGGGAATTTGGATTTTGATACAGCCATGTCCTGAGCGATGCATACTGTCATCATTTTTTCGCATCACGGTCAGCCCCGGTGAAAGTTGTGTTGTATAGTACAGAACTCTGGCTACGAGATCTATATCCTCTCAATTTCCCGCTACACACGACCGACGAGGTTACCGTTTGAGGAGCAGTAGATCGAAAACAATCTGAGAGAGTCAGAAAGTGACACTCACTGCAAAAAGGGCCTCTGGCTCCTGCAGTGCAATAGTCAACCAAAGTGAACGAGAACGGGACCGGCTAGCTCGGATGAAAGCGCCGAAGGGACCACATGGCCCAACGGTCCGATGCCGCGGGCCGGCCAGAAACTGAACTTCACAGACGAAAAAAGGGACAGAGGGGGAAGAAGGATGTTGGGGGAGCACAAAATGTGAGTTCATGGTATGGCACAAGATGAGGGTGATGAGGAATGTTCTCACCGGTCCTGTCCACAGAGGAGGAAAAAAGGAAGGAAAAACAAAAACAAAACGGCCGATCATGAAAATTGGACTCAGTTTAAACTCCGTCCACAGCTTTGCAGGGGCGACCCCAGCCAGCATTATATTAATATGCCACCAATTCGCCCCCACCGTAAAACACGAAATGGATGCAAAACATGCAAACAACGCAAAGTCAAGGTATGTGTTTATTGTGTCAGCATTTCTATAATTAACTCAGATATTGAAATGAAGTGCGATGAAGAATTTCCTATTTGCAAGAACTGTACCAGGAGATGCATAGAATGTGTCTGGATCGATACCCCACCGTATCACTCGCTGGTACCAGCGACATCTCCCCGTACTCCATCAAGTTCCCCTGAAACTTCCCCTTCCACAATAACTGGCACAACAGGTTCATTCGACCTACTGACTCTCGAGCTAATTCACCGCTATTCTACCACTACTTCTCACACACTTGCTTCTGATCCTGTTACATCCAATGTTTGGACTACCATCGTTCCCAAACTCGTGTTCGATCCTAGAAACCAATGTCTCCTTTACGCTGTTCTCGCCGTGTCCGCGCTTCACGTTTACCATACTGATCCCACGGCAGATCGGTACGCCGTAGCCGCGAGCACTTACCACTGGCAAGCCAAGATGGGGTTACACAAGGCAGAGACGGACGGGGAGACGGATATTGGTGCTATTTTTATCACCTTGTCCCTTCTCGCGATGTACGAGTTCGCTACATCCTCCATCGTCTCCTTATCCATGAGCGGCTGGCATATCACAGTCCGTAATATCACTTGCGAGGTTGCAAAAATCTGGCCACAGCTCCGAGAAGGTGTTCTGCGCCCGGCGTTACTCGTAAAAGCGCCAACAACCATATCTACACCGCTGGAGGAATCCTTTTCATCATCCTTGTCGACACTTCTGAGCACAGCGCACTCGTCACCAGACCTTGAGGAGCTACACGACGTATCGGTGTATGCTGCGTATAAGGAATCAATACGAATTCTCGAGATATCATGCAAAGCCTCATCTGAGAATTGGAACGCAGTGGCTTTCTGGTGGACAATGGCACCTAAGAGGTTCTTTCGCCTACTAGCAGAGGGGAAGCCACGTGCATTGATTATCTTGGCGCATTTCTGTGTCATGATGAAGCGGGTGGCGAAGGACGGCCCGTGGTGGGCGAGGAAACAGTGGGGCATCGAAGCAGCGAGAATTCTCTCTGCGCTCGACACGCAATGGATGCCGTGGCTGGGATGGCTCTTGAGCCAGTTGGATGAAGATCACGCCTTTGACTATGCAGATACGGATTTCATGCATTGGTTAAGTGAGGTGGCATCATTGCTGAATGCTTCTTAACCCGGGTCTCATGAGGAATTATACCACTGATAAATATGAATTTTTAAGTACGGACAGCAGCTGCGAGCCTAATAGACGTGTAAATTATTTAATGTCCTCTTTGTGAATCAGAATCAGATTGTGTTGTAATTGTGGCCGTGAGATTGACAACTACGTATAGGCTTGAGCACTGGAGGTCAAGAATCAAAAGTAATCTTTCAAAGGATCGACCATACCAAGTTTTCCCAAACGTACGATTTTGGAGTAAGTAGTCGGGTCATCAACTGGCACAGGATTTTCTGGCCTTTGCCGCCACATCTCTCAGGCCACTGCGTACCCGCCAAGCCTCTCTCGTACACATTGAAGAAATTTTTATCTCCTTGAAGTCCCAAGCGTCCCAGTTAGTAATGCTGAATGATGAATCCTGATCTTCTTTCCGTAGTCGCCAAGTCGGGGCTATGCGTTATCAAGCTCCGCAGGAGAAGTATCTTGGCTCAATGATAACATAATTATTAACTATCTCCACTGCCTCAAACCTTCCTGACTCTATTGGTGGCAACAGCTCGAAGTTCAATCAACGAATCAAGAAATGGAAGCGTTTACCAAGACCTCCAAAATTTGCGGGAATTCCTTGGTTTCTGATGGAAAAGTACTGAATGAATATATAAATAACCAGGTGGCTCTTCAAGTTCCGCAGCCCAGTGAAGCTGTGATCGATGCGTCATAAATCCATGATCGTTCTTTTTCCTTTCTTGTTTTTCGAACCACCATCATCCACTACGAAGCACAGGAGAACATTCTTTAATCCTTTCACACCTGTCCGCAAACTATTCTTCAGGCTAGATTTATATTAGATCCTCTTCTGTGGCTCTCGAAAAACATCATTCTAGAGATGCTGACCCTGCTTTTGACATACCGCCCGCTCAACGTGATTTTAGGAATCCACATTCTACGTTAACGCCAGGAAATATCGCCCTACAGAACGAAGACGCCTGTGAAGATGCTATCGTAATTACCACTCTTGACACCGTTCCCTTCTGCTGTCACGAAGATCTTCTCACCACGTCGCGTCCCCAACTGGCTCAGGTTGCTACCACACTCAATGCCAGACTTCCCCCTTTGCTTCGTATTGATGTAAACCTGAACCGCTCTAACAGTTTCATCCGGAATTCCATCGAAGTCATTGTGGGTTTACGCAGAGATGCCCCTCCTGCTCCGAAAACTGTGAGAATGCGGTCAGGTGAATTACCAATGGAGGACGGCGAAGAGAGATCAGGAAACTGTAGCTGCCTGCAAGCCCATTGGCTCGCCTCTCCGCACGAGGGACACCAAGGCTGACGAGGAAGAGAAAGATAGACCATCGAAGAGGCGTAGGGTAACATATAGCGCTACAACACCGACTCCGCTTCCTCGTGCTCTACGTAGCTATTCACAACGTGTCTCGCAAGCATCGCCGGCTCCTCCTCGTGTCGTTCGTTCGTTCGCAGAGCCAGAAACTGCAGGAAAGGATGGATAACATGCAGATCGATACTCGTTTTGTCACGATTACCAGACCGAATGGCAAGCGCCGCACGAACAAACGGGAGGCCATCTCCGCCATGACCCCAATTCATCGCTTCACATCTATTGCATTGGGTCACGAATTTGGTAGAGAACACCCATTTGAAAACGGAAGCCTAACTGGGGGCGGAAACCTGTGTTTGGGTACTCTTGGATATGATGAAGATTTGGATTCGGATATGGTCATGTCATGGGCAGTGCATATGATTCCAGATGATTCCCGATGTAATATGTTGTTTGCTTACAATTGTTATTGATTTCCGCAGTGATTTTCACCCCACATCAATCTCCTCAGGTCTAGACCTTCCAATAACCTTCCGAAGATCACTGTCCTGAAGACTGAGATTTTGCTCTTGGCAGCGGTCTTTCCAAACTGTTCCGCACCGAAGGTGCCGGAGACTCGCACAGTTCCAACCCGCGATAAGTACGCTAAATGAGAATCAAGATACAAAAGACATGCCAGTCGTCTATAACTAGATATACAATCTATCGATAAGAAAATGAATCCAACGTGGTCTCTAAGCATAACCAAAGGACTCCACATGCAGCGTTACACTTGCACCGCCTCTCAGAACGGTAGCTGCATTTCGTAGCGGGAACTGAAGAGCCGATCTGCATGATTGGGCAACGGCCCTCGAACCGCACACTGAATTTATTTTTAGTACAGAGGTAGAGATAGAGAATGCAAACGCACCCGTAACAGACATACGACCGCCCCTGGTCGCCTCTGCTTGTTCGGGTAGCAGTTGCGAGATATCTGGACGCCCCTGATATACGTTCACCGAGTCAAGACCAAGGAATGACGGTGGCCCATTACGTGACGCAGTGTCGGAATCAACAGATGTAGTATCCCATTGAACAGGACTCGGGAGAACCGCCAGTGACGTAGATGCGTATGTCCACATTCATTGATGGAGGTACCCGAAGTAACGCGTTAGAAATTGCATTTGATATCCAGCACACATGGGCTAAACGGAAATAAGCACCAAGTGGATAGAATCACAGAAACGGACGTACTCGTATCTCTGATTGCCCAGATAAACACCGCTTTGGTGGCATATGCTCTTTCCATCGCGGACACGCCTAATGTAGAAAGATTAGTTAGATATTAAGAACCAGTTACGACACTTACTCTATGGTGTCCAGTAGCAACGGAAGCGTGTACGAGACTCCAGTACCACCTAAAAGCAATAAGTCAGGGATGGATACATATTCGGATTGGATACGCTTACCGGCGACGAAAACAGAGGTATTGAATGAGCTGAGATCCGGCGAAGGACCATACGGTCCGTCAACAAAGACCTTTACGGTCCCTTTATCCGTTCCGATAGTGGCCAATCGATGGGTGAAGCCCTCCCTAACGTTCACCAGGAACACTAGCTCCTTCCAGTATTTCTCTCCTCCAGGGGTAAAAGATTTAGACGACGATTTAGCAAGTACGGAATCAGACCCCTTCTCAACATCGGTAGATTTCTCGGTGGAGTCGTAACTGGAATCATAGCTAGCAATCGTGAAAGGATGGGCTTCGAATGGCAAGCGAGAAACTCCTGGCGTGATAAGGTAGGCGGTTTGGCCCGGACGCCAGTGGAAGTGAGGGGGCCGCTTCAGAGTCAAGCGAACAAAGTGCTCGGATAGACGTTCCACGCTAGCATCGAAAGTACCATGTCCAGCCTTGAACCCAAAGTAGGAATGATTGAAAACAACAACACGGAGCATTCGTATGACGCGATCAAGGCCCCATATAATAAAGGAGGGCCATACGTAGGAGTCGAATCTATGACTCAATAAATAACACTGGTCAACAACATCGGAAGTAGAGGGCGTACTCGAAATTCTTGCTATGGTAGTACCCTCCGATGAGAAAGATCCTAAGGGGAAAAAAAAAACATTAACATAACAGAAGCACCAAAGAGGAAACGGGCATTTACAAGACCATAAGGAAATGGGCGTAAAAGAAAAACTCATATGCTCCTGCCCTAACAGGCCGCAAAGACACCAAGATCAAAAGAGAGAAAGCGGAGATGGCCACCAACGCCATTCGGACCCAGAGGAGTTCGTACTTGCCCTCCACACTGTGACATATTCAGCCGCATAGTTCAAAAGGCTCCTGACGAAGACTGACCGCTGAAACTGCATAGAAAATTTGTATCAGCGATTTGCTCCAAGTATAGAGAATACTACCAACCTTGTACCCGCCGTGAATCCAAAGCATTATGAAGCAAACCCTGGCCGTCATGCGATGGATATAGTTGAGCTACAACATGATCAGCACGAATGTTAATGGAGGGAGCAATGGCGCGAACTTTGTCATAACTGACACCCGTGATTACTGTGTGGAGACATGAGTAATGAACTGAGCCCGTTGGGGTAAGGACACGTACATGATACAATATTATTCTTCGTTCCAAGCGCAGTCACCAGTGGAAATTGGGATGTAGCAAGACTCCCGGCCCGGCCGGCAAGGTAGGTGGCACTGAACTTGGCACCAGCAACGGTTGTGCCTAAGAGAACAAGGCAAGTCACTGATCTGTGGAAGAAAAAGGGAAGAGTTCTTACTGTTAATGAACTCCCAAGTGAAAAGCGCGACGATATAAGCGCAGGTGAGGAAAACCTCGGCCAGGTTCAACGTATATGACCCAACGCCAATGTGAACACGGAATGAAAGGACGCGCCAGTAGTTGACCAAGGCTAATGGCAACCTACTAAGCTGGATCTTGTTGCTCTCCGTCGTGAGCGGTGCATTTTTGGAGCGAACCTGGTATTTCCCAACGACGAACGACGTCAATTGACAAACGGCGACGAATGCGATGAAGCATGACACCAGCCACCACAGCTGATGAGGGTACTCATCGGCGTAGTAGGCTCGCCATTTGTTGTCTTCTTCTCCATAGGCTCTCTTGGAGATGGCGATGGAAGTAGCAGAGACAGCGTCCATGGCAGGGAAACCGAATGAAGGGGGAAACTCTTGGGGGATCTGACAGACAGAGAACTTTCGTATTTAAAGATTTGGCTTATCGCTGACCTAAACTCTTGGAAGCGACGCCATAACACACGAGGTGAGCCAAAGAATTGACTCCGGTCAGGCGGACTTCCAGATATGTCGCTCCCAAGGTTAAACCAGAAAGGAACCTAGATGCGGAAAATCTATGTCTCTTCCATGTAGCAGAAATAGCCAAACCGAAACTTTTTTTCGCATGCCCTCGGTGAAGCACCGGGACACACACGATGGCTACCTCGCGAGCAGACCAGATCTGGAAAGGTGCCTCAGGTTCATGAATGAGATTAAAATTGAAAGACAAATCACGGACCTGCACAAGTTCATATCGAGTCAATAGAAGCATATGGGAGAAGCACAAGCGAGTTTTTGACCAACATGGATCGATCGAAGTGATGGTATATACTTACTCGGGTGTGACCCTATTCGCAAAACCAATTAAACGCCACATGACCTTTCCAGGAGTTTTTTACTCACAGCTCACTACCCGTGATAGTCCCAACCGCACAATGCAGAAGAGGTCTAGTATCTGGCTCATGTGCAATTGTCACTTCGGTGAGGCCTATCATGATGCAGTTAATTAAAATCTTGGAGGATAACAAGCAGAGAAACATCGCGCAACGGTGTACGCTGTTTGCGTCATTCTCGTATTCTGGATACTGGTTTGTCCTTACGGAACACGACTATGGACGGAAAAAGGTCGATAATGATTGCTGTAGGTACTTACATAGCCAGGAACTGATTGTTACGAGCCACGGGGAATCTTTACGTGAGGACTCCGTAGTTGACGCGTAAGTATTTGAAGTGACGACTTCGGCTATACCAGTTCTGGGGCGACTCGGTGCCGATGGAGATCGAAACACAGGGTACTGCTACTGCATTGCAACGTATGGTGAAATGGTCGGTATCTATACCATTCAAAGGTTCGGTGCACCCACGACCGTCCTTACGTGCAATGCTGGCAATGCTGAGATTTTCACCCATCGGTATTTCTTGCGCATGCTGTTGTTTCGCGGGTGTTCGTCGGTATCCACGAAATAAAATTTGCATACTGCCACCGCCGTCGCATTACAATAGATGTGACTTCAAATTGTTGACCTGAAGGGAGGGAGATGGATTTTTGGTCGCGGCCTACCGGAGAGGATCCACATGCCTGTAAAAATACCATCAAAGGGCGATATTTGGGCCGCGCGTGGACGCGATAAAGCGGTCCTTCACCAGCAGGCTGCTATACGGGTTCAGATGAACATGTCGGGGGCACATGAGTGAGATGCTCGCTATCTAATCAGATGAAGTTCATCAGTTAAGGTAGGGCTCTGCCCTGTCCTAAGTATAGGCCCGCGGGTGTACTATGTAGCAATACTGTTCAATTCCGTCCTGACATTGACAAGGCTTCTGCGGCAATAGTCGACAGAGCATCAATTCGAGACCGTCTCTTCACATTATGAAGTTTGGATGGCGGATCCATCCTTCAAATTGGCGTGTCGGTACAATGCCTAATTAGAGGTTCAGCAGGGTTCAGCCTTCCATCAGACTGCGGCATTCAAGTACTTTGAGACATAACATACCGAGCACTCGTGCTTTTTCGGCGGCCGAGAAACCTTTCAGCAGCAAATAGATCTCAGATAGCACTACCTGGTGAGCTGAGGACGATTGTGGAGGTGAGGGCTTATGTCAGTAACGTTATCCTTATGAAAATGAAAGAATTACGGACTAATAGTACAAGGTAAGTGCTGCGCATTAGCAGGTTCCGTGCGTGCGAGTAGTGGTTGTCTTGCCGATTGGCTTGAGCCACTTACAATGGACGGCTGCTAAAGGCAGGAAACGTATAAGGTCCCCATCCGCCACCGACAGGGACAAAATACCTTCATATTGGTGCCCCTGGTAACATGCCTACTTTCACATTTTCGGCGGTTCCCTTGCGTAGTCAAGGGAAAGAAGACGGATGATACAAAAACTGTCATTTCTTAGCAACGGGAATATACTCGAGGTACTTGTCTGCGTGTCGATCGTTATCTGCAACGTTAACACTGATCATCCTCATCCTCGACGGAAAAAGAAGACATGCAACTCACCAGAGTACCGGTCAGAGATGCCTTTTGTGTGTTTGTCAGACCTTGTATGAGAAGGGACTTGTGACGTCCTTCACTTGTACAGCATTGAGTTGTCTGTCAACCAGCATTGAGCGACTCGAGTCCTGCGAGAAACTATGGTCGTTGTGATGACGTTTCACAGCGCTCTCCATGAACGTCAGAGTAATACCCCATTAGATAAGTATAGTACCACACGAAATGAATAAAGAAACTGGGGTTGGGCCTGGACAACGTCATTAAGCACTTCCATCCAATTATATTTCGAAGGACAATAGATAGAAATTTAAGACGAGAATAGCTGCTGCGCTCGGGAGTCAAGTAGGTGGCGAGACAGATGATGATGCACTTAGTGGGTCGATGAACTAGAAACCGTCCTAATCTCTCGGAAACTTGCGGATCTCGGCCCAGCTTGTGGGTGTCGGTAGGCGCCAAGTCGCCTCGGCGCCATAGAGGGTGACCGTACATAAGATCGGCACCGCTAATTCTGCAGGGAGGTGTTGAAATTCGGAATCATCGTGATGGCACGTACAACACACTCCGTAAGAAGACAAAAACTAACGATGGTCGGAGCCGCTTACAGATACGAAAACTTGTATTATCGAGGCATAGTCACTGCTGCTGGCTTGGCTGTAGGACGATCATCCTTACCAAATGCATCTCTACCAGTCTCGGTATGTTCAGAGCAGCCGACGGTCCGGTCGCCAATTAGGTCCTGGCATCTATTAGAGCTATGTGGTTTGTGGATGAGGATACACATGCCCTGTGAAGATTGATAATCAACAAGAAGCGTATCAAACAAAGAGAGTGAGACCGAACAAATCAGATTCACGGGGGTGGGCAGAGTAGCGTAAACGAGAGATTATACGCTTACGTTCGGTAAGAATATATCTAGAAGTGAAGCGAAACTTACAAGTCACCGGGTCTCCTCAGCTGCTATGTTGGAAACGACATCGTCTTGCCAATGTCTAGAAAAAGCTGAAGGAGAAGATCAGAACAATCCCCAAAAGAGAGTCTTCGATATAAACAAAATTAGTAGTCTCCCCAGCTCAGAAGGCTGGCTTTGACATCCAAGAGCACAATGCACGGAGGTAAACCGCAAACCGAAGAAGAGGTCTTACCAAAATAAACTTATCAACCACCCTAGTACTACTTGGCGGGCAGCTTGTACTAGTCATTCGGAAGGCTTGAGAAGCCAAGATCTAATTGAAGGGCCGACAAGGGTTCTTGCATCACCCGTCACCATAGACTAGATTCTAATTCCGCACGGATTTGGGGCTTGCATATGCACATTGGGTCAAAGGAGAAGGATACGTCGCTTGCCAGTGCCATAAAATGATAGATACAGTATCTACAAGAAATCCTGAAAAAGATTAGATTGACAGTAACAAGACGGAAGAGCTTAGATACGTCGTGGACAGCTTGCTGCTGCGAGTAAGATATGTATGTACATCGTGGTGCTCTTGGTGTTCTTGGTGGTCGAGGAAAGATGTTGAAAGTAGGCCCGTTGAAAGCAAGCGGGGGTCACAGTCACAGTCACGATTTCCCGGAATCCTCGGCCCGACTGGGAACTGCCACCCCTGTGCGACCCACCAGCATCCGACCAACTTTTTGACTCAGCCAGTAGACTCTTCACCCCACTCAAGAGTAATATAAAAGCCAGATCAAGTGACAGTTTCATGTCTTCTCTTCGTTGTTGATTGCCGGCCATGTTTAGGCTATGTATATTCGTTATGTAGGAGAGGCTTGCATTAGGATCTGCTAAATTTACGCATTGGAACACAGGTATACTACTGTATAGTATCTTCAGCTTTGCTACAGGAAGAATGAAAAACATAGACCGATGGAAAGATATTTGACATCTTCCTGTAACAGCGTACGTGTTACGAAACTGATATTTATAACTTTAAGCTTCGAGCAACGTTGGGATCTGGACATTGACCTAGTATTCCTTCGGAGACGTGAGTCAGCGGGGCGCGTTATTATTGCCTCCGCAGTCAGCAAAGGCTCCACCCGCGCCTAAAATATGGTCCCTGATAATCCAAGTGCTTCTATCAGCGTGTACTATGCAAAACAGGTTTAATGACCCAAGTCTTGATAAGATCTAATGCGTACCAACGGTTGTGTGGCTGCACCTGCTCTGCTCGTTGCTTGACCTGAGCTGCTGAATGATTCGAAGTCTATCGAACGTTCATGCTCTTCACCGCATCTGTCCTTATTCCGAGCGAAATGTTGTTAGGGCTTGGCTTTACTGCGATCATGGCGCGGGTCAAGTGGTCAAGAACACATCTTGCGTTGATGATACAAAGCAGTATTACAAATTTATGGCTTTTCTGATGATTTATGGTTCAGAGTTTGGACAGAACAGCATCGGCTCCAGAAACGGTGACTCCCTTAGCAGGCTCGAGCTATATATACAGATAACATCAATCAGTAGAACTGATGGCATGTGCCATGTCGTACCTCTACATATTTCACCACGAGATCGTCGATGATCATGGCGTAGCGGGCGGTACGGGTACCAAAACCAACTGCGGAGAGATCCACAGAGAGTCCCATGCTTTCAGACCATTTTGCATCTGTATCAGAAAGCATCAACAACTATAAGAATTCTTTAGTTAAACTGCGGGAAACGTGGAAGTTGGGAAGCAACTGTACTTTGTCTTGAACACCTTCGAATCTTCCCCATCCGCTCAGAACGAAAGCGTCATTCGCAGCGACGACGGCGATAGCATCAACGCCTTTCGCCTTGAACTCATCGTACTTCTCGATGTACGGGGGAAGATGATTCGCATGGCATGTAGGCTGATTCGAAACGTCAGAAATGTACATAATTCGGAAGCAAATAGCGCACAGTGAAGGCTCCTGGAACAGAAAAAAGTACAATCTTCTTTCCCTTCCACGAGTTGGTGTTAAGCTTGGTGGCTATGAAATATCCCCATTATTATGAGATTTAATCGGTCTCTGCTGGCACTTACGAATGCCACAAGCAAGCTGACACTTTGATCAATGGGGTAATCTCCACAATATCGACGCGACATACCTTGGCTTCTAGCTCGGGGGTATATGCGATGTAGGTGAATGTTGTTTCAGGTATCGTATCTCCGACCTTGATTGTGGGGGCCATGATTGTCCAGATAGTATGGGAGAAAGAAGGTCGCGTAGTACTTTGCCATTTACCGGGATAGGGGCCTAGACTCGGCTATCCCCGAGCACGTGAGTCCTGACTAAGCACGCACGGAAAATCAATAATCATCTTGGGAGGATTGCCTTCACGATCTCAACAAGGAAAAGCGTTGACGCGTTGACGTTGGGTTTTGTTGAGGATAGGAATTGATTCTGGGCTGCGGGACTGATAGGCTTCGGCAATCACGGCCATCATTTCGAGATAAGATAACGTGTCCGACTAACGAAGCTCGTGTCATGGACTTTTTCTATTACAGCATCCTTCAAGCGTTTCAAGTTTTCGAGTCGAACGGAGAGCAAATCATCTCCGTTCCAAAATCCTGTAGAATCTTCAGTCACTATGACTATTCTAATGACAGCGGCGCGCTCGTGATGCGCTGCCAACGCTGACTCGGAGGTCCACCCTGGCGTCAAAAAGTCTCTTTTCTTTTCGTCTTCCCTGAAACCCGTTTAGTCGCTCTTATTGGCCGCATACTTACTTGCAAGGAGGTTTCCCCTGGAATTCATGTGGTCGTTTGCATCGAAGAACCTGAACATTGTCTGCGGGCGTTGCGTCTCAGTCCGACGACATGCGTAGCTCAAGACTGAGCTGCCAAAATTTGACGTCGAACGCAAATTATATATATATCCAGACACTCAGTCAATGCTCAGCACTTGTGGAAGCCGTTGTCAGGCCGCTGTGAGACATTCTTTGAGCGACATACAAAATGACTTCACTTCGACTTTTGCTTTGGAATTTTTTTTTGGCAGCCAGAACAGTTGCCATCACGGAACAGCCGAGTTTGGGATATACTACTCCTGCATCGGTGGTGCCATCACGCCCCTTCGGGTATACGTGGCAACCTCCCCCAAGGGTTTCCTCCGTTGCGTTTCATCCTCCTGCTTCGGGAATCATCCATTTTTTTGCTGCGCTGTGAGTCCCAGGCTCCCCGGTGTGTTCTCCGCCCCTCAAGGATTTTACAATATTAAGGTCTACACCGTTCGACTTTCATATCCGAAACCCTCCGTTCAATGGCTATCTGCTTGGTCATCGTCGAGCGCGTTGTGTTCCAATCAAGGGGGTTGACACCTCGCCAACGTTGACAAGGTGGGTTCATTACCTCCAGGGATTCTCTGTTCTCCGATTCGACAGATCAATCTTCGATCATCTGTTGTCTTATAGTATCTACCCTATAGCTTTACATCACTGGCGAATTGATGTGCTCCTGGCACATAAGAGGCGACCAGGTTCATCATCACCTTCTCTACTCCACCACCGGCTGCTGTTGTGCAGGCTCGACAACGATGTAAGGACCTCTGCCCACTCTGTTCAATATCTCACCTGCTCTATCTAGGTCTTTCTGCTTACCAACCGTGCGGATTATTGTCACCTCCAACGCGGAGCGGTACCAGGTGGTTGAAATTACGGGTGCAACCAATGGTTCGTCCATACGAGAACGTATCTTGTCAAAGGTCATTTTTGTCTTGTCCTCTCTGAAAACACTAACGTGTTCCATTCCTCTCAGTTATGTATTCCGGATGATCGCTATTCTTGGTTTCGTGTGTATCAAGCCCAAGTAGGCACGTATGCCATTGGCAGCGCTCTATCAGACGCGATGCTGTTTGAAATATGCCTCCAGCAAGGCGACCCGTCAGGGTCGTTGGCATTTTTTGTGTCTACGGCGCCAGATCGACCGCCTAAAACTGCGGAACCTGATTATTCAGACACTTATCTATACTCTCAGTCGTAAGTATCCTGTTGTTCTTTCCCTCCAGATGCTAACGGAGCACAGAAGCCGTAGTCGTCGTCGAGTATGTGATATAACTGTCATCTTTTGATGCTGTACTGATGCTTTACAGGGCTGAAATCGATTCAATTTCAGATTTCTCGGTTGGGACATCTCTTTCGTTGCTGTATATTACTGCGTATGTACGATAGTTCTGTAGGATGTGCAAAACTTGTACCACTATTTCATCAATGCGTCCTATCGGAGCACGGCTCATATGCTCTACGACTTCTCTGCTTCTGATTGGGAGACGCGGATCTCGCTGTCTTCGAAAGCATGTTACCTCCCAGTCCTAAGTGTCAAATTTCCGTGCCGTGTTCCGTGCACCAATATATAAAGATGCTTCCGAATCGGTCCTTTTCTCTGCAGGGTCGTACGTTGTTCGAACATGAAACCCGAAAATCGTGCTTCTTCGACGGGAAGGACTGTCCTTGAACGGCTATGGATCATCAACATGAGGATGGTGTGATTCACTTTCGGTGTTGGTGCCAACACCGATGTGTTTTCGTACTCTCATAGATGCTATGTATAGTCCTGATACTTCCCTGGGGTTCGGAAAATGGGGGATGGTGGGTAGCGGAAGCGGAGTCGAGTTGGTGCGAATGCAGTGTTAGTGGGAAGATATCTGATCTACGGCTGGAATGGTGGAACAGTATTCAATGTAGTGAGTTAAGATGACATGTGATTTATGTAGGTATATCACCCTCGAATGCCCGGTAGGTAGACGGGTCATCAGCAGGACGCCCTAGTCCTTGGAGCGCTTCTCTACAAAGATGATCAGGGAGTCTGGATGAGCCACCATCAGGAAAGGAGAGGTGTGAACTCACGGTCAACTCGTGTATCATAGAGAGGCATCATCAGTCCGACATAATATCGGAGCTTTACAAGGGTCATATGGGTGAGATGCCTCGTTGAATCAAAAGGATTTGACGATCTTTCGAGTCGTGTTTATTTTGGGCCGAGGTCACATCAAAACTGCCTCGATCGATCAACTTTTCTAGACGCTGGATAATGAATGAGCACAATGGTAGGGGCTTTCTCTTAGCTGCCGTAGGCTTCCTCTTAGGTTAGATGTTGATGATTCCCCTGTGATTGTGATCTGCGCATGTAAATTAGAGTTTGAAGGTAGGCACCATGATGAGTCACCGGAGAACGTTGGGTCCCTAAATTGGCGCTGCCATTCGCACACAGTCACCGACCAATATCTGCAAGGGCTGAGCGGTTGTGCCATGAGAGTTTAAACTGTATCGGCTACGGCCGCACGAGCGGTCACCGCGATCCCGTCGGGTGCGCGGCTGATATCTTTCCACGGCATGGCGACCACGTATTAAATAACAGAGCCTGCAGGATCACCGCGAGGTTAGATATACATAGTTGAATTCCCCAGTAAGACTCGGCGATATGACCAAATCCGAGCGAGCTGAAAACAAGTTTTGGCATTGAATTGTAGCTGTTATGTGAACGGGAAAAACTAATGTGGACTTACCGATGATAACATTAGGATGGGAATGGGGTTTTGAATTCACAGAATCACACCGCAAGCAGCTAGTTGACATTGCTAAGTCACGGTTGTCGCTTGCAACACAAAACTTCTCTCGAAGACAGACAAGGATGTAGTTTTCTGGACAGGATGAAGATGGTAATTATACTTGCATTGAACTTATCCACTGTTAACCGACTGAGTAGGTAACATCAGAAAAAACGGTGTGAAAACAAGTGCAGACCATGTCAGCTGGGCTTAGTACTAGTGGTGTCCGGGCTGGGTCGGGCTGGGTTTGGAGGGTCAGGCAATGCCGCAATGATGCCCAAATATTGAGCCCGCCAAAGCCCTCCACCAGGACAGGGCTTTTCAGGACCGGGTTGGGCTGGGTCAGGCCGGGATGTGGGCTTTAATCCTGACCCGGACATCATTAGCACTTACTGGCGCGAAATGAAGTAACATGTACATCAGTGCTTAATAATGTTACGGCAATAGCCCCATTCACAAGGTGCTCTTGAAGGGGAAAGGCCTCATGTATCATTCAACTTTGGGATCCTACAGGATTCTACGGTTCAAACTGGGTTGCGCACGGAACCCTAGATTTTGATGCAGCAGGGGTTCAGACTAAGGTAGGGCTAATAATTCCTGGTCCTGTGAATAACAGGATATTTAATATCATGTCGCGAGAGGGTATTTGTTCACCAGGTTATTAACAGTTTATAATTTTCCTGTGAAATAATGCGATTCTGATTGTCTGAAATTTGAATAAGATGCGAAGCAAACAGAAAATAAAATTTTTTTCTGACAACAGTGGGACTCGAACCCACGCCCTTTCGGACTAGATTACGTAATCATTCGATCACCTGATTCTAGCGCCTTAACCACTCGGCCATGTTGCCCATAGGAGGTGAGCTACGTGGACCTATATATTAGCAACAAAGTAGAAGACAGCGTTCACCAATTCCCGATTCTTTCCGAAGTATGGGGAAACGACAGATAGCCAAATCGTTTGGACAGGAGCTATACCTGACTTTTGATCCTAATCTGTATTATCTGTGCAAAATGCGAGCTTTTTTGCACTAGCACTTTACCGTGTCTTGTTTCATTGGACTTGAATGTAGTGTTGATGTGCCCGCTGTGCCAAAAGCCGTCATGCCTACGAGCCAGCTGCCAGTTCTTCGCACAAAGGTAAAGAATCGGGGACCCGGCAACTGCCGCTACTGGATGCCTTAAGCGCTCGGCCATATTGCCATACACTGTATAATGACGCTGTTGCCGCACAGGACTGAAGGTTATAGTCGGAACGTAGGAAGAATACACAGAACTGAGGTGGCTGAATCGACTGGCTCCTGCATGACCTTGGGAGGTGAACTAGGCGATATTGCTGTGAAGGTGCCAGATCTCAAAGTATAAATTACTGGGGGGGGGGGGGGCAGAGTCGTTTGTCTTTCTTTGACCGTCGACTTTTTCTAATCCAGATTACAGGAGGATACGGAGTTTATGGGCTACGTACGAGTTCGCCATGCCCTTGCTGCGCCCAGGCCACTTTGGCACAACTTGTCAATACATCTGAGATACCTTCTGACCGTCTCGCCGTGAAGTTGTGCAAGAGGAAGAATACATATCGGGTCAAGGGCGACGGTGTTGCTCATTCTCTTTGCAGCAAATTCATGTACACGGAAGTTATCAAACACCAGCTGAGCTTGAATGATCATGGTGTCTTGGTGGCGTACGGGCTCCGCTTCAAAGCTCTATGAGCAGAATTTTCTATGTATTCTGTGTTTGCGACCCGTCGCTTCGAGTTCAGTATATGCATTGAATCATTCGTCTGGAAACTGAGGCCGCTACCCCAAGTCTGCTATCAGATTGACATGGAACTATTATAAAAACTTGACCCTCGACGCTCGAATATTTCTGGAACGATTCACAAAAAGACTGAGACAAATCGTCCATCTAATAAGTAGCGCGGAGGACATGCCCCGCCTCTTTGATCCGCTTCCACATGGAAGATTAATCGAAAATCGAGCCTTACGTTCCTAGCGTCCGCAGCTTCGACATGAATATAGGGAGCGGAGAGGATATTATCTACTTAGTCTCATGCGATATTGATATAACATCAGAACGTCAGAAGAATATTCATTACCTTTTGCTTTCACGGTGTTCCGAGTAAAGATATTACGACTGAGATCACATTTTTCGGAATTAGTAGAACCAGTATGCAAGGAAACTACTGCATGACACTCATCTACTCACAGGCTGTGAACGACGGAGGCTGTATGGGGCAGTGATAAGCGACAGAGAGGCACAAATGCGAAGGTGGAAATGGCAGACGAGCAAAGGAAGATGCAATCATAGTTTTTCCCCGGTTCTAAAGGTAATTGGTTACAACATCAATAAATCTAAGGGATAGACAGTGTGTTCAATGCGAACTGAGTAGCATGCCAGTTCCGCGTATAGTATACATAGATTCCCATTTTGCGCTTTGTCATTCCAACGCGTATAGATCGGCGGGAGACTAATAAAGCAGCTTCCGAGGGGTTGGCGAAATACGTATGAAGTGAGGCGTACGGATACAGAACCTAGGTAGGGACATCCGAGCGTGAGTAATGCTGATTGAAGGTACAAGGAGGTGGCTGATTCCAAATGGAGCATCAAGGAGATATCAGTAACGACGGCCGAAACAGCTATTCTCCGCGAACAGTGGAGCCTCTCGACTTGGTTCGTGCTAGCCCAAAGCCCACGCTGCTTGTAGGTCTGCTCGGGATCCTGCTCAAATCTACCTGGCTCTCCCCGCCTCCGATGATAGCAGGGTCAACGTAGCTTTCCTGGTCAAAGTGCTCGAATTTGCCGTGAGAGCGTTGAGAGAGGTTTGAGGGAACGCGGCGGAGCGAAGGAAGGGGGTTCATGCCCATATCGGGTGTAAGGAGGTTCTGGGAAGGCATGCTCGGCGTGCGCGCACGTGAAGGCAAGGGATTGGAGACCATCTCGGGAGTAAGAGCCCCGGTTGATTTATGTCGGGAGTGAGAACTTGGAGCGCGGGGAGGAGGGAAAGGGTTGAGTAGGGGAGGAGAGTCAGACGGATTTGACGTTTGCTGTCTCAATGGTGGGGCCTGCCATGTAGGATTAGAATATGCAGATGAAGGCCGGCCTTGTGGTTGTTGAGATTGAGAGGAGGGAGGCCTCGCTGGGGCCCAGTTTGGCGCCGTTTGGTCCCATTCGTGATTAGGCGAAAGCTGAACCTGGTCATGGGGAGGTAATGGGTGTTGTCGGGAGGGCGGTCTATCGTTAGAAAAACTCTCTTGTCTTCGACTAGCAGGTCCTTTTTGCAGATGAGGGCGTATGCGAAGACTAATGAAAATTAGAAAAACGAATGCTACATGTTGACCATCAAAATTACCGGAGTCTGGACACTGATGCCCACAGGCGGACTATTCCCAGCTGAGGTGATGTTGGGGCTCTTCAGATGAGATTGCACAGAAGATGGGCGTCCTTGCACTGGAGGAAGTGGTACATCAGTCGAGGCTCGCCGAGCTCTCTCTTATCGGGTCCAGGTTCCCAAATTTGCCCCCTACCATCGGGTTCCAAGATCCCTAGACCAGGTCAAGGTGTCTACCGATGCATTAAAAGAGGTCGTTTGGCCCGGGGCTGTATAGCTGTATTCAGAGAAATTATCGTCGTTCCTCGCTTTACCCTTGCCCTTCTTGTCTGGTTCTGGTTGTGGGGACGCTGCTCGCATTGAGCTATTCCACTCATGCGGGGGAGGCATGCTGATGGTACCACTGGCGTCCAATGTTGGTATGAAGTTATCGGGAGCACTGGCATACTGAGGATGATGGTAAGACGGTGGATATTCCGCAGGAGGAACTTCGACATGGAATTCGCGAACAGAAGGCGAAGGAGGTGGGAGTGGTTCTTCTGTACCAGTTGGAGATACTGTATGAGTAGAAGGAACTGTTGGAGGCGCGGCATATACAACAGGTTGTGGTGGCGCTGGGACGACATAATACGAAGATGCGGTATCGGTCCTGGGTACTGCTTGCTGTGGTGGTTCCTCGTACTCGTCCTCTTCTTCTTCCTCCTCGAACTCTTCTTCCTCCTCCTCTTCAGATTCGTATTCTTCAGTGCCCGCAATTTGAGGCGGCCTGAATTCTCCGATCTCCCGCTGAGCTTGGGCATATCCCGACAACATACCCATTCGTCTGCCCTCTATCAAAGCCTCGAGCACAGCACGCTTCTGCTTCCTGTCTTGTGGGCATTGCGACCGTGCACGTACAGCGTCTCTCTCTGCATTCTGCAGCTGGCCAGACACCGTCTCCAACACCTCTTCTCCCCTCTTAATCTCCGACCGAGCATGGTTATACTGGATACGGTACATTTCCAGCTGCTTCTTGGCCTCGATGAGCTCCTCATGCATCTTCAATCGACCTTCGTTCAATAACTGAAATCGTTGAACGAGTTGCGCTGAAAACTCCTCAGCAGCAGATGCACGCTGCGTTTCCTGCTCGAGTCGTTCCAGTACAACGACCATAGCCTTGCGCATCTTGTTCGCCTCGTACTCTTGATTGATTAAAAGACGTAGCAGCTGTTGGTGGGATGCTTGGCCATGGATTAGCTCGCGCTCTCTACGAAATCGTTCGGACGGTCCATTTCGTCGTCGCCTGTGGCGCTGAACGGCACCCGTCTCTTGCGACGGCGACGTTAGAAGCTCGGACCTTGTAGACGGTTCATTGCTGGTGGCAAAGGTTTCATTGACGAATTCCTGGACGACACCACTGTAAAAGTCATGTTCGACGCAGCAGTGTTAATATTAGGATTTGTACTCACGGGTTTCCTTGATGACCCCCGGTATAAAGATAGGAGCTACCGGCACCTTCCATGGCACCAGTATTATACGAGGGCTGTCTTTGAAAGAAAATAAACTGTTCAAGATGAGGCCATGGTCGTCGGGAAGTACAAGAAAAGACCGTCGCACAGCCACATGTGTAGTCAGGCTTGCTGAATTTTACGCAATGAAAGCAGAAGTTAGAGAAATAATAATATTCTACATGGTATAGGTGGTTGCATCATGATCATTGTTAGAGGTAATTAGAGTATATAACAAAGTCCAGATTCCATGTGAAAGGATTGCGATGGGAGGGGGAAAGAGTTGAAAAGACACAAGATGAGAGATAATGTAAGTACGTATAGGGAGTACACCCTACTGAAGGTACCTTGCAGAAAGATAATACAAGAAAAACTATAGCGCTTGGCCGCCCTGCCAAGATACAGTGCTAGCACGTCGGTCATCGTATTGCGGATCAGACGGTTGCTCCTGTTGTTGCTGGAACGTAGGAGACTGTAGGTATTGCCCAGAATAATACCCGCCTTCACCTGATCGCGGACCAGGTGCGAGATGGCCGGCAGAAGACGCGGGAGGACTACCAACCATAGTCTCATCCGAAGCATGGAGGTCATCATATGCAGTAGCATACGACGCCTCACTCGCTGTCGACCGGTCGACATGGTGATGACTGTGGCTTGATACAGACGGTGGATTCCGCACATCCATCTCATAGGCGTCTCCAGCATCGTACGGCATTGATCGTCCATGGGTGGCAGGCACATTGATGACGGGTGGTGATAAAGGTGGCGGGCTAGAGGCACGATTGCCCCGATGGGTCGTGGCAATGCTTGTTCTCCTGCTGGGCGGTGTGCTCGTGATCGAGCCGTCAGTATAACGGTACTTGGGTGATGGTAGTGGCGAGGGCGGAGGGATGTCGGAAACGGAATAGTATGATGCTGGAGTTTCGTTCTGCCGATTGAAACCACGGGGTGAAGAGATTGGTGTCGAGTGGTGGTGTATCTAGATCTGTTCGTCGAGGCTGATTGCCAGGGCCAGGGCTTGATGTCAGTGCGGGCTCATATGGAGTGTTGCTGAGGGACATCTCCGACTGGCTACGACCGTGTCCGAACATAGGTGCTGCTTCCAGTGTGTCGCCATTGCGATTCTTAGCCTTCCGGTGCCGGATCCCAAGTTGATCCTTGAGATCGCCTTTGACCCACATTTCACGGACGATTTCTTTATCCAAAGGTAGGTATGCTGAAGAAAAGAATTTGCACACGAAGCGGGGACCTGACGAACAATAACACGGCGTGAATGAGATGGTATCTTTGAAGAATTACAAACATACCAAGGGAAACAACGGTAGAAAACACAACCGTCGCCCAGAAAGGGACACCACCGAACAAGATCTGCATCTCATCGATGAAGTCGGAACTGAAAAAGAAAGAATATACTATGATCCATAGCAGCATGACAATGCTAGAACCGAAGACGACAATCCATGTTATGATGGTCCAGCTACCCGCAAGCTTTAGTAACAAAGTTCTCGTTCACAGAAGAATGACATACTAGTGAGTATTCATTCCGACATAAGTGTTCGCGGAGAAAATGGCGGAAACCGCAACTGTTGTTCCAAAGTCGGCCAAAGAGTTCATGTCTTTCCCGCTCCACGACACGGAGAGACCAAGCGTCCAGACCAAGTACGCCATGAAGAATACAACCGCAGACTGATACAAGCCGTCTAACATGTAGACCCAAAATTTTCCCCGGGTGTATTCCAAGCCGCGAATTCCCCGAACATAGAGCTGCGGGAAAGCGAGCGCAGCCTTGGAGTTGATGTCCTGGTCGAATGCTATAGAAATGGTTGTCAGTGAGGCACATGTGAATTATCAATTCATGATCATACCTCCGAGGATAATAACGGGAAGTGATGTGAATACAAGATTGTACAGCAAGATAAACGTGTATTGATACAGATACGTCCCATAAAAACTATAAAACTTGTTTGGCGCACGTCAAAAGATACGTTGTAGGAACTCACTTGTTGAAGGGCAGATACCAAAACAGAGCAAAGGTCCAGATGACGTTCTGGAATGCGCGCGTTAGTGGTCTCGCTTGCTACATGGAGCTTCCGTACCTTGTAAAAAAAGTTGCTGTGCATGTCTGCCACGCGCTGATATGACCACCGGCCATGGACAATCAACAACTTAGTCAAAAATCGGAACTGCCCAAAAGCATAATCCGCAGACATGGCGGCCTGTGAACCCTCTAGACCGAACAGTCCGCAACCAATATTCGCCTCTTGAATCATAGCGACATCATTAGCACCATCACCGATGGACAGCGTCATGGCCTTGCGTCCTTCCTTGACCTGCAATCCAGGGTAAGACTACATTCAAACGTCATAAAACTAAAATAAAAATGGCGCGTACCAATTTCACAGTCAACGCTTTTTGAGCAGGAGAAACACGACAGCAAACAACAGTTTCACACTGTGTACCAAGGTTAAGGAACAAGGGCTTAAGCTCGGGAGTTAACGCATGTCGAAGGGTGTCTCCGTCAATCACCACAGCAAACGACGCCTTCGAACCAGGGAAGAAACCCCGCTTCCGAGGATCAAACGATGGCGGACCTAAGACAGATGCTATCTTATTGAGACCGGCCTCTATCTGCGAGCGAGCCTGCTCGTATGAATCGGCAGAAAGAATCATCAGGTCCATGTCATTCTTGAGCAGGTTGCAACTGTAACCGATTTCAATGGCGGTCTGGAGTTTGTCACCTAGGGGTATAGGTTCTCAGGAAAAACTACCTTTGATGAGAACACGACCTTACCTGTCAAAATCCATAGCTTGATCCCGGCTTGGTGCAAGGTCTCGATGGCCTCTGGAACACCTTCTTGCAACTTGTCTTCGAGTGCGGTAGCCCCAAGTATTTCCAACGAGTGCTCGATAAGCTCGTTCGCCTTATCAATCTCCTCGTCCCTGTTTTCAATAGCGTTGGTGGCAGCGTCGTATGTTCTAGACCACGTCAAATACTCTTCCTCGGTGAGCCAGCGGTATGCAATACACAGCGTTCGGAGTCCATTATTGGCAAACATCTCCATGTCCTTGCTCGTCTGTTCCTTCAAGACAGGATCGATGTCTTTTGCAAGGCGTGCGTAAATGACACTATCCGCCCCTTTGCAGTAAAGGATCAACCGCCCATCCGGACACCGGAAAACCGCGCTCATGCGTTTCCTGGTGCTGTTGAACTCGAGTACCTTCAAAAGCGTGTACTTCTCCGACTGGCCTATGACTTCTATGTCAAAAGTATCCTTCGATTTCTTGACAAAGGGGAACCCAACATCTCGAGCGGCAGCCACCAAAGCGGCCTCGTCTGGAGATTCAGCCTTGTATTCCAAGTGATACGGTAACTCCTGAGGTTCGGGTTTGTCTGAGAGGACTGTGTGGCACAAAGCCAGCGCTCGGAAGAAGGCAATAAGGTGACCCCGCTGCTCAGACGAACGGTCCGCCAAATCCTGTGCAAGTTTGGGTGACACCAATGTCAGCTTTTCCGGCTGGAGGTATCGGTTCTTGAAGGTCCGTTCCATAACACTCAACATCTGCTGCTTGAGCGCTGCGAGTTTTTCCGCTAAGCCGCCGGGGTCAAGAGAGTCCGCATTGCCCTCTCGGGTAGCAGCACCGCGTTGCGCCTCCGTCACGCCCTCCCCATACGTGACGCCATGAACTGAGCACTTCTGAAACTCCATGATGTTTTGCGTGAGCGTACCGGTCTTGTCGGAAAACACATATTCGATTTGTCCCCAAGTCATCGGAGATGTTCCATGTTTTGGGAACGCAAGGCGTGTCATAAGGTTGGTAGTACATATCCACGTCCTGGGAAATGAAGTAGGCCTGTATCGTTTTGACGATTTCGATAGAAATGTACAGTGATATTGGTACAATGTTTTGGAAAGCAATGAGACATGACCTTCAGGCGGCATAATGAGTAGTCATCCACGAAAGCAAAGAGCTTAGACATACACGAAGGTTATTATGGCATTCACGACTGACGAATCCGTCGCGTCCGAATCAGCCTCAAAGAACTCGGCACTAGTGCCTGTCTGCGCATCCTGTATGCCATTGAAGATAGCCGCAATGGTACACATAAAAACCAGAACACCGAAGTTGACGATAACGTTGAAATTCGTCTCCCTCTCTATTTTAGAACGTTTCGATGGGGTAGCACCTCCATTCAACATGATCTTGGTGTCCGCGCCAGTAAAAACAACTAATCCGATAATCCAAGTGGTATTGCGGATGGCGCATCCACGAAGAAGCATTTCATTGATCGTAACCGGTTCTTGCTTCTTCTCGCCCGTGACGGTATCTTTGTAGCGAAGAACGCCATGATAGAGATAAAGATTCTGGTGGGGTGGCTCGGAGTCAAGATAAAACGATGAACGTTCGATATCGTCCTCGGAGGATATGGAAGAAGTAGCTTTGATGGATTTCCGAGGCTTTAGATTAGTCTCGCCGTCCAAGTTCTTTGTCTCCAAATAGCACATTCCATCGGGATCCGACGTCGAGAGAACGACGATATCGGCAGGAACCTGGTCGTTGTCCCGTAAAAGGACAATGTCCCCGACTTCCAGCTTCTTCCATAGTGTTCTCTCCCAGCGCGCAGAGCCTCCAGTTCGCCGTTTCCAGTCAATTACACCAAGAGTAGACTGGGAACCGTCATTCTGTTTGAATTGCCGGAAATCCGTGGTGGAATTGCGTTGGGTTGATGTATCAGAAAACGATGATGCGTCTGGAGGAGGGTAACTATGGGAATCAATGCTCTGGATATCGTCTAACTGCCGACCAGCACCTGTGCGTACGTGATCAAGATCAAAACTCGTGGTGGACGGATCATCATGTGAAAGCACGGTGGAGGTGTCACTAGTTTTGCTGAGCATGACGCGTACGCCGTGGCCTGCCTCATTAGCCTCTCGGTCGCGAAGTTTGCGTACGCCTTTAGTAACTTTGCCCGGTGGATTGATGCCCAACATCTTTTCAAACCAGGGCCGGGGGTCTGTCGGTTGGTTGACATTACGCCAAGAGCCTAATTTTGTTGCCGCCGACGTGTTAACCTCTTCGTCAAGAGTCGCACGGCGATAATCTTCTACAGCATCTTTGATGGCGGTTACTGTGAGAATGAAAGCAAGCGGTAGGACTGAGATGGCGCCCGATGCTGCGTCGAATACGGAGAAAACTGCGGAACGTCGTTAGAGGTGTCCAGGACAAGAACGCGAGCGCGAACGCAAGCCCGAGCTCACACTCACGTTGAAGCACGACGAGGGTAAGGAAAAATAAGTTTGCCACCCTGAATTGATAGATAAACACGATAAAAAGGCCTGGAGAGTATGATAGCGCACCGCCTAAATTGCTCATATAGATTCTTGGGAATAAAAGTTAGAATGGTATATTCTAGGATGTGATTTAATATGAGCTGAAGAATGATAATAAAAGTACTCACTGGTAGTCCGGACCTTGTTTCTCTCATAGCGAGCAATGGGTTCCCCGTGAACATCGACTTCTAGCACTCCCAGAGGATGATTTACGTAGACATTCCTCCGCTCACCGGGTACCTCTGTCGAAGGCGCCGCATCGACAGGTGTCGGCTCAGGTTTTTTCTTCTCAGCACTCTTTCGAAAGAACCTGGACCGTTTCCTCTTCCTCCTCTTCTCAGCTCTCTGTTCGGACCGTATCGACTCTGCTATTGCCGACGCTGCAGTACGGACGGTTCGAAGGCGAAGTTCTGGGTCAATAGTGTCGTCATTTTCTTCGTCGTATTCGGTTTCTCGCTGATTAGAACGTCTGAGAAAAGACATATGGTCGCCTCTGTACGGCGATTTGCTAGGGTTCGAGGTCGAATTTGGTGTCAGTAATACCGCGTATATTCTCGCCTTGGTACACCGAGAACCAGCACGGAAAACGAGGACGAATAGAAGGAAATGAGGGTACCAAATGAAGGTAAAAGGAGAAAGCAATGTACAGACCGCACTGCTCGCAGTGATTGCCATTTCCGGTGCTGACTCATCATGAAACACTATCGGCCAGCCTGCAGCCAAGAAAGTCTTGGAAATATTCCCATGTTGAAGAACCTTCTCCTTGAAAACATCATATTTTAGGTACGAATCATCTTGCGAATAGAGCCTGGGGGGAATTTTTTTCGTGGTCCCACCCATTCAGATTTTTACTTTTCGGCAGATTCAAATTCCCTTGCTTTCCAATCACTGCGTATCAATACAGCTGACGTTGAATGGCGGTGACTACGCAGCCCCCCCTTCTGCGGACCTCGAACTCTATGTCACTTGGCACTTCTACCAAGCGCTGTTCGATTGGCAGTCACCGACAGGAGCATACCGGGGCCATGTCTTTCATTCTTTGCAGAAGGGAATCTATATTCTCCCGGTGCTCTACCCTCGGCCCTTGCTGCATAGTGGAGAAGCATCACTAAGTATTATTGATTACCCAGGTGCAGCTGACATGAGTCATCATCATTTAATAATTTCACAGCGCGTTTGCGACCAATATCCCCTAGATCAGAAATACCCCTGAAATTCATTGAGCCGATGCTCTACGTAGGAGTCAGCCCCCCCCCCCCCCCGGGGCCCCCTGCCGCCTGAGGGAACTATCAGTAGACTCTCTAACGAGGAAACTTTGTACCCCAGTACGATACTGCGGACACAGCTTGTTGTGGTGTTACCTACCATTAGGAGGTGTTATGAGGACATTCTAATATATGGAAGTAGTGTCACGCAATCACTCCAACCACTCGTATCGGCGAACGCGGTGCATCAAATTGTCAAACGTGCCTTGTTTTCTTGTGTCAGCTCGGTCTATCTGTGTGATGTTGGCTGATGGTATTTCAATGCGCAGTACCACCAGGTACAAAGGGGCGCGCAGAAAAGCGTAAAGAGCGCCCACAAACACCCACATCAGCGTGGCACGTTAAAGCTCCGAGACTTCAATAAAACTGCGACTCGGGCTAGCTAATAAGTACTCATATCATCAAACATTCATTTACACCAACAAGCGTGGGATCTCTTGAATCCCGCGCGTCTTCGCACTACTCGCCTCACAGTGAGACAGCGAACCGAGCGAATTTGCAGTACTTGGTATGACGAAGTACAAGCCGTCGGCAAGACAGCGCCAGTAGCGGTACAAAGTGGTCCGCGGCATATTTCAATTACCGGTATTCAATTCTCTCTACCCATAAACAAAGCTGACCTCCAATTCATAGGCCCCACTGGATAAAGAGCCCACTGCAGGTCAGTTTTGGACCAAAATAGTCCCAATCCTCTTCCATGACATTCTTGGTAAATTTGCTTCCAGTTTGGCAGGTTCACGCGAGACTCAAGATTCAATCGCAGGACAATGAAGCCTTGCATTAAGTCAGGAAGACTGCACTGCGTCCGAGTGGGTCTTTGGGTTAGAGTGTCTTGAGAACTGATTTTTATTTTAGGACACAAAAATATGCTATCTTGAACCATGGGATCAAACCCTGGAGTTCTATTCTTTGGGCTAAAATCCCTACAGATCAATTCGGGACCTCAAAATCAAGGCGAAATCCAATTGAGGCTCAAGCGCGCTTTCGGTGGGGGGTTATGCACATTGTATACATGGCATCATCTCCATCAAAAATATCGCCAGTTGATGTTCTTAAAGGTACGTTACTTTTCTTTTGTCTACTTGGCATGTCGTCTCTCGTGGTCCATCTTCGTTGTCATAGTGGTCTAGCCAAGGTCGAGCACTTAGCGTCGCAAAAAATCAAGAGGCTTGGCAGCTTTCTCCAAGTAATTCGACACTTGGGCTCTCTTACAAGGATTAGGGAAGAGGACTGCATTGGGAACTTCTTCCTTGCGAGAATATGATGAGGTTGCTTATGTCTTGCTGATAATGAGTCTCCGTGCCGTCCGACCGTCTTCAGCAAAACAGGGCAAGGTATACGCACTGCTGCCGCGTTTCTCAGCACTAGTCTTGGCAAGGCAGCAGCTTACTATGTACTATGAACTCTCGACATCTGATGAGCTTGACTTCATCGTGTGGCGAAACTAAGCACTCAAAACTTTCTTGACAGCTGCCACAGGGTCCTGCGCATGGCCTTCTGGTGTCAGTTCTTTTCGCGGGGGGGGGTCGCTGTTGTAATGCTACCGTTTGTATCGAGTCTATATAGGATACCACTGTAGTATCCAAGTAGGATCAATCGCCTTCCCTTGGCTTTCCCTATCTGATTTGCGTTAACCGAGTAAGGCACGAGATTGAAGTTGTATCCCCCTACCCCCACATCCACCGGGAATTTACCAATAAGGGCTTTTTATAAGTCCGAATGGCTTCAACGCAGCTTGAAGTGATTTTCTCTGCCAGATGCGTCGTCGGACGGCGGATCCGGTCCGTGCGATCAACGTCGGATGTGATCCTCAAGATTCGGAATCGGATTCTCTTTCTTTCCTTCTTCCAGGCACATGAAACGCCAAGGTGTTCACTTGCTCAGAGCAACCTGAGCTCGTGGCAAGATCGCTTTCTTTAAGTTTTCACCTTTCCTTCTTCTCAGTTTTCTGGGTCGAAGGTGGACATAATCTTTTTGTTCTCTCCGACATGCGCCGAGGCTTGCTGGTCTTGTCAATTCAGCTTCTTTCAGTTCTGGCGTTTGCGGATATTCAAAAGCTCTCGGCGAGACATGCTGTTCGAACAAATGGTGGAATACACGTGCCTATATTCAGAAAAGAGTCAGCATCCCGGTCGCTGTTGAAAAAGCGCGGTGAACTTTCTGGTGCCATTGGCTTAGGTGATTATTTTGACGTGTAAGCGTTCTCTATCGTATTTCTCATCATCGTATTGATGTCTCATCGACAGAACATACCATGTTTTGGTGACTATAGGAAACACTTCTACTCCGCTCGTGCTTGGTACGTCCACATTCATAATGGACGTTGATCTATTTATCTATTTCTTAAGATACCGGCTCCTCTGATCTATGGGCTATTTCTGATGCTTGCACATCCGAAAGCTGTATGACTGAAGTATCGCTATACCCTCAAACGAACTTTACATCAACAGGTCTCGAGGCTCAGCTATTTTATGGTGATTCGCGAACAGGGACCTATGCACTTGGCATTATAGGACAGGATACAGTTTCCCTTGCAGGATTGTGCCTCGATGGCCAGTATTTTGCCGCAATAAATGATACAAATACGAGTGTGCTCGACACCGGAGCAGCAGGGATTTTCGGCCTTGGATTTCCAAGCAACAGGTTTGTTTTTCCAGTCCTATATTTCTTCCGTTTATAATAGTTTCTTGAACAGTTTCATCTGGTCAGACGTATTCTTCAATAAACACGCATCGCTTTCCCAGCATCGGAGAAGAGATGTGCTACCTGCTAGGAGTCGCCCACGACGCCAAGGAAACTTTGGAACACGTTTTCTTCCACGCCTTAACTCTATGCCTCCTGTGTTTCCTGCCATCGCGAACCGCATCGGATCCCAGCGTCGGCAATCACGTTTAAACTCATCCGCTGCCGAATGGACATCCGTCATTACTGATTCGTACGCATCCATGGGCCCGTTCGTTGTTCGGCTCGTGGCTAAAGCAGAGTTGAATGCTCCAATGTTCACAGTGACCTTGCAACGGAACACTATATCTCGAGAGGGTAATGTTGGGCAGCTAAGCATTGGGGAGCTCCCCGCTGGTATCAAGAACGAGAGTCTTACTTGGGTTCCCATCCGCTCATATTCCAGCAAAGAGGGCGGTCTGGTCGGGCCCACCGATTCTCCGAATGAAGTACGTCTAACCTAGAAGCTTCTACTACTGTCACTGATTCACACACACCCAGAAATACCCCATCAACTGGGAAATCTTTATTGATGCCGTATATTTGGATGGGCAGAAATTGAATAACTCGTCCCTCGCTTCTTCGGACATTGCGGTTTCTGGTCTTGTTGATACCGTGAGTGTATTGAATTGTCACACACATTTGTCTTGGCTTGAACGTGCGCCAGGGTAACACCCTCGTACGCGGCCCTTCGGATGTCATAGACGTAATTTATGCTCAGCTGGGAGGGACAGAATTCTCTTGCTCCACCCCTCACACGCTAGCCTTTCAGATCGGAGGGAAGATGTTCCCCGTTGATCCGCGCGACTTCATCGTTCAAGCACACGCCGATAATGTGGACATTTGTACAGCAAACATTGCCGCCACTGACACGCCTGTTCTCGGTGAAGGCCCTCTCTACAGCTGGTGTCTTGGAGATCCATTTTTGAAGGGGTGGGTCTTCCGGCGTTTGTCATTGATCCCGGCTCAACGTACTCACCGAATGTAGTGTCTTGTCTGCGTTTCATTATGGCAACCTGTCGTATCCGTCTGTGGACTCTCCCCGGATAGGATTGCTCTCCACAGTACCGGAAGATGCCTCGGATAAGCTTATCGAAGCTGTAAGAGAGGCTTCTTCCAGCGACAATCTATATGGTGCGCTTATTCAGGCATACGCTGCTTGTCAATGATGACCGCATTGACTTTCCTACAGGAACCGCCGAATCAGCTCCAACTGGTCTTCCCGTCGCTGATTCAACCAATTCACTCGGGGTTCCGGTGGTTACTGCAATACCGACTCCGACATCTTCAAACGGTGATGTGGTTTTGTCCTGCCAAATACAAGGATGGCTGGCACTGCTGCTTGGTACTGTTGTAGTCTTGTTACGCCCCTAGAGCATGAGAGGAGGTGGTCCCGCAGTCATTGCGTTTTGACGCACTCGCTGACTTTATTCTGATTCAGGAGGCGGTTCATGTAAAATGCGTGTCATTATATGATATCCTATATATTAATTCGATGATTCCAAAAACAAAACTCATGCGTGGATGGCAGCATGTATACGAAAGAGGCGGTCTTAACGATATCTCCTGGACACCATTAACAATCCGCGCTTTTTAACTTCTTCAAAGTATGCCACATGCTTGTTCATCAACCCCTCCAGCTCGCCTTCCCACAACGGCCAATTCGCTTTTTCCCGTTCCGCCGTATCCCACTCATATCGGGCTGCGCTGAACACGAGCTCAACCTTCCTCAATTCCATCTTTGCCAGAAATTTATCGAGTTCTGCCCACTTATCCGGGCTACCAGAGATGCCACCCAGAGAGTACTCCAGTTGGATTTCCTTTAAGCAGCCACCTTGGGCTTTGTAAAGAAGGTGTATGAGCCAATCTGTCAGTTCGTCGCAAGCTTTGCACGCATCTGTCGGATCCCAGCGTCCGGGAGAAGTCACAAATAAGCGAAACTTGGTGACGTTCTGGATATCGGGGATGGGGATCTCGGTGTTGGATGCCCCCTCCAGAAACAGCTCGTCGAGGTGCGTATAGGGGATTACGTCGTATTGTGGAACGTCCCACTCAGGATAGTAGAGTGGATAGGTAAGCCGTCGAATGCGAGATGGCTTGGAGAGGAGCGGGAGGAGGCACTTGATGATATTTGCGTCCGTTAAACTGCACAGCGCGCTGGTGATCACCAGGTCTTCAATGTCAAGAGAAACTCCAGATGATGAGGATGTCTCTTCAATAATGCCTACGTCACGTAGCACTAGCTTATGCAGTCCGTGGAACCCACTGAGGAAGGTGCCAAGGTTCGTCATAGAACACTCGTTAATTTCTAACTCCTCGATTCCAGGCCAGATGATATCAACATCGATTAGTTTCACCTTGACGAGACGCAAGGTTGTCAAGTTCTTCATCATGCCCAAGGCGATAGGCAACTGCGGTTCGGAGGCAACCCATGTCGGCGAGGGGCCAACGTACCAGACGTTATCTTCGCTAATGGTAAGACTCTTTACAAGTGATGCAGCATTGTGACATTTCTTCGAGAAGTTTTCGCAGCGATTGAACGACCTATGTGGGATGAATTTAAAGCGTATGGCGTGGAATAAGTGATATCGGCTGCGGTAAACGAGCTGGCGAGACGCAATCGCGCAGGCTGTGAGAGAATAAACATCGTCGGAAAGAGCGTCGATTATTTGATCCATGAGTTCAGGCGGAAATATGGGCGCAGTATCTATGGATTGTGGTGTAGGATGTGCAGTCATGGTGGTGGTGTTCTGTAATCTGAACAGGGGCTCTATATATTTCACCAAGGCCCCTTTCTTTATAAGTACCGTGACCGTGTACAACTAATTGTTTCTTAATTGTTACAATGACAATTGCCACTCGGACTTCACTTGGCGAAGAGCGCACACCCGCTTATTGTATTTCGAATAAAACTCGCCTCTTGTGAAGAATAGCTCAATGGTTTTCGGAAGTCGTAAGCGCCTCATGATAAATTAGACCAGGTAATCTCGAAATGAGCTAGGACCAGTCCAAGGATCTGAGTGTACAACTTGTATAGGTCGGACCGAGAAGGTTGAAGATGTTTACCAATTCGTTCACAAGGGATGACTTCATGTTCACTTCGGTATATATTGCTAATATTATTACACTCCACCTCTACTATCGAACTTCACAAGAACGTATAGCCTTTGCTCCTCGAATAATCAACCCCGTTCCTCAATTGTTCCAACGTCAAGAAGATGAGAATCGTCGTTGGTTGTAGACGAGTCCAAGCTGGTAACCAGCCTTTGAACATGAACATCGCGCCCTCATTCTTTAACGAAGTCTTGATGACAGCAAGAGTAGACTATCACGGAAAACTCAGTTTCACCATGAGAAGTAGTGTAGAGTGCTTACATTAGATCCTGGTCCTGACGCGTTCATGATACGACTCTGACGACGGGATACTGTCAGGCTCGAGAGCGCGAATTGAAAAGAGTACAGACCTTCAATACATCCGCAGGAGAGCAGACAGTTGTCGCGACGGTGCCCTATATGATAATTAAGACACGAACCGTGCAAGGTAAGGGTCTACGAACAGCAGCAAAGCTTGCAGCGAAATGGCAAGCGATATTGTCATGGAAGTATGGAGTCTTCAAGAGCTCAGCCTTGAAGAAATCGTATCTTCGGACGTATTTAGAACTTGTGTGACGCGAATAAAAATAGAACCGTACGAAGCAAGCTGACTGGCGTTCATCAGAACGGAACGGAACACGTTGGGTCCCACTCCACGGGCAAGCGAAGAAACACCTTCTTCGCGGACCATCTAACGGAGTCCGATAAGTTGAGCGTGAACAAGGAATTACGAGTGGATTCACCCTAAACAGCGCATCGATACAATGTTTGTAGTTGAATCTCTTCTCCGGCGGCTTTGCGAAATCTCCCTGGAGACGCACCATGACGATCTCTGGAAACACGTTCAAAACGTGTGCCCCTCGGGAAACATGTAACACGTACCTCCAGGATTCCCAACAAAACCAGCAACTCCACCAGCTAGAGCGACGTAAGCTGTCTATGACAGACAACGAATGATTAAGGAACCGCACCCATAGAGCCAGCAAGAGCCAACTTGTACGCTGGTGCATCCTTCCCCGCACCAACTATCTTCTTACTCTCGTCGTATGCCCAGAATCGGCACATCGAATAGGACATCTGACGTAACCACGTTCCAGAGATACCATCGAAGAGACCACGCACGCCTGACCAACAAGTTATGAGATATTACGGAAGACCCACGAGTCGGAACGAACCTGCTGTGCGTACAGTCTTCTTCATACTTTCTATCATGCGCTTGTCCCCCGATGCCTGTAGCCGGACTTTAGTTAGATCTAGAGGACTGGAAGGGTATGCCATTAAGGATGACGGATCTGCGCAGCGTGGGAGATGAATGTTACGCACTGTGTAATAGAAGCCGCGATGGTAGCAGCGACGCCTATCCGCTTGTCAGCATTGGCACGCGATCAAGATCGTCGACATACCACCAAGCCAGAATGGATACGGCTGCTTCTTAGCAGGCGCAGACGCAGGCGACACGGACGGAGACGACATGGTCGAAGAGGAAGTACTTCACGGGTGAATACGTGTATCGATATCAAGTCTGCACGAGAATGAGTTGTCCGTGCGAATACGGTGTGAAACCGGTTATTGAAGATCCACGAAGCTGAGAAGCTGCAATGCACCTCCAAGGGACTGCAACCACGCAAATTCACCTGGAAATGCATAAGCGCCGTCATATACGAGACAGATATATTGTCGGCTCACGGTTGTGATGATGAAGGTAGGGACAAGAAGTAGGGAACCCACTGACCTCTGAGGTCATCCTTTGAATTGAGCCGGTGGTTCACATGTGACCAGTTCATCCTGCGAACTCGCGGAACACAAGGCAAGAGCCAGCTGAGCGCTTCTGATGCCAAATGGGCATATGATTCCGACCCCGCATTTTCCCAGACACAGATCAGCTGCTTTTGACCCCGCATCTCACTCCAAAGATGGGTACAACAGATGTTTTTGGCCATGAACTTACGGTAACAGTGCGCTACCGACCCGAGCAGTTGAAAGTCAAGGACGCGGCAGGGATATACTTGAAGCATGGGCCAAGTTTGAAGCCAAGGGCACTAGTTTGAGGCACTACATGTCAATCTTGGGAGGCACTCGTTGCTTAATCTGGCTAGATATCGCGTCTAATGCGGATAGACGTAGATAGATGTTCGAAGCTAGATTCTTGAATTTGTTTCAAAATTCTGCGCTTGAGCTGGAGATGATGAGACAACACCTCTGGTCTCAGTCGGACGGGCATTCGAAGGCGGTCTATGAAGCACAAGCGAAATAATCTATTAAACGAGTTGTCAAAGGCGAAGAGATAAGATACGCGCCCTACGGATGCTTGATGTCCCCAAAATTACACCCTGCCGACCCAGGCCTCAGTCTGTGCCGATACCAATTGTAGTGCGGGGATCACAGCCTCCACGTCGTGTTGCGATGTGGGGACATAGGAGCAAAAATAGAAACGACAAATGTCCGCATTTACGATGAAGAGATAGCGACGGGGAAGGGACACAAAGGAATATATGTTTGGCCCGGAAAATGAAGTGGGCAAATAATACCGCTTTGGGAATGTCTGAGGCGAAGACTGGTCTATCGCACTTGCCGTCATTACTTCAGTTCGCAGCCAATAGCAGGACTCGGATTGCTTTTCCGTAGCGCGGTCAGATGACTGGTTTGTAAGAAAGCTGCAGATAAAATCAGTTCTTCGAATTTCTCATTCATCTATGCAAAGGACGAGTACTTGATTGGTACGTGGACGACACACTTACTATACCAACCAACCATAATCATCTGATATTATGCTGTCATTTTGCAACGACCTTCGGAACCTAGACTCAATTGCTAAAGTCGAGAAAAGATGGGAAAGGTCGCGATTGGGAAAGAGAAGTTACATAAAATGAAACGCGGCCACGGAGATTACCGTGAAAAAGTCCGCATCTTAGCTCGAAGATGAGAGTGATGACTACAGATAGGATCGCGGCTGGTGCCGGTTGATGTCTCGGAATGGAGGAAGTCCTTAGAATGCGGCCAGGAAACAATAAAGATGGTACCCAAGACCGGAAGGAATTCGCCTAGTCGTAATCAGTTCCAGACCAATATATGATGAACAAAGCCAACTGACATGCGAGGCTACATGACCCTTGCCCGAGTCACTGAAGCTTTCTATGATGAATGTCAGCAGGTGTCCGGAAGAATGCAGGGTCAGGAAACAAGTGCACGAATCTGTTCTAGGCTTTCCAAATACTTCATTGGCTGCTGACGATTAGTCAATATACGTTCAATTAGCTTTAAAATGATACGTACGCCGTGATAGAAGCTGATACCAGAGCCTCGACATTGATTCTTCGCCGCCGGTCAGCGCAATATCTTCGCCTCACCACCTGTTCAACAGCGAAGGTGATTATCAAGTCCTTCAGACGGTCATCGGCGCTGGATAAGCGAGCAGATACGAATGGCCTTCTGGAGTAAGAGGATTCTGAGCGAAGTCCCGCGGGAGTTCACACAGGTCGCAGGAGAAAATGACCCGTCGTAAGTCGCGGGAGAGGATCAAGACGACACGTGTCTCTACGGTATACTCGGTCAGTCATCTTGAGCCAAGGAGCATCTCAGCATATAGTCTGAAGGTCCCCTGAACCAGGCCGGTGAAACTTGCGCATGTTCAAGAATGACGAAAAATCCATTGAAGTCAATAAATACAAGGGATGCCTGGAAGAATTTCTGTAGTTAGCAAAGAAAAATAGAAGAAGAAACGTTGCGCACATGTAATAAGCAAAAAAAATTAATTCATCCAGACCGCCACCACCAAAATATTTTCAGAGACAGCCAGAGTCCAATGAATCCTAGGACGACGTACATGGCTACTCGCCATGACTTCAACCCTCCCTGGCCTATACCGAAAGCCTGCCCGGCCCGCCGAGATGTCTGTGCTAGCGTAGCGCCAAAGGAGGAAAATGAATTGCCCTATACATGGTAACAATTGAAGTTCCGTAAAGAAAATGCAGAAATTTCATACTGTGTCGTCGAGCATTAGGTTCTGTCGCTCAACGTCATCGTTAATGTCAGTAGTAATCTGCAAACTGGATGTCAGCGCTGCGAAATACAGCGAAGGAATCTTGACTAACGCCACGCAACGTACGTATCTTGGAATGAAGCTCGTCTAGTCGCTGGTCATTTTGCGCTTCATAGGTGTCTTCGACCCGGCCTCTGGACGTCGACATCGTTGTAGAATAAGAGAGAACTAGAGAGCAACGCGTCACAGCGGCATTGTGACTACAGTGACAGTGACATCACTTGTCGGCCGATACTGACGTCATTGATTTTAACGTTCCTCTCAAACATCACTGCACCGTCTTTTGTAGAGAAAAGCTCGTAGATCCTGCTAAGAAATGAAATTTGGGCCAAAAATTACCCTTCAAAATAAATGTTTTTGTATAGCTTTCTTCCTTTTGATCTTGTATCGATCCAGTTGCGAAGGAAACGTCACGAGGTTGCTTGTGCACTCAGCACGGTATTTGGTTTATTCCTCTTAACCACCAACCACATCTTCCCAAGGTGGCACAACATGTACCACTAACCCTTCCTCCTCCAAAGCCCACAAAGGATCAAACCGCGGGTCCCTAGGTTTTAAGTCTTGATATTCCAAACGTCGTAGTACCAAGGTCAATACCTTTAGGCGTGAAACGGGAGCGGGAGGGGTTAACCTAGATCGCACCATTTCATAGAACTCTGGACATGTGAATATTGCCGACTTTTTGCTATTGTAGCCGCTGAATTCTTTGAGGGTGAGTTCGCGTAAGCAAGGAAGAAGGGTCGGCTGCGTTTCTGAAACCAGAAGAGCAACGTAAATGGAAAGATTAGGTATAAGGCCATTCGAACCGTTCCAGCCTCCCATCGTCATACTGAGTTCCGTCAAGGATGTTCCGATCGATGAGAGTACGCAAAACCGAGTGAAAGGTAGAATGGATCCTGCATGAAAGGTACGAATGGAGCAACCCGACCGTTCTGCGATACGGTCTATCATGTCTATTGCTTCATCGTCCCATTTACTCTCTCTCCCATTAATTTCTTCGAGAGCCGGGAATGTCCCGGCAGATAAAATCCTCAGCTCATGCGATGTACCTGTGATACTGCGCAGAGATCCATGGAATAGTGGCGATGGATTGGTGTCCCGTGAAATGACCATACTTGAAAATGCAAATTTCACGAGATTGGGCGCCCGCCTCAGGAGATCGTGCACCTCGCTAGGATTGCGAAAGTAACCATCAAAGGTGCGTAGCTGGGGAAGTGGTACTGGAAGGTCAAATACTGGGATGCAATGAATCTTTGCTTCTGTAAGAGCGGGTGCGACGGAAAAGAATGAATACGGCTCGGGTACGATGGCTCCATCTCCGTAGTAATTCATCACAAACACTGCCAGGGAGCGAAGTCGAGGTAGACGACCGCTCACCCGAGAGAACATTGGCAAGGTGCTTGCTGACAGAGTAATTTTCAGGGTCTCCCACCGAAGGGAGTGACGAACAATCAAAGTAACAACCTGGCGAATCGTCTCGCTGTCAGCATTGCGATACAAATCAATATCCAAGTGGAGGGGACACTCAGATGAAAGCTCGATATGCCTTTCAAGGGCTGCAGAAATTTTGCGGGGGTGAACTAGAGGATTAAGATGTGTACGGATAGTAGACCATAGTACAGGGGACGTGATAACGATGGTCCTCCAGAAACAGCACACATGTCCAAACACCCAGGGTGCGTTTGCAGTGTCAAGGTTGCATTCTTCATCTACAGATAGCAATTCGAAGATTTGTAGAAGGATATCTGCTGGAATGCGGCGCACAGGAGCCATGAGAGATCGTTGAGCATCGAGGTCAGATTGGATATTTTGTCGTTCAGTATGAAGACGATCTACCACAGCATTGAGTTCTGATAATTTGGAGTTAAGATCCGAGAGACGACTCTCTAAGCGCTGAGAGCTTTCATGAACTGGTGATAGATCAACAGTGAGCGACGACTCCCCCGACCGCAATAGGTCCACGATACGAGCTCGATTGGAACTCAAATCATCACTTGCTGACCACGAGATATGATGTTCAGTGAATCCGCATCGAGGACATTTTCCATTCATCTAGAACAATCACATTATCAGCAATCTATCTTCTACCCGAGAAAGTCACCTGAACCATACCATATAAGTATCAAAGTCAGTTATACTTTGCGAAAAATCTATTAGAAAGCGCAACAGCAAATAGTAAGTCAAGATATACTTACTAATACTATAGACTCAAACGTAGAGTCATGAAATTCCTCTCTTGAAGGAAGATGTCGAAAAAGTGCAGAAAGTCCCACGCCACCGTGTATTTGACCGCCTCTCGCGTGGTATTTATTTTAGGATTGAAGTCAATATCCTCAGGAGTCAGGCCAGTCCACCTTTTGTCTCTCTTGGTGGGTACTGTAACGGATCTCTCGTATCACTGATACGGATGTCTGACCAGTGACCAATCTTCGGGTCTTCATCAGCTATTCAGCTATTTTTTTGCGGGGTCACTCTGCTACAACGTAGCGATCTGGAGCGTCTACCGTGACGTTCACGTTCACCGTAGAACCATTATCATCTATTCCACGAAAATGATTGACGGGCTGTCTACATGTTCTTTCCTTTCGAGTCTTGGGTCAAGCTACCGTGCAAGACAGCAGAAAATCTGGTCTTCTCGCGTCTACTTCGTCGTCGTCTCGCGGATCCAAGAATCATCATGGATTTTCAGCGTCCCTTGAATCTCGACCTTCATAGCCACAGTTTCATCAGCATACACACTCTTCCTATCAAACGTCCATTTATAATAATTGCTCAGACGAGATATGCGTCTGGTGTTCGACTTTAATCATTCTGATATCAAAACGTTCTGCGTAAGGGAATCTGCTCCAAATGCATATCATCCAACCCCGCGGGAAGGGTATTCGACTTGACTGGGAATTCACTAATACGTAGCTTTGTCGCCTACAGATAGATCAGCTACAACAGAACACGGACAGCCTTAAACCACATACCCCAAATGGAGACAGCACAATCACCTTCTCAGGTCCGACACAATCAGGATTCTCAGGCGGACTGGCAGCAAACGTATCGCCATCTACGGGCCAATCGACGAGACAAGCCGTTGCGGTAATCGTCACTGGAGGTAGCCCGTAATCCCAAACCGGCGAGGGTAAATTGGATACGTGACGCTGGTGGAACCTCAGGGAAGAAGGATCGATGGCGTATTCCCAGGCTTCCGCGGCGTCGTACTGGAGATCCACCGCAAGGCTTTGACGTGGGTCGGTCTTGAGAACCGTCTCTGAACGCTGGACTGAAGGAACGCACGATACTTGCGTCAAACGAACCAACTGTAAATATTGGTGACGTACTATCAAATGCGTAATTCAAAGGACCTCTGTGGACCGCTATGGACCCATGGGGTCTGTTCTCTAAGACAGCACTTATAAGGAATGGATTCTATATTGGTCAAGAGGAAGTATACATACCGATGGTAATATCTGCCGGAAGTTCTAGCACGAATTCAGTGATCCCTGGACCAATATCGATGGGATGCAATCCATTTTCATTAGGTGTCAAGGCCTTGGGAGTGCTACCGTTGATCGAAATTGCCCCGTTAATAACCCAGCCTGGGATACGAACAAAGTACGCAAAGGCCTTCGTCGCCGTAACCGTCGTCGTAAGCGTATCGCTGAACGGATATTGTGTGTCCACCTCAACCGAGACTGTATTATCTGCCGAAAATTAAGACCAGACGTCTGGGATGTACGAAGCTGAAAAAATACACCTTTCTTCAGGATGGTAGATGTGCGGAAAGGTCCGAGGAAGAGATGAACTAGAGACTCGCCGTCTCCGGTTATCAAAAAAGCGTTGGTGATGTACTTTGGCCAGCCTTGAGGGAAATTGACTGTACAGCATCTAAAACGACATAAGGCATGAATATTCTAAATAATTAGGGAAATTCTCCCACGGATAATTGGGCTCTAGACCGAAGATGTTTGATTCGGGTCTTCGAAGTTTAGAGTTAGCGCATACTTGGAAATACCGATGCTTACCCATCTTCCGGAAATGGATTCCTGTAACAAAGTCAGCCGGGGGTTGATCATATCAAATGGACAACGCACGGTGTCATATTCTTTGCGGCTATCTGATTCGATTGTGCTAGGTATTGCCTTCCCCACATATCTGCCGTATATGTTAGCAACTACAAGGATGCCAGATTCGGGAACATACTTGCAGTTATCGTTGCAGGCAGCGCGTTATAAGCCACCCTTTCGACCTACACACAACGGACATTTGCAAAGACTAAAGAATGCGAATGAAATAACATACCCGGTCTGCATACTTCGGGTCCCCCGAAACTTGGTAGAGATAGGAACCTCTGCAAAAAATGTTTGTTCAAAAGTGATGATGATAGCAACAGATACACACGAGAACATTAATTCCTACACATGCTTTAGTCTCAAAGACCATCACAGAATGTAAAAAAGCTTACCACGACCAAGCACTACTCAGTCCTAAATCAGAGCGTCAGCACCATCTAGAGAAGTGACGGCTAGCAAACCCACCCTCGTACGGCTTCCAATCCCGCGAGCATTTCATCAGCAGCATACGCACCCGATGGTCTTCCGTGATAGCGGAACATCAAATCCCATCCGTCGCTTGCCGCTTGTAAATCCGACGCGTTGTGCGTGAACCGATAAGTAGCAGGCAGAGCCTTCATACCTTCTGCCATGTTCACCCCGTGCCACTACGAATAAGCAGGATTAGAGGAGGTTTCATAAATAGGAAAGGACAAGATTACCGAAAGTTCGAGACCAAATGGATTTTCGAGCGTCTCCACTAGATGTATCGTGTGTGGTTTGAGAATCATAGGTAGAAAACGAATCTTACCTGCCACTATGGGGAAGTACTAGCGCAAAATTTTAGAGGTTAAATAGAGATATGTTAGAATGTACGAGTGAAGAGAAAGTACACCTCTTCAGAAAAAACCTTCTCCCAAGGGACGCCGCTCCATTTAAATCTCACCATCGTGTCCACAAGAAGGTCCTCCTGGCCCTGAGGATGGTAATCGTACAGCCTGAGAACGTGATTGACAAACCCGCACCATAAATGATGGGAGCAACATACCACTGTAATACCATGACAAAGTCTTCCCAGCGCGTCTGTGCCCAGGAATCCACGCCATGTCCTTCCCGGAGCATCTTGTTCGCAACCACAACAAACTTGTATAGTGCAGTTACGACGCGATCGGTCAGTGCAGGATTGTATTCGACCATTTGAATCGCGCCAAAAAAGAACGGATACCTAATACGAGATTCTCAGTAATGACATCCCTTTAAAGAAAAATGGAAGATACCTTCCCCATAAGAAACGTGGTTTGTCCGTTCCTACCTCGGGACCCAGCCATCCGGTCTCATCCTGATGGTCCAAGACATAATCGAGGAACTCTTGCGTCTTGTTCATGATAACTGTATGGTTAACGACGATACCATTTGGTACCATTGCATTCTATTTCGCGAAATTTGCTGGGCGTTTCGATGGACACTTGTCGTTCGACTTACGAACCAATAACTGCCGGCTACAGAATCGTCGATAAGTGCAAAGGATATGAATTAAAACCTGTTACCTTCCTCCAAGTAGGAGTAATACGAGTCACCTCCAACCCAGTCGGTGTTCGAGACTCTAACATTCACAAGTTCTATGGCCAAATCTGACATCCAACTCAGAGAAGACTTACAAATCGTAGAATTCATGCATATGCCCAGCAACTCCATCTGTTTGTACAACAAGCTTGAAAGAATCTCGTTATCGACGTAAAATCGCGCGAATGTCACGTACTTGGTCGAAAAGCCATCCTGTAGGCCTGATTTCACCCAGAGGGAGCGTCAAGAACTTTTTTGGAACCACTGTTCATCCATGAGAACGTTCAATCATGGGCGATAAGAGGAGCGTACAATTACAAGAACTGCCTGTAATGAAAGCTAATGCGCTAAAGGCCTTGAAGACATACATCACGTTCAATAGTGGTGAGCGCAAAGAGATAAGAAGTCTTTCTGAACTCGTGCACCGAGAAGCCGTGACGCGATCCGAGCGGGCCGCTTGTCGGTATGGTACCATGCGTCAGAGTTACTGAAACGATATGTAGATTACAATGCTTATCAATTTCGAAGCCATGGTTGGACGACGCCCGGTGAAATATCGGAAAAAGCAGATATACCGTGTCAGTCTCTAGGATTGGTAACGTTCGAGTCTGTTTGAATCCGTGTTGCATTTTGCATCGCGAAAATCCAGTGCTCTAGACTATGATGGCACTGGGCAGGGTAAGATAATAGGCGTGGCCGCGTGGGAAACGCGAAATGACCTGCCCTCAATCAGGCTTAAGTAGCTTTCCAGGCTCAAATAATTCCATCGTGAATAAACAGCTTCATTGCCCAGAGATATTGCCTTCATTTAGGCTAATTCTTCATCATGTTTTTTGGGACATATTTTGCTTCATTGACATAAGATTTTTCAAGAGAAAGTCTCATTTATCCGACTGCTACCAACTTCTCCGCCGAGTCCACCCCTTGGGCGTTGGCCGCATGGCCGCTGGCACTAATGGGTCCGAGTCGACAGTCGCGCACTGAAGCCTTTTGGCGACCCCTTGGCGAGCCGTTCTTTCTTTGCTTATTACTACCGCCGACCCTAAATCAGCTACAGAACCGAAAGATGTTAAACTCGCTTTAATAGGTACTTGACACTAAAAAGGTATCTGTAACAATAGTTCTATCTGAATTATCTACTTATAGACTGATGAAGGACTCTAAGAAAGTTGACCGTTACGATATCTTCCATCATGAGGCATTTTTGGGCCTGCATGACTAGTAGCTTAGCAAGAGCCTTGTACATTTATGTCGCGACTTGGGCTACACGCTGGAATCGGACTGAATGTGGGAACATTTTAGCTATACTTCATACCTTTCGAGAGGCTGATGGGCTGGCCGAGTATACGTCGTTGACTTCCGTCTCGATCGGAGTCTCTGTCGGGCACTCCTCGTTTTCACGACCTGACTGTCGCGAGCGTCTTTCATATCTTGAGGACCAAGACTCTGGCCCCTAAATGAGGAATGAGGGTACTCACCATATGCTTTACCATCACTGTGTCCGATATGAAATCACGTTCTGGTGTCTTCATTTCATGGTTTCCGAGACATACAGAAATGTCAGACGACTTGCTCCAGTTCAAGTAAGTCTTGTATCCAGGGACCACTTCGCTTGAGTTTCATGTTACTAGTCTTCACGCGTCACGGTCTTGCCAGCTTCTCGATATAATTGAGCGTTCAGCACTCGCAAGAAGCGTCAAGTCTAGCTACGTTCTCTGTCGACAGAAATTTCAGGACCTGCTGGTTTAAATCCCGCCCTTTCGATGCGAACACCTATACACGGTACTTGATTAGCGTCTCAAATGACTTCCCCAACGCCGTACTCTCCAACACTATGTACAATAATCTTTAGGTGTCCCTCGCCGCCGCTCACTGACACCTGTAGATCTTAGTCACTCTATAGAATTCTAAGCCCGTTAAGGAGAGTATTAAAGAACGAATAGCACGTCAACTGACTTCTTAAAGGTTGCCCTTACATGAAGTTCTTGCTTCTGGATACCCAAAATTTACCAATCGGTAACGACTAGATTGGACTTGTCTGGTAAGGCATGTGGACATCCAATTCTCAATCAATCCATCTGCTTTAACGGAAATGACACATCAATTAACTCTGCTACTGCATACGAAATGAATTACAAAACTCGAAGAAGATCCACACTCAAGAAGATCGAAAGACTACCGCGCCGTCACCATATCAAATCCGGACTGGCTCTTAAACAGCGCATCAAAGACCGGATCATTAAAGGTACCTCCTAACCCATAAGCGTCTTCCTCAGACGAGTCGCTCTCGGTTTCTGTATCTGAGAAGTCATCATCCCTAAATATCTTCACCTGCGGCATACCCACCTCCATATCCGCAAGATAGCTGGAGCAAGTGTTTGCATAAGCGCTACTAACATGCACTTCGACCTCTCTCAGAGCACTCGTCCCCCGTACTCGGAGGACACCCAATATCGCATCAATACCCAGGTCATTGATCCCCTCTATGTCTGAGCTGCGCAAACATAGCGTCTCGAGCTTCGGGCAAGAACGTGAACCATCTGGCAAAGGGAGAAGGCATTTTACCGCCGTCCACTCTATCTCCAAATGCCGGACATTCATGAGGAACTGTTGCATGGACTCGAGAGAAGCGGAAATATCCTTCAATGCCACCCTCTCCATCAGAGGGAAGGTAAGACCAGAAAGGACATCGCCGGGGTCAACGGCAAGCGCATCTCCTGGATACCTATCGTTCTCCAGCGTCACCTGCCGCACATTGGGTCCAATTAACAGCTTCGCCAGTCCATGGCGTGCCGTATCGGCACGGTAACCGATAGAAATATCTTCTAGCTTTGGAAGAGTGACTGGACGAACTGCGTGGTCGTCGCGGCTCGAGGGCCCAGCATCATTCATTAAACGCAACTTTCTCAGCCGTGGAGCACACGCGGAGAGGATCCCATGCATGTCAGCCGTCGAAGGGCGTACATCAGAAGAGAGCGAAGTGATCTCGAGAACCTCTAGTTCGCGAAGGACAGAAAGAGAGGACCATTCTGCGTAGACGCCCCGGAGGGTGAGAGTGCGAAGGCGATTGGTGCGGGGATTGAGCACGAAGGGCGTGTTAAGAGCGGCCGGCTGGAACTCGGAAGCATGGCTAATATAGTCGTTACATCGCATTATAGTGAGGCTCTCGAGTAGAGGCGCGGGGGCATTACTTAAATAGAGAAGGGCAACATGCATGGGGAACCAAGTATCCGTGAGTATGGAAAAGGACCGCCAATGGTGTATGTGCGGGTGTAGCATGGACATGACAGTCATCATGTGTTGATAAGAGAAGGGTGGAGTGTAAGGACACTCGGGTTCGACACTGATGACGATCGTCAGTCAATCAATGAAAGAAAACATAGAAGATGGGAACGTACCTCGGCTCTGAGAAATCCCAGTCGGGGTCCCTGGCATCGATAATTATGTCGAGAGCATGGTTACGAGATAATGAAAGGTGGGAGGAGAGATGAGAGGTGTGGAAGATGGATAGCCTCTGTCCATTGTGACACGTTTTATGGATGGAAGCGATAGTAGCACACAGACTCGTCCACAGTGCCGGTGTATTACGAGCAACCATACGCCAATGTTTGCTAACAGCAGACAGACGTGTGGGCATCTTGACGCTCTCTGAGTCGAATAGCGGGCTTTCCTTCCCTTCCGTCGCCACCGGAGTACCATGAGTCGCCAAAGAGAATATGTACGTGAGAAGCTCCACAGGAAGAGTGCTGATTGGGGAGCAGGCTCTAGAATCGTACTTTGACCAAAACGTTGCCATTGTCTGGGGGGGCGCGCTTTGATGCTGACGGGGGGGAGACAATCACGTCGGTCAAGACCGGCTTTAAATGCAGCTGTATCCAATATATTCGTTCCTTTGTTTCATTGGATCAACTAGAACAAAAGAGAGTGGTCCATAAACAGGAAAATCGGAATCAAATAATATCAATCGGACATACCTTGTGCGCCTGTCTTATTGTTCTATCGCGACCGTGCGACGGCAAGGCTAGGAGCCTAGCTGAATTGAGGGGGGAAGGGATGCAAAGCAAAACGAAAGGCTAGAAGAGGAAGGAAAAAGGGAATGGAATGGAGAACGGGGTATCGGTGGCCTTGCCTGAGGACTTTGTAATAAGTTTCACTCTACCTTCCATAACACGACTGAACAAAGGGAAGTCGAAATGGGTACGTGACGGATCTGAGATCTACTAAGCGTGACTCGGACAGCTTCCGATGTGAAAATGCGAATAAAGTTGAAAGAACCGTCCTAATTTGGCAAGTCGCAAGAGCAGCGCATTGTGCGCATTCATATGGCGCTTCGGACCTGAGAGCAACGAGGCTCGTATCAATCGGTATCCAACATACAGAAAAAACATAAGAATATTATACACATATCCTTGGAGCTACATAGTACATATTGCCTTCGTTGATTATGATCTGCAGCGTGCACTGATTTGTCCCTTCCACGTAAGTAAATGAGAAAATGCGCCACGCATTCAGTGTTGCTATGGGGAAGTGACGATACCGGTCATTTTCAGGTACGGCTCTCCTCCCCCACTGATATTATGCCCATCCGAAGAGCTAGGTGGCTGGATAAACTCTGGATTGAAAATTTGTCCGAGGTCGACCGAGCCATCGTTGAACAGCGACATGACATCCGACGGCGACATGTATAGTTGCTCGTTGCCCATGAGATCCATGTTCATGTTCCCGGAGCCGTCAGCAAACGACGGCTGCTCGAATTTCGTCACAGGCGTTCCTGAAGACGGTGGTGCCGAAGGAAAAGACGATGACGGCCCTGCAGCTTTCTGGGCGTCTAAGAAGTCAGACGGCGAAAAGGCTTCTGGACTGGGAGATTCTCCGCTACAATTCGATCGTGCAATAGACGGCGCCTTTTTGCGTACTGGTCGGATCCAGGGCGGCCGTCTGTCATTTTGAAGATTGTCTTGTTGTGGAGTGGGCTCCAACGGAATTTGAGTTACTGGTGAATGTGAGTAAGAGTGAATGGACCTGGCCGCTACGGAAAACTCACATCGGCAGAATTCTTCCATGAGATCCCCAGAACGAAGCCCGCAGATATAACGACCGCTAAATCTTCTCAGGAGACCGATACATGAGCGCAGCGCGTCGAGGCCGGAAGGTATCAGGTGTTGCAACGTATCAGATTTGCAGTTGAGTAGAACGGCTACGAGAGTCCGCCCAGCTTGGGTAAGTTGGTGGATAACGTGAACGCCATCTAAAAACCATTCCATCAGCAAACATTTATCATAAAGCAAGCACCGGAAATCTCACAGTAGGTCATCAACCCCTTCCTAGCAATATGCAGATGCGCAGCTGCGATTTGCAGTGCCGAATTATGCGCAGCGACCATAGCCTCCTTCTCAGCATCGGTCTGTTGCTCATCATCCCCGCCCGCTGCATGCCGTTCAGCAACCATCTGTGAAAACCGGTGTCGATGGATCAAGAGCCGTACAAAATGCTCCGCACAGTGTAATCGCTCCGCCTGCGTCAGCCGAATCGTATCTTCCGTGCCCAAAGTCTCTGCAGATTGTGACCAGATGGGAGGTATACTCCGATGGATCTCATCCAGTAGTATCTCCTCATCCTTCAACAGCTTACACCCGGAGGACCCAGTCAACAACGCGGCTGCCTTCGCCATAAAAGGTGATGAGGACTGCCTCGCTGGAGGTACATCCAGCACCGATTCCGCCACCACGAAAATCCGTAATGAAAATATGAAAGCGCTCATGCGGCATTCGGTACCTGGAGGCGGCACTCCAACACCTTCATGCGTGATATATTCATCATCAACAGGCGCCGGCTCCCCCACATCACAATCTCTCAATCGAATCATCGGCGGTCGTCCAAAATGCGCACTTAGCTGCTTATCCCAGATATACACGCACCAAAACGTGCGTTTCCGCACCTCATCCTCAATCGGGTCGAAAAGATCGTATGTGTCAGCTGAACGGTGAAGACCGGCATCAACAGAGACGGTTATGGCTTCTGAGAGGAGGGCAGCGCCTTTTGAAAGCCGACCAAGGCCGATAGCGTATACGGCAGCGATGAGGTTAGCTTGTATGGTATATAGGGTGGGTCGGTCCGCAGTAGGGAGGGTGCGTAGCCGTCCAAGAAGCTCGAACCAATGTGTACCAGCAGAGATACTGTCATTGGGATCGGCACGAACACGAGGGTCATCCATGTGCCGGGACGCCAGGCAACAAATGGAGACAATGAATGCGGCAAATCCAGGCTCTCCCCATTTTTGTGGGTTGCCGTAGTCTGCAAGGAAAGTCGGGACGTGGATGAAGGGGAGGATGTAATATGATGTTGAGAGATAACATTGCACGAGGCTGCCATAGAATGTCAGCTATTATCCTCTTGAGTATCAACCTATTTACCTGTCCATAAGCTCCGGTTCGATGTATGTCGTTATCATCGACCAGAGCGTCTGGGGATTAATGTGTGTTCTCCGGGGTGTTCGGTTGGGAAACCATTGCGGCTCCTGAGAATTGGCAATTTTCTTAGCTGCCGATGCAGTTTCGTTTGATGGCGTGCCTTCGCTCGCCGTCTCGGAGGGGTTGTGTCGCTCGACTAGAAGATCTAACAGGGGCAAACCGGACGTTTCGCCCTGCCATCGCGTGTACCCCTCGTCGTCGAAATACAAGTACGAAGCAGTGAGCGACATCCGCGAGGTGTCGTCCACGATGGTATCTGGACCACTCCCTGTGAAGAGATTTCCCATGAGAGACTGGAAAGACGAACTAGGACTGCGTTGTCGGCCGTCGGTAGATTGAGGAGGTGGTGAGAAATGTGTTGAAGGGTTAGTGAGTGGAAATACATGCAAGGAAGGTGGGGGGATTCCCGAGGGAAAGGCGGGAAAGGCAAAAGCAGGGCTGTTGATATCGGTGGGAGAAGACTGCTTCGCTGGGTTCACTGCAGCTGCACCACCAGCAGCGAAAACAGCGGGTGGTATTGCTTGTATTAGCGTTTCGAGGTGGTGCATCCGGTCCTCCAACGTCGCAGTTCGTCTAGTATACCCATTAGCTACAAGTAAGGGTTATACTGCACAAGCTGCTTACTTGGACTTGTGTGGGTGGGTCCTCTTCCCAGGCTCCTCGAACGTACATGCTGAATTAGCAGTAAGACAAGCCTGGCATGGATGGCCTTCGTCGCACTTGATTCTCCTCCGACTAATTCAAGTCAGATTCGCGCTCCAACCGAAAAAATTTGGACGATACATACCGACAGCGGTCGCATGCCCTGTTATCATCGCAGTGAGCGCCGTTCCGATGATCCGCACAAGTAGTTGGACTCACCTGCTCAGCTTGAACCGACGCTCCTTGAGAATTGAAGACGTCTGAGTCTCCTGCTGGGTATCCGACGTCGTTACTGGTGGCATATTGTGGGGGCAGGTCAGAACAAGAAAATGCGGGGTAGTTATCCGGTTGGCTACTCCTGGGGTACCGAAATTTCCCGTGAACGATCGATCGTCTGGTTGATTAGGAGTCTCTTCGAAAAAGGGAGGTGTCGTGGCCTAGTCAGTGGACGCCCACTTAGTCCCACTTTGCTCAAGAGAGACGACCTCAGAGTACAAGGTCAAGGCTGCAAGTCGTCTGACCCTCCCGATGATGACGATTGGAATTTGGAATCCCAGCTATACTTTTACCCTCAAATTGTGCCGAGCCGCCGAGTTGCGTAGAAATTTGTCTTGTTTTGGAAATTAGGAGTGGATACCTTCTTTGTTGCTGCTCCATTCTATGGGCGTCGACATGCAGTGCGCTCAGAGCCCCAAGGGGCCTGCGAGTTTGTTACTTGTTGGCAGAAAGCAACGTCAATCGTTTGAGGCAACTCCTAGAATGGTAATGCCGAATCTAATCAGCATCACGGCTTGACGAAACAGTCTGCATATCTTTGTTGCAGCCAACGTACGTAAAAAAAGCGCTGGAAGTAGGTGGCTGTAGGCGGTTGTAAAAATAATGAGCGAGGCCACAAGGAACCGAGTGGCGTGCGGGGAAACTGAGATCGAAATAGAATTGGTTATTAAAAGTCTGGAGAAGTACTAGAAGAAATGCCAAAAAAACACAGATACAGCACCATGGAAGACGAGGAATGCAGGTCTGATGAGCGAGAGAAGAACCAAAAAAAAAACTCCGTTGTACGGGACCGAAATCTGATAGAGCAACACCGATAAGCCAAATGTAGAGCACCGGAATTCACTGATATCACCTCAAAACAAGGGGGAATTTTGTCACTTGCGGGGAAATTCGGAACACATGACAAAGGGGTAATATTGCACACTGCGCACACTGCCATGCGGACAGTCGCAAGTGGAAACAGTTCGAAAGGGACTGAAAGGGATCAGAGAGTAGTCAGGGCGATCGATACAGCCGAGACAGAAAAAAAAAATTCCGTAGAGATCAATAGTGTTACCGGATTGCCATGTGAGTGGATTCTCAGACATGGGTCCAAGCGTGGTACAGAAAATTCAATTGGACCCTTCCCCCAACCCCAGCTTGTGGGGAAGAAGAGCCATAGAGGAGGGCATCCTAGGGAATCGCGGCTGTTTCAGCGTGAATGATATTCCAGACCATTGGTGGCGCAGTCGTTTAGCGTCAGAAGACGAAGCTGATAAAAAAGGAGCAATCAGATTGGGCGCAATGTATTGGAAATGATGCCGAGCAAAATAAGCGTATTTATCTCCAAATAGGTTCGGCGCTCGGCAGCATGTCAGGCACAAGTTTGTTCCGAGAGGCTACCTGGTGCCGAAGTTGCCGTCCAAAATGTGCACGAAAGTTAAGAACCTAATTAGGGACGCGTCTAGACGCACCCATACCCAGCTATGGCTCCGACAAAGATATATAACTTGGATTTCCTGACTCACTATCAGCCAGACAAATTTTGGCTATTACCAGTGGCTCCTTACTATGAAGATGCTCATTCATGAAACAAATTTGGACATGATAGACTAGTTTTTCCCTAGATAACACGCTCGCCCTAAATTCGAACTCGGCCTTCAAAACGCTTGTCAGTTGACCAAGGTTTATTCGGGTAGACTCGGACAGCAAGCGTACTACAGTGTACAAGTTTTCGCTCCATCATTCACCTGACGTTTCCGAACATGGAGCTTCGGAGGACAGTATCTGGCTCATGGAACACGCCCAGTGTACCTTGGTAGGTATCTTTTGAACCGTGGGCCGAGGCATTTAAAATGTCAGGTCAGCTTGAAGGTCAGATCAGCACATCATCCGCCATTGAAGAGAGGACAGGATTTTTCGAAGATAAATCCCCAACTCTTTCCTCTCATACACAAAATTTGAGAATATTTCCACGCAGCACAGCTTCCCTTCGCATCCCCAGGAAGGAATTGCAAAGCCATATTAAGCAGTTGCCCTGGATCCGCGTCCGTTTCAGTAAATACTTCATGACCACAGAGTAGATTCTAGGCGCTTCCAATCGAGACTTCGCTACCATGCTGAGATCGTTGGTGCTTGGGCTAATAACCAGTCAGTCTTTTTGTAATTCTCAATCAAACATCCTCTTAGTAACATTAATCATGAAGGTCCCTAGTTTATCAGTCTCGTATTCTCGCCTTTGAGGCGTTATAAAAACTGATCGCTGCTCATTATGGTGTAGGAATCTCGTGTCACTAGGGCGGTATGACCGGATTTACTACTAGGACCTATTTCGCTCTACAGGACAGCTTTGACAAACTGGACAGTCAGCAGACCATTGGCACATTCCAGCTACAGGCCACAGTTTACAGAGAATTTTTTACTTTGCTGCAAATTCCATAAGAACGGTGAAGTATCGTTGTCACTGCCGTATTCAAGTTGTGACTTCACCTCCGGATCGCTTGGTTTTCATAGAGGTGAGATTGTCGTGAAATCGTTTCAACTTGACACAGAATATTTACCATTTATCATCGTCGGGCAAGGCTTAAAATTTGCGGTCACTCAGAATTATACACCAGCGAGGGTTTCGCCGTGAATCAAGAAACAGAAGTCGCTGGGGTGCTTCGGCATCACTCGGCATGACGTCGGAGACTCAATTTACCTGGACGCTTTAACGTACTTGAGCTCGTTGTCTTCAAGGTTCTGGCTATCTACTAGCACTGTATCTTTACACTCTTTCTATAGCAAATAAAATGCAATCTAATCACGAGAGGCCCAAAATGCTACGCCTAGAGTTGTAGTTGTCACCATCTATATTTTACACTCCGACGGATGGCTCACTTATATCGGGTTTTGCCTGCCGGACGGATTTGCTTCTGTACACCCATGTCTGGTGGTACCGATTCTCTTACTACAAAAATGGCGGCCTCTCTGCCTATTAACCATCTCTTCGTTGAAAGTTCTCAACTAAATTGTTCTCCTGATGCCTGATAGCTGGCACGACGGCTTTTACGATGTTTTCAACGTCGCAGCAGAACCCTGACTTATCGCGCGTGTATACTCATTGTGGAGGCGTTGTAGCAGCCATCTTTTGTGCAGCTAGATGCTCGTATCGCCAGGAACTTACTCCCGTAGAGTTTGCAAAGCCTTTGTCTTGCTCTGTGAAACGGCCTTGACTCACACCGGATGCCATTACCTCGGTGATAGCCATTGTCCTCTACCCTTGAAAGAGGAAATGTTAGATTTCGATAATTCACTGTATGCGATGGCGTAACACTGGTATTTTCAACTAAAGCCCGTCATCGGCACGCTTTCCTGAGACGGAGGGCTGATTGGATCCCATTCCTCATTTCATGAAACTAACATTGGATGCGCCAAGCCCTGACCGCGCAGCATATCAAGACTACGAAAATTCAAGGAGGAAGGACAATATTACGACTTAAGTATCGTATGTACATTGTACAGACGCTATAATAACAAATTCTTTGGGTGTAACTAGCATCATTTTATTTCCTGTGCTATTTAATAAGATCAGCCTCCCTCCTTCTTTCCCCCTTGATTACCTGGTACGATTTTGTGTCTATGAATCATGAAAACCACGTCGATAAACGAAACACTGCAAAGAGTATCACATGTAAGGGCCGAGACAGGCCGATCATCTTGCGGATGCTGTTGCATCTTTCTTTCAAACTCTCACACGCGTCATGTCCTTTCGCGTGTACAGACCTGGCGGCAAGTTTAATCAAGGTCGCAAGCGTTCTCCAAGGAACTTCGTGCGTAACAGGGCCGTTGGTTGACTGACAAGTCTGGCCATTGACAGCTCATTAGATTATCGGGGTTGCGGCAGTATCCGCACTGTACTTTCTCGGGAGAGAGATGGTGGAAAGGAAGAAGATATTGAACTTGACATGTTATGAAAACTGTGGGTGACACATTGACATGTGGGCTTGGAGGTGATTTGATTGTGTTGTTCAGCGATACAAAAACGAGTTGAAATGGAGAAGAAGGGGGAGTAAGAGTTTGACTTGGAGAAAGCGCGGCATGGCTTTTTCACAGCCAACTTCAGAGGGCAACATACTAAAAACCGCACAAAGGAACTTCAGCTCACAATCCCTTTCCTCCCTTCGACCGATCCTGAGGTTCAAAATGGACTTCGTCGCTAGATCTATTCCACACCATATTCCTGCGGGAAAGTACAAAATGGACATTGTAACCATCCCTCTAGCACCAAGCTCGTGGATATACCCGATGTGCGTCGTACTCCATCCACTATTTATGCATCTCCCCTCTTGCATAACCCTCAGCCTTCCTACCAACCTCGTCGTATCTGAATGTATTATTCGAAGACATAACGTACTCATGCTAATTCCATGACGTGCAAATCTATTCGAGTCCATGCAAAGTCCAAGATTATGATGTAGGCTTCTTGGTATATCGACTCTTCATTCTCACAGCTTTGCCGTACTTCCAGAACAAGAAAGGTCTGCAAAGAGAGTGTCAATGGCTTACGGGAACTGGATCGTTGCAACATACGCTGGGCATCCGAGAACAATAGCGACTACAGCAAGAATAGTGTCACCCTTTCCATACCCGAGCTTGTTGTACATGGAAGGCGCGAAGAGGGGAAACCCGAATCCTGCTAGGGAACGGAGACACGAGACGGCAGCGAGTCCTAAATCCCATCAGTATCGGCTCATGGGCGAGATACCTAACAAGGACACCCACCGGAAGCTGCGTACAGCGTAAACGTGTCCACAACATACGTCTGCATTGCCTGGAAATTCAATATCATTCCCGCTCCCACGAGCGCAATGCCAATATCAGTCACTATCCAGTGGACGCCCTTCTGTGCACACCATCCAGTCAAGAGCAGTCCTATTGGAAATATAACCGATCCTGGCACCATCGAAGCTACATCAACCGCGTCAACATACACTTGACGATGGAAAAATGCGGCACTCACGAACACGGAACTCAGGCTCCCCAACGCCCCCATTCCTTTCCTTCAAATACTTATATATGCGGTCCATATATCTCGCATTTGTTTGAGAGGATATACCCAACCCTATACCCAGCGCGATGTAGTGCAATCCGGCAATACCTGTGTTTTGGTGATATACTTCTCTGAATATCGTCGGGATCGTCGTCAAGTACACTGAATAAAATTTAGTCGGTCAGATCTATAACTACAATGACCAACGCACGATAAAAGACTCCGTATATGAAGGCCATGTACAGAGCGACTATCTGAACGATAGGCTCACGAACGAACAGTGTAAAGGGGCGGACAAGGGCTTTCCCAAAAATGTGTTGCCAACTACAGGGAGAAGGTCATCGTTGATCATAATCGGGAAAGCAAACGCTTACCTTCGGATGCCAGACTTGTCAAATACAGTACGCACATTTCGCTGACCTTTCTCGGGATCCATGCCTGTCCTTATCTTCTCCGCTTTCCACTCCAAGAGTATCGGTGCAAAGCCTGCCAAACGAAGAGTAAGAAAAACCGAGATGGCTATTGCGGACATAGCTTGCTTTCACGAAGGAATACAAGTCCTAGGCCTTGAACGAAAATGTCAAAAATTCCTGTGGAGTAAAACTGGCGGCGTACTATGTCAGAGATGGAATGCGAAAGAGGTAGGTGAACATGACTTACAACCCATCTCCATGTTGACTTTTCGGCAATCCAGGCTCCAGCGACAGGTCCAATGACAGGTCCCATCAAGGGCGCTAGTGAATATACAGCGATAGCCTTCCCCCTCTCCTCTGCCTTCCATATGTCGGCAAGAACGCCTGCACCAACGGCCAACGGCGTACTTCCACCTAGACCAGCGAAAAATCGGAATATAATGAGCTGCGTTTTAGTCTGAGCGAATCCACACCCGAGATTCCATGCTGAATGCACCGTTAGACTGGATCGAAACTGCTGGAGAGTATGACATACCGAAGAAAAACATGTTTGAAAACTGTATTACTCTTGACCTTCCGTATATCTCACTGAGCGGGCCGAGGAACTGGATAATACATACGTAAGTGCTCTTGTCGTGCTCAAAGTGTGATGCCGTGCTCACCAAAGGTCCAACAGCTAAAATACGTTCTCAACAGTCCATCCTCTCGAAAATAAAAGAAAAGTACTCACCATACGCCAAAACGAAAACCGACACCGTCATTGCGAGCTCCACCGAACTCGTGATCCCCAAATCGTGTGCTACCTGTTCCATCGCCGGCGAAACCATCGACGACGACACAGGACTGATAAACGTGAACAGCGAGACGATTAACGTTGCCCTCCATTTCCTTGAAAAGGTCCAGCTGAATTTAAACGGGATTAGCGCCGGGTACCCAAATAAGATTCTTGATGCACTTTTTTGGGTTCTCTGGATCCTCAGGTCCATCCCAGTCTATTACCAGATCATCTTCCTCGGAGATGTCTACATGTATCGTCCCAGACCTTGCATCGCTATCTTCTGGGCCTTTAGGTTCATGTCGGGTATCGTTCGTGATGGTATCGTTCATATTGGCAGGAGAAAAGGTTGAGCGAAGGCATGAGTTGGAGTGGCGCTTTATATATCTTTCCTCATGGGAGAAATGGAAGACACGGCATTTTTTTTACGGCCGTCGGGATGCGATCGGCATCGGACCGCGGCTCCTATCTCTACGAGTCGTCTCGAAAACTATGACGCATGAGGCAAGGAATTGTGACCAGATTATTAAAAACCCTCCTGCCTCATAAGCTTCAGCAAAAAAGTCGCACTAGAGCTCTTCTTTGGTACCCAAAAATTGCCGTACCTGCAATTACTGCGTAGTAGAAGATCCGTGGAAACAAGCGTACTAGCGATTACTCATTTCAGATGACGCGGTCTAATTCTAACTCGAGCTCTATCTGGTCCTAGAAGACAGAAAAATGTCTGGAAATTTTACCAGATCCCAAACGCCTAGCCCGTATAAATCTTCAGCATAGTCCCATCTTTGTTTCGTCGCCGTTAGTCCACAAAACGCAGTCACACGCACTGACTCAGTTAACTTCCGTGCATCCACCGCCGCTTGATCGGTGGTTGTTTATTATTCAGCTACTCCAGGATTGTGGGCTAGGTCATGTCATAAGGTGTCAGTGAGGAGTAAAGGTTAGTCAAGGTTTGTTCCAATGACTCAAGCATAGGCTCCGGTATGACTTAGTGCTTTGAGATGTCAAGGCTCCAAAATCAGTTTATTCGGGTAGACTCGGACAGCAGGCGTACTACCGTACTTACAAGTTTTCGCTCCATCATTCACCTGACGTTTCCGAACATGGAGCTTCGGAGGACAGTATCTGGCTCATGGAACACGCCCAGTGTACCTTGGTAAGTATCTTTTGAACTGTGGGCCGAGGCATAAAATGTCAGGTCAGCATGAAGGTCAAATCAGCATGTTATCCGCCATTGGAGAGAGGACAGGATTTTTCGAAGATAAGTCCCCAACTCTTTCCTCTCATACACAAAATTTGAGAATATTTCCACGTAGCACATCTTCCCTTCGCATCCCCAGGAACAAATTGCAAAGCCATGTTTAGCAGCTGCCTTGGATCTGCGTCCATTTCCATGAATACTTCATGACCACAGAGTAGATTCTATGCACTTCCAATCGAGACTTCGCTACCACGCTGAGATCGTTGGTGCTTGGGCTAATACCTAGTCAATCCTTTCGTAATTCTCAATCAAACATCTTCCTAGTAACATTAATCATGAAGGTCCCTAGTTTATCAGGCTCGTATTCTCGCCTTGGAGGCATTATAGAAAACCGATCACTGCTCATTATGGTGTCGGAGCCTCTCGTGTCACTAGGGCGGTCACATGACTGTAGGATTTACTACTAGGACCTATTTCTACAGGACAGCTTTGACAAGCTGGACAGTCAGCAGCCCATTAACACATTCCAATTACACCACAGCTTACAGAGAATGCTTGACTCTGCTGCACATTCCGTAAGAACGGTGAATTATCGTTGTCATTGCTGTATTCAAGTTGATACTTCGCCTCGGGATCGTTTGGTTATCGTAGGGGTGACGTTGTCCTGAAATCGTTTGAAATTGATACAGAATATTTATCATTTATCATCGTCGAGCAGGGCTTGAAATTTACGGTCACTCAGGATTGGATACCAGCGAGGATTTCATCGTGGAATCAAGAAACAAAGTCGCTGTAGTGCTTCGGCATCACTCGGCATTGTATCGGAGACTCAATTTACCTGGACGCTTTAACGTACTTGAGCTCGTTGTCTTCAACATTTCGGCTATCTACTAGCACTGTATCTTTACACTCTTTCTATAGCGAACAAAATGCAATCTAATCATAAGAGGCCTAAAATGCTACGCCTGGAGTTGTAATTGTCATGATCTATATTTGACACTCCGACAGACGGCTCACTTAAATCCGGTTTTGCCTGCCGGACGGATTTGCTTCTGCACACCCATGTCTAGTGGTACCGATTCTCTTACTACAAAAATGGCTGTTTCTCTGCCTAGCAACCATCTCTTTGTTGAAAATTCTCAGCTAAATTGTTCTCCTGATGCCTGATAGCTGGCACGATGGCTTTTACGATGTTTTCAACGTCGCAGCAGAACCCTGACTTATCGCGCGTGTATACTCATTGTGGAGGCGTTGTAGCACCATCTTTGTGCAGCCAGATGCTCGCATCGCCAAGAACTTACTCCCGTAGAGTTTGCAAAGCCTTTGTCTTGCTCTGTGAAATGACCTTGACTCACACCAGATAGTACTGTTACCTCTTCAGCGATAGCCATTGCCCTCTACCCTTGAAAGAGGAAATGTTAGAGATTTCGATGATTCACTGTATGTGATGGTGGCGCTGGTATTTTCAACTAAAGCCCGTTATCGGCACGCTTTCCTGAGGTGGAGGGCTGATTGGATCTCCTTTCTCATATCGTGAAACTAACATTGGATGCACCAAGCCCTAGCTCGGCATTAATATTGACCGCGCAGCATATCAAGACTCTACAAAGATTCAAGGAGGAAGGACAATATTGCGACTTAGGTTTCGTATGTACAGACGCTATAATAACAATTTTTTTGGGTGTAACTAGCATCATTTTATTTACTGTGCTATTTAACAAGATCAGCCTCTCCCCTTCTTTCTCCCCTTGATTGCCTGGTACAATTTTGTGTCTATGAATCATGAAAACCACGTCGACAAACGAAACACTGCAAAGAGTATCACATGTAAGGGCCGAGACAGGCCGATCATCTTGCGGATGCTGTTGCATCTTTCTTTCAAACTCTCACACGCGTCATGTCCTTTCGCGTGTACAGACCTGGCGGCAAGTTTAATCAAGGTCGCAAGCGTTCTCCAAGGAACTTCGTGCGTAACAGGGCCGTTGGTTGACTGACAAGTCTGGCCATTGACAGCTCATTAGATTATCGGGGTTGCGGCAGTATCCGCACTGTACTTTCTCGGGAGAGAGATGGTGGAAAGGAAGAAGATATTGAACTTGACATGTTATGAAAACTGTGGGTGACACATTGACATGTGGGCTTGGAGGTGATTTGATTGTGTTGTTCAGCGATACAAAAACGAGTTGAAATGGAGAAGAAGGGGGAGTAAGAGTTTGACTTGGAGAAAGCGCGGCATGGCTTTTTCACAGCCAACTTCAGAGGGCAACATACTAAAAACCGCACAAAGGAACTTCAGCTCACAATCCCTTTCCTCCCTTCGACCGATCCTGAGGTTCAAAATGGACTTCGTCGCTAGATCTATTCCACACCATATTCCTGCGGGAAAGTACAAAATGGACATCGTAACCATCCTCTTAGCTCCAGGCTCGTGGATATACCCGATGTACGTCGTACTCCATCCACTATTTGTGCATCTCCCCTCCCTCAGCCATCTACCAACCTCCTCGTATCTGAATGTATTATTCGAAGACATAACGTACTCATGCTAATTCCATGACGCGCAAATCTTTTCGAGTCCATGCAAATTCCAAGATTACGATGTAGGCTTCTTGGTATATCGACTCTTCATTCTCACAGCTTTGCCGTACTTCCAGAACAAGAAAGGTCTACAAAGAGAAAGTCAATGCATCATACGAGAACTGGATCGCTGCAACATACGCTGGGCACCCGAGAACAATAGCGACTACAGCAAGAATAGTATCGCCCTTTCCGTACCCGAGCTTGTCGTACATGGGAGGCGCGAAGAGGGGAAACCCGAACCCTGCTAGGGAACGGAGACACGAGACGGCAGCGAGTCCTAAAGTCCATCAGCATCGACTCATGGGCGAAATGCCTAGTAAAGACACCCACCGGAAGCTGCGTACAGCGTAAACGTGTCTATGACGTACGTTTGCATAACCTGGAAATTCAATATCATCCCCCCTCCCACGAGCGCAATGCCAATATCAGTCACTATCCAGTGGACGCCCTTCTGTGCACACCATCCAGTCAAGAGCAGTCCTATTGGAAATATAACCGATCCTGGCACCATCGCAGCTACAGCAACCGCGTCAACATGCACTTGACGAGGGTGAAAAAGCGGCACTCACGAACACGGAACTCAGGCTCCCCAACGCCCCCATTCCTTTCCTTCAAATACTTATATATGCGGTCCATATACCTCGCGTTTGTTTGAGAGGACATACTCAAGCCTATACCCAGCGCGATGTAGTGCAATCCGGCAATACTTGTGTTTTCGTGGTATACTTCTCTGAATATCGTCGGGATCGTCGTCAAGTACACTGAATCAAATTTAGTCAGTCAGATCTACGGTCGTGATGATCAACGCACGATAAAAGACTCCGTATAGGAAGGCCATGTACAAAGCAACTATCTGAACGATAGGCTCACGAACGAACAGTGTAAAGGGTCGGACAAGAGCTTTCCCAAAAATGTGTTGCCAGCTACAGGAAGAAGGTCAAGTGTTGATCTTGATCAGGAAAGCAAATGCTTACCTTCGAATGCCAGATTTGTCGAATACAGTACACACATTCCGTTGACCTTTCTCGGGATCCATGCCTGACCTTAGCTTCTCCGCTTTCCACTCCAAGAGTACCGGTGCAAAGCCTGCCAAACGAAGAGTAAGAAAAGCCGAGATGGCTATTGCGTACGTAGCTTACTTTCACGGAGGAATACAAGTCCTAGGCCTTGAACGAAGATATCAAAAATTCCTGTGGAGTAAAACTGGTGGTGCCATGTCAAAGACGGAATACGAAAGAGGTAAGTGAACACGACTTACAACCCATCTCCATGTTGACTTTTCGGCAATCCAGGCTCCAGCGACAGGACCAATAACAGGACCCATCAAGGGCGCTAGTGAATATACAGCGATAGCCTTCCCCCTCTCCTCTGCCTTCCATACGTCGGCAAGAACACCCGCACCGACGGCCAAGGGCGTGCTTCCACCTAGACCAGCGAAAAATCGGAATATAATGAGCTGCGTTTTAGTCTGGGCGAATCCACACCCAAGATTCCATGCTGAAAGGATCTTTAGACCGGATCGAAACCCTTGAAGAGCATGACACACCGAAGAAGAACATGTTTGAAAACTGTATTACTCTTGACCTTCCGTATATCTCACTGAGCGGGCCGAGGAACTGGATAATACATACGTAAGTGCTCTTGTCATGCTCAAAGTATGATATCGTGCTCACCAAAGGTCCAACAGCTGAAATACTTTCTCAGCAGCCCGTCCTCTCAAAAATAAAAGAAAAGTACTCACCATACGCCAAAACGAAAACCGACACCGTCATTGCGAGCTCCACCGAACTCGTGATTCCCAAATCGTGTGCTACCTGTTCCATCGCCGGTGAAACCATCGACGACGACACAGGACTGATAAACGTGAACAGCGAGACGATTAACGTTGCCCTCCATTTCTTTGCAAAGGCCCAGCTGAATTTACACGATATCAGCGCCGGGTACCCAAATAAGATTCTTGACACACTTTTTTGGGTTCTCTGGATCCTCGGGTCCATCCCAGTCTATTACCAGATCATCTTCCTCCGAGACGTCTACATGTATCGTCCCAGACCTTGCATCACTATTTTCCGGGCCCTTAGGTTCATGTCGGATTTCGTTCGTGATGGTATCGTTCATATTGGCAGGAGAGAAAGTTGAGCGAAGTTATGGGTTGGAGTGGCGCTTTATATATTTATCCTCATGGAAGAAATGGAAGATTGGCTACACGGCAGTTTTTTTACGGCCGTCGGGATACGATCGGCATCGGACCGCGGCCCCTATCTCTACGAGTCGTCTCAAAAACTATGACGCATGAGGCAAGGAATCGTGACCGGATTATTAAAAACCCTCCTGCCCCGTAAGCTTCAGCAAAAAAGTCGCGTTAGAGCACTTCTTTGGTACTCAAAGAAGTCCGTATCGTGCAATTGCTGCGTAGTAGAAGATCCGTGGAAACAAGCATACTAGCGATTACTCATTTCAGATGACGCGGTCAATTCTATCTCGAGCTCGACTACTACTATTACTACTATTTGGTCCTAGAAGACAGAAAATCCGTTGAAATTTTTACCAAATCCCAAACGCCTAGCCCGTATAACTCTTCAGCCTAGTCTATTTCCTCTTCGTTAGTCCACAAAACGTAGTCACGCGCACTTACCATTGACTCAGTTAACTTCCGTGCATCCACCGCCGCTTGATCGGCGGGTGTTTGTTATTCAGCTACTCCAGGATCGTGGGCTAGGTCATAAGGTGTCAGTGAGGAGCAAAGGTTAGTCAAGGTTCGTTCAGCATTGGCTCCGGCATGACTTAATGCTTCGAGATGTCGAGGCCCCAGAATCCGATCTCCACCAGTCTAATCGAAAGTTCTATGAAAATTATAAGTAGTGATCTCCAATCATGATCTAGTATCTGCCATTTCGAGGCATCGTATACTGAAAATTTATTTGAACGGCAACTCTAAGACATGCTGACAGGAAGTAAAAACCTACACACTCACGAAGCAGGAATACCGGTGAAATACACCCAAGATGGTTCATTCCTGACAGAAGCTGTCTTTCAGAATGCTTGTTCACGGTGAACTTGCGATTAGACTGAACCTGAGTCTGGTCGGGGTTCATCCTTGGAGAGTGGTACCGGTAACGAAGAAAGGAACTCTAGAGGGAAGGTACTCTCCATTTACTGAAGAACTACATTAAGAGATTCAGTTGGTATCAAGATAGAGCGAATATGCAAGCATCCATTCATAATTCATACTCTACACACCCAAGAGCCGCTGAACACTTCCCTCAATCACACTAGGAAGCGTAACCCTAAACACCAGAAATTGGTTGTCCACATCCTGGCCAGCATCATATGGCTGTCCCAGTGAAATCCCATTCGTGGTGAGGAAATCGTTGTCCGACTGTATCCATACATCAGCGTCTAGGCACCGAACTGCAGAAATGTACAATACTCACAGCAGTGAACAGGAAGTAATCATTCGGGTAATCTGAATCGTTGACGGGAGCAAGCGAGAATGATTCCCACTTGGCATCGATATGGGTATCATCATCCACATCGCCTAGCAAGCAAGTTAATCTTGGTCGGGCAATTTAGGCGTAGACTGTACGTACCATTCTGCAGGCCGAACCTCGCCAACTGGTCATCGTCAATGTAATCGACGAACGACACATATGTAGCTGGGACGATGTCGCCGTCCAGCTCGCCATCAACGGCAATGGGGTTTGCAGGATCATCGAATTTAGTACCATGAATGTCCGTCGCATTGGAAATATCAAAAAGGTCTGCTTGCCTACTTCTCGTTAGCATTCCCCTACCAAAACACACAAGAAAACTTACTTATAACTAGACTCGAGGTCATCCCCGCCTTCTCCATCACCATCTCGAGACAACGCGAAAAACACACCCGGGCTCACGAATGCGATCTCGCTGCATGCCCTCGTTTTGTTTTTCTTACTCTGGGGTAATGGCACGACCCATTCACCGATAAGTTCGGGACGGACAGTGGGGTTGGAAACATCATACGCCAAGAGGCGAGTGTACCTTGATGTGGTTTTGTCATCTCCACCATCTTGAATAGTTGCCGACTGTAGCATCGCATAAACAACATCATTCTCGACGTCGAACGTGAGGCCCTCGAATCCTATGTGACAAAAGGTTATGTCGACTCTAGGGTTAGAGCTCGACAGAATCTTCACCTTGATTGGCAGCTCTTCCCGTTGTTGGATCCGATTCAGACGTAAAATTTAGGTTCCCATTAGAGTCACGAGGAAGGATCGCCGAAGGTGGTTGAATCGTCTGGATCAACTGTCCCTCCCCGGAGAACCGGTAGATGTACGGCCCATACTCGTCGCTCACCCAATAACTATAACAGTTAGCCATATGTTAATGACGGGCATCAAGCCACTCACGATCCATCACTGTTCGCAATGATGCCTTCAGCATCAACTGATAGATTGGGTATCGTAATTGGCACGGGCATCTGTGGATCCGCAAAAGGGTCTGAGGGAAACCCCGGCATCGCAGGACGCACGCCCAGACTATCAAGACCGGTAGTCTTGTTGCCGCCTCTGTCGAATTGGAGCGTCGTATTCTTATATATCAACACAAGTGTCCCTTGCGCGTCGTCAAAGCTCAGATCATCCGTGCCGTAATACGGCGTCAAGACAAAGTCAACATCATGCTGGCGCGCCTGGTAGTTGACCGTCCCGTCCCTACAGAGACATCAATGACGAGAAAAAACAGGCAAGCCGGCGGACGCACACGTTGAACCCTCGATCTGGATGCACGACCAATATACCCGAGAAACTTCCGTTCCCAACATCCGTCCACGTCCCGTACTTGATCGCCATGGCACTCCCTATACCACCAAGAGTGTCTCCCGTCGACTCTACCGCATCCGAAGGAATCCTGCCAAATGCGACGATTCCCTTGTTGATGTAGGTCTGTCCCGTTGAGTACCACAGATGTGTCACTGCTAGCCTTCTTCACAGGCGACGCCCGGAGGAGGGAGAATGAAAGTGTCCACACGAGCGCCTGGAGAAGACCCATTGGAAGTCAAGGTTCTTCGACAGTCAAGTATTTATAGCGCTCCCATCCAAACGTGCGCTAAAAATAATTTCCAATGCTAGGGAGACACATGGGCAATGTGCTGCGTAGAGGTACTGGGAAAATAGCGGCCATAAGTTGCCCCGAGAGACGTCGTCATAAGCCAGGACTGATGACTCCGAATGAACAGAAAGCTACGAAGCGAACTCGGAATCCATGTGGCCGCGCTACTCCTGGTAAGCAGCTCATTCGGGTCAATTGAAAACTGACGAAAATGTGCGGATAATAGACGTAATTTGGAATTTTGTTGGGGCATTACTAAATCCGTGGACTCCACCGCGAAAGATGCTTGCATTTGGTTGTGGACGAAAGCCCGATGAAAGCTCTTCACTGATATCAATCTTTCCACGTTGACCGGTGCAACCTAGTCAGCTGCCAGGAGTCAGTTGTCCTGTGGTGCCTTTGAGATACAGCAAGCATACAATGGAGATACTGGCGTAAATACCTGCGGCGTTCCTACTTGATGATGCAATGGTTCATGGGCAAAAGAATCTGCGAAGTCGATGTGTTGCGTATGCAATCTACAATCAAATCCTGTATAAGAATAGGCAGAGAGAATTTAGATGATGACTACCATCATTAATTAAGTTCCTTTTATTTAGTAGTATGGGGCGTAATGATGCGCACGAAGAATTTTCTTCTTCAGATTTCCGTTACAAGTGCGTTTGCCTGAGAATCTTATATCCTCGTGCAACTTGATGTAAGGACTGCAGTTCCGTCGGGCGGCGTTCCTACGAATGTCTTGGCTATTCAAACGTCTGACCCATTGGATACTGTATGACTGTCGACATGCCAATGATATGCGACGGAACCTCTTGGGGAACTCAATGTCGTTCAGCGAGTCATATATCGCCCTCAACGCTAGTCAGATTCGACGTCTACCTCATATCAGTCAATATATGAGAGCAATGACAAGGAGAACCTACAATAAATTTTTCTTCGTATTCGGCTTCATCGCACTCGGCGGAATTCGACCTTCCACGATGCTCACAGTGGCACGGAACCTGAAGGTCTCATTCATGCCTTATGGTCCGATACCGTGAAGACGGGAGCAGAAACAGTAGCGGAAGCAGGAATGAGAGATATGTATGCCTGCCTGTGTTGCTGCGAGAAAGAGGGATGCGGGAAATGCCGAAACCAAGAGCGTCGGCCCGTAGACTGGCCCAACTGCTCAACGTCGCTTTACATTTCCTTGAAAACAATTGGTAAGTCCTCTGTGCTGCCAATATAGAAACTTGTAGAGTCTGCAGCCCAAATTGGTACCTAAAAGAGCAGATTTATTATGCATTACCAGGTGGAAGGAACACAAGCCACGAAGCACAAGTTCGCCACAGTAGATACATTCTTAGATATCTGGAGCTAAAGCTGACTACATAATAGTTATAATCTTCAACATACAGACGAGCAAAAAAAAAACAAAAAAGGGATGTACAGAGACTTAAAAATGTACAAAGAAAAAGATGTACGATGGGACGATACGAGCTACATTCTCAGCAAAGACGGACCGTACACACACACACAATACGAGGGAATAAAATACGAAGACAACACACTAAACAGTTTAGCGGTGCCGCATAGGCGCAATAAAAATGAAAGCAGACAGCGATAGCACGATGGGAAGAGATATTTAAACAAGGGGAATGTGATCGTTTGGCGCATTCGGATCGTCAGATTGATACACATTCCCGCTGTGCATCCTCTCTCATCTATTATGTGGAAAGAGGAAAGAACGCTCAGCGGGTAGAATGGTGGTGAATGGGGTAGTGATAAGGGAGGCGCTGCCGAATGTTGGACGGTCAAGCCTCAGCGGGCGCAGCTTCCTCCTCTACCGCTGTATCCGATTTTAACAAAAGGCAATGCTATAGTGGAAAGTAACGCACCTTGTCTTCGTTCTCAGCTTCCACATCGCCATTAGCAGCAGTAGCCGCAGCTTCGGCTTCAGGCTCTTCAGCAATGGTCTCTTCGACGGGGGTTGGCGGGGGCTGCAGGCTCTTGGGCGCCAACCTGTACATCAAACAAGCAAAGAAAAAGACCAAAAGGCGAGGATCAGCGCTACGCTCACGCTAGTCATACCAACGAATGAAAAGAAGATCGATAGCAACTGAGGAGACCATGACAGCCACTAGTCACCGCCAACAAGGGGGCTGATAACCGCAGAATAGCGCCAGAGGAGACGAGAGAAGCAATTCAACATGCCTTGGAGGATGGTTTCTTGGATCCAGCCCTGGATGCAGGCTTCTTGGACGCAGCTCTGGAGGGCGGCTTGGTAGAGGCCCGGGAAGGGGGGCTTGGACGCAGGCTTAGCATCGGCAGCCTTGGATGCAGGCTTAGCATCAGCGGCTTTGGATGCAGGCTTCGCTTTAGACGCAGGCTTGGCCTACATAGAGAAAATTCAGCATCCAGTCGGCAATGCCAGAGGGGACATACCTTCTTCGCAGGGGGCTCTTTCTCGGTTTCCGCTTCCCTCGCCGTTCACCGGTGCCTCTTCAGCGGTCTTACGCTTCCGGCCTCGAGCAGCCTTTGCTTTTCCTCAGCATCAGCTTTGGTCTCCTTGTCGGCCTTCGCTTCCTTATCCACTTTTTTGGCCCGAGGTTTCGCTGGGGCTTTCTTCACCGATAGGGTTGGTTTAGGTTGTTCACTTGATACGCGATGAGCGACGAGGCTCTGCAGCTTCTTTGGTAGTAGCAGCGGCTTTGCGAGGCATCGTCCGAGGTAGGAAAAATGGGGAAGCGAAAAAACGAGGTGATGGGCAAAAGCAAAGACGCGTTCACGATTCACGTTTGGTTTGTTTACTCCAGAGTTGACAGAAAGTTCCCATCACGTGGGTCGCGCACGCACCTGATGCGTTCCTGGGCCTTTGATCAGCTTTGATCTCGAATTTCAGCCATTGCGCTTTACCAGGAACGGGCAGGGTAGAAAGTCAGAATTGTGTGATTTTGTTAGACCTCTTATAACTTTTTTGCAACGGATTTCCATTTGAAGCACACTGGAACGTAGACGCGACTTGTTCTGATTCAAGCAAATCAAATCTATCTGTCAATTGGCTGCAAAGGACCTCCGAAATCTCTTGCGTTGCTAAGAATTTAAGAGCATATGTTGCTGTTATAAGAGTTAAAAGCGCTAACGTCACAACCCGCGCTCGGTATGTGCTCAGCACGGAGATTGGGTGGCATTCCGTCCATTACGATTGGTATTAATAAACAAAACATCGGGCGGTATCTCTAAAGGACAAAAGTTCCAGCAAGGGTATAATAAAGATGGGCACACAGGCTAAGAGAATAGTCCATCTTGTTCGTAGGGGAGGTATAGTCGCCGGGACTGAGGTGCGCAGACCAGATTCCAATTGGGATTCACTCATGGCAGAGTCATGCGCACTACAAAAAACTCGGGTCTTCTGGGTTCAGGCAGTCTAGGTATGATCTAACACACTTCTGCAACCAATCCCGTTTTGAACCTGGTGTTGGCATTCTCATCTTCACCCTTCCCTGGTCCGCGCAGTCTTTCACTAGTTCCCGAATGCTGATGCCTACATATTCAGATATCACTATTCGTTCACATAATCATGACTTCTGTAAGCGGTGCGCGTTACTAGATCCTGTCATTTCTGTTGCAAATCCGGAAGGAGGAAGAAGACATCAATAAGCGCCTAGTTTAATGCAGTGGTATGCGGCGTGTGTCGTAGAAGCTTTGAACTAGGGACTAGATAAGCAATGTCCGTTCTGTGAGAAAGCACTAGGTTCCAGGTGACTGGGATAGGTTCTACATGCAAGCCACCGCAGGATGATAAACCCTGCATGATTGAGGCCATAATCAAGCCTTATGTTGATAACCTGCTATTCAAATATTGATTTTCTGTCAGGAAAACAATTGATCAAATCAAGGGAAGCCTACCCCATGCTGGAGGATGTGGATACTTAGTCCTCAAATGCTTGAATAGTATGTCATAATGAGTCCGAATAGCACGCCATAGCTGATAGGATAGAGAACTAAAGAAGTCCTCGGTGGGGTTAGCGATCAATGCTGTTGCTCCCGAACACTAAAGCACTGAGATCGACTGACCACCTCCACGAAAAGAAAAACGTTTATGCAATTTTTGAGTGCGTAGGCAATACAGGATAATCAGTTAGTCCCTCCGAGGTAATACAATTTCTGTCTTCTTTCCTCTTTCTTCTCGCATAAAACAGACTTAGAGCTTGGCAGCAAATCCTTCATCATAGCGCTTCTGGGCTTCCTCAAAGTTGATAACGGACCAGATGGCGTTCAAGTACTATGGGTAGTCTTAGTCAGCCTTTGGGTCAATGCAATATCCGTGAAACACATACGTCAGCCTTGACGTTGAGGTACTGGGAGATAAAATGCGTGCTCCCAAAATATCGACACCAATGATGGGGACGTGAGTCAGAAGAGGGTCCTGGTTGGCGGTGGTGACGATCTCAAGGCGCTTAGTAGTGGGGTTGAGTCCCTGAAAATTACGAAGGAATGATATAAGTGACGCCATTCACGCGAAAGCAGTACCAAACATGATTACTCACGAGCCAACCCCAGCCAGATCCCTGGATACCAGCGGTAGGTAGTGTTGAATTCCTTCTTGAAAGCGTCAACACTGCCAAAAGTCTTCTCAATGGCATCCTTGAGAGATCCTGCAGGCAGGACTCCGCCATTTCCCTTGCCCTCAGAGTGAGCGGGAGCAAGGTTCTTCCAGAAGAGCGAGTGGTTGATGTGTCCTGATAAGACGATCAGATAAGTCAGCAATTGTCGCAGCGTAAGGAGGCGCGTAGAACATACCACCACCATTGAACTTGAGGGCAGCCTGGAGGGCGATACGTTCCTTGGCAGACGATGCCTTTGCGTAGGCAGCCTCAGCTGCATTCAGCGCATTGACATAGGTCTGGTGGTGCTTCTTGTGGTGAAGCTCCATGATTTGACGAGAAATGAAGGGCTCGAGAGCATCGTAGGAGTAAGGGAGGTCAGGAAGAGTGTTGGCCATGGTGAGACTTCGATATTTCTGATGGAGATGGGAGTAGGAAAGGAAGAAGGATGAGTCTCTCTTTAAGTCTTCTCCGAGACGATCATTATTAATTCTGATGTCACATCACGTGCTCATATTGTGGCGTCATTCATCTTCCAACTTCGTTTTGTGACGAAATACATCAGCGTACCAACAAAAATATGCTTTTTGGGAACTGTCCTTCACAATTTTTGTCCAAAATCATGTCCGCAAAAGAGATAAGGCATACTTCCAATAGACCGCCAAATTCTGCGAAGTCTTTTCAAGTTCTCACGTTGGACTTTGTCACCGTAGGCTCGCATCGCCGGTACCAAGATATGCGGTCTTGCACTATCTTTCATCTGCCATATAGTCACGCTAATATCTTGCTGTGCGTCTTCTCCTGCAAGGCTGAGACGGACCATTCCTTACCCGAGCCTGAAAAAATAACCTCAACATCATTTGAGAACGAAGGATCGAGTACCCGATAAGTGGTATCAGTCGAACACCATTGTCAATCCCTCCAATGTTCACCATTGACTTTTATTCCACCATTCAAATTCCAATCGGGGCTTTGGGCTGCCACTAGGCGTCTCTCATAAAAGCACTCGCGATGGCGCACTCTTTTCCCCAACGGTTCTTCATTGCGTCAGTATCTCAGAGTCCCGGCAGACATGTCATACTTCCCTGGCCAATGGCAAGCCGATTTTTGTCGTGTTGACGTCCGTAAACAAAGCTTATACTGTTTACAGGTACAACCAACCCAGCATCATGCACCATACAAGCTTTCCCCACCGAAGCCGTGCATCGATCCAAAACTCATCGATCCCGGTTTTCTCGATGGCGAACGTGAGTGGCCCGAGGAGGAACAAAAGCCTTTAGTCTCGCCCGCCAGGAAGCGCAAGACTCTAGCGAGGAAGACCCCAGGCGCGGACACGGATTCAAGCCCCAAGAAGAAGGTCAGGAGCACCCCCACGAAACCTAGGGCTAGTATCAGCAAAGCTGCAGTCGGTGGTAGCGCTAGTCCAAAGAAGAAGGGGACGCAAGTAAATTCCGGATGGTCGAGTCGTATATTAATCATATTCACATTCCTTTAAGCTGTCTCTCTCCCTTTGTCGTCCTATACTTACGTGCTGGACACAGTAATCAGTCAATCTCTATTTTCTCCTATGCGTTGGACTCCTTGACGGTGCCTGCTAAGCCTATCCTCAAGCCGGCACAGTCGCCGTGTCTGGCGTTACTATAACTTACCCTCTGTCGTTCTGTTAAGTTCAGACGACAACTGCAGCAGGGCAATCAGTTCTCGTCGCTGTCCAAGTTAAGCACATTCTTCTCCAGTTTGACTGCGCAGATTTCTGGGAATCGTCCTCCGGGATCTTAGAGCACAGTAGCCTGTTCGAACACTAAGAGTTCGGCTGGCTGGAGTCATGTATAGTCCAAAAGCGAGAATCTCATCGTCCTGAGCTTACAGGGAAGGAGCAACGCCGAGCACCTTCCCAAACGCCTCTGAATGTATTTCCCTGCTGCAAGCCTCTCATCGGATTTCTGTACGGTGAAAGAGGTCGCAGCAGTCAGCAGATTTATGCCTTCGGCTAAATTAGTGAGGAGACCATCAGACCAGAACAGATGAGCAATAGTAGATGCGAGCACAAGACTAGTCCGCCAAAGAAAGCTCGAGGCTAGAGAATAGAACCGGTACCCCCGTCCCATATCGCCAAGTTTATCCATTAGCCTCTCTATTTGCTGTGATAGTATGCGCGCTGGCCATGAGAATACATCCACGGCCGAATCTGGAGCGCGTGCGGTTGGATGTTAGTAGGCTTTGAAGGTCACTTGAGTGGCTTGGGAACTTACACCTCCCGGTACTTCCTCGGAAAGCACCCGAAGCCCTTCCTCATTTTACGTGTCGATCCAGGTCTAGGAAACAGTAATCCATTGGATAATATGGCTATAGCTACAGTCATCATGTTATGCGGCGTGGGAGTCTAAGTCTATGGACATCTACTTTTTCCATGAGTCATTAACAGTTGCATTATGATATATATTATAAACGTTCCTTGACAATTTCCCGTCAATGAGGCGCCCGCCGGCTCGTAGGGATGTCCATTCGTCATTCCGTCTCGCTCTCCATCCATAGGATGTTGGTCGTTCGTTCGTTCGTTACATATTCAAACTCGCCGATCAGTCAGTTATACAGCCTTGGCGCCTCGTTGATCCTCAATCTCTAGTTGTTTCGCTATCTTGAGATCCTAATTCAATAGTATAAGGTACGTTTCGTTGGAAATAAGGTATTCGCTTACAATGCACGGCGCAAATTTACTTCGACTTCGGATTTGCCCGCCATACTTGTAGAAGAGGAAAGGACTGGGCGCAAGGACTAATGCGATCAAAGCGATCAACGTTGATGCCCAATTAATACCCAGCTGTAAGCACGTATATGTCAGTAGCAAGTTCTCGGTGGAAGTAAATCCGCCGGGTGAGAAAACTTACGTTATGGTACATTTGGACGGTAAAAAGAGGGAAGGCAGCCGCCACCAGCGACCGTATGATCGTATTCGCGGCAAAAGCAGACGCCGCATACATGCTAGAAGATCACTCAGCACCGGAAGCAACTTGGCGCAGAACAAATTTACGTACAGATACGTATCGACAAGGTAGCTCTGTTTGTTTGTCAGCGAACATTCGAAGTGATTATGATAATCACACACCAGGAAGGACATGAAAATCAAGTTGATACCGGCACCGATGAGGATGGTGCTGATGGCCGGAACGTACCACGGAATGCTTGCGTACTGACCAGTCCATCCCAACCAGAAGGCTCCGATAACGAGACAAGGACCCGCAATCATAGCACCATACAGACGTTCTTCAGGAGGTGGGAAGCCCTTCCACCTAGGGACGAGCTCAGGATAATGACGAGAGCAAAGGTGGTTGATGATGGAGCCCAACGAGGTACCAATACCAACACCAATGAAGATGAGACCGTTCTGCCAGATCGTGAAGCCACGGGTCTCGACAAAGATGACAGGGATTGCTTCAAATACTGTAGAAACCATAAGTATTTGAACGTATCTGAATGAGAAGGACTTACGAGCGTATAGGACGCCATACACAATGGAAAGGTAAACGGTTACAAGAACGAGGATGGGCTCCATCAGAAGCATCTGGAAAGGCCGATACAAGGTTCGATGGAGGACCCCTCTGACGGACCAATCTTGCTTCTCATGTTCAGCATACAGATCCGCATTCTTCTCAGGGTTGTCCTTCCTCAAAATTTGGGCCTGGGACGAACAAGTCAGAAAGAATCGACGAATCTCGCAAAGAAACGCATACCCTCTTCAGGAGAAGAACCGGCGCGTAAGTTTCCGGGAGGAACAGAAATCCCAAAATTGTACAAAGCCCGGCAAACATCATCATGACCCAGAAAATCCATCTCCACGAAACTGGACTTGTAGCGATGCTAGAATAACAATCAGTGACATTCGGCGGCCAGTGATAAGGGATCTATTGCTTACAATCCACCGACGATGGGCCCAAGGACTGGTCCCATGAAAACGCTCGCAGAGAACAAACTGGTTGCAGGACCTCGACCAAGTGCCGGCCATACATCCGCAATAATACCTATAGAGTACGCGTTTAAGGCACTAATACATGAGAAAAGTGACAAGAAATTGGTCACCTCCGTTAACTGTTAGCGGACCCACGGCAAAGAAGCCTCCAAAGAAGCGACAGATCATCAATGTTTGAATGTTCTGAGCCAGGGCCTGACCAAGATGGAACAGGGTGTAAGCTGTCATTGTGCCTAACATGACAGGCCGTCGACCGTAGAGTTCGCTTCCTGGACCCCAGAGCACCGGCTATTGAAAGCAGTTAGCCGAGTAGCAAGAGGTGAGCATATGGGAAACGCACTCCTACGACATAACCCAACAGGAAAACAGTTACAAGAGCATATGCTGTCTCGGTGTTAATGTCGAAAGCAGCTATTATATCGGAAGTAGCTGAAGTTGGCGCCGATGATGAAAAAGTGCTGGGCCGGAGAAATGGAAGTATCAGCAAAGCAGAACCACCCTTAATAACGAGGATCACGCACACATTAAGGGCGAGAAGAATGCAAAGGCCCGTGATGGTCCATTTCTTTTTCTCGCTCCAGTTCTGCGGATTAAGTTGGTCGTTCGCGTCCGTCCAGGTCACCATGTTAGGGTCGGGAGGTGTCGTGTCAAATATTGAAGAGTCGTTCTTGGGCTTGGGTTCTTGCGGGTCATTAGCGCCATATTTCTCGATCCTATGTTCGTCAACGGCGATTTCTTGTTCCAGAGAGACGGAACGAATTTGAGGTGAATAGGACCGTAGCGTTGTATCAAGAGCGGTAACAGATGAGCGAGGCGTAGGGGTCATAATACTTTCCACCATCATGGAAACTGAGAGTAGAGTTAGAGTTTTGTTCAAAGAACAAAAAGGAAGAAAATCCTCCGTGCTGTTGAATCATCTTGGCCTTATATATGTGTAGCGTGTGGTCGGAAAATTGGAAGATTGTGGCTGAAAAATCACGGAAATACAAATTCCCAAGCTGCTTGGATGCCGATGTGCGGACTCTGCCGGTACCGGAACTTCTTCATGTTCTTTCTGTACCGAATCAAGATCAACGCCGAGAGCATCATGTTCAGTGCAATGAATTAAGTAGCGTGAGTGTTTCCGAGGTTATACCATAGCACGAATGTTTTCCTTTAGATGTATGAATGGTGCCGGAGAGAAAGTGCCTACGGCAATGCGGAAGGTCCGCGGCAGTCGATCGTAGGAACATTTTTCAGCCCGCTCGAAGCGCTCGAAGTCTGGTGTGTCACTGCAGTAATGTAAGGAAAATGTAAGTGACATTCATACTTAGTAACCCAACACAACGCGGTGTTTACGCAGCAGCACGAGTGGCCGACCCTCGTCCAAGTCCAACGTATTCAAAAACCCTGTCTCTCTCAGGGAGCAATTCGTAAACTCCGCGTGTACGAGTCTGCCAATACTGCCTTACAGCTTGCCTCCTTTGAGACAACCGCCAACGGTAGTAATTGTAAGGCCGCCGAATAGCATGCGGGATCAGCCGGGAACGCAGAGAAGTTGAGTCGGAGACGTGCTTGTAATGATAGTCGTGTTCGATCGTGATGACAGGCGGAAGATGAGCAGTGCCCTCAGTGGACGGAGGCAAAGCAACACCGCTTCGGGCCTTAGCTCCTCGGCGAGCGAAGCCTTTGATGCAAGCGTGGAACCACATGGCGTGCAGGGGAAACACGAGGGTAAGAAGGATAGCAGGAATGAAGGAACCATTGGTGGCGTAGAGGCGGTTGTTGGGAAGATAATAGGAGATACATAGCATTAGATGGAGTACGATCCTGGTGGCGAAAAATGATAGAGCAAAGAAGACGTTGGAACGTAAGGATGGATACAAGGATCCCAACCCGAGAATAAAAGTAGGAAACTGAAAGACGATGTTACGACGTGCATAGATTTCTCATAGAGAAGATACGGTACCTCCATGATACAACAGAGGCAAAACACATGAGCGAACGATCGCCTGATGGCAATCTCTACAATCATAATATATAATATATGGTGGAACCAGCCAGTCACGATTGATATTTGGGAACGATAATAGATTGTTCCGGTCATCAGATCGCTGTAGATCGTATTCAATAGAAGGTCTACAGCTAAAGAAGATTGTTCGTACCACGCTAGATACGCCTGGAAAAACCTATTGGCAGGGACCGCCAGATACGGAATGTGTGTGACGTTTTTCACACTGTAGTTCGTGACAAATTTCCAGAGAAACGGGAGACTGGTGAAGGTCATGATACAGCTAACGATGGTCGTGATGATCCATGATAGCTGTTTAGAGGTCGTAAAGTGGGGTGCAAGTAAATGATACACGCAGAAAAGAGCGACAAAGGACTGAGCCACGACGGAATACTGCATGGTTGGCACAGTATCCGTCGCAAGCTGCGCCCCCGATGTCGAGTTCATGGCAGAAATGAAACGCGGGGAAGGGTGATCGTTGCCTAAGAGTGTCCGTCCCTAAAAGACAACGCATATCAGCGTGATACCAACAGGACCCACGTTCGAATATCGTACCAGACGACTAATCAAGCAGAAAAACTACGTTGACGGATGATATGTAACAAAAGGAGATGTAAACTCCTCGCGGATCTTAACGGTTGGATAGCGGGAGCGAACGTGCGAGAGTTAAGACCTTCGAACCGCCGATAACACAACAGCGATATGGAAACCCGACCCTTATCTCACTTTTCTCAGAGACAAGAAGATTGGTCAACAATGGCAGGCGTCGGCGCCAAGTGGATGAACGTTCATCACGATGGAAGGAGGGCCTATTGAAAAGGGTATAAGAACCAGAGCCTTTAGGTAAAAGACTCGTCCCTTACATACTTTCAATGGTAATAGACGTCACATAGATCTGAAACACGATGGCTTGCCCAATATTGTCCAGTTAAAATACGGAGAAGGACGTTTTTATCATCCGTTATAATCACTGAAAGCGACAGTTCTGGATCAAGACCCTGATTTGTACGGTCTATTCCATAAGGAACAAGCGTAGAATATGGGGGACAACGACAAGCCATGAAAGGAATAAAGGAATATCATCGAATAGAAGCAAAAGAAAGAACAAGGTGGCTGTGCACATGTGTCGACAGGATTTAATGAACTGCAGAGAATCAAACAATACCAAATAATGCGCTCTTTCTACTCTTTCTTTCAACTCGCTTTCAAGTGTCCAAGTTCAATATCAAGCAATTAACCATGGAGTCTTTCGAGTGGTCCAGTGCGTCTCACTCGATCCAAATTTCTTTCCTTTGACTGACTTGGCCCTTAGCACCTGCACGCCGCAGTGGCAACTGGGAATTATCACTAATTCCAAGCGAGATTTACTTGGAGATCTTCAGTTACTTTGAGCCTTCAGACGAGATAACCGAGACGCAATGCAGGGCTATATTCTCTAGCCTTGTCTTTGTTTGCCGGTATTTCTGTTCTGTTGCCTTGCCTCGCCTTTACAGGTCGGTCGAATTTCGAGGGCGCAAACGTCAGAACGCCAAAGAGGACCCCGTTTCTTCCCTTAAATTCTGTCTCGAGATTAACAAGGGCTCGTCTTGGGCTTGCGATCTGGCATCGAGTGTCAAAGACTGTACCTTTGAGGACTGGATTCCGGAGACACCCTCTATATGCGGAGTTTCTCCGAGTTTATTGCAAGGCAATGGTTAAGATGGAGGAAATAAATTCTCTTACTCTTGATTCCGTCATAATATCTCATCGCCTTCTCAAATCGATCGCGAAACTGAGCAAGCTGAAGCGTCTGGTTGTCAGACAATGTGAACTGGGAGGGGATGTTACTCAAGCGGATATTTCCGCATTGCGCTCTCTTCCGATCGAGGAATTTACCTTGGTGACCGGTGTGCCATCTATCTTGGCTCACACTTCCGTCAATTAATACGTGTATAGTCCTTCAGAGGTCTGCAAATTCCGTCAGGCTCTTCCAGGGTATTCCGAACACCTCAGACGTTATACTGCACGCTTGCAAGTGGAACGACAGCTCTATGTCTTCCATGATGAACTCCCAGATAACACGACTAACGCTCGAAACAGCGTCCTACGAGACTAAACTACCCCAGCTCGCTCATGTGCTGAACTATCTCCCATCGTTGACCCACCTAAAGATTGCGACTTTATCCTTGGACAGGGTGGGCGCGGGTCACCCAGCCTTTGCTTTGGAACCTTCGTCGTTGCCTCGTCTGCGCGTTCTGGCATGTCCCCCATTTCTAGCAGTCATATTTCCTAAGCGAGCACTGAACGAGATCGACCTCACGGGTTATAATATCCCAACCAATCCACAGTTCAAACGCGTATATTAAATAGGACGAGGACATACAGACGATGGGCCAAACTACTGCAGCGATTCATACACTGTCAATACCTGGCGACATGCTAACACACGGCGATAGCATCATCCGACACTTTCCTGATCTGAGGAAGCTGCGTGTCGCATACGATGACCCATTTTCCGAGAGGATGGTTACCAACAAGGACATGGGGGATATTCTCAAGGTAAGGATAAATCACCACCATCTCTCGGAAAGTTCTGTCTAACCGTCCATTATCTTAGTATATTTCTTTTGCATTTCGTGGTAGAGGTCAGGGATTCCTCGCTATCCGCGAATTCAAGGCGGAATTGCCTTTGAAGAAACCCTGGGTGGTTGATCTCCAGGCACAACGGAAGGCTATTATCGCCCAAATCGAAGCCGCATTTTTCCAGGTCACCCGGGTCGACCTTGGAGGAGGTGTCCAGTGGTACCGGAATGATCTCTGGAGTGACTGGCAGGCTTATGTGCAGCCAGCCAAGATTGAGGACACGCTTCTCCCGGCTATGGTGTTGTTCTCCGATAATATCACCGATTACAAGAGATGCTTTGCAAAGGCTGGTCTGCGTTACAGGTATTAGACTTGGATGTCAGTTTCTCCGGACATTATATCATTACACATTACTATAATATCCATCGTAATTTACACCCTCATACACCAATGATAGCTTCAACCAAACCGGGAACACTATCGAAAAAGTCAAGCACTCGAAGTCTATTAACATCACTCTTCATGACAAGGAAACGACAAAACGCACTGATAATTCCGAATCTCGATCCTTTCCTATTCTGAAGCCAAGGAAGCAGCTTCTGGTTCACCCCAGGAACATCTGTCCCGTTACCCAGGGCCATGATCTACCACATCATGAGCACTTGAATGATAGGATTCCGAGATGAGAACTCACCCGGGGCGTTTCGGGAGGCGAGTCTAGATTATGTTCGGAGCTAGCGAAACTGATATACAGTTGATCTGGGTGATTGTCGATGGCATCCTGAATATGCGCCGTCGTGGCATTAAACTTCCACTGGATATTCTCTGCAGCCCCAGCCCCGACCTCTAACCCTATCTCATAGTAATCCTATGCTTCTAGATCAGCCACCTGTTTCCATCTGTTAAGATCAGGCTCACCTCAATGTACGCGACCTGGTTCTCAGCCTCATTGTATACAATAGAGATGTTAGCCCCATTATCAGTCCATTGATCCGCATCGAGGTAGATCCCGATCCTGTTAGTGTCGTAGGCCGGGAGGAGATCGTAGCTAAATCGTTGGAGGAGCGTCATCTTTCCTCGGGCTTCACCGAGAGTACCGAGCTACAAGGGGGTTAGCAAGCCTTACGCGTGCAGGTTGTTGTAACCCACTGTCCCGTTAGTTTGAACCCAGTACTCAGTAGCCGGGCTGCTATTGAACAGATCGTACAAATGCTCGTAAAATTTGGCATCGTTCGGTGTACCGGTACCGCTCTCGTGGTTGATGGAGATGAGGAGCGCCTCCGTGGGGTGCTTGTCAAGCCAGCTGTAGAAGCCAAAGAATACATCTTCGATCGTGGTTGTTGGGCTTAACAAGGCCGCAGCTGATTATCAATCATTAACATCAGGCCCCCCAAGTGCGTAACGGAAATCCTTACAATGGTAAAATCCGATAGTGTCCTAGTCGCATAATTAGTTTGATGACGAGTTCAAAGTGTCGAAATCCATGACGTACATTTCCAGGATTATAAGCGACTCGCAAGTCAAATGCTCGGACTCCGCCATTGAGCATCTGAAAGAGGGAGTGCTCTTGACACCGATAATACTGCGCTGCCGCAATCCTGGTGGATTGGGTATTATATATAAGTGATTTCCTCATCTGCAAGCGACCCACTCACTCTCCGGTATACTGAATGAACTCATCCTGTGTCGTCTGTGAATAGTTCCCTATAATTATATCAGCTTAATATTCTCCTCGTCACCGTCAAAAGACATACAAGTTGCAGCATCATGCGTCCCAGGAATACTCATATGCACGATCCTTGTATCGTCCGGATACTTGGCCATCCAGTCACAAGTTGCGCTCGACTGAAGACATCCCTCATCATATCCTGCAAGAGAATATTTAGGAGATGGCGCGTTTCAGAGCAGTAACGGAACGCACCTAAGATTGGAGCGCCCCGCTTCAAAACCTCAGCAAGGGCACTCTGCGCGAGGACAATCTGTCCTCGAGGTCCCCCCCTACTCGCGATAGGACTAGCAAACGTGCCCAGACCAAACGCAACTGCCGCAAAAAATAAGACAGACATGGGGGTCAATGTTCAACGTTCGGATCCGAGATTCTGAGTCTCAGCTACATAGATATTCGGACTGCTTGGTCGGTGCGCACGTTATTAACGGGAGATTGGTCTAACCCAAGGACCTCAACATACGAAAGGCACACGTTCTGATGATGCTGGCGGAAGAATGCTGCGAAGTGCACAGCTGGGAATTTCAGAGATCTGCAGATCTGGTTCGAAGGAGGAGTGAATCTGAGTTTGAAATAGATTGATGTTCCCACGGATAATAATACCTCTGCTCGAATTCGGTGTCTGCGCTGTGTTAAGTTACTTGTATATGCTGCAATGAGCTATGTATGGCTTTACGAAAGTTGAAGGTACAGTCATTTAGTGCTTTGCTTGGCCATACAAAGCACAAAAATTGTGGGAAGCCCAAATATTTGCCCTGCATCTCCATCAGAAATCAGCGATGCAAGAAATCAGGATATTAGTGTGTGCTACCTTACATTACTCTCAATTATTTAACTTACTTTGAAACATAGATTAAATATGCTCGTCATCAAATGGAATTAAAATACGCTCTACCCTAAGTCGTTCAAAGTCATCCAGGAATACAACGATACAATCACCGCTTACGCTTCGTACCAGACTCTTCGCCATCGTCGCCTGTGTCCGGGGTATCAACATCTACATGCATTCCTTCACCAGCACTCCCCCCCTCGCCACTGCCTTCACTGTCGATGTGTAGGGCCTCGTGGTCGACATCCATCTCGCCGGACCGTAGGTCACCATCGATCATCATCTCCTCGCCTTCCTCTTCCTCTTCGTCCATGAGATCCATACTAGGTCCCCGGGAGCGCCTGCGTACCCGACTGCCAGCATCACCCTCGACTTCCGTCTCAGCACCGCAGGCATCAGCTGCCTCTTTCTCTCGTTTCCTAGGGCTGTCCTCTGCCACCGAAGATTCGTCGTCTTCATCATCGGCCTCCGCATCTACCTCGACATCCTCTTCGAGATCGGCAAATGTTCGGCAGAGCGGACAAGAAAAAGCAGGGTGGTGCGATTCGAGAAGAGGTCGGATGCATTTGTAGTGGAAGGTGTGTGAGCAGGGGGCAATGAACAGAGCTTGACGAATCGTGACGCTGAAGAGACCTGTTGAAGTATTAATGATGAAATCCGGATAATCAAGCGGCAGATACGAACATATGCAACAATCCGGAATCGTTGATTTCGTGGCGGTTTTTGTTCCGGCTACCGGTTTCGCAGGTGCAACGGTGGCAGAAAGAGACTTGAGATTTTTCAAGGCATTCGTACTGAACAGCCGTGAGACACAAAGATGAAGAGAGAAAGTAACCAACGCACTTGAAAGCATTTGCAGCAGCTTGCCACTCCCTGCCGAGCTCAATCCGGATCTTTACCGACTTGTAAATATCCTCTGCTCCACCTTGGTAATCCACACCGAGCTGAAGGATATCACCATCCTTGATCTGGTGCGGCCGCGATTCTGTATTGGCTGGAGAAAGTCGGACATGGTTCAAGAATGTCCCTGATGATGACTTTGTGTCTTTGACGAAGAATCTAGCGTTCGAATCGACCCAAATCTCTGCGTGGGCCCTGGATACGACCTTGCTCTTGAATGCGACCTTGTTATTATGTAGGGCATTGACAGCGGCAAGGCCTATCCCTGAGCGATCCGTGAATCGACCAATGCGCAACGGGGTATCTCCCTCCTTGACATCGCGCGATATGGCATCGAACCTAAGCGAGCGGCGAGAGTCTAGATGGGGAACGAGACGTAGGCGGTGGCTAGGGCCAGTACTTGGCCGCGATGCTGGTGCCGTCGAAAGTGTAGTCGCCTGTACGAGTGCTGCTGGCGACGGCAGTGCTGGCACGACAGGGCTCGTCTGCGTTGATGTCACGCCCCCGGAACGTCGTCGTCGCAGCATGTGGGATAATCCAAGGCCGCCGGTAGACGTGGTGCTGGTTGCTGACACAGATGGCTGTACAACGCCACCTGTCGGCGGCATGATTGCCGCTGCTGGCCGGCGTCTGTGGCTGCCTTCTGCTGCCACTGGCGACGGTGGCTGGCCTGTAGGTGATGGTGACAACTCTCTAGGAACTTCAGGATGGGATTGGGAGGTATTTCGAGGTCGTCCTCGCAGGAAGGAGCTGAGAATGGTAGAACGTAATGGTGGTGATTCGCTTCCAGCGACAGCGTTGGGGTCCATATGACCCTAAAATAAGGAATAAAAAAAGGTGCTCGTCGTCGTCGCGGACAGCGAGCTCGACGCTATTAATGGCGTTTCCGTTGGGGACGGTGATGGTTGAAGTTCAAGTCAGGGTTTTGCCCGGCACGCCCAAGAAAAGTGTCTCACGCGATCTCGTTCCTGTTTTATACCTTGCACTAAGATTGTCACGGTGGACCCTCGCACTGATTGTTAGCCCTATCTGTACGTATAAATATTCCTTTCCTTTCACTTGCTTTTCTGCTCACGGATTGAAATATTGAACAGCCACGTCGGTGGATGTATTTGTAGCGCTTGGCTTTCAATATGAACGTGAAACCATCAATCAGTGGCGCTTGCAAGGAAGAATGTACTTTATGCATGTATCCACCAGTCTCGTGGACACTGCGGTGGTTATACTGCTTCTTCATCATCGGAACGACCGAGACGGAATGACAGCGGAAGCGCCTGCTATTACTTGAGTTCCGACGACATTCAAAATTCGTGGGGGAAACTCTGCCTAAAGTTCCAAAGTTCATTTACAATGACAACGAGTTTGACTTTTCTGATCTAGTGAGTACTCCGTGTCCGGAACGTCCAAATATACCCAGCTTTTACCCAGTTAGCGTCTCGGATAGACTAGTCCTCCCGCTGCACTTTCAATAAGTGACTCAAGGATACTGCGAGAGTTGTCTCATTTCCTGGGAGATATATATTTCGGCTGCTCGTTCTCAGCCATAGATATACTTATCGTTACTGTGGCTTCTACGCGCAATTGGAACCTTTTTTTTGGCTTTGCGCAGTGGTCAAGTGGGTGAGCTGCCTTCGATTACACTGTTAAATACCCAACTCGAGTCTTCAAGATTCCTTTTACGCCCGCGACCCACGTACGCTGCGACTGCGGAATGCTGATCATGTCGTCGAACAAGTGGGCCAAGTATTTGGTCGTCGCAGCTATCGGATCATGATTTCCTAGGGTCAGGGCTCGAATGACGTTTACCTGTCACCCGTCGTCCTATGGATTTGTTTCCGAGTAGGCACTAGCTCAGCACAAGAAGGCCTCATCTGTCATTACGGAATACCGTAGCACGATGATAAGGCAAAATTCGGGCTTCAAGTCCACCCAGGGTTGACCTTGTCTGCCTCGTATTCACGATACCGTTCACATTGGACTTGGATATATTTCTCTTCGGGCCCTTCCTTCGAACACGTTCTTATTCTAAAGTGTCCTATATCTAGTGTGGCGTGTTCCGTATCTTGCGCCATGCTAAGACGAAGTTCGAAATGAATTCGTACTTCCTTTTACCCGCACATTCCGCCAACCTACCCACCGCCACCCCACCGCAGCTGAGGAAGTCGGTATTGTATTCTTTTGCTAGGTGGCGTTAATATATCGTTGCACTGCTTGCTGATGCAAATCTCGGTCATTCGGGGATTATCGAGGAGAGTGGAAGCTTTGTGCCAGTCACCCTTGAGCCTCGGCAAAGGAGCGTGATGTCCATCGGCCACATCGGGGCGGGATGTTGGTAGTGCTAGCTTCGATTACCGGCGGTGAAGAATTCTCATGGGATGGATGTCATCTCTGATTTTAGTGTCTTGCTATTCCTTAGGTTCGTCGGCCAGCTTGTTGCGGGAATGGACTACTAGCCTTGACGCAATGACAGTCGAGGCAAATTACGTGTGCGTATTCATTTAAGTGCCTAGATAAAATTGACGGTGATCCTCAAGGCGAAATGTGCCTTTCTCATTCTCAGTTCAGTCCGCATGTCATTGAATTAAATGATTCGACTGAACACTCGAAAAAGGCAATATCTCTTTTGCACTGTCGACGGGACAGGACAGCGAGGTGTCGCTGTGAATGTCCAATACGACAGACCAGGAATGCACTACGCCATCGATCCTTCGACATTGAAGTGCCGCCCGGAGCAATACTAGTGGAATTATAGCTGGGCCTCTTAGCAGGTTTGCTATGAGCAGAGTGATTGTATTGTCGTCGTTATATTATGAAAATAAATATCTTTCAAATTCAATATTTCAGGCTCAATCATTGAGACTATCATGCAGTGTAACGGATGAAAACTTATGTTCAGGCGAGCACACAACTTTCCATCTTTCAAGTCGTTGATACTTCATTTATTAAAACCCAATATCGATTATCTATAACTTGTAATGCAACTATTGTGTGAAGGCACAAGAGGGTAAAATACAAAAAAAGGCACGATGAAAAAGCTTGTGGGACTCAGATTCTGATAGCAGCCGTCATATACTTATCAAAAAGGTCCATTGATGATCCATCCTCAGCGAGAATCCCCATGCGCTCAATCCGTTCACATATCTCTTCCTCATCCTGGAGAACGTCGTCCACATAATCAATAGCACCCGACATATGAGCGATGCGACAACAAGCAGCATGGATAGCTAGATAGTCAGGGCTGGGAAGCGGCAGAGCTTGAGGATCGGGCGTAGTGAAGGTGACAACACGATTTGGGAGACTTCGTAATACGCCTACCGAAACGGTCTCAATGACATATGTGTTAGGTTGGTTAGCCTGAATGATGCCATGAGATTATGAAGACCAAAAAATTCGGGCTAAATACCACAGCTCGGAGCCACAAAGCCAACTGGTCAAAACCGTCATGAAGGTCAGGGCACAACGTGAGTATATTCTGCAACCGATGAGTTCCGACACCGTTAAGCTCTGTCATGTGCAGACCAAACACCGCAGCCCATACAGAGGCTACCCAGTCGTGCTGATAGCAGTTATGAGCTAAGCGTATATAAATCCAATCACCAGAAAACATACTTTATCAGATGGGGAATCATCGTTCTCTCCTGAATTTGAGTTGAGACCCTTCGGGAATATATGGACGCATTGGAGCGGGAATGTGTTACAATTCGGGTTCTGGGAAAGGATTGCAGACGGATTTCGGTCAAAGTACTTCCGATCATATGTGTCTGCTCTGAGAAGGCAATGATAACCGTCACGAAGCAGAGCCTACGTGCTCGTGAGCACAGCAGGAAACATAAGAGGTACCTAAGAAACCCACAGCTTTCTTTGCCGTGCTATGATTCAGAGAGGCTTGTTCCATGATGTATTGACACAACTCCTTCGCATTGTCGATATCAGGACAAGAGGGGTGGTCTGATGGAGAGAGTGTTCGTTCCTCCCTTTCAACTGTAAACAAGTTGAGATATGCGACATGAAGCATCGCACAGGCAGACTCACATATGCGAAGCAAGCGTTGGGCGTAGTACTTGCCCAGAGCAAGTAAAGTATCGTCGGTGCTACCATCGTTGATTGACTTTGCCATATGATCACGGCCAACGTTGGTGGGGGCCTCTATAAGAGCGTATCCCAGAATGCGGGCGCAGAGGATAACAGGAGGGTGTCTTGGATCCGGAAGGGAAACAAGATGAGAACGAGACTCGAGACTAAGGCAAAGATTGAATGCAGCATAGAAACCGGCTTGAAGAAAAGGATTCGCAGGCAGAGGACGAGGGGTAAAGTCACTTGGTTGTGGTGGATGCAGCATGTCCTTCAAATTGGAATCGTTTCGACTTGATATCTCCGACATTAGCATTCGACTGGTAAATCTTCAATGGTTTCCTAGATCTCTGAAGTCGCAAAAAACACAAGTTGCTGATTTTCAGAACATGGACAAGCTCTCGGAAATGAGAAACTGCCTAGGGGTCTACTAGCCGCCAGCCGGCCGTCGGAGTGTCAAATACGGATCGTCCGTCATATTATTTTGACCCTCCCAGAATAAAATTGCATTTTATTTTTGAATAAATCTACAAGCCTAACTATAGTATTAGATATCTGGAAATTTGATGAAACAACGAGCTCGAACGTGGTAGAGTGAGCGCCCAGGTCGATTAAGTCTCCGACATAATGCCGAATCATGCCGGGCAGAGCATGACGTCACTCCGACTCACTCGGTTCATTGCTCGTCCTTTGAACATCCGCATCTGCTCTAGTGTTCTCTACGTCTTCCCTGAATCAACGATGATCGTCTTGTTCGAAGAACAACAGGCTCAACCCAAAACTATCTTATCGAGTTTGCGCCGAGGCAACATATCACGTTCTGGCAAGTGAGGTGTACGACATCGAGTCGTGTCTCAAATGGACTTCGTATATGGTATGCCGTTTCTCTCCTTGGTACTTCTCGCTATTCCTTGTGTCGTCTTTTGTCTAGACACCCTAGGGTCAGAGTAACTCACAAGCAAGCAGTGTTGATCCTGTCCTTTTCCCCCCAAGTACCGGGCCGAATTGGCAAGCATCAGTTCCCCGTTAGCTGAATCTCAACAGAAGACTATGCAGTACAAACGGGTAAAGGCCCTCTCCTGTTCGAACATCAGAGGGGAGCCTACGAGCTCTGACTGTCGGTGAGCTTGGATTGAATGTTTTCAAACCGACTTTAATTCCTTGACTTTGTGGCTTTCAGCGAAGTTTAACCCTCGTCCTAGCAGTATCAATATGATATCCAAGCAAATCTCGCTTGGAACTAGTGATAATCCCTGGCTGCCGCTGCGGTGTTCAGGTGCTAAGCGCAAAGTCGATCAAAGGAAAGAAATTTGGATCGAGTGAGATGCACTGGAAGGCTCCATGGTGGTGGTTACTTGCTTGATATCCCTTTCACAGCGCATTTACCACTACGACGTCACTTTATCAACCTCTGCCTGCGAATCCTTTTCTTCAACTCAACTTTGATCTCTATGCTGCCTTCAACATTTACCTTGGCCTCGAGTCTTGCACTTTTTTCCCCGGATCAAGACATCCTCCTGTCGTCCTCTGTGCCCGCGTATCGAGTGACGTTCTTATAGAAGCTTCGTCTGTTTCAGGACGTGATTATATGGCAAAATCTATCAATGAATGTAGCGCCGATGACGCTTTATTTGCCTTGAGGAACTACTATCACGGATTGCTTCCCCTATGTGAGTCCACCTTTGCGGTGCTTTCACATTGCGTATCTCATGTCCATCGTAGTCCAGAGAGAGCTAGTCGGGACATCCATTCCATCAGATGATCGCTCTTGCCTGGATGTTCATAGTATGCCAGACTTCCGCACCATCCCATCGGAGGACATGTGCATCCAGTCTGTGTTTCTCTATACCATCAATTATCGAACATCTTTATCAGTCAAAGTCTGGTGCAGACATAGCGTCCGTCACACGTGTGGGCCTGAGGACGGGATTGCGCTTTTTATATGGTCAACAATGGAAGAAAGGTAGCAGATACTAGTATTTTGCGTCTTGTTTGCGTACGTATTTTACTCGCATTGGAGGACAGACAAGAACAGCCTCGGCCTCAAATTCCAGTATTGATTGTCGTTCTCCCAGTCGAGTATAGGTGTAATCACTGCCTTGAATTTGACCGCCAGTCCAGAAGAGAAAGCGACTCCATAAGCATTAAGAAGAGTTTGGCACGTATTTGGGGATAAAAAATAGACCGAGCGTCGTATGGGGCGCTATGGTGTAGTGGCAGCACATGGGATTCTGATGCTTCATGGATAGAGGTAATTCCCATAACCCAGGTTCGAACCCTGGTAGTGCCTTTTTGCTGTCCTGCGGACTACTGCTAGCTAGTCTCTAGACTAATCTTAGTTTTTTCGAAATTCGAAATTCACCCAGAATTCCGTGTCCACTGTCCAGCTTCGTTTTTCACTGAAGTTGCACACGAAATCTCCAGGATGGAGATAAGCTAAAGTATTGTCCCGACCTTATGCTATGAAGGCCTCCGATTCGGACGTAAGGTCTAATAAGTACATCGATGACGATCCGGGTGAGCTCGGCTCTTTGAGGATCAAGTTGGTGAGGGAACATCAAGACCGCATAACAAGGCGATACAGCGCCAGAAGATGGGAACGAGTTTTCATCTTTGTAAGTGCGGGCAATTCTAATGTAGATGGGAGCTTCAGTCGTATACATAGGATATCCACTTTCGCGCTCCTAGAAGATAGTCGCAGCCTGAGTAGTGAAACGATGCTACCATATGCATGTTGATGGCTACCATATTTACTACAAGCAAGCAAATGCACGTGCACTACAGCGGACTATCGGGAAAGGGGGCCAGGCTCACAGACGAATCCGACTTCGGCTCGAGGACAAAACCGCGCCGTTGATAGTTTGCTTCTTCCGTCATTTGGAGCTGTGCCCGTGCGTGAGTTGAATGGGTTAGAGTATATTTGGGAAGGACCCACATATGCTTCACACCCGAAGATGTGTATGATTAAGGCGAACCAAAGAGCCATACCCTGGACAACACGTGTAGCCGCGATAGAGTGGAGAGCATCTCCGCGGGCATCAGCATAAACGGGAACGTATGTGCTAGAGAGGTCAACGCCATCGCCGGCACATGTGGGGAAGAGTAGCTGGATTGATGTGATATTGGTGAGGACGGAACGGAGCTCATCACATCGGAACACCTGATATGCCTCTATGAATTGAGATAATCAAAACGTGTTCGCACGCACAGAGTGGTAGTTGCCAATGTCGGTTACTATTTGCCGGGCGGCTAGGGTGATCAGTCGTGCAGTGATAGCGACGCTAAATATTACTACACCACCTATTTAATCGTTCAGTGCATGAGTGATTTTGATAGGGACGGCTTGGAGAAATATACGTACGGATCATCCACTTGCGGTGTTCCCTAGTGTTTTTCTTGACATTGAACCATCCCAGGATAAGGCAGCCGGCGGAGAGTATGCCCAGGGTATAATACATTGACTGAGAGTTTATCTCTCCGCCAAATGCCCTGTAGCCTATGATGGCACCAGTGACGTTAGATGGGATCAAGAGTATGAGCACGAAGTAGCCTGAATATCGAAGAGTTGAATATATTTATAGTTAATTCCGCAGCTGCAGACGTACCATTTAGACGGTGCAAAATTACAGCACGCTTTGTGTCGGGATCAGTGAGCAGTATTTGGAATTTGTGCAGAACTTACACGTCTAATTGCTGGAAGGAACTGAAACAAAGAGAATATTCCGCCAACTTCACCCAATCAGACTGTTGTTGATAAAGTATACAGATGAATGACTCACAGAAGGCGGTATATATGTGTAATGCATAATTGGCTTTGAACGTTCTCTGATTGAACCAAAACCATTGACCTAAGGAACGGATCAGGGATCAATCGATAGAGCTTTTTGAAGATCATTATGTTACGAATTACCTGGTGGTGCGTATTTTTTCATTAAGGCAAAGTTCATAGTTCGTGCGGTGTATAGGCAGAATCCCGCGAGGGCGCCCCCGAAAATGATGACTGATGACTATCAGGACTAAAAGAGAGCGGTAGAGGTTAACGAGGCTTACAGAGTAAGAGGCTGAACCTCTGCTTATACCCAACGATGTTACTTATTGCGAGATAGACCGAGCGACCAGGTACTTTCCGGTGTGGTCTCGCTACTGCATGCGGTGGAGGTACGTCGATGTACGGTCGGTTAGCAGGATAAATATTGTCATCCGACTTCACGTAACGAGGATCAATCGTAAAGACGTCTCGCGGACCAGGTAGTTCAGAAGCAATGGTTGCTGGCGAGTAGATGGACATTCTGGTGATGGCGGGGAACTTGAAAGCGACTCAGGCGCCATCCACAGCTATATCATGCAAATGCCCTGGGATCCTACTTCCAGTAATGAGCGCCAAGATGGTGGCGGTGGTCACTAAACCAAGCTGAACCAAAACTATCCAACTGAACGAGTTCGAACCACACTCGGCGATTCATGAGGATACCGGGCGGGGATTCCTAAGACCGTACAGTTGATTCAATGGCGCCTACTAAGGATTATCTGCTGCTTTTGGGTAAGATCTACCCATGGTTTGGAGCACGGTCCGTCGTATTTTTAGCGATAGAACATCCGTGAAACGCGGAGTAGCATCAAACGCACCAGCATCACTTGGACATCTGCCCGAGGTTTCAAGGTAGGAATGTGGGGAGGCACCTTGGATAGAGTTGCTATCTAGGTCAATTGCGTCCTAGAGATCCAAAACGCAGAAAATTAAGCTGTACGGAATGCTGGCTGGGATACCGAGCATGCATGGTCAACATAGGTGTGTTTTCGAAATGTCGAGACTGTCCCAGTCTGAGGCGTCAATGCGAGAGAAAATACAGTCTATCCAGTACTTTGGAGGACTTTGCCTTTCAGACCATGTGCTTGGATGAAACCTGCAATCTCCGGCAGTGGATCACCCCGAAGATGCTCTTCACTCTGGGTAAAGGGGTTACAAAATGCTCCATCTAAAAAGTGAAGGCGAATTGGCGAGGATAATCGCGTTAAATTCTTGTGCTGAAGCCTAAGGGATAGTAAATTCCAGAGTCAACTGAGTTCGCCTTAGGAACTGCGGAAAGAAACTCATTCCATTAATTCCGGGTCTCATCTCAGAAAGGATAGCGCACCTGATAGGTCTGTGCACTGCACGATTGGTTTCAATAATGACGTTCAACTGGAACGACTGAAAAACGTACACCACACCGGGCCGTGACCGTGCCCCATAGCCTGAGTTATGGTGGCGTCAACCCCCCTGGATACCAAGGACTCAACACATAAAGACACGAGAAATCTATACCATTAAAGGTCTGAAAATCCCCTTGTGTACCTACAGTAGCTACTGGGGCTGGCTATGAGCAAGCGCCGCCGCGTCTCTGTACATAGATTACGGGTTGCGGTTTCGAAATATAGATATAAAAAAAAAATTTAAAAAAAACCGGGCCGTGACACGTGGTAACACGTGAACTCAACAAGAGGAGGCGCCGAAGATTTTCAGTGACGAACTCAAAATTAGATGGAAAAAGGTCTGTAAAAACCCGGAATATTGCAGTCGCTTCCATCAGGTACGATGCCCATTTGGCTGAATTTTGGTGTCTCTAAACGGTCATTTGGAACAAGCCAAAAATAGATTTGCGTTCGGGCCGTATCCAGCTTGGCCCAGCACTCGTACCTTGGTTACGCAACATATTTTCGAACATTATGAACATCTGTTCTCTCCGGTTGAACCTCGGACGGAATCTTCTAACACTGCAAATACTTTGCCCGTTGCCGCACCTGGTCATTCAAGCAAATTCATGATCCAGGACAGAATACGTATTTAAGGATAACGGGAATGGTATTACAGACCACAGACATGGCTTTCTTCCCCCTCCGTGCCCTAACTCTCTTTTCTCTTTTTGTTCTTTTCCTTACCAGCGTTGTGGATGCGACTCCTGCTGTGAAGCGATATAGCCGCACTTCTGCGCCAAGCGGTGCTGTTGTCGTGAGAGGCAGTGGAACCAAGTCCGGAGAGTACAGCACGGTGCAAGCGGCAGTGGACTCACTTCCTGACGATGGGACCGAGCAGGTTATTTTCATTTATGCAGACAAGTCGAACTTCCCCCTCAGATATTGATGTCGAGAGTCAAGACTGACATACCTTATTTAGGCACCTACTCTGAACAGGTCTACATTGATCGGGATGGCCAGACGACTGTACGTGTACTTTCACAGAGGGATAATCGTCCGGCAGTGTTGATTTTCGGTGTCTAGATCATGGGCCAAACTTCGGATACCAGCAGCTACACCGGCAATACCGTTACGATCACTCATTCGAGCTCTCTTGGCACTGCAGGCACCGATGATTTGACCGGGACCCTACGTGTACACAAAGACGACTTTGCGCTATACAACGTCAATGTGAAAAACACGGTGCGCCTGTGACTGGTGCATGAGAATATTTTTTGATCATATGTCCTTCAGTTCGGACAAGCGAGCACTAACGGTCAGGCGCTGGCTTTAAGTGCATATGGAACGAACCAAGGCTATTACGGCATGGGCTTCTACAGGTAAACTATCCTTTTACTTCATCACAAGACAGGCATCTGACTAATTGTAAACAGTTATCAAGACACAGTGCTCGCCGAAATTGGTAACCAATTCTACGGTTCCTGTTACATTGAGGGAGCCGTCGATTATATTTTCGGTCAATACGCACGGGCGTACTTCCACAAGAACATGATTGCTTCCATAGGCGCTGGAGCGATCACTGCTAACGGACGCTCATCATCGTCCGGAGTAAGTCTGTGTAAGTCATTTAGCATGCACCTGCATTGCTTCTCAATCTCACCGTTAATTTCAGTTGTCATCAACAAAGCAACTATCACCACTAGCAGTTCTGCGACAACATCTCTCCAAGGTAAGGTGTACCTTGGACGCCCATGGGAAGACTATGCTCGGTATGTCACTCAATGTTCTACCTATTCCGTGTTGCTGAACACAAACCAACAGGGTCGTTTACACATCCTGCTCGCTCGGAAATCTGATCAACAGTGCTGGTTGGGAACAGTGGTCAAGCAGCTCACCCAATACTGATCATGTTACCTTTGCTGAATACGAAAGTATTGGTATGTTGGTGCTAGTACACCGTGGCCTCGAAGATGTCTTAAGGTTTTCTTTCCAGGATCCGGGGCTTCTGGCACTCGTGCGTCGTTTGCAACAACGCTTACTTCAACCAGCGGCTACACGATATCGGATGTTTTGGGTAGTGACTATGCTGATTGGGTGGATAGTGATTACCTTTAACTTTTAACTATTTATGTTTAGTACTATGGTTCATCAGGTATTTGTGAGAGTGAACGTCAAATACACGTACTTGAAATAGCTGGAAGTGAGTTTTCAGGATACTCCGAATATTGCTCATGAATTTCCCCTACCACGACTAATCGTGGGAGGAAGATGAAGTATTTCCGGAATTGACGGACCGGGCATTACAGGAAATCACGCGTATGGACCGTGACCGCGGACCGACCAATTTAGCCTCGATGCACTTGGAAATCCAACTTAACATTAACCACGATGTCCGTTCTACTTCTAACGCCGGTCGTCGCTCAAGCCATTCTCACTTGGCTCGTTCTCTTCATTCTTGTCTCCTCCTTACCAACGGCGAACGCGTCTATATACCCAACCCAGCCAATCGCAGCGACCGTATACAACGTCGGCCAACCCGCCGTGCTCAATTGGCGCTCAACACCCAAGGCGAAGGAGATTCGAAGATTCAAGGTAGAGCTCTTTGCTGGGAACCACGTACGTTTGTCTGTCTTCTTCGCGATATCGCCTTTACTGACGAGAGAACCCTTGTCGTTGAAATGATAGACATACATAGAAACTCTCGCCAGAAACGTCCATACTCAGTTACAAACGTATAACCTTTACCTCTCGCCGCAGCTAAAATATGAGGGTAGTGATTAGTGGGTGTCTTTCTCTCAGTTCTATATCGTCTTTCCTTTCGCTGAAAAATGCTAAAACATTCTGATAGTACTATGCGTTGGATATCCGAGTCCGACCGGGAAAATATCGTCTACACTTCCCATTTCACAATTGCAGGCATACCTGATCTTCTCTCTCCCTCTTCCGACGCGTTCGCGAAAACCGCCGCAGCCACCAAACTCGCTCTCCAAGCCACAGCTACGCAGTCTGAGACTGGTGGTAGTCCTTCATGTTCCTCAACCGGTGCAGCCTGTCCAGGATCCACTGTGTACGCAAATCCTTTAGATACGACAGGCTCTGGTGACTCTCATCCGTACTCTGCTGCCCATTCACGCCGCTTCGATGCTAGGCTCTTCTTTGTCCTCTGGCCGGCGATAGTCGGATTCTCGATGGCTTTGTAACTTTACTACAAGACTGTGTCTTCCTTTCTATTAACGATGTGTAGCCTTCAATATCACTATTGTATCAGTACATGTACTACTCAAATTTTCGTATATCTCTCACTCGCGATACCGAATAATTATATCTCCTGTCCTCGCTACGAACTAATCTCACACTTTACTCCTTGATGATGACAGCTGGAGCCTGGGTAGTGAAACGACGTTATCATTACGCATGTTGATAGATACTCCGTGTTACTACAAGGATGTCCGTTCACTACGGTGGATTACTGTGAACTTTAAAAGTGGTTCAACCTCAGAGACGAATCGGACTTTGGTTCGAGGACGAAACCGCGCCGTTGATAGTTCGCTTCTTCCGTCATTTGGAGCTAGGCCCGTGCGTGAGTTGAATGGATTAGTACATTTTAGGAAGGACTCACGTATGCCTCACATCCAAAGACACAGATGAATAAGGCGTACCAGAGAGCCATACCCTGGACAACACGTGTGGCCGCAATAGAGTAGAGGGTATCGCCACGGGCATCAGCATATACGGGAATGTATGTGCTAGAGAGGTCAACGCCGTCGCCGGCACATGTGGGGAAGAGCAGCTGGACTGAGGTGGTGTTGGTGAGGATGGAGCGGAGCTCGTCACATCGGAATACCTAACAGGCGCTTGTGAGCTAGGAAGTTTTAAATGTATTCATACACACAGAGTAGTAATCGCCAATGTCAGTTATTATTTGCCGGGCGGCTAGGGTGATCAGATGCGTGAGGATATCTGTGCTAAAGATCACCACACCACCTGTTTGATTTTGAATTATTTTGGCAGGTACGTATGGGGGAAGTATACATACGGATCATCCACTTGCGGTGTTCCCTAGTGTTTCTCTTGACATTGCATAATCCTATGATAAGGCAGCTGGCGGAGAGTATGCCGAGAGTGTAATACATTGACTGAGAGTTTATCTCCCCGCCAAATGCCCTGTATCCTATGATGGCACCAGCGACGTTAGATGGGATCAAGAGTATGAGCACAAAGTAGCCTGAATATCGAAGAGTTAAGGTATTTATAGTTAATTCCGCAGGGCCAGACGTACCATTTAGACGGTGCACAAGCACAGCACGCTTTATGTAGAGATCAGCATGAGCGGTGCTCAGATTTCGAGCAGAACCTACACGTCGAATTGCTGGAAGGAATTGAAACAGAGAGAATATTCCGCCAACTTCACCCAATCAGACTGATGTTGATGAAATACAGTGATCACTCACTAACGGCGGTATATATGTGTATTGCATAAGGAGCTTTGAATATTTTTTGGTTGTACCAGAACCATTGACCTAAGAAGCGAATCAGGGCCAGTGGATAGAGCTTTAATATATTATTAATTACCGGGTGGTGCGTATTTCTCCATCAACGTAAAATTCATGGTTCGTGCGCTGTACAGACAGAACCCCGCGAGGGCGCCCCCGAAAATGATGACTGATGACTATCAGGACCAAAAGAGAGCAGTAGAAGTTAACGAGGCTTACAGAGTAAGAGGCTGAACCTCTGCTTAAACCCAACGATGCTGCTAATTGTAAGATAGACTGAGCTACCAGGTACTTTCTGGTGTGGTTTCGCTACTGAATGCGATGGAGGCGCATTGAAAAATGGTCGGTGACTAGTGTCAGTGTCTTCATTCGACCCAACAAAGCACGGATCAGGTAGTTCGGAAGCAATTGTACCTGGTGAGTAGATGGACATTGTGGTTGAGGAGAAGGCGACTCGAAATGTCATTCATGACCAGGACACCCAAACGATCAATAGGCCTGAGCCGCAAACATAGCCAAGGTGAGCCAAGTCTATTCAGCTGGATAAGTCCTAACCACACAAGTGTTTAGAGTTTACCATCCGCGGCGGAGATTCCATGAGACCATCGAGCCGATTCTGCGGTACCGGTGCCAGATGATCGATCATCCGCTATGATTTACCCATACATTGGAAAGCGGGTAGTATTTTTAGAGAGCATCCGTGAAACGCGAAGTAAGTAGCCTTCAATAGCACAGCATATGCATGTGTCACTTTGAAGGAGTGCATATCTGGTGGTTCCCGTTTCGTAGTAAGGAATATCGGGAAGCTAGCCTGTATTCAAGGTCAGTTACATACAAGAACCAAGCACTATTTTCGATGGAAGGCTGCGGGTCAGCCAAGTTTCAGCTCGTCTTGGTGAAGTTGCCGCCCGTTCAAGACGACAGGTCTAGACATGGCCAACATTTGTCTGAGGTTTCCGAGTCTCTCGCCTGGTAGAATGCGTTACTGGGTGTGACCAAGGAAGAGATTGAAGAGATACTAGCCCCTCTTGCCAAGGATTCCCCGGGAAGTTAAGATACGTTAGGCCCAAAAATTGCGAAGTTTTTGGCTATGTTGATATATTGAGGGTCAGAGATCAAATGCCTGTCAAAGCGAGGGTGAGAAAGGACCTGCGGAACCGCTGGTTCGATTTTTAGCGACTCGGCCCGGGAGCGCCGGTGCGGCAATTGCCATACGCAAACAATGCATCTGATACTCAAGTTGCCTCTTTCTTTCTCCCATCACTGTAACTTTAACTTACGCCTGTCTTCCCGAGCGCTGCATCATTCGTAATTACCTCTCGCCAGACTTCCGAGGCGACCTTTACATCCGAGCCAAAAGTAAGGAAGAAGGCTGTGAGTAAGCACCTACCGCCCAACCTCTGTGAGTCGTGTTCCAGGGGTCTCGTCGGAAGTCGCCATTTAGCACTGCTCTATCAGTGTACGGCATCAAGGTACGATACAAACCCAACCGAACGAACCAGTGTACTGATCGCTACCTTTAATAGGAGACAGGCGCCTTGACCGTGGGCCCGCAAACTGACCGAAGTTAGGCTATGGGAACCTGAAAAGGCACTCTCAATCTCATATCTGTGGAGACCTATTTGGTGTTTCTTTGGAGTCCGAACGGCCTTAAATTATTCGTTGATACGACCCGTGGTTGCTTTCTCCGACTCTCTGCTCTGCTACGATGATTCACGAAGATATAACTTACGACAAGGAATTGCGTCTAGGTGGTGGGAGAACTAGTAGCGTTTTCAGAGGAACTTTGAACGGTGGTAGCGTTGCGGTAAAGGTGCTGAGTGCCGAGGTGTCACCCGATGTGCGTCTCATGTTTTCATTTGATAGGAAGAAACTTACCGTATGTTCCTCTGTAGAATTTGCTTAATCGCGTGCAGCAATGGCAGAAAATGAATCATCCGAATATCTCTCAAGTGTTTGGCATGTCTCCCGACGACCAAGATCCACTATACATCGTCATGCCATGCTATTTTCAGGGGAACAGCCGCCATTACTTGAATCAAAACCCAAATGTCGATCGACGTAAAATTGTGCGTATAGCTCTACTCATGGATGTCTATACACCTCACGGCGTCCAGGTCTTTCAAACTGCTTTGGGAATGCAATATCTTCATTCAGTACGTCATATCACAATCCTCGGGAGCATTTCTAACATCCTTTCATCAGTGTAACGTTGTGCACGGGGGCCTGAAGCCATCTAACATTCTCATCAATGATTCCGGAGATGCATGTGTATCTGATTGGAGTATGGTGGATTTCCAGACAAGTCGGGATAAAGAAGCGCATAGGTACTATAGTCCTGAGGCCTGGAAAGGGGTGAGCACCCTCTAGCGATGTGCCTTCCAATCTCATCTGCTATCATAGACAACGTCGTTTCCATCCGATGTTTACGCATTTGCTATGAGCGCATATGAGGTATATGCACCAGTAACCCCTTCGCGACGACGTTTTCTGATGACCTTTGCAGCTCTTCACTTCGACACTTCCATGGGGTGTACTTCCCGAGAAGCACATATACCGACTCGTCGTATATGAGAACAGTCGACCCGATCGTCCAGATCCAACCATTGAGGCGAGAGCCGGGTTGACTGACCACATATGGGGGATCATCGAAGAGTCCTGGCACAAGGAATCCCGCCTTCGGCCAAGTTTCGACATCATTATCCAACTGTGGCAGAGTGCACCCGTCAACGTTCCAGGCAAAGGCAAGAAGCAACAAGTACTTAATGTTCTAAATCCCACCAGTTCAGCAGATGTAGGGGCCCTTTCGTCAAGATTCAACAATATGTCGACTGGGAGTATCAGAAGTCCGGCACAGTCCATAAGGTCACTGGATTCAGGTCCACCGGCGTATGAAGCGTCTACATCCATGGCAGCGCCTTCGGGTTCTCCGGTTTTGCCAGAGTCGGCTCCCGCTCGATTCAACATGTCACCTCCTCCGCCTTTTGGTGGGAGGGATGGCGGTGTACGAAGCGCAAGTCCACGATCTAATGGGTCCGTTTCACCTCAGCCTTTAGGACAGCATGCGTCTTTCCCCTCCTTGTCTTATCGAGAAAATCGTCCCAATGCTCCCTCCAATTTTGGTATGTCATTCGTTCGAAGGCTTATAATTATTCTCATTTTCCAGATGTCACAGAACCGATGTCAACTTGGGATACAAACTATTCTTCGTTTGGAAAAGCTTACACTCCAAATCTGCCAGTGTTCCCTGAAGAGGACCCGCACTTCGGCAGGCGAATTACATATGCTCCGTCATCTGCGCCCCCCACGGGTCTGGGAAGGAGTGACTCTACAGTGTCATGGCAGCCTAATCGGCGTGCTTATGCACCTAGCCAAAATGCCTCTATGTCATGGGACAGGCAGTCCATCCGTAGCGACAACGTTTCTGGTTCCAGCATCACACGTAAGGTTTGCGCCTAACCTGTATCGGTAACATTGCTAACGTGTGTGTAGAACCCGTCAACGCTGTTCTATTGGTTGGCGCACTGCAATCAGAGGTGCTGTCCACACGGAGCCGTGATATGATCGATTCGTGTCTCGTTAAAGTGCATTTCCTTGCTCAGTCCGATAAAGGCGCGGAGAGATTGGTTACTGCAAATATCGTCCCGACTTTGATCCATCTTCTCAAAATACGAGCAGCGAATGGAGAAGGCTTGGAGATAGTCTTGGCTTGTCTTGGTCTCGTCGCGTATGTCTAATGTATGATCCCTTCTTCGTTCGCCTTTCCTCATAGATGCTTTCCTTTATAGTCACGACTCAATCAGTGCTAATACGATTTTCCGCACCAACACCGTCAATACCTTGATAGAGCTAGTCATCTCATCGCTCTCGCAAGATGTCGTCACCCTCGCTATATGGTGTCTGCATCGCATGTGCCGCACCCCCGAAATCTCCAATGGGCTAATCAAGCGAAATTTAGTCCGCATACTTATCGAACGGGGTATTCGGTCGTCTCTGCTGACCGCCCGAATGACAGCTTGGTGTCTTGGTATACTCATTCATACCGATGCTCAAGCGGACCAGCTCAACGACCTTGGCGTCATTCCCGAACTTGTGGAGTACTTGAGGCGTGCATCTTCGGACCCCAGTGCGTCGCCGGATGATGTATCTGCGGCATTGTATGCCATAGCACGTATAGCACGATCCATCAAACTTGGCAAAACATTGGCCAAAGCCGGTTGTGTGGGATGGCTATCGGAGCACCTTGCATCATCGACAGAGCCTTCGATACTGTTATGGGCTGCGCGCGCAGTTGGGTGCATGATGCGGCCCAATAGCGCTGACATTTCTAAAATACTCTTAGACGCTGGCATTGCGAAGGGGCTTGCAAGGTTGCCGAGTGTCCTTCCTTCAGATGAAGTCGAGCCTCTGGGATCGTTCGCATTTGCGGTGCAGAGGTTTAGTTGTGCCGAATGGGGTTCAGGGACGAGGAAGGCCCTTGTGGACGCTGGAGTGGTGGATTCGCTTTTGGCTGCCCTAAGGACTGTTGCGGATGAGCCGAAACCTCAAATACATGTGGAGATGGCACTTGCTGTTAGTTTTTTGGGTGACGTTGGGGGAGCTGCGATAAGGAAAGAGATTATCAGCGCGGGTGGAATCACTATTTTGAAGAGGGTGGGCGCCAATGGGAGTCCAGAGGTGGCTAAAGCATGTGGGATGGCAGTGACGAGTATAACCGGGAATCTGTGGACAAGAAATGCTGGTGAGTAGTTTTTTTTTTTGGAGAACTAAGGAAGACAAATTGACTGAATGTTCTTGTAGCGTCTGCAAAAACAGCAATGACACACAACTGGACTGGCGGATGCCCGGATTATTTTGTGGAGTGTCCAGTCGTCCTTGTGACTCAAGACGCTTTGTAACAAAGTTAAGCTCATTATGATTATGTCGTCAGTATTTAAACCTTCGTGTTATGCTGTATTTTGAATTTCCTCTAACACATCAGCCTAGTATGTCTATGGACTTTATCTAATACTAATCCGTCTCGCGGGGCCTCTTACAATATCTTTAAAAAGCGAAAATGTACTATATATTGTTGTAACTTGTAGTAGAATCACGGAGTGCGGTGCACTTGTTCCAATTGAAGCTAGAGCCTCGACAGATACGAGTTCTGCGAGTATTTAATAAAGCGGCTTGCCAGGCCAGGGCCCTCGGACCGACGTGACCGCGACCACGTGCACCTTCTGTCACACTACGTTTACACCGGTTAGCCCTGGTCCCTTATCCTCAGAGTCATTGACGCGAACGAAGAAACTTCACTGCGGCAAATTTTCTATTGTATGCTCAATCACATCGATTTCTGATATTTACAATAGTCTTGGGACTATATGGCCTCGGAAACTTCTCAATTTGAAGTTTCAGAACCAGAAACACAATTCGTACCGAAAAGCGATGATGAAGATACCTTGTGGACGGTCTTGGAGATTCTACAGGAGAAAGGCAAACGATACAAGGTGAAATGGGCCGGTATTGATCCGGAAACCAAAAAACCATGGGCGCCTTCTTGGGTGCACAAACACGATTGTACGCCGGACCTTGTAGCGGAATGGAAGAGGAAGAAGTTGTCGAAGAAGATGAGAAGAAATTGTCAGTATCGATATTTATTGACTTTCACTATCTAATTTCTGCCTAGCTTCAAAATCTTTTCGCGGTGGATCTACTATATCTCGCGTTTCGAAGAGCGACACTCTTTCGAAAGCGTCCAATGCGTCCTCTTCAACGACAGTGCCACATAAATCGCGCCAAAGTGCGCCCAAGAACGAAACGGATTATGACTCTCCTCCAACGGCAGGGCCTTCCAAGCCTCGCCAGACACTGACCAAGAAATCTCAACCTCTACCCGAATCTGAATCCGAATCCGAAGAGAGCGACACCCACTTGATCCAGAGATCTTCTCACACTCCACAAAAGCGCAAGCGCGTCTCCTCAGACTCTGAAGACCTCCCGGACGTTGCCACCCTTGTTCGTAGCTTACCCAAGAAGCGGAAGCTGAACGAACCTCCACGTCGCAATGGCAGTGGACGGAATAGTGATTCAGCACGTGGAAGTATGGGCCCTTCTCACAAAAGCAAGAGTATTTCCAAGGAACTTACTGGGAATGGAAACGAGTCGGGCAGAAGTCGTGCCGCATCTGCAGTATCCAGCGGCGGGAGGAAATCACCATCAAATTTGGAAGATAAGGCGGACGGACGTGCCGGACCTTCGAAGGTCAGCGACAGAGCATCGGCTGGGAGTAACAAGCATGCTACAAGTCGCGGGCGCTTAACTGCTCTTAACGGTAGCCGGAAATCATCTTTGAAGTCCATGTCACGGGCTCCTTCTCAGTCCCCTCCCGCTGAAGAAGGGATATATGTTGATGCTCCCCATGCAGAGCCACCTTCTAGTCCTCCCGTCACGTTTTCTACAAAACGACCGGATCCGATCTATCGAAATCTTTCACCATCCACAAGTCTCCGTCTGAAAGAATGGGAAGATGAACTTGCCTTGATAGACAAAGAGAGGGAAGAGGCCGCCATAGCAGCTGCCGCTGCCGCTATTGCTGCTCCACCAAGCCCTAGACGAGACGACATGCCCCCTCCAACATCACCATTACACGATCAGCATTCTCAGCCGAGTCCTAGCAATGACTCTTACCGCAAGGGTGTCGTTCCAGCAACAGACACCGAGTCTTCGAATAATACTCAATCCCAGTCTCAGCAGATTGCGTCCCAAGAAAGCAATCAACCGCTTCAAAGGACTACGTCACTCGTCAAAAGTATGAAAGGAAAGTCTCCGTCCAAGGCCAATCTTAACGAGAAACCGAAGGGACCAATCCCTCAGCTTTCCCCGTCCACGTTTACCCCTTATCTATATCCTCAACCGATTGGTGAGGATGGCGAAATACCGGGCTCGATCGAACAGTTTAGTTCCCCTGTGAGACCTTCAGGGGACGAAATTGTCATGAGGGCTAGTGTCAGCGAAGACGCTCGTGATGGACAATTACATGATCGAGGAGCACAGTTGGCCGAAGAGGCTCGAACGAAGATGAGGGGCCCCACTATAAAGAAGCTCTCACTACTGGATATCCAGAGACAATATAAAGAGAAGGAGAAGGAGAGGGCTAAGGCTAAGAGCAGGGTACGATCTCCAGAGCCAGAGAAGGTGCAAGCCATTGAGTACCCGAATTCAAACGAGAATACACGCACTGACGCGGACGATGAGGCGGATGGCGATGGTGCGAGGCCTAATGATGAAGATGCTAAGGCACTGCTCCGACGGGAGGAGGAAGAATCATCGCAAGACATCCTAGCGGAATTGCAACGCGCTCAGGCTGGTCACAAGCCTGTCGATGAGCCCCCGATCGTTCCTCAGGCTGTCGATGTCCCGATGCAAATAGACGAAGTAGCAGTGAGCTCTATCGTATCAGCTTATTCCTTTCCGGTTCTCACTGGTTTGCCAGGATTTAATGTACCCTGCGGAGTCCTACGTCGATGATGGGCCCCCTCACGTCCCAACAAGCTCAGAACCCAACGGTGAAGATGTAGTGGTGCCTGTATCGAAACCAACCGAGAATATTCCAGTTCCGCCGACATCGCCTCCTCCTGTGCTGGAACCACGGACTTCTCTGTTGTCACCTGAGGTATGTATTTCCATGCTTCTTCTGTTCAAGTTGTTTTTACCGTCACTTGTAGGACGAATCTGAACTAGGCGATTTACGGTCTCAGCTAGCCAAGGCTCTGAAAGTCCTCAATGCCAAATCAGAAGAAATTGTCAACTTGGACCGTCTGCTGGTGGCTGAACGCGAGAAGAATGAACTTCTTCAGAAGCAAACGATGGTCCAGGTAACTGATGAACAGCACGAACGTGATCAGTCGACCATCCGACTGCTCACTGTTTCGCTCGAGGATGCAAACAAGGCCAAGCTTGCAGCAGAGAAAGACCGAGATTTCGTCAGGGAACAGTACATGAACGCGTCAGGATACGTCACAACAGTGCGAAACGAGAACGCCGAGTTGGAGAAACGGGCGCAGATTACTGAAAAACAAGCAACAGAGGGCGTCGCCCTTGTTCGTGCGACATTTACTGAACGCATCAGGTTTCTGGAAGAGGATGTCAAATCGTGGAGGCAGATGGCGGACTTTGCTGTTGCTAAAGATAGTCGGATGAACGATGATATCCGGCGGCGGGCGGCAGAGGCCCCTGAGTTGGAGTATCGCAATGAAAAGCTGAAGGAGGAAATTGAGGATCTCACTACGCATATTGGAGAATTGAATGGTGAGATCGCCAAGAAAGATGAGGAGCTTCACGAGTTACATATCCGGCTGGAGATGGATATCCCGGAGTTGGTATACCCATGTCATTGGCGACCAGTGGGCGGAGAAGGTCCATGCGATGCGCTACTAGAAAGTAAGGAGGTAAGGCCTTTCTTTTTTTCGCGTGACTAATGTGGACACTGAACATATCGTGAACAGGAATTGGAGAAGCATGTGCTGACAGCACCAGGACATCTACAATAATTCCATTCGCTGTATCTCATACCATGTTTGTTTCATAGTCTGATTTTTGGTTTTCATACATCTGCTTATGTGTCTTTGCGACTCTTATCGACATGGCATTTGCTTTGGTGCTGCAGGGACGATGGCCATTCTCACTATTGTTTGGCAACCTGAAAGAAGTGTGTATTACTGAGCTGGTGCGTTCTTGCGTGATACTCTGATGACTGAAACTCGGTGTTAAGTAGACTTTTCTGTCAGACGAGGCTTTATGCTCTGGAAGAACCATGTTCATCGAACACGGCTTGAAGTTGTACAGGTATATTTGTTGTGCAGTCACTTGACTTTCGTGATTGCTATCTAGCCGAGTTGACCGTCGTTTCCAAAGGAGTCTTCTCTGTTGCAACTCTAGGTTGTAGGTTCTGTCAACGGCGGTACCGATGGAACCATTACAATGGACCCGGAGGTTTTTCGCCCTGAGAATAACAGCCTTCATCGTATGCCAGTCGTTACCCCGTTGGCTTGGCGTATCTGCGGGAGGTATTCACGTAAATTATACGCAGTCCCCTTTGTCCGCACGAGACCGGCACTTTTCATCTTTTTGCTAGCCGACGTCCTCGGTGTCGTACATACGTCTACGAGTCGTTGACTACGGCCTTTCATCTTGTCAAGTCAACATTTACTGGCTTGCAGGCGGACCTCAGAACAAACTCTACGTAGGTTGGCCCTCTTCCATTGAATGTCAACCCTGTAGAGGTTCTGCTGGTGCGTTTCGCTGATATGGGATTCGACCTCTGAATTGATAATGCTCACCGGTGCACAGCACCAGAGTCTCTTAAGCCGCACATTAGCAAACAGAACGTTCGATCAGACAGTGGTATTTGGAATGTTAAATACGTTCTGTAGATCACCTAAAACGTTCATGGACTGGCCGGTTGAAACTTGATGGGTCCATGTCATTTTCAAGTTCGGAGACACAAAACAGCGTGATGCAGGGTAAGGACTATCGTGTATTTTCAATGTATGGCTCACATCATCTCAACGGCAGGGCTGTTTCATCCCAAGATCTTGCCTTCGCGACGAAGACGCAATGCATGATTATGTCCCATTTGTGAGGCTCGAGAAGCAGGATAATTGGTAAGGTGACTTCTCCTTTTTGTCTGCGTGTTATTTAGGGTACAAGGGTACGCTATAATTCACCAAAAGATGAGTTTCTTTGGGTATGACGAACGCGACCTTACGGAATGTACGGAACCTTTATCAGACTAGGAGAGCACTGAGTTGAAAGATCTTGGTGATGGCGGCGGCGATATGGACCCTGCTATTGAACTTGTGAGAGGCGGCGATACACAAATATCATTCGATTTGGTTCGACTGACTCATCTTTAGATTCTTAGATGCGTTTATTGTCCCCGTGTCCAGCCGTGTCCGCGGCGTCAATGTCAAGATATATACGACCCTTGCATTTTACTAGTGCCCCCTGCCGATCGAAATATTAAAAGACGGATATTATAAGGTCAGACGTCGTTATGACGTTCTGGAACGCAGCCGATAATTGCGTTCGCGTGGGCGTAAACGAGCGGTACCTTGTCCCTGTCCCGTCACCGATCACTGCCGTTGCCACGGGCAGCAGAGGAAGAACGAGATCGTACAGCAAGAAGCTGCAAACGTTGGTACAGAACACATATGCTGACGCAGAAGCCGATACACGTTCCCTCACTTTTACCGATCAGACAAATGGGATGTCGAAAACTGACAGAGTATAACGATATTTCTGTAGGATGGACAGACATTGACAATGCCCAATTACGATACAAGGTTTGAAACTCGATATCTAGCAGTAGTGAATACATCTAGGGTAAATACACTGGTACAACAAGTTGATATCCCGAGGGAACTGATAAATAGAACCTCAAGAAATTTATGCATGGATGAAAGAGAGAGATCGAAAAGAGTTAGTCAATTAGATGAATGGCAGGCAACGTAAGTGGCTGTTTATCGATGATAGAAGGGGGACGGTGCCATGACTCTGCTACGAGGTGCATGGGATTCACCTCCTTCACGGTCGATGTACGGGCGGGGGCAATTGGAGGCTGGGAGCTGAACAATCGAATAAGGATATGATGAAACCGTATCAATGTACAGATCAGCTCACCGACAACACAAGCATCCTCTTAGCCACGCACAGTGCATGTCATGGCAGCGCCATACTCGTCGGGAACAGATGCAAAGGGAGTTGAAAAAGGTTTCCGAGAAGGCTTCAGACACCGTAGCTGTCGTTACATGTGAATGTCTGCTTGCACGGAGGTATACCAACTCACCCTGGCGACATTTTGGGCACCTGCGAGGTCTTTGGTCGCCAGTTGTAAGAAAGCGGTTCCAGAAACCCACTTCATAGGAACATTAATGCTGACAGTAATGACCACGAACAGGGGTGCTTACAATGACCACGACCTTGAAAATCGTGAGTAAGCAAGGTATAAAAGCTGGAGAACGCTTACCGGTACCAATACCGTTTCCTCTCCCCCTCAACATGGTGAAAGAAAAGAAAGAAAGAAAGAAAGAAGGGGGATTAGCAAGAAGGGAGGACAGGTGTAATAAGCAGAAATGTGTAGCCTGACCCGCGTGGCTGATCTGAGACTGAAACTGATATGAAATGGTACCATCACCCTGCATCTTGATTTGGCGGCAGGTTTCTTCGTGGGAAGCTCTCAAGCCAATTGAGAAGAAGAAAAACATTAAATAAATCGAGGACTGATTCCACGAGGTCCGGATCGCTTCAGGTGGGTGATTGGTGGCTTACCCGTGGTCCGCGAAGTTCTTTCTTCGAATCATCAACCCTTCTGACTTGAAACATTATCAGCTTCACCGTGACTGAAGAGCACAAAGATCTTCTCGTGGTTGAAGGAATATTAATTAATGTTCATTCTTCAAGTCGTGGGCGTATACGTACCTGAGAAAGATGAAGGAAGCAAGAGCGCTTGGGTATTGAATATTGAATATTGATCAAATGCTTTTGATCCAGGATTATCCGAGTTTATGATATGAGTCAGAATGCTTAGACCGATGTACCCAGGTTCACTGTTTGTTAAATTGTTAAGCACTCTAGATCTGTGGGCAATCCGTTAGCGGAGAGAGGTAGTAAACCCTAGTAAACCTAGGGGCCAAATTCGAAGGCCGAGGCTCTTCACCCGCTATCCGGCACCGAGAGCTATACAATAGTATATAACTCATCCGCAGAGCAACCGCTCCAGATTTTCAACCTGTAACACATTCCACTCAGAGTTTTGTATTGCGACAAGGAAGGCGGAACGACCGAAGGCGGCCTCTTTGATGTACATACAAGTCTGCGCCGGTTACGTCACGCAACGCCACGAACTCACCTCTTACTATTTAAGTTCTCAGTTCTGCGGCCCACGCTGATGATGGTGGAATACGGGTCGATTGCTCGGGTTCGCTCAGGCAATAAATATGCTGGCTGGTTGATACCGCATCGCGCATTCACCGCTGTCTCTAATTTCTGACCACGACCTAACCATGACTCGGGTGCCTTCCACGATTCCCATCCCGTCTTCGAAAGCTTTGAAGGGACTACGTTCCATGGTTCTCGCGCTCGTCTTTGCCACAGGTGTCGCGACTGGAGGTGTCGGTATGGTCATTTTCCTGTATTATCTTGTCTCGATATTTGACTTCTACTTGACAGCCTTAAACTGTTTGAACAAAGCCAAAGACGAACAGGACCGTATCAATGAGAATTTGCCCAACGAGGCGTGTAGGCAGGTCTTGTTTATCCCCTGCACGTCGGTAAATATCGACGTCAAAGGTGAACTGCGTCTTTCCATCTCAGCCATGGTCTTTTCCCTAATATACACCAACAGATCTTGCCGGCTCCGCAATAGTCGTTGTTCTCGGCGCTCTCTTATCCGTTGTTGTCTCTGTTGTTTATGCGCTGGTCCCCATGCTTCATACTTTCGCTCCCAGCTCTTCCAAGCTCAAATTCCTCGAACCCCTCTCATGGGCTTTCTGTACTGCTGTACTTTTGGGGGGTTTAATACCCCTCACCGTATTTTTCGCCACACGAAAAGCTGGTATCACCGTGATGCTAGGTGATCTTGAAATATCAACTGTGATTATTGATGAGCTTCTCGTCATTCTGGGAGAAGAAACGACTTACAAACACATTGGCTACCGTGAGTGTCTTCCCCCCCATCACGTCACAATTTGATTGAGTGTCGTACAGTGAAACCGTTGGTTATCATACCGTGGTTCACGATGTTCTTTTCAGCCGTTGCGGCCGGAGTAAGCTGGGTATATCATCGTCAACCCGCTATGAAACAAGATGGTCTGCTTGGTAACGGGGTGTATAGACACCGGGAAATGAGTGAGCCAAAGACCATGAGGGTTGGTGCATAATCGAGTTTCGGAAGCTGCGAGTAGTGGACGTTGGCCGGGACCGCTAGACTGTTGATATAATATTATCAAGCAAGCGTTTCTAGAATCACATCAGCACACAACGATGGCAGCAGAAATTAGATCTGTGCTATTCATCACGTATCTGTAAAGATAACCGTCGGACGCGGGACGCAGCCATTTACATAATATACCAAACTCGACGTAGTGATCCAGATTTCGTTCACCCCGATCGTTTAATACGACCTCTTGTTTGTCAATAGACAATACGTATGATTTGCTATTGAAGCTGAGGTCGTTGTAGTGGAGCAGAAACACAACGAACATCTCAGTCTGCTTATTGGATGTCCTTTGTAAGTGCCGCATGTCTGTAACTTTCGGATGGGCCGGCCCCCAGTGGTGTCTGGCATTATAAGATGAAGCGGTGGGCCATCGAGTCCTGAAGATGGGGTGGGCCTAAGGCTGCCCTGCGTGGGCAGCGTAAGCAAGGGTAGGTTGGAAAAATCCTGGACGGGGAGTGGGGGTACTGACCTTTAGTGTGCAGGCATTATCAGACGATAACAAATCGTACAGCCTAGGCAGAATCTGACAAGAACCGCGCACTACCATCCGTCCTGAGAGAGTCCAAGTAACGCCGTGTCTTATCAATTGATGATATTTCATCTTGCTGCGCACACATCCGCTCTCGAGCTTCGAAAACGGCCTCATCGTATTCTTCATCCGCACACCGAGCCAGCTCTGATGGGGTGTAGTACGGGACCTTGTATGAGATTCCATTTTCGTCCACCATCGTCACCATTCTCTGTCCGTAACTATTGTCCATCAACTCTTCACTCCTGTCCTCTTCAGACTCTACTTCAGCGCCTGACATATCCATCTCCTCCATTCTCATGTCGTTGTCAGCGCCGCCACCACCACCAGTCTCATGACCGCTGCCGGATGATCGACGTCCCTGGCTGTCACTGCGTTTGCGTTTGCGTGAATGCTCTGCCGAGCCCTTTGATCCACCAGAACGATCAGCTCTCCACAAAAGTTCCGGTAAGTCGCGAGGTGCGGTGCTATCAAAGTCCCAGGTTTTGGCATATGCGGTGAATGTAGATAGCCCATTGATCATCCACACATAAGACTGAAGCAGTCCAGCCGGGTTGGCGATGTTCAAAGTGTCTATATCCCAATGGCGCACATATCCTTCATCAGTCTGTACAAGCCACTTAAATTCGACTCAGAAAGGAGAGACTATCGAGACTTACCAGTGTCCCAAGGTAAAAGGTTAATTCATAGACATTAGACGCCTTGTGGCTGCCTACAATCCCCATGAGATATTCCAACCCGAAGCCGAGTAATTTTCGGTGTCTCAGAATTGCTGCGAAATCCATTAGGAGCTGTTGGACAGCAGCAGTCGGGTCGCTCTTCTGATACTCGATGACTAGCATGCACAGGTCATCACAATTCAGCGAAAGCCGCGCGGCGCTCGTAACCTCGGTTAAGAGATTGTTATGAGCTGCAAATTTCTTGATAGCTAATCGATTTATCACATGTAGTCGGTAGGTGGCCTGGCCATCGCATGTCAACTCGTGGCCAGCAGAGAATGGCACCTTCGTGTACGTCTTGCTCATCGCCATTGGTACCTCATGCTGATACCTAAAGAGAGGATGATAAGCGCATGTTGATATCAATCATCGTACAACCTACCCCACGCTGCCTTTCTCGCCTTCCGATTTCTGCTTCTCGCTCACCACCCTCACAACCTGGTGTAGCAGGGAATCTACTCCATGTCGGGTCGTGGCCTCGTTCATAGAAGGATGTGGAGCCGTAAGAGCAAAAAGAAGCTTTTCATGTCCTGTCGCAAGCTTTCTCCACTCATGTTTGAGGGAATAGTCATCGGTGTCCGACGTAAATTTTCCTTCAAATGTATTCAAGAGGTTCCGAGCAAAGTCCCTAATCATAGCTCTTCGTCATTATTGTCATCTCTGGCCAATACGAGGTGCTCCTAGGAATGGAAACCTTAACAGGCTGAAGAAAGGGGTCAATATGTGAAGAACGCACTTTCAGAAATTTGGGGAGTTCCAACTGCTTAAAAACATTGAATGTTGTCTTACTTTCAGAAGACGCGTCTTCGTAAGGTATAGTTTCCACCAAAGCGGCCGCGGCCCATTGTTCGAATGAAACTTGGCTGGTCGCTAGTTTAGATGGGGTGTAATCCATGGGAAGGGTGATTTATGTAAACATAGGTGCTTGCTTGCTTTCGGCTGTACTCTTGTCAGATAAAAGGCACCAGATAAGTAATAATATGAACGCGAAGCACAGAACCAGCAAAGTTTGAACTTCACCTTTGTATCGACAATTTTCACGACGTGAACAGTGAAAGAGAAGGTCTGATTATGTAACGTAGTCAGTCGGCCCGCGGCCCGAACGCGGCCGCGTCGTTCCTGCGTGTCTCTTCCTTCTTGATCTCTTCCCTTCATCAGTAAAAGGACCGATAGTGACTAGCCACGAATTTCGATGTTTTTGTGGTGACTATCACGTCCAACGGTCTTTCTGGATTTAGGGACTCGGTAATTAACGCTCCTCATCGCTTCACTGTTCACCACATCCCAGATGGTGAAGCCAGCAAGGACTAAAGCTGTCCTGTAAAATCAAGTAGACAAAAATTAACCGTAATTATTATTACGTCTATCCAAGATTTTCAGTTTATTTCTGCTCATCATGTTAATTTGCTCTTGGACTCCCTTACATGCTGTCTGGACTTTAACTGGATTGTATAAGTCTTGAACTGAAGCTTGAAGTGGTGAGCCATTTCCATGAAATACAATCATACCTAATAAACGCTTTTGATTTGCAGTACACGGAAAACCAAATCGCAACCACCGTCGACGTCAGCGCTGCCTCGGACCTTTTGTCCCTTCTAGTAACTGCCTCCCTTCCAAAGACTGATGGATTCTCCTGGCTCCTAATCCAGACAGATTCCGTCCCATGCGAAAGCTGGCCCACAGGCGACAGAAAGGTGCCTCGTAGTTGGGAGCACCTCGAGGTCTGTATTATGGCCGACGAAGAAGGGGAAGAAGACGGAACACGGTCCCGCGGCGTGCTCTCGATTGCCGATACTTGAGGGGGCTTGAAGAGGACATATCCCTCGACAAAGCTCGCTTGTTCGACTCGTCCGATGTTTCTCCATGCAAGCCTTGTGCTAACTGTTCATTTTTCAGGCGGCTCTGACTCGCGGTCCTCCCAAGGTCTTAATTTTTGCGGTGAACGTGGTTACTTACACCGACATCATTGTTCGATTCGGTTTGTCTGATATCCCACATGGGCGTTGAATGCCCGAAAAGAGTGTCGTAGCGTTTCTCCGCAACCATCTTGTCTCCCTCCATCGTCTTTGGCAGGCTACGAAATCGATTTGTTTTCCCAGCTACGCCAGCGAGCGTTCTTCTACGGATACAAAGCTGAAGCTCGGATCGCCGCATACCAAGATATGCAAAATTTCTCGATAAAATCCGCCACTGTACAGCAGCCGTATGCCTTCCAGACCCCTGGATAGAAGTCACACATGACCATGCGTAAACCTTTGGCGCGCGGCAAGAAGCCTCTTGGACGGGAAAACATGACCTTCGTATACGGTATGTTAACATCTTAATGTGCTGGACGGACTATAAGGAAGCGATAAGCGCGTGAACATCAAAGAGGTCTACTTTCAGTATAAAAGCCATAAGGAAGGTTCTATGTTCTATATGCTTCGCTTAACGCGATGTACTCACTTCTTCCTCCTCTAGTGCTACTCGCGAGCACGGTAGCATTTGTCTCTGCGCAGAATGCCACGGTCGTTCCAAAGCGCTTCATGGTCAAAGTGACATCGGTATGAGCCAGGTCTCCATCTTCTTCTCATTTTTCTCACTCACCAATGTGTCCTGTATCTCTTCACAGGAGCCGCAAATCGCGTCGTTCTACAGGAAAGCACAAACAGTCAACGGGACTAGCTTGCAGGGAGTAACTACCCACGTCAACATCACTTCGGATGTGTTTTCTGGCTCGTCGTTCACGTTGAGAGACAACGAGGACATCGATCTTGAGGAACTATCTAAGCTTGATGGTGTCGTCAAGGTCTATCCGATCATGCAGATATCCCTCGGGATCAGTCCAACCTACCGTGGTGATGAGGCTTTAGCACATGCTCAATGGACGTCTCACGCTACTATGGGTGTGGACAAATTACATGCGGAAGGCATCTTAGGTGAAGGCGCTCTTGTTGGTGTCGTTGATACGGGCGTGGATTATGACCATCCAGCGGTTCGTCTACTCTGTATCTGCTTTGAAAAGAGGCATTAAATCCCCACTAGCTCGGCGAGGGATACGGCCCAGGCTACAAGATTATAGGTGGTTATGATTTTGTCGGCGACGGAGAATGGCCATACGGGGACGCGGCGCCTGATGATGATCCTATGGATGATATTGGTCATGGAACCCACGTCTCTGGTATCATAATTGGAAACTCTAGCTAGTACGCTCTTTCGTCGAACTCTGCCTTCAGTCTGCTGATGTCCGCGGGCTAGCTTCGTTGGCGTGGTACCAGAAGCTAAAATGATGATGTACAAAGTTTTCGGAAAATATGTACGTCAGAGGACTATTATAAGACTCCGGCCATCTGGTGGAAGTCAAAAATCAGGACATAACTTATACCGATGTCCTCGTTGCCGCTTTCGTTCGCGCCTATCAGGACGGAGTGCGTCTTTTCGGTCACTGTCATCTTCTTCTATTTACCCTTATTCAAGGTTGACATAATCACTTCAAGCATTGGCGGGAATGGTGGCTTTTCCGACGAACTGTAAGCAGCTTCAATATTGTGCTACCATATCGCAATGTGTGATGCATTTCGCTATTGGCTGGCCGGTTGTGGCTTCTCGTCTCGTAGACAAAGGTGTCTTCGTGTCTATTGCGGCTGGGAACAGCGGAAGTGCTGGGCCTTTCTATGCTAGCAATGGTGCCGCTGGAGAGGTTTGTAAAATTTACACACTTCCAAATGTCTTTACTCAAATGTCTATGCTCTTAGAATGTTGTCGCCGTCGCTTCTGTCGAGAACTCCATCCTTGTAGCTGTAGATGACGTCGGTCATGCGGTATATAAAATTTCAATTCCAATTCTCCACAGCAAGATTGCAGAGCTCCTCAGTGAGGCAATCCTCGTCTGGAGCCAATAAGTCATGCCATTCGCCGTATTCAACAGTAAATCCCCCGGGGACACCAATATCCTCCACGATCCAGAACTTCATCACCCTGTTTGATGCAAGGAGGTATCCGATTATCTTCGGATCGCAGTTGGGGAGAGCGTAGAGGGTGCGCATATATCGTGCCATCTGCTCCAGAGCAAGTTGTAGAGAGGGAACGAAGTTTGACTTCGACTATAGTGAGGATGTCGTGTTCCCGTTCATTGGCAATGAAAATACGGTGCTTGACAACAGCAAAGTCTGGGAAAGACTTGCCGACTTCACTTCCAGCTAGAATGAGTGCAAGAATTAGTCAAGTACAAGAGCAAGGTTGAATGATGTTAGTGGCTCACGGAGATGGCGGGCCTCATGAAGGCCACCAGAAGATCCTAATGAGACATTATCCCAGTCTTCTTCAACCTCGTCTGGTTCCATCATCCTCCGAAGGAGCGCTTGTGGAATAATTGAAAATTGGCGTTCCAGGGGGAAAATTGCCTGCAAGTAGGTATTGGTAGCCCCGTAGACTTGATTTTCGTAATGTATGTTACTGTTATTAACATTGCGCAAGTTGAAAATAGTCCAATAAGTAAGCGATGCCATGTGAGCATCAGCAGTGGGGGGGGACTTCAAGCAGTAGAGGCGCAGGAAGTTGGGAAGATGTGTCGAGTGTTGGCATGTTCGTACTCTGGAGTGAAACCTGGCATCAGTGCTAATATATAATAAATGTAAAATGAATTACTCGCCAATAGCTTTCGACTTGGAAAGGCGTTATGGTTGTTGTATCTGTTCAACGCAGCAATTCGCGTACTGTACCATTTCGTTCAATTCGAATGTCACGTCTGGCAACGGAAATGATTTTTTCTCGATTTTTTTCGATTTCTTTTGATTTTTTTGGGTCGACCATTCTTGGATCGCATTCGAATTGATCGAAATGGTACAGTACTTTCCGCGGTTATAACCCCGATTCATCCGAATGGGGACATGCCGGCATTCCGGCACAAAAATATCACATGCAACTGACAAAACTATATAGTCAGCAACCTGGCCCGTGCCACTCCTCTCTGAATCCCACCTCTTGCACAGTTGCGGTGAGTATCTTTCTGCCCTCTTTGTCCTTTCTTGACTCAGATAAAGCAGCCATCATGTCGACCGTCATACAATCAACCATTCCCCAGTCAGCAGTTACCCAGGCGGAGCGCGTGCTTCGACATCGTCTGCAAGGAGGCTTCCTCATCAGCCCAGAAACGACTCTCGAATGGGCTTCAAGGCTCTCAAATAAGCCGGTGACGAAATTTCTTGCGGCATGGCAAGTCATCGATCTACGGGTCGGCCGTATGGGCGCAAGGTTCTCAATGGTGGGAGAGGTAATGTTCGGTCAATTCATGGTCGTCACGCAGATCAAGAGATTCCGTCATGGCTATTTGGGCATGGATCCGGCAAAAATTCCCCAGTTCACGGAAGGAGCACCGGAGGCTATCGCACGCAAGATGTTGGAAGAAGAGGGTACGTCTGTCCAACTATGACCTTCACAGAACAAAGCTCATTGCGACGTTAAGGTATCCATGAACCTGTACATGCCACTTTCTTGGACTGATGGTATCATTGTCTCTGTTACCGATGGTTCCAAATACATGTTCTTCTTACATTCCGGTGCTTGAATGACCCCTAAGGAAGGTGGCGCAACATATAGTCGCTTGACTTTACTATATTTCTTCGGTTACAAACAAAACGTGGTTTGATGGGCGAAGCACAACTAACCTTTGCTTCAGCGATGATTTTAACATTTATTGCGGGACTAAGTTGATGTACGATCTGTCTTGAGTCGTCTATCCCTGCTCGATGACTGTTCGCAGGACCTTCTGCTTTGAAAGGAGACATTAAATAATTCCCACTAGCTCGATGGGGGATACGGCCCGGGCTGCAAGATTATCGGTGGTTATGATTTTGTCGGCGACGGAGAATGGCCATACGGGGACGCGGCGCCTGATGATGATCCTATGGATGATATTGGTCATGGAACCCACGTCTCTGGTCTCATAATTGGAAACTCTAGCTAGTACGCTTTTTCGTTCAACTCTGTTTTCAGTCTGCTGATGGCGCGGGCTAGCTTCGTTGGCGTGGTACCAGAAGCTAAAATGATGATGTACAAAGTTTTCGGAAAATATGTACGTCAGGGGACTATTATAAGGCCCTAGCCATCTGGTGGAAGTCAAAAATCAGGACATAACTTATACCGATGTCCTCGTTGCCGCTTTCGTTCGCGCCTATCAGGACGGAGTGCGTCTTTTCGGTCACTGTCGTCTTCTATTTACCCTTATTCAAGGTTGACATAATCACTTCAAGCATTAGCAGGAATGCCGACGAATTGTGAGCAGCCTTCAAATTGTGCTTACATATCATAGTGTATGATGCATCTTCCGAGCTACTAGCTGGCCGGTTGTGGCTTCTCGTCTCGTAGACAAGGGTGTCTTCGTGTCTATTGCGGCAGAAAATAGCGGAAGTGCTGGGCCTTTCTATGCTAGCAATGGTGCCGCTAGAGAGGTCTGTAAATTTTTCGCAGCTCCAAATGTATTACTCGAATATCTGTGCTCTTAGAATGTTGTCGCCGTCGCTTCTGTCGAGAACTCCATCCTTGTAGCTGAAAAGGCCAACCTGACATTCCAAGGCTCCGACCCTCGTGACGCGTCCTCTGCACTGATAGTATGTTTATTTTCTCGAATCTAATAATCATTCTAACCAATACATGTTGAAAGGGGTATCTTTTGGCCAGTACTGATGATTTCCCTGTCAGCATAAAGGAGTATCCAATTGCGGTTCTGTCCTATAACCAGTCGAACCCTGCTGAGGCCTGCGAGGCCTACCCAGCTGGAACAGGTGATTACTCCAATTACACAGTGATGGTCAGGTTCGTATCTCTAAGCTACTTTTCCCTCTGCGAGGAGAACTGACGAGAATCACGTAGACGTGGTACATATACCTTCGCGGAAAAACTCATCAACGTTGAGGTCCTCGGAGCCAGATACATCTTGTACACGTCGTTGATATTGCATTAACCCTCATCTGCTTACACTTCGTGTCAGGTTCTACAACAATGACGGACCAATGGTGAATCCTGATATTTCTAGCATTAATTATAATTCTACAAGTACGCACTATCGTCATGGCGTTTTTTCTTTCCTTATCCTTGCTTTGCAGGTGCTCTCATCACTGCCGAGACGGGTGCCAAAATTATTGAAGAGATACAGGCTGGAAAGACTGTAGTCATGGCTGCTTCAGGGAACTCCTCCGACATCGTTGGGCTGGATAACGATTATTATGGAGCGCTTCCGAATTATTTCACGTCTTGGGGACCGTTGTATGACTTGACCAGTAAGCCTGCATTAACTGTCGCTTTTAGTAGTTTCTACGGCTAACTACTCCTTCTATAGTGAAGCCAGAAGTTTGTTTATCACATCTCAGCAGGGGATACCAACCTGACCTAAGTTCGTAGATTGCTGCGCCAGGTGGAGACATTTTATCCACGTACCTCAATGATGAATACGCTTTCCTAAGTGGAACATCAATGGCGTATGCTTTCGTCAGAATCGTTTTCATGTCGGCACGCTCATGACCCCGGCAGAACTCCTTACATTGCCGGCGTAGCTGCCGCGTACGCCGGGAAATTTGGTGGAAAACAGTCTCAGGGCACATCATTCGGAAAGGTGACTTGCCGTCAGGGAAATTTGCAGCCTCAGAGCTTAATGCACTTCACAGACTGTCGCTAAGCGCATTGTTACAAGCGGATACGCGCTCCCTTGGACCAACTACTACAGCGAAAAAACGACAGGAGTCACTGCGAGTGCTGCTCAAGTTGGCGCTGGTATGGTTGATGCAGGAAAAGTGCTGCACTACACCTCTAGTGTCGATACACTCAAGATCCAGCTTAATGACACTGCCAACTTCCAAGGCGAGCACGACATCACAGTCACTAACTCTGCGTGGTACCCTGTTTTCTATTCGCTTTCTACGCTGTCGGACGGTGCCGTCGACACTATCGATCAGGATGACGGCACCATCCTGCCATTCTATGGCTTTGGAGAGCCCCGCGTTGCTGTTCCGGGCGTGAAGTTTTCACCGTCGTTCTTGATAGTCTGGCCTTACCAATCCTCGACCGTTCATGTTTCATTTACGACGCCTGACGTGGACTCGTCAACGATGCCACTTTATAGCGGTCGAGTTGTCATTTCGAGCAGTGTTGGAGAGGAGATTTCTATTCCATACTTAGGTCTTGCCGGCGACCTAAGAAATACTGTCAATCCTATTTGGCTTGACAACTTCCCCTGGTCACCTTCAGGAACATCGAGTTATGAACAAGCCCTGGTGGACATTTGACCTACCCAATCAAGATTTCCCAATCTTCTATGTTGCGGTCCGGTATGCTGTCACCGAGCTGCGATTTGATGTGAGTCGTTCTCTCTTTCCCTTTATCTTGCACTCACAGACCATCCATATGCCAGATTTATGAACCTGGGTATACTGAGGATCAATGGGAGTACCCTCCTGTCGTTGGACAGAACGGGTATGTTGGCACCGGCACGACATACAACTCGATCACCTCCAACAATCACGATCCCAACGTCGATGACCCCACTGATGTTTCTGCCTTCCCTGTCAACGATCTTACTCGCAACGGTGGTGGAGCATCCTCTTATCACGAATATTGGTGGTTTGGCGCTCTTGGGAATGGCTCTGACATCGCGAATGGACAGTACCACTTCCGTATCGCTGCGTTGAATCCGTTTGGAGATAGAAGGCTGTCAAGTGATTGGAGTATCTGGGTAGATGGGATGCCAGATATTGTCACAGTAAACCGTACAATTACGGACGTAGTTGAATAGGTGGCATATTTAAGACCAGCGATGGACGGACTCTGTACTATCAGTATCTACGGAAGATGACAGAAAGGTTACTGCTCTGAAAGTCCGAGTATATAGTCACTGGAAGCGGTTGGCGCTGCTGCAACAATTATATGGTCAGAATGAACGGTGTCAAAGTAAATCAACCAAGTTGATCTTTTTCTTCTGTGACCACAAGAATCCCTCTTTTCAGGGCCAAAGGGAACCTAGAGATCATGAAGTCCCGGGCAGAGACGATCGCGTCTTCCGACAAGTGGCTCCACAAAATTCTGATTGTCAGCTGGCGCAGCTGTGCTAGCTCGGCGCAGTGCAACGCGTCATCCAGCCTTGTACACGGTAACCACATCTGGTCATCGTCTTCCTGCAGTCCGTGATTCCTGAATAATATGACCTTCAGGTCGAGGGACTGGAGCGAAGAGGGTTTACTGATGGCGTCGAATGAAGCAGCCAGCCATCTCATAAGAAAAAGATCGGATCTCTCGCTATCGAACTGGTAACCCAATTCTATGACGAATGATTCTAAACCCATTAAAGGAAGCGGAGCCGGACTAGTCCAACGACATACTGCCAGAAGGAAACTACCGTCAGCGCTGACCAAAAAGTGAACGAGAATGTTGCTCACGAGTAGATTGGAGGACGGCCAGATTCAAATGCCTCAATGACCTTGCAATCTGCAAAATTTCACACAACGCTTTTAAGCCATCCACAGCTGGTGAGATAAGCTCTAAGTACTGCAGAGCATCAATGTAGACTGTGCGCAGTCCCGCGTGCAAGAGATACGGCAGGAGGCCAAAGTTTTTGCTCCCACTGTCGACTCGAATCCTTTCGAGGGCAGGACCAGAACACGGATTGGGCACTTCGATAGGCAATTTCCGCTTAGGACTGGAGATCCAGAGCAGAGAGAGTTCCTTGAGCCTCAAAAGTTTCAATATGAGAGCATGAAAATCGTTTGCACTCGTGAAAGTAACGAATGCGATTCTCAATGAAGTCAAATTGACCATTGACGGGCGTAGAGGGCTGAGTGATAAGTAAGAATCTCCATGTTCGTGACATAAGATAGCAAATTTGGAGAACCGTTTATCAGGTTGACGAATCGCACCATCATTTTACGGCGGTATCCTCCAAAACAGATGGAACGAAAGATGTGCTTCCGCGTTCGAGGGTAGAAAAGGCGGCAGACCGTTGAACAGGCAACGAGGGCACCCGTATCATTCGAAAGATAATCGATGATTTCGTCGATGATTTCCGGAGGCATGCGTGGCATCAAAGGCTAAAAATTTCGGTTTCATAAAGTCAAAACATGATAGGAGTCAAAGGTGACTTACTGTGAGCCCCAAGGCGGAATCGCAATTCGTACAAGTGTCTTCCGAGCCCATTTTTACGGTGTGAAGTCTAGATTTCAATGCTAAGTCAAAGGATGCACACAGGGGGCAATGTTAAGTTTTAATTGTATGAATAAAAACGCACCTATTCAAAGCCAAGGTCACCTCGGCGAGCCTCTCGGTCACGGTGGACATTGAACTTGGACAAAACGGTATCCAGGCTGGGTTCTAATTTAACCCGGCCTTTGAGCGTTTGAGCGGTGATTGCCGTACCCGGTAGTTCCGAGAGTCACTGCCTCTGAGAGAACTCATATGCACCAAAATTTAGACTAGACCTTGACGCGAAAATAAGTATGAAGTTCAAGCAACCGGTCGAGCGGCATGACAGAGAGGTAGTATTTATTTTGAGGCGAAATTGGTCATTCATTATTTACAAATCATCAAATAAGTGGTTCTCACTATTGAGAGTCGTCAAGTAGACAATTGGGAATACAGTGCAGTGCAGCAAGATTCCATCTGAAAGAGAAGAGCGCTGGCATGCCGCGGATACGGTCTAAGTCTGCCGATATTCTTTCCATTGATCACATCTGCGTTCGGCCAGGAGTCAATAATGGGGACAAGTCGAATTAATCACTGTGAAGTTCCTTGAATAGCGGGTACATCTGGTAGGTAGACACCGATTGACGGAGAACAGACAATACGATACATCTCCGGGAGAGGCGCATACTGATAGAACCTCTTCATTCCCCCATTTCTACGACCTGGACGATGTCGCTTAAGTCGATTGCATGCGGTCCTCAAGGCCAGGCGGTGACGTTAACGAAAGCTACTTCTGATAAGGTCTGCTACCATCAATAGCCATCAATACTGTTGGATTCGATCGGTGAACATCTGGAGTAGAATGTACCGGGTAAGTTGCTTTGAACGGCTTTAACAGGAAATGATATTTGATGAGAACCTGCATCATAAATATTAGATGAAAGCATAAGCATAACAAGGGGAAAGATCTCTACGTCGGCCAACGGGGGTGCGAGCGTCGCGCTCAAGTTGAGGGACAGATACTCGGGGAAAACGAAGCTCTGAGACGTACGCCGCTTAGGAAGTTGCCAGGGGAGTTGAAGCGGTGGAGGAAAGAAAGGTTCGAGTACACATGCGACTCAAACGTGGGTAAAAGTCCGTAACTTTCTATGGGAGAAGAGCGATACGAGCCCAATGGTGCCATGCAAATCGTTATCGCAATTTGACTGCAAGTGAAAGATCGTCGTGAACGAGACCGGGGACCCCTAGAAGAAGAGCGCCACAGAACGACGCTTTGAAGTCCGGGTCCGAGGGTGGCGTTCGATAGACAAATTAAGGTCTCGTATGGTTGATGGTGTCGCTGCTGGGCTGGCAGCTGGACAGTGAAGGCTTTTTTAGGCGCTAGAAGCAGAGCCGGCGATCACGCTCTTCTTCAGTCTGTGGTAAGTATTGGCGTCCAGGATCTAAGGTTTTAGTCGAAGAAGCCACGATGCATATTTGCCTGAGGATCTGTTACTAGAGGAAGCTGTGGCGATTGACGTGGTATTGTCCGAGCATGGGTGGCGTTGTATCCTTGTCGTACATGGACGTTCGTGAGAGGGTGTACTAGCCTACACCGGTTAATTCAGGCTACGCTGTAAGTAGCCGAGTGAAGCGTGAGCTCACCTTGTGGCAATAAAAAACGTACTCTATTCTCTATTTTTGATTCCATTGTAGTTGCAATTTATCTGAGGGTGGCGGTCGTTCGGACAACGTCAGGAGCTAGTTCCGGCCCGGAGACCCGAGCGGCCCTCTTCACACGCATGTCGGGTGCAGCTGTGTCGTTTCACCGTGCATCACGTCAAGTTCTGTCGTTTAACATTTTCCTGTAGACACTGGATATCTGTTGAAGCGGCTGAAACGTTCGTATGTCGCCTGTAGGCGTGTCATCGCCCGCCGCTGTTTTCATACTGCTATCCCGTATCCCGGCGCAACTACGGATTAATGACGCGTTCCAAAGACGAGGATGCCAAGCCATAAGAAGTCGAACCTCCCGATGTTTTCGGGGTTCTATCGGGAGATTCAGAAATGCGTAAACGCATGTGTGAGTGCGAGATCCCGGCAAGTGAAAGTCCAGCATGTGGAAGTATCAGTCAGGGGGTAGGGAAGATTGAGTAATGCCGCTAAATCTCAGCAGGGGGGGCTTGTGGACGTTTTGTTGTCAGGGACAGAACTTGGAAGCGGAGGGACCTTAACTAATAGTGTATTCGTCTGTCGAAGAGACGTACTTGTTTACTTATTACTCCGCGGCGCACACATGTCCGTGTGTTGGGTGGCCATATTATTACGGTAGGTTAGTCGAATTGCTTGGAGGTCTGATGAAAGCACTGCGCTGCAAATCATTAATTTGTCGTAAATAATTGAGGCGCGCTTACCTATTTGAAGATCTGCAGTGATTGAGGATCTGGGCGGCGGCCTGGGGTGAATCCAGGTGACGATCCCGCCTAGCTAGCAAAGCCCGCTTCTACGGGGAACTTGGTTGTTGCTAGGAAGGGGGAGTAGACGAGAGTTGGAGGTGCGGAAAGAAGGTCATGGGGAAACGAATGAAACTATTGTTACCATAGTGACGTCGTTGGAGGCGCTTTGCGATGGAAGAGAATTGTACCTGTGTACAGACCGCGAGCTGGATATATTTTCAGTAGCGGCGCACCTCGTGTGCCAAGTGCCTGTGACGAGATGCGATGACGTTCTCGAATCGGTGTTCTGTGAAGAGGTAAGTTCATGGATAATAGTTTCGGGTTGCTTACCATGCTATATTGAAGTTTCCTGCATAGCTGCTATCCGAAAGGCGTGGATAATGGTCCCAAACTGGCTTCGTATGACTGACCATTACATTGTATACCCGCTTGAACGCCGTAATGATGGAAGAACGGCGACGGAAGTTTCTAAAATCAGGTTCGTATGTTCGATTACTTTTTAGAGATCTTCCGAAATCTGAATCTGTGTAGAAATTGAATGTGTGAGGGCCCCGAAATGAAAGTCGCGGATGGAGTTACGTGAAATGAAAGTGAATTGTTGGAGTTGTACCAAGGGACGTGAATCGGCGTATGGAAGGTAAAGGAAGAAGCACTGCTATAGTACCCGTTGTTTAAAGGATCGGGACAGAGAGAGATGTAATTCCACCTAATAACCGGAGTCGATGGTCGCTCTTCAGATACTCTGGACCCGGGGACGGACGGAGGATCAAGAGATATCAAGGCAACAAAACGGCGCACACTGATAGAACGGTTCCGAATGAATTTGCCGTAGTTGTCTAATGCAATACAAGTAACCGTGGCATTACTCGAAATTGAATGAAGGGGTAAATGATGGTTGCTGAAAGAGGGGGGGCGAGAAGCAAAAGAATAGAGACAGACCGAACGGGGGACACTATAGAAACGTAGGACGCGGCGCCAAAGATTGGATCATGTTTTATCGAACCCAAGGAATTGCATCACGGATTGCGTTGAATCGTTGTTTACGAGATCCACCTTTCTCATCGGCGGTTAAGCATTTATGCCTCTGTATTGCAATATATCTTGAGAAGAAAAGGAAACAATATCTATTTGCATTACGAACACTTACGAATAACAGTCGCGAGAAGGGGGGGAGAGAGGAAGAAGAGGTCCAGACCTGCGTGGCGTGCCAGGACGCTGCGGGTAGCGGACATCCAAAAGGAGTATATTGTTCCCAGCCCTCAGAATCACGTAACCTCCATGCGTTCGAAGACCATCTCGGACGGTTGCAATGGCCTTGTGTTCTCCTTTTTCTTTTCTTCACTCCCGTCACGTCCGTCCATTCTTTACCGTCCCTCCTTTCAATAACGAGGAATGGCTGGCTTCCTCCGTAAAAAGTCAACAAATAAGCAGGCTCAGCCAGTACCGACTCCTTCAGGCCCGATATCTATAGGCGGGCCGACACCCTTGTATGCAAAATTTGCTTCTGTGACGACGAATGGAAGGAATACAGGCTCGGGGGGAAAGCGGAAGCAGGCTACGAATTCAAAAGAGGAGCGAGATTCCACTACCTCTTTGCTGCCGATACAACCTGTACCTTCGTCTTCTGGTGACCACGCTCCCGTACCTACAAACATGCTGTCTTCGTCACTGCCGGCGCCGACGCTGGCAACGAATCGCCGGTTTAGTCGAGGGGGGACTGGAGGCGGCGGAGGAGCACCCAGATTGGACACGCTGATCCCGAGCGAGGCCCTGTTCTCCACTCCCAAAGTTCTTACCCGTTCTACGGCCGACAATCAAGATGGGAGTGGAGGGTCAGGACGTCAGAACCTGGCGTCAGGTTCACTGCGAGCTGCGAAAGGCATTACCCACGAGGTGAGTATTACTCTTCCTGGTTCGCTCGATTCTCCGGGGCTTGGACCGCCTGGTATCCTCCGTGATCAGCGTCTTCCGATTCGATTGGTATTACTAGTACCATTCCGCCCTTCTTCTTCCCGTCAATCTTACCGCCTTCTCACCGCTTGATTACTCACTTTTCCTTGCTTTTTAGCTTGCTAGCGACCCTGTTCCACCGCCTGTACTTCACCGATCAGTACGTCTTTTTGATCTTGCTTCTTTACCAAACTTCCTAACTGTTGGAATAATATAAAGGTATCCAGTAACGAGCCTAAACCTTTGCTTGACGAGACCCCTCCCCCACCTCCTGCAAAGCAAGCCAACTACACTGCACCAGTTTCCTACGCAATGAACGGCGCGTATCCCATGCCTATGAAGAAAGTACCACACCCTACCGCCCCTGCACCCGTCGCGTCGAGGAAGGGTCCACTGATCTTTGCTGCCATGGTGCAGCCGGAGGATTCATACCCTTCCCCGCCGGCAGAATACCCCTCAGATCCGGTACCTCGATTCATGACGAGAGGACCAGTTCCCGCAATGGTGAGTGCTTCGCATGCAAGACAGCCGTCTCTGATGTCTTTTCTTGTCGCATCACAGCCCAAGCCGGCTCCTCACGAGACGGTACCTCAGTTCATGTCGCCGTCAAAAGCTCAGTCTGGCCGGACCCAGCCGCCCACAACATCTAGTCGCTCCCCCCCTCTACCTGCCCATCCTGCATCACGAACAATGCCACATTCTCCTCCTCAGACGCCACCACAACATATCCCACAACAATTTGCATCACCGCCACCATCTCAATATGGATCATCATCACACCAGGTACCTCAATTACGCCCCGACCCTCGTTCTGTGCCTGTCGAACCTCCGACGCCTCAGTCTATCCGTCGACAAAATGTGAACCACGCCGCCCCTCCCGTTGCGTACCATCATCAACCGAACGGCGTCGTTCGTTCGCAATCTAATGGACGCCCAAATAGCAGCAGCATCAATGGACATGGTATCAGTGTCGTTCGAGCACCATCGCAGACTCATCCGAACGGGAACGTCAATGTTAATCGCATCCTATCGAATGCACGTCAGCCTCCTCAATCACAGTCGCCCAGTCTGTACCCGAATGGTGCCGCACGACCATCGACATCGAATGGCGTCGTTCGGATGCCTTCTCTCACGAACATGAACACAAATTCTAGTGTCAATGGACGCCAAGCCTACCCTCACCCGAACGGAGTTTTTCGTTCACCTTCCCAGACTCATCTTCCGAACAGTGTTACATCACGTACTGCTGCCGTCCTTCGTTCGCCATCTCAAACCCAAGTTCATATCATTCCTTCGACGCCTCCTCGGGCACCACCCTCTCGTTCACCTTCTGATGTTTCAGTCTTGCATTCGACGCGAAGATTGATGAAAAAACAACACCATCATCAGCAACCATCTGTGACTCCAGTGCAAGATGACGTACCGTACTTTGCGGATGATCCGTTTGCAAAGGTCGAAGGTGTGAAAGTCTTGCCGGCAAGTTCGGTTACTCACGGTTCTGGTGAGGACGCGGCGAGAGAGCGAATGTCTTCGCGAGAAGGTAGCTCGAGAGGAGTTTCTATTGCCGCGCATTCCCGACAAGGTTCCCGAGAAGAGGAGGACGAGAAGGCGAAGGCAGAGGAAGAAGAGGTCGACGGAGACGGAGTAGCCGTTCCCAAGGAGAACACCGTTGTCAGACCCATTACACCAGAGAAGAAGAGAGTCAAAACTCCATCTCCACCTCCACCTAGTACGAAAAGGTCTGTTTCACCACCAAAAAAACTTCCTACCCCGCCGTCTACGGCAGAACAACGACCAGCAACCCCACCTCCGCCGGTTACACCCCGTTCTCGCTCCCGTCATCATGCAGGTGCTTCACCTCCCCCTGATTCTCTCGTTGCGAATGTCACAGTGAACGAAGACCAGCCGTTCCCACTGCACACATTCCTAGCTAATCCTGCGTTGCTGAGAAACCTTCTGGGATACCTCGGCTGGTGGGAGTGGTGTGTACTTGGGATGATCAGTCAACGAATCAGGGGTATCTTGTTTGACTCTGGGCATGAAGCAGACGAGAGACGCGAGGAGATTCTTGAGAGGTTCCTGGGAGGCGTGGGATATCGTAGGTGGTCCTGGCTGGATGACCCAGAACCCGTGAGATTAACTGTCAGCGTGAGTACGGACTATCAGAGTTTGCCGTTCGTTTTCTGATTTTGAGTTAGGGTCTCCATGCTTACATGCACGGCGTGTCGTTACCTACGCATGAATACGCGCGCATCGCAGTACGGTACATACTCGAGCTGAAGCTCCTTCCAAGCGAGAGGGACCCGGAGTTGGGACGACTGGTGAAAGCGCTGGAACGAGCGACGAGAGCGTACACCTCTGTGGTGCTACGGCTTCGAGCACAAGCAGAGAAAGAGGCGACTATGACGAGCACAGTGAACAATAGGCCGCCCTCACCGACGTTCAGTACCTGGTCGCATACACAGTCGCATATTCAATCCCACGCTGGGCACGTCACTCCCACTCCCAGTGCTGTATTCCGATCTCCTCTTGTTAAGCTTCGGCGCGCGCCTCTACTCCGATCCTTCGTTCCTTCACCTGACGGGGACTGGCTGAGTGATACAAGCGTGCTACGATGCGAGGCAGAGATGGACAAAGCGGGTGTGAGAGGCCTCCTGCGCACGGGGGACGTCGTTTGGGATATCGCGGTGGGAGATGAGGCGAATCTCGGGAGGATGGTGTGGGATGGGAGGTACCTCATTGATCTGGATTATACCTACAGCGTTACGGGGGATCTGCCAAGATACCTGATGGCGCTGGCTTTCCCGCCCAGTTATTTCCATCGTGTTGTGAGAGGTGGGAATAATGGTTCTGGTAGTGGACCGGTTATTCGTGTGGATTTGAGGCCCTGGGGAGACGAGATCCGGGGGAATATGCAGCTCTTGCAAGATAGAGTGCGGACGGAGACGTGAGTGCCAGTTGTATTTCTATATTCTCTTGTGCTGACGTCTGTAAAGTCCCCAGGGAACATATCATAACGTCGTCCGATGGGTCCACCGCTCTTCTTTCCAGCTTCGGGCACGACGCGGAACACGTATACCCATCCCTGAGTCGAACGGCCTGTTTGTCGATCCTGGCTGGTATGGCACGGTCGTTGTGGAAACTGAGGGAACGAACGAGAGCTTGCGCGATCTTCAGGAGAGGCTTGGGATAGGCCGAGGCATCCAGAGTGCGAGTATGAGAGCAAAAGGTGCAGACTCGAGTTGGGGAGACGATAAGATGGTTTTCAGGATTTTGAGAGAGAGAAGTCGGCCTGGGGAAATTTGGATTAGGGCCGTTGGGGTGAAAGAGAGGGTTAATTGATGGGATTTTCTTTTTTGATGTTTGCACTTACCGAACTTGTTGTTGTATTGCTACTGATCATTAATGTACGTAGGATAGACCCCGAATTGCAAGACAATCACCAATATTACTATATTTTTGTCGATCACAATTTGACTAATACACGTGACCGCGACACTTTAGTTTACTGGCCGGATTGTGCCACTGTGGTGACGATCCATATTTTCCGATGGTGTTGACGTTAGTGTTGTTACCGACACAAGGTCCCCCAATACAGAACGGCCGGGCCCACACCCATATCAGAACACCAGCACCACGAATAGGGATGAGTGCTGGCGCATCAGTGAGGGAACATTGAGACTCATTGGTGAGCGAGTCACAACTATGCGAGTACCCAAAGACCGGGCGGGAAGGAGGGGACGAAACGCAAGTACCGAGGAAGCACAACATTGCAGTACGGTAGCAGGAGCAGCAGAACTCAAGCCCATGAAACAATGACACACGGGAATGGGAACAACTTGTTGAACAACACACAAACAGCAGGAATGGGTCAGAGAAGGGGTCAGTCCAGGAACTTGGTCGTGCTGTTTCGCTTTCGCTTTCACGTCCGAATTCCAAGTGAGTCGATTCTCAAGATTCACTTTTGTTTCCTTTCACCATTGGCGGCAGTGAGGGAGGAATTCCACTGACATCAGACTAGCACAAGAAATTTCTTCAGTTCAGCCAACAGACATCTACTAATTAAGAAGCAAATAGAACCAGAGAGTATTCAAGAACCCTAAATGAAGGCCCTAACCCATCCTCTGAAAGCTCCTTGACCTCCCGCTTGTCATGCAAAACTTGATCGATAACTTCACTCATGCCACTGGCATGATATATTTTTACACAGGCTGCATGAATAGCAAGAAAATCGGGGTTGGCCACGGGCAAGCGAGGATCGATCGTAGTCAGAGTGACTTCTGCTCCATCTACTAAAGCCCCGGAGTCGATTCCCCACGGATTCTTCAGGATATAGACATGAGGACGGCCCTGGTTGACTGTCAGGTGAGCCAATATCTAAATGCCAGGATATCACACGCCTGCACAGCTTCTAGCCAGATGCGGAGGGCACCGAAAAGTCCATGAGCACCCAGAGTGAGTGTCACAACGTTGTCGATGCGATTGATGTCGATACCGTGAAGTCGATCAACTATCTTGAAGCCGCTAAACCATTCGATGAGTGCAAATACTTTGGATGATCGCTGAATCTATTGTCACTATTAAGTAACGAGAGTGATTGTGCACATTAACGACAGAAGTACTCACATCAGCAAACTTCACCAAATTTGGAGCCAAAGAAAAGGGAAGGATATGGGCAGCAATGGTGCACCCGGACTTTCGATGATCTTCTTCAGATACAACCACCCCGCTGCTCTCCAAATCACACACCACTTCAACATCAAGGGTTTTCGTCAGAATGCACCGGTTATTGTCGCGTGTGAGCACCTATTCAGGAATTGCCAGAAGTGTCATAACTTCGTGAGCTAAGACGTACGATTCCTTTCAAGACGGACTGGTCCCGTTCTGCTACGTCAATCTTAATCAACCCCGAGATTTCTTCTACGTTCCCCTCGAATGACGATCTCGAAGGGTGCTCCCCTATAATAGAATTCTCCCCTCCGCCAGCTCGTACTCATCACAAGGTAAGCACACAATACACGAATGCGAAGTGTGAGACTCACTTACTTGGAGCCAACAACCCACACAGATACAGATTTGCAAGTGCCTTTATTGCGGCATCATTAACGGCAGATAAGATATCTGTAGCTACGTTCTCTTGACCACCTTCGGAGGGTGCATGTATGTTATGGATCTGCCGAAATCCGGAGATGCGAGCACGAGGCGAGGAGTGGTGATCGAAGTGAGGTAAGAGTAATTAGGAATGATGTACGTCGTTAGGGAATATAATGGATTCCGGCGAGGGTTCGTGAGGAGACCTGAGTGGTCCGGTTTGCGAAATAAAGGAAATCAGTAAGCGCGAAGCAATTACTGAGGGAAGTGGCCGGTAAGCGCGGAGCAATTACTGATATAGAAAGCCTGTAAGCGCGAAGCTATTACGGGCCGAGGGTGAAGGCAAGCGCTAAGCGTAACCTTCGGGTTGGTGTCAGAAAGCGCTAGGCGTATCCAACGAGTTGTTCAGCAAGCGCTAGGCGTAACTGAGGGTTCACGCAGTGAAGGTGTCCTTAAAGTAGTAGATTGGTGAAAGCTTTTTTAATACAATGTTATCTACAAGTTTATATGCTAAGGACAGGTTCGAGTCATTATTATTCTACAATGCTCCATAATATTCTAGTATTAGTAAGAAGAATAGAGAAAGTAAGAGAAAATAAGAGAAAGTACGAGCGAGTCACTACTAGGGCCGAGAAGGCCGAGTACGGGCATGTGTTGACTCATGCACCGAATTAGTGGATACCCAATATCCATAACAATGTAGAAGTAGAGCACTAAGTATCAACGTAGTTTTGTCTGTGTCGTCTATGGGATTGTAGTTGAAAAGGCGGACACGAGCGGTAGTAATCTTGTCTTCAGTAAGAGCGGACATTGTGATAGTTAACTGAGGTTAACTATCACCGGTGGCCAAGAGCCGAGGATGAGGCAGTGGTGTTTTTATTCTAGTACTAGTCTTAGACTGGATCAAAATGTGGTGCAATTGTAATTGGAGCGATGAGAGGAACTTAGTAAGATCTACCATCACGTGATTGTGATTGCGTAGGGTCGTTGGAGTTAATTGATGAAGTTTTCTTTTTTGATGTTTGCACTTACCGAACTTGTTGTGTTGATACTGATCATTAATGTACATAGGATAGACCCCAAATTGCAAGACAATCGCCAATATTGCTCTATTTTTCTCAACCACAATTTGACTGTAATGCACGTGACCGCGATACTTCAGTTTGGGTTTATGAGCCAGAGTGTTTCCCCGAAGGGAAGTGGAAGTTAAACTACAAAACTTCGTCATCTCTTCAGCGCTCGTAGAGCTTGCAATTCTTTGTCTATTTTTCAGGAGAACCCATCAAATCTACGACTCATGATCAGTTTTAAGGCAGATACATAATGATGATATTCAAGTGACTCGGACTGTTCCAAACAAATTTCTCCCTCTCAAGATTTCTCGAAGAGGCAGCACAGTGACTCGACTTCCTTCCAATGCAAGAATCCGTACCAAATACTGGAGACATAATTGGAGCTTGGCAATGATAAGCGCGCCTTGAGCGACAAGTACCAGTATACGATCGACTCTCACGAATAGATGACACGACATGCATACCATACATCGTACTAATATTATTCCAGAAGCTACAGGTAGTTACTATCCACCCAGTCGGCATAGTTACTGCCCAAAACATCTGATATAGTGTAGCCACTGGTCGAAGATAGTTTCGTAGAAAATGATGCGCGAGTACCGGAGGCGCCAGCCCCTAGGGTAAGCTTGTAAGTAAAGCATCTTCAAGACGTAACGGTCGACATACCAATGCTTTCGTATTCAGCAAAGGTAACATGATCGGTATTGGGTGAACTGCTGGACCACTGTTCCCAACCAGCTCTGTTGATCAGATTCCCGAGCGAACAGGATGTGTAAGCGACCCTGTTAGATTTTTTTCAATAACGATGACTGCTAGTAGAACCTCAGTTGCCGTACCGAGCATAGTTTCCCCATGGACGCCCAAGGTACACCTTCCCTTGGAGGGACGTCTTCGCCGAGCTGCTAGTGGTGATGGTTGCTTTGTTGATGACAACTAAGACCAACAGCGAAATCAAGACGTGAAACGGATGGATTCTATAAATGACTTACACAAACTTGCTCCAGACGACGATGTGCGTCCGCTGGCGGTAATTGCTCCGGCGCCTACGGAAGCAATCATGTTCTTGTGGAAGTACGCTCGTGCGTATTGACCGAAAATATAGTCGACAGCTCCCTCGATGTAACACGAGCCATAGAATTGGTTACCCGTTTCAGCTAGCACTGTGTCTTGATAGCTGTTTGCAATTGGTCAGATACGTACCCTGGGACGAGGTACGAGAATCCTTTACCTATAGAAGCCCACACCATAGTAGCCTTGATTCGATCCATATGCACTCAAGGCCAACGCCTGGCCGTTGCTACTGGCTTGACCAAACTAGAGGACATATGATCAAAAAATATTCTCATGCACCAGTCACAGGCATACCGTGTTTTTCACATTGACGTTGTATAGTGCAAAGTCGTCTTTGTGTACGCGTAGGGTCCCGGTCAAATCATCGGTGCCTGCAGTGCCAAGAGAGCTCGAATGAGTGATCGTAACAGTGTTGCCGGTGTAACTGCTGGTATCGGAAGTCTGGCCCATGATCTGTGCGCTGGATATCAGTATCACTTGCCGCGTGTCAGCTTAAAAAGTGTACATACTGTCGTCTTGCCTTTCCGATCGATGTATACTTGTTCAGAGTAAGTACCTAGCGGGACACTCTCAGTCCCGATATCAGTTTGACGAGGAAGCTCGACTTACCCGCATAAATGAAGATAACTTTAGCAGTCCCATCGTTAGGGAGCGAGTTGACAGCTGCTTGCACCGTGCTGTATTCTCCGGACTTTGTTCCACTGCCTCTCACAACGACAGCTCCGCTGAGCGCAGATGTACGGCTATCCCGCTTCACAGCGGGTGTCGCATTCACCAGGCTGGTAGCAAAAAGAACAAGAAGAGAGAAGAATGTCAAGGCTCGGAGGGGAAGGAAAGCCATTTCTGTCGCCTACAATGGCATTACGCCATCCTTAAATAGTTATAGCAGCGACTTTTACCTTGATCACGACTATTGTGAGACCATCCAGGCGCGGAGATTTTGCCACTTCAGAAGATTCCGTCCGAGGTCCAACCGGACAGAGCAGGCGCATGTAGCATTGAAACCTTTCGCGTAGCAATGTATGGGTGCTAGGCTGGGCCTCAGAGAAAAGTTGACGGTCCGGATGTGAATCGATTTCGAGTTGTTCCAATCACTTATGTAATGGATAAAAATTGGCTGAGAAGACGAGAGATTCAGTCCAAATGAACCTGCATTATTCCGGATTTTTACAGACCTTTTTCCTCGCTATGATCTGCATACTGGAGCGATCATTTCAAAAAAAAAAAAAGATTATGTCAGCGTCAACTGCTACTTCGGCCTTGAAACTTCCGTAGATACCCACGGTGGGCACTTTGGGCCTTTGTCAATATTACGGTCCACGCTTTTATTGCAGCTGCCGAGCAGTCTACAGAACTATGATGCGCATTATTGTCTCTCAGCTGATGGAGCGAAATAAGCAACTGACTTAATCTGCTCAAAGGTGAAATTTGGCAGTTCCTGATAACCCTGCTGTGGGTTAAATCACAATCGTATGCTCGGACGTGTCATAGCAGTGCTTGTGGCTTCAGTTCTGGTCTTGAATTCTCATATCGTCAAGATGTTATAGTCACAGGGTCTGCAGAAATCCTCTTTGAGTCGCGTTAAAAGTCATCACCTTGAGTTCCAGCTTTTCCTACAGACATCCACCCTCACAGCTTATGGCCCAAAGAAAGAACAACACTTGGAATTCGCATATTTCACAAATCACTATAGAAGAGAGGAAGGCACCCAATCGCATCAAAGTTACTTTCAGGGAACTGTTGCAAAGAAGTACTCGTCGGAGTCGGTCCTGGGTTCCACAGGCAGCGAAAGGACTGATTACGACGGCTCTCGTCGTTCGTCAGCGTTTTGAGCCTCTGGTAACGATGCACAATATTCAGGTGGTGGCAGTTCAGTAGAAGTCGTGTCCTTCTGGTCGTTTTGTTGTTGGTTTGTTTTGATGAAGTAGTTCATCGCGAGACAGATAGAGAACATCAGGCCTTGCTGATTGTCAGCTGAAAAACTCTCCGAGGTCAGACAATGCTCACCAAATATCACGACAGGAGTGACGGGAATTTGTTCAGACACTGGCAGAGGTCGCAAACGTACGGGACAAGTCACTTCGGAGCCTGAGATAGACCTGGTCGAATAATCAGATCTACTCATTCACTAATCGGAGAGGAAACGAAACTTAATCACTCTTCGTAGCACCGACCATCATCGGCATGGTAGACAGTAGTAGTAGTACCTGCAAGAGAAACGGGGATATCCCCGACGGGGGCAGCGGATGCTTGAGATTCGTTGCGTTTGAAGCCTGAAGTCAGGACGAAGAGGAGTAGCAGCCTCTTCAACGAAGACGAGTAAGTGGCGGACATGGCTGATAGTGGAAAAGAAGGGGGACAGATCTAGAGATGTCTTCGAAACATGATATATATATATCTAGAAGAACAATAGGCTGTTGTCTTCCCGGGATAAGAACTCATGTTTTGCCAAGACAAAGAAAGACAAAGGCTGCAGACACGTTGAAATTTACAAGGACCATCGGGTAAGGGTTGTCACAGAGGCTGAGCACCAGGATGACCATGGTAAGTGACACTTTCTTGGGTGGTAGTATCGTCATCAGTGGCATATAGCGATCCTCCTCGTCTCTTTCCTTCATGGCACTCGATGTGCAATGACTGTCGAAAATTCGAGCTTCCGTCCTGTGATCTGTGCTGATATCGATAGCACTTGAGGCAAGGTAAGAAATTTAAATTTTGGTCCCAATCCGTGGTCCAGACCGAACACGGCAATCACCGACAAAGGCCTTGGCAACTCCGGGCCGCGGCAACTATTTTCTGACCACCATTTGATCCTCACTTTCCTTCATCATAGCGCTCAGCTTTCGCAAGTAAGACTTTCAACAGATGTAATAGTTCGATTATAATAATTTCTGATAGTAGGGCCTATCTAATCCTGCAAAATATGTCACGAACAGATGCTTCCAATCAACAGTGCTCCGTAAGTTACTTAAAATCTATGGTCGTTGACTTCTTTAGTTAATATTTAGGTTTCTATACCATATATCCCACCGGAGATCATTGATGAAATAGTTGATTATCTGTGGAATGACAATCGCGCTCTCATTTCCTGCTCATCAGTCTGCCGCCTATTCTACCCTCGGACGCGGATGCACCTCTTTCACACCATTGATATTCGACGCAGGAGCAATACTGCTACGCGCTTCGTTGACATGACTAAAGCTTCTCCAAACTTACTATCATACGTCACAGACACAAGAATTCTCGGAACCACCGTTCATTCAATCCTCGCCCCTGTACTCCCGTTGATGATCAATCTGACTTCGTTGAAGATACAATTCATCAAACTTGCAAAAATATGCGATCTTCACGCTCACGATTTCCAACTTTTGGGACTCAAGCAGTTCTCCTTGGATGGTTTCTACTACGACAAAGAGGGACCACCCTTCAGTCCGTCACCTACACAACGCGGACCAGCCCTTGAGAGGATGAACCTCGTAGTCGACGGGAATCTGCATTTACTTCCGTCCTTCTTTCATGCGGGACTGCGGTCGGTATACATCGACGCCCTGCAGTACCTAGAAGTGGACAAACCCGCAGAGAAGGATTTGCGTGTTCTATCCGAACTTACACGTGCTGCAGGCTCGCTGAAGCATCTGCGACTGTTGGAGGTTCAGTGGGATGGTATATACGCTTCTTGCTTGATTTGGTTTAGTGAACGCTAACGAGAATCCACCGTCGATAGTACGTCATTGGCCCGATCCTCCTACGCTTGCTTTAACGGGCTTAGAAACGTTGTCCATGGAAATATGGTATAAAGACGATCTGGCGAGGATTGACTTGTGCCTATTGAGATGGCTGATCATTTCGCTTTCTTCCATGGACGAAGTTTCGTCGCTCCAGTCTCTCGAGCTAAAGCTTAAATGCTGGGAAGATAGTGAGCTCCAGGAAGTAGACGAAATGTGGTTATTGTGGATGCAGCTGGACGTCGTTTTAAGCCGCCCCAATCTTTCGCGGTTGCACCAGCTGACGATCAAGATATCGGGCGAGGAAACTACCGAAGAAGGGCTTCTCTATGCTCAGACCTTGACCAATCACAGGTTTCCGCTGGCGCAGGAAAGAGGCATTCTCATGGTTTGCACAGACGACGAAGATTGATATTGACCTTGTTCTGTATTGGGATAATCTGAATGCTTCGTTTCGCATGTCGAAGACCCGGGTATCTTGCGTACCCTCTTCGCTAAGCTTGGCGTCCGTAATGCCTCCAATCTGCAACGTCAAACTCCGCCTTTTGCACCGTAAAGTGAGATCTCCTAGTAATCCAATCCTAACCCTACTCGAGTTTGTAGCCATTATGTCGCGCGATATTTGGTATATGTTCAATTACTTGTTTTCTAACACTTAATGAATCTCTTTTCTGCAGATGTCAGCCTCTATTCGTCGTCAGATGAGTCATAAAGTGGGAATCGAAAGTCAACAGTCTCTTGCCACACTGACAAGGGTACGTCACCCATTAGTAGTCAAACTTGATGGGTCGATGACGCTAAAATGAAAGTTGCATCTATTGCTGCGGCGTCATCTATCCCTTGACTGCCCGGCTCGATGCTCCTGTTTATTGAACCGCTCTGAACCAGGTCCTAGGCTCGCCAAGCCCACCGCTAAGTGAGCACGTTCGGGCAAGCTAGGCATGAGTTGTCGGATCAATCGATCCGGCGTCACTTTTGGCGGCAACCGCCGTATTCTTCGACCCTTTCTACCACTTGATTCCTCCCCGCTATCTACTACAAACTACAGTTTTTTAGTACCACATCGATCTTCTCAATCATGCGGTCAAGTGCAGCGGAACCGGGCGGTTTTTTGGAGGTGCTTCTGATTCCTACCTCTTTACACCGCCGCTGGAACCGACTGCCGCACCCGCGAGTGTTAGAAGTTAGAGCCTAAGTTCGGATTCAAGAATGGGGTGCGGATCTCTGAAGTATGCCGCCCGGAGGAGAGGAAGATGCTTAGGCTTAAGTGAAGTCGATCTGCTTCTCCGTGAGTAGTAACTTCTTGTCTTCTGTGTGCCTACACTGTTTCACCAGTCGACGTTTGTCAGGTCAAGAATTGATTGGTACTTCAGCGACGCGAAAGCGATCATCGAAGGACCAGATTCTCGCAAATTAAGGCCTCTTTTTGTAACGGAAATACATATTCGCTCGAAAAGGAACCTCGAACCGTTGTCCGAGAAGGATGGTACGTGGTCGTCGCACTACTACTGTACGTGGAGACACCGACTTTCGTACGTTTCATATTGAAAGACCTACTTGTTAGACTTCCGACATGCTATACTGCAGACCTGTCTACGAAGTGGCAGTCTGAGTATCAAAGGGACCAGGCTGCGCGCTCCGTCTGGTCCAGGGGTCCCCATCCCGAGCAGCATCATATCCCGATCAAATGACGGCCTTTTGTTCGTTCAGAGTCATAGGGAGATTGAATGCGCTGAAGGGGGCTGGATCCGACTCAAATATTTACATCAGGATGTCATAGGCAAGTCCGTTATCCATGACTGATCAATGATATGGCCCCCATTTTTATTTTTACTGCATCAACCTTTTTTTTAACGTGTAACGTCAAGTTGGGAGCTCCGCTTGGATTTAACGGGGTCTTGGTACGGCTCAGAATTCAAGTTCACTTTCATATTCGTTTTTCGCCAGTGACAGATAGGTGAGGTCGTTTTACTCTTCAACTCGTCGTGTTGTTTTTACTTCTCGAAACATCAGCACCGCTGATCGAACCATGATCCGTACTTCTGAGGCTCAATGACTTCTCGGGTTGTAAGCAATTTAAGCGTCTGTTTCCTCGCCCAAAGTTATTTAATCTGTCGTAACTAGAAAGTGATATGCAGCGGAGTGTAAGTATATGTCGCTTTATTTCCATCCCACTTCAAAACGGACAGATTTCCTGGTCAAACTTTTCGTTTCTTGACACCCGAAGGAGTCTCGTTCAGTCATGCTTGTTTCGAGCTGAGGCAGAATGAAGCTCGTTTGTCAGGCAATTGGTGCACCGGACCATATCTCTCCCGTGATCCGTGATGCATACAATGTCTAATTTACACCTTCTCTTCGCCATCGTTGCCTATGACGCATCAAGATGCATGACTTGTGCGTGTCTCGTATATTCGTCGCTAATTTTACTTCCATTTAACCAAGTCGGTTCCGCGCCGTCATTTATTTGATTATCACCCTTGTCCAGTGCTCCGTTTTGTCCCCTCGTAGTTGCAAGTTTTGCAGGTGAAGCCTAAGTGATGTCGATCTTTGATAGTTGTTACTGAATTTTATGCCCTTTGTTAGGACTTCTGGGGTACTTATTGGTCCAGAACATGGGCCTATCACAGCTGAATTTCTATCCGGGCATCAGGCGCTTCAAGGAATTTCCGTCGCATGCATTGCGCTGGTGCAATTTTTACAATCGCGAGCGTTACATATCACGAGCTATCTTTGGCTAGTCGGAGGTATCGCATTCGCTGCTTTTACTCGACGTCGATTTGCAAGATCCGGATCTTCAACCCTACTTATAGGTTCTGGACTATGACATCTTTGAGGGCTGAAATTTGAAACTCGTAGACGAGGGAGAAGTATAGGTTTTTCTCATCCTGTTTATACCCCCTTCCATCTTCCAAATAGCTCCTAGTTCTTTTCTCAAGCAGAAATTGAGGGCGAATATCCTTTAAAATTGTGCACTTTCAGGCTGCTCAATGACGCTATTCAATTCTAGAATCATCTACAGAATTCTATATGTCGTAGAAGCGAAGAAGATTTCTAAGTGATGATCAGAAGATACACACGTCTAGGTCCGTGTTTTTTTGCATGACTTCATTGCCATAAATAGGGGCGCTACCTTTTCCCTTCGACACCCACCTTCACCATCCCCTTCACCCATGGAACACGGCTTCGTAGAAGAACTGCAAGAGGAACAGACTGTCAATGTCCCTGAGCTCGAGGCCGGTGTCCTCTACGCGGTTCTCACATTTCGGGGCGACTATACTTCATGGGATTGGTCCTTTTTCGTGCCAGACAGCGCAGTGATGCCCATCGGCAAGTCGGGTGCGCTCTTTCACGTCGTCAACTATCCCGCGCAGGGCTCTACGGGCTCTCTGGAGAGGTGGGCATTTGAGATGGAGCCGAACAAGGATGTTAATGCTTGGCCGGAGATAGTCGCGATTGTTCGACTAGGGGATTTATCTGGGTTGGGCTGCTTCAAGGATGTAGTGCAGGAGCTCATCACGACATTCTCTACAGTCGACATGAACATAAATCCAGTGGAAATGAGCACGAGAAAGTGGTTTTTGGATGCTCTGTGGGTGTTGCATGACTGCGGATTCGTCACTTGTGACGATGCGTGGCTTTTGGAGAGAGAGCTCAAGAAGTATGCGTTCAGTTCCATGGATACGTATTTGGAAGTAGGAGGTGAGTAAAATTGGTTACCCCAGGGAATGACGTTATCATAATAGTGCCTACTACATTTTAGGTTGCAAGGTGTTTAAATCCGAGCATTGCTCGTAATGGCACACGTAAAATTTGGTTTGGACTATGTCTTTTCAGTCCTTGGTGAACGGTCTGACCTGACCTTTCCAGACGGTCAACTAATAAATGGGACGCATTTGGGCGGGAGATACGGCGGTCTGCCGCGATCGCGTCCAACGAGTTACAAAGTCCGGAAGTGCCTGCGGAGCTATCGGGGGACCATACCAGGGCACGGTCATGTGTCGCCTCGTTTATAATGTCCACGTCTGGAACAAAATCGGCAGTCAAAATCGCCCAGGAACTAGGCCAAGAAAGGGGGAGAGATCATAACCGCGAAATCTCTGCTTATTGCTGAATGCTTTTTTACTGATTGTGCAATTCATTAGTAGACTTCATATCTTGTATGTCATGCTTGCGAGTGTACAACGGGGGATTAGCTGCCCAGAAACACAGGTTCATCCTGCATCTGAACATCCCATCTATCGACGCAATCGGCACTATCGAGGGATCGTCTACCTCTTTTAGACTTTCCGTCTCTCGAGAAGTGCAACAAATTCTCCCTCTGGGGATAGTGGCGATGCCTACTGGGGTCACGAAAACGACCTTGACTCAACACTTGTGATAATCGTCAGTCGTCCTATCAGCTCTTGAAACCTCGACCACTCGGCGTACACCGCTGGGTTACTCAACCATTGGCAGTCCGATAGCATCGTCTATGTCACCGTTACTGAGAATTATTGGTCAAATCAAGAATTATCCGCACCTTTATTAGCGTTGAACATACCGCCAGTGCCCCCCGTTCCATAATTCGTATTAGTCTGTACCTTGTGATAACAATCTTCAAACCGGCACGGTGGGCAGACATCTCAACGACATAAATAACTACTGAACATATGTTCTAGCCGATTTTTGGCAGGGTCCCCTTCTCTTCCCCACTTTCTCTTTAGCTTTCGTCTAAGTATAAGATCTGGATGCCTAAGAGCACCGAGAAAATTGTCTATGTTTCTAACTTGAAATTCTGACCGGCTGTCGGCGTGTGCAGCCTCTGCGTGAGTAGATCTTCAAACATGCCTCGAATGCCGCAATGAGTGGGAAAGTGGTACAGGTTCTCTTCAGGCTTCTAATCACTTCATTTGTCTCATATTCGTAGCGATATAGGTGAACGTTGTTCAAGGAACATGTCCATTGCGCGTAAATGATAAAACGGAGATAGAACTCCGTCGTAAATTCACCTTCATGCCCGTTTTCAACCATGGCTACTATGCTTGTAGCCTAAATGACCCGGCAACTGAACTTGAAGCGAATCATTTGAAACATTACTGCATCGCTTTCTTCGGATTACAATAATTTCATTAACCGATAGCACATGTTGTACAGGTATGATTTGCCATCAACTCTCATCAATTCCAATTGTTCCGTAACTATAGATGGTAACGAGAATGAAACGGATGAAACCAGTACCTACAAACGTATGCGATGTCATAAACCTTTAATTCATCGAGAATGGTGGCAACGAGCCCCATTCTATTCGCCATGGAGAAGAAGATAAGTTATATATGTACAGATAGGGTCGAGTCGGATTGGCATCAACATAGCAAGATAAGTATAGGACTACGCACTACAGGGTGGAACTATTGAGGGAAGTAACTGAGATCCATGGTTGAATCCAGCCTAGGTTCAAGGACGAACTCTCGGCGGACGTAATTCGCATCCTTGGTCAAGTGAAGCTATAGAAAGGATGAATCATTATTTTGTATGCGGCAGGAAGGGAGGGCGTACATATAATTCGCCCATCGCAACATGCATTAAGATCGCAAACCATAGCGCCATGCCTTGCGTTACACGGATGGACGAACCAAATCCTAAGGAGTCACCTTTTGCATCAGCGGTAACGGCAACGTAGGTCTTTGAGATATCCACCCCGTCAGCGACGCAGGATGGATATCGTTGCGAGACCTGCGAAAGATCCGTTAGGACGGACAGAAGCTCGTCACAACGGAAGACCTGAAAGAATCAACAGAGCCCAGGTTAACGGGGTCCACGAACTTGAGATGAAAGAAACATGATACGTGCCGCATGGTAGGTACCGATGTCGGTCACAATGAGACGCGCGATTACCACTATAATGCGAGTGGTGATTGCACAGCTAAAAATGACGACACCACCTGATATTTTCAATTGAGTGTTAAAACATCAAGCGTGCGATTCGAAGACCAGGATCACGTACGAATCATCCATCGGCGGTGTTCTCGAGTATTGCTTTTGACATTAAAGAGGCCAGCACAGAAACAGCTGATGATAGCTATTCCCAATGTGTAGTAGGCAGACTGTGCATTGATCTCTCCTCCGAATGATCTATACCCAACAATTGAACCGCAAACGTTGGCTGGAATCAGACAGAGGATAGAAAAGTATCCTGAAGGGATGAGGTTAGGATATCGATAAAACGAAAGATGAGCGGCAGCTTCACCATTTATGCGATGGAATAATACCGCCCTCTACGATGGAGTCAGTTCATTTTAGGAATGCGATCAACGGGAGACTTACGCGTCGGATGGCGGGAAGGAACTGAAGAAGGACGAACATTCCACCAACTATAATTCATTAGCTAGTCACCTTCAAGTCACACCATGCGTTGAATCGGGCTTACTGATGGAAAGGTAGATGTGCATCGGATATGCGATCTTGAACCCGTTCTTACTGAACCAAAACCATTCACCTGGATGCTCAGTTATAGAATACAATACACGGAAGGTCAAATCAAGAACACGCCCACCTGGGACTGTCAGTCTTTCCATCGTCTTGGAATTCATCATCGGGGCATGGAACAAGCAATAGCCAAGAAGGGCACCTCCAAACAGGAAATCTAGGGGATGTCGTTCAGGCGAACATTGCTTGCTTAGATGCGTGCGACGTACATAATAAAAGACTCAGCGGCTCCTTGTATCCTAGGATTCCACTGATGGTGCGATAAGCAGCACCACCTGGTACGTTTATTGGCTGCATCTGGGGCCTTGGTCTGAAGCGTCCAAACCACGAGTTTCGGGCGTAGAGAGGTCGCCCTTTAGTATATGGAACCTCGCTGGTATTATAATCGTGCTGAGTCTGCGTCTCGGTCGTAGGCATGGAGGAAAGGCTAGAGAGAAATCCAAGTCTCGACAAGCACTTTTGAGTGCGCGTCGGAGATGGACGCAGAAGAAATGGAAGCAAATCTGATTCGTCCTAGGCGCCGAGGTATCTGGCAGTTCGGAAGATAAGTGCGGGATCCCAGTTTGGAAACGAGAACCAGTTCGCAGAGTCATTGTTGAATAGCTCCACTTATAGACCGATAAGTGGACTTTCTAGGACCATCAGAACATAACGGTGAAAGGTCGGCTGGGACATTGAACAGATTGCCAAGCAAATTTCAAAATTAACTTCATTCGGGCGGGTGAAGGAAAGATGTGTTCTAAAAAAAGCTGAGAGATTCCAAGCCCAGCTGTCCCGAGTGAAAACGTCGAGGAAGATGGATCTTTTCTGACCCTCTGGATTGTTACACAGTCGCCGTTGGAAAAGAAAAGGAGACCGCCGGCAATCACCTTGATCGCCGTTAAGAAAGCGTGATGTTTGGTTGTGTGATGCAGGGACCTGTCCGACTTCAAAAAAAACTCATCACGTCTATCTTTGTGATGTTACAGCGGCATAGCAACAGCTTGGACCGACAATGCAAGGTGTCACCGAAATTCCCCCTCGAAGTCTCTATCAGCGCAGCAGGCCAGATCTGAACGGACCTGGTGCCGAACTAATTTTATTTCCAACGAACTGGTCTAAGTAGTTCGTTATCCCCGGGCTATCGACTTAGCACGCAAACATGTTAAGATGTATTACTATTAGTACTATCTTGTTTATTACCTTGCACTCGACTTTCGTCTTCCGCCATTGCCCCCCCGCCTGCACCTGGCATGGAATCTCCCTCTCCTTCCCCTTCTGCACTTGGCGTCGGTATGGTTGATGGAGAAGAGCTCACGTATGACAAGGACTTGCGTTTGGGGGGCGGGCGAAATGGCAGCGTTTTTCAAGGAAGTCTCAACAAAAATGTGGTTGCAGTCAAGGTCCTCAGTTCAGAAGCTTCGTCTGACGTGCGTATTATCTCCTCTATACCTTGAGATATGAATAACCATCTTCATTGCAGATCTTCTTCGAACGCGCTCATTCGTGGAGAAGTTTAAACCACGCCAATATCTGCGAGGTTTATCGTGTATCCTCCACCGAGGAAGACTCCCTCTATCTCGTTATGCAATGCCATGTCAACGGGAATAGTCGGCAATACTTGACAAGAAACCCCAATGTTGATCGTGGAAAAATTGTATTTTCTGTTTCTGTCTTCTAGAATGCCCTTTATTTACGATATGTCAGATCCTCGAAACTGCCCTGGGCATGCAATATCTGCATTCGGTACGTGGCGTCGCTTACGGTCCGCAAATGCCTCATTTTGTATCTTTCATAGTGTGATATCATTCATGGAGGTCTCAAGCCGACCAATATTCTCATCAAGGATAACGGAGAGGCGTGCGTTTCCGACTGGGCTATGGTCGAAATCCAACCAAGCAGAAACAAAGAAGCGCATCGATATTTCAGTCCGGAAGCGTGGAAGGGAGTGAGTAAAGATTTTTTGTCTGTTATGTGATCTAATAGTAAATTTCAGACCGTATCGCGACCTTCGGACGTGTTTTCGTTCGCAATGAGTGCATACGAGGTGCATCCAATACAGTTATATTATTGCCGTGGCTCACAGACATTGTCAGTTATATAGTCTCTCCCAACCGTGGGGCGTACTCTCCGAGAAGCAGATATATCAGCTGGTTGTGGCGGAAGATGCTCGACCTGACCGCCCAGATCCAACACGCGACGCACGCGTTGGGCTCAATAACTATTTCTGGGACATCATTGAAGAGTGCTGGCAAAAGGAGCCTCGCATGCGGCCAAGTTTCGACATCGTTGTGCGATTATGGAGAAGTCACGGTACAGACGCTTCCCAAGAAGTGTCAGCTCTCAATGCCAAAACCATGCCTGCCGCTGGTAGGGGAAGGTCTCTTTCCTTGAAGACCCAGCCAAACGCGCCGGATCCAGTGTTGGCGTCTCTGACGGCCGAGTTTGGCCAATTATCTGCTCGCTCGACTAGCTTGGGCCGGAGTTCCACTGTGGCTTCGACGCGCTCGTTCAGATCTGGACCACCAGCTTACGAGAAACCTCCGACAGCGTCACCAGCCTCTCCTTTGTCACCTTTGTCGAATTATTCACCTTTGTCTTCGCAGATCTTTTCTGCAACGAGTAGTACAGATGCCTCCTCCTTGTCCACTCCAAGATCCCACCCCGTGGATGAACTACCACCTATCAGTCCAGTTTCCAGTACGCGCTCATCACTTGTTATTTTATCTCCCGCGTCTAGACCAAAACCGCATGCAGAACCGTTTCGGGTCAACTCACTCTCCAATAGTTCGGGTACGTGGCGCTCTTCCGATGGAGGAGTCAAAACTTCAACCTCCCGTTGTTTAGACTACTCACGACACTGGGATCCCACTAGTACTTTAGCGAGATCCTATACTCCACAATTGTCTGCCTTTGCCGAAGTAGACGAGCATGTGGTTCGCAGCGAATCCCCGTCACTATGGGAAGCGAAACGTCGTGGGATGGGTGCAATAACACACCAACCTATTGCGACCGCATGGGATCGTCGGTCGGGTTTGTCTGCCGAGAGCGAAGGACTTTCTGGCACGGGGTCGTCATCCAGCTTGTCACGTATGTGTTTGTCTCCAGATGATGCCTATTGCTAAGACACGTCCCGTAGACCCGCCAAACGCCATTCTTCTAGTTGGCGCACTGCAGGCGGAAGTGCAAACCACTCGTAGACGGGCCTTTATCGACAACTGTCTTTCCAGGATTCAGTACGTCGCTACGCAATGCGACAAAGGAGCACAGAAGCTGGTTACAGCCGGGGCTGTTCCGGTGTTGATACATCTGTTGAAGATTCGAGCAGCGGAGCCAGACGGTCTAGAGGTAGTCTTGACAACACTTGGTCTCGTCGCGTACGTCGTACTGTTTGTTTGTTTCTTCGCTTCTCATTCAGACCATTCATCCAGTCACGACACCATAACTGCTAACACAATTTATCGGACCAACACCACTAGAACCTTGATCGAAATAGTCAAATCCTCAACTTCGGATCCCGTCATTACCCTTGCTCTATGGTGTCTCAACCGTATATGCCGGAATGCTGATGTTGCCACTGGTCTCATCAAACAGAATCTCGTCAGCGCTATTCTTGAAAAGACTTTGCATGGGAACCTCGCCTGTGCCCGTATGTCAGCGTGGTGTATTGGCATCCTCATTTATAACGACTCCATAGCCGATGTACTCAGCGATCTCGGTATTATACCGGAAATTGCTGCCTATCTTCGACAGGTTTCGACCACGAACACCGTCGCTCCCGATGACATCTGCGCGGGACTTTATGCAGTCGCTCGAATTGCTCGTTCCATCAAGCTTTCGAAGGCCCTATATAAACAGGGATGTGTATCTATAGTTTCATTCCACTTGGCGTCGTCGAATGACCCGTCGGTCCTTATGTGGGCTGCGCGCGCAGTAGGCTGCATGATGCGGCCAAACAGCGCCGACATGGCTAAGGTGCTCTTAGATGCCGATGTCGCGCGGGGCCTTTCCCGCTTACCAAGCGTATTACCCCCGGAGGTTGTCGAGCCGTTGGGTTCGTTCGCTTTTGCTATTCAGCGGTTTAGTTGTGCCGAATGGGGAGGCGGGACACGTAAGGCGCTCGTAGACGCCGGAGTTGTCGATGCGCTATTGGCCGCCCTGAGAACGGTCGCCGACGAGCCCTACCCGCAGATCCATATGCAGATGGCTTTGGCAGTGAGCTTTTTGGGTGATGTGGGAGGGTCTGCAATAAGGAAGGAGATTGTCAGTGCAGGTGGGATTACCATTTTGAAACGAGTTGGGGAAAATGGTAGTGCGGATGTATCTAAAGCGTGTTCGATGGCGGTAACGAGTATCACGGGTAATCTGTGGACAAGGAATGCTGGTATGTCACTCTTCATCTAGCGCGAGATATCTTTTAAATTAACGTTTATTCTTTGACTCAGCATCTGCAAAGACGGCTATGACACATAATTGGAGCGGAGGCTGTCCCGATTATCACACCGCTTGTCCTATTCCTCTCGCCGATACAGAGTCCTTGTACTAGTGGACAATTAGTGCCATATAGGCGTCTTTTTTTTTTTGGTTTTGGTATACTACGTATCTTATTAATGTTATTTGAAACGTGAATTTATGAGTTGACGATCCAAATGAACTGTGATTTGTGCAAGCTTATCTTAGTTTCCCAAGACAGACGACGATATATATAAGACTGTTCCGGAATCGTGGCTGTGTTGTCAGCTTAAACAGAACAGTCAAGTAACGTCTTGAGCCACTTCATTGTCAAATTATCCAAGGTTAGTTACTTCTTTCCTTAATACATTCTCTTAATTCCACTTTACAGTCGAATGTCCTCAGTATTGCCTCAAGAGATCATTGATCAGATCATCGACTACAATTATTACGATGATGTCCCTACCCTCCAAGCTGCCTCCCTTGCGTCTCACTCACTTCTACCCTCGTGCAGAGTACATCTTTTCTCTGAAGTTGTACTTGTACATGAATACGTCCTCGATCCCGTCCTAGATTTCGCACCGGACATAACGGGAAGACTTTATACGTGCAAGGATTTTTTCTCTCTCCTATCGGAGGCTCCGTGGATTTCTAGCCTTGTCAAAACACTCGTCCTTCATAATTGGTACGAAGGTACCCGTCTCTTAGAAGACCCTCATTACGCTATTCTGCCATCCATTTTATACTCGCTTACACACCTTCGTCACCTGGTTCTCAGCAATGTACCACACCAGTCATGGAAAGCATTCAACGAGAGTCTTCGAGCAGCACTTATCAAGACGCTTCCTCTTCTCACCCAGCTGGATGTCGACTTCCTCTCCTTCGAAGATCATGCTGAATTCATTCAAGTTATCCGGGAGGCGAAGTCGCTAAGACATCTTTCCTACGTCAATATTACTACTACGAATGTTTGGGATCTTCAAAATTCTATCATTGCGCCCACGCCTCAAATTTGTCTTGAGTCACTCACCGTCTCAGGGAGGCCGTTACATCCAACCCATGTTAACACATTTCTCTGACCTTGCTTTGATCTCACACGCGTTCGCGAGTTGTCAATATCTTCTGACAGTCTCTTCGAGGACCAGGAGTCCTTGGATGCTCTTCAAAGGCTTCTCGATGTTATCGGCGACTCCCTCGAACATCTTAGATTCGGGTTCAGGTTCTACTCCAGTACGTGGATTGAAAAAACCCTACCAGCTTCAAGTGTCATCATGTTTAGACCTAATTCACAGGACCGATGGATGTAAGCAAGAATGCAAATCTCCGCTCAATACACATTGTTAGCCACCGGGTTGATACTGAAATGGTCCCGATCCACAAGAGTTTAAGGTCTTTGGCTTGGGACCTGGCTCCCCGATGGAACAGCGACATTTTTCAGGCAGGAGACTGGGAGGAACTGGACTTGTTTCTGAATGAACCCACGCGGTTCTCATCGCTGTCGAGGGTAGAGATAATATTCCATGCGACGCATGCGAATTGTAGGCCGTACGCGTGCAGTGGAAGTGAAATCCCTCATGGCGATATGCTTGAGCAAATAGCTTCACAGATGCCTATGCTTCGAGCACGAGGGATCCTGCAATTGAAAGAGCGCAGAGGTAAGTGTCTGTGCCAGGGTGTCATGATATATGTTGTTAAGTCCTTACCTTTGCAGTTCGCCAAATATTTGGAGGAAAATGGGACAGAGATCTTCAAGGTGTCTAACTTGAAACTGTTGACGCTATCTATATCATCCCAGGCAGAAGGATTCTCAATGAGGGAGATATAGCTGGGAAGGAGTAAGTGCGTACTAGCCTTTGATAATCGATATCTGGTTGTTTTTAAACGGGTTCGCAACAGTATTTATGCAGAGATAATGATTAGCATGAAGTACAGCCACCAGACATCTATCTACCGAGTACTATTCGTTATCGATAAACCTATGGTACGCATACCATCGATAAATGAGAACCCGGTTTCCAGATTAAATAAGATTGATCCCGTTTGTCCGGTCCGACTGCCGAACCAATTTATTTATCCCTTTGAACCCGAACCACCACAGCGTGTTCGTGAGCTTCGTGACCATCTGCAGGCGATCCATTACGTTCAAGGTAGAATATCTCCCGGATTCTTCGGAGCAAAGTTTTGAAAAGTTCTTCAGCACTTAATAATGGCTACAAATCCCAATCCTTTATCGTTGCCACCCGAAGTTCTCGACCAGATCATAGATTATAACTACGACGACATTCCTACCCTCCGATCCTGTGCCCTGGCTTGTCGCTTATTTCTACCCTCTTGCCGGGTGCACCTCTTCTCAGAAGTGGTTCTTGTGCACAACGACATCATTAATCTCGGACCTCAAGGCTATGATATCCACGGAAGGCTGTACTCTTGCGAGAACTTCTTACAGCTTCTCGAGGAAGCGCCATGGGTTGCGGCTCTTGTAAAGGTGCTTGAACTTCATGGCGGGTACGGAAGAAGTCTGCTCACTGAGCGCATCTATATGGACATCTACCTCCCTTCCATCCTCTCGCCCTCCAAGCTCTCGAAGCTGAATCACCTCAGTCTTACGTTCCATCCTCCAGTGAAGTGGGCCCAACTGTCTCAGAAACTTCAGGATGCAGTGGAAGAGACGCTATCGCGACCGACGCTAACCCAGCTAGATCTAGTCGGGATAGATTTCAACACACCAGCAAACCTCGTTGCCATCCTTTCGAAAGCAAGGACCGTGAAACATCTTTCATTCACCAGCAACAGCATGCGTTATAGCTCTAAAAATGTGAACATTCCCGCCATTCCCGCAAGTATCCCGTTCCTCTTCCAGCTGAGATCCCTTGGTTTCGCTGGTCATGCTATGCATGTTCACGAGGTTTATGTGCTGTCCAAGGCCCATCCTAGCCGCATCGATCTCACTCAAGTTCGTGAATTATCAGTAGCGACTGAGAGCGTGGCTGGTAATGACGCTGTGGACGCCCTGCAGAGTCTCTTGGATACTATTGGAAGCTCCTTGGAGCATCTCACCCTTGGCTTAGTGAGTTCCCCATCTAGTAAGCATTCTAACTTGAAGATCATATACTTTGTTCTGATGGTTTTTAATCTCCCCCAACAGAATCACTCTCCGTCGACTCCAACACCAACCTACGGTCCGTGCACGTCGTATGCACCTCCCTGGAGAAACCGCATCATTTCCATGATATCCCCTTTTCGAGTTCAGTACAGACACTGATGGTGGACGTGGGACCCGGGTGGGACGACGACGTGTTCCTGGCCGTAAATTGGCAGGAATTTGACTCGCTTTTTGACTCGCGTGCGGATTCATTGACCAGGATCGTTATAATGCTTCATCGTCCCCACGATAGATGCGGAGAGCGGTTTTGTGGTGGTTATCCGTCTATCGAAGATGATCTGCTGGAACGTGTGGAAGCGCAGATGCCCAAGTTGATGGCGAGAGGGATTCTCTGGGTCAAGGAGCGGAGAGGTGAGTTCACGGTGCTGTTACTTCGTTCTTTCATATCTGATGGCTCGGGATAGTGCGGTATACGTTTGGGCATAGATGGATAAGAGATCTCGCGTGATCTTCCCACAGATCTGAGATAACTTCTGACGTACCCGTAGTAAACGGCACTTTGACGAAGGCAATGTTTTGTCCATTTACTATCGATGCAAGGAAGATCAGTTGAAAATTTTTCTATGGACGCTGAGGCATCGCCTGTCTGCTGTTTAGACGATGAAGTGAATAACTTTCTGCAGCTGCGAAAGGTCACGGACATCACACGTTACAGCATATTCACAGCTTTCAACAGAGGTCTAAGGAAGATGAAGAAGACTAGTATGATCGGGGCTTAGACCAGCAAGAACAGCAGACTGGATCGAATGAGAAGAACACACTTTGGGGTTCTGGAATCTGGGGGACTCGGAGAGATCAAGAGTTAAGGTTTAAAAACTTTCAGTACGTTCGTTCGTTTATGACCTAATTTAAGTTGAGACTGGACCGTATTTTGCATATAGTTCGGCGGCAACCATATGTACGCATTTGTTTTGATGCGTTCTACGTATGTTGAACAAAATGACATCACCTATCATAACGCCCGAAGCTCGCGTATAATTGATAGCTTCTCAAATCTCATGACTGCGATATCTAATCACTTGCCTCTATATAAGACGCGACTGGTCCATGACCCTTTCGGGCTTGACCTTTTGTTATCATGCGTCATTTACTCCAAAGAACCCAAGCAACACCAGACCCCCAAGCCGCTTCCCCCCTGTTCTCCAAAACCCCTCCCGAAATCCGTAACATCATCTTCCGGCTTGCTCTACGTGGTTACCCCGACAGAGCTAGGGGATACTACCCTGGAAATACCTACTACTTTCGTCCGGGGTATGAACACGACCGGCGCATAGACACAGCGCTCCTCCTCACCTGTCGTCGCATCTACGACGAGACCTACCTCTTGCCCGTTATCGAGAACGAACATGTGTTTTGGTGCTACCACGGTCCACCGGGGTCGAGCGCGGAGCCAGGCAGATATTTCTGCAAGATGAACGAGAAGCAACAGGATACTGTAGATCGGGTGCACTTTTTTGCACAGCTGTATTGGCTCGAGGCGACCTTCCCCCTGAGTTGTACGATCCCCGAAATGCGTCCCAGGAAGCTGAAGATTACGATCAGACATTCGGATTGGTGGTATTGGGAGAATAATCACTTGTTGGTGTTGAGGGTGGCGTGGACAGATAAGATTAGGTTGGTGAAGCGCCTGGAAGAATTGGAGATTGAGCTGGAGACGATTGAGAGGGATAAGGACCAGGTTTGTTGTGAGATATCTGTATTACTTACACTGAGTTGGCTGATTGCCGTGGTCACCCAGATGCTTGCTATAGCTCAGAGGATTCGCAGCTGGAAGATAGACCTTTGGGATGGGCGCGTGCTGAGCACCGAGGGACGTTCCCTTATTCATGATCAATGGACGGGAACGTCTACTTTTGAAGGAAATCGTGCTTGGTATGATAGGGAAAAAAACGCTTGGACCAATAGACCAGGGATTGTCCGTCCTGTCGCTCCGTTAGTCTACCATACGGTGACCCTCAGGTGGACTGCCGTAGTGAAAGTATGAAGGTTGTAACTTGTCATACTGTTGTCGCGTTCAGGACCATATCAGATATGTCATTAGGAGCAGAAGAACCAGCGTGCAATGCATTGAGAACGTGTGGTAGTGGTTATGATTCATTGATATACGCGCACACGCCTGCGATAAGGAGACAATGGTCTTTTGTACATTACTACAGTACGCTTATATTGGGCAAATCGAAGTTGTCGAAATGCATAGCCGCACCCCAGCGATCAGTGGCTGTGCAAGTTCTTTCGCTGATCCGTACCGCCACCACACTCCTTGACTCTCATGTCTTTCTCACTTTGTTCGACAGAGGCAGTCCTCTCCATTGATATCAACACCGGTCTCTCTCTGGTATTCTCGGATGCCGTATCGAGTTAATACAGATACTTATAGCGAACGTGCTACCTAGGTGCGATGGCGATGTGCCCTTTGCAACTGGGCGGGCGTTTGATGTACTTTTTGACTCGTATGGGGATCCATTGAGTTGCGATGCTTCTTATCCACCTACTGAGAATGAATGGAAGTGCAGATACCCAAGTTCACGGTGAGAGGGACTGTCTGAATGAAGGAACGGAGAAGTGAGTTTGCGGTACTGTTGTTTAGCTGATTTCATATCTGAATGTGTGGACTAGTTCAGTTTGGGCATAGATGGATGAGAGATCTGCGTGATCTTCCCACAGACATGAACTTTTGCGGTACCCGTAGTAAAAACAGCTTTTTGATGGAGGCGGTGTTTTGACCTTTCCATCTTGGTGCGAGGTAGATGCGAGCGTCTCTGATGACTTAAGGTATAATCTGTTTGCTGTATAGGCGAGTACATAAATAACTTTCTACAGCTGTGGCTGATCATAGGCGTCGTATCTACAGCACGTTTACTACATCCATACATTCTACAGCTTCAACATGAGGCGCTTTCCTCTTCTTAAAAGACCCTCTGCTAGTTCACCGCTAGATGCAAGAATCAAATGAACATGTGCGATATTCTTGGATACCTCTGGTACTCCCTAGGAGCCTACCTTTACGTTCTCGAGCTCATCTATGCGTCATCTTGCCTTCCTCCATCTTTCCAAGACAGACTCCACACGCAGATCCAGGCGACGTCACCCTCACTGGCGATAGGCGGGATGGTGGTTTACATGTTCTACGCCCTCTTCGCTCTTGGCTACATACTACCATATTTGGCGGATATGCTTGCGAGGATGTTCCCGTCCTGTGATGACGAGGAGCCTTCGGGGACCTACATCACGCGACGTCTCCCAACGAACATCTTCAATATTATGCTCATCGTCAACGACGCCATCCTGCAGAGAGCAGATGGGTCTGCGATATTGGAGGGTGCGATCGCGAGGGTCGTTGATATCGCGAAATTGACGTTCCCGATCTTCCTGAAGGAAGTGGCACTATTCGGCGGGGTGCTGGGTTTGGCGGCTTTGTACAGGGCTTGGAGGGAGATGCATAGATCCGAAATCTGTTACACGGAACTTAGGCAGTATCATGTCGACTATTTTGTTGATCAGGAGGGAGATGAAGTGTGGGGGTACGAGGATGTCGATCTGGAACAACAGGCTGGAATGGATGAACTGGAGAAGGAAAACATATTTTGGGATCAGGAGCACGGGATGCTCATGGAGACAAAGAGTTGAAAAGTTTGGGGGTTCTGATTATGATATCCATCGAGGTTGATGCTGAACCATATTTTGTATATAGTTCACCGGCTACTAAATGTGCGCATTCCTTTCTGCATACTCTATCTGTATTCTGTTCCATCCTTAGATCTGTTATTCAATTGTCGCCCACATTACTCATTTTCACATCAAGTACCGGGTACGATTTCGTCACTGACTGCCAGCCCTATTGCAATGGACCGGATAGTTCCCTCACTGAATAGCGCTTGCCCCATGTACATGAGACATAAAGCCCCCGAGTGATTGATATAATGCTCTAGTCCCTCGTGGTTGTTCTGGATAGTGCCTCCGGGTCCGAATGCTGTGTTTCTATATACGATACATGATTCTCCACGGTCTTCTCAGCCTAGGACTACCGGGTACGTACTGCTTGCCCTGTTGCAACGGATTCGAATACTCCCGGATAGTTTCCTTACTGAATAGCGCTTGCCTCATGTACATGAGACCCAAAGCCCCCGAGTGATTGATATAATGCTCTAGTTCCTCCGTGGTTGTCAATTCTAGTCATTGCCTCCGGGTCCGAACGCTATGATTCTATATACGACACACGATTCCCCACGGATTTCACAACCTTTTACTACCAATGATTGCGCGTCGTGCACGTCGAAGAGCTCAAGCAACCATACGAGTCCCGCCACGGAATCTCATCCACACAAAACCACCCGAAGAATGTAACCCCCAAACCGCTTCACCACTGTTCTCCGCTATCCCTCCTGAAGTCCGGAATATCATCTTCCAACTCGCTCTATGCAGCTACCGGGACGAAGCCCGAGCATACCCTGGAAATGCCTACTACTTCCGCCCTGGATACGAGTACGGTCAGCGCATAGACACAGCGCTCCTTCTCACCTGTAGGCGGGTCTACAACGAAACTCGTCTTCTGCCCGTCATCTGCAACGAGCATGTGTTTTGGTGTTTTCGCGGCCCGCCTGGGTCAAGCGCCCAGCCCGCCAGATACTTCCGAAATATGGCGGAGGAGCAACAGGATGCCGTCGATTGCGTGCACTTTTTCACGCAGCTGTTTTGGTTAGAGGAGAATTTTGCTGGAGCCTGTGCCATCGCGGAGATGCGTCCGAGAAAGCTAAAAATTACGATCAGACATTCAGATTGGTGGTACTGGGAGCAAAATCAGCGGTTGGCGCTGAAGGGTGGGTGGACGGATAAGATTAGGCTGTTGAAGCGCCTGGAGGAATTTGAGATTGAGCTGGAGACGTTTGAGAGGGATAAGGACCAGGTTTGTGTTCGGTGATTCGGAAACCCGCTGGGATGATTGATGATTGTTGGCCTGGTAGATGCTTGCTATTGCTCAGAGAATACGCAACTGGAAGATCGATCTGTGGGATGGGCGTGTGTTGAGTACGGAAGGACGTCCCCTTGTTCATGGTCGCTGGAGGGGAACATCGATTTTTGAAGGAAATCTTGGGTACGACAAGGTAAGGAACGCTTGGGTCCATAGGTCCGGTGTTGTAGGTCCTGCGGTCCCTTTAGTGTATCATACGGTAACAGTCAAGTGGGTTGCAGTATGAAGATCGTTATGTTGTAGTTAGCGTGTTCACTGGGACCATATACGTAGACGAGACGAATATCGAGAGACTGAACACCAGATAATTATCGTCGTGCAGTATCGGCGCTATGGTGTAGTGGCAGCACATGGGATTCTGATGACACGTGGGTGGAGGCATTCCCATAACCCAGGTTCGAACCCTGGTAGTGCCTTTCCTTTTTTATGTCGAATTTTTTGGGCCAAGTCCCAAGAACTTAGAAATTTTTTTCACTTTTAACTTATTGCTTGATGTTGTATAGGCATTAGGCACTAATCCCGAGATTTAGAGAGGCCTGCAGACTATCGGAAGCAGCAGATACCGACTTTGAGCGCCATTTGCGTATTATGTACCACCGTAACTATTCACCATCCTATTGCTTTATTCCCTGACCTGCCACTGATGATGATAAAAGAGAAAGCAAAGCAAAGAGTATCAAAGTACCTTTCCGAAATCCGTTTTATGCTCAGGATAAGTATACTACTGTACTTTGGGGTGACTCGAGGATTCGCACCATTTCAGCAGGTCCAGGAATTCATCATCTTCAACCCATCATGGCCGCAGTATCCCACTGGGCTCAAGGTAGCTATGCTAGTACTGATAGATGCAAACCTGCAAAGAGGACCACCTACAGAGAATGAAGGCTCAGGCCCTCCTTATTATCATAACTTGCACAATACATTGCAGATTACCAGTGTCAAAAATTACAATGGTAGTCTACACCTACGATAAGGACGCAAGTCCCCGCATGAACATGTCACGATACACCGCGTTCCATTCATCTTTCAAGACTACGACTTCTCTTGGCCCCGGGTTGATATCCATAAGCTCAAATGGAGTCACTGACTTGATCTGCGCGTCTCCTCCAGTCCAGTGTGAGACTCGTTCCATGAACGCCTCAAGCGTTGGGAAGTTGTCCTTGAATCTGATGAGCTTGCACGTATCGAGGTTGAATATGTAATATTGGGTGACGGCTATATCGGTCCTGATCTTGTGCGTGACGAAGAATATTTCGCCATGAATGTCATATAATCCTTCCAGCGTGGGGTTGGACATGATACGCCCGTTGATGCAAGGATATAAGTGGTGGCGACCAGAGAAATTGCCAGTTACAGCTCCATCCGAAAGGAACATTGGAGCGGTAGTCTGTATTTAAGCGGCTGTTTGGTTGTGCGAAGTCGATTTTCCACTCGGTCTTTCAGGACAGACGTAAGTAGCGTAATCCATACGGCTATATAAGTTGCACACTTACGGCCATTTTGTGATGGGTCGGGATTCCGGAAGATGTCTTACCTCTTTTATCGTACTTTCTATCGGAGCTTAAATGTTCTCCGGCATCTCGGTATAGCAAGCACGGTAATTTGGATTCCTGACTACTACCTGTAACGTTGACAACCACCATGTCCGACACACAAGGTGAAGAGCGCGACGTCAAACAACGTCCAGAATCGAAACATGAAGAGGAGGAGGACGAGACCTCGCAGGCCCAACCTCGCTCCTCCTCAGTCAAACGAATTGCCTTCTTCATCTTTGTCGGATTCCTCTTCTGGCTGGCCTATACTGCGCGCCAGCGACATTTGGCGAGGAAGAGCAAAGTCGTGTATGCTACCAGGTCTGCCCATGTCCGTGCTTAAATCGTTTGCGTATTGACTTGTATAGGTACTCGGAGGAGTTCAAGTTCAGGCCGGCTGCGAGCCCTATCGTCACGGAGACATTGAAAGGCGGTGGGACGAGGATCAGAGGGGCAAATCCAACGGCTACCTCGAGGACTACGCCTACACCGACGCTGGAGAAGAAGAGGAGAAGGAGGAGGTCAAAGCGGAATGCGCAGGCGATGGCGAAGGCTGCGAAGAAGAAGTAAGGTACGTGGCGCTTTATTGCCTGATTCTTTTGCTCACCCTTCTCTTTTTGCAGATCTGTTCGGTGGTTGATACCATCTTGTCATTTTTCTATCCTTCCAAATAATATGAACATGCTCTTAGTGCATTTCACACGTCGACCAATTCTTCTCGACTTTCGTGCTCCATCAATCGCTATCACAACCTAGCCATATAATGCAGCGAACCAACTAGGCATTCGAGACAACTGTTGTTATGAGAGTGTTCAATTCAAGGACGTCTTCACAACCCGACTACGTGTCCGAATCACTGAACAAGCAGCGAGAATAGAAACTTCCCTGCGTTTTACCAGGATCTAGGCCACAGCAAACAGTCAATAATCCGCTCCTTCACAGCATCGAGAACTGCATTTTATGACGAAAGGGTGGCGGAAACGATTCAAGCTTTGCAGAACTTCGGGCGTAAGACGTGTCGTCGAGGCACACTAGCGTCGTCGAGGCGACGGGCAGTACATTTTTGCGCCCTGCGCGATGCGATCCTGGCTGATACGATCGGAAGTTCCCCCTTGCGTCTCCCCATCTATCGTTCCCTGCCTACGCCCTTCTTGTCCTCCAACAGCAGAAGCTTGACGCGTTCACCCTAGTGCAAACCGCGTTTTCCCTCCTGGGTTTGGATAATTAGGTAAATATCTCGTGGTCGGTGCCTATGACTGTCAGCACGCTTGCTGTCTTTTCGGTATTCGTCGCAGCACTGTCCTCGTGCTAATAGAGCTCGCCGACCATGAGCTAACCAACTTTTCGCCTCACCTCTGATGTGAAGAAGAACCACCCTGGTTTACTTGTCAGTGCTGTTGGGAGCATCACTGACGGACATATCGCGCAAGGTGTCCTTGATGGAGGTCAGGCGGATGTTGTGTTTGTCGGGAGGCTTTTCACGAAGAACCCTGGGCTGGTTTGGTCATTTGCCGATGATTTGGGCGTGACGATTAAAGCTTCCAATCAGGTCTAAGGTTTAGGGGGGAAAACGAAAGCGCGTGTTATCCATCAGACTGTATAGTCTCTTCTAGATTAGATAATGAGATCTTCGCCCACCATGCTTCTGCGGTTGATATCACCTTGTCATTCTGCTATCCTTTCAAATAATATGAACATGCTGTCAGCACATTCACGTGTCGGCCAATTGTTCTCGACTTTCGTGCTCCGCCAATCGCTATCACAACCTAGCTACCAGATGCGTCTCTTGGCTTCATATACCATCTTTGCGCTTGGATCTCTGTTCTGTGCCTCATAGAGTATGAATATGGTATCGCCGTATGTGTGCAGCAGGTGCAGATGGTAGCAGGATGATTACCTTTGCAAGCATCATCCTTTACGACGCCCCCTCCGAAGTTGGGGGTCATTGACGTCGAGATTCAAGGCAGCGCGGTCGGCGCACCGCTCGATAAGTTGCTGGCTGATACGAGCAGTTGACGCAGTGACACTCTTGTGCTTCTTGCGATTCTCTCCATCTCTCACGACCTGCACGCGGCCTTCTCGCCCTCCAACAGCATACCGTTTGTCTTCTTCTTGGTTGGTGGTCGGACTATGCCTATCAAAACGCAAAACGCTTGCAGTGTCTATGCGGCGTTCTTTGCACTGTTCCCGCTCCGGAGGCCTCCACGAGTTAGCACTGAGCCTCCGGCACCAACTTTTCGCCTCACCTCATAACTTGTCGTCCCGTCAAAAGGAATACAGCTGTGCGAACTGCGGTACCCGAAACAAGCGTCCCTAGGATAAATGGTACGTCGACGATGGTGAGCTCGTAAATGCATGGGAGAGTCTGATTACTAACGCTATTCGTAGCTTGAAATAGTTCGCCGTTTCTACCCGCCGTTCTACATTGTTTAACGCTTATCGATTGATTCAAGACTAGTCCACGACTTGGACACTGGACATCAGTAAATCTAGCTATGATATTTGTTCGAGCATTGAAAGTGGAATCTTGTTAATGATCTGGTGGATGCTAATGCTCAGACTTCGCGTTGGGCATCTTCCAAGATCGACCGGATATTCATGCCCGAAACGCCGCGCGTTGAAGCTCTGAGACAGGCTTCTCCGTTGTAAACGTGTAGGCAAAACTCTGCCTACCCGAGGAAACTAGTACTCACTGGGTAAGCGCCCTTTATATCGAACATCTTTCATAATATTCTTTCTACTAGGTTCATATCCGTTCATGCAACATGGTATAGATAGCTGTCTGGCGATGGACCCGGGCGGCGGGGTGACCACTGGAAAAAAGGAACTTGTGAACCGTGGGTCGGACGTGGTGCAGATTCTCCCTTTTTCCGCTCTAAAAGTTTGCACTTGGAGGAGATGATAACTCATCAGAATCTCATTCACCCCGTTTCAGCCCGGTTGTAGCACGTGAAGAACAATGCGCAACGAGTATATAAAGCAGCGACATCTGTCATTCTTCTCTATCTTCAACAATGGCTATCTCTGCTGCAGTCGTCCCTGCTCCTGGTGTCTCTTTCTTCACTCCTACTCAGAATCCTCCTTCTGGCACTGCTGTCGTACCTCAGCCAGATGGAAAGCCTATTCCAAGTCTCTTCCAGCCTATTACCATCCGTGGAGTGTCTTTTCAGAACAGAATCTTTGTGCGTCCTTGCCCGTTTAATGGTGTTTCTATTCACTAATCGAAGGCTAATTCAAACAGCTCTCTCCTTTGTGCCAATACTCGTGCGACGGCAGTGGTATGGCGACCCCGTGGCATACCGGGCATCGTTCGTTCTTCTACTCGAGGGTTCAATGGTCCTCTACTAACCAACTTCCTCGTAGTTGGAGGTATCTTCACGCGCGGCCCAGGTCTGACTTTTGTGGAGGCTACAGCCGTGGTTCCGGAAGGGCGCATCACCCCGAACGACCTCGGGATCTGGTCTGACGACCACATTGCGCCCCTCGCTGCGATCGTCGAATACGCCCATTCTCAGAGCCAGAAGATCGCCATCCAGATTGCTCATGCTGGTCGTAAAGCCTCGACCACTGCACCTTGGATTGACCACCAGAATCTGGCAGGGATGGAAGCGGGGGGATGGCCTGATGATGTGGTGGCGGCTTCGCCTATTGTGTTTGCGGACAGCTACGCGACACCGAAGGAGTTGAGCAAAGAGGACCTGAAAAGCCTCTTGGAGTCGTTCAAACTGGCTGCGCAGAGATCTGTGAAAGCTGGGTTTGATGTCATCGAAGTTCATGGCGCGCATGGGTATCTTCTGTGCGGATTCTTATCCCCCACGAGTAACAAGCGCTCTGACGAGTACGGCGGGAGCTTTGAAAACCGGATTCGCTTCCCGTTGGAGGTTGTTGACGCAGTACGGAGTGTTATTCCGGAATCAATGCCTCTTTTCTTCAGGTAGGAAATAGGAGCTCCCATTTACCTCGGTCACTGACTGACTTTGATTAGAATCTCAGGATCCGAGTGTTTGGAGAAGTCTCTACCAGACATTCCTTCATGGCGCTCCGAGGATACTGTTCGTTTTGCTCCCATCCTCGCTCAGCACGGGGTCGATTTGCTCGACGTATCTGCTGGTGGTAACAACATCAAGCAGACGTTCACTTCTGGACCTGCATATCAAGCGCATCTTGCACATGACGTGAAGAAGAGCAACCCTGGTTTACTTGTCAGTGCTGTTGGGCGCATCAATGACGGACATATCGCGCAAAACGTCCTTGACAACGGCCAGGCAGATGTTGTATTTGTAGGAAGGCATTTCACGAAGAACCCCGGCCTGGTTTGGGCATTTGCGGATGATTTGGGCGTGAGGATTAATGTCGCTAATCAATTATGGGGTCTCGGGGGGAAGTTGAAGAAGCGTGTCATTCACCAGACTATAGATAGCTAAATTTTTAGATCCTCGCTCACCAACCATCGGCGCTTGATATCCTTACAAATCGTATAGACCTACTGACAATGAAATATCCACGCATCGATGCTTGTAGCACTCCATAACAATCGTTCTGATCTGACTCTTATGATAACGCAACCTGTTTTCATGCGGCTTGAGGCAGAGGGTTCGAGTTCGAGTTTGAGTGTTCTGCATCCCTGCCAAACAAGAAGCGAGGATGGTATTTTTGAGTGTCTTTCCAGGACCTAGGTCCTGGTAAGCAGAGATTAAATCCCTGCTTCGCAATATCGGCAACCTCGTTAGATATGATGAAAGCAAGATGAAAAGGTGGCCGAAGCGATTTGAGTTTTTCCGAGTCTCGTTCAAGTCGGTTGAACGCAGTTACGAAGCGAATGATCGCAATGATGCAAAGTTCCTGCTATGGCTGGCTCAAAATACCTCAAATAATGTTTTTGAATGATTCTATCTAGCTGGTCTCTCGCCTCTGTCCTGGTCTACCTGCGGGAAGACGGTCGCCAACCATTATGAGCGTGAGAACTGTCTAGAGAGGTTACGTCATCGACCAAAATTAGTCTCCGACTCGTTTTTCGCAACGCGGCAGTGGCTACACCACCACCACCACAAACGTTACACATGCTAGTTTCAAAGATCTTTTCTGCTTACATCTTTTGCGGCCCTCATTAATCATTGATCGAATAGGGTCCGGCTACGGCTCGAACTCCAGTAGATATTCCACCAATATCTTTGTGAAACATTGGATTGAAGTCGGGGTGATGGCCCGGTGATTGGCTGCTAGGTACCGTAGGTGCTCTACTCCACCTCACGGATCATTTGGAGCATTTTCCAGGTTCTTGTGCGGTGGAAAGACTGACCGGAATCCCAATCCGATGCACCACACGGTAATTGTTTCCAGCAAGACAGGCGTCCGGTCGTCGCCTATCCAGGTGCAGAGGCAAAAACTGCCTATCTAGGGAAGATGATGCTCACTGGTAAGTGCCTCTTATGGAACGTAACCTCTGCGATGATGCGATTAAACGTAAGTAAGCTCATATTCGTTCACGTAATATTATATGGGCAGCCGTTTCTAAACGGAATTCTGGATTCTGGAAGAAAGGGAACTCGTCGGCCGCGCGCAGTCTCTCCTTTTTTCCGCTCTGAACCGGAGGTCGAGAACGACGTGCACCGAATATATAAAGCAGCGCTATCGACTTTTCTTCTCTATCTTCAACAATGGCTATCTCTGCTGCAGTCGTCCCTGCTCCTGGTGTCTCTTTCTTCACTCCTGCCCAGAATCCTCCTTCTGGCACTGCTGTCGTACCTCAGCCAGATGGAAAGCCTATTCCAAGTCTCTTCCAGCCTATTACCATCCGTGGAGTGTCTTTTCAGAACAGAATTTTTGTGCGTCCACGCCCATTCGATTGACTCTCAAGTCCATTAATCGAAAACCGATTCATACAGCTCTCGCCTTTGTGCCAATATTCATGTGAAGGTGGTATGGCGACCCCTTGGCACACCGCCCATCGTTCGTACTTCTATTCAAAGTATCGATTGTTTTTCAACTGATTAACTTCGTCCCAGTTGGAGGTATCTTCACGCGCGGCCCGGGTCTAACTGTCATGGAAGCAGCGGCAGTCGTCCCGGAAGGGCGCATCACCCCGAACGACCTCGGGATCTGGTCCGACGACCACATCGCGCCTCTCGCTGCGATCGTCGAGCTTGCGCATTCTCAGAACCAGAAGATCGCTATCCAGCTCAGTCATGCTGGTCGTAAAGCTTCGACGACCGCTCCTTGGATTGAGAACGAAAATCTTGCAGGTGTGGAAGTGGGGGGATGGCCTGATGATGTGGTTTCGGCTTCGCCCATTGCGTTTGGTGACAGCTATGCGACGCCGAAGGAGTTGAGCAAGGAAGACCTGAAAGCTCTTGTGGAGTCGTACAAGTTGGCTGCGCAGAGAGCCGTGAAGGCTGGGTTTGATGTCCTTGAAGTTCACGGCGCGCATGGGTATCTGCTGTGCGGATTCTTATCCCCCACAAGTAACAAGCGCACGGACGAGTATGGCGGGAGCTTCGAGAACCGGATTAGATTCTCATTGGAGGTTGTTGACGCGGTTAGAAGCGTCATTCCGGAATCGATGCCTCTGTTCTTCAGGTAAGGACTCCCAGCTTGACCAAGTCTGCGGCTAACTTCAACTAGAATCTCTGGATCTGAATGTTTGGAAAAGTCTCTGCCAGATATCCCTTCCTGGCGTTCCGAGGATACCGTTCGTCTTGCCCCGATCCTTGCTCAGCACGGGATCGATTTGCTCGACGTATCTGCTGGTGGTAACAATATCAAGCAAACTTTCACCTCTGGACCGGCATATCAAGCTCATCTCGCACACGACGTGAAGAAGAGCAATCCTGGGTTACTTGTCAGCGCTGTTGGACGCATCACTGACGGACATATCGGACAAGGTGTACTTGATAGAGGTCAGGCAGATGTCGTTTTTGTTGGGAGACACTTCACGAAGAATCCGGGTTTGGTATGGTCATTTGCTGATGATTTGGGCGTGATGATTGAAGTTGCTAATCAATTCTGGGGTCTCGGGGGGAAGACGAGGAAGCGTGTCATCCACCAGACTGTATAATCTCGTAGATTGAATTTGATAGACATTGTCACCTTGCTTGACATCTCAGCTGGGTCCAGCTGCCAGGGTATGGAGAACATACCTCGAGGAACGTGCTAGGTTTGATGCTGAGATGGCAGAAGGGTGGAGGGGATTGCTGGTTGTTGTGAGTGCGATATTCCAATGACATCGTTGCCTTATTCATCAATCATATAGGCTGATCTATTCTCTGCCGTCATCACTACGTTTGTTGCTCAAACGTCGCAGAGGGAGCCTTCAAGGTTAGGTCAGCGCGTCGGTCCTGTTCGAGCACATCGACATACAGCATGCAGCGGGTTCTGCTGCCAACGATGTTCCTCGGTCAAGCCTCACTCCCTTCTCTGATTTTGGCCCCACATTGTTGGGTCCATTAGTGAATGGGCTATTTTTCAAAACGAAAAGGTCTTAAAGAGTGTATTCAAAAATGGGTCAGAGCATCAAATGAACTTCGGTTATCTGTTAATCTAATGACTTCGGTTTATCATCTATAAAGCTCTTCCCGCCAATGTATATCAAATCATTAAGCAAAGGGATAGTCAATAAAGCCAACGCCACTGGTATCTCCGGAAACATAAAATGTAGAGCCATCATACTTCGTGAGTGGAATATTCTTCTCCAATCTCACGGGAAGGCCAGGCTAATAAAATAAAATAAGCCCGCCAGTGCCATCATTCTTAATAAATGAAAGAAACACCTACGTTGGAGATATACCACCTGCCGTAAGCAATAAGATCGCCTTTCTCATCGGCGGTCATGATCCCTGACTCTCTCGTATATCCACCAGCAGAAATGAATGGCTTAGGCGCCCAAATCTTTCTAATAAAATCGTTAGTTTCGAACTCCTTGATATCCTCTGGGGCCACATCGGCGGTTCCGTCCACACGGGTCTCGACAACATGGATGTACGCAAGGTCAGGATACAACTCCTTTACCCGTGAGACCAAATGCGAAAAATTTGGTATGGGATCCTCCATTCGCATCCCTACGAGACAGAACCCATCAACGTCCGACGCCATCATGACGAATAATTAACACACCTACACCCCGATTCCACGGACTAAGCCTGAGCCCCACCCTATCCGCCCCCACCACCTCCGCCACCCGCCCAATAACCTCTAACGGGAACCTCACTCGGTTCTCCAAACTCCCACCATATTCGTCATCCCGGACATTACTCACGCTCTGTATGAACTCGTCCACAAGGAACCCATGCGCACCATGAATCTCGACACCGTCGAATCCAGCCTTGTGCACTGCATTCGCCGCGGCAATACCGAAGAAGTCTATGTGTTCTTTGATCTCCTCTTTTGATATCGCTCGAGGGACGGGCGCGCCCGGCGCAGGCAGTAGAGCAGAGGCTCCAACATGGGGGAACGTGGGATCGCGAGATTTGAGGTTATCCGGAAGGGCCTGGCGGCCCACAGCACCCAATTGCATCTAAATGTAGCTTCCCTGTGCGTGCACGCCGTCGACGATCTACATAACATAATTGTGAGGAAAGATAACACATGCTGTAAAACACGCAGCTACTTACCTCTTTCCAGGCGGCGATCTGCTCGCCAGTCACAATCTCTGGTACACTAGGATACCCAGAGGCTTTGGGTGCGATGATTGTGCCCTCGGTAACGAGGAGGGTGCCAGGGATCTTGGCGCGTTGGGCATAGTAATCCTTCACTACGGGTAGTAAGGGGACAAGGGTCGTTGGATTTACGCGAAGTCGCGTCAAAGGAGCCAGGACGACTCGGTGAGAGAGAGAGAGAGAGACGTCCAACAGTGATAGGCTGGAATAGTTTACTTGTAGACATCGTGGTCTCTTGTATGATGAAGAAACCTGGCGAGTGCTCAGAGAACTTTTATACTACAGCATGAATCCTTGGCGACAATGCCAAGTCGTTCAAAAGACATCGATGCGCGTGTTCCCTCCGGATACTGATGATTCATGGGGGAGTGGTAAAGGTATTTACCGACGCATTCGGTAAACGCGCAGATGAAGAGTGCGGAGAATCAGTCAGTGATCCTAGATAGGTAATTGTACTAAGCAAACGCTGAATCAGCGAGTTCCGATATCCAAGGGTAATACCATGCATTACGCGTACCTGAAAAGAGGCGATCTAGGCTTAGAAACTGTAGATGAAAGTGTGGAGGTCCTCAGACCGGGCCGATAGTCCCACATTTCCATGTCGTGCGCAATCGCGGGCTGTAATGACGAACATATCGTGGGTTTGCGCATTTATTCAGAACAGCAATCAACTCTTCTTCCACAGATGGAGAAACAGCCATAAAGGGTGCGAGGAAAAGCGGATTTAGTAAGTGGACATCGGCGCGAGGCGCGGAGGCTAGAGAGCGTAATGCGTAGATAGCACAAAGTTAGCGAAAACACTGTTTTTGTCTCTTGTACTTACGCGTCGCAACGGAACTTCAACCTGCAGACCGTTTCAATGTCTCCCACACGTTACAAGCGCACGGATGAGTATGATGGTTGATGATGGTAGCTTCGAGTACCGGGTTCGATTCTCATCGAAGGCCGTTGATGCGATTAGGAGCACCATTCTGATCCTTCCTTACCGTAATCGAAGTTATCTTATCTGGATTTTATCAAGTATCTCGTATTCTTTATCTTGTCTTTCTCTTCGCGCCACGACTCTTGTCTGGTATACAATAGGATTAAGTTTTGACTGACTTTTATCAAGAGCTAGAACTCGTCCGAAACGAGAAGTTGAATTAATTGGCTATCGCTCCCACAGCTTGGGGAAAATGTCAGATGGTAGCTAGTACTGCAAGTCAATTGCATTTGGACTGCGTATTCGCCCCGGGCCGAACTTCCGAAAGTTTTCTTTCTCTTTTCAAGACCGCTACTCGACAACTCCAACGGCGATGGAGATGACAAATCTGCAAGGCCGTTAGCTGCTGCATCTCTTATTCCGGAATCTTTGGTCCCTTTGCCAGGTCATTCGCGACGACGAGACTTCACCAGCACTACCCCATTCATCCCCGGTCAAAGGAGTCGCCCTCCTCACCATCGGGTGTTTCCTCTGGCCTGCATCCACCGGGTGCCAACGACACTTGGCAGGCAGGGCAAGGTCGTGTGTGCTACCAGGTCTGCCTAGGTCTGTGCCCAGTTGTTCTCTCACTCATTTTTGTAGATATTAGGGTCGATTGCGGAGACGTCATTGAAAGGCGGATGAGGATTAGAAGGGTGAACGTCATGCCTACACGTTGACATCAATACTGGGCAAAAAGAGGAGAAATGCGAAGCGAAGGCGGCGAAAAAGTAGCCTTGGAGAGTGTGCGAATTTTCTCTTCCTTGGTTCACCCCGCTCCCGCTCACCGTTTTCTCTTTGTAGATGTTTTCGGCAGTTCATACCATCTTGCTAATCTGAATATGGCGACAACATCCTCTTCATTCGCGTCAACCTCAACCAACTCTTCTGTACCTTTGTCGCGCTCCATCAATCACTATCACAGTATAATCATCATGATGCAGCTAACACTGAAAACTCATCCTTTCCGACATTCACAACTGCGCTAGCTGTGACTAAAGGGTGGCGGAAATGATTCTTCCCTCACCAAAGCTCCTCTGGCCAGCGCCGCAATATTGAACAATATTCCCCTGTTATCATACGGAATTCCACAGCTGTCCTCAGCCTACGTGCTCAGTCAAATACAGTTACAGTGCTTCAGTGTATCGCGTATCAGCACGAGTTCGGTTGCCCGTTCGATTTGCCAACTTCAATACTTCCAAAAAGATTAGCTGGGTTGCCATGGCGTACCTTCCTACTCTCTCACCAGCTTCCAGTGCGATATTTTCCTTTCTCATCTGCCCCATCCAAACTGAATTCTCACTTAGACCGCTGTACAGGTACCAGCGTGGGTCTAGGGAACGTGAATAATTCACGAACTCCTCAACCATGTCCGGTATGCTTTGAATTTCCATTTGGCGGTGTTATTACTTAAGTGTATCGAGACAGATCATGTTGAAATTATCCCACCCGAAAGAAATATCAGGCGATACCACGATATAAGCAAGTATGACAACGATCGACGAGGACAAAAATAGGATGTGGAACGGCGTCGAAAGAACCAAAAATCATAGCTCGCGGCTGCTCGTGAGGGTAGCTGGAGTAGAGACGATATCTAGTTGGAGTCCGAGATTCAAGGTGGCCACCATAACCAATCACTGATGCTAAGATCCACTCCTGTAAGTTTGAAATGCATGGAAAAAGTAAAAGAACTGACATCGGCAGCGGACAGACTGTATCAATACATGAGGGAGGTGAGAATGGAAAAGTGGGGCGTCTATCAGAAGTTATGGATTCGACGAAAGTACATTTCGAGAAAATTGAAAGCGCAATTAGTCATCCAACCTGAGTAAGCCGTTTTTTTTCGAACGCAACGACGGGAGTTGTGTATCTCTGACTACTAAAGTTTTAGACTACTTTTTCAAGCGCTGTCTCGCATCTTTCACCACTCATCGATCGAAATTGGCTGGTCCACGACTTGGATTTCAATATTTTTGTGAAGAACTTGGACTATTTTGACGACCTGGGGGCTTGCGGCTGGATGTAGTACTCAACTACGTCTCGGACTTCACACTAAGCCGTTTCCAGAAGGTTGCGCGGCAGAAATACGAACGGGAAAAACCATATCCGAAACGTCACACAATCATTGTCAGCGCGCCGTAGGTTTGAATAGATCTTCCCAGAGGGACTAGTACTAGTAAGCACCCTTTTTATTGTGAGGATAATTTTTAAAATAATGCTACTAACGTAGATTCATATTCGTTGTATGGGTAGCTAGCTTGTCTCGTAAGTCGGCAGCTTGGTGCCCACTAGGAAAAGAACTTTTTGGAGCCACGGCTCATGGCGCAATATTCCCTATTTTCCGCACTGAGAGCTATGCTATCCCATCAAATTATTACTCATTGTATTGTTGCACCTGCTCCTTGGGAGGGCCACCCGGGGATACCATTATAATGGGTCCAGTTCGAGAACGATGCGCAACGAATATATAAAGTAGCGACATCTGCTATTCTTCTTCTCAATCTTCAACAATGGCTATCCCTACTGCGATGGTCGCTGCTAGTGGTGTCACTTTCTTCACTCCCGCCCAGAACCCTCCTGCCGGTACCGCTGTCGTACCTCAGCCGGACGGCAAGCTTATTCCAAGTCTCTTCCAACCGATCACCATCCGTGGAGTGACATTTCAGAACAGAGTTTTTGTGCGTTGATGTCCGTTTGATTGAATTGCCATTTGCTAACCGAGGAATAGTTCAAACAGCTCTCCCCCCTGTGCCAATGCTCATCTGAGAAGGGTATGGCGACCCCGTGGCATGCCGCTCATCGTTAGTCCTTCGATTTTAGGGTTCAATGGTCCTCTACTAACCAACTTCCTCGTAGTTGGAGGTATCTTCATGCGCGGCCCAGGCCTATCTGTCGTGGAGGTAGCTGCCGTCGTCCCGGAAGGGCGCATCACCCCAAACGACCTCGGGATCTGGTCCGACGATCACATTGCTCCCCTTGCTGCGATCGTTGAGTTTGCGCATTCTCAGAACCAGAAGATCGCCATCCAGATAGGCCATGCTGGTCGTAAAGCCTCAGTTAACGCGCCTTGGATCGAGGGTCAAAATCTTGCAGATGAGGATGTTGGAGGATGGCCTGATGATGTGGTGGCGGCTTCGCCTATTGCGTTCGCGGATAGCTACGCGACGCCGAAGGAGTTGAGTAAGGAGGGCCTGGAAGGCCTTGTGGAGTCGTTCAAGTTGGCTGCGCAGAGAGCCGTGAAGGCTGGGTTTGATGTCATTGAGGTTCACGGCGCGCATGGGTATTTGTTATGCGGATTCTTGTCTCCCACGAGTAACAAGCGCACAGATGAATATGGTGGGAGCTTCGAGAACCGGATTAGGTTCCCGTTGGAAGTTGTTGATGCGGTACGGAGTGTTATTCCGGAATCAATGCCCCTGTTCTTCAGGTAAGGACTACGACCTCTCTCATTCACCTCGGTCATTGATCATCCTTGAATAGAATCTCAGGATCCGAGTGCCTGGAAAAGTCTCTACCAGACATCCCTTCCTGGCGCTCTGAGGATACTGTTCGTTTTGCTCCCATTCTTGCTCAGCACGGGGTCGATTTGCTCGATGTATCTGCTGGTGGCAACAACATTAAACAGACTTTCACTTCTGGACCTGCATACCAAGCGCATCTCGCCCATGACGTGAAGAAGACAAACCCTGGTTTACTTGTCAGCGCCGTTGGACGTATCACCGACGGGCACATTGCGCAAAATGTCCTTGATGGAGGTCAGGCAGATGTTGTATTTGTCGGGAGGCTTTTCACGAAGAACCCTGGGCTGGTTTGGTCATTTGCTGATGATTTGGGTGTGACGATTAAAGTCGCCAATCAGATTTGGGGTCTCGGAGGGCTGACAAGAAAGCGCGTCATCCATCAGACTGTATAATCTCGAAATGTGAATCTGATAAACTTGGTTGCACACACGGATACAGGAACTGATATTGTAGGTCGGAGTGAGTGTCTTGAAAACTTGGGGGAAGTTATGGTCGACATACCCATTATGATATTTCGAACTTCACTTGTCCTGAGAGAAAACTAGGAAACCGCTGAGGTGGATCTTCAAGAGCTACTCCGGTCCGGACTGCCGAAAGTACTGCCTAATATGTAACACGTTATCAATTTCAACATCGTATCGCCATCTCTCCCCATGACATTTGCTTACCTTCTCTCCCTCCTCCCACGATGACCGTCGAGGACATCGACGAGACGAGGCCGTTGCTCTCTAACATCAAATACGATGTGGAAGATAAATCTGCTAGGGCGTTAGCTGCTGTGGTATGTTGACTATCAATGATTTCGGAATCATTTTTTGATTGCACCGCCAGGTTATTCCTATGTCAGTCGGAGTATTTCTCGCAGCCATGGACGGGACAATCGTCGTTTCTTGTATATCTGACCCTCTTCTCTACCAATATGCCATTCTAACGATCACATAGCATATGCGGCCATCGGGAGCGAGCTGGAACAGCTTCAAAAGACGAGTTGGATCGCCACCGGATACATGCTCACTCTCACTAGCTTCCAGTACGTTATTTCGATCAGCAATTATCACTCTCTTCAACGCACCTGCACAGACCGCTATATGGCAAGCTCAGCGACATATTCGGGCGCAAAACCTGTCTACTGAGCGCGTATTGCATCTTCGCTCTCGGCAGTCTTTTGTGTGGAATCTCGCAGAGCATGAACGCACTAATCGCGTCACGTGCTCTGGCAGGTGTCGGTGGTGGAGGAATGTCCACGGTTGTGAGCATTATCATGTCGGATATCGTGCCGCTACGCAATCGGGGGACTTGGCAGGGGCTTATCAATATCGTCTTTGCGACAGGGAGCGCAATCGGCGCACCTCTTGGAGGGATACTGGCTGATTCGATTGGTTGGCGCTGGGCATTCCTTTTACAAGTCCCTATCGCGCTCATTGCTATCATTTCTGTCTCCCTGGCTTTAAGAATACCTTTACCTTCCGATGATTCGAGCTTGAAAAGCAAGATTCGTCGTGTTGATTTCCTTGGATCGTTCACTCTCATCCTGACGGTGTTCCTCCTCCTCCTTGGTCTCGATAACGGAGGAAACGTCTCCTGGTCGGCACCGCTCACCATCAGCACCCTTGCCGGCTCTGCATTGTTCTCTATTCTGTTCGCCATCACAGAGCACACTGCACGCGAGCCCCTTGCACCAGCACGAATCATCCTCTCCCGTGCGCTCACCCCATCGTACCTCGTTAACTTCTTCGGAGTGGCAGCGAGTATGTGTATGTTATTCCACCTCTCGTTGTACTTGCAGGCTGTGTGCGGGTTCTCGGCGAGCCGGGTAGGGGCATGGTTCATCCCGAGCGTCATAGGTGGTGTAGCAGGGAGTCTGATTGGTGGCCTGATTATGCAGGCGACGGGGAAGTTTTATTGGGTTACGGTGGCAGGATACCTTTTACTCCTTGCTGGGGCCGTGCTCGTCGTGCTCATGAGCGGGGTGGTGGTGAGCTCTTTAGCGGGCTTGGTGGTGGGTCTAGTGATAGCAAGCATAGGCAACGGTACGTGTTTCTATCATTTTTGCTGTCCAGTTTGTTCATATAATTTGTCAGGGGGTGGTATAACAACTTCGCTCATCTCTCTCATTGCAAATGCGGGACATGCAGATCAGGCAGTCGCTACAGCAGGTAAACAAGCTGTTTGATATTCGGCACGCCGTGCTAACCTTAGATCACATACAGTATCCTATCTATTCCGTTCCCTCGGTTCTGTTGTAGGTCTCTCAGTCGGGAGTACGCTGGTCCAAGGAACACTGCGTGCTGTGCTCAAGCGGGAACTGGTCGAGGAAGATGTCGATGTCGATGAACTTGTCCGCCAAGTGAGGCATTCCCTTGACAACATCGCCACGCTTCCGCGAAGTCTTCGTGTGATTGTGAGGCATGCGTACGGGGAGGCGGTACATGTTGTGTTTTGGTTTACTGTGGCCCTCGCAGGGGTAGCGGTGGTAGCGGCGATTTTCATTAAGGAAACGCCGTTGGCGCCAAAGGTGCAGAGCGATGAAAGGGAAGAGTGATTATATGAATTAAATGAATTCATGAATAGATTATATAGTATTTGTTGTAAGTCATGATCCTATCAGTTTGCTCGTTGAAGTTAAGCGCTAAGTTCAAACCTCAGCGTCATGATTTTCGGACTACTTACTAAGTTGTTGATCGATGATCCTCAAAATTGATATCGGCATGGGTTATGCAATTGTTATACTACTCTGCTATAGGCTCGCAAGGCACTAATCATTGATCAGGTGCACAGGTGCATGCTGTCGAGCCGTCAAACAAGCGCCGATATATATATAGCTAGAGCACCGTCTGTTCTCCACGTTCTCTACAGCTTCATGGCCACCCAACGCGCTCAAGACATCTACATCCCACTCATTTTCCCCAAGGGTCACGGATATCCGCTGTGGCTTCCGGACCCTCATTCGAATCTTCCACCAGCCTATCTAAGCCGTGGAACACAAATCGGCGATCTTGGATACCTTGCCGATGACGGAGGATTCGCGTACCTCTTCAATGTATGCAAGGATGCCAGCGATCCTGTCAACTTGAACAGAGTCCCTCCCGACTTCATGCCACTGACAGGTATTCCGGATCCTGGTGTACGAGAACGCTTAGAGATGCACGATAAGAACTCGGCGATTACTACTGCTGCTGTGGAACAGAAGTCGATTGAACTTGATGTATCAGCCCAAGGCCCGTACGTCTTCTTCCATATTCTCGGCCACTTTCTCTCCTTCTAACATGACGCAGCACTGTCCCTACTGCCTTTGGCGCTGGTGGTGGTTTTGAGTTCACGAGTTCGAGTTCGCAAGGCGCCGTCCTTGTCCTTCCAGATGGCGGAGAACGCTACGATTCTGAATATTCTGGCTTGTTCGAAGAATACGCAATCGCCAATGCCCATAGTTGGTACAAATATCTCAATGGACCGGGACAGCGTAGGCAGATCCGCAATGGTATGCTATACCTTGTGACTGGATGCGACAAGTGTCATTCCTGGGGTAACGCGTGCTATTCACATCCCACTCAGTCGCGCTGCGCATCGCTAAAATTTTTAGCCACTGGTGTTGCAGAAGTCAGCGGAACATTATGCTACAGATGGGAAGTACAATCTGGTGTTCATAAAAGGACCCACCATCGCGATGTGGCACCAGGAGTCATGGCGAACCAGACCATCTTCTTGCGTGGATATTCAATCTCGGTCCGTGTACCGTCAGCTTTACGGACGTTATTAGGTGTCCATACGGTGGATACTTTTAAGAGTGACATGTCCAGCTCCAAACCACCGTCGTTCGGGGCTAAGGCTCCTTATGCTGCAGAGCAAAGTAAAATGGCCCGTATCACGGGGACAAGCGACTTGAAACTTACCAAGGTAGGGCAGGCTGTTTCTCCTGTTGTTATAGACTATACATGGTTAATGTTCAATCACAGCGGTCGGCAGACGGTCCTCCGTTGGATGATGACGACTTCGAAAGGGAGTATTTGGGCAAGCTGGTAATCTTCGATAGTGTCAAGTCAGAAGCCGATGAAACGACGATAGACACTCCCTACGGCAATACAACTAGGCAGGCCGACACCTCCCTTAAGCAAGTCCCCGGTCGGGGCAAGGTAATTCTCAGCGCTTCGATGCGGTAAAAATGTAATGTATCCAACTAGATCGTCAATCCGTCGGCCTTGATAAATTATTATATACTGGATAATGTAAGCTGATCTCTTTCATAGCAGTGTGTACCCCAGCTTACCTTTCTTGTTCCCAGTACGATGGTGCCAATGTGGCGCTCACTCATGATAGGTACCCGTGGACGGGGACGATAAATGATGATGTATGTCGACGTTCTTTTGACAGATCTTTTGGCCCCATTAACAGTCTCTCTAGGTTCACAAGCCACTTGATGGCGTGAAGCTTGCGAACTATGCCATCGAAAATGACCTGATCTTCATTAACAGAAGTGAAGTGTCTTCCATTAGAATCGTGCTCGAGTCGTAACCGTCTTTTCTAGGCTCGGGAGCAAATGACGCATGGGTAGCAAAAGAAGGCACGCTCAGCTCTTTGGCTCGGTAAGGGCTTAGGATTTCAAACCATAATGTTTAAAGCTGATTGAAACCGCTCAATGCGTAGTCCCAAATACAACATCTTCGCTCTGATTATTGGAGTAGACAAATACGAATCCCTGGAATACGAGAATCTAAATGGTGTCTCCAGTGACGCCGATAGATTCGAAGCATATCTCCTCGAGGACCTGCAAACTCCGAAAGCAAATATCATCAGCTTTCGTGACGGACAGGCGACAAGGTCGGCTATCATCGACGAGTTGACAAAGATGAAGTACAATCCAAATATACAACCAGATACGACAGCAATCATTATATATTTTGCGGGGTACGGGGCTACAACAATCAAGCCAGTCGAATGGATAGATTGGGAAACTCCTTACAATCAAATCGGGATGCTTTGTCCCACCGATATTGGCATCCTAGATAAAAACGGCAATGTCATCAATGGTATCCCAGACAGGACTATCAACCAACTTCTTCTGGAATTGTCATCCGTGAAAGGCAATAACATTGTATGTTGCATGCTTTTTATCGTGTATGGCATGGGGTAAACCTCTCTTTCAGACATTAATACTGGATTGTTCTCATATTAACTGTTCAAGTGATCAACAAAAACCTGCTGATATGCCAACAGCCGAATCCTCACAATTGGACTCGCATATTCTCTTGACAACTTACAATCGTTTCGGGCGGTTTGCCTACAAATTGAGAGGGGAGGGACTTTTCACTCATGCATTGCTCAAGGTCTTGAGGGAACGGTCAATAAATGAACTGACATACAAATCATTGGCCCAGTGTCTCTATATTTCAATAGAGTGAGTAACAATTTTTTAACCTGCATATTTCCAAACTAAAGAACTTATATGGATAGCCAGACACCACTTTTGGAAGGGAAGCATAGTAATCGACGCCTGCTTCACTCGGGCGATACTGCCGATAGTTGTCGGATCCTCTGTCATCATGAAAAGGGCCAGCCCTATTTTTCTCTACTTGCTGGATCCCTTCATGGCATTAGGGCTGGTTCTATTTTCAAGATATACAGAACAGATCTATCTGGCGGGAGGCGGAGGCTCACAGTTGCGACTGCGGAGAAAGTGGAGGCTTTTGTCTCCTTCCTGAAGCCTGCAGACCAATCTATCCTCACCACATATATGAACTATCGTGTCTGGTATGCGCAATTTGTGAGAGTTTCTGCTCCTGGGTTCACCATCTATTGTAACGACTCGAACTTCCTGGCCCGGATTCTTGACGAGGAAGTTGGGTTGAAGCTCGTAGACCCTCCTAGTCCTGTTGATGATCTGCAACAGGCGGATCTCTGCTTGACGGTAGATGGCAACAGTGTTCTTTTTGACCGAGGGAACAGGACTAGTATTGTCAGTCCGAGCATGGGCTTACCCTCGAGGCTCTCTTATATCTCGACTCTCGATGCTGTTGCCCAAATTCGAAACATCGTCAAGTACTATGCATGTTTCACCTCCCGAATCATGATGTCAAGTCGTCTTCCTATATCCAGGCTCGTCTCCATCGAAGTGAAAAAGATGTTGGGTTCCCAACCTATTGGCAACAATCTGCTACCTGATGCGACAGAAAAACCTATCAAACCTATCAAACATGTCTCAAATTCATCCTTTTCCTACAGGTGTACTGTTTATAATACATCTGACATCAATCTATACGTCTCTCTCTGTCACTTCGACACTTCCACCCTAGCAATAGGTGTGTTTACGTTCTATGCTCTTGGTTTCAGCTGATCTTTTGGTTGGATGTCCACTAGCCATGCCTCCTGTCACCCGTTTGATGCCCCGGGAAACAGCTAGACTCGGCTTCCCCGACTCATTGGGCCAAATAAACCCAGAGGTCCAGAACGTGAATGTTCACTTCTTCAAATTGTTTGTAGTCGAAAGGTATATCGACACAGACGGCTTCGATCAGCCATCCCCGTTTTCTGGGGTGCCCGTTGAACATAAGGCTGGGGTCCCACTTATTAGTAATTCTGAAGAATGGGCCTCAATGACAATTCCTATCGTAGTGAGACGCCCAAAGCCTTGATCTATCAGATTCTACCCGGAAACTGTCGTCATACCTAGACGAGGTACGATCTCGTGTTTTAGTGTCTTAATTGGTTTTAACCGCGATTTACTGTAGAAACTTGGGAAGGGGATATTTCCAATCAAGCACGGAAAACATGTGCGGTAGCGTCAATTAAAAAGAACGTAAATAAGTAACTAGCAGCAGCATAACGGAATAAAAAATCGTACTTGATGAGCCAATGAAAGCGTTAGGGTTCCTCATTAGAACTCATCAGGTAGGAATGGTCCGTGTGCAAGCGAGACACCTGAATATCCGAGCCGAGTGCATACGAAAACCTGGGCGTTGTCAACAAGTGGCTTCTGGAGGGAAGCAAAACGCAAGTATCATCGGTGCACTATCACTCAGTGGTCATCTCCGCCACACCAACTGAACCTCTATAGGTAGTTCCGCTCGTCCTGCCGATGTGGACCACGTCCGACTCTGAGATTTGTTGAATTGTGTAGCATATACAGGTTCCACAAGTATACACTTGCGGAGCTAGGTGGGATGCCCGTCTCACCGTACTCTTTTGCCGTCTTTTTTCCACCACCTCCGGGTATCACCATCCCTCAGCGTTAGCGTTAATCGGGTTCGAACTGGTAAACGCGGCCGTAGCCCTATTATACCCTTAGTCTGTTCAGGCGCACAACCTAAGGACCGGTCAACATGGAGTGTCTTGAGACGAGACTGCAAAACGTACGCGTCAGTTTTTCCAGTATTTCTGCATCCTTCGAGTCGAGCCTCCGGCGTTGGTTTCCGAGTATATCTGTAAATCCTCGGTTGGCTATCCATGCACCGCTCGTTCCTGAGCCTGAAAGCAAGCAATTAGGATTCAGGCACAAGTACGAGTCAACGATAGACATATGTCTTACTTTTGGTGATGAAAACTAGGTCGGTATTGGGGATGAAGTCGTTCGCGAGCTCTACAGCCTTGAGTGGTTTTTGAACCTAGCGAACCTTGTTAGTGCAAATGGAAGACTCGCCACAGGTACCGTAGCGTACATTGTTTACCATGCCCATGTAGTGATCATGAGTCAGTGCAACAGTGGCGCCACAGTACTAGGAGCCGAGGTGAGCTGAGTACATCTTTACAGAGACACCGAGAGCTTACAGTGTCCAATATATGATCGTTTATCGACGCTGAGGGATTGACAATCTAAATCCAATCAATACATCCCTCCACGTTGGAGCACTGATACCACTCACCTTGCCTTGGGCCGGGAACCGCTGAACCGACACGCTAGCCGGCCCGTGTGGAGGGTGGTATGGAATCGCATCCTACGACCACATTTCAACATCACGGCTTGAAAAAAAAAAAAGAATTGTGCCCACCTGTGTTCTCGACAATCCCAGAATCCACCGTAGTATGCTGTCCTCCCTCTTGGTACGAACAGAAATGGAGTATCCCCGCAAGAAGATAGTCTGATTCGCAATTGTTCCTTCGCTGTGGTGACACCGAAGGTGAAGTCCACTCGCACAGTGGTTCCCCCACCGGTAGTGCGACGTTCCCGGTTCAGGAGTGTAGAATTCCAGTGTAGGATGCCAGTCTGCGAAGCATCCGCTACCCCAAGAGCGGCATTTGTCGCATCCAGTGACTAGGTATAGCGAACCGTTCGGGACCATCCTCCCCTGTTCGTCATTAATGTATTTGTACCAGCTATGAGCGTTAGCAGCTGCATATTCCGCGAGCATACTAGGGTTCTTGGAATCATAAGATTCGCTGCCATCGAGAAGGATGAGTACTGCGCCCCGTGTGCTTGAACTTGGGAATCGGAAGCTACTGGTACAAGTCAAAAGGGGATCAGTTGAGTAGAAAGCAGGAAACATACTTGGTCTCAGCCGACCTGGATGCCATAACAGATGTACTGGTGATCACCGAGTCCTTATCGAAACCACGTCGTTTTAGTACCCCAGGACTCCGAATGGGAACAAAGCCGGGAGGAACCCTGTTCAGATTAACGAGATCCTCAGCACTCTTGCACACATTGAAGAGATATTCGAATCCTCCATATTGGTCAAGATATCCGACGTCGCCGATTTGTGTTCCATGACAAAGATAAGCGTCAGGCCAATGTGAAGGCAGGTCTGGAAGCCATAATGGATAACCATGACCCTTGGACAGCATCGATGAAGGGTAGATGTCTTGAGCACGTTGGGACATTGTCGTTAAGTTGAAAGAGGTGTCTGAAATCCAAACCCTAAACCTGTCTCTGAGTGGCATCGAAAAGGTCTCAGAACAAGGTAGACTTTCGATAACTAGCATCTACCGGCGGGTGGAAGAGGGGTCTTGTCAATGCAAATAGCTGGAAGCTGCAGTGTTGAACGTTGACGCCGACATTGGAGAGCCTCGTATGTGCACAGATTTCTCTGCTATGGATTTCACAAAGACATCGAAAGTAGTTTGTAAAGTAGGTACGATCCGGGTCGGACCAACATTGGCGATGAGATGAACCCGTTCACCTGTCTAGTCATCAGAACAGAGCAGACAATCATGAAACAAGAACGCGCACCACCCCATCCATCGAAGAGGAAAATCGCGTATAACAACGACTACTAGCGTGCACTATTCCAAACCCCCCAGCGGTCTGTGTATTCCTATGGGCGTAAAAGAGCGAGAATCAATGGAAGGGTGTATAGGTTGTCCACTCAAAGGACGCTAAACCAGAGTCTGGGCATCGACACCAGTAGGTAGGCGCATAAGCTGAGACGAAACTGGAAGATGAGTATGGGCAAAGCTGCATTCGGCAAATGCCGAGTCTCGAAAGTGCATTTTTACTTTTTACTTAGAGGTACTACACATATAGACTAGAAATTCCCGTAGCAAGGTAGATAGGTATAGTTATAGAGAATTGTCTTATATATCAGGTACGATAGGTGATGGCAGCGGGCGGATTTGGGTTTTCAAGTAGACCGTGCCATTAGATGTCTTGCAAGTCCGAGTTGTATAGACGTGGGTAGCATCTTCCCAGACTCTTATAGGTGCAGTTTCTAAGGGCTCGGAGCCTCGTTTGCGCTTCTCTCCCTTTTGCTTATTATCATCTCCGCTAAACGTGCAGCACCTACCTTGCAAACGACACTCCCGACATTTGAAGCGGTCTTTCGAGTTTGTCCATTGACACGGAATTTTGTCGCCGCACGCCCGACACTAGTAAAAAGTATCAGCCCAACTTCATCCCATCCAAATTTCTCGATACTTACAGGTGCTTCTGCTTCTGTAGGAATCAAGTCCCAGCTTGAGATTTTAGTCTTCAATACTTTGGTCTTTGCCAGCGTGCGAGAACGGCAACGGTGTACGTTTAAGAAAACTAGCTGACTCCAAAGTTCGGGCCCGAGTTTTGCAGCAGCCTTGTCCCTGTTCGCAGGATCCAGGTCTGCTACCAAATCTCGTAACTTCGTGAGCCATTCGACAGACGGCTGTTTCAGTGGCGGAAGATACGACAAAACCTGTAGGCATGACATTTATTAGTTCAATGGCATTCGATCTAGTCCCCGATCTACCTTTTCCCATAAATCGTCCTCTGTCATACGTTTTCTGCCTTCGGGAAGGCTAAACGTCAAACTTGACAAATCCTACAAAAACGTGTAGTTCAGTATCACTAAAGATGGCCAGAAAGTCAAACCTACAGAGCTCGACAACTCGGGATCCTCCGGCATTAGCTGTGGCTTTGGGAGGAAGCACAGGTATGAGAAGTTTATCCAACAGAAAACGAAACCTCGTACCAGCGTATTAGAAGGCATAGCAGACGGTGCCTGCTGTCCATTCAGTGCAGTACTTTGAACGTCTTTTGTATTCGTACTAGCATCCGATTCTCGCACTGTTTCCATGATAGGCATATCCCAGAGAGCGTGTCCGTGTACTATGCGAACATTATGCAAACGCTGCAATGTATGGATGACCGCGTTCTTGTCATCATTTCTCAGTATACAGTCCATTCAAAACCATAAAATCTCACCTGGGAATCGGTAACCAAGTGCCATTGGGCTAACGATCTATCCGAGTCCAATTCTGTTCTCTTTTCGACGTAGACCTTGATAGCTTCGTTAATTTCCTTGATGTCAACATCTGTCGTGTCGGGCCTGCGTGAACCTCGCATCATAAGCTCCAGCTGACCGAGCATGACAAAGGCTTCAAGTTCAAGAGATGCGCTCTCGGTAGAGCTTGCGTAGTAAGTGGACATGGTGGTTACAATAGAAACCAAAAAGTTCGATCTCCCCTGCCCAGTTCGCTCCATTTACGTTATCAAAACATTGCAGCTACCTTGGTAAGCAATGCGACGGTCGGTGCTGGGCAGCAGCGAAGTAGAAGGGTAGACACACGAGTCTTGGGATAGAAAGATTCCCTGAGCAATTAAGAATGGAAACTGCCGTACGCACCGTCCACGGACCAGACCCACCCAGGTAATTTACAAACATTGTGGAAATAAAAGAACGGTGAATCATATGCATAAACGTCCATTGATCTCTTCCAAGAGATACAGAAGAACGATATGAATGGAAGAGTACTACAAAAATTTCTGGCAGCCCATACCGACCCTTTTCCATTACGCGCCAGTAACTTTCTGAGCGAGTGGACAGGATTGTACTCGAAGTACATTACTGCTGATTCCGGGAGTATATAGAGATGAAGTGCCCAGGTTCGAACCTTGGTGGTAAGGGCATCTGACATCGTCGTAGGCATGAGTAAAGCACGTGCGAAGATGAAGTACTCACCGATACTTACAGAGCCACCTTTTCTAGGCTATGCTAGGACTCTCCCACGGATGAGCTGCATTTGTCTTCTTCGTGTGTTGTGGCGTACTACGCCTTTTTCAGAGAAGTACAACGTGTGGTGTGTCAGGGCATGCATATGGTTTGAACTTTGAACTCGAGGTGAATCTGAATGCGCGCAGTAGGATATCAGTTTAGGAAGGAAAAGATGCCACAGGTGAGGGTGAATTAGTGTTGCCGCGGCTCGGCTTAAAGTCGCTTGAGCCGGTGAGCCGAGTCTTAATAAGCCGAGCCTGAGCCTCTATTGGCTCAGACTCGTTCTAGGCTCAAGTTCATCTAGGAGCCGGCTAAAGCCGAGCTTGAGTCGCTTTAGCCGGATGACGATACCTAATTAGGCCTGTATGTTTTCTTGACTTTTATTGTCCCCTAGGACACGTAAAATCATACCCTGTGGTGCATACAATAATATTCCAACATGGAACAAGGCAGTTGAAAATCCAAGATGCTGATTAATACCATAAAACGGAGCGCTGAAGTTTGAACGTCAATACCCTGACAGATGCCGAGATCAAGCTGAAGATTTTCCTAAAAAGGCGAAGTGGCTGGAATTTACAGCTGTATTGAAGATATATTTACATAGCTACAAGCTGAGTACCTATGTATCACTAGATGTTGATTCTGAAGGATTTTATAAGCCCTTTCACCTTGGAAAGTACATCTTAACCCAGTGACTTCCTTTTTGGATCATTAGCCTGAGCTCAAGCCGACTTGAGCCGAAGCTTAGCTTAGCCGACATATGATTACCGACTCAAGCCGACTCGGCTCAGGACAATTACCAAAGTCGGGATAAGTCTAGCCGAGCCGAGTCTAGCTGAGTCGCGGCAACACTAGGGTGAATGTTTGAACATTGGCAGCAAAACGGAGCTCACAATCGGGTCACCATTGATGACTGGGGAAGTAAGAGGATACTGTTATGTTGTGTGAACTAATTACCAAAGCAAGCCTACTTACCACTCATTCCAACCTCTCGATTTCGCAAGGGCATCAACAAGAAGTAAACGCTACCTAGGACGGGCTGAAGGCGACATTGCAAACTTGAAGCAGTAGAAAATGAGCGAAGAGCAGCACGTATTCTGTGTATACAAAATTGGAAGGTCGTATAGTAGTATGTCGTCCATTCAGAGCGCACTAAGCCAAAGTCTGTGTATCGGCGCCGGTAAGAAGACGTATACGCAAAGACAAAAAAAAACAAATTGCTGGAGGGAAACAAAGCTACATCCGGCAGTTGCCGCGTCGTAGCGCATCGAAGTTTTGCAATGTTTGCAATGTCTCGATTTTTGTTATCAAGAATCTTGCAAAGGTGGAAGGTTACACATTCTACGTAGTGAGATGTACCACAGTGGATTTTCCCTTGTGTATTACTACAGCAACGTAGACAGATAGAGAAAACCGTATTATCATATATGAGGTATGAACGTTGTCCGATATACAGTACGAAGAGCCAGTGGCGATAATGAACGGAATTCTAAGAGTGCAAGGATAATCAAAGTAATCCGCGCTACGATATACACGCCAACACCCAAGACAGGCAAGACAATCGACCCAAAGTTCATGAATGTCTTGAGAATGCCATTCTTTTCCATAACGATATAATCGTTTGGGGTAATCTTGTTCGAAACACGACTGCGCCTAACGCCCTTTCGCGCCTGCTGTATTAGACTACTTATCACAGTAAAAAGGGTGAACACTCCTTCGCGCATGAGTATATGACCTACGCCATAGAATAGGCCGATTACAATCGCGAGATGACGCTCACCATAGTACCTTTTCCGCATGCGAAGGAAAGTCGAACGACCAAGCCGCACAGTGGATTGCCCCAAACAGGCATCCCACATAAATCACTGCTAACAAGCGCACCAGAAAATCGTCTGCCTCTGTTGATGTACCGCCATCGCAGCATGACATCCCCACGGCACCGACTGCGGCAGTTGGCACAGGTCTTTCAACCGCCGAACTGATGTCATCGCCAAATATGAAGCCCACCATCGAGAAATATATCCCCGTAAAAGGTCCAATGGCTCTCTTTCTCCAACGCTCAGCAGTCTTGAAACAGCATCTGATGAGTTCCAGTAGAGAAGGTCCAGGATGGGTGGTGGTGTCCTTCAGAGTTGAAGTGTCGGAAATATTAAGCCAACCACTGCTATAACCCGCGGGTGGCTCAAAAGAGGCTATATTGGGAGGAGGATGGAGTTCTATGGGGTTTGAGCTATCGACTTCGGAAAGTTTGTCGAGGGCGTCAAAGCTTCTAGCAGGAGATAGAGGTGCCATCGGTTTTGTGTCGGCATCCAAGGGATCAAAGACTTCGAGGGGTGCACGACCATCCTGATCATGATCCAGCGAAGAATGCTCTTCGAGACGAATATGGTACAGGACATCGACCGGCTTTTCCCACCGCGCCGCATAAGAAGCGATGCTCAGCATCGCAAATGCAAGGGCCGACATTTCCAGCAGTGTGATAGGCAACTTTCAAAAGGATGTTTCAGCCATTACGCTACGGGTTGTATATCTGGATATCCGCCAGAAATACATGCACCATGAACGTATATCGGCACATCACAGTTCCTGTCGGGCACAGCTTTTCTTCATGTTGCACAAATAGACGTGCGTGAGCATCATTGCTAGGTGAAGGTACCGATGCGAAGGTTCCTGCTGAACAAAAAGACGATAATACAGGAGCGACGTTCTTGGACGCCTAAGGTGGACACTTGTCTGAGGGGATGTGAGTTTACATGACACTGGAAGACGGCTTGACTGACGGCTTTGTTGAAACTCTATAGGGATACCGCAGAAGGCAGACATTTTCTTCATCAACCGCGCTTGTGATGTATACCATCCTATTCTCTCTCAAACCACTAAACAACGGGTAGTCAGCGTTGGATTCTAATATTGGCAAGCGGCTACATACCTGTGTGCATGCCAAAATTAGACCCGATTTGCGTCAACCATTGAGACTGCTGTACTCAATGCTGATGCATCCTTCTCCAAGGGCATACATCTGACTGTCCGAATCTGAAATGCGGTAAGTGGCATTCCAAGAGCGAGCCTCGTCGCATCTAGTGACGAGATAAGCGTACCGTTGCGGATCCCCATGCCTTGTCTTGGCCATTATAGTATTGGTACCAACTATGGGCATTCGCGGCTGCGTATTCCCCGAGCAGACCGGGGAGTTCACGATCGTAGCGTTTGGCGCCATCAGGAAGGGCGGGGACGGCGCCTCGCGTGATTGTGCTCGTAGACTTGACACGTCCAGTCAAACAGGCCGCCGGAAGGGGAAAAAAGAAGAAAACGCACAATGCTCCAGCTAATCTCTGCTCCACGCCAGACATAGTAACCATCAAGTTCCTATCGTGGAACTCCAATCTTTCCCATCTACAAGGATCCACCTTGAGCGGTACAAAACCAGGAGGTATACTATACTAATCCTGATTAACAGGATCCTCAGTGTCCCCATAAAAATGTTGAAAAGGTAGTCGAATCTCCCGCTATCAGCAAGATATCCAAGGTCTCCGAATGGTGTTCCATCGCAAACACAATCAGGAGGAAGATTCGAAATCGGTTCCGGAAGCCACAGTGTATATCCGTGACCCTGACGTAACATCAATGAGAGTAGGTGCTTGGAGCTCGCAGTGATGCTAGTGTTGCCATGATGGATGGGAGGATGAAAGAAGGTCTCGTCTTGTAAATCGGCGACTTGAGTAGAAGAAATCCTAGACTCGGCATTGAGAAGGCAGTAGACCCTGAACATCATCTCCCTTCAAGCAGCCTTTCTGCTTCAACTTCCCTCTCGTTATCATCAGCGATGAGGCGGCAGGCGGAAAAGCAAAGGGAGGATGATGGCAATAATAATGGCATAGTCGTTGCAGTGAAAGTTCGAATTCGGCATTCGCCGCAAATCCTCTCCCATCAAGTCATCACGATTCGGACCGATTCCACAATGCAAGTTATATGTGCACTGCGATGGGGTAGTTTTATTGCATTGGGTGTTGAACGAAATAACGGTACAGGATTATCAGATCGCCGTAACACTTGCCGTTGCTAACTAAAATTCATAGTGTCTTGCTAATAGCGTACGCTATTCTGCTCTGTAATCGGAACTTGGTACAAGAGGGCGCGGATATTGTCGTGTGCTCCCCTAGTGCCGTCCCAATGGAGCCGCCCTGGGGAAGTAGGGGATCTGACAGGAGCTTATCAGTATCGTTTTTGCGACAGGGAACGCAGTCGGCGCGCCTCTTGGGGGATACTGGCTGATACGATTGGTTGGCGCTGGGCATTCCTTTTACAAGTCCCTATTGCGCTCATTGCCATTGTTTCTGTCTCCTTGGCTCCAAGATACCTTTACCCTCTGATACATGATGATTCAAGCTTGAAAAGCAAGATTCGACGTGTCGATTTCCTCGGGTCATTCACTCTCGTCCTGACGGTGTTCCTCCTCCTTGGGCTCGATAACGGAGGAAACGTCTCCTGGTCAGCACCGCTTACCATCAGCCCTCTTACCAGCTCTGCATTGTTCTCTATTCTGTTCCCCATCACAGAGCACACTGCACGCGAGCCCCCTGCACCAACACAAGTCATCCTTTCCCGTGCGCTCACCTCATCGTACCTCGTCAACTTCTTTGGAGTGGCGGTGAATATGCATATGTTATTCCACCTCTCGTTATACTTTCAGGCCATGTGCGGATTCTCAGCGAGCCGGGTAGGGCTGTGGTTCATCCCGAGCGTCATAGGTGGTGTAGCAGGGAGTCTCATTGGTGGTCTGATTATGCAGGCGACAGGGAAGTTTTATTGGGTTACGGTGGCTGGGTACCTCTTACTCCTTGCTGGGGCCGTGCCCGTGGTGCTCATGAGTGGGGTGGTTGTGACCTCCTCAGCGGGCTTGGTACTGGGTCTAGTGATAGCAAGCATAGGCAATGGTACGTGTTTCCATCATTTTTGCTGTCCAGTTTGTTCATATGATTCGTCAGGGGGTGGTATAACTACTTCTCTCATCTCTCTCATTGCAAATACGGGTCATGCAGATCAGGCGGTCGCTACAGCAGGTAAACAAGCTATTTTGATACTCAACACGGCGTGCTAACATTAGATCACATACAGTATCCTATCTATTCCGTTCCCTCGGTTCTGTTGTAGGTCTCTCAGTCAGAAGTACGCTGGTTCAAGGAACACTGCATACTGTGCTCAAGCGGGAACTGGCTGGGGAAGATGTCGATGTCGATGAACTTGTCCGCCAAGTGAGGCATTCCCTTGACAGTATCACCACGCTTCCACGAAGTCTTCGTGTGATTATGAGGCACGCGTACGGGGAGGCGGTACACATCGTATTTTGGTTTACTGTGGCCCTTGCAGGGGTAACGGTGGTAGCAGCGGTTTGAATTAAGGAAACGCCGTTGACACCAAAGGTACAGGATAATGAAAGGGAGAGGAGAGAAGAGTGATTATATGAATTAAATCCACGAATAGATTATACGTTATTTGTTGTAAGTCATGTTGCTCGCTAAGTGTTAGTTAAACTTCCAGACTGAACGTTTAAACCTCATAGTGTTTTTGGATAGTGCTCACAGGACTCGCCGAAGTATCAGTCTCTCGTAGGGCCATGCCGTTGCCTGCTCTCCGTGAATGAGTTCATGCCGACATGGACTATACATTCTTGCCAAATACTACTAGGCTGGCAAGGTGCTAATCAGTGGTGGAGCACATATGCGCAGCTGTATGCTGTTCTTGAGCCGTAAGCTGTCAAATAGGTGGCTATAGCTTCACGCGCGTATAACAGAGCAGGAGCATTCTTATCTTTCTACAACTTCTTCTCTCATGGTGACAGACAGAGCTCCAGACATCTATGTCCCATTGATGCTACCCAAGGGTCACGGATATCCATTGTGGCTTCCGGACCCGCTTTCGAATCTTCCCCCTGCTTATCTTAGCCGCGGAACACAAATCGGCGATCTTGGATATCTTGCTGATGACGGAGGATTCGTGTACCTCTTTAATGTGTGCAAGGATGCTGATGATCCAGTCAACCTAAACAGGGTTCCTCCAGGCTTTGTACCGCTGACAAGTAACTCGAATCTTGGTGTACTAGAGCGATTAGAAATGCACGATAAGAACTCGACGATTACCACCTCTGCGGTGGAACAAAAGTCGATTGAGTTTGATGTATCAGCCGAAGCACCGTGCGTTCTCTTCTTCAATTCCAAGTCTTTTTCTTTTACTGATATCGTGTAGCACTGCCTTGGGGGCGGGTTGCGGTTTTGAATTTACGAGTTCAAGCGAGCAGGGTGCCGTCCTTGTCCTTCCAGATGGCGGCGAACGCTACGATTGCGCATCTCTTGACATGTTCGAAGAATATGCAATAGCCAATGCCCATAGCTGGTACAAATACCTTAACGGCCAGGGACAGGGCAGGCAGATCCGTAATGGTATGCTATACCTTGTAACCGGATGCGACAAGTGCTACTCTTGGGGTAACGCGTGCTATTCACATCTCACACAGTCGCGCTGTGCATCGTTAAAATTTTTGACTACTGGTGTTGCAGAACTCAGCGGAACATTACGCTACAGGTGGGAGGTACAATCCGGTGTTCATAAACGGAGTCACCACCGCGACATGACACCAGGAGCTATTGCGAACCAGACTGTCTTCTTGCGTGGATACTCAATCTCGGTCCGTGAATCATCGGCGTTACGGTTGTTACTAGGTGTCAAAACGGTGAAAGTATCCAAGAGCGACATGACAAACTGTAAGCAGCTGCGGGCTGAGTCTAGGGTTCCTTATGCTACAGAGCAAAGGAACGTGGTATTGGCAACGACGGGAATGAGCACGTCGGGAACCACCCAGGTGATACCGCTAGCTCCTTTTTACAAAGTCGTATAATGCTGAAAACCGATCGCAGAGTCATGATGCAGGGATGAAGAGGTATACGACTGGAAGACTCCCGCCTAATTTTGCGGACTCCGAGGTAGGAGGCTCGTTAGATGACGAATTACTTGCATCGTCGGCGGGCGAGGTACTGGAATCTTCGGAAGACGAGTCGGCGACAGACATTCCCTACGGCCACACAACTATGCAGACTGACACATTGATCCAGCAGCTCCCCGGGAAGGGCAAGGTGAGTATCAATGCTTCAGCATGGTGGAAAAGTAATGACCTTCATTACTAGATTGTCAATCCATCGGCTTTGATAAATGATCATATATTGAATACTGTAAGCTAGTGCCTCCGTAAGGGCATACCCAGCTGACCTCCTTCGTCTCTGCTCTCTAGTACCACGGCGCCGGTGTTGCGCTCACTTATGATCACTATCAGTGGAAGGATATGGTAAATAACGTACGCTGCCATACTTTGATACCGTCACCTGGTTTCATTCGCAGTCTCACTAGCTTCGGAATCCACTCGATGTTGTGGAGCTCGTGAACTACGCCATTAATAATGACCCAGTTCTTATCAACAAAAGTAAGGCATCCTCGTTATATAGTCGTGCTTAATTCATAACTGCTGTTTATCAGGCTGGGGAAAAGATGATGTATGGATAGCAAATGGAGCATTCACAGACATACTTGGAAACCCTCTTGCTCGGTGAGAGCCTAATCTTTCAAAGTTTTCAAACCATAATGAATGGCCGAAATCATTCCGCACGGTAGACAAAATTACCACATCTTCGCTCTGGTCATCGGGATAGATGAATACAAGTGCACGAAGTACGACAATCTAGAAGGTGCCGCCAGCGATGCTGATGAATTCAAAACCTATCTTCTCGAAGACCTGCGGACCCCAAAGGCAAATATCATTAGCCTTCGCGATAGGCAGGCGACAAGATCAGCTATCATTGGCGAGTTCATCAAGATGAAAGACAATGCAAAGATACAGCAGGATAAGGCAGCAATTATTATATACTTTGCAGGGTATGGTGCTACAACTACCGCGCCAGTCGCATGGGCAGACTGGGAAGCTCTTGGGGATGAAGTCAAGATGCTTTGCCCCACTGATATTGGCGACATAGACGAAAATGGCGACATCATCAACGGTATTCCACACAGGACAATTAACCAACTTCTTCTGGAATTGTCGGCTGTCAAGGGCAATAACATCGTACGTTCTACGCCATTAAATCACATACATGCCGTTGAACTTCTCCTTAGACATTGATACTCGACTGTTGTCATGCTGCTGGTCAAAGCAATAAACGGAAGCCTGCCATTGCACGAAACGTAGCAATGGTACCTCAAGGAATTTCTCAAGCTGTGGAGTCGAAACCTGGTACCAATTCATCATCTGATACGCTAGCAGAACCATGACCCCTTCCTTGTCTATCATCAGAAGATATTGTAACGGCAAAATCGCGTCAGATTTCTAATCCACCAAGACTTTTTTCCAGCTGTGATCAGGAGATCCATTCTCGCCAAACTCACAGTGCCTCGGGAATTACATCATCGCCTCTGGGATCGCATGTTCTCATAGCAGCGTGTAATCGTCGCCAGTCTGCCTATGAGGAACAAGGAAAAGGCATTTTTACTTGCGCGTTGCTCAAGGTCTTGAGGGAATGGAAAATAGGCCAGCTGACGTACAAATCGCTGATCCATCGTCTCGATATGCCACAATAGTAAGTAACAATTCTTTTACCTATGCAACTGGAGCTTAACCACATGTCCAAGCCAAACACCACGTGCGGAAGGGAAGTATATCACCCAACCTCTGTTTAACTCCCGTCGCAATACTGCTGTGAGTTCCCGGATCCTCTGCCATCATGAAAAGGAACAGCCCCACCTTTCTCTGTGTGCTGGATCTTTTCATGGGATTGTTGCTGGTTCTATCTTCGAGATATACAGAACCGATGTATGCGACAAGGAGCGTCCGCTCACGACTGCAACTGCAGAGACAGTGGAGGCTTTTGTCTCATTCTTAAGGCCTGTCGACCAAACCATCTTCACCACATATAGGAAACATCGTGTCTGGTACGCGTACTGCATAAGAGTTCCCACCCCTATTTTTACCATTTACTGCAACGACTCGAGCTTCCTGGCCCAGGTTCTCACTGGAGAAGCTGGATCTGAGCTCATGGTCTCCCCTAGCACTGTTGATGATCCGGAACAAGCAGATCTATGCTTGACAGTAGATGGCGACATTGTTTTCTTTGACCGAGGGAACAGGACCAGTCTTGTCCGCTCGAGCATAGGCTTACCCTCAAGGTTCTCTCATACCTCGAGAGTTCATGCTATCGCCAACATTCGAAACATTATTGACTGCTATGCGCATTTCACCTCCCAAGTCATCATGTCAAGTCCTCTTCCCATATCCACGTTCGTCTCCATTGAAATGAAAGAAGTCGAGTCGGATAGGGACCCTATTGGCAACAATTTGCTGCATGATGCTGAGGACGAACCCGTCGAAGTTGTCTCGATTCCATTCCTTCCACTTGAACGACTCGGACGCCATTATGAGTTTATTGCCCATAACACATCTGCGGTCAAAATATATGTCAATTTGTTGCACTTCAACGTCTCCACTCTAAAAATAAGTGAGTTCGCATTTACTATTGATATCAGCCAGTAACCCTTTCCAATTGGATGTCCTCTAGATATTTTTTCTCCTTCCAACACTCTCATCCAACCCCAATGCACAGCTACATTCGGCTTTGGTGGACACAGATCCCCAGTTCAATTTTCCATCCCAGAGGGCCAAGACGTAAATGGCAGCTTTTTCAAATTCTTCGTGACCAGAGAGCCAGTCGGTGTGGAATTTCTGGAATTTGTCTCACAGTTATCACCATTTTCTGGCGGGAGAAGAATGCCCTTTGAATGTGAAGCCCAGTCCACACCTATCTTTGACCAAAGTTGGGCCTCAATGACCATCCCTGTTGTCCAGAGACAAAAGCCAAAGCCCAGACTGTCTAGATACACTGACAAGGTATGATCTCTTGTTTTAGCAAATCAAAAGGTTTTAAGTCGGTGTAGGGGATCGAGAGTCTGATGCAGCCCATCAGGTCGCCGGTTATAGGTCAGCCGGCGTATGAAGCGTCCACATCTATGGTAGCACCTTCGGCTTCTCCAGTTTTACTGGAGTTGGTACCAGATCGATTCGGTTTTTCGGCACTTCCCCTACCTTTGGGTGGAAAGGATGGTGGCCTACGAAGCACAAGTCCACGATCTACTGTGTCCATTTCACCTCAGCCTTTGGGATTGCCTGCATCGCTCCCCTCATCTTATCGTCATAAAGATATAACTTACGACAAGGAATTGCGTTTGGGTGGTGGGAGAACTAGTAACGTCTTCAGAGGAACTATGAATGGTGTTATTGTTGCGATCAAGGTGTTAAGTACCGAAGTGTCACCCGATGTGCGTCTCATGTCTTCATTTGATAGGAAGGAACTTACCGTTTGTTCCTTTGTAGAATTTGCTTAATCGCGTGCAGCAATGGCAGAAAATGAACCATCCGAATATCTCTCAAGTGTTTGGCATGTCTCCAGACCACCAAGGTCCACTATACATCATCATGCCATGCTATTTTCATGGGAACAGTCGCCAATACTTGGATCAAAACCCAAATGTCGATCGACGTAAAATTGTGCGTATAGCTCTACTCATGGATGTCTACACATCTCACGACGTCTTAGGTCTTTCAAACTGCTTTGGGCATGCAATATCTTCATTCAGTACGTCATATTACAATCCTCGGGAGCTTTTCTAACGTCCTTTCATCAGTGTAACGTTGTGCACGGGGGTCTGAAACCATCCAACATTCTCATCAATGATTCCGGAGATGCATGTGTCTCTGATTGGAGTATGATGGATTTCCAGACAAGTCAGAATAAAGAAGCGCATAGGTACTATAGTCCTGAGGCCTGGAAAGGGGTGAGCACACTCTAGCGATGTGCCTTCCGATCTCATCTGTTATCGTAGACGACGTCGTTTCTTTCCGATGTTTACGCATTTGCTATGAGCGCCTATGAGGTATATGCACCAGTAACCCCTTCGCGACGACGTTTTCTGATGACCTTTGCAGCTCTTCACTTCAACACTTCCATGGGGTGTACTTCCCGAGAAGCACATATACCAACTCGTCGTATATGAGAACAGTCGACCCGATCGTCCAGATCCAACCATTGAGGCGAGAGCCGGGTTGACTGACCACATATGGGGGATCATCGAAGAGTCCTGGCACAAGGAATCCCGCCTTCGGCCAAGTTTCGACATCATTATCCGACTGTGGCAGAGTGCACCCGTCAACGTTCCAGGCAAAGGCAAGAAGCAACAAGTACTTAATGTTCTAAATCCCACCAGTTCAGCAGATGTAGGGGCCCTTTCGTCAAGATTCAACAATATGTCGACTGGGAGTATCAGAAGTCCGGCACAGTCCATAAGGTCACTGGATTCAGGTCTACCGGCGTATGAAGCGTCTACATCCATGGCAGCGCCTTCGGGTTCTCCGGTTTTGCCAGAGTCGGCTCCCGCTCGATTCAACATATCACCTTCGCCTTTCGGTGAGAGGGATGACGGTGTACGAAGCGCAAGTCCACGATCTAATGGGTCCATCTCACTGCAGCCTTCGGGACGGCATGCGTCTCTCCCGTCCTCGTCTTATCGAGAAAATCGTCACAATGCTCCCTCCAGTTTCGGTATGTCATTCGTCCGAAGGCTTCTAATTATTCTCATTTCGAGATGTCACAGAACCGACGTCAACTTGGGATACAAACTATTCTTCGTTTGGAAAAGCTTACTCTCCAAGTCTGCCAGTGTTCCCTGAAGAGGACCCACGCTTCGGCAGGCGAATTACATATGCTCCGCCATCTGCGCCTCCCACGAGTCTGGGGAGGAGCGACTCTACAGTGTCATGGGACAGGCAGTCCATCCGTAGTGACAACGCTTCCGGTTCCAGTATCACACGTAAGGTTTGCGCCTAACCTGTATCGGTAACATTGCTAACGTGTGTGTAGAACCCGTCAACGCTGTTCTATTGGTTGGCGCACTGCAATCAGAGGTGCTGTCCACACGGAGCCGTGATATGATCGATTCGTGTCTCGTTAAAGTGCATTTCCTTGCTCAGTCCGATAAAGGCGCGGAGAGACTGGTTACCGCAGGTATTATCCCGACCTTGATCCATCTTCTCAAAATACGAGCAGCGAATGGAGAAGGCTTGGAGATAGTCCTGGCTTGTCTTGGTCTCGTCGCGTATGTCTAATGTATGATCCTTTCTTCGTTCGCCTTTCCTCATGGATGCTTTCCTTTATAGTCACGACTCAATAAGTGCTAATACGATTTTCCGCACCAACACCGTCAATACCTTGATAGAGCTAGTCATCTCATCGCTCTCGCAAGATGTCGTCACCCTCGCTATATGGTGTCTGCATCGCATGTGCCGCACCCCCGAAATCTCCACTGGGCTAATCAAACGAAATTTAGTCCGCATACTTATCGAACGGGGTATTCGGTCGTCTCTGCTGACTGCTCGAATGACAGCTTGGTGTCTTGGTATACTCATTCATACCGATGCTCAAGCAGACCAGCTCAACGACCTTGGCGTCATTCCCGAAATTGTGGAGTACTTGAGGCGTGCATCTTCGGACCCCAGTGCGTCGCCGGATGATGTATCTGCGGCATTGTATGCCATAGCACGTATAGCTCGATCCATCAAACTTGGCAAAACATTGGCCAAAGCTGGTTGTGTGGGATGGCTATCGGAGCACCTTGCATCATCGACAGAACCTTCGATACTGTTATGGGCTGCGCGCGCGGTTGGGTGCATGATGCGGCCCAACAGCGCTGATATTTCTAAAATTCTCTTAGACGCTGGCATTGCGAAGGGGCTTGCAAGGTTGCCGAGTGTCCTTCCTTCAGATGAAGTTGAGCCTCTGGGATCGTTCGCATTTGCGGTGCAGAGATTTGGTTGCGCCGAATGGGGTTCGGGCACGAGGAAGGCCCTTGTGGACGCTGGAGTGGTGGATTCGCTTCTGGATGCCCTAAGGATGGTTGCGGATGAGCCAAAACCTCAAATACATGTGGAGATGGCACTTGCTGTTAGTTTTTTGGGTGACATCGGGGGAGTTGCGATAAGGAAAGAGATTATCAGTGCGGGTGGAATCACTATTTTGAAGAGGGTGGGCGCCAATGGGAGTCCAGAGGTGGCTAAAGCATGTGGGATGGCAGTAACGAGTATAACCGGGAACCTGTGGACAAGAAATGCTGGTGAGTAGATTTTTTTTGGAGAGCCAAGGAAGACAAATTGATTGGATGTTCTCGTAGCGTCTGCAAAAACAGCAATGACACACAACTGGATTGGCGGATGCCCGGACTATTTTGCGGAGTGTCCAGTCGTCCTTATGACCCAGGACGCTTTGGAACAAAGTTAAGTTCATTATGATTATGTCGTCAGTATTTAAACTTTTGTGTTATGCTGTATTTTGAATTTCCCCTAACACATCAGCCTAGTATGTCTATGGACTTTATCTTATACTAATCTGTCTCGCGGGGCCTCTTACAATATCTTTAAAAAGCGAAAGTGTACTATATATTGTTGTAACTTGTAGTAGAATCACGAAGTGCGGTGCACTTGCCCAAAGCTGGACTCTCGGACCGACGTGACCGCGACCACGTGCACCTTCTGTCACACTACGTTTTACACTGGTTAGCCCTGTTCCCTTATCCTCAGAGCCACTGGCGCGAACGAAGAAACTTCACTACGGCAAATTTTGTGTTTTCTGTTTGCGTTATTTCCCCGATACTCGGATGCTTAGTGCTTCTCTGCATTCTCTGCACTTGCTTGCTTCATACTTCAATATATGTCCGACAAGAAAACAGAGATAGCCCACAGCAGGCGTTTCCGCAAAAATTTAATATGCCTTTATACCGGTTTTCTAAACTCTAAACTCTAATCTCCGAGGGTCGTAGTCTCGCTTTGGAGGGGTAAATGAACATCGATAATCTCTCGTAAAATCTACTAAGAACACTAGACCGAATATGCTACCTGAGATTGTGGACATTAGTCGTCGCAGGAGCAATACATAAATTGCTTACCTTTGAGTTCATGCAATCGTGCGCATTAGACAGGTGCAACAATTATGTTGCGGGATTTCAGAGGAGGAACATTCAAGTCCTGAGCGAAATGACGTGGGGAATTAAGTGGAGAGAGACGAGAGCATGGCCTTGGGGTTGTGTCGGTCCGGTGGACGGGTGCCAGTATATAGAGTAAAGCCATAGCACTGTGGTAATTACAAGGAGGGGGAAACACCGAAATACGCATAGACACCATTAGGTTTCAAATCTGGGCTACCGATTGAGAGGACTTTGCTCCGCGGTGGTAAAGTATCGTACAGATGTCTGCTGGCATTCCTAATTGACAGCTGATGGGATGTCATCCATTCGACTCTGCACAAACGATGGCCAAGGACTCCACGAGTAGGCCAACCCTGAACCGGACAGAAGGCGTAACTTTGTGGAGGGCAAACATGCAGCGCCGTTCGGACTGGAGATACACATACTACCTCGTTCCAAGTCAGAGCCGGCCACTCGCTCCGAAAAAACACATCTCCGAAATCGAGGGCAGGCTACCAGTGTTCGAACCTGGGCAGCTACCGAGCAATATCGCTCCTATAGCCTAGCGGTATGGTGGTTACTTGGAGGCGCCTTCTGAGGGGAAGGATGGAGAGCAGCTTCATTCGGGACTTACTTCCAGAGGTTGAGGCGCAACGACTAAGGCACCTTGGACGAGGGTGCTCCATGAGCTGAGGACGTATACTCCAAGTTTGGTAACACGTTACGGACGTCGAATCAAAGCTTCGTTACTATGGTAGTAACATGTTCAACAGCAGGGTCGTTATCCTGAACAGGATGGTATCATGACCAAGCCCACGAAGGAGTTCATCAAAAGATAACCATCGCCTGCATTATCACCTGCCACCGTGAGGTTGCTGGGAGCCCAACGACCTCTCGCATCTAGATTCCCTTGTCTTGCTTCATTGATCAGACATGTGCTCTCCAAATTCTTCTATTGGCGTATCACTTCTACGTGTATGACCTTGACGAGATGGAAGGGTGGAGCGAGGGAAGTAGTCACAGGAAGTCATTCGGCATTTGCCGCATGCGTGTTGGGTGGTGGTGCGAGGGCAGTAAAATACCGCAAGTAGGACACCCTACTACTCATTGGTTATCTTCGTCACACCAACTGAACCTCTATAAGTAGCTCCTCTCCTCCACCAACGTGGAAAATGTCCGACTCTAAGGTCTATTAGATTGACAAGAATATACAGATTCCACAAGTATATACATGCGAAGCTAGGTGGGATGCTCTTTTCACTCTACTCTTTTGTCGTCTTTTTTCCACCACCTCTGGGTATCACCACCCCTCAGCGCTAGCGTTAATCGGGTTCGAACCGGTAAATGCGGCCGCAGCCCTATTATACCCTTAGTCTGTTCAGGCGCACAACCTAAGGACCGGTCAACATGGAGTGTTCTGAGACGACTCAGAGACTACAAAACGTACCCGTCAGTCTTTCTAGCATCTCCACATCTTTCGAGTCGAACCTCCGGCGTTGCTTTCCGAGTATATCTGTAAAACCTCGGTTGGCTATCCATGCACCATTCGTTCCTGAGCCTGAAAGCAAGCAGTTAGAATTCAGACAGAAGTACGAGTCAACGATAGACATATATCTTACTTTTGGTGATGAAAACTAGGTCGGTATTGGGGATGAAATTGTTTACAAGCTCTACAGCCTTGAGTGGTTTTTGAACCTAGCGAACCTTGTCAGTAAAAGTGGAAGATTCGCCACAGATACAACAACGTACATTATTTACCATGCCCATGTAGTGATCATGAGTCAGTGCGACATTGGTGCTACAGTACTAGGAGTCGGGGTCAGTGAGTACATCTTTACAGAGACACCGAGAGCTTACGGTGTCCAATATATGATTGTTTATCGACGCTGAGGGATTGACAATCTAAATCCAATCGATACATCCCTACGTTGGAGGACTGATGCCACTTACCTCGCCTTTGGCCGGGAACCGCTGAACCCACACACCAGGCGGCCCATGTGGAGGGCAGTATGGAATCGCATCCTGCGATCACATTTCAACATCACAGCTTGAAAAAAAAAAAAAAGATTCATGCCCACCCGTGTTCTTGACATTCCCAGAATCCATCGCATTATGCTGTCATCCCTCTTGGTACGAACAGAGATGGAGTATCCGTGCAGGAAGATAGTCTGATTCGCAACCGTTCCTTCGCTGTGGTGATACCGAAGGTGAAGTCCACTCGCACAGTGTTTCACCCACCGGTAGTGTGGTTTTTCCGGTTCAGGAGCGTAGAATTCCAGTGTAGGATGCCAATCGGCGAAACATCCGTTACCAGCGGCATTTGTCGCATCCAGTGACTAGGTACAGCGAACCGTTCCGGATCATCCTACCCTGATCGTCATTAATGTATTTGTACCAGCTATGAGCATTGGAAGCTGCGTATTCCGCAAGCAAACTAGGATTCTTGGAATTGTAAGATTCGCTGCCATCGAGAAGGATGAGTACTGCACCCCGAGTGTTTGAACTCGGGAATTGGAAACTACTGTTACAAGTCAAAAGGGGAACAGTTGAGTAGTAGAAGGAAACATGCTTGGTTTCAGTCGACCTTTGTACCAAAACAGATGTACTGGTGATCACCGAATCCTTATCGAAACCGCGCTGTTCTAGTACCCCAGGATTCTGAATGGGAACAAAGTTGGGAGGAACTCTATTCAGATTAATGGGATCCTCAGCACTCTTGCACACATTGAAGAGATATTCGAATCCTCCATGTTCGTCAAGAAATCCAACGTCGCCAATTTGCGTTCCATGACAAAGATAAGCCTCAGGCCAATTTGAAGGCATGTCTGGAAGCCACGATGGATAACCGTGACCCTTGGACAGCATCGATGAAGGGTAGATGTCTTGAGCTCGTTGAGACATTGTTGTTGAGGTGAAAGAGGCGTCTGAAATCCAAATCCTAGACCTCTGAATCGCTGTCAGTTGAGTTGACATTCCGAGGAAAGGATAGGACGAAGTTCTTGACTCACGGTTTTGGTGGTTTTGAAAAGGTTCTTTGAAAGTTGTTGTAAAGGTTCGATTGGATGTTTATTGCTTAAGTATTTGCTGATGACAAAGCTTAAGGATAGATAATGCTCGTTCTTATAGGCTTTCTGAAGCCATACAATCTTTGATTATGCCTAGTCATGAGTCAAGGCTTGGCACCTTAGGATTGCCGTCAGCTCTCAGCCTTGGGCGACTCACCTGTGAGCGCTGAGCCGCGGAGATCTTCCTCGATTTGGAGGTTTCCAAAAATAGACGTCGTTATTCCAGGGTGACAGAGCAGGTTTTCAGCCTGAACGAGAGCGGCTGAGCAAGTTCTGGCCCCATGATAAGCACAAATGAATATGAGTGAAGTAAGAATCTCCATTAAGTTCATGCTACCAGCAGACCGAAAACAGCCATATAGAATTTTACCCGAGAGTTACACATCCCATAGAGTCGAACAGTAGATTAGTAGTACACCAAGTAGCGGTATAGACGTACATAGCAGTAGGACACTATACCCCTGCGCCTTCGCCCATTACGTGGCGTGTTGCGGATTACCAATTCAGATCATCATCATGCCGCTAGCGTCCGATATTTCAATGGGTGCAATCTTGCCAAGAAACAAAGACGGCATAAACGATGAAACACGGGACGTGGCTTGCAAATTTCTAGGGTGTGTAGTCTGCGGAAGCGGCCTGAAATAAGTAAAATGTTCGTAGGCACTGATGTCCATGAGAGCTTGGGCGCCACCAACGGTATCCTCCAGTTCACAGCATTCACGGGTGGTGGAGGAGTCCTGCCAGATGGGCGCTTTCTGCAACGAGAAAGCCTTCGAAGATAACTGGCCAGGTAAATTCTTTGATGCATCCAAGTTGGCTAAAGAGCTTTGGCATCGTGGGACCAATAGACAGAACCGTGTTGCTATTAAAAAGGTATTAAAGAGTCACTCTGAGAGACATGCATCAATAGAATATCCACTTACTTGTCCGTCCCCAGATATGGCTGAAACAGCAGAGAAGTCGACTCCTGCTGCCTTCATACGGGTCATAAGAAGATCGTACACTTCCAACCTTGGGATGTGACCTCGCCCGATGACGCAGTCCTCCTGGACGACGACAGCCTTCAGCCCCAGAGTCGATAGATCAAGGCCTAAAAACATTGGGTCCATGTTAGAATGGGATCGTAGGAAAGTACGGGGAAGCTTGGGGAAAACTGACGAGACTTTTTAACCCCACCGGCCCGGGAGGACCAAGGACACGAGAACATGTCGATGTGCAGGACCCGGTTCCCCATTGGTCGAAATGTTCTTTTGTGACTATCACCTTAAACTTTGAAGGAGAGAAAACAAAACTTGGAGCAAGCTGCTCTTGCAGCCTCGCCGTAGGTACTCCAACCGAGGATGCCTGTTTCTTGGAAGAAAGCTAGAAAACTTCAACTCCGACATTATTAGCCTAATCATCACAACACAAACAAATCACCCACAGTTGTGATTGAATTCTCTGACAGCCTCCAACGGATCTTCATTCTTCTTGTTCCAGACGCGGATCTTAAGACTCACGATAACAAAGATACACATTCAAACCTCTCTATTGTAAGTAATATCGCACACTCATCTCCCCTACAAGAAACATATGATAACGAGAATGATAGCAAAAACACTCAACACTACTGTAGCAGTGAAGTAGAAGGGTAGACACACGAGTCTTGGGACAGAAAGATTCCCTGAGCAGTTAAAAATGAAAACTGCCGCACGCACCGTCCACGGACCAGACCCGCCCGGGTAACTTACAAACATTGTGGAAATAAAAGAACGGTGCACAAACGTCCATTGATCTTTTGGAAGATATACAGAAGGACGATGCCTGTCATTATTAATGGAAGAGAACTACAAAAATTTCCGGCAGCCCCTACCGGCCCTTTTCCATTACGCACCGGTAACTTTTTGAGCGAGTGGATAGGATTGTACTCGAAGTACTTTGCTGCTGACTCTGGGAGTACATAGAGATGAAGTGCCGAGGTTCGAACCTTGGTGGTAAGGGCATCTGACATCGTCGTAGGTATGAGTAAAGTACGTGAGAAGATGAAGCATTCACCGATACAAAGAACCACCTTTTCTAGGCTATGCTAGGACTCGCCCGCGGATGAGCTGCATTTGTCTCCTTCGTGTGTTGTGGCGTACCACGCCTTTTACAGAGAAGTACAACGTGTGGTGTGTCAGGGCATGGTTTGAACTTTGAACTTGAGGTGAATCTGAATGCGAGCAGTAGGATATCAGTTTGGAAGGAAAAGATGCTACAGGTGAGGGCGAACGTTTGAACGTTGACAGCGAAATGGAGCTCCGCAATGGGGTCGCTAATGATGACTTTGGAAATAAAGGATACTGTTATTTTGTGTGAACCAATTACTAAAGCGAGCCTACTTACCACTCACTCCAACCTCTCCAAACGTCCATTGATGCGAATATTCGTGCATACTCTCCTTGTCGCACTCTCCTCTCGGGGGAGAGAATATTGGCGGGTAGAAAAGAGACTTTGAGTAACTCCAGACTTCGATATCAGGGATGATGAAAGCAGCATCGTTAAACATTGACGTTAGAGGGCATTGTCTATGCACGGGTTGCTCCACTCTCGACTTTGCAAGGGCATTGACAAGAAGTAAACGCAACCTAGGATGGGCTGAAGGCTACATTGCAAACTTGAAGCAGCTGAAAAGGAGCGAGCAGCAGCACGTATCCTGTCTCTGTAACATCGGAAGGTCGTATATGTCGTCCATTCAGAGCGCGCGAGGTCAGAGTCTGTGTATCGACGCCGGTAAGAGGACACACACTGTGAAGCCCGATCAGGATGATAATCAGTACGTTTTAGGCTGATAAGCAGCCTTCATTCTAGACATGGCTACTATTTGGTTGATTTCAATTCAACCTACATCTTGGATGATATCTCATAGGGCTCCTAGGATATTTTCTCATCTGCCTTTGGTTGATGACTTAGGCTGAAGCCTGTGGAGATCATAGGATGAATTTACGTCTTTCCAGAGGATGATTATCATCCAATGATTGGCTGAGAAGGATAAACCCTAAAATGGTATGGTATTAACTACAGGCATCAACGAAACTGATATACACATGTATTACGAGTTCCGTGCGCTGCCGCTTAATGGGTGCTGAGCGATAGTGCGTTGAATTGGGCCTTGGCGAGTGGAATTTTGCTCCAAGTTCATTCGAACTCCGAAGAGATCACGTGAATGTTGATATCGCGTGAATTCAGACTCCGACTTCTTCTCATCCTGCTCTTTCCCTCATCGTTGGGGCTGCCTCGTCCAATTAATCCTTAGGGCCTGGGTGGTACCTCAGTCTTTGGCGACCTTCCGAAACCTCCTTCTGATGCTGGACTGTTGGGTGTCTCTATGTGCGATGACTGGTACTCGGTTACTCTCTGCTCGCTCTCTCCCATGTCTGGACGATGCTTTAGCGACGATAAATACTGTGCAAATAAGCAATACCTCTATGTATGGTACGTGCTTTATCATCTGAACACGAAGCTTTGCTAATGATCTCGTACAGCACTGTATTATCTCATCTCTTCCTGGTGCGCCGCATTTTTTAGCGATCCTTGCGAGGTACTGACACACAGTTACAGCGCTTGGTGCTAGGCATGCGCAATCTCAGGTGTTAACATCCATCTCTGGTATTTCGGACCTTACAAGCCTGGTCTACCTGCACTGTTCTCGTGTGCACGGTTACTGAGAACACGGTGAGGTATCTCTTTTGTAACAGGCTCATACGATAGATCTGGGTTATATATGTCTGGTATCATATCATATAGCATAGTATTGTGTTAGTTCACAGCCTAAATGAAAATGGTTTTTCTGTTACCTCTGCCCTGTAGATTGGTTAATATTCATGCAAATATTGGATGGATAATCAGCCTAAAATTGGTCTTGATTTCAGCCTGATATTGCGTGAGAATCATCCAAAAACACGGTTCAGCGGCTCTGGCGGGCGTAGACTGAAAGTGGCCATTTTAGGATGATAAACATCCTACCGAGGCTAGGTTGATACTCAGCCTACGAACATCCTGGAACCGGCTAATTGTCATCCTATATTAGACTGAAAGCCTTGGTTGACTTTCATCCTATCTGACCTTCACAGAGACATAGGCAAAGACAAAAAATCGAATTGGAAAATTGGGAAACAAAGCTACATTCAGCAGTTGCCGGATTGTATCGCATCTAAGTTTCGCAATGTCTGTATTTTTATTGTCGAGAATATTGGGCCCGATACTGGTAGGGGGAAGTAAATTAAATAATTAAAAATAAACTAAGAATATTGCGCGATGGTGGGATGGTGGGATGTTACACATTCTACATAGTGAGATATACCGCAGTGAATTTTTCCTTGTGTATTACTACAGTAACATAGGCAGGTAGATAGAATCGTAATATCATATATGAGGTATGAACGTTGTCCAATTTACGGTACGAAGAGCCAGTGGCGGCAATGAACGGAATTCTAAGAGTGCAAGGACAATCAAAGTAATCCGCGCTACGATGTACACGCCGGCACCCAAAACAGACAAGACAATCGACCCAAAGTCCATGAATGTCTTGAGAACGCCATTCTTTTCCATCACGATATAATCGTCGGACAGTGGGGAAATCTTGCTCGAAACACGACTGCGCCTAACGCCCTTTCGCGCCCGTTGTATTAGGCTGCTTATTACACCAAAAATGGTGAACAATCCTTTCCGCATGAGTATATGACCGACGCCATTGACTAGGCCAATTATAATCGCGAGAGATGACGTCCGCCATAGCACTTTTTCCGCATGCGAAGGAAAGTCAAATGACCAAGCCGCACAGTGGATTGCCCCAAACAGGCCTCCCACATAAAGCACTGCTAACAAACGCATCAGAAAATGGTCTGCCTCTGTTGATGTATCGCCATCGCAACACGACATCCCCACGGCACCGATTGCAGCAGTTGGCACAGGTCTTTCAACCCCCGAACCAATGTCATCGCCAAATATGAAGCCCATCATCGAAAAGTATATCCCCGTAAAAGGTCCAATAGCTCTCTTTCTCCAACGCTCAGCAGTCTTGAAACAGCATCTGATGAGTTCCAGTAGAGAAGGTCCAGGATGGGTGGTGGTGTTTTTCAGAGTTGAAGCGTCGGAAATATTAAGCCAACCACTGCTATAACCCGCGGTTGGCTCAAAAGAGGCCATACTGGGAGGAGGACGGAGTTCTATGGGGTTTGAGCTATCGACTCCAGAAAGCTTGTCGAGGGTGTCAAAACTTCTAGAGGGAGATAGAGCCACCGCCGGTTTTGTGTCGACATCCAAGAGATCAAAGACTTCAGGAGACGCACGATCATCCTGATCTTGATCCAGCGAAGAATGCTCTTCGAGACGGATGTGATACAGGACATCAACCGGCTTTTCCCACCATGCCGCATAAGAAGCGATGCTCAGCATCGCAAATGCAAGGGCCGACATCTCCAGCAGCGTGATAGGCAGCTTCCGAACGCCTCGTGCACAACACTGGACCACGAACCAGGATATTTGGAGGACGGCAACCATTTTAGAAAGTGCGTCTCCTTTACTCTTGTCCTTGATATCGAAGTCGCGGACTTTTGCCAGTGGCTCCAAGAACTTGGGAACGTCTTTTAAAGTGACGAGCTTTTCTTCCTTTCCGTAATAGAACCCTCCCATGCTAACAAAAAAACCGTGGACCAGCTTCAGTTCGTGATCCTTGGAGGAATCTACCACGTAGGAAGTCAGCTCATGGGTTATGAAAACTAAATCGTGAATGCTTTACATGCGCGAACCTTCCTTGCGACTAGGAATTGACGTATAGCCCACCCGACCGTGGCCTCCGGCGCCAGAATCGCAATCAGCATCAGTTTCAGGCGCTCAAGAGAACACATGATTGCTCGACGATCAAAAATTCGCCACAAGGATCCTTCCTTGGTAAGCTTACGCCCCGGGACATTGGGATGTGCAGCAAGCCATGTAGACGCGAATATCGTAGCTAGACAGCTCCAGATGATGCTCAGCTTCGTCCTGAGTTCTTTCGAACAAGGAGGTAAGCTTGAAGAGTCGCTATCGTCTGGAGAGGCGCCGCTGACATTTACAGCGAGTAAGAAGACGAGGATCAAGGTTTGCATGTCGATGAATTGCTAGCACAAAAACATCAGGATCCGTAAGGTAGAATATGATAGCAGGTGTATGCTTACGTTTTATTAACGGCCTTTACGGTGGGCAATCAAAGTATGGGATATTGAGCGATATAAGAGCACGAGCGGGCAGAAGCACGAGGTCCCTACAAGGAGAACAAGTTTAGCTCCCATTCTAGCCCAAACAAAGGAACGTACCGGCCACCTAAACTGCAACTAGAAGTTCAAGTGTGAACCTGAGGGACAGGCTTTGTTGAGACTGCCCAGCGCAAAACGAAGAGAACAAGGGAGAGAACGACTTTATGTATATGATATCCTTTGTGTAATGATTAAAGTGAATGCAGCACCTTGGGAGCTATACGAGCGGGTCAGATATGCTGATAATTGGTGGATATGAAACGAAGGAATACGGCACCAGTATCTGTCTTGTCCCTTCTTCCCTGTTGGGCACAGCCTTTCTTCATCTTGCACAAATAAATGTGCTGGAGCTTCACTTCTGGGTGAAGGTACCGATGCGAAGGATCATGTTGAACAAGAAGACGGTAATACACGTGTGACGTTCGAGGAGTCTGGTGGCTATTTGTCTGATGGGAGATGAGTTTACGTGACACCGGAAGACGGCTTGACTGACGGCTTTGTTGAAACTCTATAGGGATACGGCAGAAGGCAGACATTTCCTTGTTCATCAGCCGCGTTTGTGATGTTTATCGATACGTCCTATTCTCTCTCTAACCACCAAACAACGGGTAGTAGGGATCTATTTATGCAAGCCAATCAGCTCTACAGCGTTGGATTCTAATATTAGCAAGCGGCTACGTACCTGTGTGCATGCCAACTACGCATATAGACCAGATCCGAGCCAATACCGTTGAGACTGCCGTACTCGTGCGTCCTTCTCCAAGGGCATACATCTGACTGTCCGAATCTGAAATCCGGTAGGTGGTATTCCAAGAGCGAGCCTCGAAGAGATAAGCGTACCGTTGTGGACTCCTGTGCCTTGGTTTTCTCCACTAGTGTTGGTACCAACTGTGGGTATTCACAGAAGCATATTCCACGAGCAGACCGGAGAGTTCACAATCGTAGCGTTTGGCGCCATCGGGAAGGGTGAGGATGGCGCCTCGCGTGATAGTGCTTGTAGAGTTGAAACTATACACCCAGTCAAACAGGCCGCCGGAAGGAGGAAGAAAAGAAGAAAATGCACAGAACTCCGGTCGACCTCTGCTTCGCGACAGACATGGTAACCGTCGAGTTCCTATCGTAGAACTCCGATGTTTCCCGTATACGAGGATCCACCTTGAGCGGTACAAAACCAGGAGGAACACTATGCCAGTTCAGATTGACAGGATCCTCAGCGTCTTTGAACACCTTGAAAAGGTACTTGAATCTCCCGTCATCAGCAACGTCGCCGACTTGTGTTCCATAGCGCACACAATCAGGAGGAAGATTCGAATCAGTTCCGGAAGCGACAATGGATATCCCTGACCCTAGCGTAGCATCAATGAGGGGTAGGTGCTTGGAACTCGGAGTGATACTGGTGTTTCCATGATGGATGGGATGAGAGAAGGTCCCGTCTTGTAAATCGGCCGACGGCGACTTCAGTAGAGGAAATCCTTGACTCGGCATTGAGAAGGTAGTAGACCCTGAAGATCATTTCCCTTCAAACAGCCTTTCTGCCTCAACTTCGGCGTTGTTATCATCAGCGACGAGGCGGCAGGTGGAAGAGCAATGGGAGGATGACGGCAATGGCATAGTCGTCGCAGTGAAAGATCGAATTCGGCTTTTGCCGCAAACCCTCTCCCATTCACGACTCGGACCGGGTAGGTTATAGCTGTGGCAATTGCGATAGGGTAGTTTTATTGGGTGGTTGGATGAGATAACAGTATGGGACTATAAAACCGCCGTAAGACTTGCCATTGCTAACTCAACTTCATAAAGTCTTGTTAATAGCATTCACTCTTCTGCTCTGTAATCAGAACTTGGTACGAGAGGGGCGCGCATATTGTCGTGCGCGCTCCCTCAAATTTATTCCGTTCAATGTGAGAAGAAAAAGTAGACCGAGATTTTACGCAACCGGATGCTGGAGCGGGGAGTCGAGCCCCAGGTACCAGACGTATTAACCACAGCGTCCTTTAAGTCCTGGCATTATTCAATCGAAGGAGGACGTGTCCTGCACACATTTTGAAATGAGGCTAATCATGGTTTAGTTTGCAGGGTCGTATTCTGCAGAAATTGATGGTCTCCTCGATTGGTAGCATACAATAACGAGCGAGATACTAGATGAGATCGAGATGAGGTATATGGCAGTTGTAGCAGTAGTACAGCAGTACGGGAGAAAATGGACAAGGGTATCAACGTGAATTATTTGATCCACGGATTCGTGGGGCAGTCTCTCTTCCTGTGTGGGGCTCGCGAAGCTACGCAGGACATAGAAACGACAGTACCCGAAAATTTAGTTGGGGGATTCCCATCAGACTCGTCTAACACCCTCAGCAAAACACTGTATAGATGCCTGAGTTGTAAAACCGGGTTTACTCACGTTCCCAATGGACAAATAATGAGATGTCGTCCATTCCGAGTGCACAAAAGACGACCGAGGACTGCGCGAGTAGACCAAACCTAGGTCGGAGAGAAGGCATCGCTTCGGACGGGAAGAATGCGAGATTGGGGTTGCTTCCGAGCTCAGCAGAGACTTTGTTCTAAGCCACTTGCACCGATACAAAATACCACATGTCTCCGAAGCTGAAGAGAGGCGGTACTAGTCTCTCTACTGAGGACACTCCGTAGTGGGTAGCAGAGGAATCGGAACGAAATATGGACGGGTCTTTTTGGGGGGGGAGGATAGAGAGGAGCTTGTCCCGGAGCTTGCTGCCTGCCTGCCTCGTACGAACGGCGACGTCGAGTAGAAGGAATACATGGTACAGCGTTCATGATTGCCATGCCAGTCAGTCGCAGAGCGTAAATTTCTGCTGCACGACGTGTCTTGCCGCATTCTCCAAGGACGCGTCTACCTTCCCGTCCAGTCCAGATGTGTACACTAAGCTCTTATGATGATCCTGGAAGACAAGTTCAACGATGTCAACATCTTCCTCAGGCAAATCCCACCCGAGCATAGCATCTCGGACGAGCGTGTTTCCCATTGAGAGGACGACGACGGAGCTGAGAAGATACTGCACAATTCGAGTTTAGTGACACATTATGGATGCAGAAAATGCTCGTTACCTGCTGTAGTTGCTGCCTGGTTAATTCCCCGCATTTGCAATCAGAGGATGTTGTTATCCTCCTGGTGAATAATCAAAACAGTAAGTATAGGCAATGATAATGGCGGAGAAAACATACCATTGCCTATACTCGTTACCACTACCCCATACAATGAAGCCTACTACGACAACCTCACCGCCGTAAATTGCTTGCCCTGCAGCCACCCATGATATGACGCAGCTTCAAGACCCGAGCCGGGTCTCGCTTCGTCTTCATAAATTACGCCTGCATTCTCAAATTCTTCTATTGGCGTATCACTTCTACGTGTATGACCTTGACGAGATGGTGGTGGTGGCGGTGGTGGAAGGGCGGAGTAGTCGTGATTAGTCATTCGGCATTTGCCGCATGCGTGTTGGGTGGCGGCACGAGGGCGGTAAAATACCGCAAGTACTTAGGACACCCTACTACTCATTGGTTATCTTCGTCACACCAACTGAACCTCTACAAGTAGTTCCTCTCCTCCTACCGATGTGGACCACGTCCGACTCTGAGATCTGTTGGATTGTCCAGCATAATATACAGGTTCCACAAGTATGTGCTCGCGAAGCTGTGAGGGATGCCCTTCTCACCGTACTCTTTTGTCATCTTTTTTCCACCACCTCCGGGTATCACCGCCTCTCAGCGCTAGCATTAATCGAGTTCGAACCGGTAAACGCGGCCGTAGCCCTATTATACCCTTAGTCTGTTCAGGTGTACAACCTAAAGACCGGTCAGTATGGAGTGCTCTGAGACGAGACTACAAAACGTACGCGTCAGTTTTTCTAGTATTTCCGCATCCTTCGAGTCGAGCCTCCGGCGTTGGTTTCCGAGTATATCTGTGAAACCTCGGTTAGCTATCCATGCACCGTTCGTTCCTGAGCCTAAAAGCAAGCAGTTAGGATTCAGGCACAAGTACGAGTCAACGATAGACATATGTCTTACTTTTGGTGATGAAAACTAGGTCGGTATTGGGGATGAAATCGTTCGCAAGCTCTACAGCCTTGAGCAGTTTTTGAACCTAGCAAACCTTGTTAGTACAAGTGGAAGACTCGCCACAGGTACAGCAACATACATTATTTACCATGCCCATGTAGTGATCATGAGTCAGTGCGACATTGGTGCTACAGTACTAGGAGTCGGGGTGAGCTGAGTACATCTTTACAGAGACACCGAGAGCTTACGGTGTCCAATATATGATTGTTTATCGACGCTGAGGGATTAACAATCTAAATCCAATCAATACATCCCCACGTTGGAGGACTGATACCACCTACCTCGCCTTCGGCCGGGAATCGCTGAACCCACACACCAGGCAGCCTATGTGGAGGGCAGTATGGAATCGCGTCCTGCGATCACATTTCAACGTCACGGCTTGAAAAACAAAATGAATCATGCCCACCCGTGTTCTCGACATTCCCAGAATCCACCGTAGTATGCTGTCTTCCCTCTTGGTACGAACAGAGATGGAGTATCCGCGCAGGAAGATAGTCTGATTCGCAACCGTTCCTTCGCTATGGTGATACCGAAGGTGAAGTCCGCTCGCAGAGTGTTTCACCCACTGGTAGTGTGGCTTTTCCGGTTCAGGAGCGTAGAATTCCAGTGTAGGATGCCAGTCGGCGAAGCATCCGTTACCCCAAGAGCGGCATTTGTCGCATCCAGTGACTAGGTATAGCGAGCCGTTCGGGATCATCCTCCCCTGATCGTCATTAACATATTTGTACCAGCTATGAGCGTTGGCAGCTGCATATTCCGCAAGCAAACTAGGATTCTTGGAATTGTAAGATTCGCTGCCATCGAGAAGGATGAGTACTGCACCCCGAGTGTTTGAACTCGGGAATTGAAAACTACTGTTACAAGTCAAAATGGGAACAGTTGAGTAGTAGCAGGAAACATACTTGGTTTCAGTCGACCTTTGTACCACAACAGATGTACTGGTGATCACCGAATCCTTATCGAAACCACGCTGTTCTAGTACCCCAGGACTCTGAATGGGTTCAAAGTCGGGAGGAACCCTGTTCAGATTTACGGGATCCTCAGCACTCTTGCACACATTGAAGAGATATTCGAATCCTCCGTATTCGTCAAGATATCCGGGCGAGGAGAATTCTGCGTTTGCGTGCTGCGTGCTTGCGTTTGCTTGCGTTTTGTTTGCGTTCATTTGCGTTTCGGGTGCGTTCATTTGCGTTTCCATCATTGCGTGTATATGGTGTCGTGTGCGTGCCATTGTCTACGAATGCGAGTGCTATTTAATGTTCTTGAGTCCTTCGAATATATCTTAATTTTCGGATGAACATAGCATGTCATAACAATGTTATATATACTTAATAGAGGTAACTCAGTTGTTTCAGACACAACATACATCAAATAAGTTACATACAAGGTGCCCCAGATACACAATTAATCGACTGCAGGCCTAACGCAAGTCCCATCCTATGAACGCAATGCATCAACTTCGTGATGGTTGCGTCTGAATCATTAACGCACGCGTTCACTTGATTTACGCATGCGTTCACATGGTAACGAAAGCGTTTTGAACATTCTCGCAAGCGTTTAAATATTCACGCAAACGCACAGGCAGCCCACGCACGTCAAGAGACAAAAACGCATGCGTTACAAGGTTTGAACGCAAGTGTGACATACTCGTCACATTTGCGTTTCATTGGAGTTGAACTTGCCCAACATGCTTTTCGTCCTTCCGTGGCCTCGTATTGATTTATTTCGCATATCTTTTACTATAAAATACCTTAAAACCGTATAAACTTCCCAATCAATATCCATAATAATGGTTTAACGGTGCCTTCAAGGCATTCCCTTACCTACAAGGCTACCACTTCTGTGATAAGAAATAGTACAGTATTCTAGTGTCTACAAGCGAGAATCATTGCTCTCCGATTGTCTGCAGCTTCGCTTAGCAGGTCAGCAATGATTTTTGTTAGTATCAGCTGTCCCCGAGTCATCTGATCTGGTAGGTATATCAGCCTCAGCCCGACGCTTTCCGGTACCATTTGACAGCATTCTGGGTCGTGGACGTATGGCTTTTTGCACTCGTTCTCTTTCCTCCTCCTTCTCTTGTTCCATCTTATGCCACTGCTCCAGCTCCTCTTTGTCAAAAATCCTTGGAATCTTGTTGGAATCGGAATCCGCTTCCAGCAGCTAGGTGCCTATTGCACGCCTAATTTTTTTCTGTTAATTAGAAGCATTAGGGAGACATCTTTCAAGTACATCACTGACTTACGAGGATACCCATGAAATTTTTGAGGCAAGATCTGTGCAAGAACTCGTGGTTCACAAGTGGGCGGAAACTTGAACTAATGTTCACAGCAATTGCGCTAGCAATGCTGTACTAACTACAAGGATTTTATACTACCAGAATAAATAGAATGCACTAGAATGTATGACAGTATCACTGATAAAATGAGTGCGTCCGGGGAATATGGGGAGAATGAGCGAGAATATTCAAGCAAGCTCCGACATCTAAAAATAGCGATCCGTATTCTAACAAGATCTCGAATTGACGGGCTCCCGTCGCGGCATGAGGGATTGGGTTGTGTCACGCCGCGACGCGTCTGCAGGTGAAACGCAAGGATGTCACGCACGCAAACGCAAACGCATTTCAACTAACGCAACTGCCTTTTTAGGAAACGCATGCGTTCGAACGCAAACGCAAACGCAGGAGCGATAACGCAAGGCAACGCATCCACGCATTTGGATAACGCAGAATTCACCGTGCCCAAGATATCCGACGTCGTCGATTTGGGTTCCATGGCAAAGATAAGCGTCAGGCAAATTTGAAGGCATGTCTGGAAGCCACAACGGATAACCGTGAACCTTGGACAGCATCGATGAAGGGTAGATGTCTTGAGCCCGTTGGGACATTGTTGTTGAGTTGAAAGAGGCGTCTGAAATCCAAATCCTAGACCTCTGAATCGCTGTCAGTTGAGTTGACATTCCGAGGAAAGGATAGGATGAAGTTCTTGACTCACGGTTTTGGTGGTTTTGAAAAGGTTCGATTGGATGTTTACTGCTTGAGTGTTTGCTGATGACAAAGCTTAAGGCTAGATAACGCTCGTTCTTATAGACTTTCTGAAGCCATACAATCTTTGATTATGCCTAGTCATGAGTCAAGGCTTGGCACATTAGGATTGCCGTCAGCTCTCAGCCTTGAGCGACTCACCAGTGAGCGCTGAGCCACGGAGATCTTCCTCGATTTGGAGGTTTCCAAGAATAGACGTCGTTATTCCAAGGTGACGGAGCAGATTTTCAGCCTGGACGAGAACGGCTGAGCAAGTTCTGGCCCCATGATAAGCACAAATGAATACGAGTGAAGTAAAGATCTCCATTAAGTTCATGCCACCAGCAGACCGAAAACAGCCACATAGAATTCTACCCGAGAGTTACACGTCCCATAGAGTCGAACAGTAGATTAGTAGTACAACGAGTAACGGTATAGACGTACGTAGCAGTAGGACACTATACCCCCGCGCCTTCGCCCATTACGTGGCGTGTTGCGGATTACTAATTCAGCGCTAGCGTCCGATATTTCAATAGGTGCAATCTTGCCAAGAAACAAAGACGGCATAAACGACGAAACATGGGACGTGGCTCGTAAACTTCTAGGGTGCGTAGTCTGCGGAAGCGGCCTGAAATAAGTAAAACGTTCGTATGCACTGATGTCCATGAGAGCTTGGGCGCCACCAACGGTATCCTCCAGTTCACAGCATTCACGGGTGGTGGAGGAGTCCTGCCAGATGGACACTTTCTGCAATGAGAAAGCCTTCGAAGATAACTGGCTAGGCAAATTCTTTGATACATCCAAGTTGGCTAAAGAGCTTCGGCGTCGTGGGACCAATAGACAGAACCGTGTTGCTATTAAAAAGGTATTAAAGAGTCACAATGAGAAACATGCATCAATAGAATATCCACTTATTTGTCCGTCCCCAGATATGGCTGAAACAGCAGAGAAGTCGACTCCTGCTGCCTTCATACGGGTCATAAGAAGATCGTACACTTCCAACCACATCTCAACTGGGGATGTGACCTCGCCTTCCAAGTCTCGAATAGCACCGTTTGTGGTTCCATAGTGAGGTAAGTCGCGGTCAAAGTGTACTGCAGACTCGTGGACGATGATGCAGTCTTCCTGGACGACGACAGCCTTCAGCCCTAGAGTCGATAGATCAAGGCCTAAAAAAAATGGGTCCATGTTAGAATGGGATTGTAGGAAAGTACGGGGAAGCTTGGGGGGAAACCGACGAGACTTTTTAACCCCACCGGCCCGGGAGGACCAAGGACACCAGAACACGTCGATGTGCAGGACCCGGTAGGGCTATGCTAGGACTCGCCCGCAGATGAGCTGCATTTGTCTCCTTCGCGTGTAGTGGCGTACCACGCCTTTTCCAGAGAAGTACAACGTGTGGTATGTGTCAGGGCATGGTTTGAACTTTGGTCTTGAGGTGAATCTGAATGCGAGCAGTAGGATATCAGATTGGGAAGGAAACGATTCTACAGGTGAGGGTGAACGTTTGAACGTTGGCAGCAAAAGGTCGCTAATGATGACTTTGGAAATAAAGGATACTGTTATTTTGTGTGAACCAGTTACCAAAGCGAGCCTACTTACCACTCACTCTAACTTCTCCAAACGTCCATCGATGTGAGTATTCGTGCATACTCTCCTTGTCGCACTCTCCTCTCGGGGGAGAGAATATTGGCGGGTAGAAAAGAGACTTTGAGTAACTCCAGACTTCGATATCAGGGATGATGAAAGCAGCATCGTTAAACATTGACGTTAGAGGGCATTGTCTATGCACGGGTTGCTCCACTCTCGACTTTGCAAGGGCATTGACAAGAAGTAAACGCAACCTAGGATGGGCTGAAGGCTACATTGCAAACTTGAAGCAGCAGAAAATGAGCGAGCAGCAGCACGTATCCTGTTTCTGTAATATCGGAAGGCCGTATACGTCGTCCATTCAGAGCGCGCGAGGCCAGAGTCTGTGTATCGGCGCCGGTAAGAGGACGCATACGCAAAGACAAAAAATCGAATTGGAAAATTGGGAAACAAAACTACATTCGGCAGTTGCCGGATCGTATCGCATCGAAATTCCGCAACGTCTGGAATTTTATTGTCAAGAATCTTGTGCAATGGTGGGATGTTACACATTCTACATAGCGAGATATACCGCAGTGAATTTTTCCTTGTGTATTACTACAGCAACGTGGGCAGGTAGAGAAAATCGTAATATCATATATGAGGTATGAACGTTGTCCAATTTACGGTACGAAGAGCCAGTGGCGGCAATGAACGGAATTCTAAGAGTGCAAGGATAATCAAAGTAATCCGCGCTACGATGTACACGCCAACAGCCAAAACAGACAAGACAATCGACCCAAAGTTCATGGATGTCTTGAGAACACTATTCTTTTCCATCACGATATAATTGTTAGACAGTGGGGAAATCCTGTCCGAAACATGACTGCGCCTAACGCCCTTCTGCGCTTGTTGTATTAGGCGGCTTATTACAGTAAAAAGGGTGAACACTCCTTTGCGCATGAGTATATGACCGACGCCATAGAATAGGCCAATTACAATCGCAAGAGATGACGCTCGCCAAAGTACCTTTTCCGTGTGCGAAGGAAAGTCAAATGACCAAGCCGCACAGTGGATTGCCCCAAACAGGCCTCCCACATAAAGCACTGCTAACAAACGCACCAGAAAATGGTCTGCCTCCGTTGATGTACCGCCATCGCAGCATGACATCCCCACGGCACCGATTGCAGCAGTTGGCACAGGTCTTTCAATCCCCGAGCCAATGTCATCGCCAAATATAAAGCCCATCATCGAGAAGTATATCCCCGTGAAAGGTCGGATGGCTCTCTTTCCCCAACGCTCAACAGTCTTGAAACAGTCTTGTATGAATTTTAGTAGAGAAGGTCCAGGAGAGGGAGTGGTATCCTTCGGAGCTGAAGTGCCGACTGCAAGAGAACTGTCAAGCCATCCACTGCTATAACCCACGGTTGGTTCAAAAGAAGTCATATTGAGAGGAGAAGGGAGTTCTGTGGGGTTTGAGCTATTGACTCCCGAAGGCTTGTCGAAGGTGTCAAAGCTTCTAGTAGGAGATAGAGCCGTCGTTTTTGTGTCGACATCAAAGGGATCAAAAACTTCAGGGGACGCACGATCATCCTGATCTTGATCCAGCGAAGAATGCTCTTCGAGACGAATATGATACAGGACATCAACCGGCTTTTCCCACCATGCCGCATAAGAAGCGATGCTCAGCATCGCAAATGCAAGGGCCGACATCTCCAGCAGCGTGATAGGCAACTTCCAAATAGCTCGTGCACAACATTGGACCACGAACCAAGATATTTGGAGGACGGCAACCATTTTAGAAAGCGCGTCTCCTTTACTCTTGTCCTTGATCTCGAAGTCGCGGACTTTTGCCAGTGGCTCCAAGAACTTGGGAACGTCTTTTAAAGTGACGAGCTTTTCTTCCTTTCCGTAATAGAACCCTCCCATGCTAACGAAAAAACCGTGGACCAGCTTCAGTTCGTGGTCCTTGGAGGAATCTACCACGTAGGAAGTCAGCTCATGGGTTATGAAAACTAAATCGTAAATGCTTTACATGCGCGAACCTTCCTTGCGACTAGGAATTGACGTATAGCCCACCCGACCGAGGCCTCCGGCGCCAGAATCGCGATCAGCATCAATTTCAGGCGCTCAAGAGAACACATCATTGCTCGACGATCAAAAATCCGCCACAAGGATCCTTCCTTAGTAAGGTTACGCCCCGGGACGTTGGGATGTACAGCGAGCCAGGTGGATGCGAATATCGTAGCTAGACAGCTCCAGATGATGCTCAGTTTCGTCCTGACTTCTTTCGAACAGGGAGGTAAACCTGAGGAGCCTTCGCTGTCATCTAGGGCACTACTGACATTCATGACGAGCAAGAAGACGACAATTAGGATTTTCATGTCGATGAACTCCCAGTCCTAGCGTTGAAACATGACGCTCCGTAAGCTGGAGCATGATAGTAGGCATATCCTTACGTTTAATTGAGATGGCTCCACGTTCTCCGATTTGGCAATCAAAGATGATGTGAAAACACGAGATTTCTACAAGGGGTACAAGTTTAGCATTCATTCAGGCCCAAACGAGGGAATGTACCAGCCGTGCAGACTGCAACTAGAAGTTCGAGACGAACGTCTCGATGAACCGGAAGGACGGGCTTAGGGAGATTTCCAAGCGCAACATATATGAAGAGAATAGGCGAGAGAGAGAGCGAGGTTTTTATATACTATCTCTGTTTTAGGATTGAGACGAATGTAGCATCTAGAATGCTATACGAGCGGGTCAGATATGCTAATAATTGGTGGATATGAAACGAAGAAATACGGCACCAGTATCTGTCTTGTCCCTTCTTCATATCCTCAACATGTTTCAGCCATTACGCTACGGGTTGTACATCTGGATATCCGCCAGAAATACATACACCATGAATGTATATCGGCGCGTCACAGTTCCTGTCAGGCACAGTCTTTCTTCATGTTGCACAAATAGACGTGTGCGCACTGCGAGCTTCATTTCTGGGTGAAGGTACCGATGCGAAGGATCATCCTCAACAAAAAGACGATAATACACGCGCGATGTTCGATGACGTCTATGGTGGATATTTGTCTGAGGGGAGATGAGTTTACGTGACACTGGAAGACGGCTTGACTGACGGCTCTACAGGGATACCGCGGAAGGCAGACATTTTCTCCTTCATCAGCCGCGCTTGTGATGTATACCGTCCTATTCTCTCTCAAACCACTACACAACGGATAGTCAACCCCAGTGAATAGCGCCTGTATTTGCTTCTGTTACTCTCGATTTATATTGATTTTTTCTGTTCATTTCGGTTATTTTCAATTTATTTCGGACTTTTCGTTAGCTCGCCACTGCAAAACTCCTTAGAAGCTCGTCGAAACTTGTCAGATTTATTTCAAAACCTAATCCTCCCAAACCTTGCAAAAAAATTTCTATCGTTCTTTCTTTCGGCATAACAAATAAACCGAATGCACGTACACTTCAACCCATCGACTTCGAATAAGTTCAAACCAGACCTCTCCGAGTCGGAGTAGACTGCTAAATATGCAAGGTGTCACGCGGTTGTGACGATGCCTTCTTTCCTCCCTACCACCACCACCACCATTGCCGGTGTTCGCCAATGTTGTAACGACGTTGACTACTGCCTCGCCTCTGCCAATTGTCGTTTATACCCTCTCATATACAATCATATGATGGAATTCGGCGCATATATGCACTTCATTAGGGTCTGGGCAGGCGGCATGTCGTTGATGCTAGTGCATGTGAGGGCAATGATATGGTACGCGATTGCAGCTCTCCCTAGACCAGATACTTACGATTCACAAAATGCGGTAATACTAGACCACAAACGCTACAATAGGATGCCACTATGACTACCGCCATAATAACAACTTTTCCCTGCCACGGCGAGTACATTTTGGCCGTTCCTTTCATATTGCGATTTGCTTATGCAGGTCATGCAGGCCTAACCATGGAAAGGCAATGACTGGTACTGATGTTGCTTTGTTGATAAGGTGAGGATTCACTTTACCTGGCTGACCGTTGCACTAATAGAGTACTCCCAGTGCCTTGACGATGTCGTTGCGGGAATGTGTAGCTTCGGCGATGGGCCAGGCATCTTTGGATAGCAACTAACGACTTTGTATCATATGTATAATATTCAATACAAGCTGAATTGCAGCGTTATAAATCTGAGAAATGTATCAGAAAATCAAAAAGAATCTGAAGGGCACGATTTAAAGGATTATTCGCCGATTTACAGCTGCTGAACAGAAAAGAAACCTCAGAAAACGAGATAAATCTTCTTAGATCTGTTTCTGGACCAGGCACACCATTATCTTAGGTTCTCCAAGGGGCGACAGATTAAAACGCATGATAATCGTGATAAACACACGGACTATTCACTGGGAGTCAACGTTGGATTCTAATATTAGCAAGCGGCTACATACCTGTGTGCATGCCAAAATTAGACCCGATCCGAGTCAACCGTTGAGACTGTTGTACTCAATGCTGATGCATCCTTCTCCAAGGACATACATCTGACTGTCCGAATCTGAAATCCGGTAAGTGGCATTCCAAGAGCGAGCCTTGTTGCATCCAGCGACGAGATAAGCGTACCGTTGTGGATCACCGTGCCTTGGTCTTTTCATTGTAATATTGGTACCGACTGTGAGCATTCACGGCAGTATATTCCCCGAGTAGACCGGGGACTTCACAATCGTAACGTTCGGCGCCATCGGGAAGGGCGAGGATAGCGCCTCGCGTGATTGTGCTCGCAGACTTGAAACTACACATCTAGTCAAAAAAGCCGCTTGAAGGGAAAAAAGAAGAAAACGCACAGTACTCCTGCCAGAATACTGCACGATTCGAGTTCAGTGACACGTTACGGATGCAGAAAATGCTCGTACTGTACTTCGTTACCTGCTGTAACTGCCACCTATTTATTTTCCCGCATTTACAATCAGAGATGTTGTTATCCCATTCTCTGGTGAATGGTCAGAACAGTAAGTATAGGCAACTATAATGGTGGAGAAAACATACCATTGCATCTGCTCATTACCGCTAGGCTGGGCTCACAACGAAGCCTACCACTACGACTTCGCCGCGGTAACGTCGCTTGCCCTGTCAAAACCCAAGCCGCGTTCCACTTTGTCTTCATCAATATGCCTGCACACTCCAAATTCTTCTGTCGGCGTATCACTTCTTGTATGACCTTGACGAGATGGAAGGGTGAGCAAAAGACATGTTGGAAGACGTTCGGCATTTGCCGTGTGCGTTCGCCATCTCCCACTCCTACAAAAAGATCTGTGCTGGTATATCTCCCTTGCACCGACGGTCTGCTGTACTAGATTGGGCCTTATTGTTGCTCTTTCTGGAGTTTTTGCAGCGCGGCTTGATACATGTATGAAGTCTTTCTTGGTCCTAGACGCTAGACCTCGCTAGATGGAGATCATGATCGTGTGATGCTTTGCTTTCTGTCAACTGCATTTCACACTGGTTTTCGCTATTTGTGTTATGTTCTCGTCTTCTCCTTTGTGCCAAAGTATCTTCTTGTTGCGGCATTGAAGGCTGTTCAATATTTGCAACTTTGCCTTCAACTCATGCACGTCGCCGGTCCATAGTAGGCACGCGTACCTTCTCTTTAATCCATATGCACGGCGACTCGTCCATGTGCAAGTATGGAGGAAGGGGATAGCTTGGGCCACGCGCCTATCTTTACGTCACCGGTACCAGCACCCACGGGAGATGTGAACGGGGACACACCAAACATGCCGAGTTCTGGCAAACGCGTCTTTCCAGCCCAATCTCCAAGAATTCGCGAGGGATTCATATTTGCCATTTCTCTCATTTTACGCGTCTTCAAGATGTCCATGGTCACTTATATTGCCTGCACTTCCGGCTGTTGTCCTGAATCCACCCAAATGCTACACAGAATCGGTTTTCTGGCAGTCACCCTCGATTAGCGCTCGGCCCAGTGTTGATATGAGATCAGTTCACTCATGGTTTGTGGTTATCTAAGTTTGATAGCCCGTTAATTCACTTCAGCAAGCAGGCTTTTGTCCTGATCAGGTGCCATCTTAGTAACGAGCACTAATAGACGCCCATCGATACCTCAAGGTCTCCTTTCTACCACCACCACATTTCTATCATGTTCAGCAGACGAGGCAAGGAGCCGTGTAGATACTTCAACACTCCTAGGGGATGTCGTGAAGGTCAGGACTGTAGGTTTCTCCACGAAAGAGCGGGAAGTCCAACATCGCCCATCGATGCCTCGAGGTCTCCTTTCCGCCACCACCACGTTTCTATCATGCTCAGCAGACGAGGCAGGGAGCCGTGTAGATACTTCAACACTCCTGGGGGATGTCGTAACGGTCAGGATTGCAGGTTTCTCCACGAAAGAGCGGGAAGTCCAACATCTTCGTCTTCGTCGACTTCGTTTCAATCGCCTAGACTATCAGGCTGGCCTAGCGCACCCCCAGCTGGCCGGGGGAACTGCAAGTTCTTCTGGACTTCAGGGGAATGTCGACAAGGATTTAATTGTACATTCCGCCATGTTCGCCAGTCGCAGACTCAGAATACAGCAGAGGCGGCTCTAGAAGCAACGTCTTCGGAATCCGACACTGTGACCCTGGACTTCCTGACGACAGAAGGGTTAGCCAGTATCAACAACATCTCCTTGGACGACTTGCATAAAATCGGCCCGACAGAGGCGCATAACATACTCAAACGATTCAATTATCCAACGTTCCAGTTCACACGCCCAGATCAAGTCATTCAGTTCGTCCAGATTCTAGCTAGCGTTGATCGCCGGAATCCACAATGGGTACGCTGTTCGCATAACGCCGGCTCTCGTTACTAAACGATTTCACAGGATACGATTCGCGCCCAGTCATTTCTTGAAACGATAGTTGACTTGAAGGTAGAGCTTCTCTAAATTTTCAAATATGGTTTTGGTCTTATCAAAACCAACAGCATCATGTCCTTGCTCGCATCCGCGAGGTCTTGCAATACTCCCCTGTTTCTTGCCATGCTGGTACCAGCTTCACGGACCTCTCATTCCAAATTGGATATCTCCCGCTTCTTCAGGTAAATTTTATCCTTTCGTCTTCTCTATCGCATATCTCATCAGAGCCCTACTAGTTCTTTGGCTCTGACCTCATCCTCAAAACCAATCTCCACCATAATGTCCAGTATGCAGTCTCGAATATTCATGTGCTCTTTATCAAACTGACATGCATTCCTAGCGCCTTGTACAGTACCCTGGATAGTGGCCTCGAGCATATGCTCGACGTTATTTCTTCTTGCATGGAAGAAATGATCCAGAATCGATCCTGGAAAGATCCTACGCCATCTGTTCTTGCCTCGAGGCAAAGCAACCTTTCGGGGGTGGTCGTTTTTGGCACGATCACTACCCTGCTTACCCAGTAAGAGCTTCTGCTTATTTTCAGTCCTCACCATGTTAAATCCTTCCAGATATTTTCAACGTTTCAAACATGCGATTAATAATCATCCAGACATCTTCGTATTCGCGGGAAACCTTGTTCGATGGTACGATGAATGGGCGGGACTGATCATGACGTCGAGCTTCGAGGATACCATCGACCCCACTGTTCAGGGCTTAACGTTGGAACAAATCAGAGAGTCCATAGGTCGACTCGATGCAATCGTAAAGCGAGAACATGCAAACGTGGAGAGCAAACGGAGACCAGCGCAGCCTCAGGGTCTGAGAGAAGGGCATCAATCTGGAGCATTACAGGCTCATCTCATCCAGACTTATGACGCTCCCGGTTCCCTCCGTCCTCTTGGTCCTCGACACGACAATGATCACTGCGACATAGCCGACATATCGATCCTCCCTACCCAAGATGAGCTGACCTCTGTTGCTCCTCCATACATTCCCGTCAACCTTCCGTACGCTCCACATCATTTGGATCCAAATTCAATGGAGCGGCACCTTGATATTCAGTTCCGTCTACTACGTGAGGAGCTCGTGTAAGCCGTCCGATATAGTGTTCTCCCAAAAGATACTGAGATTCACACATTATAGCGCCCCCATCCGCACGTCTATATCTGCTATCCAAAGTGACTTTGATACTATGCAAGCACAAGCTTCAAGACGTGGCATGCAGCCAGTCCAATTGCAAAAATTACTCAAGGCAAAGGGGGGCATGTACCGCAACGACTCAACCATGTTCCATGTCTATACAAATGTCGAATATGCTCCTCTTGAAGCAGAGCGGCGTGGTTTCACAGTCGGTCTTGTTGTCGATGCTCCTCCCTCAGAACGTGCCCGACACCCTGATCCCAAAGCCAGAAGAGAGTTCTGGGAACATTCTGGTTCAAGACGGCTCAGTGCCGGCAGCCTTGTCGTTTTAGTCATCGCACATTTCCGTCGTCTAAGGGTCTATGCTGGCAGTGTTTCTTCATCGACGGATGACATCATCGAGTCGTCCAAGGTCCATCAGAGTCGCATTGCAATTCGGGTCAATTTTTTCGATCCCGATGTAGAGCTCGGTGCTCTTCGACATGAAAAGATCACTGTTGATGAGAACCGGTTCGCCTTCTTGATGGACAATAACATCATGTTCGAATCTATCAGGCCCTTTTTGGAGAAGCTGCGTTCCGTGGAGCCTACCTCCATTCCTTTTTCCAATTACATCTGTGAAGACAATCTCGGAGGAGTTGCGGTTGCGCCTCCGAGGTATAGCCGAAATCCTCGTTTTCGGTATACCCTAGACTGTCTCTCAAAAGGTAGCGCCAGGGAGTATATCTATCAGCTGGATGCAACGAGCCCTCTGTCGATTCGGAGAGCCCGGTTGCAACTGAAGAGATCGAGCTCTTTGGACCCCAGTCAGTGCGATGCGGTGGTGGACGCGTTGACTCAGGAAGTGGCTCTAATTCAAGGGTGCGTTTTTTGCCATCATCTACGTGTTTAATGTCTCTAACAAATCCTTCGAATATCTAGACCTCCAGGTACCGGAAAGGTACGTTTAGTCGATATCATATGTGAAGTACCAGGTGTTAAAAACATAGACAGAGTTTTACCGGCAAGGAGTTGCTTCGGGTCCTCTTTACCAGCGGAGTCAGGCCGATTGTGATCATTGCTTTCACGAATCATGCACTGGACCATATGCTGCTATCCCTGTTGGATGAAAACATTACAACAAGTATCGTCAGGCTGGGATCCCGGTCCTCAGATGAACGCATCAATGAATATACGTTGGACAATCTGGAGAGGATAACGGATAGAGCGGAATCGCCATTAGATGAAATCGTGCGCAATGCGTATTCTTTCATGCGCCGACTAGAGGACGAAATGACAGAGATACTACAGCATATCCAAACGCCTTCATATACTTGGAGGACTGTCTGGTGTTATCTGCTGAAGTTCCCCGATCATCTCACTTCATTGCTGGACCCTCCTACCCTCTGGATCGAGATACTGTCCGGACCCTATTGCGAGGGTATTGAAGCAAAAGGGGGATGGATACCTGCGAAGAAACGTCGATATACCGACGGCCAGAATAACATATATTACTTTTGGAAAACCGGACAAGATATTTTGTTCATACAGCCACCACAACTACCGCAGAATACTGCGCAGTCAGCTAAAGGGAAGGAACAGATGCAGAAACAGGAGGTCCTTGCAGCGGAGCTTCAGCAGCTCCAACAGGAGTATTTAGAGCGCATGAACAACTTCTTCGTGCCATTATTATTTCCAGAGGGCGAGGTTCCATCCATTCCAACCACCTCCAGGCCGATCGATGAGCTACTGGTCGATGATTCAGTCTGGAACATGTCTATAGAAGAGCGGCAAACGCTGTCGGCATTCTGGGAAGATGACATGAGGTCTATTGCATATAACAGATACAGTCTGCTTTACGAACAACTACGAGAAGAATATGAAGCTGCTTGCAAGCGTTTTAATTACGCAAAGGACGAGGTCAGTAGCAGTTACCGAGTAGCATGAAGCCATTTAGCTTATAGACTGTAGAACCGACGGCGACTACTATCTGAAGTTGACCTTATAGGGTGCACCACTAATGGCGCTGCTAAACTTACCTCACTGTTGACTGTAAGTACAGTCTACCCTTTCCTTCTGTCATTTTCTTAGCATTCGTGTCGGGATTAAGGCTGTGGCGCCCAAAGTATTGATAGTGGAAGAAGCAGGTCAAGTTCTTGAGGCGCATATCTTGTCTTCTCTTGTGCCATCTGGTGAGTGAACAATGGTAATCTATTTCTTATCGAGTCGAATTTTAATTATTTCAAGTGCAACATCTTATTTGTATCGGTGATCCACAGCAACTTCGTCCTACCTTGGCCAACTTCTGTGAGTGAGATGTCAGACCTGGTGGGGCTCAACTCATTTATTCATTTTTGCAGCTCTCTCTGTGGATAGTGAACGAGGACGCAAACTCTACAAATTTGATCGTTCTTTGATGGAACGACTGGCAGACAGTGGGTTCCCGATGTCCCAGATCAATGTCCAGCGGAGAATGCGTCCTACCATCTCTCATAATATCCGGTGGGTCATATTTCTCCTAGTAACCTGTTTAGTAATTTATATACTCGTTAGAAAAATTTTATATCCTAACTTGGAGGACCACGGCCTCGTCAAGAAGTACCCTCCTGTTCAAGGGATGGAAAACGATATTTTCTTCTTTACTCACACAAATCAGGAGAAAGCTGCAGACAGCGATGGCTCGGTTTCTAAAGTCAATATATTTGAAGTGAGTTGATTTCGGCACAAATTTCCATGAAAGGAAGGCTTGAACAAAGACTAGGTTAAAATGATTGTTGACCTTGTCGTGTACCTTTTGAAGCAAGAGGCTTATAGTTCACCTGGAGATATTGCTGTCCTTTGCGCGTATTTGGGCCAGTTACGAGAACTGAAATCTGCTCTGAAATCCCTCAAAGTTGTCGTTTCGGTCGATGAACGCGATCAGGATCAGCTAGTTATGGAGGGGATAGACGATGAAGGGTATGTAGAACAAGTTACTGTGTCTCAGCATGTACGATTTTCTTTGTTTTTTCTTCATAATATTGGTCAATGACACCTTCTAGGTCCGTCTAGGCACTGTCGATAATTTCCAGGGCGAGGAAGCAAAAATTGTCATCGTGTCTCTCGTCCGAAATTCTGGATCTTTCGATAGCGAGAATTCAATTGGTTTCCTGAAGGTAATTTGGATGTTTTTCATGCATTCAGCTTGTCCATGTAATAAACATCTTTAGTCTTCCAACCGAATCAATGTGGCGCTGTCGCGTGCTCAGCACGGGTTGTACATCCTTGGGAACGCTTCCAATCTTCGTCAAAATTCCACCTGGAAGACTATCATAAACGAAATGGAGCAACGGGACCAGATTGGTTTCGGATTTTCAGTAGTATGCTCTCGTCACCCAGATCAGAGGAATGTAATCACGGAACCGGGTCAACTCAGTGTTGTGGCACCAGAAGGTGAGCATACAGATCAATGATGGCGACCGTCAGAATTAATAAAGTTGCTTATAGGTGGCTGCTGCTTTGCTTGTGATTATCGTATGGACTGCGGTCACATTTGTCCTTCAGTGGTATTTTCAGTTGACTCTTCTCTAAGTGCTGTCGAAACTCAAGTTTTTCATTTTCTTAGTGTCATCCCGACCTCGACAAACATCGCAGTATGTGGTGCGACATGCTGTGTCTCCGGACTCCATGTCCTCGTATGCATCCATGTCCTAAGAGATGCTCGGACAAATGTGGCCCCTGTAGATTCCCATTCGACAACGTCGAACTTCCTTGCGGTCACAAAGCGTCAATTTCATGGTATGATGATCAACTCTCATGTTTTCTGACGCCTGGCTCACTTTAGTTTGCTATCTCCCCCAGCTACCAAGTGGAAAATCTATCTGCAGTTTTCTGTCATGAAAAGGTCATAAAGCAGTTGCCACTTTGTGGACATGAAGCAACAGTGCGCTGTTCGGATAATCCTCGAAATCACCGATGCCTCAAGGCTTGCGGAGGAACTATGTCATGCTGCGGAAACTCGTGCCAATCCTCTTGTGGGGACTGCACGGAACTTAACCTGCCACCAGCAGGTCAGGAGTTCGAAGGAGTTCTCGACTTGAAAATCAAGCGCACCTTGCACAAATCGCATCGATGCGAGCGACTCTTATTCTGTCAACACAAATGTGGTCTCGACTGTTCTCAAGATCATGAATGCAATACTTCATGTGCTCAGGCATGCCGCCAACGTTGTGTTCACCACAAGTGTTCCAAGCAATGCGCTGAAGACTGTCCACCTTGTGCTGAACCTTGTGACTGGATCTGTCCTCATCTTTCCTGTCCAGTTCTCTGTGGATCTGTAAGTTGTATGATTTTACTTCTGTTTCGCAGTTGTTGACTTTGACTCAAGATCTGTGCGCGTCTACCATGTGATGAACCGTGTCGCACTGTTCTTCCATGTGGCCATATCTGCCCTTCAGGTAAGCCATGCTGGTGTTCATGTTCTGAACCGATCCAAACAAAGCTTTATTCCAGTATGCGGTGAACCGTGCCGTCAACAGAAATGCATTGAATGTCTTTCTGACGAAGACAAAATGGACATCGTAGACTTTGTCATGCAACGGACGCTTGCTGAGATGCCTGTTGGATCGGAAGATATCAGCGACAAGTTGATTACTCTAGATTGTGGACACGTCTTCACGGTGGAGACTCTAGACGGCCATTTTCAAATGACTGACTATTACGAGGTCGACGAGATGGGGTCTTACAAAGGAATGAAAGCTCCTCCCATCGAATTTCAGCGACCACCAACTTGTCCAACTTGTCAGTCACCCATTACGGCTCGGCGCTATGGAAGAATCTCGAAGCGAGCGAATCTCGACATTTTGGAGCGGAATGTTGCCAGTATGATGTCCCAACGTCTGGCCGAGGTTATCCCGTCCATCGAGACCCTCAGCAATAACCTGGAAAAACTAAAAGCTCGGGCAGAAAAACTTAAAGTCGCGCCGAATTTCAAGTGTCATCCTGCCGCTGGGTTTGAGGACCTGATCAAAACAAGGGAAGGCTTCATGACGGAGAAAGCAGATGAAGTGTTAGAACATTATATGTTCACTGCTAGGTCTATGATTGTTCACCATGGCCTGTCGGACTCTGAGGCCACATCATGGATGGGTATTGTTGTGGATCTTCATAGGGTCTACAAAAAGGTAGCTGACATTGCAATGACGCGGTCTGCACATGCCCGTGCCTACGAATCGGCTCTTTCTACTCTCTACCGCTTGGAGCTTGCACACCTCGCTGCCGAACCACCACCGGAAATGCTCCGGATCCGTCCCGAACACATTGTAGTGCGTAACGTCGACCGGAAGATTGGACAACCACCTCATAAGGCTGCTCGTCGCTATCATCTCGAAGCATTCATATTATCCGTCGAGTTGAGGCTCATGTTGGGAAGCATTGCTCGTTCTCGTTTTGAGGCACTTCCGGTGACTTCCAACGAGCCTGAAGTTCTTCATCATCGTCATGTCTGGTACTCGTTCACCTTGTTCATCTATCAATCTTGTGTCGTCGACTGTCAGAAGGTTATTGCTATCGCTCACGCAACTTCTTCGTCGCGCCTGGCTGCTCGTTCTGCAAGCTTGATGTTCTGTTCAGACTTTGAACAATTCCGTTTTTGGGTGTTGGAGAAACGCAGGCACGCGTTCAAAAGTGGTGCATTAGCAGAAGCTCGGGACGGCCTGGTAGCGGAAGTTCAAGCCGACAAGAAGAAGATGGAGAGTCGCTTGAAAGAGCTTGAACAGTCGTACTTCACAAGTCGTCCGTCGAGTGATCCATCCCTGATCAATGAAGAACGTCAATGGTTCCACGGAAACTGCAGCGCCAAAATTGAGCGCTGCTTCAAGGAGTATGGGAAATTGGAAGATCACATTATGAATGACGCTGTCTATCAGCCAATGTCCCTGCAAGAGAAACGAGACATTGTTAAGGCCTTAGGGTTTTCGCACCGAGGTCATTTCTACAACTGCATAAATGGCCACACATTCGTTATCACCGAGGTACCGTACATCGTCTAAACCGATATCTGACATATTGAAATATCTTTTCAGTGCGGAGGAGCGATGCAGGCTAGCCAATGGTTAGTTCGTCAATCGGAATAGTCGTTGCTTTGCTTACCCCAATTCTGTTTTAGTCCTGAGTGTAGAGCGCCAATAGGCGGCGGAAATCATATACTCGACTCCTCCAATACCCGCGCTCGAGAATATGAAGACATTTCAAGGCAGCAAGGTGGAGAGGCAAGCCCATGGACATGGGCGGCAGGCGCTTAAGAAGATGAGGATGGGGAAAGATCATATGGATAATTATCGAAGTATCGGGTTTCGAATTACTTTGCAATAGCACAGATCAACTGTTTTAATTAGCCCCTCTATGCTGTAAATATCTCCCATAATCAAAAGCATGCTTACTTTTCAGGCCGTCGAGTGTGCCATCCTCGTATGAAAGGCTCGACCCTACACTTTATACGAGATGCACTGTCGTCTTCACCACCCCGCTGAGGCGTCTCCAGTATCCGTACTAGCAGCGCGGAAGGAAGGACTGTCGTGGCCGGAGGTAAGAACGAGCTACGAAAACTGGAATACTGGGTAGCTGCTCCAGTCTCAAAGCGACTCGCATCGTGCAGTGTTCCTTGGAAGATCGAGGAGTGAAGAGAGAGGGGTAAATTGGTCCGTTAGTCATTGCGACCTCCAGGAGCCTTCCATCCGCGCTACGACGAGCTTTCACCGTACTCTGCCGGCCTTCTTCTCTTCCACGATCAGACTGGAGAATGGAGGAAGAGCCGAAGGAGTGGGCGGTATCGATGAATGGCTGGCGGAGAGAAGGGAAGGAAAGGCAATGAAGACAGATGATCCTCCAATGCTTTTTGCTCCGGAGTGGATTCCAGCAGTCCCTCGAACGAACGCTTTGGGTGTGCTTCGCAGCCGGATACCCTCTCTCTCTCTCAGCCAGCTCACACTGCTTTGTCAGAGTCAGAACTCTGCCCTTGGGCACCAAAGCTCTCTTCATCAGGTTCTACCACTGCAAGGAGTGACCAGCAGTTTCTGGAATCTTGCCGAGCATGAGGAAAGATAGTCGTTTCTCCTTCTTTGATTTCCGTGTTTTCCAGGTCACCCACTTGAATGCGCGACTTCCCTTCGCGCGCCTCCAGATACCAAATCGAAGCAGATATCAAGTTGTGGCTGAACTTGAAGGCAAACCATGATCGGTATACTAGTATTTGCTATCTGAATCGACGCGTAGGTGAAGGCGCTATTTGAACAAAAATCGCATTAGCTCGATACACGCGATAGGTATTCAAAACGCACCTGTCTTCCATTATCTACAGGGGAAAATCGAGCTCATTTCTATAGGGCGATGCACGACATTGTGAGATGTATCGACCATCTATGTGACAGAGTTGCTCCTTTGTTTCCCTTCGAACGCGCGCGACATGGCAGAAATAATATCGAGGTGACAGTTATGCCGACGGTACACGTAACATATTGATGAAACGCATATTTGTCCTCCAGTACTAGTGAAAGCGGACTGCGATTCATGATAAATATCAAGGATGCAACAGAAAGTAAGGAAAGACGATACGTACTGAGGATCCTATCTCAAGCATTCCGCTCCTTCAGTCCCGTTCCAGAGAGTCGCACATTGTAATATTGCCTGCATACGTGCACGTAGTAGTCCATCAGCGAGAGGGCAGCAAAGCCGGTGTAAACGGGGGGAGAGGCCGAGAACTTGAAGGTCGGTTACGATGCAGTTTTGTTTTCGGCATTTTCCTTGGCCTGCTTTGCTCTGACCGTCAACGGCCACCGGCAGCCAGTCTCGATTTCAATTTATGCAACGTTGTCTCGAAGGTTCAACCAATGCATATCCCGAGTCCGTGACTGCCTTCATCTAATATAGCCTCATCAAGCACAAATCCCACCAATACTGGATTTCGCCTTGGGGAACTATCGGTCGCTCCTACTCTTTCTCTTCTACCACCACCATCTCGTTACCTCCTGCTGCATATACGCCGTCGTCACCGTCATTTTACGCTGTGGAATGTTACATCTTGCTTGCGATTCAATCCTTTCCCTTGTGTCCTTCACTTTCACCACCGAGGTGGATCGCAAACATTTACAGGCGTGATGCTGTGGACTGCAACTGGCGCGCAAGGTGGATATATGCGCTATGTTTCGACTTCAGCAACATCAGTTTATGTTTACGTCGTCATGTTTGGTGGCCAGCAGGGTCTTTGGGCACTGAATGCATGTGTTATCGCATTATTACTTACTTGTGGATGCTCACAACGAGGTAGTGATTTCGTCCGCCGTCTCAGTATCATCTTGAATGGATTGGCCATGGTACGATACATCTATATTTCTGTGACACGCGGTGGTCTAATCATCATTGTGAAGGTCCTGTGTTTCGTTTTATCCGGTCTGTTTCGTAATTTTCGTAAGGATTCTACCATCTTGTCCATTATCACAGCGTTGATATTATATAACGCTTAGGACCTTTTGTATTCAAATGGTATTGGTATTGGTACCGGCACAAGGTATAGCATTGGAGACTTACAACCAGAAATTCTTCCAATGAGCTGCAAGATAAAGCCGTAGATTGGGATGGTTGGTATATTCTTCAGCCGGGTTACGATGAATATGTATACTATAGTGAACGGCAATAAAATCAAGCTCAATCAAGCCTATTGAATCTTCTGGGAACTTGACGTGATTGACTGATGTAGGTCGAAACAGCTCGATCTGAGCTGGAAAAGGGTTCACATTTCGAAGCCATGGCGAGTGGGATCAAGTCCCGTTGTCCTTTTTCCTTGGGCTTGATTTGGTTCAACCTGGCTCGACCGACTTTTCACTGGGTCGATCATTCATCAAGGGGTAGGGTAAAGCCTTCACTTATCTGTTAATGGATGCCATACCAGGTAACTAAGCTTTTCAACATCCAGAACGCCTTGCTAACATCAAACGACATAGAAACATACTTGTTATTTCGCAGGTGTGCTTACTGGGACCTTCTCCCCAATTCGCCTTGGTCAGGTCCTCAAGAAACCACCACTACGGAACCTTCTCTGAGCTGCACACGTACATGAAGGAAAAACCCAAGCACGTCGACCCATGGACTGCAAGTTTTGGCCCCAGTCGGGATGGAAATATCTCTACATCTGGGATTTTACGCAATGCTACCACTTCAAATTGAATGAAACCTGTTTTCTTGCTCGTTTCTCGTGCTCTCAGTACTTCTTGCCCCTTCGCAAATCACTATGCGCCCGATAAGCAAAACCTCTTTCTAGCGTGTGCGGTCCTTCCCGCTCTAACCCGAGCCGAAACCCTTCGCTTTCTCGGATTCAAGTTGTTTCCAGTCGTCCCAGGGCTTCCCTATTCTAAAGTCTTAGCGCCACCTTCAGCGGCATCTGGGGATAACAGTTCAGCTTTTATCGGGGGTTTTATGGGGAACTATGACGATCAGCCAAGTGACGAAGACAATAGGTCACCTCGTTGACGAGTAGGGTTCAGCCGTTCATATATCACATTTGATGGTTTGAAAAACAATCATCCAGGATACCCCTTCCCAGTGAAAGAACTACCGTGGATGCAAACCGCGTGTCCAGTTTGTATGTCATAGGCTACAAGACGCTGACAATGTCTACAGGCGCGCCCTGTCTACTACAGGGACAGGCAGAGAATACATGCAAATGGCTTCAGAGAAAGGTGCATATTAAATTAAATGCATCACTGAAGATTATTAGAGCAACTCCGAGGCAGGCCGATCGCGTCTTCGCTCATATCGAGGCGTGTTGCAGGTTGTCAACTATCATCATCATCCGAGGAAGGCCGACCCATACTCAGTGATTCCGAGGCGCCTGCCTCGTTGGCTGATCCCATCCCACTCGTCTGCGCAACCCTGTGGTCTCCTTCTCCACTGGACTGGGCCCGGCGAAACCGCTCCAGCCTCTCCTTAACGTCTGCATCAAGAGGTATCAAGTGCTTTTCAGCTGTATACAATCATTAGCCAAACTAAAGGGTAGAGAGCAACAGACAAACCCTTGTTCCTAAATTCCATCAACGTCTCCTCCAGCAGCGTACCGCAGTCTGACCACATATGAAGCCACTGGCTGGATCCTGACTCGTCGTTGAAGGCCTGATGTAGGTGCAATACCGGACGTATCAGGTCAGTTTTCATCACTTCGAGGGCATCGGCTGGCGGTATCCTAGAATGAGAAATTGAATGAAACAGGGTAATAATCACCTACGATAGGCAATGAGCGCCTTCAAGCACTTGACCCTAGCTATCTCAGCTTCGACTCGATCTCCTCGGCGCTTTTGTATGATATCGTGAATATCGATGCTCTTGCTTATTATCTCAAAGTTTTTGGGTTCTAGAATGTGTTTCCTGAGATACTCTGATCGATAATGAGCGAGCGGCATCAGGCGAAGGGTCTACCACACTTACCGTAGGGTACAAGTGCCCTTAAAGCGTCTCGCACATTTACCAGTGGCTGTGCACCCTCGCCGTTGTTCGTGGCACCGTCCCTTTGAAATACAGCGAATATTGGGCTCTTGTCGTTCTTCATTGTCTTTTTACCGAGTTCTATGATGTCGGTTAACAGAGGCCTAAACCGCGAGCCATCTTTTGTATTATTGTCTCTATCTGTGTTACAAGATCAACCAAATATAATCATATCGATGCAAATGAGCACCTCACCTCGCTTGGCAAGCGACTCGAGAAACTCAACTGCCTTTACTCGAGACATTCGGTGCTTCAAAGCTCTGATAATCGTCCCGATGGCATCGCTACCATTGATAAGCCGACGTAACTTGTCATCTAAGGATAGGTAGGTCATCCAGGATCCTCGTGATCATATAGATCCTTTATACTCACCACAGTTATACAGCATATTAAGAAAATCTTGAACCCGATTCAGAGTATGGCCCAAGTTGCTCTGTGACCCCTTATTCCGGATTTGCGTAGACCGAGTTAACTGAATCATCTCAAAAATGATTATCTTCCCCACTGATTCCATATCTGGAGCTAGGCGCCATCCTGGAGATTTCTTGCGGAGCAGTGATACCAAATCATCTAGTGGGTACGTATATAGGACTGAATATTCAGCGAGCATGGGAAAACCGACCATTAGATAAAATTCCGCCAAGGAGCACATAACCATCCCCCTCGTCAAGCCAAAGTTCGACACACATTGCCTCAAGGACCTTTTGAATTACATCCCTGATGTTCTCAGTGCCATCTAAATTGCGAACATCCATCACCGGCAACTTGAACAATCGAAGTGCAACATATACGCACCTTTAACAGCTCGAAGTTTGCAACGTATGATGCTCAAGAATGCAGGCATTACATGCTCGTGCTGAGACCTTAAGTAATGAGTTTCAGTGCCAAAGAGCTCAGTAACCAATGTCGCCATGAAATTGGTTTCCTGCAAAGCTATCTGCTTGAATTCTTCGTCTTGTAATCAGTTGTCAGTGAAGTATCACTTTTCATGTTGAAGGAATCCTACCCTTGCCAAAATACTGACTGAGACATCGCATATATGTTCCTTTCGCAGTGAGATTTCCATTCTGAATGCCCAACATGAGGCTTCTCAATAGGTTGCTTTTCTGGGTAGCTGAAAGAGGCATCAACTGGACAATGACAGCACTTGCAGCCAATAACGCATACAGCGACCTGGAGTCGAGTCAGTCGACCACCGTTTAATTACTTCTTTAGACATATTTCTGAGAGTCAAAGCAGCATGAAATCTGGTCTGATCGTCCTCCAGGTACTTTAAGAGTTTTGAAACCAGCGACGACCATCCTTTTTAGACACCAACAGTTATAGTAGATAGTTCTTTAGAAGATAAGGACTTACTGGTACTTTTATTGCTGCCTGCACCTTTCGGTGGCTTGCCAACCCATATCATGAACTTTTGCTCCATTAGATAGGCTGTTAGACATTGTCAATTCACGCAGGCACCAAATGTGAAAAAAAAAAAAATCGCAAACATATTTTAGCGAGGCGCATTAAACAAGACAAGCCCGCTAGAGGCTGAATTGAGTGGTTGCCTGGGCCAAGTCCTAGGCAATCATAGAGAAATTCTGGCCAGTTCATTTGCTCATCCTTCAGTATCATTACTGCCGGTCCAGAATGGCAGTCGGTGCCCTGTTGATTGGAGACCTGGGAGTCCAAGACCAATTGTAAGAGGCACTGAAGACTGGCAATTTTCAGCTCCTTGTATCCCTTTTCTTCCTTGTGTATTTTGAGCATTCTTTCAAGCTCCGGTAAGACATCTTTTTCTGATATAATCTGTTGACTAAACCCTGATATGTATTCTCAGTCTGAGAGATGGAATAATATGGGTCAAAGCATACTGTGGTTTGCGAGTTGGAAGAGACAAGAGGCACTTCCAGCTTGGATGCGAGTATCGCGGTCTGCTTTGAGCATCTTCACAAAGATGCCAATTTTGCTCGATATCTTCTTTGCGCTTCGAGCTGAATGTCGATGAGAGACAAAGAATCAACACACAATGCATAAGACTCACAGGACAATGCCATAATAGATAGACGCCATAGCAAGGAAACCTGCTCATTGACAACTGTGGAGGAATCAAGCCGTTCAATCATCTCCTGCGCAAAGGCATCATCAAATAAATCCATTTCGAAGACATGTTTCCACTCATCGGCCCAGGACAAGTCACCGGCCTTACCTGGGTCAGAGTTTATACCTAATTTTATGATAGATTCCAGATCTATTGTCTTGGCACCGAGAAACCTGGCTTTGGATTTGTAGTTTTTACGGCTGAAGGCCACGGACACGTGGATATGTTGACGAGGGACAATTGAGCGACCCTTCCCAAAATGCGGAATTCTGTAACCGAGTTAGTATCACTACAATCCTGCAACGGGCAGAAGGTAGTACCGAGTAGTAGCATTCGGATCTGTGTATTGGTACCGTGTGATGGGCAGGACCTCGAGTAAATGCCAGAAACTCCGCAACGATATCGTTGGTCTGCTTTTATGAAGATTATCCCACGTCCAGTCACCAAAAAAGTTCCGTTTTCTACAACGAAGACCGATATCAATTGCTTGATTCTCCATCCAAAGAAGAGGAACAAGGCCAAGGCTCAGAGTACGTGGGTCATTGCTTCCACCGCTGTGAAACAAGGGGTTACTAAAACCAATAAAAGACGCATTTTTGACATACACATCTGAATGACTGCCTACGAACCACACCTCTTTAACGTCCATCTCCTTGTCATCGAGACTGTAATAATCCAATCGAAGATTTGGTGTCCATCCACCAGCCAAGTACGTGGGGAGAAACTTGATACGGCATTCATCGAGAGCAAGTCCGTGGCGGAAAGTGCAATTGTGGTAGGCAGTAGTGGTCAGTGGTAAGGGACTTTTCTGTACTAGCCCTACAGATGCGACAGTATCCCTACATTAAAAGTGAGAATTTCGATATGACTGAGGTAAGTGTGCAACACACCATACACCGACGAAGTGGAGCTTGACGTTTCTTGAAAATGTACGCTTAAAATTTTCGCACAGAGCTCTTGCATCCGCTTCGTCTTTGATGGCTGATCGTGATTCATGAGTTTAATATTGAAAAGAAAAATGGTCCTTGGGTTCTCTTGCCTTTGCCTTTATGCCTATTGGTATACAATTCATAGGCGCTGAAAAGATACACATCATATTAGAAATTTCGGATGAGTTACATAACTGGCAGGACTCACAAGGGAATCAGCCCTACGTTTCCGGAAAGTACGAGGCCAAGCTGCGCAAGGTGAATGAGGCTAAAACATAACATCGAAGTTAAAGAACAAACCTTTTGGATCATCCCTGCCACTGCTCGAACCTGATATGCTCCACGAGAGAACCCTGCAAGAAATATTCGAATCAGTATGACCGAGTACCTCATACAGTACGAAAATGTCATACCGAACAGGAATATCCTGTCCCCATCTCGATAATTATGCGCCAACCACCGATACGCCTTTTCGATGATCACCATGAAACTCCTGACATTTCAGGACAGTGAGTATGACACAAAAGAGACCTAAGAGAATGCTACCTTGCAATTGCCGAGTCAATCGTGTTATAGAACCAAGTAGACAGCCAATGCGTGGTTGAAGGAATATATGTCCCAATACCACTACTATAGAACGTGAGCTGGTTCGCATCCTCGCTTTCCTTCAATATCCGATTGTACAATTCAATGACATTGGTGTTCTGAGAGACGGTGTTAGATCTAGCACATGGGGGGAAAGTGTCACATGCCCAATGTCCAAATTGGTTGGTTGTTCCATCGAGACAGACGACAAGATTTCGGGAAGTGTGTGAAATACAGCGACTATCACATACGTGAGGCTTGCACTCAGGTGTCTTGCACTTGTGGTCACGCTTCCAACGACAGACGCAGTGGACAAGACAAGGACAGTTACATATGCATTGTGGATTGCATTGACATTTGCACTTGGTGTCACGCTTCGTCCGTGAAGATGGATCATGAGATGACGCTGTTGCGTTGGACATACTGGATGGAGGTACTGGCAGAAGGTTGGGATTCCAAGCTGAGAAATATTGTCACGGTCGCTGTTCAAGATTTGGTAGGTGTCAGGGCGTCTGTGCCGAGCGAACTAAGACTTCGTAATCGATGACAGGAGCAACCGAGCTATAGGGATAGGACGTCGCGGACTGTGGGTACTTGGTTTGTCCAGAAAGGGGACCGATATTTAAAGGAGAGGAAGCAGTAGAAGATCTATTCGTGGATGCCATAAGGAAGTCGAGAGACTTCCACAGCATGACCTATCTATTAGAGGGTGAGGCCGACGACAGAAATAGACATGAGTGTGACTATGGCTGCTGTAGGGACAACCTCCGCGCACTTAATGTAAGGCTAATACCGGAAATGAACTTGAGCTTGAGTTGAGAAAGTCTACCTTCTGCCGTTGAGTCAAGGCAGTCCGGCAATAGAATTGGACAACGAACATACCTTGACATGTCTTAGTATGCCGGCTCGTAAGGCGTGATTGTTCGCGTTATGCCACTACCGTACCTCTCAGCCGCATGACAATCCGATACGTATACGTTCAGTGGGCTGGTGCACACGGGATCAGTGGCCGCCACGGCTTGCTTGAATTTCATACAGCCATGGATACCGAGACGCCAAGACCTCAGCTCATCTGACAAGTGGGAGCTATAGCGCTTAGGAGAGAACATTGCTAGTGATTGTTGAAGATTGATACGGCACTATATTTGCCCTCATGTGTGCGCCACTGTGATAGGTCCCTAGGTTCCAATTCAGTATTCAATACATGACATAGAGTTTCGCATACCCCTCGGACGGAACCAGAGCTACTGTTACCAGAATAACGATGCGGCTGCCCTGCCCTGCCTGCCTGCCTGCCCCGATGCGGAACCTCAAACGACGTTCCGGGCAGGAGAGACTCTAAAATGGCGCAGAAAGAAGACACTCTAACATGAAAGAAAAAGCAAGAACACATCACGAATTACCAACTTGATGAACAGGATGCACCTAGTGTGAGGTGATACAACTTTAATAAGTCCCGATTCATTGCACAAGAAGGATGAGCGAGGAGCCCAGGGAACGAGATGAGTAACAAGACGTCCCAGATGTTGAGAAGCTTTAGTTATACGGTATGGCATGCATTGAGAATGAGGTGAGCGAGCTTATTATACTACCCCTTGACAGATGGTCAGAAAACGCTCGACGATGACTATGAAGAACATACCATTGATTATACGACCGAACCCGCCAACACCCTGTTCGCCGTCTCCATGACCTCCCCGTAGCCTGCATAATCCCTACTCCCAACGACCTCACACAGCTGTCACCATATTAGCGGTTACGGACTCGGAATAGCGTTAGTTGGGAATCGTCTTTGTCGATGGGCTATTGTAAGCCCTCATCTACATTTCGTCGAATTCGACAAGTGTTGGAGGAAATGTTGAAATAGACGGTCCTCCATGCTTCAAGATTCAAGATTCAACCCTCGCACGGTCGTCGAGGTCGAATGTGAGTCCTTGCTTATAACTTGAGGAGTACTGTGTAAAGACCGGCTGCTGGCGGCAGTCGGTCAAGGGAACCTGGAAAATGCCGGGCTAGGTTGTCTCAGGCTCTCGTGACCGTGATCAACCTCCTGGCCTCTCATTGGCCTCTCCTCCTCCCCCCCGTCTGAAACCGTTTCCATTAGACTCGTTGCCCTCTCGCTACCAGGATACTAGTGCGCATATATGCAGGAAATACCATGGCAGGACTCTCTATAGAAGGGTCGAAGGAGTGACGGAATGTTCGAGATATGCTCCTCATTTCAGAGGTACGTATCGTTTTCGTTCCTCTCTGTTACATGCTTGATATTTATCTCATTAATAGCAGCACGCTATTGAAGGATGGATTGGTTTTTTCGTCAATATACTGCGTCATGGAACCGTTACAAGAATATTATTGACCGTTAGAAGGATGCAAAGTCTGCTGCACAGAAAGTCAAAATACCTCGCAATGTCGTGTACTGATCGTTCTCCAGAGGTGAGCTCTCTTTTTTCTCCGATGGTACCCGGATGACGAGACCTTATATGTGTGTTAGAACTTGACGAAGAGGAGCTTGGATGAATTGCGCATCCATGATTAGCGTCTAAGAGGAACGGTTCGTCTCGATCGCCCTTCCATCCCTTCTCGTGCCTCGAATAGATTCCCCACAAAGCATTCATCAATTCATCTGCACCGTCATCGTCACTTCTTCCAAAATCGGCTAACTGACAGGTACATTCAGTATTGACACGTTGAAGGATTGACCACCACCGAGCGAAGGAACAAAAAAGGTATGCAAAGCAGTCTCATTTTACGGTGACGCCAACTCAGTCCGTGTTCTGTTAGAAGACGACGCTTCTGGTGTTATCTGGATGTAAACGATGGTTTGGTTGGTTTGAAGTGTCTTTAAAGGTGCGTTACTTGTAATCATTCCAACTTTATTCTAGTACTAAGCAGTGTGTGCAGAACGTGTACGTACTGACCAACAAGCACAGCAAGACTCCAATTCTGCACCACAGCACTCTGAGAAGACTGCACATCCCCCGGTGTGGTTGTGCACACTGCTCGACTCTGCATAGTGACGATGGCCGACAATTGCCTCGTCTAGCTCCGACACAATTACGCCCCTTTCTACCATGCTTGATGACGCTGCCATGCAGGCCAACAATGATAGTCAACAGCGGACGACGTGAAAGCCGCAAAGATGAAATGAGACGAAAGGTGGACACTGTGTGGGTGACGTGTGCGCGAGCTCAGGGAGGAGGGTGCATGCTCGTGGAGAGGGAGGGTGTGGCGTGTTCTGGATTGTGCTAGTAAGTCTTATCCTTGGCGACTGTGGTTTGTGCTGAAACACTGAGTACTGAGAGGTAGACAGTGATCCTTTCGACATGGTGCGCGGGGGAAAGAGGTTCCTGCAGCCATTATGCTCGCGGCTTGGATGACGGATGGTCACCGGGATCAAGGTTGTATGCCCAGAGTGCTTTGGCTTGTCTGCCAGGTAATTGCACTCTCTTGACAGTATCACCGTGAACTAAACTCAATCATCACAGGAGCCAGCGTGCACAACCGGACAAGATGGAAGGTAGACGTGAATGCGGTAATGGACGTTGTGCAGAGGTTATGCCTCGCAAGTGGTGTGCGGGGGACAGCCCCGAATCAAGCCTCTCTCTCCATCCCCCCTCCCAGATGGCCTCTCCTCCGCTCTCGTTCCGATCCCTTCCACTGATCCGGCGCCACGCAGAGCAGTGTTCCTGGTAGCTGCCCAGGGTCTAACGGCAGTAGTACATCCCGGAGGCGTGGGGTGCTTTTAGGGCCGCTCTGACCTGGAACGAGGTCTCTACCGACCTCCAGAGATATCCTGTATGCAGTCCATCCACAAAATTACATTTCTTTCCAGCTTAACTTTGGCCTATTCGCAGAGTCGTTCATGGACGACATACCATCAATTGTCAACTCGGAACCAAAATCACGGCTTAGGTTATCTATACAACATTTTACTATTAGCGGAGCAACATCGTCGCTCATCCGGATTCGAAACTTGGTAGTCTGTGTATTTCAATATTTGTCTCCCCAATCTATCTCCTTCAGTTCCTCCGATAGATCACGCCTGAGTCAGAATTTCATTCAGATAGATATGGGTTCCACGAGTACAACAGAGTAGACTTGTAGCGCTATGAATTATCAGGCAGAAACTCTTTCACACTTACTACTTTTGTCTTTTTCTTTTTCCCCCACCATCGCGCTAATCGAGCTCGGGCTGGTAGACGCAGTCGCAGCCCTGGTGTACTTTTAGACGTGCAACCTAAGGTCCGGTCAATACGAGTTTTCTGAGATGAGAGTGTGAAGCACACCTGTAAGTCCTGATAGTACGTCCACATCTTTCGAGTTCAGCGCCTCCACGTTGTGTTGGTCGCATTGATTTGCAATCCATGCATTGTCTGTTTCCGAGCCTGAGGGAATTAATTAGGATTCAAGTGGAGGTATACGTTGATGGAGAACGACTTACTTTTCGTAATAAAAACCAGGTTAGTACTGGACACGAGATCATTCGAAAGTTTTACTGCATTGAGCGGGTTTTGAGCCTAGCAAACCTGTTAATCGACCGGAAGATCTACCAAAGATGCGAAGGCATACATTATTTACTATACCCTTGTAGTGATCACTCGTGAGCGCAACAGTGGCGCCATAGTACTAGGGAAGTTGGGGTGAGCTCAAGTGCGCCCTTACGACGTAGTGGCTTACAGTATCCAGTATATGGCCATTTACTAACAATGATGGATAGACATCGGGGAACTGCTGAACCGACGTGTCAACCTCATGCGTAGATCTGTTGTCGTAGGGTATCTCCTCCTGCGATCAGATTCCAGCATTAGTACGGAATGTGAAAAGAAAAGGATAGGCCAACCGGTTTGGTTCTTGGTAAGAGTGCCAGTATCCTCATCATGATGGTTGGCGTGTCCTTCCTAATACCCTTGAACACACATAACATTGGTCGATCACGCACAGAGATCGAGTATCCGCGCAAGAAAATAGTCTGATTTGCAGTCGCTCCTGGTCTCATGTCGCGCTGGCGACTTCTTTGATGGACACCAGAAGCTGTGTGCATCTCCCGTCTTGCACCACCAAGTATAAACTTCGATGTGTTGCTGGACTGCGCGTAACATTGGATGGTCCAAGAGCAACACTTGTCGCATCCAGTGACAAGGTAAAGTGTACCGTTGCGGATCCCCCTGCCTTGGCCATTGAGGTATTCATACCAGCTGTGAGCATTGGCAGCTGCATATTCCCCGAGAAGACCTGGATTTTCGGAATTATAGCGTTCGGCACCATCGGGAAGGACAAGGAGAGGGCCGTGTGTGATTGAACTCGTAGATTTGAAACTATAAACCATTCAGAAAGGAGCAGAAGAGAACAATAAGTACGTACAATGGCCCGGCCGATCTCTGCGACTCCACGCGAGACATAGAAATCATCGAGTTCTTAGCATGAAATTCCAGTTCTTCTCGTACACCAGAATCCGACTTGAGTGGTACAAAGCCAAGAGGAACCCGTTTCAGATTGACAGGATCCTCAGCATCCTTGTACACATTGAAGAGGTAAATAAACCCCCCAGTATCGTTAAGATATCCAAGATCGCCAATTTGGGTTCCACGGCGAACATAATCAGGAGGAAAATTCGACGGTGGTGCTGGATGCCAAAGCGGATAACCGTGACCCTGGAAGAGCATTGCTGAGGGATAGATGTCTTGAGCCCGGTGTGATGGTGCTGCCATGATGGGAAGGCGAAAGGAGCATTCGTCTTTTAAATTGAATCGGCCCCAGGACAAAATGCTAGACCTGCTGAAACGGCGCGGGTCTTCGAATGCCCATTGAGAAGGTTTCAAAACACTTTGAAAGGCAGTAGACCCTATTCAGATTTCCTTCGCAATTGGGTATTTGCCACTCGTGATTAAGTGCAAAAACATTCTTTCCCTCCTTGCGGATAGAGTTACTCCACCCACGCATCAAAGCACCCTCGAGTTTCAAAGGGGAATACAACGGAGCTAAGGGCGAGGATACCTGCATGATTCGAGTTTAGCAGCACGTTACGGATGCTGAAAAGCTCGTTACCTGCTGCAGTGCTCGCCTGGTTATTTTCCCGCATTTGTAACGAGAAAGTTGAGTCCCACTCCCTGCAGTGGTGAATAATCAGAATATAGGCAACCATCATAATGGAGAAAACATACCATCGCGTATGCTTGTTGCCACCAGGCCAACGACAAAGCTCAGAGTCACCACTCCCTCGCCGCAACTTCTCCCTCGCTTGCATAATCACTCTTAGCTAGCCACCCATGACGCGACATGATCCTCGTTTAACTCGCCGAATCTATGGACAACATCGACAGGCGCCGCGTCTTTCAATCCAAGTCAGCTCCTTCCTCTTTGTGAACTAGGTCTGTGCTCTTCTGTTGGCGTATTACCTCAACCTTGACGAGACGGGAAGGACAGAGAAAAAGGGAAAGCAGCAGTCGTGGTCGAAGGCCAGCCTCTTTCGGCAAATGCCGCCATCTCAAAACCTTCCTTGTACTGCAATGGGAGACTTAAGTACCTATCGTAACTCTTTGGTCTCGCACTAATCCGATCTGAGTGTTCGCTCAAAGGGACAGGCCAGAGTCCACGAGTACGAGGACCCGCATACACACTATTTCCCTCTCTATTATCCATGCCAGACGGCACGAACGAATGAAGCAAACTTAGGACAGTCGTCGCTAGAAGCATAAACGAAGTACAGAAATCAAGATGTTGGGTAGGTGTTCGATGAATTGAATCGAATGTGGATTACGGGGAAAGACACGCACCGTGCAATGTTCCTCGGAATGAGCGAAAACATGTTACGGATGTACGGCTTGCCCAAAAAGAAAGAATGTAAAAGATTAATTAACCGTGTCCCGTATCAACTAGGTAAATGCTCTTGGTATAAAATACCCCCTACAAGTTCAAGGCGGAGGATTAATTGGCGGCATGTCTTGTCTTATCCTGTAGGGAGTCGTTATAATGAAGGCTATCAATTTGTTGAATAGATCACTACTCGATTTCACTTCGTCCATTTCCCAAACATCGGCTAAGTAGACCAGGTTAGCATACGAAACAGAGAATCTAGTGGCACAAAATCATACGATATTTCACCAACTTTTCAAAAGTCTCCAGGAGCAATCTGTCGTAATCTGGCCATAAACGTAACCATTGACAAGATTCGGGCTCCTCTCGGAGAGCTCTATATATGTCCAACAGGTGATTCACTACACCCTTTTCGAACATTGCAACGCGGGCCCAGTCTAAAAGTAAATCGTCAAAACAAAGAGGCAATAGCGATGCGCTCCACCCACCATATTTCATAAGCTCCTGCCAGCATTCAACGCCAGAGATTTGCGCAAGGACACCATGACCTTTGTACATATTTGCGGTCTTGAGATCAATACCCTTGCTTATTACCGATAAGACAGCGGGATCCAGGAGCTGATCCTGGAATTCTTCTGGGAGAGAAGCAATGCCAGTAGGACGACGATTCAAAAGATGACTGATCGAACATACCATAGTGGCAAAACACCTCCAGAGCCTTCCGAACAGAGGCAAGGACACTCTTTCTCTGCTTTATATTCTTTTTACCAAGTTTTGCCACGCAATCCAATAGATCCGATAGGCGGCTGCACATCAGCTTGCGTACTTCATCCGGGTCTGGCGCAGAAGCCAGATCAGGATCACTTTCAGATATCCAGTTGTGCCGTGGACCTAAGCTTCGTGTACAAACGCTGTCGAGAAAAACGATGGCATTGTCTCTGGTATGTTCATTCCGACACTTCAAGGCCCAAAAGATCGTTTGAAGGACCGATTTCTTGCGTATGAGCGAGCGTCTTCTATCTATGAGATATACAACATTAAGGATTGTCGATAAAAGTGCAACATGGTACAGTACCATTTTCGCACAACGCATTGAAAACAACCTGCATTCTACGCAGAGCAGTGCCATCTGGATCCTGACAGCAGTCTCGACCGATTGTCACTAGCCGCTCGATGGAAAATTTCTGAGCCTCGGATGAAAGAGTGGCTAGAATGGGCAGGGATTAATTAATCCTGAGCCGTGTTTTAAGCGCATGGAGTGACTAAGAGCTCACAACTTGAAAGCAATTTATAGAGTAGATCGCACCCTTCTCCCTCCGGGAGCCATTTATCTACACATAAAACCTCTGAAAACCTGTGAATGGCTTTACGTCGTTCCAGATCTGAGGCTGTGGTATGATGTGAATATAGGGGGAAACAGCATCGTAACGCACATACCTCGTTCAGCTATGGTTAAAAAGGCACCCGATACGGATTCGACATCGCAGGAGCAGCAATGATCGCGCTTGCTGAAAAGTTGCAACACCAGTGTTGCGATGTAATCTTCATCCAGGATATACTTGCGGGATTCAGCATCTGTGATCCATCATAATGAATTAGAAGAACACTAGCGATATAATAAGATCTTACCTTGCTCAGAAAACTTGCTAAGACACAGTACCGCAGCTCCCTTTGTTTTGCCATGTCCTTTTGCAATCATACATTTCAGTCTTGACACCATCCAGCGCTTTTCAAATGGCGTATCTGAACCAATTTTTTTAGTCATTCGATGGAAAAGCATTGACGGGAATAACTTACCATGAATGTCATCGACCACACTACCAAGTACCACGGCTGCATGGAACTCCGTCCGACTTTCGGTCAAGAGGTGAATAATCCTTGTGACGAAGTCGAGCAGATCTTCGAAAAACGGTATCAGAGTTATGATGATAACTATAGAAGAGATACCTTACTTGACGAGATGCTGCTACCCTCTTGCTGAATACCCTTAATATTTTCGATCCAGACTCCTCGTATGCGATCTAATATTGTTGGCTCAACATGGAGAACCGTAACGAAGGACAGTGTATACCATCCTGTACTAAATAAGCCAGACAAGAAACAGCAATAACCCGTTTGCCCAGAACAAGCGAATGGAGCAGTTCATAGAGAACCGGTACCCATGAGTTCGGTTGCGCCATCAAGATTTCTTGAGCAGCACAGAATATATCGCGGCGCTCCACTTTATCGTGTTGCATATTGTCGATTACCAGCACCATCTGTGAGAGGCACTGAAGACTTGCGACCCTTGCCTCGTGCGCATTTCCATACAGCATCTTCTCGAGCCCCTTCTGAGCGCAGTCCTTTAAAATCCATGATAAGTACTCTGGCAGACATTAGCTTATCTAGCAATTCTATAGCACGATACGCACTATGTTTTGCGAGCTGGAAGAGGCAATACGCACTTTCAGCTTTGATATTGTCACTGTACGCCGACAACATGTCCACGAGATGGTATATAACCCCAGAGATCCGACGAGCGCCACGATCTTTGTCAAGTGAGAACAACCACTTGAGATAAGGATCAGACAATCACTCACCGGACAGAGCCATAAATGACAAACGCCTCAATAACCTGACTACAGGGCCAGGTTCCAAATAGTCCAAGTAATACGTCGTGTATGTTGGCTTCTGTATCATGTGCATCAACTCGTGTATCGTGTCTTGCACATGACCGTCATATACGTCTATGTCCAGTATATCTTGCCATTGGTCGACCCAAGAAAGATCCTCTACTCTTCCCTCCCCAATGAGATGCTCCCATTTTGTCACCTTGTCGCCGGCAAATGAAGCCGATGGTCGATATGACGAATCTATAAATGCTACAGAAGCATGGACACGTTGCTGGGGGACAATAGTGCGACCATGACCACGATTGCGCTTCCTGGATAGTCGAATAAGCGTATTCATACGGTATTTAAAATGGAAACTACCTTGTAGTACTATTCTCATCCTTGTACGAGAGTCGTGTGATGTGCACGTATTCAAGGAACCACCACGATCCTTTTAGAGATTTTATCGGTATGGCTTTGTGAAGGTTCCCCTGCTCCCATTCGCTTTCCATGTTTCGTGATGTGAACCTGAGGCCAGCTGCACTAGCCTCTTTCACCATCCACAGCAAGGGAACCCGGGAAAGGTTGAGGCTTCTATCTAAGCATTCGGTACCATTACACCCGCCACTGTGGAGAAATTTCAGAAATAGTCCATCTCCCTAAGCGCATCTACGACGTACATGTCTGAATGACTTCCCGCAAACCACACCTCTTTTACATCAGTGGACTCTGTACACTCCGGTTGTCTCCCAAATCGCGGTGTCGATCCTTTGGAGAAGTATTCGGGGAGGAACTTGACACGACGCTCATCTAGTGCCAGAGCGTGACGAAAGAAGCAAGTACAACTGGCAGCCCCTGCCAGTGGTAATGAGTGTTTTCGAACGATGCCAACGGACGAAACAGTATCCCTAGGCAAAGCGTGGTCACTATAGAAGCAAAAACCCGTCGGGGTAACACGCACCATGCACCCACAAAATGGACCTTGATGGGCCTCGAAAACGTCTTCTTGAAATTATAGGCCAGGGCTTCGGCCTCGGTCTCGTCCTTGATCTCTGAATGAGATGAGCGAGCCTCAGTGGCGACCATGAGGCTTGAGAAATATCATACTCTTGCCTATGTATCTATTGACGTACAACTCATAGCCGCTAAAGAAACGTACATGTAAGACATGGCAGCTGTATTGCGAGAACTCCCTCACAGAGAAGTCGAACTCTTGTTTCCGGGGTAAGCAAGGCCGACCTGTAGAATGTTCATCAGAATCACAGACGCACTCCTAATAGCCAAAAGGAAACCTTTTCAATCATTCCTGATAGCATTCGAATTTGGTAGGCTCCGCGGGAAAATCCTATGTGGGATTTAGTTTGACTAGCTACCTATGTACTCTATGGCAGGAATCAGCGAACCGAATAAATATATTCTATCCCCACGTTGATAGTTATCTGCGAGCCATTGATACGCTTCTTTAACGTTAGACTCCACATGCCTGGCATATTCACTGTCGTCAGCACGACTTTGTAATAATTAGAGGAGATATCACCATGCAATGGCCTGGTCAATAACATTGTCGCCAAGGCTTAACCAGTATCGCAGCGAAAACCTCTGGGGAGGCACAAAAGTCCCAATACCGCTTCTGTAGAAAGTAAGCTGCGGAATATCTTGATCTTCTTTCAGTATTCGGCTGTGTAGCTCTATAACATTGGTGTTCTATTAAAAAGAGCTCATTAGCAATGATCAGAGATAGCGAGACGTAGAGTACAAACGTGATGCCCAAATTGATTGGAAGTCCCATCAAGGCAAACGACCAAGTTCCGGATGGTCGTTGAACCACAGTTCCTGTCGCATTTTCGCTGGCACATGACAGGGCAGGTTGGATAACATGTATGGCGGCGACAGACGCAGTGATTTTTGCACAGACAGGAACAGTTGCAGACAGGATCGCATTCGCATCCGCATATACGAGGTTCAGACTCGGAGATACTCTGAGAATCGGTAGTGAGCTCCACGCTAGGTGGGACTGCAGCGACAGTTTTGGGAGTTCGTGGTCGTGGATGGGGGTGAGACAGATATTTTGCGATCCACGTCAGTTGATGCCCCAGAAGAGTACGAATTCCGAACGAAGAACTCGCGACCTGTGAGGAGTCTATACTGGGTGGGACTGGTGTATTCGTTCGACTGCCCATGATCGATTCTGGCGCCTCACCCCCATGGGGTTGAAGAGGGGAGATTGATTGAGGATTCTGGTTCGCTGGAATCGCCTCCGTCTCCGAATACGCCTCTAGTTTCTCTGCCAATTGGTGAGCCATGCGAGATGAGATGAGTGCGGTGAATAGGGAGATCAATGGGACAGGACAGATGGAGATAATGCCGCTGTCACACCAATAAGTATTTAAGAAAGAGGTCATCGGACAATCAGGGAGGTTCACGAGAGGATAGAAATAAGTATACGGCATGGCATCCAAATAGTCATCGACGACATGAATGAAATGCCTGCAGAGTGGAGAAGCCCTGCGATAATGAATGTGAAACTCTCTTCTGCCTCTCATGTTCTGGAGATATGCCTAGCGCTCATACTGAATATTATTAGAATGGAAGTACCTCGGCGCGCCGCCACCTCCAGTTCTATTCAGTGGTGTTCTATCACCGTTCGCCATCTCATACAGATGGATGCGCACAGACTTCGGACGTCTTTGAGTGGACCAGGTCGTGCTATTCCGCTTGGCGGATGACATGCACGCTAAGTATATTCAACACCGCCTGTGCGTATGGGGAAGCCTGAGAAAAGATAAGATAAGTATACGACACAGCAAGGTGTACAGACGGCACGCACGGCAGGTATTGCATCCTGAGTTGTGGCGACTGTTTTGTATGTGTCACGTAATGCTCCTTCACAATGGCTACCAGCGGATGAGCATAGTAAACGATACGGACTGCGACATCTTTGCGCTTATCCTCGTTCGTAGTCCTCTGGGCTGGCGATATAGGACTTACTCTGCCCTCATGTGACCATTGTGCTTCCACCATCCGTTACACGAACTCCCCGGGCTCAAAAAATAGAAAGCCTAGGCTTGACTAGCGGCTGCTCAGACCTCCTCGAACGCCGTTGGACCCGACAATGATTGAACGGAGGTCCAGTATCTGCGCAATATAGATTTGCAGTAGCTCTACCATCCAGGTGACCGGTAGCATAATGTTCCGGTAGCTAAAAACTTTTTAAGGTTGCACCCAGTGTCGAGTAGGCAGACTTTGGCCTAAGAATAACACATGCCGTGCCTAGGAGCTAATCACCAGTCTTGGTACATGCATATCAAGGACTCTGCACATTGCAGGAAGATCCGCAATGGTATGCTATACCTCAATCAGGATGTTGGGCTCGTAGTATTCACTACCATCTGAAAGTATAAGTCTGGCAGCTTCCGTGCTTAAAACTCGTAAACTCGAATCCATAACCGGTGGAGGGGACAGTGCTGCGTGACATCAGCGAAATTCGAAGGCTTGCATGTGTAGAAGAAAATGCACTTTGCTCCGGCTGAAACATCAACGATGGATCAACAGCAACCATCTTTTATTCCAGAGTAGAGGTAGCAATCACCGCATCCCGATTGTACGTTCCTAAACCATCCCGTACATCAGGATCCGAATGTTCGCTAGAAAGATAAGCGAAGCCGTTATCTCGTCGCCTGACCAATTCGAATGATTAGAAGAACGATATTGGTGACGGGGACCACATACTATTGCCTGTACATGCTATTACCACCGAGCCGACGACTAACCTACTCATGAGCACGGCGGCAACAAAGGGCAAGAGGCACCCCGACACCGTCATCTGATTGAACTTCTCAGTCGGCTGCACAAGCTGACCTCGGCGGATACCCGTACTTGATTGAGGACCTCGCTTCGGGTCGGGGGACCAGGCTCTTGTACTCGTCTAAGTTTGCGAAGAGAAGAATACACGTAAAAGCTACATCCGCTTTGTGCTGATACATTGTTGGCGGTAACATGACTCGAGATCTCTGAGTATAAGGCAGGACCAGCGGGGATAGAGAGTGCGAGACAGGACATCCCACCCGTTGTGGCTGTTGAGAAGAGAATGGCGTCCCAGATAAGGATGATGTCGCGTAGGAATTAAGTTTGATGAAGGAGTACTGGGTGCAACTTAAATGAAATGTGTGTCGAGAGTCGCGATGCTGTGCCTTTGCAGATAAGCACGTATCTTCTCATGTCGACCACCGGTTGAGCACTGCGCAGTGTTCCTTGGATGAGCAAGGAGCTTAGGGAACGGGATAGGTAACAAGACGTCCTGGATGCTGAGAAGCTTAGTTACATGGTATGGTAGGCATTGACTGAGATGGGTGAACTCGTTATACTACCCCTTGACAGATAGTCAGAAAACGCTAGACGACGATTATAGGGAGGAACATACTATTGGTTATACGACTGAACCCACCACACCCTGCTCACCGTCTCCATAACCTTCCCGTAGCCTGCATAATCTGACTACCAACGATCTCGCACAACTTTAAGCACCGGAGATCGAGGACGGTGCATACTTGTAGGAAGTATTTGTGCTTGATGAGGCCATATCAGCAGTTGCGGACTTGGGATAGCGTCTTTGTCGATGTGCTACTGTGTGCAGTGCCTTCATCTACATTTCGTCGCTTTTGACAAGTGTTGGAGGAAATGTTGACCTAGATGGTCCTCCATGCCTCAATATTCCGGCCGTCGAGGTCATACGTGAGTTGGTTTATAAGTAGTCGTCGCACTGGCAAGCGGAAGATGTGTATGAAGACCGGCAGCTAGTCAAGGAAAATGCCGCCTAAATGCCGAGCTAGGCTGTCTCTCGTGACCGTGACCAACCTCCTGTTCTCCTCTAATCTCTCCAATGTCTCTATTCGACTTGCTGCCCTCTCGCCATCAGGTTACTACGCGCATATATGCAGGAAATACCATGGCATGACTCTCTGGAACATGGCCGAAGGAGTGATGAAATGTTCGAGATTTATCCTCATTTCAGAGGTACGTATTGTTTTTCGTTATTCTGTTACATGCTTGAAATTTATCTCGTTAATTGCAGCACGCATTACTGAAGTATGGATGGATGTTCTCGTCAATATACTGCATCACGGAACCATTACAGGAATATTATGTCGACCACTTGAAGGAAGCAAAGTCTGCTGCACAGACAGTCAATACACCTCGCAATGTTGTGTGCTGATCGCTCTCCAGAGGCAAGCTCTCTTTATGTAGATAATGGAAAACAGGTACGCCTTGAATATTCATCGATTCATCCTCCGCGTGTGTCAAGCTAATGCAATTTTAGCCCCTTGTATGCGTCCGTTCAAGCAGGATATATCAAATGCCGAACGTGGTTTGCCTTCAAGGTTGACCATAACTGACTATATACTTCTCTTTTCCATCTGGAAGCGTACGGAAGGAAAATACGGAGTTGAAGAGGTTCGCGTCATGGCAACCATTCAACAACCCTGTAATTATAGGAACTCAAATCACAGTTTATTAAATGTACGACTATAGCTCCTCGGGAGTTATTACTTCTTACGCTATTGTCGGTGGCAATGTAACACGAGTTACACATACGTCTGGCGGCGGAGACACCTACAACGAAATGTTTTGGGAGTCAGATTCATTGGCGCTCGAGCAGCAGTGAGTTATCAGCATGTCTTTGCATTGTCAAGGAAATTCAGACCTTATACAGCGAACTAGCCGTGACGATGGTGCACGTCAATACGGGCTACGGCGATCTCGAAGGAACTGTGTAGTTCGATTATTTCAATGTCTACAATGAAACATCCTCATCGGCTTCCACATTCACTGCTTCCGCAGCATCTTCATCGTCACCTTCGGGTTCTATGGCAAGCTTCCCTGATGCTGCCGCTTCCCTGGCTTCCTCTGATTTTTCATCAGCCAACATTGGCGCCATTGTCGGCGGTATCATTGGTGATGTTTTTGTCTTTCTGGTTGTCGCCGTTGTATTTGTCTGGTATCGTTCGAGGCAAAAGCGACGAGATGTGCATACCCGCGCAATCGGTGATCCCCCGCCACCATTTCTGGGTAAGCCCATATCTGGCGTGGCATTCGTTAATTCTAATTTCTAAGGATCTAATGGTCCCACACCTCCGCTTCTTACTTCTGGGTCTGCAGAACCCTTTATACCGACGAGACAAATACCGGTCTTCCCTGTTGTCGCGTACCGGGATGGTGCCAGAGATAGCGTGGATACCTCCTCTTTCACAGAACCCATCTTTGCTGGTCTGACTTCTAGTATGTCTTCCAAGTTGTCGCACCACCAGACAGTCTTGTCATATGTACCGGTGCACCAGAGTCGTCAACAGCACTGATGTTGTCCTCGTCCGCTGGTCGGTTTGCCGGTGATAGCGTAGCCGAGATGAAGCAACGCCAAGGGGGGCCGTGGCAGGATATTTCGAACTTATCCAGGATATCGACAGTGGGGTTCGTACACGTCCGCAAGAAGATGACTTGCCCCCAGTCTACAGTGCTAACTAGCTGCTTCATCTATGCCACTGCCTCTTCACGAACTATTTTGGCTCGGCGTTACATATCAGCGACACCTTCACGCTACCATGTTACTTTCTACTTTCTACTTGCAGCGCACAAGCGTCATCGTGGTATGCCCAGACCGGTACCCTGTACTACACTACTAGTTCGGAATGTTTTATTCTACTATTTCTTGGGGTATATTGTTGGCAAGTACTAGCAGATGTTTTATACCTTCTTATACGCTGCAGTGGTTTTGCCGCTATAAAATTGGATCCGTCTCTGTTGCAGAGTAAATTCGGTGAAATTCTGTCCTATATTTTCGTCGAAGAAATTACGAGGTGCCAGTGATTCCATGTCAGCATTTGGTCTTCGCAAGTCGAGGCCTTAATTTGCATGGAGATATATGCGCCGAGGCGACTAAACGCAAGCTCATGCGCCAACGAGCAGAAACCACACGCGGTTTATAATGCCAACAACAGAATCTAGAATGGTAAGTGAAAAATCGCTCGCTCCATTGTTGCATAGCTACTAAATTCAGCTACTATTACAATCGCGGACATACATGAATGATCCTGAGAGGCTAAAGCTAGTAGTCCCAGAGAGGAGTCTCGACGGTGTACTTCTCTCCTCGACGAAGTTCAAAGTGCTTCGCCGTGAGTTGCGCAGCTCGGAGGAAGAGTGTGCCGTCGAGTTTCTCTGCTCCTGGAAGCTCCGTCCCCGTAAAATCGGCCTGACCACCGGGACGTGTGCCATACAGCGCTGCATAATAGGCCAATGCCCTCTGAGTCTTACACAGATGGTCATCCGGGTGGAATAAGGCTTGCTGAATTATCGCAAACCACGGATTCGGTGTGGACGACAAATTCCCGTCTGTTGCTATCGCAGGAGACTCGTTAGGAACCATGGCCCGGGACTCGTCGATATCTGCCTCGAAGAACTTTGGTATATCGAAGCTGGGACGGCCGCAAGAAATCCACCACGCGAAAGTTACAGCCATATAGCTACGGAGAAGTAGCGCTTGGGAGGTGGTGGAAAGGAAAGTTACGAAAGATGGCAAAAATAAGGCCGATGTGACGAGATGCATACTGAAAAGAAGATTAGTCACTGTTTCCTCCGCGAAGGTTGGTACGCACAGAAAGAAGTCAGCATGGAACCTTTTCCCAGGCTTATAGCCACCTATTGCGTAGATGATCGTGGTCATCCACTGCAACTCCTCGATTTTCCGACGTAATTCTTGAGGGTTTGATAGATGTAACGACCACTGATTGGTATACCGGAATAACGCTTCTCCGTTTGCGGTAATTGTACTTCCTATAGGGATTTCGTCACCACCAGGAGGAATAGTAAGTGTTTCATCTTTCAGAACACGCGCTAGAATGTCGAAGGCATGGGTTCCTTTCTTCCCGCTGGGAAGATCAGGCGCTTCAAGAGCCGTAGCCTTTTCCGCCTGCGCATCTAACGCCGCGACGGAAATCAAAACAGAATAAGGCAGGAGATTTTGAAGGGTGTCAGAATGAACCGCGGTTTGGGCGAGACCTATGAATACTATCGTAAGGACGTGTGCGCGCGCGATGAAACTCAAGACATGCCTTCGACGACTATTCCCGGCAATCCGAATTCAAGACCATATCCAGTGTGTATCATAGGGTGAACCAGGCCTGCCATCAGTCGGTTGAGCATACCCGGCTGCTGGTTACCGTTCGTCGTCGCATCGACGTTCGCGGATTCGGAGAAGACGAACTCTTCCAATACAGAAGCGATTCCCTCTTCGGCTATTTTATCCTTGAAGAAGGTCATGTACGCCCCATAATATCTAAGGTGTCCATCAAGCCCTGAAGACATGAGAGGAATACCGTACGAACTTTTCGTCTCCTAGGTGAACGTTGAAATTCGCAGAGGATATCGGACCGGGAGATTTGATAGCGGGCTTTTGGCTAGGGCTATCTTCGCGATATACGGCTTCGATTATCTCTTTGCTGGCACCGAGAGCCCAAACAGCCAATACATGGTGAACGATATGACTGTCCAAGTCAGTGGTAAGTTTAAGTCAGACCACTGCAATTAAATATGCAACTTACTTATGAAACCTTCTGCTATTGAAGAAAGTGTGCCACTTCTCGTGATCATCCCGAAGGACGCTCTGCAAAGCCAGAGTGGACTCTGCATCAGCCCCAGGAAGAAAGACCGGAGTCAGACTGGAGGGGGCGCTGGATGGCGCTGGAAAAAGCTCGATTGTGCTGGAAGACATGTTCAATGCAGAGTCCCGTAAGAGATTGTAGTATGTGTGTACTGAGAGACCAATCAAGCAGAATGCATTTTATATACCCAGAGCGCCCCAAAACTCCGTTGCTTGTAAAAGGTCACGGGTGGCCTCGGGATCGTTTACATGAGAAAGCATAAGAAAGAATGTACAATTGCCGTGGGAATTCGTCACTTTTCATCCTATTACCCGTCCATCTAGTAATATGGATGTGAGGAAACTTGTAACGCACCGTCGTTTAAGAGGCCTTAACCTTCATAAAGTAGACTTGAAATCCTAAATAGGTAGGCAGCATTAGACACAAGACACAAGCATTTGATCCATTCAGTATTAGAGACACGTAGCAGCCAAAGGTTCGAGACGTCACAAGGAAGCTGAAGGTAGTGGAGGCCTGTTATTGGCCACCGTCGGATGATGTTACAGCGCTTTCGGAAAACCTTGTCCGAAGGCAATTTTGATCGAATCGGAGTACGATCAGAGCGAATGTCACAAGTCCGACAAGTCCGAAGCCCTAATTCGGATTCGTAAAAGAAGGCCTATTCCAATTTGGAATGGTCCAGGATGCCATTCTATGGAAAGGCATGTACTCATTCGGTTTTCATCCCATCTTATCGTGGCCAGCTGCTCAAGTCCTATGACCGACGGCATTATCAGTTGTCACCCATACTTATGCAAGATTATGCCCGGTCAATATCGAAGACCTCGATAGAAGCGGCCTCACACGAGCAAAATCTTCTCGCACTTCATACTTGCCATGGTCCCGGTCAGCAGGTTTTGTCAACGGGCTCCGCGTTATTATGTTCAACAAACTGATCATTGTCATAGCTCGGTTGATCAGAATTTTTGCATGCTTCTTATCCACCCAGCAAGAAAATCTGGTGGATATTTTTTCATGGACTTAATAAAAATATTTCTTGGGAGAACAACCTTGAGCAAGGTTTTTTCCTTCTCGAAGGGGCGATTGAAAAAATAATTGCCCTTACACCTTACATGCGATGCTCGCCTTCGCGGTACGCTCTTCTTACGCAGGCTTCTGTTGCAGGCCGGTGTGAAACTGCATCTCAGTCAAATGCCTTGACGTAGTCAGCTTCTTCGGGTTCTCTTGACGCAGCTGCTCTGACTCTACGGGGCCGTTTTGCTGAAGTCCTTGGCACATGCACTGAAACTCTACCAAATTCGAGAACTACCTTACGACGTGCTCAGTTATGGCCACTGATAAATAGTCGCTCTTAATGGTATTCCCTTCAGAACATTTTCTTCGAGCCGTACGACATGCAATCCCATCACCTACTACTTCGTCTTCCCTACAGCCGCATTTCTTCTTGCCTTCACACTTTTGCGTTTCAAGGACCGTAAATCTATGGTCCGAAGGATCCCTGGACCGCCGAGTCCTTCATCTCTCTTAGGTTTGTCGGCCCAGCTCCATCGTCTAGTCTGTATTCTGAATTTATCAGGCCATGAATACCTCCTCCGTAACCGTCAGCACGTGGGAGACATGGAGATGGAATGGTATCAGCAATACGGCGCCGTATACCTCACAAAGGGATGTTTCGGGGTCAGTACCGTTTGGCTATCTCTTAATTAATAGCTCTGACATCCAACCAGCACGATGTTTTGTCCGTTGCTGACCCTAAAGCGTTGCAATACATATTTCATTCGTCTGGATACCGATTCCCAAAAACAAGAGATATGAATCGTATTAATGCAGCCATCGCAGGACCAGGATTAGTTGTTGTGGATGGTAAGCCACTGTGTCCTGTGTGTCCAACATTCACCGTTTAATTGGAGTTGTAAGCGAAATGCACCAACGCCAGCGGAAAATCCTCAATCCTGCTTTTGCAACACAGCAACTCCGACTCTTCCTGACTGTTTTCCAGGCGTCTGCTACGAAGGTGCGGGAGGGACATAGGCTTCCATGACAATGGCTCATTCTGTTACCTTAGCTTACAGAGCAGATCAACCAGCAAGTTAAGGACACCGGAGTAATCAATGTCCTTGAATGGACAGGCAAGGCTGCGCTGGATATCATAGGCATCAGTACGTTTCATCTTCCATTCACGATTGTCAAAGCGGGTTCACAGTCATCTCGCCAGCGTCCTTCCGATACGATTTCAACTCACTCAGCGGCGGACAAACCGAGCTGATGGCAGCGACTAATAATCTTTTGTATGCATAATTCATTTCATGTACAGTATATTGCGTACTCATCCTTGAACAGTGGTGACGGCATGATGTCGCCAACATCACTAGAGCTTCTGTGTTCTTCGCTCTGGCGCTTACTTCCCGAGTGGCTGGTTGTACCGCTCGAGTGGCTACCCAACAGAATTACGACATGGCTGAATTACTTTAGAAATGTTGCGAAGAGAGTATCACGGCCCATCTACGAGAAACAACTGAAAGAGGTGGCGAACGATATCAATCCAGCTGAGAAGGATGTCGTTAGTCTTCTCGGTACGCAAGATGCATTTTATACTAGACGTATCCCTCATCTTGGCCCAGCGATATCCCAGCTCAATGACGATGCAAAGAAGAAGATGAGCAACATAGAAATCGATTCCCAGCTGGCGTAAGCTGCTTCAAACTCCGTGTCTACTCCCATTTGCTGACTGAAATCATCAGGAGTTTCGTGTTCGCCGGCCATGACACAATCGCAGAGAGTACGGGCTGGCTTCTCTATGAGCTAAGTCTTCATCCTGAGGATCAAGCTAGGATACGCGAAGAGATTTCCCAAACCAAATCAAAGGCCTCGGGAGCGCTCACCTCAAACGACTACGATTTGATGATCTGGCTGAATGCTTGTATTAAAGTGGGTCGGATATCACGGGAGTTCCTGGCAGGTGTTGATACATGGACTTCAACTTTAGGAAGCCCTCCGTCTCCATCCTCTGGGGCATACCTTGTATCGTCAATCGTCTCAGGGTGATGTTCTGCCCCTCTCGGAGCCTATTACCACGTTGGATGGCTAAGTATGCTCGCGGATCCCCATTCACAAGGGACAAGTCATCTCGGCTTCCATATATACTTACGATAGGTTCGTAGCCTGTTTTTATTCTGCGACAAATCATTGATGAGCACTGGTACTAGGCTTTCATCGGTATGGGGAGATGACGCCAACGAGTGGAATCCCAGTCGATTTCTTGATGGGAGAGATGTTAAGCAAACATCTATTGGAGTTTATGCGAATCTGTACGGTTTTGTTCACTTCGTTTATATCGCAAGCTGATGACGCGGCAATCGCTTGACAGGCTGACCTTCAGTAAGCGTTCAGATTTCCTTGTCGATAAATTTTATTGATAAATTTCGCTGCTATAGGTGCTGGTATTCGTGGATGCATTGGGTATGTACATTGAGCGCTGCGGGTAATCATCCACATCTGATCTATGACTACTCATATCTGCAGGTGGAAATTTGCGTACGTACACATTCACTCTTCACGCTTTCTTAGCTCTGATTGTTTCATAGTGTTATGGAACTGCAATCGTTGATCACAGAGCTCTTGAGTAATTTCGAATTCAGTATGCCGAAGGGAGTTTCCAAGTTGCAGCATGGTCCTATCGGTGTGGGTTTGATCCCCATCGTTCCAGGAAAGGCAGAGCAAGGAGCGCAAATCCCGTTGCTTGTAACCGCGCTTAACAAATAAGATGGGCTACAACCTCAGATGCCACGAAATAATTTTTCTCAAATAAGATACATATGCTGCTCAATTGGAATAACATGACTCGGAGAATATCATCCCCTTTTTCTTCCACCTCCCTAATGATATTAGCAGACCTTGAAACCTGTCGATGAACCCACGAAGGAGACGTGAGCTCGAGAAATACTAACGAAATGAATGCCTTGAGAATCAGAGCTGGATGAACACAGCATGAATTGAATGCAACCCTTGGATCGGTTGGTGAAAAGACTGCTGCGAACCAGCAATAGTACTTACTTGAGCCTCGGAGTCACCTTGCCCGTTACACCATCATCCCACGAAGATACTTTCACAGTTCATCGTGGGGGTCCTAGCCAATCGATCTTGATAGGCGACGCTACAAGCACGCCAATTCTAAGTGAATATCATTAAGAAAGCGAAGTGGTTCAAAGTGGACGGATCCTACTAAGTATACGCCAATTCACTACAGCCTTTTGCGCGCCGCTGCCACATTATTTCCGGCTAAATCAGATTTTCTGGGGAAAAATAAGTTCACACTCAAGGATGGCTCCACCACACGCGTTTGTGCCATGTACCCATTGAGTTGGATTGTCTTCGCATCCCATTCCGCTGCTGAATTTTGGTGGGCGTAGGATGCATCCTCAATGATGACCATCCTCGCATTTCCATTCAGGAGTTTTCTCCAGCCGACGTCGATCTTCTGTCCGCTCTCGACCCTGGGGCATGAATGTCCCGTCGTGGTGAAGCTGTCTGCAAGGGAAGTTTCGTTCCGATCGCATGACCCCCCAGTTACAGGTTTGGGCAGGACGGGAAGGGGGGTTTAGTTCCGAGTCGCCAGTCGCAGGTTTGGGCAGGGCAGGGAGGTTTACGGACTCCTTCTCGTTCTCCTCAATGGAGCACGATGGGTATTCAGAACGCAACTGTGTTCTTGTATCTACAAAAAAAAGTCTCCGGAGAACGATACGCGACAGTGTCGGGAATCTTGGCACGGGATTTTGAGAGTATAGCGTCGATCTTCTCTTCTAAGGCCATCTTCACACATCCGTACCACTTAGTTGCATAGCCAAACCCACAACGGAACGGCTCGTGGATTGGTACACCCTAAAGGTGACAAAGTCAGTTTTCATTTTATAGACTTGACCGCAGTCGGAAGTCAGCCTACCCTCACGTCGCACATCCAGAAACCCCTGCTGACGTAAAAGTCTTGCAATGCTGAGCAGAAAGAAGTATTCGACGTTCCTGAATGCTCCAGCGGAGACTGGTAGAGGTTCAGTTACATTGCTCGTGAATCCCGTTGCAAGCTAAGGTTTCGCAGGGCAAGGCGGTAACTCTACGTCCAACACAGAGTTCTCCTGGAACGTCGCCGATGGCTCGATAAGATGCGGAAGCAGGTCCCTCCACTCGTGATGTAAGTTCTGGGTGTACATATTGGGCTGCGTGCGGCGAGGTTTGGTGGGTGTGGGTGTGCCTATGATGCAGGGGACGTGTCATAACCTGGGGAGTGCTCAAGGTTCGCCTCAGTCCCTGAACCACCTTCGTCCTGCCATCCGTCCATCATGCATCAAGTCATCCTCGAACTCTCAGCCCTTTTCCGCGCCCGCTCCTCAGAGTCCTTGACCTGTCTGAGCAGAGAGAGCCTAGCATGGTCGTATGCAGCATCACCGACGCGTTTAGAGGTATCCTCGCGGTCGCGTTTGCGCTTGACTGAGGTGAAGTTGAGGTTTGGATCATAGTAGACATGCGTCGCCACGATGGAGTAAAAAGAAGCGATATATTTGCATTGCACAAACAAAAAAGTGACCGTCCTGCAAGAATCGTCCTGAACGTCGAGGGATTATCAGGTTGGAAACAAAGGCGAAAGTCCTCAGTGCCTGACATGTGACACCTGGCAAGATTTTACGGCCCGACACGGGGCCCGAACGTCATGGTGAGACTGGCCCCACACGGGTTCATTCGGCCTTGTGGGTCAAGTTCTATTTCAAATCCCTACCAGAGGTGCCTTGAACACTCTTGATCCCCGCAATTGTTCGCAAGCCTAGATCGCCGCCGCCGCGATCGTGTATGTGATCGAGTTTCAAGTCCAATACAAAACACAAGGGTAGTGAAAGACAAACGTGCTCATGCCTCATGCATTGAGAACCTCGGTATTTGGTTCGGTTCTAGTGCTGCAGGCTAGCCTCTGGCAATCGTTCTATCTGGTGATTATAATCAGACTATTGTATAGAATTTCTATTAAGATGCCCTGAAGTTGAACCTGCAAAGATTCAATGATCCAACGTCAGCTACCTTTTGTCGTGTGGCTAAATAAATTTGCACATTCTGGTCCATCATTCAGTTCAAGATGGTGCGTCCATAACAGTAAAATGATGCACGTAGATGTTTTTGCATTCAGAATGCTGTATCATAGCGCGAACATGTTGAACAAACTAGCTACTAGAGATGCGTCAATCTCCGAGATCTAGGATTTTAGATCTCGATCAACTTCAAAGCAACTACTGAGTAACCGGCGGTACCTTTTTTATTTATTTCTAGCGAACAAATCAACCAGAAATCAGCTATATCTTAGTCTTTCACTCCTGCCTCACCTGAAGTTCTGCCCGAAGGGAAAAGTGGAGTGGCACTGAAAGAATTTCCTTAAGCAGTTGTATATGGATACGACCATCAAATGTATGGGCTGACCTGTACTGTCAACAGTCACCGTATGGGCTGAAACCGTCGACGGTACGGGTCCGAGTCATAACCGTACCCGTCAACCGTAAAGTTCTTGGCAATGCCGCATGGCTCCAGGCTTTTTTCAGACCAAAATCGCGCTAGATAGATAAATAAGGTTAGTATCTGTATTTTTTCCTGGATCAAGAATTCCTATGCGGTTCCGAGTCCTGTGTATACAGGATTCGGTCTATGCTAACCTGAGGACCTCAGTGGCGGTGCATGCTGGTGATAGTCCGATAATTCGCCATGACGTCAATGCCAGTTTATTGCTTGTTAACCTCGTGGTGACCAAATGTTCTTTGCTTTCTTTCGCTTTTCCGCTCGACGCTGAACATAATTCACATTGCCAACTTTTCGATAAGTACTTGAGATTTGTGTATTCGTGAGGAAATTAACATTTGCTTTAGTTGCTGTATCTCTGATCACTAGGGTGGCACTCGCCGCCTCTGTACGCTTCACAGCCATTTTTTGTTCCTCGACCTCGGCCTTGTCTCAACAGCCACAAATACAATCTGAGATGACTTACATTCTCGCTCGCACGGATCGTTGCCGGGACTGGTGCCATCAATTCAATCAGTATCCTGCCTGGTGTTTAACAAGGGATGCCCTACGGACGTCGGAAGCATTAGCAGATGACAGCTGATGTAGCAGTGAATGGAGTATGTTGGCTGGACCTTTTTGGGAGTACGTGGCATCTCACTCAGTCCAGTCTACTGACTGATGTGAATCACAGATATGTCTCTAGCCTTCTCCATTGCACATTGCGGTTCAGTTCATCATTGCCAAGGCCATTCAACTTCCCACCCTTACTGTCGTGAAGTATTCGTTGTCATATCCTTGGACGTCACCGCGTTGCCCAGGCTTGAGGTGCTGTTCTCAAGATCAGTAGCCTTGTCTCGTGTATCACTAGACCATTATTCAACCAACTTGAATTTTCAAACGTACTGCTGTGACATCCGGTAACTGTGAGCCTGTCAGAAGAGCAGGGGACTCCACCCTGCTTCTTTTCTTTTAATTTATACTCCGTCTTCACCTTGTCGCGGTTGATCAGTGCAAGTTCAGTATCGCTATTCTGTTGTACCATTCAATGCACCTTATGCCACCCCCCCCATCTTCAGGACTCGGATCTGCCACGCCCTGCGATGGCCCACTGCTTCATACGGTTACGGTGCAGATCCCTATCAGAAACTGAATCCCCTTCACCAAAATCTGGTTTCCAACAGACAGGGACATGTCCACTAAGGAACCTTTTTCAGCTTCGCAACCCATTCCCATCAGAATTCCTTTGCCAGACTGACATGAATCGGGGTCAGGACTGTTGAGGAATAGTACGGAGCCAAACAATGGGTATGACATGCAGCCATCTGCTCTTGTTCAGGTTCGATATTCTTCGGACTGAGAGTGGCTCAGAATTCTCAGATATATTTATAGGAAAGGCTCTGTACTTTCATCCGCACCAAACTCCTCCATCTTGCCGGCGACAGTGCTATGTTTTCTTCACCTATTGCGAATCATATCGACCCACCCTGGGGTGCCGCTGTTGTTGGGCCTCCTGGCAGCGAGGGTCCAGAACCCGGAGTATATGCAGAGATGTATGTTCTACACATCTTGTCACTCTTTAGTGGTGCGAAATTCTGACCAAACTTCACTAGTCCGTGGATCCGTTGTGGTCGTTCAGGCATCACTTGGCCTGTAATCATTGCGTGTAGAAGCAGAGAGGATGCTGAAGAGATAAACGAAATCCTCAATCCTTTTGTTTCTCTCTGGCACCAGGAATCGATCAGCGATTTTCTGGAACGCTTATCGCAGTACGATTCATGGAGAGACGTGTGCGCCATGTTCGATCAGCCTGGTGCTTCTGTGTGGTCTGTCATTCATGGGAATCGCTGCGCTCTGTATTACGATGAGTGAGTACCTGGTTCTTCCTTATCAAGATCTTTATAATGATTGGTGACCTTGTAGGCGCCATGTCATTAAGACATTAAACCAAAATAGCTCAGGTTATCGTACTGCATACAAGTTCTTCTCATTTCACGATGCATTTGTCTGTCACTTAACCAGAGCAGACATTGTCACCAATGGGACCCTGGTATATCGGTCAACTACGGCACCCTCCCCGAGGCCGCCACGCGGTCCATTAGTTGCTGCACCGTCGGGCACACCCCAAAGTCCGCCGTCGACTCCTAGCAAGTCGAAGAGCAACCAAGAGGAGACAAACGAAGACTACTGTGAGTACTGGTCTCTGAATTACGTGGAAACCAGCTTAATCACTGACATTGATCATAGTAGGCAAGACTCTATCGCCTCCTGCAACTCCTCCAAGGACTCATTTGCTGACACCTGTTTCGCCACCTTCAACACCTTCGAGGCCCCCTGTTAGCATACTAAGGGCTTTCCCAAAGGCAGGTCAAAGTTCAACGTCAGGTATGCAAAGACAACATTGCTTCTGGCAGCTGCGAAAAAATTGCTTACTTCTTGGCAGGGAGAAATGATCCAAAGGACTCGGACATGATGCCAATACCTAGTCTGGTCCTACAATACATCACCATTCACAACCACCCCGAGGATTGGGTCAGACACTCGCTAAATGTCAATGATGACCGCCGTGACTTTGTCAGGCACATGAAAGAAGGTCACGATATAGACACCCGGGAGGCCAACTTTTTATGGAGCCTCTACGATACCTGTAATCAGTTACAACATCTACGGTCATTGTTAGATTTATAATAGTAACCGACTGTGCGGCAGAAGCTGTAAAATCGGTATTGAATCTATATTCTCCAGGGCAGTCTCTACTGAGAGTTGAATCACATGATATATGCAATGAAGCGGGGGGGAGGGGGGGGCATCACAAGGGTGGTACTACCATAAGCTGTATCGTACCGCCGAGCCTGCTCAATGACATCAATAGTATGGGTGCGGCGGATAACCCTATATAATGTTCATAGCTACTGCTTTGAAAAAAGGAAGGAAGACTAAGCGCCGGTTAGAGATAGACGGTATCGAAGAGTAAACTTCAAAGTGTGCCATCTGAACGTCCATCAGCGTATTACCTTACCACCTTCTTTATCTGCTTCTTCACTGTACCAGTATGATGATCACCTTGTAGGAAAAGTCATGCTTGGATGCTCGTAGTGAAAATTTGACTGAATCCAGCTTCGCATGCTTGATGGATGAACAGTAACCTGCTAATAGATGATACAAGGCGAAATGAAAGCACGTTGGTGAAACTCAGTTACCCTCCGCCCACATAACACAATATCTATGAACCCGGAATCGCCCCCCTTTGAGTGTCCCAGTCCTCTTATTGAAGTAGATAGACGTGTTCGATGATCAGAGGTCCGGCTAGCGACGGGTATGTGACACTCCTCTGTCCCTCCCGCACCATCATCAACCGAATTGATACAGCATAAATCTCAGCCAGATCAGACGGACGGAGGAACTGAAAGGCTGGTTGTATAAGTGTATTGCTCTACCTCACCGACATTTCGAAGGAATCAATCCCGTCAATCGGGCTATTGGCGAAGGAGAGGTCATCTTATTTTGCTAGACAGGTATCCGCCGTACGTATCGTTATTCATTTGACGTCTTGGCTATACCTGACACTTCATTCTGATAGGCATTTCCTGTGTCTTCTTGAACCAAGGACGGAGGCGTCTTTATTCTATAGCAAACCCTCTTTTACAGCCATCGATAATACATCTACTCGTGAGAGAAACACGTCGTTTCATAGCCTTTGCCCATCCTCACAAAGCTCCGAATACGATGTCTACACCCTTTCCTGTGCCCGTTGTGATTCCCTCATGCACAACGCTCTGTGACCCAGACCGCGTTCACCACTACGAAGATGATGAGCAAGCCTGCTTTTCTCCCGTGATATTTCGACGGCTTCACGGTATTGCGATCCTGCCCCTTGAGGAGAATACTCGCTCGATTACGCTAACGCTTCCCAACATCCCTTGATGTTGATCTCCGTCCTCTCATCTACGACAAAATCATGCTGGTTTCTTCCACGGAGAGAACGTGTCAATTGTGATTCCCTTGTGCACTGATGCGCTGTGCCCTAGACTGTGTTGGCCACTACGAAGTACTTTGATGAGCATTCGAGGCAAGAGAAACCAGAGCAGACCATACATGGGATTGCTTTCCTCCTACGAAGTCATCCTCGACAGCTCGCAACCCACTTGCTCGCCGGCTACGCTTGCACTTTGCTCCGTCCCCAACTTGTCGCTCTGCAGCTGTTCTATCCTTCTCCATCTCCACCTACCACGGAATCGCGCCTAGTTCAACATTGTTTCATTGACGAGAGACGTTTTCGAGCATTTGGTAGTGAACATCGTTCGGAGTGGAACCAGAAGAGACGTCGTTTCCAGGTATGGCTTGTCCGTGAGGAAAGAAAGACGGAGGCGAAGATGGATCAGACTCACCGATGGTCACTACGTTGTAGTAGGGCTTAATATTTAGTTGTGCATGCACTAATGTAGCTGCATCTTCTTACGCTGAAGCCATGGGGCTAATCTCGAGGGTTCCCTCTGTGGTTATTTCCTTGGTGTACGGAGATGTCGATGAGCTCGAGGACTGGCTCGCTAGAGAATATGACGCGAGTATTTTGTAGGTTCAACGTGGACGTCTCATGCGCCATCGAAGCCGTAGATTACGTATTTCCTGGTTACTGTATTCTAGCAGGTATTGTCGTGAGGAAGAGATAAAGTAAAAGATAGACTCTCACCTCGTGCAAGGGGATAAAAATGAGAAGTCGATGCGCGGAAGGACATGTATTCTCACGCCACACTTCTTGTCTTCAACCTTCATGCGATTTTTACCTGCCCATACGACCTGCCACCCTTTTCTGAAGTTGGAACGCGTAGTCAAGAGTCCCTTTGACCCGGTGCTGAGGGTATCACGGTTACGTTGATTCACGACGCATGACCCTCCTTGCCTCGCGGCCGAACCTAGCCTCGATAGACACATGTGCTCCTTGTTGAAGGAATATCTTACGCAGAGTGCCGGCCGACACTGATTGCATGGACTTTAGTACCCTCCTAGGTTTAGAACACTTTGGCGACGTCTCGGGGAGAACTGAAGAGACCGACATTGGGTAAGATCATGGCGCCGCCGAGTCCAGCAGTGCTCCCTAGGCAAACGACATTAAAAAGTCGAAGGTGAATATGGAGGGAAGCACGAGGGTGGCGAAGTTGTGGATAACGAGTTCGTGTGTGATGTCGTTTAACTAGCTGAAGTACAGGCGGAGCTGGTCAGGGCATTGACGGATCTGTGGAGAGACTCGCCGGAGGAATTGAAGGTTGAAGATTGTGTATTGCCGATGGATTATGGCACGTTCTTGATCCTCGTTGTTTCGAGTACGGTATCAAAGTTGATCGATGTCCGCTGTTAGATGTGCGCCATTTAGTGTTGCTCTAGGTAGCACTGTCATGCCATTCCTTTCCCAAGGTGATATTTTGGTGGGTCGGGGCAAGGGGAAAGGAGAGAACGTTGGAGATTGATGATATATACACCGATAATGGAACATTGTAGTGTTGCTAACGTGTTCCTGGACACGGTCGACGTAGACATGTTTCAAAAGTTCAGGAAGGCTGCGGGGTGGACGGAGCAAGAGTCAAGCAATAGCGCAGGAATTTTGCTTGATGGAGGTGATATCTCGCCTTTCGTTGGCCATTCGATATCCACGGGTTGTGTTCGGAGAGATGGCATCTGTTGTCGTAGGATCTGGTGGCCAGTAAAATTTCCCGTGTCGATTCGAGGCGTCCACGTCCTGAGGTAGTATTAATACGAAATGACACAGCACATGTATCTGAACAGAAATGAATACGACACTGAGAAAGGGAAGAAAGACTGACGCACTAGACAAAAGCGTTAGTATCCATAGTCGAGAGTACAGCGGCCACCTGCTTCCTTTACTCAGTCTCGGCATCGACGACGAGGAATGTTAAAGAAGCAGGATGGCCCAAACACGAACACGTACTGGCTTGACCCGCAATAACTTCACAGGGCAGAAATCCCCGTTCGAATCCATCAGCTAGGTCTGCGAGTTATGAATGCCTAGCCACATGCATGCACGAATGTACGCACTCGAGAAAACCAGTCACCAAGCTAGTTGAGATAGTACCGTCCAAGTCGTAAATATATCCACGCCATGATGGAGAGCTCGCAAGCAATGGTAGAAGCTTGAAAACGGTACGACAGTATGCGAGTAATCAAGCTGACCTGTGAGGAGAGGAATAAGAAGCGTAGCATGGGAAAGTTACCGAATCTGATTCCATTCCCTCTTCAACGTTCAACCAGCTCCTACTATCTCAGCGCGCCACATTCATCGACATTCCTTAGGGTCCTTATCCTTAACCCTGATGTTCACGTACACCCTACGACTTGCCTTTGCAATCCCACGAAGACGTGTTGCCTAGTCAAGAGTCTACAGCATTTCTACTTGACGTTTTGATCATTGTATTCGCTTGGTAATGGCAAATCTCACTTCAACACGTCGCGCCTACTTGAAAAGACGTTCACCTTGGATTCAAAGACCTTGGGGTTGAAGAGGTATAATGCTCAACTGGAAGACGTGGGATTACACGAGCGCCTGTGAACGCTTGGACAATATCTCGCTTTTGTCGCACAAGGTAAGGATATGTCCTTCTTTTTTCGTTTCTTCTTTATGGCCGTGTCTCTTAGGATAGCATACGCCAAATCGACAGAATACACCCGCCAGACCGAGACGCCTCTCGTCAGGGACCTAAATGCCGATGGGAACTTTGATGACTCTGGTAGAGATTGCAATTGTACTGGTACTGATTCACATTTGTGAATATACAAGTACTATTCTAAACCGATCGACCGTTCAACACCAGTCTGATGGTATACATTGAGATGGCTTCCAATCGTGCCCCAGTCAACATAGCCATCAGAAGTACATACCTTCCTCGTCTCTGTGTCGAGGTCGTGCTATTCCACTCTTACACAAAACGCCCCTTGGCCCAAGCAGCATCAGTCTTCTCTCGACTGCAAGTGCCACCGACAGGTCCACAGTGACACTGTCGCATCTCAACCTCCACGAAAGGCTCACTCATGGAAGAAGCCATCACTAGCTAGGCATGATTCTCTCTAGCATAGAAATGGCGAAGAATTGCATTTGCGGGCGTGAATTGGGTGTTTGGATGTAGTGGAGTGGATAGGCGAGCATAACTAGCGGATGGAGGTCGTACGATGGAGCTATTGAGGGCGGAAGCAGGATACATCCCGATCGACTGATCGGCCGGGGCATTGTACGTATTCTTCTCTTCAGCTTTACATCTGCGAGTCCTTTCTGAATGGGTTTTTAGTTTCAAATCTACGCGTTCAATCACACGCGGCGCTCTCCTTGTCCTTCCCGATGGTGCCGAACCGGCTACGATTCCGAAAATCCAGGTCTTCTCGGGGAATATGCAGCTGCCAATGCTCACAGCTGGTACGAATACCTCAATGGCGAAGGCAGGGGGATCCGCAACGGCACACTTTACCTTGTCACTGGATGCGACAAGTGCCGCTCTTGGACCATCCAATGTTATCAGTCCAGCAACACGTCGAAGTTTATACTTGGTAGTGCAAGACGGGAGATGCACACAGCTTCTGGTGTCCATCAAAGAAGTCACCAGGGCGACGTGATACCGAGAGCGACTGTAAATCAGACTATTTTCTTGCGCGGATACTCAATCTCTGTGCATGATCGACCAGCATTATGTGGGTTGGGTATCACGCCGACCATCGTGAGGATACCAGCACTCTTACCAAGAACCAAATGGGTAGGCCTATTCTTTTCTTTTCACATTCCGTACTAACCCTGGATTCTGATCGCAGGAGGAGATACCCTACGACAACAGATCTACGCATGAGGCTGACACGTCGGTTCAGCAGTTCCCCGATGTCTATCCATCATTGTTAGTAAATGATCATATACTGAATACTGTAAGCCAGTACGTCGTAAGGGCGCACATGAGCTTACCCCAACTTCCCTAGTGCTATGGTACCACTGTTGCGCTCACTCATGATCACTAGTATAGTCAATAATGTACGTCTTTGCATCTTTGGTAGGTCTTTCGGTTGCATTGACAGCTTCGGTAGGTTCAAAACCCACTCAATGCAGCGAAACTTTCGAATGATATCGTCTCCAATACCAACTTAGTTTTTATTACGAAAAGTAAGTTGTCCTCCATCAACGTACACTCTGCTCGAATTTGCCATCACCACTACCACTATGTTTCTGGTTTCATAGGCTTTGGCGCTGCTATAGGCTCACTGTTTCCTGTCGAAATGGTGTCCTTCGCTCCTCGCAGTTGCCAGATGCTTGCGTTGTGTTGTTGTCATAGGTTGGGCATCGCTACAGGCACACTGTTTGTCATTCAAACGATGGGCTTGATCATTTACGGTTTCCTGATACCTGCGTTTCATGGTTTTCATAGGCTTGGGCGCTGGTACAGGCACACTTTTTCTAGTTATAACGTGTGCTTGTTTCCTCACCATTGCCCAACACTTGCGTTGTGTCGCTGTCATAGGCTCGAGCACCGCTACAAGCATGCTGTTTGTTATGTAAATGGTAGGCTTGGTTGTGTGTGGTTGTTCGACACCTGCGTTCGTTGGTTTCCATAGGCTAAGGCTTGAGCTCTGCTGTACAGGCGCACTGTTCGGTGAAATGGTGTGCTTCGTCTGTCATGTTCGCCTGATGCCTGCGCTTCCTAGTTGTTATGTCCGCTGGTGGTCTCCTTTGCGAAGGATCTCACCAGTCTGGTGGTACTCGGTGTTTCGTTGACACAGGCACTCTCTTTTTCGAAGGAGCTTGCCTGTTTCGTTGTTCTTGGTTCCCTTTTCATCGCTTTCATGGGCTAAGGCCCGAGCATCGCTGCAGTCTGTGGTTCTTTCTTTCTTGGTGGATGAGTCGTACGCTCCCATTGTGCTTGATCTCTTCTCATCGCTGCTAACCTGTAACTTTCCATACACCCCATGGTCCGTGCACCATGTCTCACTCTCTCGTTACGTATTTCTCATTTGTTCACATGTTCTTTCATCGTCATTACTGACGCACATGCCTCATGAGCCATTTCATAATACTCCTCCTTTTCGATGGCAGTGCCTCTCAAAGGAGTCATACACTGCACCGGATTTTCAAGGTTCGCGTCTGGTTCGCCGTGCTCGATCGCGCATTGTTATCTACGTTCTGTCTCATCCCCATCACTTTTCATTCAATCGTGTACCCTGCGAAGAGTCTCTACTCTGCGAGACGCACTCAACAGTGTGATTACAACGGTATGAGCCTTCGCAGCCACAGCGCATGGTTCGCCATGTCAGGGCTGTGGACCCGGCCGTTCCTGAATCCTTATTGGGACCTGGCGCCGGTAACACCACCACCACCACCACCTCCACTTGAATCCTAATTAATTCCCTCAGGTTCGGAAACAGGCAATGCATGGATTGCAAATCAATGCGACCAACACAACGCGGAGGCGCTGAACTCAAAAGATGTGGACGTACTACGAGGACTTACAGGTGTTTCACACTCGTCTCAGAAAACTCACATTGACCAGTCCTCAGGTTGCACTCCTACACAGTCAAAAAGTACACTGGGGCTGCGATCACATCTACCAGTCCGAGCTGGATTAACGCGATGGCAGTGGTGGAAAAAGAAAACGACAAAAGCAGCAAGCGAGAAGGGGTTTCTGCCTCATAATTTATAGCGCCACAAGTCTACTCTGCTGTATACTCGCGAAACTTGTATCTATCTGAATGAATTTGAGGATCAAACGTGGTCTATCGGAGGAGCTGAAGGAGACACAACACCCAGACTACCAGGTTTCGAATCCAGGTGACCAGTGATGTTGCTCCGTTAATAGTAAGATACCCTGAGCTGTGGTTCGGGTTCCCAGTAGACATCTGATTGTATGTTGCCTGTTCCAAGTGCATGAACGACGACTCTGCGAGTAGGCCAAAGCTAAGCCGGAAAGAAGCGAAAATTTGTAGGTGGACGGCTACAGGATATCTCTGGAGCTCGGTGGAGACCTCGTTTCAGGTTAGAGCGGCCCTAAAAAGCACCCCGCGCCTCCGAGATGTACTACCGGCGTTGGAACCGGGGCAACTATCAGGAACACTGCTCTGCATGGCGTCGTATCAGTGGAAGGGATCGGAACGAGTATGGAGGAGAGGCTATCTGGGAGGTAGGATGGAGACAGGCTCGATTAGAGGCTTTCTGCCTCGTAAGAACGGTGAAGACGGATACAGCGTTTGCGTGGTGCACTTCTTGCGCTGTGCAGCAGGTTTTGCTTCCCTCGAGCGATCGCGACATGGCGGATGATTCCGTGTTGCATTATATTGACGAAAACGCCCATCCATTCTTCGGCAAAGCGTGCTGCACTTAATGAGATAAATATCAAGCATGGATCCGAAGAAAAATCCATACCTGACCGCTGCGAAAAATCGCTTGACCGCTAATTAGAAGCTACTGCAGCATTAGGCGACATAACGGCGCCCAGACTGGGGCTCGGACTAAACGACATGTCCGTGTCCTCTTTCAGGTATCTTCCGTTGATCCTCCAAAGGAAGGAAACGGAGTTCTTTCAACGATGCTGATCAACTGCGTCTGCCTATCGAAGTCAAGATGTGTGGTTTCCGACCGCTCTCCTACACCTTCTCATGCGAACACAGTCAATGAGCTGCTTCATGGCCTCGCGACCAGAAACGGGCCGTCTTGGGACAGTTGTACGACGAGCAGTACTGTTCCGCGAAAGCGTCTGGTATGGGGTTCGAGGTCCGGATCCGATAGGCGTGCTAAAAGGATGTGAATTGGGCGTTGGCGTCCGAAGATGGGGCACCGGCGTGGAGCCGATGGTCGCGCGATTTGGGGGTGTCTTCAGTGTACCACCCATGGTGAATCCGTTGAAGCCGTTTCTATATTCCAATGCACCCTTGCCTTTCCTCGCTGCGGATAGAGTCACTCCACATCAGCCTGGCCTGGCCTTCGAGCCCTCATTCCATCCGCGCATCAATCGAGTTTTGGTATTACATTTTCCTTGGACGAGCATGATCCCAACTGAAAGATAGTCACAGCGGAGCTGAGGGCAAAGTTACTACACGATTCGAGTTTAATAACACTTTGGGATGCTGAAAAGCTCGTTACCTGCTGCAGAGGTCGCCTGGTTAATTTCCCACATTTGCAGCGAGAAAGATGAATCAAGTCGTTATCCCACCCCCTGGCAAGTAATCAGAATGTAGGCAACAATCATAATGGAAACAACATACCATCGCCTATATGCTTTATCAGGCCTCACCGCCGTAACCTCCTTGTCACTTGCATAATCACTCTGCAGTCATCCATGATACGACACCCACATTCGACTCGCCGAACCCATACACAGTGAACCTCCTACGCATTCTCAAAGACTCATCTATCTTCAGTCTATACCGATCGTTGGCTCCAGGTCAGGTCCTGCTTCCTCTTCATTAATGAATTGATCAAACCTACGCTCTTCAAACTCTCCTGTCGGCGTATTATTTCCACGTGTATGTCCTTGACAAAATGGAAGGGTGAAGAGAAAGGAAAGCAGTAGTCGTGGTTGGAAGTAAAGCCTCGCTCGGCATTTGCCGTGTGCTCCCACCTCTCCTCCTGCCAATTCCAACAAACGAGGCGACTTGCCTGAGCGAGGAAGGAAGAAGGATTGCCCATTTTCCGTATTACGTGAAGGTCTACAACACTACGTTCAACCCGCGAGAGTGAAACCCAGTCCAATGATCGACATTTGCCGTTCGAACTTGGCGTCGCAGTGTAATCCACCCTATTCAATATTCAGTGCTCATGCCTACGACCCCATAATTGGGCCAAACCTGCTACTGTCTCTGCTTCGAATCGCTGTATTTGATAAGCCCCTTTACTATTTTGTAGAAACCCTGTAAAATATTCGTTACGTAGCTCTGGTGCGTGGCTCAGTCTGGGACGTAGAAGTGAGATTAATTGTGTGCATAGACAGATAGGGTAGGCAGACGTAGATACGACTTCTCTTTGTACCTGACAATGAATCGCATACATCAAACAAAATAAGACTGCTCTGGTCGGACCCGCCGTCACTTTTCCGTAACACTTCCGTCCGACTTGAAAATTTCCCATCGATGCTTCTTGAAGTGGTCCTCCGCATATTTCTGTGCATCGTCTGAGCACAAACATCAGTAGAAACTCCAATAGGGTAAAACAAGGGTAATACCATGCATTATAAGCCGCTTCAAAGTATTCTCTAGCACTTCACCGTATTCCGACCATCTACGCAGCCACTTGCTGGATTCCGGTTCGTCTTCAAAGGCCTGGAGCAAGTCAAAGAGTTGAAGCCTCTCGTCACGTATACCTTCGAGTATCATAAGGCGGGTTTCGGCTGGTGACATACAATTAAGAGCGGGCACCGACACATAATATGGAGTAACCCACGGTAGTCGACAAGATTCTGTAAGCACTTGAATCCAGCTATCTGTGCATCGATGTGATGACCTTCATGGGTCTCGAGGATACTCATTGTCATATCCTTGACTATGATCTCAAAGATGTCTTGTTCAAGAAACAAGGCCTGGAAGTCCTCTATACTGCAAGTGAGTTGAATTTGAATTTGCATCGGATAATCAACGGTACGTACCGTACAGAGAAAACCCCTCTAAAGCGTTCCGGACAGCGGATAGCGCGCCCCTGTCGCTTCTAAAAATGCTTTTGAGGAACACCTCGAAAGTGGGGCGGACTGCAGAGCGTATGCTTCTCTCGCCTTTCTTGACATTCTGACAAAGCGCAACGAACACCTTGAAAGTGCTACAGACGGTCGAGACTATACCGCGGCTACTGCAAGCGTTCTGACCGAGGGCAGCAAGGGTATCAGGAAATGAGATGTCAGTCATAATCATCCGCGCCTCGTCTATCGTATAGATATTCCATTAGATGCAAGGGTAATATATGCAGCGGAACGTGAATGACATACTGTTTTCAATGATACGTTTGAGAAATTGAAGAGCGTTCTCCCGGGAATGCTCATGCAGTAAGGCATCAGCGACCGTGCTAAAGACCCGACGAGTACATACGAACTCGCGTACTTTATCTGTAAGATTTCGTCACCAAAGTCCTTGAGCAGACGCGAGGTGACACACCGCATTCATACAGTTCTCGAAAATAGACCTGAGTCCGATACAAAGCATCATCATCAACGCCTACTGTCGCCAGCTCTTCAATAATGGACTTCTTCACTTCATCTGAGGTATGTTCTGGTAGACAAACCTATCATGAAAAGGTTTTGCAAAGATAACGAAAAACTGCACCTCCAGATAGTATTCCGACCAAAAGGTTTGACGCTTCCCTTTTCTCAAGCCACCTGTCTACGGATAAGGTTTTAACAATTGCTTTTATAACCTTGGGTTCGGCCAGTTTCGTAGCACTGTTGGCTGTGGCAGAGGCATCTTCAGTGTGGTTTATATTAGCTAGGAAGATAGAATACATACAATGATTGACTATCTTCAAAAACGCTGCTATGACAGCTCCTTTCTGAGCCGGGAAACAGTGCTCATTGATGCCAAAGAGTTTGGTCATCAATACGATGATGAACTCTGAATCCAGCATTGCTTGTTCGCGGAATTTAGCTTCTTATATCATATCGTCAAGGAGTAATGAGTTGAATATTCATTAAGATCTTACCCGCGTCAAAATAGCTGCTGAGGCACAGCGCACTACTTCCTTTTGCTTTAGGATGTCCATCTTTAATCATCGACATCAGGCCTTCCTGCAGCGTCTTCACGCCACTTGAAATGATCTCCTCTAGAATAGAAGATATATAGTGAAATAAAACAACGAGGAGTGACAAAACCTACTACAAAGCTCTTTGGACATCCTTTGAAGTACAATGGAAGTATGATATTTGGTTCGGATGTCTCTCAAGAGATTCACAAGCTTAATGGCTAAACGTTGCACCCCTTCAAAGTAATGGCTCAGCCACCAACAAACTTCACCGATGGTAACTCACCGGTGTTACCAATCTCTGTAATGAACGTCTTTCGTATTTCCTCTGCCAAGGCCAGTATATAAGCATGTGTATAAGCACCAATCACGAAGAACCACAAACATATTTTAGCCAAGCGTGCTAGACAAGATAAACCCAAAATCTGGTCGCTGGTTTTTGGCGACTCGGTTATCAGTTTCATGAGAACAGGTGACCAGACTTCCGGCTTTTCTTCCACGATACACCGAGCCTCCTTGTAGTACTTGGTACTCTTTACAGGTATATTGAACCATGCTCTGTCCTCCTCAGGATCCAAGATCAGGTGGGAGAGACACTGGAGACTAGCGACTCGGTCTGAGTCTGGATCTTCAGCCTGAGAGTGCAGCATTTGTCGGAGTGGTGACCCGGCTTTGGCGTTGAGGATTTGTTGATCGTACCCTATATTATGTTGCATGTTACCCCACTGGGATAATGAACTGGGAAAAACATACAGTGCTTCGCAAGTTGGAAGAGACAAGAGGCACTTGCAGCTCGAATGCCGACATCTTTGTCAGACAGCATAGCCACAAGATCACCGATTACGCTAGAGATCTGTTTTGCACATCGTTCTTGAATCTAGTGAGGAATGAATGATGCGTATACAAGTCATCAACTTACTGGACAAAGCCATGAATGATAAACGTCGCAGAAGGAGCGATTGTTGGTCTAGAGTCCAGATACTTCGGGCCTCGGTGCCAGTTCTCAAACCTTTAAGCTTGCGTATCGTATCTTGAACAAGAAAATCGTCAAAGAGATCCATCTCCAGCATATGCTCCCATTCATCAGCCCAAGACAGATCTTTGAGTTCGTCTTCCCCATCCACTATTCCAACTAGAGATGCCCAATTCATCGCCTTGTCACCGATGAACGTAGCTGCGGGAGTATAGGTTTCACTGTTTTTGAAGACCACAGAAGCGTGAATACGCTGTCGAGGAGCGATGGAGCGACCTCTACCAAGATTGGGTTTACTGAAAAAATCTAGAATTAATATTGCTATACAAAACTGTCGTGAAAGCTATACAATACCGTGTGGTAATCTCTACCTCGGTGTACTTGAATCGCCTGATGGGCAAACACTCAAGTACCCACCATAATGCGCTCAGGGACTTGGTTGGCTTGTCTTCCTGAAGATGATCCCATTTCCATTCCCTTATGGTTTCCCGCGGTGAAAAGCGGAGGCCGGTTTCACTGGCTTCATGCTCCATCCATAACAGAGGAATCCGGGAGAGATCAAAGGCATGACGTCGTTTGGCGCTTCCACCACTGTGAACGAAAGGTGTTAGTACGACAGATCGAAAATGATGCCTTTTTTCGACGTACATGTCACCATGAGTACCCATAAACCAAACTTCATCGACATCGACATTGGTATACCCGCCTTCATAGTACTCATTGTCAAGTTGCGGTGTCCGTCCGCCAGCCAAAAATTCAGGAAGAAACTTGACGCGGCGTTCGTCCAGAGCCAGTGCATGACGGAAATAACAGATATGAAAGGCTTAAGTAGTCAGTGGTAAAGGTGGTTCTAGCACGAGTCCCACGGACGAAACAGTGTCCCTATGATAAGAACACTAAGTTCCCGCAGAGATCTAGAGCGGAACAGACGCACCATACACCCACAAAATGCACCTTGATATTTCTCGAGAACGTGTCCTTGAAATTTGCAGCGAGAGCTTCAGCTTCATCTTCGTCCTTGATTACTGATGGAGACACGTCATTTAGATGTCAGAAGAATGGAAGGAGAGTGACTGTGTTCTTTACCTCGGCCTTTATATTTGTTGACATACAACTCATAGGCACTATGCATTTGCATAAAGGATTAGGGCGACCAAGCATCACGAAAAGATATCTCACAGAAAAATAGAATCCTTGTTTCCCGCTACAGCCAGACCAAGCTGCGTGAAGACTATCAGGATAGAGAGGCGGTAAATACAGTAGAAGCAATCTTTTTAATCATCCCTGCTAGAACTCGGACTTGGTACGCCCCACGAGAAAACCCTGAAGAGGAATACATTAATCTGGCGAGCGCTTGAACGAGAAATAACCTACCAAATAGATATATCCGATCCCCAGGTTTATAGTGGTCGACCAACCATTGGTACGCCTCTCTGACAATGCGCTTGAGATTCCTGATACACCCAATATGCAATCAGCGTATGTTTTCAGAAGAAACAAGAGGAGGGATCACCATGCGGTCATCAGATCAATCTTGTTGTCAATGAAGTTTATGCAGTTAGCTAGCAGGGACTTGTCGCGCCGAAGACGAGTTCCTATGCCGCTGCAGTAGAACGTAACTTGGCGAACGTCCCCGCCATCCTTGAGTATGCGGTTGCACAACTCTATGACATTGGTGTTCTAGAAAAATGCCTTGTCAGCACAAGGGCGGTAAGGTATACTGTCAAGATCACGAACACGATGGCCAAACTGCTTGGAGGTCCCATCAATGCAAACAACCAAGTTTCGGAAGGACTTTCGTGAACCACAGTCCTTTTTGCATTTGTACTCGCAATCTTCGGGGCATTCCTTATTGCACTTGTGCTTTTTGCATGTGCAGTGGGCGGAGCATGGACATGAACAGTTGCAGTCGGGATCGCATCGACATTTGCATATCCGGGTATTGGGCTGATTGTTGTTCATGTCCAGAGGTTCTATTGCAGTAGCATTAGACTCAGGGGAATGTTCTGCAGAGGGAAGCGAGCTCGTTACAGAGGGAGGCGCCATGGTTTTTCCAGGAAGAAACACAAGGCAGCAATAAATAGTCGACGAAACGTGGTCTCTTCCTGCGTACTCTGGGTTCTCTTTCCCTTCGGCATAAAGGAATCAAGGGCTCAACATTCGAAACTGAAGCCGAAATACCATCGGTGGGGAGATACATCTATTTTCATTTTGCGACGCACAATCGGAAGCGAAGCAGCAGTTCTCGTGGGAATCTCACGGGAAAACAAGTGGTGCACCAACATGGATAGCACGGTTAACGCGTGTCTTGCGACCGATGCTAGACGCTGAGGGTCAGAGAGACTGGCATGATTTGGTCAAACGGAAACGAGGACACCTTCCCCGTGATGATGATGATGAGAGTATCCATCTATGGGGTCCACGTTACGCTTTCTAATGTGAGGCGCTAATGTGTGACCGATGTGTTATAGACATCTAGCAATGTGGATTCAGTGCATTCAAACAGCGCTGCAGCACTGATTCCCGCCCGAGGAGGTGTGGAACCAATATGTCAGCCTGCATACTCGCAAGGCCGTAGGAAGCATCCACCACCGATGTACCGGTTTTGACTTACTATAGCTGATCGTATATATTCCGGTCGGTTCCCGCATCATGAATCTGCGGTCATACTTCAGCATGGCTCGCACGCAAGAAAATGACGGACCACCATCGGTATCCTTCCTCATGGTGACTAGCCGTAGTATGACGCTACTAGTCCCTGGACTTGGAGAACAGAAAGCCCCAGGCTTGCGGCTGTTCAGACCTCCTCGAATGCTGTCACTGCTGCTGGGGACCCAACAGTGAACAGTGAACTGATCTAGTATCTGCGCAATATATGATAGCCAAGTTTGCGGTAGTTCACACTTCCTAGACGATCTGCGTAATGTTCCGCTGAAAGTGGCAGCTAAAAATATTAAGGTTGCGCGGCCGAATAGGATGCGACTAGCAGACGCCGGCCTAAGAATAGCACACGTCGTGGCCGGTGTGTCTTTGGGGACTACGCAGGAACTAATGTCCAGACCGGTGGTACATGCATATCATGCATGTCAAAGATCTTGAACAATGCATCTCCGCAACGGTATGTAGCTCGTCGGGATGTGTCTGCTTATAGCGTTCAAACGGCGCATAAACCCAAGCCCTCCAAGGTAGCTAGGATGACGCTGCGTGACATCAGTAAAATTCGAAGGCTTGAAAGTATTAAAGAAAACGCACAAAAGATTAACACCACCACCTTTTGTTTCCGAGCACAGTTAGAGTCGTTATCCCATCGCCTGTCCAATTCAAATGGATAGAAGTGTGATATTGGTGAGGAAGACCACATACCTTTCTATTAGCACCGAGCCGACGACCAACCCACTCACCAGCATCACAAGCCCGGCACCAAAAAGAAGCAAGAGGCACCCCGGCAGTTCATTTGATGATTTGATGGAACTTCCTAGCAGGCTGCATACAACCACCTCGCAGAGAACCCACATACAGCAATGACAAGTACATGCGAACTTCCATTCGGTTATGAGTTCTCCAAAGACGCGTCTACCTCAAAAACTCGAGTCTTTCCGTCTGTATCGCGACACGTCATCGTGCATCCCACTAACCCAATGCGGGTCCATATTTCGATTTTTTGCACATGACGTCGCACATAATTTCAATCTCTTCCTGCAGACATTACACCCCTCTTCATCAAAATATAAGAATTGTGTAAACGGTCGTATGTGCACCGTTCGATTAGGGCGTCCACTAAAGGTGCTATAGCTTGAGGCAAGTACGACGTCCATTTCCTTCCCTATTATCCATGCTAGACACTGAGGCAAAAAGTTGTGACCGAAAGCAAAAACAAAGCACCGAAATCGACTCAACCATGCGATGATGGTTCGACTCGAGTGTGGATTACGGGAAAGAGACACGCCGTGCGAATGATCAAGGATATAAGGAAGAGGAATGGCATTATACTACGTGGTTTGATGTTAATAAGATGTTCCAGATGCTAGAAAGCTTGACGAACATACCTGCTCTACTCTTCCATAACTACGTCACCTTCAGCATCCTCTTCTTGAGACGAATTCCACCACGACACATTCCCAAGGCCTGACTCCGCTATCGAACACTGGTCAACCTGTCAACGCCGAAAAAAAAAAAAGAAAACAGAAGAGAAAACACACAATGATCTGATACGGCGCTCTCCTCGGTTCCTGCTTCACCTGCACCCCTTCAGACATCTTCGGCGGTCCCGGTTCGTCATCATGAAACTCATCCGCCTCAACCCGCACACGTACGACTTCCCCAGCATCGATGTACATCCTCGACCCGACGTCCGTATCCAGTAGCTGCGAAGACGTAGTAAGCTCGGATTCTGGCACCCAGAAAAAAGCGCGTTCGTTGGGGTCAAATGCCGAAGGCTGGGGGAGGTATATCGATGGTATGTATATGTCGTCGAAGAATCCCATCGTTACTATGAATGAGAATAATTAGAAAGGGTAAAAGTGAAGTCTGGAAACGTACATCGAATAGATTCAGCATCCGACGATTTGACCTTTGCGAGTATCACTTCGGATGTGAACGGTCTAAAGACGACCAAGCGAAATACGACTGCATTATTTCAGGTCAGCTCTTACATTTCCCACCGTGCAGTCGACGTACCCTTGTAATATAAAAAGCCATCCCCATACCGAACTTTCCCCTCACCCGCCTCTGTCAAATCGAACACGCATACACACAGTCCCACATCGTGAAGCACTCGATTGGCGTACTTTTTGTTGAGCTCGGCTATGAGCGCCGTTTCCGGTGGAATGCCAAAGTTGGAGGGGTGTATGCCGATGGTATCCTGGAGTAGTGTTAGGACGATGAGAGAGAGGGAGACAGATAGAGGCGCTTCTCACCTTGAGTATAGCGAGGTGGAACATATAGACCTATAAATCTGAGTTTGAAATCCCAATGCGCGTGGGTGGCTGTGGAAGCATCATGTGAATATCACGTGAGGGCTTCGGACCGATTGCCAGCGGTTGGCTGTTTAATACCACCATGTCTGTCTCTGCTGGTTAATTTCTTTATTTGCTGCCTGAACCTGTTTTTTCCGCGAATCACACTTGCTTGCAATGTCGGATATGATTACTAGAGAGACGGTCATCGTCTAACAGGTGTCGTCACGGAACGAGCCATGTCGCGAATGCTCGAAGACAGCAAAGTCTTACCAGAGCCAATCAATACTGCAATGTCGCCTATCGTTCTCCAGAGATATTTTTTTGGTAGATAAAAGAACGACAGGTGCCTTCTGAATACCCATCGTGCCCCATTGAGGAGAATGGGAAGGAGTCTGTAAACCTCTCTGCCCTGCCCGGCCCAGTACTGCGCCTGGTGGCTCGGAACTAAACCTCCCTTCTTGTCCTGCCCGAACCTGTGCCCAAACCCGCGACTGGTGGCTTGGAACTAACCCCCCCTGTCCCGCCCTGCTCAAACCTGCGCCCAAACCCGCGACTGATGTGACAGTGTTGAAGATCCTAAAAAAAAAAGTATAAGAAGGTGGTCTCGTCTCCATCCTGGACTTCATCAGCACACTCTCAAACATATCCGCTTCGATCTCTGAAGACTCTTACACCACCTGTACAACATCTTCACCTCCTTACACAGGATTTTTTCCTACCCAACATCAAATCACCACCCTTGGCACATTACCACCTCCGTTCATCGAAATGGCTCCTACTGTCGATGTAAGTTTACAGGGATCCAAGTACAAAGCTTGAGGTGCATATACTGATATGAAGTATAGTACATGGCGTTCCCGCCCATAGCCGCGCTTGAAGCCAAGATCAAGGCAGGCAGCCATGAGGACGTAGTGGACGATATGTGGCTCAATGTCGGCTCATTGTACTTCACACTTGCAGACGGCTTCACCGTGTCGGGACAGTCACGCCCCAGGGTCCAGAGCGGACAGAAGATCGACGTCGGCTGGAGAAAACTCGTGAATGGAAATGTGAGGGTGTTCATCATTGAGGACGCGTCCTACGCCCACAAAAATTCAGGAGCGACATGGGATGAGAAGAGAACCCAGCTCAAAGGGTACCTGGCACAGACGCGTGTGGCGGAGCCGAACTTCAAGAAGACGCTTTTTGGTGCGGTCACGATCGGCAAAGCGACCCAATTCTTCTCATACCCCTACCGCCAAGATCAGCTCCAGCCGCTTCATGACGTGGATAAGGCCTTTGAGTTCAAGAAGCACCAGGAACGCATAGACTACTACCTCACGTACATCCGTGACCAGATCAAGGCTGGTGCTTAAGCATGTCTCTGATATGCATACGAGGAGCTTTATATATAAACATATATACCCTTGACGCGGGACGAGGAGAGATGGAGGACACGTTGCTTGGAAGGGGACACTTATCTCGCATGTTTTGGTCTAACATTATCACTTACACTCGCTTGGTGATTGGGTTTTCTTTTGCGCTTTTGCTTGTATCTACTATACATGGGCCAAATGACCCACAAATCATGGACACAGACATAGCAATAAAAATTTGTTGCTATGTAACTTAACTTACCATCTCAAGATCTCAACTCATCGATTGCAACTAATGATACTCACTGTCTGTGATATCGTGGTATGTATGTGGGTATCGGCAGCACTCGTATGGGCGTAATAGCGTGCAAAAATTCACGTAGGCGCAAGTCGCGTTTTTCCGGTCCCAAGTCGGTTATTAGCCCCCAAGTTTGATTGTATCCTTCCGCAAGTTAGTATTTTTTTTTTCACAAGTTTGCTATTAGCTATAGCCTCAGAGTAAGTAATGCCTAGGCTGAGATATACAAATCTCTATCCAGCTGTCAGGGTACCCGGCATTGGTTATGAACCATAGCAACGCTAACATTCCGGGAACTGGAAGGAATACGGTCCTACGCTGTTCAGCCGGCCATGTCGCGAACCCCTTGAACATCTGGAATGTCGTTCTCAGTGCCCCCCACTGAGCTCAATACATCGCTCTCTGGCAGTATTCCGAGCATTCAAATCTATAGCGGAGTGATGGCTCAGTGGACTGTCTAGACTGAGAGGCTTTGAATCCAGAGATCAAACACCGAAGGGAAATGTATCTGAATTCATCACTTGAAAAAGCGATGGAGAAGTAGGTAAAGCAGATGAATAGGACACTGAAGGAATTCGGGCCACCACGGCAATAGCGGAACGACTGGTGTCAAGCACCGAAATAATGTCGGCCGGTTCAGCTACCTCGTCCCGCTCCACACTCACGCCGCCAGATCTTATTCAAAGATCTATGATAACAGCTGATGCCGATGTGCATATCACTTTTAGGAAAATACTTGACTTGCGGGGGGAAGCGAACTTGCACACTCAAAAGTAACTTGCGACTGGAAAAAGAGAACTTGCGTTTGTCCGATTTTTTGCACGCTATTACGCCCATACACTCGGCACCGGCATCTGTATGGGCGTAATAGCGTGCAAAAATCCGATGAACCCAACTTAGATTTTTCCCAGTCGCAAGTTGGTTATTAGCCCCCAAGTTGGCTTGTATTGTTCCACAAGTTAGTATATATTTTTTTTCGCAAGTTTGCTATTGGCTATAGCTTTAGAATAGGTAATGCCTAGCCTGTGATATACAAATTTCTGTCCAGCCATTCGGACACCTGACATTGGTTATGAACCATATGAAAACTAACATTCTGGGAAGGAATATGGTACCTATGCTATTCAGCAGGTCATGCGGTGAACCCTTTCACTCTCTGAAATGTCGTTCTCAGTGCGCCCAATTGAGCTCGATCTATCGCTGTTTTGCAGTACTCCGAGCATTCAGATCTATAAGGGAGTCAGTGGACTGTCTAGGCCGAGCGGCTTTGAATCCAGATATCAAACACCGAAGGGAAATATATCTAAATTCGTCACTGAATAAACGATGGAGAAGTAAGTAAAGATCAATAGTACGCTGGAGGAATTCGGGCCGTTATGGCAATGACAGAATGACTGGTGTCAAGCACCGAAATAATGTCGGCCAGTTCAGGGGCCACCCGGGCCTTGTCCTCCTCCGAACCCATGCCCTCGATCTTATTGAGAGCTATGATAACAATTGATGCCGGTGTGTATATCACTATAGGAAAACACTTAACTTGCGCACTTAAAAGTAACTTGCGACTGGGAAAAATCTAAGTTGGGTTCATCGGATTTTTGCACGCTATTATATGGGCGTAATAGCGTGCAAAAATACATGTTGGCGCAAGTCGCGTTTTTCCGCTCGCAAGTTGGTTATAAACCCCCAGGTTCGCTTATATCCTTCCGCAAGTTAGTAGTTTTTTCGCAAGTTTTCTATCGGATATAGCTTCAGAATAAGCAAGGCCTAGGCTGTAATATACAAATCTCCGTCCAGTCGTCCGGATACCCGACAATTGGTCACGAAAGATATGAACACTAACATTCTGGGAAGGAATACGGTACCTATGTTGTTCAGCAGGCCATGTCGTGAACCCTTGAACCCTCTGAAATGACGTTCTCAGTGCGCCCCACTGAGTTCGATCTATCGCTGCCATCTTGCCGAGTTCCGAGCATTCAAATCTATAAGGGAGTACTGTCTAGACTGAGTCTGAGCGGCTTTGAATCCAAAGATCAAACACCCAAAGGAAATGTATCTGAATTCATCACTGAATAAGTGATGGAGAAGTAGGTAAAGATGAATAGAACGCTGGAGGAATTCGGGCCATTATGGCAATGGCGGAATGACGGGTGTCAAGCACCGAAATAAAATAATGTCGGCCGGTTCAGTGGCCACCTCGTCCCGATCCGAACACGCGCCCCCAGATCTTATTCAGAGATCTATGGTAACAAATGATGCCGGTGTGTACATCACTATAGGAAAACACTTAACTTGGGAGAGGGACGCGAACTTGTGCACCTAAAAGTAACTTGCGACTGGAAAAAAATTAACTTGCATTCGCCGGATTTTTTGCACGCTATTACGCCCATACTATTACGCCCATACATCTGCGAATGTCATCAGCGGCCGCCAAATACGAGTCGCTTTTGCGCAACTTTGTGATCCTAGGCCAAAGTAACTCCTAGCATGCCCTGAGCCCGACTTTCCACGACTACTTAGTACTCGTACTCATGGTTGAATCAGTTTCGCATTGGTGAGTACCTTGCCGCACTGAGTCTGCGAGTCACTGCCGTTTCCAGCGTGTGATGGAATCTTTGTTCCAATAGTACCTTTATGGATGAGCTTACTGCACATCGGTTCAAGCGGCGAGTACCGAACTTGGTTTGCCTTCAACCACGACTTGATATCTGCTTCGCCTTACCGTGTGTATAGATCGAACTCGCACCCCTCTCTTAGTTCTGGCCGCGCCTTTGTGCACTGCGAGTGAACGACCTAGAAACCATGGAGCTGGAGAATTTCGCGTCGCGGCGTTCACCATCAAAGAGTAACATCTATCTTTCCCCTCGGCCGGATTCTAGAAGTTGCTGACCGACATGCGCACAATGATTGCGACCTTCATTCGTGTCCCCCAGTCCACCTTAGTGAAGTCCAGCCTGCGTCGAGAAGGGACTAAGAATCTCCTTCTGGAATCCACCCAGGGGAGCAGATGCATTTCTTGTCAATAATCGAGCGCTATTTGTCCATTTACTGTCGATACTCTCCACTTTTCCCAACTACTGTATTCTCGGACCTGGTAGACCCAAGTATGGAAGAGAGGAAGTTGCTGTGGAGGATGGTGAAAGCTCGTCGTAGCCGACTCCAAACGACAACTCAGCACCAAGCGCTGAGTATGACTCCTCGAAATACCTGACTACTTCCTCAATTACATTCCCGTCCAAATTTATGGGATCCTCGGGTACACAACAAAGCCAGCTTGCCAGACTAGGTTAACATAACCCCCTTCCATACTCGGGGCCCAGATAGGAAGGCTTGCAACTCCACGGCGGACACTTAGTTAAAATGGATAAAGATCACATGTAGTGATATCACCGTATGTGACGGCAATCTACTTCGCAATCGCAGAGACTAACTGCTTTAACCGACCCTCTATACCGTGAATATCTTCCATGATCAAAGCATGCTTGCTTTCCAAACCATCGAACGTCGTATTCTCGTATGAGAGACTCGACCCCATTCGCAAACGAGACGTACTGACATCTTCACCACCACGCTGGGGCGTCTCCGCCGCCTTCACGGATGAATCCGTGCCCGTCCGCTGCGAAGAAGAATCGCTCGACCGCTGAGTAAATGTTACTGTCGCATTAGGCGTGGCGCTCCGTTTCGACATAACAGATCCCGGCCTAGGGCTCGGACTCGGGCTAGGCGGGGCCTCCATGTCCGAGTCAGAGTCTTCTTCCGAGTCAGAGGCATTCACGGGGAGCTTCCGTTGATCCTCCAGAGGGAGGAAACGAAGTTCTTTCAACGATGCTGACCGACTGTGTCTGCCGATCGACGTCAAGATGTGTGGTTTTCGACCGCTCTCTAATACTTTCTTATGCGCGCTCATGCCAACACAGTCAATGAGCTGCTTCATGGCCTCGCGATCTGAAACGGGCCGTCTTGTGACTGTTGTACGACGAGCAGTACTGTTCCGCGAAAGCGTCTGGTAGGGGGTTCGAGGACCGGATCGGATAGGCGTGCTGAAGTGGTGTGAATTGAGTGTTGGTGTCAGAAGATGGGGAGTCGGCGTGGAACCGATAGTAGCGTGAGATAGTCCAAGTAATTTGGGTGTACCAACAATGGGCTCACAAGGAAGAGGTATTATGTCCGGAAATGCAGTTGTCATAGGTCCCCATGAAAACCCGATGAAGGCTGAACTGTTATCTCCAGACGTCGCTTGAGGTGTCGCTATAGACTTCAGAATAGAAAGGCCCTGAGATGACCCAGCAGACGACTGGAAAAGGTCTGAGAAAGCGAAGAGTTTCGACTCAGATCCACTACCATCTAATCCATCGTCCTCCATCTCAAGGACAGCATTGGGATCCGAGTAGATAAATTGAGGAACGTGGATGTCTGCGGGGACGGTCTCTAATGACCAAAATCAACATTAAGATGATGCAGGTGTAACCCAGTAACCCACCTTCGTGGAGACCGGTCCAGCGAACATTGGCAAAAAACTTGTGAGAGGTGAGCTCAGCAACGGAGTGTCTTCCCAGACGGAATTCGGCATCGGTGAGCAACCTTCGAGAATGATATTAGCGGCACCAACAAGTCAGAATGATAGCACGCTTACTTGCGTAAAAAGTCTTGGAATTCAGGTGAAATAATAATGTTGTTATTGAAAGGAATGTATCTCTGGACAGAGATCAGTGTCTGCTGGACAAGATGAGGAAAAACTAACGTTATCAGCCATAATCTTCGCGTATGTCCTTCGAATATCTTCTGCGAAGAATGGCGCTTGACCATAAGCCATTTCATACAACATCACGCCCATGCTCCACCAGTCCGTCTCTCGCCCATAGACGTCATCTTCATGTTCGAATTCGGAACTGCGGTCATCATCTTCCATTTCCAAGGCAACCAACGCGCGCTCATGGGCCTTGAGTATCTCCGGCGAGATGTAATCGCAAGTTCCACATGGGACGAGACAATGTTGCTTCGGCAAACGCTGACTACCATCTGGCATGCGAGGAAGAAGTGGGGCCGCTGAACCAAAATCAATCAGAAGAATGCGAGCGTTCGTTTTGAGGACAAAATTGTGAGGTTTGATATCTCTGTTTCCTGCGTCAAATGGGAGCTCGTGCATGCAAATCTCGGGCCTACCTGTGCACAAAACCTTGTGAGTGGCACCAATGAATCGCGCTAACGATCTGTGGTGCCCACCATCTGATATCGCGTTCGGAGATCCTGCCGTCCAGCGCACTGGACTCCAATACGTCCCAGAGAGTACCCCCTTCGGCATAGTCCATGACAAGCTTCAAGTGTGTCGGAGTCTGGAATGCGCATAGTAAGTGTGGCACCCACTGCGACTTGGTTGTTGTTGCAAGGCGCAGAATATCGCGTTCAAGCTGCGGGGAGCATTGCTTTATTTTACTTCGTCAGCTGCGTACAAACCGACTTGGGTATCAACGACGTACCTCACGCGCCCTTAACACAAATTTCTTCTCGATGGTTTTGCGTACATAGACGCGCCCGTCTAGTCTACATTTGACAACATCGATCTACCAACAATGATGAGACTTGAATTTTCCAAAGAGAACTAGGACCTACCACGCCAAACTGGCCGTAGTCAAGCTTCCCAACCACCTGGAAGTCCTTATCCTGAAGTTTTATGGAGTCGATTTCGATAGTCCTCGCTGATAAAATCAGTACAATACGTAGCAGAGAATTGACAAGATGCGCATACACGTCTTCCCAATAACACTCTGGCCGTGCAGCAACCGGTCCAGTGCCAGCCCATCTTCCTCCTCGTCGCCATGGCTTTTCAGAAGTTCTTGAAGTCTCGATTTCCGTTTTATCCAAGAGAGAGACATGCATTAGGTCGTTCAAATCGAGGGAATAGAAATACAGCGGTAAAGGTAGATGAACAAGAAATGGAGGGAACGATTGGACGATGACGGAAAAGGGAGAACAAACATAGCACTGTCACGCTGTCACAGAACGTCACGGTATTTGGACAAGTGATCTCCGACAGATGCCGATTCTGCCGAGTCAACTTGTACTTAGTGGCATCCGCCAACGGCTGCCAACAGCCTTGAGTTCGAGGGACGACCTGATTGCTGGTTACACTTTGACCGCATATATGGATTATACATGGAATAAGTAATAAGCTGAATAGTAGTTCTACACGTACGTTTTGCAATCTAGGTTCGTGTAGTACCCTTTCCGTATGAATTCGAAGGAGTAACAATTACTGTTCTGATACCTCCTCAAAGTAAACCGAAGCACTAACTATTTACGCTCTGCTGTAATCGTCTCCATAACCGTCTCTTCAGTCCCAAGTTCAAGAGAGCCCGCCGAAACTTCCGAAGAGAGAACGGCTTGATCTGATCCAAGTAATAGGCCTGGATGCGCAAAGTTCATGATGTAGATTGCTAATACGACCATAGCACCATCAAAGACGTCTTCAGGATCGAAATCAGTACGACACCCAAGTGTCCAGAGAAAAGAAAACATACTGAAATACACTTGAGTGGAAATGATTACGCCGTTCCACCCATCACTCAACTCGATAATACGGTATACAGCTCTGGAACGATGTCAGAAGTTACGGAATTGAGCAAAATTATAAAACATACCGGATATAGAGACAGAAGGTGCTGAGAGTCAACGCTCCTAACATGAGCAACGATTTTCCACTCATGATGCCGCGAGAGTAGATAGGCTTCGTAGAGGCAACGTTCACCTGGCTATTGGCAGTACGGGATACAATGGGAATGTCCTTGATGTATCGTACAAAAAACTCGGCAGCACAAAGAACATATACAGTGATCACAGCTGCAAGGAACTGTATCAGTTATCGACCACAATGCCACAAGCACTTTACTGACCCAGCTGGAACACAATGCCCCCGAGCATGATATTTTCACCCTGTACGTGGAGTACTTAATAATAAAAATTCACGGGAAAATATGGTACTAACCCTGTTGGCGGCCGGTAGAGTGTCAGCTGCCGATGCAATTCCTCCTCCAACACCTTGGATAGTCAAGGCGATGACATCCTGTAGTATAAAAGACGTGGTGAACGACTTGGACACAAGAGAGAAAATGTTCTTACGCAGGTACAAAAGATAATGGAATCTAAAGACAGCTTCTCAGAACGGGTACGAGTATTGGGGCTGTGTCACACATTCGAGGAGTGAGCCTGCTATATACAGGACCCAATTTCTTGATCAATGTGCCGAGGACAACGAAGTTAGCCGCAACCAAAGGCGTCGGTGCGAGGATAGTGCAAACAATTCTGAAGGAACAGAAAGTCAACAAATACTCACTATGAACATAATTCTCGAACATACTGGATTTGAAATGGGTTGGTAAGACTTGGAGAGAAACTCGACCACAAACGACCGCTCCAGCCAAGTACCTCCATGATTCCGGCCAGGCATATGGTGGGGAAGACCCACCACATCCGGTAATAGAGACCTTGACCTACATGGCAGACTACCAGAGTCCGTCAGATAGCTCAATACGAGGATGGCTCGACGGGCACTCACTTGTTGAGATAAAATACAATACCACAAATATTATAGCAATTGCCGTTGACGGAACATAATTGTACGGAGAATCAACGAGATCCATACTTCCCGACAAGACCAAAGGCTCAACTGGAAAGAAGGGATAAGAGAAAGAAAGAGCAGATATAAATCAAACGGCGTACCAGTGGACTCCATCGTTGGCGATAAAATGTTTCTGCTGCTCTCGAGTCTCTAGCTGAGGGGTGTCCTAAGTTACGAAAGACAAAGGGTACTATCCAAGCCTTAAGTAGCAGTGTCTGAAGTCCTCCACTGCTCGGGAGTACGCATCACGACGCCAAGATATCGCATATTAAAATAAGAGATCATAATGTCAATGACAGAAACGAAAAGCTGCTGTGCCGAGCCAACAAGCTCGAACTCGGCTGTCCGGTGATGAATACGGTAAAGGATATCCGAGTCAACTTCGGGTGTTCTCAGTGCCCTCGATGTCTGCCATGTGTATGACATCTGCCACGATCCGAACTCTTGCCCGCTTGTCGACTCGGACGTACTTGGGGTAACAATCGACTAGGCGGGAAATTCTTTTGACTCGGACCGCGAGAGCGGGTACCACGGTCACGTTACTTGATGAGTCAACTACTTTAACGTGGGATCTGCGCCGCGCGATCGTCGCAACACCATCTTGCACCAACTCCAGGACTTCAACGAGATGCCTTGGGACCCTGTAAAGCTCAATAATGGTACTTCTGACACTGTATTATCCTCTACAATCATTTTTGATTTGAATTTCCTCTGACAGGCCATTCTATGCCCAGCATAGCTTTCGGAACGTGGAAACTCGGAAACGGTGATGGCCCTATATCCCAGGTTGACCAAGCAATCTCTGTCGGATTCAACCACTTTGGTCAGTATATTTCGCAATCCTTCTAATTGTGAATTTCCTATATCTCGCTCTAGATACCGCTCAAAGCTACAGAAATGAAACAGAAGCTGGAATTGCGATTCGTGAGAGCGGTCTGGCGCGAAATGAGGTATTCATTACTACCAAGTACTCCGGGCTGGACGGACTGGATATCAAGACGTCTATCCAGAATAGCTTGAAGAATGCGAGTGATAAATGTTCAAGTTGTTCAAGCTGGCTGAAATTGAACTTATGCGCAGCTGGGAGTCACCTACGTGGACCTGTATCTTATTCATCACCCACGACTCGCTGTTCCCGATATACCTACCGCGTGGAAAGAGATGGAAGCTCTCCAAGCACAAGGGCTGGCAAAGCGAGCTATTAATAGCACTTATTTCTCACTCGTCTTCTACTAATCATATCATAGGAGCATCGGTGTGAGCAACTTTGGAGTCAATGAGATCGCGTTGTTACTGGCCTCTTCAAATATAAAACCTGCAGCTAACCAGGTATAGATTTTTCGTGTCCAGTATACGCTTTCATTGAATCTCTATCCCTCAGATATTGCTTCATCCATATGTCTACGCCCGGCAGAGTCCTGTCGTTGACTACTGCCAGAAGGCCGGTGTTGTCATCGAAGCCTACAGTCCTCTTATGCATGTCATTTTTTCTACCATCATACTGCATGATCTAACCATTAAGTTCTAGTCCAATTACAACGCTTCCGGGAGGCGCAGTAGATATTCCAGTTAATGATCTCGCCAAAAAGTATGGCGTCACCCCTGACCAGATCCTTCTGGCATGGACAAAGTCGAAAGGTGCTGTTGTCGTAACGTATGCTACTTACGCACTTTAACCTGAGTGTTTTTCTCACACATTTTCCTTGAAGGACGAGCTCGAAGAAATCCAGGTTGGAAGGATATCTGAATGCTGGGGACCTTGGTATGAATTCCTCGGTCTTTATATGCCCTGCATAATTTATACTCACATCGACACGTAGAACTCACCCCTCATGAAATTGCTGCTATCGATTTAGCGGGTGCGGCTGAGCCCACACACTTGAAGTTTACGCGTCGTGTCGCTGTAACGTGTCTTGGACTCGCCATTGCGTGGGGAACTCTGCGCGCGCTGGGATATTGAGATGAGCCGCCTTCACAATGTATACTGTGTACCACTACTGTCAAACTACATAAGCGCTTGCTTTCTGAAATCTGAGAGTGGCTGTGTCCGCCGAGTGCCGCGGCAACTGTCCATTGCCGAAGTAAGAAACTTCAAGACCAACTTCCATCCTGCATCATCACCGCGCTGTTCATTTCGGAAGCCGACATTTCCTTAGGCGATTGAAAATTTCTCTATCAGATTCCTTCGCTGAGTAAGAAATTTGTGAAACACCGCTGATTCAATCAGTGCTCGCTGTCCCCCCTTGAGCGTTGACTAGGACTTTCATGGCCCCCCAGCTCGTTTGGTTGATCACAGGTATTTGCATGCTGAAAATCTCTGTCGCTCGGAACACCACCTCACACTTTGCAAGGAACCACTTCTGGCCTCGGTCGACGGCTCGTGACATCCGTTTTAGCTCGCGGTGACCGTGTGATAGCCACCGCGCGATCCCTAGAAAAATTGCAAGCTCTTCACCCTTCCAGGGACTCTGAAAATCTCCTCCTCGTTCAGCTAGACGTCACAGCGGGATCCGATACCGTCAAAACCGTGATCGATGACGCCGTTTTGAGATGGGGCAAGATCGATGTACTTGTGAACAACGCTGGCTCGGGGTACCTTGGACTCGTAGAGGAGAGTGGGTGAGTGGTTAATTGTAACCGCTTAGAAGCATTCTTTGGCTGACGGTTGAAAAAGAACGAAGATGATGAGGGAGCAGTTTGAAACGAACGTTTTTGCTGTCGTCGATGTCACCAACGCTGTCCTCCCTCACATGAGGGCACAAAAGCAAGGAACAATAGTCGTCATCGGCAGTCGTTCTGTATGGAGGGCAGAGACTGTGGTAGGCTATAGCAGTTATTTATATTATTGAATCACACCAACTGATTTCCTAGGGTCTCGGAACGTACGCAGCATCCAAAGCAGCAATTCATGGCAAACCCTCTCTGTCTCTGTTATAATTTCCTCTTACTTATCATTCTCCCAAACCGTTTCTAGCTATAGCCGAGTCTCTCATCCCCGAAGTAGCGCCGTTTAACATCCGCGTGCTCGTCGTCGCACCAGGCGCCTTTCGCACAGAAGGAATGTATTCGATCCCCTTCAACGTCAAGAATCCTATCTCGGACTACGATGATATTCGTACCTCTTCTATCGCGCGCTTCGGTTCTGTCCCGGGGACCGAACCTGGTGACCCTGTGAAAGCGATGGAAACACTGGTGGATACGGTAAGAGGCGAAGGTTCAGCAGAAGGGAAAGCTTGGCCTACTTGGTTATTGTTGGGGCAAGATGCGGAGAAGGACCTGCGGACCAAGTGGGATAAGTTGAGGACTACGTTGGAGGAATGGGGAAGTGTTGTTCGAGGCGTTTGGTTTTGATGATAAAAACGAGACTTGCAAGTCCCTCCCGAAATACTCGTCAGAATTTGTAGTCTAAAATAAACATGAATCTATTCTCCATTCGTATTCAAGTTCGCCATTCCTATTTGGCGCACGCCCTATTTGAACCAAGTCTGGCTATTACGGTAATATTGGGTGCAACTAAATGCCATGAATACATATCGAGTCATAATTCGTTAGCCGGGATCTCCAAGGTTCTATGGCGTCGTATTGTGGCTGGTTTAACGATATCGGGCTAGGTGCACTGAGTCAAAAATAATTGGCATTCTGGTATGTGAGTACCACGTATCGATGCACCATTGTAGAAAGCGATAGACGGAACCATGTTTCCAAGTTGCCTGAAGCATGCAAGGGCGCACGCCGCGTACTGAAAGACTGTAAGACTGTTGTATTGGTCGACTCTGCTATATACAAGTTCGGGTAAACAATAGCAAATTACTACCAAAGACCCCGTCGACTCGTCGCTGAACACAAGTGAAAGGAAAACAAAGAAAGAAGTAAATTAGGAAAAGATAAAGGCATTAATATTGAATAAATGCTTAGCTGAGAACCGAGCCAAAGCAACGCTTACAATATAAATACCAAACTCAACTGTCTTCCAACCCTCGAGGCATCATACCATGCAGACAGTGGAAGGCGTTAGGAATATCCAAATCGATTTTGTGTAGCTTGTCGACTGCCAGCGGAGACATGGAAATTTTCAAAAGCGGGATCTATCTCAGAGCAACCAGTAGCACTAGTGATATCGACGAATGGAAAGCACATACGGTATTTATATACGCCTGTTGAGGAAGTGTTACAGTCGTCTGAAATGGGATGTATGGAAGGAAGGGAAAACAGACTTTGGTCCGACCCGGCCATATATGTATCCGAGTCCCCTAATAGAAATGGCAACTGACCATGGTCGGAGCGCTCATTGATGCATGATGAATCCATTCTTTACACGAACCATATCCTTCGTTGCAAGGTATTCCACATCATGTCGAGTACAGCACCTCCAAAATGGCGCGTCGTCGTGGGCTGCGATGTGGGTTTACTTTTGTCTTAATCTGTACAGAGCTAATCCTGCGACAGGATGCCGGCGTCCAGTACAAGAACACGCTGAAAGCAGACCTAGAGAAGGATCCTCGAGTGTCCGAAGTCATTGACGTCGGCGTCGTCGATTCGAACGAGAAGACAGCATATCCCCATGTCGCTGTCACAGCCGCAAAGAAGATTGTCGCAGGCGAAGCTGACCGTGGGTTGCTGATATGTGGCACTGGCCTCGGTGCGTATTATCAGGTCCTCCAGCAAAAAGAGCTAACAAGGCATGCAGGTGTCGCCATATCCGCCAACAAAGTCCCTGGTATTCGTGCGGTCACGGCTCACGACAGCTTTTCGGTGGAACGGGGCGTCCTGAGTAACAACGCTCAGGTTCTTTGCATGGGCCAGCGCGTTATCGGTATTGAGCTCGCCCGTCGCCTTGCCAAGGAATGGCTGGGTTATGTCTTCGACACCAAGTCCGCGTCGGCCGCAAAAGTCGATGCAATTTCTCAATACGAGACTGTCCCTGGCGCTTGTTCATGAACGAGAAAGGATGGTATGCACACATACTACCAGTAATAGTAATCAGAATATCACCTGTACCAATACCAGCACTACATATGCACGATGAAAGATCTTGATTGGCATGACTTCAAGTTCGTTCCACCAAAGGGAAAGCATTCACGATTCCAGGGAAAGGCAAGCTGAACGCAAAGGGAAGCGTACGCAGAATAGGCACTCTTGCTTGAGAAGGACGTGGTGGTTGAAGGCAAGGAGGCGGACCGCTATGCCGGCGGAAATCGAAATGAGGCTGAGGCTTTCCAAGGCGGATATACAAAATACAACCTCTTGAGGGAAGGACTGCATGTACTTTCCAATACTTGCCGATGGTTGGAAGCTGGCACAAATCTCTTATCCATCAGGAAGTCCAGTCTGCGGAAAATAAGACTGACCCATCGGAATGGCTCAGAATGCAAATCATATGATAACTAAGTAAACTGTAAACAGGATCGAAATGTGGCAGGAAGTGACTGTTCTTAGCCGTCTGGAGAGACTTGATTGAATCTGTCTTGATATGAGCATGACACTGTATAACGGTGCTCAAACTTAAGTTGCAAATTGCAGGTCGTTCAATGCAGCAAGCCTTTTTCGCCTATTAGAATCGAAAACCGAAGTGGAAGTATTATTATGGCTCATCATATGCCCTAATTGCCTTGTATATAGTAAGTGAAAATCAACTATAGTCAAACTAGTGTTGGCAATGCTACTAGTCTGAGTTTCACCATGTTCAATGCAGGTCCTTAGAGTTCGGAGTGAAAATTCGGCATTTGAATGCGACTTTGTATGCCTATCTATGTGAATATACACTTGTTTAACCTTCGAGACCTTAGGCCTCACTACTGAACGTTTTTGATGACTAAAGAGTGACCGCCGATATCCGACATGGTTGCCAAAAAGTCCGAGTAGACAACATATCCGCCAAGCGTCTCGTCGTCAAAGGGCACAGGGACCTGGATGCTGCTGGGACGATTTGTAAGATCACGCTCACTCGGTGGAATGAAATTTGCAGGAATTTTTCGTTTCGGATTGGGTTGAATCTTGGATTTGGTCCGTGCATGGAAACCATCACCAAATGCAACCCGGATGTCTTGAAGCCAAGGAAGAAAGGCGGAAAATGATGTCGAAGTAGGAATGGGCGTGTCCTCAGCTAGGAAGCATCTCTTCTGCCTAGATAGGGCTTCCCACGTCATCATTCGGTCGAACCAGTCAGAAAACGGTGGTTTCTTCCCCTTTTCCGTTTTCAATTCCTTCATTGTGGACCCCTTGTCAGAGCGCACAATCTCGTAATGACAGCAGAGCATCATCAAGACATAGAACAGGGCTTCGATATCATGACGATACAGATGGCTGATGTCGGTTGCACGCAGAAGGTCGCAGGCCATATAAGGTGCAGTACCTGTACGATGGAGAGACGAGGCATCTCGGAGAGGAAGAAAAGAGGAGAGGTCGAAATCATTGAGGACACCGCAGACTTGCCCATGTCTCCTTCGATACATCACATTGGTCATACTGATATCGCGGTGGAGAATCTTTGGGTGATCAAAGAGCCATCGATGACCTAGATTAACATGCTTTAGATCATAGCTTGAAGGAGGAAAATGGTGTCGAGAAAAAAAACATACACTGCAATATATCGAGAAAAACCTGACCAATCTCCTTTACATCGTTGAGGGTATCCAGGGAACAGAGGCGTTCGGAGACAGTAATACGAGGAAAACGCTCATCGTATATAAAAGTATTCCCATCCACATATGCAGCATCGATCAACAGCTTCCTTAGTCTTCCCTGTGGCGAATCTTCATCATCGAACTGAAATTCTTCGGAATGAAAAATCTCTGGAAGATGGTCCAAGACCCAGTGTTCCTTGCCTTTACTGGTCATCTCCCGGGCTTTAGCCTTCGCGGCATCAATAAACTTCTTCTCTGAGTCGCGATAGATGCTCGGCCAGCTGATCTTGACTACAAGTTGCTTCCCAGGCCATTCCGGACCCTCAGCGGTAACGACACAGGTGTTCCTCCCAACAAGACCTCGCTGGTAGTGGATGACATCTCCGAGAGTGATAACAATGTTGGTTGTGTCGGCTTTCTGCAAAGTCATCTTCAGACCCCTATGGAAATTCGCAGGATTCTTGCGGTCAACCTTTTCGAAAGACCTGATGCAACGCTCTTCGATGATGCGATCAAGAATACAGCTTTGGGGAAAGGTAAAACGATGGTATCCAATAGGCATTGAAGGCTCTTCATTGACAGAAGACAGTTCAGAGGCCCCAGACGCGTCCCTGTTGCGAGCATCGCGGTGGTATCGTCGAGAGTGACATTGCATCTTGAGTCTTCGTTTCGGCAGTGTGAAAGAATTCATGAGTAGATATGGAGGAGGGGTGGCTCCGATAGAAGGTAGTACAACCGCGGTGAGCCCAGAACTGCTCGCACTGATATAGGGGCTGGAGACAATGGATGTAACGAACAGTGTTGCACAAACCACGTGATCGGGTTGCTCCCGATTTGAGCGCTTTCAAGCAATCGTGCAGGACGCAGCATGGTCTTGCGCCATCTGCCGAGGCAGAGAAGTTCCTTGAAGTTCTAGCTAGGAAGTAACACGAGGTAGTCCGGGCTTTACTGCTCCACAGAAGGTGACTACTAAATCTAGCGAGCCATTTTGCTAAAAATGAAAAACGAGGTAAGAAGGGTACGGGCACTTAAGCACAAGGCTGCCACGTTTGGGATCCACCCTGATTTGGCGAATTTCGATCTTATGGAGCTAGTTGAATATCAAGACCGTGGAGTTCAAATTGAAGATTTTACATTTGATTGCCAGGTCTGTCTACACTGTAAGATACACATGGTTGATCTAAATCAATGCTCTTCACGACTGATTGTTCAGAGAGTGACCATTGATATCCGACATGATTTCCAAAATTTCCGTGGATATGATATACCCACCGAGTGTCTCGTTGTCAAATGGCACAGATGGTTCCGCATTTCTTGGCTGTTTTGAATGAGATTGCTGACGTGTCCGAGGTAGAGGAGCATCTAAATCTGAGAGCGCATCTATCCCTTTTCTGAACAAGTATCGAATCTCCTCGAGCCATGGAAGAAAGGCAGAAAATGACGCCGACGTAGGAATCGTCTTGCGAGTGGTCAGGAAAGCGCACTTGATGTCAGAGAGTCCCTCCCATGATAGTGTTCTGTCAAACCACTGCGCAAAAGGCATGTTTTTCAACTCTAACTCCTTCATGACCTTTCCTTCCGCAGATTGAACAATCTCATAACGGCAGCAGAGCATCAATAGAACATAGTAGAAGGCTTCGACGTCATGACGATATAGATGGCTAACGTCGGACTTGCCCAGAAGTTCATGAGCCATGTAAGGCGGTGTACCTGTGCGATGAAGGGATGACGCCTCCTTGAGAGGAAGGAAAGAGGCAAGGTCGTAGTCGTTAAGGACACCAAGAATTTGGAATTCCTGTTTGCTGTCATCGTGGTATCTTCTTCGATACATCATATTTTTGAGGCTCATGTCGCGGTGGAGAATTTTGGGGTTTTCGTACAGCCAAGAATGACCTAGAGCGAGTGATTAAGACATTGAGGATGAGTAAAGGAGAGGAAAGTTACGAACATCGAAATATATCATGGAACGCTTGGGCAATGTCCTTGACATCAGCTAAGTCTGTTATGGGAAAGAGACGTTCCGAGACGATGATGCGAAGAAGGCGCTCTTCGTAGATGAACGTTTTTTCGTCGACATAGGATGCCTCTATCAACAGTTCTATCAACCTTCTCTGTGGTGAATCTTCGTCGTCGAAGTGAAAGTCTTGGGAATGAAGGATCTCCGGAAGATGATCCAAAACCCAATGCCTCTTGCCTTCACCAGCCATCTCATCAGCCTTGGCCTTCGCGGCGTCCATCAGCTTCTTCTCCGAGTCGCGATGGATGCTTGGCCAACTGATCTTAACAACGAGTTCTCGCCCAGGCCATGCCGCCGAGCGAGCGAGGACGACGCAAGTGTCGCGCCCAATGAGGCAACGCTGGCGATGAACGATGCTTCCCAGAGTGAGAATGATTTTCGTTCCGTCAGATTTCGCCAACGTCATCTTCAGACCGTCGAAGAGGGTTATAGGATTCCGCTCTTCCATTTTCCCAAAACCTCTGATGTAGGGATCTTCGATTATGTGATCAAGAATACCGCGCTGGGGGAGTGTGAGACGATGGCATCCAATAAGCATCCCAACGAATAATCGCTTTTCTTCCTTATCAGCTATGTCGATGGCCTGAGAGACGACGATAGCGGATCGGTCATAATAAGTGAGCTGAAGGCGGTCACGGTCGATTAAAGTGACCAGAGCATGCGACCGCAGTCCAGCACTGGAGAGTATCTGCATCGCGTAAGTCGCACACTGAATGCGAGCCTTCTCGTCGTTCGGAAGATGTCTCGGAAAGCCGTCCTCATCAATTGGGTCTAGCACCCGTCTTGCAGAAGCAGACGCTTGGCTGTCATACGTTCGACGCGAGACCTTGGAAGAAGACTGAGAAGTAAACAGTCAGATCGTGATCAGAGTAAGTGGACGACCAGCGTACCTCGTCGCTACTATCCGATTTGCGCTTCTTGGTCCTCGAAGCCGAGGGGATATCTGAAGCTTGGTTGTCTACCGAAGTCCGGCAGTCAGTGGTAGCACTCAGACCGCTACCATCCCGCTTCTTACGTGGCACCGGTTTCAGCGGGTCCTGACCAGCTAATATAGTAAATTCAACAAAAGACAGAAAATGCGCCGTGGAATGAGCATACCTTTTAACAACCGAATCGCGTTCGTCCCTTCGTCGAGGGCGTTATCAGTGGCTTTCATCTCCTTGGCGTCGATGAGCTGCGGCCATGCAGGAATGTTATTCTCTGGCAATGGAGGAATTGGCTTCTGCCGCAGTCCTCCCGATCTCTTAACCACATCCTGAGCCTCTCCATACTTCTCCAAAGCATTTAACTTCAGCTTATCTTTCGGAGATGCGAATATCTGAGTCAACATCCCCACTATGTCCGGCTTCAGCTGGTCTTTGGACCCCCGCACAACGAGTGGATCCATGCGGTGATAGTGGACGATGTTGTCGTCGGATACCTTGGTGTCCTGATGAGTCTGCAGAACGTTGACAGCCCTATTGCACATCTTCGCATGGGGTCGATAGAGCCGCTTTTCCCGGTCATGATCAACGACCGCAACGTTGACTTTCTTCAAGTACTCGTTCAGAAGTCCGTTGAACTCTTTATCGGCGAGAACATGGTCGATAGCAGATTTGAAGGACGTACGCCAGTCTGCAGGCAAGAGAAGAATAGTTTGGAGAAATGTGTCGAAGTCGATGAACAAACGGTGTCGTAGGTCCTCTTTTAGGTATGGGTCTACGGGACCAACCTTTTTTCCCGGGTTGCAGACGTTTAGACTAGTGGTGCCGCGGCTGTAGGGGGTTCGTCCAGTTATCCAGGAAGAGGGTCTGGTGTTATCACTCGACGGAGATGGAGTACGAGGCGCGTTGACAGCGTCAAGATGTGGCGGCGAAGGTGGCAAGGGGTCTACATGATTCTTCTGAGGCTCTTCATCGGCAGATGATGCTTCAGAAGCACCCGACGCGTCCCTGTTACGAGCATCACGGTAATATTTAGAGTGATACTGCTTCTTGGGTTCTGGTTTGGGCTGCGAGAACGGATCCATGTGTAGATATGGAGGAGGGGGGGCTCCGATAAAAATTAGGACGACCATGGTGAACTTTTCGCGCTGTTATAGAGATTGAGGACAAAGGATGTAACGAGCCGTTACAAAGTCGCGCAAACCACGTGATCGAGTAACGTTATGTTGAATTTGGCATTGATCGCTAGTTGTGGCAGTGAACGCAAACTTACACAAACTTATTGTTCACCTCCAGAACACGAATTTCAGACAATGCATGGGACGCAAAATAATTTTCTACTCTTTGCTAATTACTCTGAACTATAATGCACCAACGCCAGTCCAAGCATCACTCCTGAAATTCCGTGCGAACAGTTGGCGAATTCAAGCTTTGAATCAATGGGCAGCGACAAAGGGTTGTCTTTTCCACTAGGACGAGGGGAAATTCCCACCGATAAGCCGATACCACTGCTTCTCTTCTCTGAGATCTCATGCTTCAAGTAGACTGGGCATCCACAATGTTCGGCCACCTGTTCTCTGCATCGTTTTTACATTATACCGTTTTTATTATGAATTCAGCATTGCGCAGTGCCGGCGTGGCGCACCACGGTATGCAGTTACTAATTTCTGCTGTAAGCGGATAACAAAGTAACCTGAAAGCAACACCCATATATGGATTGCTTGAAGCAAGATAAGAGGAAATTCCGACTTACGAAGCAAGACAATGGGAAAATGTAGGTTGACGAGTACTCCATCATGAAGTTCAATTGGCAATTGTGTCTGGCAACCGCAGGACTGAGCGTACCTGAGCGTACTCAAAATTCATCATCAGCTATGGTCGTGAACTGAGTCAGCGCGTCGAGGTTCAGTTCTTCTCTCATCTTGGAAAGAAGGCCCCTTTCCAGCTTAACGAGATAGAGCCCAAATTTTTCTGTGTGGAATAATCTAGGGATAGGTACGAGGGCTCTATAGCTAGAAAATCAGGAACTTAAAGGTGCAGATAGTATTCAATACTGTCATTACTTGGGGCTCCTGCGTGTTTGGCAAGATTGATTGACCGTGACTAGCCTAGGTTTATATAAAACTCCCATGATCAAGCCGGTGTCTCTGCGGTATTGCCGTTCGACCCTATATAGTTCCCTCCCTTTCTCCTGTCGTCTTTTTTCGCTCACTATGAACAGTTCACCACCAATAGCCAATAACAAGCATATCTCAGTCGATGCCGAAGGAAATACCTCGGTTGACCTGGAATTTATTGAGGAACCTTTGGGACTTACTCAAGAACAAACGTATGGCTACCCTAAAATAGTCGTCGGAGACCTTCTGGGTCCAAATTCCCGCTACGAAATATTGCGCAAGCTAGGTTGGGGCCTGAATTCCAGTGTATGGCTTGCACGCGATCGTTCGTCCATGTTTGTGTTCCAATTCACTTATCTCACCTTCCGAGTACTTATGATTCATCAGTGAAAGCAGATTTCTTTCCGTTAAAGCCTTGAAAGGATACGCGACTGAAGTAGTAAAGCGTGGCATCTCGCGTGAGCTTAAGGTTCTCCAGCTACTTGCTAGCACGCAGGCACCTACCGCATGGCCTTCTCGATGTCTCAACCTACTTGATCACTTCATCATACCCGGAAAAGTGTCCACTGACGGCGAACACTTATGTATCGTCACTGGCCTAATGGGAGGAGATGTCAAATCTTTGGTGAAAGGGCCCCCCTACGGGAAACGCCATCTTCCTCTTCCGTTAGCGAAGCACGTTCTTCGCCATGTATTGCAGGGCCTGGTGCAGATTCACAGTTTGGGTGTTGCACATACTGATCTGAAGCCAGACAACATCATGTTTGACGTCGATCCCAGCTTGGACATCCCATCTCTGTTGACACGCGAACCCCCTCGCCTTAACGTTCCCGAGCAAACATGGGAAGGCACCATGCAAACCGCGGTTTCGCAGCCACTACCGCTTCCCAGCTCTCTCGATGACCTCCTTACGCGGAATTTCTATATTGCTGACTTTGGGAGCGGTGTGTACACCTTTTCTTCATGATAGACCCTTCATTAATGCTTGCGCTGGTAGCCCAAATCGTAGAACCGGACGACCGGACGACAGACCACATAACCCCGTGTGCATTGCGCGCTCCAGAGACAATCCTGCTTGGTCCATGGAACCAGCGAGTCGACATTTGGACCTTTGGTTGTCTCGTACGCTCCTATTTATTCTGTTTCTGTGCCAAACAATTGATTTAGCTTTCCCCCAGGTGTTTGAACTTATCACTGGCCAAAACCTTTTTGAATACGTGCCTTACCCGGATCGTGGCCTCGACGCTGCTGCAGGACACCTATGGCAAATGATATGTTTCACGGGTGAGGATTTTGAACCTAAGCAGCTTTCATGGAGCCATCGAGCGACGCAGTATTTCGAGAAAACCACTTGTGGGTTCTGCCATTTTTTCTTGGAAGAGAATGTGCTGTACATCATTTACATCCAGGTTATCTCAAAGAAAATCCACCCAAATTCCGGACCCCTTTCGAACAGTCATTGAGGAACTACAAAGTCATCGACGAGGAAAATGTGCTAGTGACAGCAGCTTTCATGCGAAGATGTTTACGTTTGGACCCAGATGATAGGCCTTCAGCGGAGCAACTACTCGATGACCCGTTTTGGGCAGAGAAGAGTGGATGAACGAAGCACAGTACTATCATGTTCGTGGTTGAAGGCAAAGGAATCTGTTCATGTCTTACAAAGTTACATGTTACAATATCCGAAAATATCAAATATTCCCCGCTCACCCATTCCGTATGAATTCTCTGCACCTGATTAGAGTGCCTGTGGCGTAGTACATTGCAGATCTGTCGTCCAAAATGTCATAGTAGAGAAAACCTTAAGACCGGCGATTCCCCCTCTTTATACCTGTGTCTAGAATATTCGCATTCGATGGGTTCAAAGGAGACGTAACCTTAGATATGGGACAAAGATGGAATGAGTAAACGTTGACAAGTTTCAACGCAGTGTTTACTAGATCAATGCTTTCCCTTGCGCTCCTTTCGCTTCCTTCCAATCAGTGAACCCAATGATCTCCCCGGGCCCTTCTTTTCGGTTTCTTCGGTACGGACCTTCTTGGCTGGCCGCTCTTTTTCGGACGGGGATTCCTCCACATCGGCCTTCCTCTTCTCCTTTTTATCCTTTTTCCCTTTCTTCTCCGTATCGGGATTCTACACGCGTACTCAGAAAGGTTATTATACGACACGAAAGAGGGCACTTACAGTAGCTCGTTCACGTTGTTGGGTAGTCCTCCTCTGGACAACTTGCACATTCTCAATAGAGAATTCCACGATGAGCGTTCCCTTGACCGTGGGGCTGGCCTTCTCCTGCTCATCCTGCAGCCGCTTCAATCTCGCATCATCTTTCTCTTTACCCTTCCCTTTCTCGACCTTAACGAGATCTTTCAGCTCATCCTTGTACCACTCCTGCAAAAGCTTTCCAACATTGGGGTTATTGTTTGCCCACCGCAAGACCCGTAAAGAATCGGCATGCGTATGCATCTCCACAAAGCCGTACCCCTTACTTCGGCCCTTCCCAGTGACTGGATCTACCCGCTCTTGCTGACGGATGATCTTGGCTTGTTTGACACGACTGTCAGGTTTCTTCTTGTTCTTCTTACCGCTGGCTTCGTCATCGTCCAACTGGCCCTTTCGATCCACCTCAACAGCGAGTTCATCAGCCGTGAGCCCGTTCCTCTCGCCCTTTTTGACGTCCCTCTCGAACTCTCGTGCAGCGTAAAGGGCAAGGCGTTTTAAGACCCGCTCGGAGACAAAAATGGGTATCTGTCGTATGCTGAGCCGTGTTTTTGAGACGTACAATGAAGGGTTGGAGTTGAGGAGGGCCTTGCGAGCGCCGAAGGAGGCAGTACGTCGCTCTAGTTCTGCCTGAGCCATTACCTGGGCAGCAGGCGAGTTCGGTAAAATAACTAGAGAGATTTCAGTATCTAGTACATATCTCAGGGAAAACAATACATACCACCCTCGCGCAAAAGATACATATTGCGTTTGTCTGCTTTTTCGCGTCTTCGCTCGCCCTCTTCTTTGAGTTTTCCAGCTTCGTCGCGAGTTACAGCTCTCACGACGTCCAAGGTACGGCCGTGAAGGACGAGGCTTTGTGCCAACGAAGAAGACGGATCGGGAGTGAGAATGGATGGCATGCTGAAGGGATTCTTCTTTGGTGCCGACTCAGCTCCTGTCGTCTCCACCTTTAGAAGGTCGCTCTGTTCTACCACCTTGTCTGCATCCTCCTTGTTCCAGAAACATGCAAACCCGGTACCTCGGGATCGCCCAGTCGAGGCATCCAAAGTAATCCGAGCGTACCGTAGAGGTCCAAATGCGCGGAACCTAATAGATAAGAGTAAATAAGCAGGTAAGATGTTGTAACAAGTGACCTACAATGTTCGTAGTTCGTCCTCAGTTGCAGTGAAAGGTACGTTCCGGATGAAAAGTGTTGTCCCAGTCTCCGGAGGTGGAAGTTGAGGCTTCACAGGTTCTTCGTCGTGTTCGTCTTCTTCATCAGAGGAGTCACTGGCATCCTCGTCGGTGCCGTCATGGACACCCAACTGTTCCTCTTCCTCGCTTTCCTCGTCGCTTTCCCGATCTTCGCTCGAGCCATCTTCCATCTCAACGTCATTGTCTTCCTCCATCCGTGTCTTCTCCTCCTCCCACTTGTCCTTACTCAGAGCCCAATCCACAGCAATCGTCCGCTCCGAAGATTTTTCCGCTTCTTGTGTTTCGCCATTGTCATCCTCGACATTCGCGCCCTCACCCTGCTGCATCTTCTTCTCCAGTCTCCGCTGCTTTTTCTTCTTTTGCTTATCCGACACCATTCCTTCTGCCATCCCAGCGCGTATTACTTTCCCATTACATGACTCCATGGCCTTTTCGGCATCCTTCTTACTGAGCATCCAGACAAAAGCAAAACCACGGGATCGGCCGTTGTCCTTGCCCTTGGGAATATGTATTGAGTGTATCGGGCCATACGGAAGGAAGAGAGCACGTAGATCTTGCTCAGTAATGTTGAAAGGGGTGTTCCGAATGATAAGTCTACTAGAGTGATTCGGCGCAGCGGCCTTTGTATCTGCCTTGGATGCTTTTGCTAGACTGTCCAAACGTTTTTTCAGCGTTACGGAAAGGAGAGAACCTTTGTAAACATGGGCATGGAGTTTGTCGACAGCATCGTGCGCTGCCGCGGGAGTCGAAAAAAGTACATGCGCTGTATCCAAGGTAAGTAAATGGGATGGTAGCGACATAAAAGGTGAACACACCTGCACCCTCATCCACGGGCCATTCTACGCTCTCTGCGCCCTTGTATTTTCGAAACTTTTTCCATAACAAAGCTTTGGAATCTACAGAAGGGGGCAGACCGGTTACTACGATGGTGCGTATCGCCAGTGGATCCTGAGACGCCCGGGGGCGAAGGGTGGGTATCTGCTTGGGTTTGGATTCCACTTTTGCTGCCTTTTCGGTCTTGTCTTTGGGCTGAAAAAAAATACTATAGGAACTGTACTTAAATACATGAGATCATGACACACTTTATTTTCTGCCCATTGGACCCTTAGATTTCTTCCGACGAGAGCAATGCCATCCGCTGAAATCTTGTCGAGTGCAGCCTGTGCGTCTTCTTTTATCGCAAAAGAGACATATCCCACACCCTTAGAGACACCAGTTCCTGCTTCCGTTACTACGAATGCTGAACGAACTGGTGCGATATCGGAGAAGAGAGTCTGCAAATCGACAGAGGTCGCGGTATATGGAAGATTGGAAACAAAGAGTGTTGACCTGGTCCGGAATATCAGTACAATGAAGTTCCTGGTTGCTCACGGAACCGTACCCATGCCCAACAGGCTCCTCTTCGCGTTCCTTCCGTTTGCCGAGCGTCGACATTGGTCGGGTATTGGGAGAAAAAATATGTTGTTTGGCTACCTGTCACCTTTGTTTGGCAAACGCCCTCCGGACCTCGTAATTTGTAATGTAAAACACGGTCACGACACCTTTCCTCATTACCACCACTTGGTCCATTCATGTCATCCGAAAGTCTACGAGAAGAAGGAAAAGAGTACTTCAGACAGAAGAAATTTGCCCAGGCGAAAGCAAAATTCACCGACGCTCTCAAAGTCGATGGAGAAAACGCCATTCTGTACGCTAACCGTTCAGCGTGTAATTATGCTTTATGCCAGTACGTTTTTGTTCACTTATATTTCCTGATGCTGATATTACAAAATAGGTATGAAGAGGCTATCTCCGACGCTCGAAAAGTAATCTTATAGATGGGCGCAATCGGCTCATAGCTCATTGATATTCAGGCGACCGGGATTGACTCACAATATATTAAAGGATGGCATCGTCTAGCGACCGCTTGCGAGGTCAGTTTTTTCTCTCTTCATAAGGAGCTGGTTTCATTATACGCTAGGCCGTTGACGACCACGGTGACAGTATTGAAGCGTGGGAGAAAGCTTTGGAACTTCTTCCTGGCCCGTCATCCTTGACGGTCGAGCAGCAACAACAGAAGGCTCGATGTGAATGTGATATCAATGCCGCAAAATCAAAGATTCTTGATCCTGATCACATGTAAGTTTGCTTTGACCCTGCTCCTAGTCGTTCTTGGGCCAAGACACAATCTAGCTCTCTGGAGACAGCCATTGCCATGGCGAACGCACACAACATTAGCATCCCTCCTCCTCACACTCATGCTCGTCTTCCTGAAGTCAAAATGGCGTATCTACAACATCCAAAAGCAAGACAAGAGCCTCCTATGCATTTTCTGGTGATCCCCGAATCAGTCAAAGAGCCTATTCATCAAGTGACCGTGCAAAGAAACGACAATACGCAAGCTAGAATAGCCAGATTGATTGGTTGTCGATTTACAGGTAGTGCGTTACTTCACTCGGAAGATCAAGTCGCATATGTGCGTCCGCCATTTCTACTGCGCAGGGAAATTTTGTCTCATGGCTGTAACTACAGAAAATCGGAAAGCCAAATGGCGTTGGCGTTGGCAGGCTGCACAGAAGCTTTGAAATCTTCATGGATGACAACGCACTGAGTCAACGTCGGCGCAACGAGAGAGCAAGCGTACTTCTGCATGCGACTGCTAGTCAGCCGCTACATGGCACCATCCTCTTGATGAAAACTGTATTCATCAAAAGCAGCGCCGATATGTTTGGTCGCAGTGCTGATATCATCGGATGGGAGCGCGTCAACGAGTCGTATTTGAGGAGCCCGGAGTGGAGGGATCTGCGACTGGAGTGGATTGGCTTGGGCGGCCGTTAGACAATTGATCACATTTCATATGTAAAATCAATGTACTTGTACATGTTTTATGTAATCACTCTAGGAATCCTCAGGCCGACCCGCAATTCTCCGACAACTACCACCACCTCAGCCGCCAGCGAACACCAACTCTGCTACTGGAGCCTAACCTCAAACGCAGTACACTATGTCTTTCGTTCATGCCGCCAGACGGTTCTCGACGGTATCGAGCGAAAATTCGAGTTCGATGCTTGGCACAATGCCGCCACATCTTTGTTATGTTTTCTTGCAGTCGCCGCAGCCGATATCGCGCTTTCCATCGCGGCTTATGGTCCCTATACAGCGCGCTCTTCAGCTCAAAGTGACGAAATGGGGTGCATTGGTCAATTGGGCATTTTACGGCGGTCCAGTGAGCGAAAACTTCGATGAGGTATCAGCCAAGGCTTTTTTCGCCAACGGAAAGATGCTGGATATTTCGCGTCTGACGATGTCAAACTTGGACATGGTAGAGGAACAGATGAGAGACTGTCTGTCTGGAAATGGTGCCAGTTCATTCGACGACGCGATTCATCTCTATGTCTGCACGCACGGGGCGAGGGATTGTCGGTGTGGGACTACAGGAAAAGACGTTGCAGAGGCTCTTCGACGAGAGATTTCTGCCCGTTCTGAAGCTGATCCGAAAGGACTGGCGAGTCGTTGCACGGTAGGGGAGGTCGGACACGTAGGAGGTCATCAGTGCGTTCATTTTTTCTGTATATTTCTCCATCTCTGACAAGAAACAGATATGCGGCCAATCTTCTCGTCTATCCTCACGGAGAATGGTAAGATTTACGCGCATTTTTGTTTCGATCTTGTATGCAAACTGGATTATCAGGTTGGGCTCACTGACACCAGTGCATATACCCACGACTGTCGACAAAATCATCGAACTAGCCTCCAAACCTTTCTCTATACACAATCCTCCACTTCTTCCTTCGAACTGGCGGGGTCGCATGGGACTTTCTAAAGAGGCGCAAAAAGAGCTTGTTGACTACAATGCTTTACTCAAACCTTCATAACGAACAACCCAGCCGTCCTTCGGAAATCCTGGCGCATTCGCATTCCCTTCACTACCATCCCATCCACCTGCCATCATCGCAACAGCGTATAGGAGCCCACCCGAGCCCGGGAAATACGGTGTAGGCACACGTACACCACCTAACGGCATCCCGACGTCGTCGAAGTTGAAAAGAGGGTCCAACAACCACTCAGTGGCCTCCTCGGCATCTCCATTACGCGCCGATGACATTGCAAGCATCGGGAAATCCCACCTACAAACCGTTCAGCTACCAATAAACAAATACGTGGATCGAGCTCACCCCCAGCAGTTCGTCACATTCCAATCCTCTCGCACTTTATCAGCCGTCGCTTTCGCAATTGTTAGGTTTAGACCCTCTGTCTCCGGAAGCCATCCATATAGACCCACTAACGCGGGATGGTCGTTGGTATACGCCGGATCCGTCCAAAAGTCGTTTTCAAGTGTTTCGTACACCTTGTATGTGCCGTTGTTAACAGGAAGTGCGGCCAGATTGTCTTTGACTACCGTCCAATTCTTCGGGACCTCTGCACCGAGATTTTGCATCCATTCTTCGGCGTAGCCCAATCCCAAACGCCAATATGCCAATTCGAACGCGGGATTCACTGTCACATTGGGACTTGTGTCCTCGCTGACGACATACATGGGCGGCCCCAAATCATAGACGCCTGTAGATGCATTGTACCACGCAAAATCCGCCATCCAGTTGGCTGTTTCCCGAACCACATCTTCCCACTTGCGCAGCGTCTCCATCGTTGGTGATGCTCGATACTCATACTGCGCAAATATGAGCGGGTGCGGTTGCTGCCAGATCAGTAAATTATTTATCTGACCTGGGGATGAACGACCTGAAGGGTCGGTCATCTTTGGCCATCGTGCACCGGAGGGCCAGTGTTGCTGCTGCTGTGATCTGGCTATCGAGGATGGCAGGAATTTTGCGTAGGTATTGGTAGATCGGTTGAGCAGCTCCCAGTTGTTCCAGAGTGCCCAGTGTGCCGCGTGCCAAAAGTACATCTCCATGTGGAACTTGCTATTTTATCCGGGTAGTGAATTGAAAGCGATGCTTGTGTATCTCGAAGGTACTTACCCGTACTGCAAGCTCCGTGAGTCCATTTCTCCGCAAAGAATAGTGCAAAGTCACTCACCCAGCCATCATTCACTAGCCCGGACTGGCAACGTGCATAAGAACCAACAATCCCTATAAGCAGCCTGAAATCCACTTACCTCCTGCGGTGGTGTGTCCCCCGCCTCATTGACACGCATCAAATACCGCGACAGAATGATCCTTCTCTGTAACTCGTCTGCTCTCGGATCCGAAGATTTCGTAAACACGTCGATGAAACCGCTTTGTGACCAAAAAGCGTCCCAAGTCGTTCGCGATGAAATGACCGTGCTGTCATAACTTGTCTCGTCTGGGCTTGCGACGCCATAGGAAACTGCCATTTGGAAGGTCGACGTAGAGTCTTTAGGTAGGATGGTGTAACGATGAGCGTCGGGAGAATCACGGGATATAGTGAAAGCATCGCCGTCAAAAGAAGTGACGAACGAGGCTTCGTTGAGTGTGTGGGTAATCTCTGCATTGTGGTCATCGACATCAGTACTGATCGAAGTTGTGTGGTTGGCAGGAACATTCCAGTTTCCGACAAAGGGTGCGCTGAATTCTGCCGAACCATCGTTCCACGGATAATCCACGAACACACCCAACTGGCCATCACTCAACAGTACAGATTCGATGCTGATGCCAATGGTGTCTCGGTCTTGCGCACACGTAGTTGCCACGGTAATCGGCTCTCCTCCAAAAGAGAATCCGCTTGTAATCGTTCCTGTCCAGAGGTCGAGTTCCTGGTGAATATCTGTCAAGTTACTCTCCGTCACGTTGAGTACCTCTCCCTCGGCCGACCGAAACACCAGCCCCACCCGCCCAAGATTAACGCGGTTGGGATTAGCTGTGAGCCATTGCTCAATCAACTTGTCATCTCCACCAAAATCATACTCGACAAGTCGTCCGTGGTTATACCAGCTTACACCGTGATAGTCATTCAAATCGTTCATCGTCTCCCCTTGAGGCAAACTGTCGTTTTTCCACCCCCACGAAGACATGATGGCGAATGGCTGGAATGTTTGGAGACCTGTAACATCGGCCCCGAAAGCGAAGTTTCCATTGCCTACTTGCATTGGCGTGGTGAGACTGGATGCATTGCGGGTGGGATTGTACCGTGACACTAGTGCGTGTCGGTCGATTGCTGCCAACGCCTGGCACGTTAGAAGGAGTAGGAAGAAGAGCATTAAGGTTCTTACTACTTCGAAGAGTGGGTATTTAATGCTGCACGACTTGTGTCAAGCCCGGCCCGTCATACACGACCTTGTGACAAGAGTTCGTCCCGTAGATGTGTTCCTCTGCTACCAAAGCCATCATGCTGCACGAGGTCTGCTCAGTAGCTTTGACTATTTTCGCGCTCGCTGCAAAAGGCAACGATGACGTCATCAGCAAACCCATTTCTCAATTTGTTCCACCTGATACAACAACTGGGAAGCAGCTGTTTGTCCTCATGATTCTCTTGAGGCGCTCTAATCTCGTAAGTCTAGCCAATGGCAGTTATCTCTTACAAACCAGTGAACACTTGATAGGTGCCGCATCCTACTGCGTTATTACATGCAAGGCCCAGACATTTCAGTAATAGTGCCTGTCCCACGCAAAGGTCAGGTTAGCAAGTCTGACGTCACTTATGATCCTTCCCCGTTCTCTATATAATACACAGCGGTCTAAAACATCGTCTTTCTCAGGTATCACCATGACCACCGCTACACTGGAACTTTTTCCTGTGCCGTCTCTCTCCCCTTCCAAGCATACCCCAAGCATCCTTCCCGGAGCTGACGCAGACTCTACCGTCGCGTTGCAGAATGTTCTTCGAGAGAATCATGAGAGGTGGCACATCTTCTTCAATGACAAAAGATTTCACAAGTAAGTCAAGCAGGCGGGTCGCTATTTTGTCGAAACTTACCTCGAAGGGCAGTCATACCACTCACCATGCGTTGGCCATCTGGGCTCTCGGTGCCAACAAAGAAACCATTGACGCTGCGTATCGCGAGGACGCTACCATCCAAAAACCTGCCATCCCGTCTCCGAGCCCCATAACTTCGGCAAACTTCACTAGTCACCTCGGAGATGACAAGTAAGTCTGCTTCTCAGCCATCCTTGCAGGTCTCATTGGTATTACAGATATTTTGACGCCTACATGGATTTCTTCAAGGAAAAGATCCAGGAGAAAGGCACTGCCTCAGTATTGGAGGAATTCATTTTCTCGGAATCTGCAAATATCGATACGACAGCGGACAAGAGCAAACAGCCCGCACTGCTCAACCGTGTGATGAATGGCCTGGTCCATCCCATGATTCATACGGGATATGGACTTGAATTTGGCCTTCCTGGAATGGTCGTCGAAGGTTGGATTTCTCGTCACAACGTCTATCCTGTCTATTCATAATACAAATCAGGTCTCGCCGAGGCTGCAGTACATCGCGACAAGCTCCAATCTCTGTTCCCTTCTTCATGTTTTACATTTTCACCAGCGATAGATACGCTCACAGAAAAAGCATCCTCTGAACTAGCTCTCGACGATGTTCCACAATCGCATAGCGAGAAGAAAGGAATTCATGCTTTTGACATTCTTGCGCGGATCCTCGCAGACGACACAATTGAAGTGCCTTATAGTGATGAGGATGCGTTTACGAAAACGCTGGAAGCAAACGGAGAAGCTCTGTTCCGATATGCAAGCCAGTGGACTTTGGATTTGTCAGATCCCAAAGAAGTATATCGCAAAGTCGAGGAGTTGCAGTGGATGAATACCATCATATACGCAATCGGCGGTTCTCAGCCTGGGAAAAAGTTTAACAGCGATTTCTTCCTGTATGTGACTTGTTCTGCAGCACGCAAAGATGCTTACTGTGCTTTTCTTCAGCATGCATCTTGTCACGTCGTCCTTATTCCTGCCGTCTTTCGTAGCGTACCTCACTCCACCCTCTCAGGCCCTCCTTCTGCGACACTACATGGCTGTATCCGTAGCTTGGTGGGTTTCTCGGGGCCGTCCGGGCTTTGACATACCAAAGTTTTTCGGGGCGGATACCCCCCTGGTTCCTGCAACATCTCCGGCTACCAAAACCCCAAGTTGGAAACTGACGTCTGCGCATAATCCATGGTTTAAGATTATCCAGCACGCTGTCGTCGATCCAGACGATCACCTGTGTAAAATCCAAAGGGCGTTCGCGCACTATGCAACCCTTTATGGGATGCGGCCTAGTGGTGAACCTGAATTTTCACGGACGGAACTTCCAGGCGCGGAGAAACTCGATGGGACGCTCTTTCTTCGAGCCGCATATTTGACGGCGAAACATTTCGAGGAAGGAGAAAAGCAGGGCGACCGAGATTCATTTTTATGGGATCGAACCGGATTCTATTAGCTAAAATTGCGTCGCATCTTTTCATCCAGCTGTGTTTTGTAATACTAGCACCCATTACCTCCGAAGGACTTGTGCATGCGCTTTAACGTTAGTTGGTGTGAATATTCTCGCGGTCCGCCGGGCCGGGAATACCCCTCCTTTTCTCTGGACTTTTGGCAGGCACCGGGACGCGTGGATGTGGGTGCTGGTCGACGTCCTTCGAGCGGATAACGATGCTAAGTCAGACAAGCGGGCGCAACGCATTACCATGCTCTTCAAAGTTCGTTGATGTCGTGCACAGTGCACGCTGACAACAGCCTTCTGGATGTAAGCCAGTAACGAATAAGAGACTGATCTCCACTAACCAAACCGCCCATCTCCAGACAGAAAACCACTCAGACAATTTGAACGCATCTTGAGATACCAACCGGTGTCACGGCTGCGAGTTGATAATTTCGGTGACCATGCACGGGAAGTCACGTGCTCATTCTCTTGGGATTTTTTGAAAATTTTCTCTAGGACCAATCCTATCTCTCATCCTCCTTTCTTGCTGGTACAGCATTACGCGTCAGACACTCGGGTACGGAGACAATATCCGACTCGGAGTGGCGGTCGCCAAACAAAAAGCGCGCACTGTGGCGCCGTCCTAAGCCACCCCTTGCTCCTCCAATCAGTATTGACGAACAAGATATCTCAGTAACGTAAATTCATCCTCCCTGCACCCGCATCCTTTCCCTGGGTAAGATCCGGTTTGTTTTGAATGTTGTAACTCTCAACATGGCGTCTGTCATCCTCCTTCATCCTCCAGGTGATCAGGACACGCAGGGCTTCTACGGACGTCGTGCCAGATTCGGCCAGCTGGCTAGCTTGTACTGTTACAAAACTCGTCGACATCGGCAGTGCAACCTCTATGAATCATGGCTACATATCAGGTGCCTACAAGCTCCGGCTACACACCTGCATGTCAACGGCGACAATGTGCCATGTTCCCTCTCTGCATACCCGGGCCGCAGCCAAGGATAACGCTACTAGAACTCGTGTATGGCATGACTCTACTTCTATGGCGGTCGTATCCCCATTCTCGTGATCTTGGCGTTACCCAAGAGGCGTAGATGTCGCTTCAGAATACTAATGTCAGGCAGCGGGCGCGATCACTGAGTTCGATAAGCAAAGCCGGCATCTTTACGGAAACAGGATAACGCCTCCTGCTTTACCCGCTCTCGAGCGGCGACCTCTGTTCATCGTGATGCCGCAGTCTAAAATCGCGAAAAAAATTCCTTCCCGCGAATTCCTCAGGCTGCAGATTTGGCATCAAATCACATTTTTCCGGAAAATACCGTGATCCGGATTTTCAACATAACGGCATGTTTGGTGCTTCTGAAGCCAACCCCAGATGACCCCGCAATAAATGTTTCAGATACGTCTCATGGAGAGAAAAAAGAATAGTCTTTATTTTCCCCCGATCTCACGCGGCCCAAGCACGTTGTCGTTATCCACTTTCCTGTAGGTCGTCTCTCTTGTCTCTCTTGTGTTTTTTCGTTCTCATTTAAATATTCACAGTTTAAAGCAGATCCGCGGGGTTATAATGAAGTGGAAGCTATGATCAAATAAGCGCCGTCGGTAATTTGTTTGAGCCGGCGGACCGAGACCGGGGTCGGGCCGCTCGTTTTCAGATTCCAAACTTTGAACTTAAACCATGCCACCTCACATTCAGGTCCAGCTGTCTTTCCCTCTTGCCTTCCTCCTACCTCTGCCACTGTCTCCTCATCTATGTCCCTCCGTTATCTGAGGTCTGCTCCAATATCTATCTCTCGACGCGCTTTCACGAGGCGTACCTTTACTTCCACGGTCACTGCGAGGTGTCCTCCTAATGTGAAGAACGTCGTCACCGAGAAGCTCTTTCAGTCGCCCTCTAAGTACATCCAAGGACCATCTGCCATCAAGAACGCCCCTATCTATCTGGGGTCGTTAGGAAAGACGGCTCTGCTGACTGCAGATGATGTCGTATACAAGATCGGTTCGTCATTTATGAAAATACTCCATGGACCCCACTCTGATGACCTTGTACAGCTGGCGCAGCGCTGACGAGTTCCCTAGAGCAGGCCGGCATGAATGTCGTATATGTCCGCTTCAATGGTGAGGCTTCATCCGCCGAGATAGCGCGAGTTCAGGACATTGGCGCGCAGAACAAGGTAAAGGGTTTCGCATCATGTGCTCCAACGTGAATATGGACCCTGACAGCATACTTAGGTCGAGTATGTAATTGCTCTCGGTGGCGGGAAAACAATCGATACAGCAAAAGCGGTAGCAGACAAGCTTGGCATTCCTTCAGCGGTTCTTCCTACGACAGCCTCCACAGACGCGCCTTGTTCTGCGCTCAGTGTTCTATACACACCCCACGGGGAGTTTGATCGTTATTCCTTCTTCAATAAGAACCCTACCGTCGTTCTAGTGGACACATCGATAGTCGCAAAGGCACCGGCTCGATTCTTGTCTGCCGGCATTGGCGATGCTCTGGCCACACACGTCGAAGCGCGCGAGGTTAGGAACGCAGCTAATTTTGGCGGTTAGTATCGACCAGTCCAATTCGTCTTTCTGAGAAATATTGACTCGTGAATTATAGGTGGGCTTCCCACAGTATTAGCAAGCGCAATATCATCAAAGTGCGAGGAAATCCTGTTCAAGTACGGGAAACTCGCGTACGAGTCCAACAAGGTCGGCGCCATAACCCCGGCCTTGGAAGCTGTAGTTGAAGCGAATACGCTACTATCGGGCCTGGGTTTCGAGAGCGGCGGTTTGGCTGCCGCGCATGCGATTCATGATGGTTTGACTGCCCTGGAGCCTACGCACAAAATGATGCATGGTGAAAAAGGTACGGACGCGTGAATATGTTATCACATGTGTTAAGCTTACCCTGCGGTCTGATCTTCAGTCAATTTTGGGACTGTGTGTCAACTCATACTTTCTAACGCGTCAGCGGAGGAGATGGACCGGTATATGGCGCTCATGACCTCTGTTGACCTTCCTATTACGTTGGCGCAGCTTGGTGTTACGAGCGCCACGGACGAGGAACTTCGCCATGTTGCAGAGTTGGCTTGTGCGCCGAACGAGACAATATGGAACCTTGACTATGTTATTAACGTGGACGTTGTCTTCAACGCTATCAAGGGCGCTAATGCTGCTGGTCGCAACTTTCTACTCAAGGAAGGGTTGTTGTAGATGATGAGTTTTTCGGGCTTTGAGTTAATGGGTTTCTATTGTACATCTTACTTTACAATTTTGTGTAGTACGGCATACCACTTTTCGACAGTCTTTTCAATTTCACAGTTTGTTGCTTCTTTTGCGACGTTGGAGCTGATACCAGCCTAATTCCCCACCGGCAGAATCATTGATCGACCGCTGTATGTCACGCAATTTCATCTCGGTTCCGCTACTTACGTACATTGTTCGAGTCATAGGTCAGGGCATCTCTTCGCCTTAAACTCTGCTCTCATGGAGGGTCAGCCTCTGATTGGTGACGGTCGAGGTCTATACAAAATTCATATCCTGGGGAACAGCGGTACGTCAAGACGTGAATACACGCGTACTTACTCTGATTTTCCCCAGGTAGCGGGAAGGCAAGACTATTTTCCTCTATTCAGTTTCTTTATTTAGCAGCTTCGAGTAGAGCACTCTCGCTGCTCGCCTTTCACTGATCCTCGGAATTCCACATATTTCTCTCGACCGGCTTTTCTGGGGTCCCGATTGGAAAGCAGCGTCGGAAGAAGAGTTTCGCGCCAAGATCATAGCTGCAATGGAGCAGAGTCCCAATGGGTGGATTATTGACGGGGACTACCAGCGGCGCGGAGGGGTGATAGTCCAGGAGCAGGCAACGGACGTCATATGTTGGTCTGGCCAATTTTATTGGCGTTCATAGCTAACATTGCACAGGGCTCGATCCCCCGCTCATCCTGTACTTTCCTCGCATCATGGTTCGTACGTTCCTCCGTCTTGTCGGCCTTCGTCCGCCATGCAGTCCCGGGTGCCCAGAGTCATTTAGAGAGGTCTTCTTCGACCGGAACAGTATTCTTCTGTGGTGTCTGACCCAACACAGGGTGAATAGGCAAAGGGGGGAAACTCGCATGAAAGAGATCGGTATTGGAGTTGGAACCCAGCTCGACAACCGAAAGATGCGTAGGATTGGTGGGTGGGGGAGCGAACTCGAGAGATGGATCAAGAGCGTCAAGGATATGGTTCAAGAAAAGTAGATTAGATTCTTGTATTGTAGTAGCGGTGGCAGTCGCATGGTAATCTTTATGATGCTCAAGCAGCCGCACTATTCCTCTCTTGCTCTTTACGGATTTTCTCGATATATATGAAGGTGAAAAAGATGACGTCAACCATGTGCTCTCCGTCAGGAAGAATCTCCAGATAGGCCGGTCTTGCGTTGGCAGGACTAAAGACGCCAAGTTTTCTCGTGTGAAATCTAGCTATTAGGGTTTTCGACCCGTCGTTTAGAATTAGCTATGTTTATGTATCAGTATGGAATAGCACAAGATAGCCTCCACTCACTTCGGGAATACTCGAGCCCAATATCCATTTATACTCTTTGCCATCAGGACCTTTGAATACGCGGTTCCTGTCGATGTAGCTTCACTAACACGATACTTGGAAGATAACCCAAGGCAGCGCACCTTCCATACGATCCCCAGCCCTGCTTCTTCAAATATGTAGTTGCCTTGACCTCCTCCCCCTTATATCGCATCACGGATGAAGCGAACACCTTCCAATCAATGTAACCCAGTGGCGCAAACCGATCTCTGAAGTCCACTTCGGGTTCCCTGCCTATGGAGCTCCCATCACTATCCGACCGCGCAGGAGTGCATTTTCGAAGACTCCCAAGTTCATAGCTGGTTGTATCTTCCACGCGAGGGGGCTCGTAATCTGATGGTACGATACGAGAGATAGTTGTGACGCGCCCAGAGAACTTGTGAGGAGTCGAGACTTTATAAATGGCTTGCCCCGACTCGTTAGTGTAGGTATTGTTGAGTATCCCGGAGCTCATCTGGTAGAGATTCATGGCGACAAGGCCTGATGGATATCATGGTGGTCGCAGTGTATATATAGCTGTCAGTGGAGTATAGGGGGGGAATGAGGCAGTGCAAAAGCAGTGCTGCGGAAGATACTCTGGGTAGACGTCTGAATTTATGGATTGTATTTAACGTACTTTGTAGTAGACTAGGGGATGGGAGCTGCTGTTACCACAGACCTTGCTTGAACAGGAAAAAGAACGGCAAGAGTGCTACTCTGCACAATAACTCAAAATTCAACTCCGCACACGAGATGCAATAGTGACTGCAACAGCTAAAGTCCTCGACTGCTCGTCTGTCAAGAGATCCAGAGTGTGCCTAGGGGAGACTAATAAACGTTTTTCAGGCTTGAACATTTATGAGAGCTGGAGCTTCATGATGATTGCGTGCAAGGGATAGGACTAATATTTCGACATGTTCAACAATCCTTCAAGTTTCAGATAAAGCGCGGAAACTGAAAGGCGCTGTTGCCGAAGCGTCGGCTCAATCGGCTTTACGGCTCGATGTCATGGCTGTTGATGCAGATGTTTGGTTGCTCCATGCGAACAGGTACTCGGAGATCGTGGGCTTTTCTTTACCGTCAGCTCGTCTTGTTGTCGCCTTTCTGGCCAGATTGACTCTAGACTAGCGCTTGGGTACCTAGACAATGGGTGAATTAGCGATTCGGGCATCTTTGGCAAAGCCCGTCGGTAAAGGAACTTTTATCCAGAGAGACAGCTTTGGCGCACTTCGATTTTACCTTGCACGTTCAATATCAATCAGGTCTAGGGCGTGCTGGCTCGTTAGGTTGCTGTACAATTTAATTTTGTCAATCAATTTCTTCGTTCACACCTACGATCACACTTTATGAGGACTGGGGGTTTCGTTGCAAACCTGAAGGATTCATTCGAGACAAGCCATTGATGTAGGTGATTAACTCTGGTCAGCTTATGGGTCGAAACAAGCTTGCTACGACTATTGCATAGTTAGAACGACGGGCGACAAAACTTGGGCAACGAACACTTGCGTGTCTGTACAGAGGGGTGAACTTCAGTTCTAGTCGTACTCCAGCAACGGAAATCTGCAGCTTCCTCGTGATCGTTCGCTTCCAGAAATATTCGCTGATCATTCTTGACTGAATGCTTCGCTCCCATCTGATGGTTGTTTGGTTGATGGACGGTCTTCCGTATGAGGTGTGGCGTAGGAAACCAGGGGGTTTGCAATGGAAGGGGAGATGGAAGGTAAACGGGTTATTGGAAGAGCTTGTCCATCCCTTCAATGGGAGACCCCATGAGTCATAAGAGAGCCTACTTGACGAGTTCCAGAACTGGTGTATTTTGGTGCTTTGCGCCTATTCGTTGAGCTGCAAGATAATACAGCAGGTAAGTGAGGAAGCGAAAGAACGATGATATGTCCACCGAAGTCAGGAAAGGAAGCAATTTTGACTCAAGACAGTCATAGAGAGTAGTTGACTTGGTACGCTGACGAGTTTCTGTATGAAGTTCCAGGGCATATGCGTGCCAGGAGGACACATGTGGCACCGAGCCACTGGTGGTGGATAGACTGAGTAACTTTTCGAGATCTTGGCCAGTCCAGCGAGGTAAATACTGAATACGAGACGTGAAAAGTACGAACAGACACGAAAGCCAAGAAACGCCGAGTTACAGCAAGAACACCGTGCATAGAAACGGTTCTGCACACTAGGGTCGTTGGATATCTCCTGCAGAGGTTGTATGCTACTCTGGTCAGAGATCTGGCTGCGACGGCATTGGAAAGTTCAACGTACTTTGGCAAATCACCAAATCATCGCGTCCAACACAAGCGCCACTGTTCCCAACGGGGAGGAAGTTCCCTGCTGCGGATTAGCACTGGATACAGCGGTCTAGTACGCGCCTGCGCAGTGCTTCAGCCGGCGCTACACGTCTTCTTTGAGTAAATCATCCAAGGAGATGGGACTGTGCAAAGCGCCGCCGCTGTAAAGGATGGTGACAAAGCGTGACTTTACCGTCACCGCCTCTCTCTCATCATCCCTCACCATCCAGAATCTCCGCCGGCGACGACGACGACGACGCAACTGCTCTACTTGTAGTTCCATCTAATTCTCTTTACTCAAGGCCAGTGTAGCATATCGGAACCGACTCTTTTCTCTTCGTCGCAGGGCGCTTCCACTACAAACACTTCTTCCAGATTCCATGGGGCAGACGACTTCCAGGAACCGGAGTCCTTTACCGTCGCCTGATACGAACGCCTCTAACAATGTCGATGACCCTCCAAGTACCCCAGAAACACAGTCTGACAATGCTGCAGACAGTAATCAGCAGTCCGCGGCATCCAGCATCTCTCCGACATCCAGAGCATCTCGTCGCTCAGCTCGTTCTGCCGTTCGCAAGAGTATCCTGAACCTCGTGAAGCCACGTTCCTCTCAGCAAGAAGAGCCCAGTGAGCGCCCAAGTTCTAATACACGCAAGTCATGGCGGGCGTCTAGGCGTTGGTCAAAAACACCACCTTCTGTGACTCCAGATATCGATTCCTCTCCGAGCGCGTCGGCCAGTGGTGCGCTAGCTGCTGTTGCTGAGAAGAGCGGTGAGCCTGACTCACAACCATCCGATGCTGTGACGTCGCCTGCTCTCGATTCAGCAGCAGCAGCTGGGAGTTCCATTGCACCGGATCAGGATCGGGAGGACAGGCACAGCACTACATCGCCGCTTGTATTCAACAATACCCCGGAAGACGAAGTCGTTATCAGTCCTGACCACTTTACTTCCTCGCAAGACGTTCCGGACGTTCCGCAGGATGTATCACCACCACCCACTATCGGTCCAGCAGATCAATCATCATCTGGACAGCCTTCTCCATCACCTCCCCGACAGTTTCCCCCTCCAGGAACGCTCGTCGTGGTGCAAGGTGTCGTACACACGACCGATGTACCTAGAACTGATGCCGCCCCATCCTCTGTTCCGCCCGATCTTCCTGAAGCGCCGATGATGATTCGCCAAGGAGCGTCGCTATCTCGCTCATCGACTCCCGTTAATCCAGAGCGTCCAGCGAGGAACAGATTATCGGCGCTTCTCAGGTCGCGGCCTCCCAGTATGGTGTCTACAGCTTCACATAATGTTGCTCCAAGAGACACTGAGACAAATCCTCATCCCGTCGAAGTGCCAACACCGACCCCCGAACCTGCAGCTACCGATGACGCTCCTGCTCCTGCTCCTCCGCCTGAAGCAGATCCTTTGGAACAACGTCCTTCTGGCGCTATCTCATCTAGCAGCATCGACGTGCTCGGTACTCTTTTAAGGTAAAATCCTTCAACCATTCAATAGAATAGATAATGCTTACGTTCATTTCTAGCGTCGCAGCTGCCGCTACGGCTGCTTCCTTGCTCACAGGGTCTTCGGAACCTATACTCTCCTCAGGCCTTACCCCTCCGACACCAAATGTTCCAAATGCGCCAAGTCCACCACCGGCAGACCTGGACGCGTCCCTCCGGCCCAATTCACCCACACCAACAGCCGGAATGGCCGACGTTATGACCGGCCGAACTGAACGTATGAGGCAGGCCTGGGCCAACATTCGGGAACGACTCGGTCTTCGTGCACCCGCTTCGTCTCCAGGGCCTCGGTGGCCGGATCGAAGTGAAGAGAGAGAGGAGACCCCGCAGACATTGCCTGATGCTTCACCGGTGGATGCCAGAGAACGAATGTTTGCGGAGATGGCGCGCGCCTTCAACACGGGATTGGGTATGCCCTCGGATTCTCCACAACGTACGGCGGAAGATTCATTACCGACTGAAAGCACGGAGCGTCCTGCTATCAGTTTCTCTCTACCAGCTGAAGGAACCTTTGAACGGTTTTTGATCGATTTGCAAACCGATTTGCGGTCCACACTGACGCAGCAAGCGCGGCAGGTACCAGAGGGAGATTCTGCCACCGACTCGGGACCACTGCCTTTGGATCCACTGGCATCAGAGCATGAATCCCTGCCCGCCCGTACTAGCGACTTGGAGTCCTTACCTGTTTCTGCTGGCGCAAATGCACAGGCACCTCGGATACGCGACGACACTGGTACAGGGGAGAGTGAAAATGACAATGATAGCATGCCTGAACTGCAAGACGTCTCTGACTCGGATTCTGAATTCAGTAATGATTCCGATTCTGACATTTCACGCCCTCCTCGTCATTCGCCTTCGATCACTGTTCCTCCTTCACATCGGTCCCAACCTCCCACGCATAGTGACAACTGGACGATGCCGGCCTTACCGAGCAGCGCTGGGTCTGCCGCTGAAGCCTCGCGGCCAGAGGGCCCTTCTGGCCGAATTAATTGGTGGAGACTATACCGTTTCCCTCCAATTCTCGCGCCTCGTGGTGCCAGTGCTGTAGAGCTCAATTTGCGTCCGCAGCCAAGTCCCCTGCTTGCCTCTACACCACCTGTTCAAGTACCAATGCCAGAAACGACATCTCCCCGCCCTGTCTCGTCAACGGCAACACCCGACGCTGCACCTTCTCCCTCACCTTCGGAAACGAGGCCGAATATCGTCGTGCCTGTAATCGTGGTTGGCTTGCAGTCCGTGCACATGAATTGGCGGCATAATGCACAAGCACCACCTACACCGGCGGAGCCTGTTGATCCTGCAGACCTCGACGTTTTCCAGCAACAGACTGACACCAACGAGAACGATGTCAGGATGCCTGAGGGCGGTGTCGAAGGTTTGAATATGGGTGCGGGCGGGCCTCCGCTGCCGTCTGATGCGGCTCGTGGTCGTCGATGGCATGCTCGCGCAGCCAATGCGTTGCGGAACTTGCGTCCAGGACGTAGGACGCATGTGCACGGACTTGCTTCCGATGTCGATGCTACAGGATCTCGCACTTTCCTGATTTATGTTATAGGAGGTAAGAGTGTTTGATGATATTCGTGTTGGTTTTCTGTTGCTCACTTTTGCTTATAGGGTATTATCCTCCAGATCACAGTATCGTAACTGGTGAACCTAATAACTTTGATTCCTTCGAGGCATTGTTGTAAGCTTTTAATTCTCTCTGTGTGGTGTACGACGTTGCTCATTATGTTCAAGGGATCTCGCAGAGCTTCTGGGACAAGTAAAACCGCCGACAGTTTCGAAGGAGGAGATTGACAAGTCCGGCTTAGAGGTTATCAAGTCGACTCGCCTTGCTGAATATGAACGAGGTGGAAAAATATCATCCAACTGTATTGACAGGGTATGTTTACTTGTGCGAAGAATTACTGAGCGAGCTAACCGTCTTTTCTACAGTGCCTTATCTGCCTGGATGATTATGAACCCGAAGATGATGTACGAGTCATGACATGTCGGCATGCTTTCCATCAGAAATGTGTCGATACGTGGCTTCAGACGGGTAAGAATAACTGCCCGGCGTGCCGTGGGACAGTAAGGTTTTCTCTACTCCAATATCGTGCTCTTAGACTTATATTCCATTCTCAGGGTGTATCTACGGAAGCCCCGGCTCCTCAGCCAGACATAATGACACAATAATTTTTTTTGCATCTACTCATTCCACCGCTCCTTTTTGCCATGTATCTTTCGCACCATGCCTGCCTGCCTGCCTGCATCTCGTTTAGTATAGTCCTCGCCTTGCTTTTCTGCGTATATGCTTGACGTTCCCTAACAATTGTACCGTAATACCAACAAAAGAAAATCAATACATAGAATGGACCAGAACGATATTTACTTGGGTTGTAAGAAGTGGAGCAGCAGGTTGACCTGCTAGAGAAAACAGAAAATTTCTCATAAGTTTGAATCGGTTACCTCATTTTGTGAGTATGTATCCTTTCGTGGCGGTAAAATGATAGAATATCTTCAGCACTATTCCATTAATTCGGGATGCCACTCTGCCACCGTCTTCTCTAGCATTCTGATTTTTCGCGATACGGAGTATTCCAACGCGCTCGCTTTGGGGCAAATTCTTTGTCCCCAACAGGGTTCAATTGTCATTGGGCGGTGCACCTGTGCTGTTCTCCCCTCGTCTTTACTTGCTGTTAGGACCAGCATGTCAAGGCGTCTTTTGGGAATCGGAGAAGAAATTGACTGATGTCACGAAGGCCAGGTCCAAGGGAATAATTAGAGCGCCTGAGCACTGGGTCCTGCCCGCTACTCATCACCCTTGACATTCTCATCTCAAATTAAGTTACAAGATCCCACGAATCTCATGCCGATGGTGACTTTCAAAGACGCAAGTTCCTGGAACGGTAGATGTCTTCCAAAATTGGCTTTTTCAACACAGTAGTAATCAGGCAGGTTCAACAGAATCATCATGACATCTTGCGTCGGTGCTCCCCCGTTGAATTCGAAATCTGTTGTAGACATGATGCATGAAGTCCGAGACATTGAGTCTAAGTTTGAGCATTCTTCCCACGGATTTGGATCAAAAAAGGCAAGATTCTCGACAGAACTTCTTCCCAAACCTCAGACACGTCGGTGAGTCTCTATAAGAGCTTGAAAAGTTTGCCATGGCTGTCCTAATTTTCCTCGCAACCCCACCTTCTCCAAACCCATTCATGGATCCCTTCACACCACCCAAGCCACTGCCCAAAAAACGGTATCACTCCAAGCAATATCGTGACCGTCATTCGCGTAAACGAGACGTTTCGGGTTCCTCGGAACCGGCATCGGCCGACGAAGAGCTGCAGCAGAGCACTGCAGACCTTTGCGCCTTGACGACCTCGAAAGGCGCCCTCCTTCACCGTCGCCTGAAGGTGGTGATGATCTCGCCTCAAACCGCGTCATCAAGCCCCTGACCTGGATCACCGGACGAACACCTTACAGTCGTGGCACCGCTAGTCTGCACGTATGTGATCCTGCAAAAAAGACTGGCCCAACAGACGGATATTTACAAGAGGACCTCCGCCATCGGTTATTTGTCAACTTCGACATATTTCTCCAAACATTCCTCAACGTCCCCGCGGATTGGCGCACAACTTACAAGTCTGCCATTGACGATGTCCTCGCGGATCAACACTTCGACAGACTTTTGAACGAGTATCTGAAGAAGGCAAATAGTACAAGCATTGATCACAACCGAGAAAAACGGCTCTATCTACCCTACGTGAAGATGTGCAACCGGGCTGTCGACGTTCTGCAGACTAACGAACTCACCGCTGTGCCTGACGACGACATCGTCCACTATTACCGCCTAGATCCACATGTGGTGAAGGGATCCAGGGATCAACTGAAACCAGACATGATTGGCGTCATGACAAGGATATTTGCTTCTGCTGAAGGTAAGCTAAAGCGGGATGCATTGAAGAAGTTTGCAGAGGATCGAGAGCTGGATACTAAGAAAGGGGACATTGAAGGCCAGGGACCAATGCAGAAAACATTGAAGCCAGACAACATTCCCTCTTGGTCTCATTGCACTCACATCAAGGAGATGAAAGCCACCGACAGAGCCTTGGATGACAGAACAAAGGCGATCCGGCTGTTATCAAAAGGTAGGATCCATTCATGACTCCTTTTTCATCTTTGCTGAATGATTCCATCAGATGGTCAAGTCCCATTGAAATCCTTTCCTCGTAAGAGATGGGTGGAGAATGGTCAGCTAGATAAACAGGCTGCAGATATCCCCTTGATGCCAGGCAACCCTTCAAGAATCAAGAAACAATGGTCTGATAACAGGGACAAGGTACACTGTTGGTCAACTTATCCTGATCGCTAACTGACTTTCCTCTCTGACATCAAGGAGATGAAAGGTACCGACAACATCTTGAATGAGGGTGACAGCAGGAACACCTTGTTCACTAATGGTATGGTTATATTTCTTGGTGCTGTTTTTATGTTCACTAGTTTAACTCTTTCAGGTGGTCAGGAAGCACTAACAGTGGTGCCGCATGAGAGTTGTGCTGTGGGAGATTCCCTGTCTGAAGAAGATGATGGACTGAGTGCTGCCACTGGTGATTGGGCTTGGCAAGATGAGCCGGTTGTAGATGATGTTTGTTAGCCACTAACTCTTATCGACTTAGATCAACCAAGGATTGCCACTCGCACTTCGGTGGACAATACACTCGGAGGTCAAAGACGAAATGATAGAGCCAGGAGCGAACTTAGATAGTCGCGAAGAATGGAGTTCGATGTTAGGTAGATTAAACCTTAGCCGAAGCTGGGGTTTAGACCAGCTGAGGCTCTCCTTAAATACACGTTGGGTACACTAAAAATAGTACTGTGAGAATGTCCGATCAGGACCGCATGGTGGAGTAATCATGAATATGTAGAGAAAAGGAAAGAAAAGAAAAAGAAATGAGTAAACTGTAACATTACCCCCTTCTCAAGACTCATTCATCCCGAATGAGCTGGAGCTCTCCCCCGATGTAGTTGATTCTGTGTAGTACGAATGTGAACCATCGTCGTCCTCCTGGTCACTACCAAAATCCCAATTCTCCTGGACCCATTGTAGGTTCTCCAGGTTAATTTCGGATTCCTCATCGTCGGTCTCGTTGATGACAGCGGGTCTCCCATTGGCTTCGTTCGTGGTCACGGATTGTGAGGATGAGGAAGAGGGATAAGAGTCTTGTTGGGTGTCGCTGTTATATGACAACCCATCATCGGCTCTGGTTATCTTTCCTCTTATTCGTTGGATCTTCGCCTCATACTCGTTGACTAGTTCCTCCGCATTGGCCATATCGGAACGTTTGACCCAGGAGTTTTCCTCCATTGGGTAACCTTTCCACTTTACGAGGTATTCGGTTATAGTTCGACGAGTTCTGCCTCGACCGACTATTTTGTCTCGTTGTTCAACAATCTCTTCGATCTCGTATTCTTCCTCATCGTCGATTAATTCCGGAGGTGGTCGCTCTGGTCGTGGCTGATTGGGAAATGAAGGGGGTGTGTATGGAGTGAGTAGGGATTCGTTGAATCGGTTGTGGATTTTCCAGCGTGCGGGTAGTTTCAATTCGTACGCTGAGACTCCCTTCCTTGCGGTAATGATGAACGGGCCGACCCGTCGATCCCCTAATTTCTTGGTAGGTCGTGGGAGATGCAGGTGGGTCGTGTCGAGCCACACCTTATCTCCGATGCGGTATTCGATGGCCGTGCCCTTGTGCTTGTCGTATGCCCTTTTCATCGATTCCGCTGCCTTTTCCAAAGACGCCTTTGTCTCCCCTTGTGCCTTTTCTATTTCCGCTACTAACTTTGTTGCCGCTGGAACCGCCGTCGGTTTTTGTTCAGTGGTGATGACCTGTCCATCCCTCCCGAACACTACCTTATATGGAGAGTATCCGGTCGATGAATGTTGACGGTTGTTGTGAGTGAAGGCAGCCAAGGGCAGCCATTTGCTCCAATCATCTTGTCGGTTATTGACGAACATTTTCAGGTATTTTTCGATTTCCTGATTGACCCTTTCTGTCTGGCCGTCTGTCTGTGGGTGATATGCGGTAGATGGGTTTCCTTCGACACGGATGAGGGCATAGAATTCTTTCATGAATTTAGAGACGAAAACCGAACTGCGGTCCGAGATGACCTTTTCAGGCATTACTCCGTAGGGCACATAGACATAATCCCTTAGGATTTTAGCGAAACCGAGGGAAGTCAGTTCTTCGGTGCACACTATAGGGATAATCGTCTTGGAGAAGCGATCTACGATGACCAGGATGGAGTCGAAGCCCCTGGAATCCGGCAACTTGGTGATCATATCTACCGAGATGTGGGTCCAAGGGCGAACCGGGACCTCGTTGGGGTGTAGAGGGGCTTTCTTTGGGCGACGATCCGCCTTAGTTCGCTGACAGACATCGCATCCCTTCACGTAGGTTTCCACGTCTCGTCGCATTCGTGGCCACCAATAGTCTCGGAGCACCAGCTCTTTGGTCTTTTCGATGCCCGGGTGCCCTGCCGTAACGTGATCATGTTTGAGGGCGATGATCTGTCCGCAAAGTTCACGGTTTGCGGGCACGTAGATACGTCCGTCATACCACAACATGTCTTGGTCACGAGATACCCCCTTCTCGTGGTTTAGGGAGTCCGAGATTCCTCTATCCCAGTGGCGGGGGTTATGCGTAGCTGCTTTGATCCTTTCATGCAACTCTTCCATGGTGGGCATCATCAGGGTCCTGAAATGCTCTGCCTTGAGAACCACTATGTCGCGGTTATCCTCCTTTCCCTGATCATGGTCCGCCCTCCGTGATAAAAGGTCAGCTTTGCGATTTTGGGCTCCGCGCTTATGATGTAGGGTGAATTGGTACTCCACTAGTTCGGTCACCCACCGAGCTTGCCGTCGGTTGAGTTTCTGGGGCTTGCGGAAGTACTGTAGGTTAGAGTGGTCCATCCAGATTTCGAAATCTTCCCTAGCCCCCATGAGGTATTGGCGCCACTCCTCGAGGGCGATCATGATGGCTAGGAGCTCCTTGTCGTAGATTTCGTAGTTTCGCTCCGTAGTTGACAGGGCTTTAGAGAGAAAGGCTACTGGTCGCCATTTCTCCTCTTGCCATTGGGATAAAACCGCCCCTATCGCTCCCTCGCTTGAGTCGGCCTCTACTCGAAATCGTCCCTCATCCAGTGGGATGGCCAACATGACATCCTCGTGGAACATCTCTTTAAGCTTCTCGAACGCCTTCTGCTGGGCTTCTCCCCACTTCCAGTCCTGTTTTCCGGTGAGAGAGGTCAGCGACTTCATGTGCTTGCTGTAGTCTTGAATGAAGCGTCGGTAGAAATTACAAAATCCGAGAAAGGACTGCAGTTCCTGCTTCCTTCAGGGGGTCGGCCAATCGAGTAGACCTGTGATCTTTATGGGGTCCATACGAATCTTCCCTTCGCTGATGATCATGCCCAGGTACTCCGTCTCTTCCACTTCAAACTCGCACTTCTCTGCCTTGAGGAATAACTTGTTTTCGTGTAAGATTTGGAGTACTTTTCGCACGATCCGCTTGTGCTCGGCCTTGGTCTTGGAGGCGATGAGAATATCGTCCAAGTACACCGACACTTCTCCAGCCGCTATCAAGTCTTTGAAGATGTCGTTCATCATCCATTGAAAAGTGGCGGGGGAATTGGTGAGTCCGAAAAACATCACCAAGGGTTCGTAGAGCCCTCGGTTAGTTCGAAAGGCGGCCTTCCACTCATCCCCACTTTTAATCCTCACGTTGTTATAGCCCCACCGTACGTCCAGTTTGGTGAAGTATTTAGCCTTCTTCAGCCTGTCCATCAGTTCTCCAATGAGGGGTAGCGGGTAGCGGTTCTTGATTGTCATCTCGTTCAACTTGTGGTAGTCTTGTACCGGACGTATGTCCGACATTTTGTATTTCACTTTTTAGGGAATTTTAGCCCCGATTATGCCTAATTTCGCCGTTATGTGCCGGAGCCGTTAATTAGGCCTAACGAGACGAAAGTTCTTTACGATAAGATAACTAAATTGATCCCTAATAAACCCTTCCATCAACCTAATTAGTCCTGCCGCTCGGCGAGCCGAAAAATAACAACCGAGACTCACTTTGTAGCTATTACTCCATTCTGGGCCTTTAGTGTCATGACAATTAAACATCGGATCCACCGGGGATTGAACACAAGAGTACAGAAATCATTACAAACAAATACAAATAATAATACAACACAAAGACAAGCTAACCATTAGACCATATAGTACATATTTGTTTATGCATTTTGAGTTACTTTGTAATGCTAGCAGCAGTGACACCCATTTAGTTCAACTAACCTCAAGCAACCTCAAGCCTTTTTTCTGCGAACAATGGACAGGTAACATGCATATATTCAAGAACAATGCAGCTATTGGAAAGGATTTTGGGTGTACATGACAGGACTACCGGGAAGGAAAGGACAGGAAGGTATCGCCGCTGTTGGATGTCACAGCCTGACCTTCACCCTACTCGCTCACTTGTCTTCCTGCACCTTGCCGGCCCTCTGTGCGTCCTCCATGGCGGGAAACTGCCCGCCTGCCTACGCCCCGTAATTGTGGAGTCGGTCATCCTTGCACTCTTGCCGCCCGCGCGTCGTTGTTACTTATGTCGTTGTCGTTGTCGTCATTGCCTCTGCCTCCTGCGGTAGCTACCCACTCAGATGATGACAGTTTGGCAATGGTCTTGTATACTTGGCATTGTCTCGGGCATCAAGCGTCACTTGCACAGCGTGCAGCCTCATTCGAGGGCTTATGCGTGAGATAAGCGTGGATCGACACTGCTGGGCTTGCCGATGTTGGGACCACAGGACATCAAGGTATTTAGTGAATATATTAGTGGTACAGATCAATAAGACGCACCTGCAGCCCATAAATATGCCATACAGGCCAACAAGAAGGTATACCGCACAACGACGGTGGGGGGAAAGCGAAGCGCAGTTATCTGATCTCTTATTACATATTCGGAGAATAATAAAGGTGTAATATTCATCCCGTAATTATATCGGGCCGGATTATTTTGCAAATACCCTAATTAGGTGTTTGCACAATCTCCGACATAACTTCCCATCTTTCTTTTTGACGAAAAAGAAGGGGGACGCCATGGGAGATTTCGACGCCTGAATACGCCCGGTAGACAAGTTCTCGTCAAGGAACCTATCTAGTTCTTCCTGCTCTGTAGGGTTAAGAGGGTAGACCTTGCAGTCTAGATTCGCGTTCGCGTTGGGGATGAGTTCGATAGCATGGTCCCAAGGTTTACGCGGAGGCAACTCGTCGAAACTCTCCTTGTCGAAGATGTCCTTGAACTCTCGGTACTCTTCTGGTATGATTTCTTCGAAGGTCTTGGCGTCCTTTTTCGCGTTGGCCCGGGCCGCCAGCTCATTGGCTCTGGTTCCCATAGCCCGCACATGAAAGGCTTCCTCAAAGTCGATAACCAGGATGGTATCTCCTTCTTCATACTCATCCCATCGTGCCGAGGGATTGGTGTCAGGCAGCGAAAACGGGATCTTGCGACATGCGCACCAGGCTAAGGTAACCGCTTCGGTGTCCCAGTCGATCAGGGGGTTATGTCGTTGTATCCAATCGTGCCCGAGGAACAGGGGGGTCGAGCCTAGGTCGACTACGGCGAGTTCAATCCGTTCCACGTGATCTCCAATACGTAGTCTTACTTTGGCATATTCCGTGATATCCCCTCCCTTATTCCTGGTGCCATCGGCATTGTAGACCAGTACCGGTCGAGCAGCCTTCTTTAGATTGAGGCTGTGCTCTTAGGCCCAGCCGCGGTCAATAGAGCTGCCGGTGGCTCC